TTCCCGCCCTTTTATGGACTTCGCGTTGGACGCTATGGGTCGCAACAACTTGCTCGCTGGGACGGCTTCGTTTATGAACGACGACTTCTTACGGGACGCCTTAGAAGCCGGAATGGACCCCGAGTTGGCCATAGAGTGCCACCGAGAAAACACGAACGCTATTGTGGAGTTCCGGCCGTGGCTGGATGAAATTAAACGGCTCGATGAGCGTAGACGCCAGCGTTTCAAGGAGATAGCTAAGGAGTTCGCGAGGCTGAACATACGCACTACTGTGCCTGGACGCGTGCCACCCAAGATGGCGGCCATGGCTAACGCGACTAAAAGTTCTAGCAGTACTCCTTCCTCCGAATCCGGTACCCCTTTCGTCCCCATCCCGAAGCTTACGGACGACGAACGGACACTCTTGAAGGAGAATGGGGGATGTTTCAAGTGTCGCAGATTTTTCGCTGGCCATATTGGACCCCGTTGCCCTAACCCCCCTTTAGACGGTGCTACCTACAAGACACTCACGGCGCAAGACGTGCCCCGCAGACCCTCTGGCTCGTCCGTTCGCCCTGCCTCTTCGTCCCGCGTCGCCGCGGTTGTGAACGCTTCGACCACTTCCGCGCCAGTTGAAGAGGAGCTTATCAACTTCACGAGCGGCGTCGAAACTGTCGCCGCTGTACTCCCCAATGTGGTGTCCGCTGTGGTGGATACGGGGTCCCCAGATTACTCTGACGATGAGTGCGCCCCCTTCTCGTGCTCTAACCTATTTTGGTCTTGTCACATCCGCTCCCCTTCTCTTCCATCCCCTCTTCCTGTTAAAGGCCTGATTGATGACGGCTCCTCCGTAGTACTTATTAGGGAGGACCTCGTCACTCGCCTCAAGTTGCCCATCATGCAAGCCTCAGAACCTTTTACCTGTCAAGCAGCCTTTTCTACAAACAAGATCGCAGTCTCTCTCTCTTCCTTTGTCAAGATTCAACCGAGTTCCTTGGACGGCCGTTTCGCTTCACGTACTCTTCGAGCTTTTGTCGCTCCCGCTCTTGTTACCGACCTTATTCTGGGACTTCCCTTTCTGTCTTCCAACTGCCTCGTCGTCGATCATGGCGTGAATACGTGTATCACTAAACTGGACAATGAATTATCATATGATTTGTTGCATCCCACCTCCTCCGTCGCTTCTAAGCCCGTACCGTTGTGGAAGACGAAGCATTTACGGGCCAGTGAGGTTCGCGCTGCACGGCGGCGTGCGCGTCCTGGCGTTCGCGACGTACTTCTCGGGCCCGAGATGGCATCCAAGCTTCGTTCCAGGTTGGCAGCTCACCCCGCACGTGGACAGCGCGGTTCGCGAGGGGATAACGTTGTCGCCGCTATCAAGGAGCGTATCGAGGAATTGAACGCTATTGAAACCTTCGAGGCGCAACTGAAGCGTATGGATGGGGAGATGAAGAGGAAGTACGCTGACCTGTTCCCGGACGACATCCCCCCCGTGCATAACTTACCAGATACAACTTATCACCGATTCGTCTTGAAGGATGCACATCGCATCGTGCGGAAACGGGAATATGCTTGCCCGCGGAAATGGCAGGATGCGTGGCGTACATTGCTGGAAGGGCATCTGGCCGCTGGCCGCATGCGCCCATCCGATTCCGAGTACTCGAGCCCGGCATTTCTGGTTCCCAAGGCAGACCCGAACGCGATGCCCCGGTGGGTTAATGATTATCGCGAGCTGAACGATAACACGGTCGCTGACAGGTTCCCACTCCCTCGTATCGCGGATATTTTGGCGGACTGCGGGCGTGGCAAGATCTGGGGGAAGCTCGACATGACCAACACCTTCTTCCAGACGAAAGTGCATCCCGATCACATTAAGTACACGGCGGTACGCACCCCGTTTGGCCTTTATGAGTGGGTGGTGATGCCGCAGGGTTGTCGCAACGCTCCTTCGACGCACCAGAGGAGGATGGTCGCGGCGCTGCGGCCTTGGATAGGAAAAATCTGCCACGTCTATTTGGACGATATTATTATTTGGAGCGCTAACCTCGCCGAACACATTAGGAATGTTGAGACCATATTGCAGGCTCTGCGCACCGCGAGCCTATACTGCTCGCTGAAGAAGACGTCCCTTTTCTGTACATCAATCGACTTCCTCGGGCATCGCATCTCAGCGGACGGTATTCAAGCGGATTCCTCGAAAGCGGCGAAAATTACGGCTTGGCCGACTCCACGGACGGCTTCAGACGTCCGACAATTCCTGGGTCTTGTGCGATACCTGGCGGCTTTCCTCCCTCGACTCGCCGAGCTGACTGCAGTACTGACTCCGCTGACGAACAAGGTGGCTACTGGCGAGAACTTGGTCTGGCTCGACTGCCACCAACGCGCCTTTGACGGCATCAAGGAGCTGGTCTCTTCCCGCGACTGCCTCACAGTCATCGACCACGAGAATCCTGGCGATAACAGAATCTTCGTGACGACAGATGCGTCTGACTTGGGAACTGGCGCGGTACTGTCATTCGGTAAGGACTGGAAGTCGGCGCGCCCTGTCGCCTTCGAATCAAAGCAATTGTCCCCGGCCGAGAAGAATTACCCGACTCATGACAAGGAAATGTTGGCCATCGTTCGCGCGTTGCATAAGTGGCGTAACGACTTACTTGGCGCAGAATTTGAAGTTCACACTGACCATCGAACTCTCGAATTCTTTAACAAGCAGCGAGATCTTTCCAAGAAGCAGCTCCGTTGGCAGGAGTTCCTGGCGGATTTTAATTTCACTATCAAATATGTTCGCGGTGAAGACAACACAGTCGCTGATGCACTAAGTCGCCAATTTCCTGCCGGCTCTGCGATCGTTGCACCTGTGCTCACTGTCTCTGCTGATTCCCAGCTTTTGCGCGGCATTAAGGAAGGCTACGAGGCGGACCCTTGGTGCTCCAAGTTGTTGAAGGATGGCATCAAGGTTGCAGGTGTCAGCCGTCGGTCCGGGCTGTTATACGTCGCCGACCGCCTTGTGGTTCCCCGCGTGCCGGCGATACGGGAGTCAATCTTCAGACTCGCGCACGACTCCCTGGGACATTTCGGCGCTACCAAGTCGTATGAAGCACTGCGGGACTCATTCTACTGGCCGAACATGCGACGCGATCTCGAGAACGCCTATATTCCAGGTTGTGTCGACTGCGCTCGAAACAAGGCCCCCACTTCCAAGCCCGCTGGGCCCCTGCACTCCCTCCCGGTTCCTGATGATCGCTTCACGGACATTGCGCTCGATTTCGTTGGACCCTTGCCAGTGGATGAAGGTTTTGACTACCTGCTCACCATCACCGACAGATTAGGTGCCGATATCAGGCTTATTCCTTGCAAGAAGGATATCACGGCCGAGAGGGTCGCTGCCCTCTTCTTTGATCACTGGTATTGTGAAAACGGGCTTCCTAGCACGATCATCAGCGACCGCGATAAACTTTTCATTTCACGCTTTTGGTCGGCGTTACACGAGCTGACGGGCGTTAAGCTTAGGCTTTCTAGTTCGTTCCACCCCGAGACTGACGGCGCCAGCGAGCGCACGAACAAGACGGTGATCCAGTGTCTGCGGTTCTTTGTGGATCGGCACCAGAAAGGCTGGGTTAAGGCCTTGCCCAAGGTGCGCTTCGCGATCATGAACACGGTTAATGGCTCTACAGGTTTCTCCCCTTTCATGCTACGACTGGGTTTGTCGCCGCGCATCGTTCCCCCACTCGTCACACCCACCGCGACCGAGGTTCCTGCAAGTGCGATCGATATTATAAGGGCGCTGAACGATGTAACAGCTGAAGCTAAGGATAACCTTCTCGCGGCTAAAATCTCTCAGACGATCCAGGCTAACGCTCATCGTCGCCCAGATCACTGTTACGCGGAGGGGGACCTCGTGTACTTATCTACCTCAAATCGTCGCCGAGAATACATGCATACTGGTGACAAAAGGGTCGCAAAATTTATGCCTCGTTTCGACGGTCCTTATGAAGTCATTCACGCTAACCCAGAGAAGTCTTCCTACACCTTGAACATGCCCAATGCTGATCATACGTTCCCTACCTTTCACTCTAGCCACCTTCGCCCATTCGTTCCCAACGACGGTAACCTGTTTCCTTCGCGTGAGTTGGAGCGGCCTGCTCCTATCACCGGGGACTCGGGTGATGATGAATATTTCGTGGAGTCGATAATAGATGAGAGGCGTGGGCGCAGAGGAATGGAGTACCTGGTGACGTTCAGAGGTTATGGACCAGAGGATAATCGGTGGATGGCGCGGCACGAGGTTGAAGAATTGGAAGCACTGGATAGATGGTTGGAAAGAGCCAAGGTCAACAACGTTGTGGCTCGACGACGGCGCGGCCGCAAGAAGAATGTCTCAGCCGCGTTGATTGTCTCCTTACTCGACTCGCTTCTCGACGACTACGACCAGGACCACATCTCGAGCCCTTTTTTTCCTTCTTGAGCACGCGGTCTTTTCTTTGGAGGAAGGGCGAGTGTAAACAAGTTCCCCTGTTTACTCCTTTCCCCTGTTTAACTCCACGTGACATGAATCTTTATATATATTCGGTACACGTTCATTCTGTATCTTATCTCTCGACCACGACTGTTAATCTTACTCACTGATCCTCTCATTCTTGTCCTTGAGTGTTCCACACCTCATCGTGGTTCCAATAGGGTAACCCAAGAGGCAAAATGTTCGTACGGATTGCAAGAAGGGGAGAGAAGAAAGAGTCTTTTGAGAAACTTGGAGAAAGAAATGGGTACAGGTATATATATAGTTCAAATCAAATGTCCACGCTGAGCGTAATATAGACGAGAAAAGCAAGATGAAACAATGCAAAAGGGAGCCAGGTATGTCCGAAACATAAGGGAGAAAGGACTTTGGTGTGTGGGTTTTATATATATAGGAAAATGCGAAGTAAAGAAGAAAGGAATGAAAGTAAATCAAAATAAAACAAGTTGCTAAAGAAAAAAGGACTTGAGACAGTCTCAAAGTCATGATACAATGGCGACTTACATCAATAAGCGGCGAGGGAATCTCTGCACCACATAATGGCGCGCCGATTATTCTGACTGTCGAAAATGTAGTCGGGATCAAGGTATCCATGAACGAAGAGGCTGCGGACATGAGAAGATAGGAAGTAAGAGATTTCACGTAAGTGACGACAGGTGTTTGCCATTTGTATAACCTCTTGATATTCGAAGTATTCGCTGATATGGTGAAGGAATTCGTCTTCTTCGGCGGTGAGGAGTGGGTTTCGAGGTGGATTAGGCTGCCGTTCGGTCCAAGTATGCGACGATCCGACTTCAGGGTGAATACATTCGCAGGAAAAGCCTTGAAAGAGGGGAATGTGGTAGTCCAAGAATCGAAAGAAGGCGCAATGATGGTAGAAGTAGTGTCGCATGTCACTAGGTGCTTGTGGACTGTCGATGAAACGTCGAAATTCCGGAGTGAAGACGTAGTAGATAAGTTCGCGAAAGAACTGTAAGATATCGATGCGAATCCGTTGCAAATAGATTATCTTGACGTTCCATGGATTAAAAGCGACGACGTGGTTATCGGAGGCCCAAGGATTCTTGTAGTGCTCAACGTAGTAGTCGTAAGGCGCAAGTTGCCCATAGTTCTTTGGTAGGACGTTGACATTGAAGAATAGAAGTCGATTACCTTCAACGGATTCAAGCGGTTCTTCGTCGTGATTAGCGCTACAGAGTTCGCATTCGTCCAGTTCGTGGAGGTGTCCTCGTAAGTTCCTATAAACGTCTCTGACGGCGTCCTGGGAGCACCTGACGGTTTACCACATTTATACATGAAGCTCATATGAGCTTTATATGAAGTCATATGCTTTATATGGACTTTATATAAGCTTCATATAGAGAAAATGTAAATATATGTTTCATAGAAATAGCAGGAAAATCTTTACATTTATTCTACTTGCTTCACATTTCCTTTACATTTCCTCTACATTTCTTTTACATTATCTATACATAGTATGTGAACTTTATATAAGATTTATGTAAATATTTATATGCAATACACATGAAGTTCACATGAAGTAGATTTGATGGAGACATGATTATGAAAGATACATATGCTTCATATGAATTTACATGGATTTATATGAATTTGTATGAATTTATATCAATTTATATCGATTTTCTGCAATTTATTGGAGGTTTTCTGAGGCAATTTCCGCTTTGGGACGTCCAAAAATGAGTTAGCAAGGGTTATCTGATGATAAGTCATTTTTCGCCGAACGGGCGCTTAACGACGAATATTAACATTCTTTTTATTTTATTTTTCTTTTCTTTTCTTTATTTAGGCACGCGCCTATCCGGCAATCGCCGTGATGCCACGTGCATGTGACAGTGGCGTGCCACGCTGGCACTGCCGCCTTCTTTCTTCTCAACCACCACCATCCCCTCACTTTTCACCCAACCCACACACACGGAATGCCCCCAAGAGCACCACGAAGCACCCAGAAGGCGTCCACGCGTGGCGCAGGGAACAAGGAGGAGGGCCAGGGAATGTAAGTCGCCCCGCCCCTTCCTTTTGTCAAAACTGACAGCCCCCACCCCTTCCCACCACCCCCACTTCTCTCACCTTCCATTTCCCAATGGCAACCATGCCCCCGCGCCCTCATTTTTGCCCTTGTCGTCGCCCCTGCGCTCCCGCTCTCTCGTTTTCGCCCCTGCAACCTCGTCGTCGCTCCCGCACCCTCGTCTTCGCCCCTGCGCCCTCGTCTTTGCCCCTGCAACCTCGTTTTCGCCCTTGTCATCGCCCTTGTCATCACTCCTGCGCTCCCGCGCCCTTGATTTTGCCCCTGCGCCCTCTTTGTTGCCCTTGTTGTTGCCACTGTGCCCTTGTTGTTGCCACTGTGCCCTTGTTGTTGCCACTGTGCCCTTGTTGTTGCCACTGTGCCCTCGTTGTTGCTACTGTGCCCTCGTTGTTGCCCCTGCGCTTCCACACCCTTGTCTTCGCCCCCGAACTCTCGTTGTCACCCACCACCCACCCCGCACATTTGTCATCGCCTACCACACGCCCACCACATCCCCATCACACACCCCTGCACTTGTGTTGTCACCCACCATGCCACTGCACCCGTGTCTCACCTGTTGTTGCTCAACAGTGCCATCAAGCCCAGGTCCACCAGATCAGCCACTGCTGCTGCCAAGGCAGTACAAGAGGCTTCTCAAGAGACAGAGTAAGTACATCACTCTTTTATCAGTAGCATAGATGTAGAGTAGTAGTATTATTAAAATAAATAAATTTCTTTTAAATTCACAAAAAAAAATCTGAACAATGTTTGATAGAGATGAAGATGAAGAAGAGCAGCCAGTCAAGAAGTCCCGTGTATCTGCTGCAAAGAAGACCACAAAAACCAAGAAAGACAAGAAGTATGTATCACTTACTTGCTTGCTTGTACCGGTTGCTGACTTCCGATATTTATAGGACCTCTGCCGACCGTGATGCAGAGGACAAGGCTGCGAAAGCAGTTGCTAAGAAGAACATGACACTGTATGTATTGATATACTCATCATGATGCCTGCACCGTACTAATTAACTATAGTACGTCTAGAATCCTCCAGCAAAGTGGGGCTGGTGTAGCTCCACCGCCTCGCTCCACCGGCACAGGGATTCAGATCCCTTCCACTACCCCGCGCATTGTCTCTGACCGTGCACGTTGTCCTGATCCCGACTCAGGTGACGATGAAGACCCACAGGTCAATGCCGGTTCCAAAGACGACTCAAACTCCGGCGACGAAGAAGAACTTGCTGCAGTCAAGAATAAGGGTAAGGGTAAAGCTAGAGACTTGCACAACCTTGGTGCAGAGTCAGACAAGGACTCGGATGCTGATGTGGATGTGGGGGATAAAGAGAATGACGATGAAGATGTTGATGAAGAGGCCGCTGGAGCTGCTGAGGGTGAAGTTGCTGGTGTGGGTGATGGAAGTGATGACGACGAGGGTGATGCAACAATCATGGATGTTGATGTCAATGTCACTCCTCGCAAGCCTGCTAAATGTGATGCTAGCCAGTCCCCACTCACTGACAAGCACACTGGTAAGCCTCAGCGCCGTAATGTCTCTCACTCCAGTGCTGCTTCCAGTGCCGCTTCTCTCCCAGCGCCTTCTCACTCGCCCTCTCCACCCGACAACTTGCAGGAATTGCAGGGCGCTTCGCGGACCACTGGTGGCTTTGCACGTGGTAACGCCTTTGGTACTGCGCCCAACATGGCTGATTTTGGTGAGTCTCTCAACTTCACTTCCTCTGCTTTGCACTTACCTTCAATCTAGTTCCTGTTGGTGATGTTCCGCCCATCGAGACTCATGGTAAGGGCAAGGTAGTCATGCACACCACCTTGGGGATGACCAACAAGCCCCACTCTGTAACCATGGCCCGCTTTCCTACGCTGGCACCAATCCTCAAGATCCTGACTAGGAAATTTCCAAGTGTAACAGGTTAGTTATTGAACTCCCTTCTCGCCTAATATGCTTGCTGATCTGAGTATGTAGAGTCTGCTCTTTCCATCTTGGATGTTGATGGGGAATGGGAGGTTGCTGGCCCTTTTGCCCTTGCGCTGGAGGATGACATGGATGTGACTTGGAATAATGACTTCAAGTTGCTCATGCTTTTGGTAAGCTTGTCTCCATCTGCGCCTGAGCACTTCTAACTTCACAAAATCAGGAGCCCCTCCCTGCAGTGTCTACTTCTGCATTTCCCGCCTTTCCTCCTTCCCTCATCTCAAGTCGCCCCGGCAGCTCAGTTGCCCACTCTGGTGGCTCTATTGCACCCTCATCTGTTGCACCCTCAGCCTCCATCTCGTCTGTCGGTGTCGCTACTGCAGGCGCACTTCCACCAGCTCCAGATCACATCCGTGCAGCTTATTCCACCAAGCAGCACCTGATCCCGTACACTGTTCTTCTTGAGGTCCCAGTCTCCTTGGTTCCTAACACCAAGCCCAACGATGGGGACATCATATCGGCATATGAACACTGGAAAGCTGCCAGCACTGCTTGAGAACGACTCAAGGCCAAATATGACGCTCACGATCCCAAATCCCCTCCTCTTCCTCCCTTTCCAAATGTCGAAAACACTCGCGCCATCTACATGAATCCCAGCAGCTTCAGCAACTACAATCCCCTCTTTCTGGCTGCCATTCAGCATCCAGATATTCCACATATCTGGAGGGTGATGCTGGAGTGGGCTCGGCCATCTACAAGAAATTGTGGGGTGCAGTCAACCCTGGCAAGGCTACCTTGGGCCAACTGGTGGAACGGATCAACACTGAGCAGAAGAAGGAGGAGAAGAGGTCTGCAAAGAAGAAGGCTGGGCCATCCAAATCGAAGTAAGTCATCAGCTTCATACAACCTAGAATTTCTCCCTATGCATATATCTTTGTACTACTATATTTATTGAAAATTGCATATATTTTGCACCATTTCTTGCTTGAGTCTCCATCATATTCTGTCTGAACACGTGCTCATTTGCCTAGTTTCTGTTTACAGACCTACATGATGCTGCTAGTGGTGTGGTTCTTGCTTGGACTTGTTCCATGTGTTGCTGCAGCACGTAAACAAGATCCATTTCCAAACATGCTCTTCACTGAGTTTGCTCAAAGCATTCAGGACAACTTTGGTCCCAAGATCAAGCTGTCTACTGTCTTGATGCTTCTGATGACTCTTGTCAGTAATACGGATCTCCTCAACCTTCATGGACAACAGCAGGCTTCTCAGCAACAGGAGTCTACTAGCTGGATGGCTGCCCTGGTCCGTGCTGTCAAAGCAAAGCTCTCTGACAGTGGCTTTGTCTCCCTGTTCACCACTGACGACTTACGGACTTCACGATCTGAGCAGCAGCAAATTACGCTTGCAGGCAAGAAACTCAGCCGGTTCAGCCGCTCTCTGTCTCTTGCTTCACACTCCAGTATTGGGAATTTCAAGTCCAAACTTCGCCCCATCTCCACTGCTTCTATTCAACCCATCATTCTTATCACACCCATCGTCATGGCCTGTCCAACTCTTGACTGTAACGACCATAGCCTTACTCAAGACCTCCGGGAACGTGATATTGCTCATGTCACATTGCTCAAGGGGAGTCAGTGCTTGGAGAAAGTCCCCGTTCTGGCTGGCAGATGCTCTTCCTGCAATTCACTTTACTGGGCAGATCACGAGCGGTTCACCCAGAACAACGGTGATGACTTGTGCTTGTACCTCAACAATGCCAAGTATCTCAAGGTTGGCAAAAGTGTCTGGGTCGACCGCACTGTCTCTGGGGCTATCGTCAATGCCAACTATAGCTTCCATGCTTCCACTGCTGCCATTACCGAGTTTTGGAACTTCTCATTTGTTAAGCCAAGTGGAGGTACCTTCAAACTCAGACGTCGATAAGTCTGGAAGGCCTTTGTGGAGGAGTCTATCTGGCAGATGGCTAAGTTCAACAAGCGCCAGATTGTCTTTGAAGACAATCTCTCCATCAATGCTCTGGTTGCTGCTGCCTACATTGAACTCGGCGACAATGGAGTTATCCGCAGTGCAGAGGGACATTCTTGCGATGAGTGTTGTCATGCATTCAAGGATGTTGCTGATGTCATTCCAAGGCAACCCAATGACCCTGCTGCAGTTGTTGGCCATGATGAAAATCATGCTGTTCCAGACTATGCAGGGGAACCTGTTGATCCAGATGCAATGGAGGTTGACAACCAGCCTGCTGCTGTGGTTCAACCTACTGGCCCTGTTGCACCTGGCAATCATGGAGAGGTCCACATGATTGTCATTGATGGAATTGTCATGGGGCCACGACATTGCGCAATGGAAGGGTGTGAGGCAGGACTTGAGAATGCCCAAACTGGGGTGTTCTGCAAGAGGCATGCAGAGAGGATGGAAAACAAGTGCCATATGAAGGGATGTGGCAAGGTCAAGGTTGGTGACACAAAGGCCTGTCAAGATCACCAGGGGCAGTGGGCCACATTTCGCAGGCAATATGCCAACACCTCACTTCTTGGAGTGCAGCGGATGTTGAGAAGAGCTCAGGAGGAGAGACAGGAATGGTTGCCTGTTGGTGGAGGAGCAGAGGCGCCAGAGCATGATGACCTTGCAGAGCAGGAGGTTGAACAGGTATAACAACTATAACAACTACTTCTCTGCTCCTAGGTACTACTGCGTGGAGACCATCTGTGCTCCATGTGGTGTGGTCCTTGCCTGGCGCAAGTTTGCCAAGTCAGAAGGGGTGGCCAAGATTCTTCAGTTCCTTGAAGATGTCTATCCTGATCCTGCCTCACGCCCCAGCTACATTGCCATTGACAAGGGGTGCGCCTTACTCAAGCATATTGTCAGGCAAGGTCACTGGCCTGCTTGGGAGCCAACAACTAGGATTATTGTGGACTCATACCACTACATCAACCACTGGATCACTGATCATCTTCGCTGGACCTGGTGCAATCCAGCACCCCTCAATGGAGATGCACCAAATCTTGTAGTGGTTGCCAATGACAAGCAAGGCAACCCTTACTATAAGAGGGCTTTCAACACTCAGGTAAGTGAATTTAGTGGTCTAGCAGTCATACTTGTCTAATTTGAACTTAGGCTTGTGAACAGCTCAATGCATGGATTGGAGGTTTCCAGACTGTTCTCAACCGGATGACAGTTAGCAACTTTGATTTCATGATGCATGTGCTGTTATTCATACACACTCAACGGGTCATTGCCAAGCAGGAGGAAAAGAAGAGGAATCAAGAAGCAGGAATAGAAATGACAGACAGTGATGAGGAGAGTGAGGATGAAGAAGACTCAGGGAGTGAAGAGGACGAGGAGAGTGAGGAGGAGGAGGACTAAATGTGTCAAAGTATTTACCTCTACTATGTATAAGTTGCATATGAAGTGCGCATGAAGCACACATAAACCACATATAAAGTTCACATGAAGTGTACATGTATGTTATATAAACTGCACATAAAGCATATATATATGCTGTATAAACCACACATGATGCTCATATAAAGTATACATTCGCTCTACACAAACCACACATGATGCTCATATGAAGTTTACATTTACTCTATATAAAGTGCATGTAGTGCATATATAAATCACATGTAAAGCTCATATAAAGTACACATGAAGCTCATATAAACCACACATGAAGCTTGTATGCACTTGTGTATGAGACAAACTCATAACTTAGTTGTAATCCATATGAATATAAACTCTTCATATGTGCTTCACATGGACTTCACATGAAGCACATATGAATGTCGCATATAAACTTCACATGCAGTTCATATAAGCTTTACGTGAAGCTCCTCAACAATTGTTATTGCCTCAAAGTCATGAAGAAGTAAAGAAAATGTAGAAGAAATGTAGAAGAAATGTAAAGCCATATAAAGGAATGTAAAGTTTCGCAAAAGAAGTGGGCTTTATATGACCTTTATATGAAATAAATGTACGGAAGATGTGAAGTCATGTGCTTCATATGAGCTTCATGTATAAATGTGGTAAAGCGCCAGATATACCGTCCTGGGCTTTCACAATATACTCTGGTGGTCCGTCAATACCGTGCCAGGCTTCTGGGAGTAGGATTCCTTGCCTGGATGCTTCGCAGATATCCACGACGTACTGCGCGATATCAGTATCGCTGTCGTCCTTCCAGTAATCGTGGTAGTCGGTAGGTGCTTCGAATCGGTTATGCCAGTTGCGTAGTGGATGGTTATCGTAAGTTCCTTGATATTTAACCGTAGTGCGTATTCGTTTGAAGTCGGCGTGGTTGTCGAGCCAATACGGGTGGTTTTCTGGTGGTTCAGCCGTATATTTCGCCTGTTCTTTTGTGTACGAGGGCGGGTTGCTCATGCGACGAATCACGGTAGTCTCGGCGCCATTATAATCCCAAGGGTCAGGCGCATCCGTAGCCAATTCATACATTAACTCGCCTGGATATATTTGCTGCGTAGTGGCGAATATACTGGTAGGAATGATGTTACAATTGGGAGGAAGGTTTGGGGAATGGTGGTAATCGATGATGGGCGTATCAAACATTTCATGGAGTCGAGCTTGAACTTGGATAGGTGGGTGAAGAAGGATGATAGATTCGTCATCTTTCACGGTAGCGTCCTCCTGAGATTCGTCTGAGGGGTCCGTTGACAATGGCGGGGAGTCTACAGCTTCCGAACTATAGTCAGACTCATCCATGGACATGTAATCCTGGCTCGACTTATCGTTCTCTGAGTCGTCGGCCGTCTTGGTAAGGAATGCAGGGTACTTGAGGTTCGTCCAGTCTGTGTTAGATTTCGTCGGTTCAAGTTCGCGTTCTGGGGTTGGGTATGGAGTTGAAGTACGGTAGGTTCCGTCAGCGATCTGTGTTCCTCGTAGTGCAGCTTCGGTTGGAGGGTGAAGGATAAGTTCAAATGAGCTAGATGATGTCGAATCATTGTCGTGATTGTAGAGGTTGTGTAGTCGAGGTAAGGCTTTTGGATCGCGAAATTCATTGACTACAATGCGAGGGACGTTGTGGTTGAGAAACAGAGTCATTACTTTGACAGGTTCGTCGGTTTGTACGGTCGTATCCGTTGTTTGAGTGCGTTCGTTGCCAGATTGTGCAGGAGCGATGTCAGGCGACATCACGCTCGACTGCGAGCCTAGTGTTTCTGAGTCTGACGAAGGTGAGTCCAATGCGGCATCAAGTGCTGCAGCGTACTCACTCAGTTCTTCCTCAGTAAGTTGAGGTAACAGAGGAGGTTGTTCTTGAGGTTGCGACGGCGTTTCCATGTTCAGCGTATGTAGATATTCGTCCAGTTCGTACTTGTTCATGTTGTCGACCTCATTGAGTGTAAGTCCGCTTTCTTGCAAGGCGTAGTGTTGCGCGTGCGTGAGGTTGTGTCGTAGACATACAAGTGAGCCATGTGGGGGGTGAAGACAGTCCTTGGGGTCGTAATCCTTATCCATTCTATTTACTTTGATGAGGTTACGCGGCGAGGGTTGGCTGATGAGTGCTGGGTTGACAGTAGTGTTTGTCGTCGGTTCAATTTCGTACGAGGGGGTGATCTTCCTGTTATAGGCTCGCTCTTGAATTTCCTGAAGTCGTTTTGGCGGAAGATTCAACGGACTGGTGCTAACTTGGCTACTATCCGATTCTTCTAAGTGTTCAACGCTTTCCAGACTAGGTAGGGAGTGGGTGGAGTCGACATTGACAGGCGTGACGACTGGTTCAGCGTACTGAGATCACTAGATATTGTGCCAGTGGTATACCACTAGTCATGGTACCACACAACCATTAGTACACCAATGTACCAAGTTGCCACTGGGTTCACCTACTGCATAAGGCAAGAGACCCTTATTGGGGAGTTCCAATTCCGCTGCCCAGCGCCCACCCCAAACTCACAGGTTGCCTAAAAGGGAGAATTATTCATATTTACTCATATTTAAATACTATGGCCGCAAAATGAATGGATTCCAATCAGACTAAGCAAAAATACATGTATATATCTAGGTTGGCGGCCCCTCAGGGGGGTGGAGAGGGTTGTATAGTTCGAGAAATTGAGGCACGCAGGCCCACCTCGCTTCAAAGCTCCCTGCTAAACGAGTCCTAACGTTGGCTTGCTGTCGCGCATAGGCATTCAATCCCTCCCTCAGGACCTCAGGACCAGGGATGCTTTCGTCGTCACAAATCTGGCCCTTCCACCACTCCGCTTGCCAGCGCAAGAAAGCCAATACACGCCGCATTTCCTCCTGCAGCAGCAACACCTCCTCACTCCATCTCAAGGCTCGAGCACGGCTCTTGCACCACTCGAGGCACAAGGAGCTGTGGAGTCCGTCGTCGCGCTCTTCGTTACCCGCCGTTCCTGCTGTTCTCCAAATCCACGAGATCGTGCGGTAACCTTCGCCGAGATTGTCAATATCCGCCACGCCGAGTCCGCGAATATCCTCAGTCTTCAGCTCCTGGAGCTCAGCGCGCCAGCTGTCGTCCTTGCCAAGAAATCGGGCCAGTACTGAGAGAGCCGCACGAGCAACGCGGTAGCGATGGGATGCTCTATCAATTTGGCCTTGGACGCGTGAGATGTTGCCCATTGATCGAGTGAGAGCGCGTTGGCCACGATCGAAGCGATCTTTGTAGTGGAAGACAGAGACCCGTAGATGAAGACCCACCCGTAGAGCATTAAGAGCGTCCAGGGCCTGCGCGTATCGTAATTGCCATTCGATCGCGCGCAGTTCCTCACTGCATCCAAGTGGTGTCCTGAAGGTAGATGGGAGACAGAGCCAAAGTCGAGCGACGTCCTCGGTGGGATTAGATGATGTTTCGTTGGCATCGTTTGCCTGCGCGACAATGCGAAACGCACTCAGACAGTATAGCTTCTGGACATCATGGAAGTTCGAAATTTTCATACACAGAGTATTTGCACGATTGACGACTGCGAGACATTGTCGGTCAGTGGCGTGTTGGCCGAGTGATGCCACAGCTTCGAGGAGCTGGTGTCTGACGCAGATTTGAGTAGAGTAAATAGCGGATATGCCACTACTTACTGTTGCAGCTCGAGGTCCAATCCCGAGGCAATATACATGAGGGGCGTCACCTCGAGATGAAGCTGCTCTAGCGTGCCAGCTGCGAGGGCTTCCGCTTCTTCGTTGGCGAGCTGAAGGCGAACGGCATCTTGCGATAGTGCTAGGGGATGTTAGCGTGAAAGCAAAAGCTAATGTAATAACTACTTACTTGTTGTTTCCGCCATGTAGGGGTTGGGTTTTGAATTATCGGCTTCCCATGATTCGACTAGCGAGCGCCATTCGAGAATTGTCGCCGGTTCCAGGTGCGCTTCCAGTTCGCGGTGATTCTCAACATGCGTACTACATTGGGGGATAGCCTCCTTCAACCGCCGAAGTAAAGTATTGCCTACAAATGTTTCATTAGCCATGTGTATCCTTGTAGAAAGAAACTGGCGAACGTACCTAGCACGACAGTCTTCTTCCAGTTTCTGTCCCCCATTAGATCATCCAGAAGCTCACGACGCGAGCCTGGACCTGGAATGAGGCCGCCGTTTGAGGAGTCGAGACAGTAGAGGGGAAAAGTCCTCGTTGTAGAAGTTGGACGGTAAGCGGCTGAGCTGTTTGGCAGCCACAGAAATCGAGACCGACTTCATGTATGCCTTGGACGTCAATGACCATGAAAGTATCGGCTTTGGCTCGAGTGGGGTTCAGGCATATCTTGCCCAGGTCGTGGCCGAGTTGGATCCGTAGGCCCAGCGCCTTGAGGCTGTGAGGAACGAAGTACGATTCTTCAGTCCAACGCTTCAAGGGATATTGTGAATTTGTGGGTTAAGAACTAGAGACACTTTGCGTACCTCTATGCGATGGAAAGGAGTCCGTCGGTGATTAATAACGATGCATTGCTCGCAGTAGAGTGCCTCATCGAGGCAGTTGAGACAACGGAAGGTAGTATCGGTGGAGGGGGCTGAACAACCGGGGCAGACAATGGCACTAGCCGCCTGACCACGACCGGCCTTCCTAAGTAGCTGCAGTAGATATTGCTGTCTAAACGGTAGCCAACTGGCCAGGGGTTCGTCCTACTGGATAAGCATGTACCCTAAAGTTACCACGCAAATCAAACACTTACTGCCGCTGTCCGATTTCGCTTTTTGACCAGCTCTATGTCAAGCTCTGAAAGCTCATTGATGTACGCTATATCGAGGTCTCCAAAGTTACCGGGATCAGGGAGGGTACTTGAGGAATCAGGGGGGAATAGTGAGTTTTGCTCAGAGGTGGTGTATTCGTCGTTCCAAGTGGGTTCCCATGCTGGAGATTGGCTATCCAGAAGTGGGGGGAGCAGGACAGAGCCTGTGGACCGGCGAAGCGAGCTCCCGTGGCTCTGATATGAGACATGTCGGTACGCGATATCTGCAGGAGGAGCGTCCTTGACGAATAACGAAAACGCCGAAGTAATATGTCGTCGTTTTGCCTTGGACATGGCTAGCGCCAGTGGAGTCGCACCAGTGCCCACCAACAAAACCATGTGAGACCATGTGACCCATTCTTTAGGGCAGCCTTCGGCAAACTTACGACTAAGAAAAAGAAGGCCGTCTCACTATTGACTGCCATGAAAGATGTATTTAGAGCTCAAAAAATAAACAACGACTCTATCTAGATATGTGATTCTACGACAGAAACGGGTGTGGCTTTCCGAGCCTTGTGGAGTAAAATTCGACGGAACGAGTGAGGAGCGTTGTAAGTAGAGGTGCGGGCGTATTGATTGATCTCAAACTCGTCAACTTTGTGCAGGAAGGCACGAGCGCCGAGGCTGAAGCTGACCTTGTCCTCAAACATAATGACCACAATACAGGTCTTCTCCTCCTGACGGATTTGGAGAAGGGCTTCAGCGCGCGCTCTGCATCCCTCTTCAATGATATTGAGTAGTTTGATGGGGAAGAGATAGCAGGAGGAGTAGTGGTAGTCGTGGTATGGGTGATGAGAGTCCGTATAACCGTGTTGGCGTACGTGGAGCACAACGGCGTGGGTATTGACCCTCTTCTTCCAGATTTCATCGCGTCGAGGGCCCGCCATGAGGTCGCAATACCCAAACATGAAGAGAGCGAGGGCGTGGATGTAGTGTCCGTATCGGTAATTGAATCGTACCATTGCACGAGCATGTGGTTCAGCGGAGACGAGCTGGCAGACCCGCTTGTGCATTTTCCAATCGGCTTGTTGGCAGTCAACAGTCTAGTGGTTCATCAGTGCGTTGATACCCTGCGGCAATAGAAAGGACGTATGCAATAAGTTACCAAGTAGCACGCGCCGCAGCGCATCAATGACTTGCGAGGGATATCCCGCCGGCATTGAGCATTTGTGCAACGACGGTTGTGCTACGTGCGGTGGTCAGTACGTGTCAGGATTGGGCCTTTGGGATGTCGCCTACAAAGTAATGTAGACCAGGTCCATAGTGGTCGGGCGCGAAACGACTATCTTCTTCTTCAGTGTCTGTTTCCGACTCTGCAGACCTGCTGTCTAACTCGGTTGTATTGTCCTCGGTGTCTGGGTCCTCGGTGTCTGGGTCGTTCTCGACATCTGGTTCACTCGGAACATCCGAATCGTTCTCGACGTCCAGCTCATCCTGAACATCTGGCCCTTCGATTTCCACAACCGTCCGGGGGCGAATTGCTGGAGGTAGAACATCGTGCGCAGTGGGACTGGTGTGCCGCTTGCGTTTTCGAAGTCGGGTGTACGCTGAGGAATGTGGATCGGGCGGGGGCATGGGTGGCAAGCGATGGGGGACACGTAGGTTCTTTCAGCCTGGGTGTTCAGTTGTTATTGCGAGAGGAAACGTACTGGCTTCGGGAAGGGATCCGCATGCCCTACGGGAGTCAGTGGCACAGGCGACGGGAGCGAAGCTTGTTTGAAACTTGTTTGTTGGCCATGTTCCCTTCCGTCGACACACAGAATCTGCCTCAGGTAACGGTATCAATAAATATTAAATACGCCCACTATTCCAAGTTGTCAGAGAATGGTGATTGTTGCCTTCGTTCGAACCATCGGGGCATTACACGACGCCTGGATGAACTAAGCACCTTCGGAACTATCGGGGGCGTCTTCGCTTCTGCTTCGATTTTGGCCTCGCTTTCGTTGTCTGTGTCCAATGGGTTTCCGTCGCCCAAATACCCACTATCGCTAACTTCGCTGCATTCATTATCTTCTTCAGCGTCGACATGATCAGCCGGGGGAAAGAGGGCCATGATACCGGCCAGCACTTTTTTGCTAAACATGACTTGTTAAATCAGATGGGAGATCCGATAGAAACCTGCAAACCTAGCACGCCGGCGTGCTTCTTTTGCGCGAAGAATTTCACGTCGACTGCAGAATAGATTGAGTGGATGGCACTTGATGTCTGCAAAAACTGGGTACTCACCTTTCACGGTATTTTGCCTGTGAGGCACGCTTGGACGCGGCTGCATTGGCTGCCACTGTTTCGTCCTTGGAAGTGTCACTTGCGCGGAGGCGGCGCATTCGTAAGCGAGCTTTTTCACGAAGCGCATCCTTGTTCCTGGAGGGAGACGGAATATGAATCGAGACTATGCATAAATTGATGAAGGGCTTACTTTTCATAGTATGAAGCGGCCGCTTTACGGCGTTTGCTTTGTTGAACATTCGTCATGATTTGAAGATCGGAGTGGAGGAGGAAGAGAGGAACAATGGGGCAAACTCAAACGGACGGCGGGTCGTGATGAGCATGGCAAGTTTGCGCTGATCGTGACGGGGTTCGTGGCAATTGTGGCGAATTCGTGATAATCGTGGCGAGTTCGTAATAATCGTGGCGAGTTCGTGGTGATCGTGGCGAGTTCATACTTGACATTGAGTGTTATTGGCACTGTGGTGAGGTATTAAAGAGCGCTGGTACTGTGGTGGGACATCTAGAAGGATAATGAAAGGGAATATGTGGCGTATTCAGAGTTGTAGCGTATGGGGGCTCACCATAGTGTCGGACTGGTCAAACGGAGCGCAGCGACTCGTAGTAACCTTTGAACCCCGTATGTGAACCTAGGTGAAGACGTGAGTGTTTTTTCAAAACTTTTGAGTTTGTTTGAGGGTTAATGAATACAACACCACAGACATAGCGTAGTCGTAAGTGGTGGATGGGCAGTTGGCACTAACCTCCCTGGTGTATCCTATGTCGAAGGCTATGTTTGAAGGCCTAATTAGCGCCCATGAGAAGATAGATATGGGCGCCTTTGGCTCTGACCGTGGGAAGACTACCTTACTGATGTCTACATTGACTGTGGGAATATAGTTGTATTTCTCACTAGCAATGTTGTATCGATCCCGCTTGTAAGATGTAGACAAACAATATATTCTCCCAGATGGAGTGACAAAGAGCGCACGAACAACATGTTTGAAATTAAGAGATATCGAATATTCGGCTGGTACGCAAGACAAACGGTAGCTTAGTCAATGAGGCGGACCTGGCCAGTCGCAGCGGCGGCATTGAAAGCCACAATGGCGGCCCCACGGGTAGGCTCCTTGTTGTAGATCGAGCCTGCAACACCAAGCACAAGGGGGGCGGCGTTCGTCCTAGCCAATGATCAGTGTCTACCCCCACGAAGAAATGGAAAGCAAACTAACCAGCCGCGAAAAACACCCACTTGGAGGCCGACTATAACAACGTACCAGCGCCGGTGCAAACCTAAAAATATGGGACAAACCCGAGGAATCGATCTGCCAGACTATGACTTACAAGTCGAGGCCTCTGCTTCCTGGTCTTCGGAGGAGCCTGGCAATCTCGATCAGCAACGAATCATCAACCAATTAGGCGGGCATGCTCACCCATGGTGGGTCCGTCGCCAGGGACAATTGGAGGCGCAGAGTTGGCTGCGACAGCCACAGGAGCGGGAGTTGGCGCCGGAGCCGGAGGAGAGGGATTGGCACCAGCGCCAGCATTGTTCGCCGCTGTGAATCATGTATATTAGCCAATTCAAACAACGACGAGAGTATAGCGAGACGTACGAGGTGTTAGTGCCGCCACCTGCACTGCGAGGCTAGCGACCATCTCAGCAAGGCGAGAGATTTCGGAGTCAGTAGTAATAGCCATGGTGGGACTGATGGGGGGGACGGGGCTTGTAGCGGGGCTTTATGAGAATGCCGTGAGAAGCAGAAGCAAGGAATGCCCAATTTTCATTGGCTCAGGCGATTTGACCATCAGGAGATTGATTGGCTGGGGAAACCCAATCTCCACCCTGAGACCACCGCGCTGTACAACTAGGAATGGGCCGCAAGTGGACGACAAAAGACCAAGAAGAGTTTCTTACTGGATGGGGGCCGCGTTACAAACAAGCCAGCAAAAAGAAAAATTACATGTTTTTCTGGGACGACCTTTTTGTTGAAGTGATGTGCACACTTGTTGTACAAATGTATAACAAAGTTGCGCTATACCAAGCGCCCGGTTCCTACGCATTGGGGACCACCCATAGACACTGCCAACACCCATTGGGACGACCCAGGTCATCATGGGATGACTGGTGTTGACAGAATTGCTAAAAGTGCGCAAGCACTGTTTAGCAATCTGTACATACATTACAAGCGCACGACTCCCACGGTCAATGCAACGTTCCCACGTTCAGCGCCCCATTAGTAGGTCTGTTGACCTCTATTGTGACGGCCGGAACAGGCACCGGAACGCCTCGGTCTCCGCAGGGAAGCAAAAGCAGCAAAAATGAAACATGGAGCCATCATTAGAATGATGTCTGGCATGTTCCCAAGCTGCTCCGGAGCTAATCAAATTCGGACGCGATTTAGTGGACACCTATATTCACGCCTCGCGCAGAACAGTACCCGTGGGAACCTGGGATGGTCATTTTCCTTACATGTCTAGAGTAATAGACACAAAGAGTCAATAGAGCGCAAATCATTACATATTATTGATTGATTGCATCAACATCATTAGTGATTGTTACCAAGGCAATTAGAGTGTATTAGGACGCTTCTACAAGCTTCTAATCAGACTATAATAGCCTAAAGTTTAACACTTTTTTCGGCATGGTTCATCGCGTTCCCCAAGGCTGTCGCGGCCGATGTAGTGAACATTGCGCCCGAGCTATGGTCACCTGAACAACAGGAGACAGCTCAAAAGGGCATCCTGCAACGTAAAGCGGTAAGCTAGCTCGTTCATGATAATAATAGCGAAGTTACTTATCTAGAGCTAATAGCAACTGCGAGACTGGTTTCGAAACCACATGCGTCCCGATTGTCGCGTGGATTCGCCTGGATACATTAGAAAGCTTGTGAAGCTGCATGAGCAGAAGAATACTGGCAAGCGCTCTCGAAAGGCGACAGAGATGTATTCGGCACGATTCTACCAAGGCTCAGATACCCAGAAGACCGTTCAGAAGCGACTGCGAGACGAGGCACCTCGTGATTCGGCTGGAGAGCTTATCCAGGAAACGAAGGCGGAGAAATCGAGTCGTCGGATGAAGATCTACGGTGCTGAGTGTTGGAATGATGTAATCCGGCACATGATCACCATTTGAATGGACTGGAAAGGGGCATTGCCCGGCCAGTAATGAATAAATGGTTGGGTGGTCATGTGATGGGGAATACATAATTGTTGGTTGTGCAGTCATTGAACAAGGCCAGATAGCTCAGATGGTTAGAGCGTCTGGAAAGCATCCAGGAGGTCCTTGGTTCAAACCCTAGTCTGGCCATCTTTTCTTGCCCCTGATTTTAACACTGAGATCATGGCGGCATGGAAGGGCGCGACAGAAGAACAAACAAGTGAGGTATTGGTTGCGCTGGACGAGAGCCGAATGCGAAGAATGTCTGAGGAGGACAACGATCCTATGCCAGATGACCAACAAGAGTGAGTATATTATAGCAATGTTCGAGTATGGTACTTACCTTTCATTTCAGAGGGCTTCGGCGTCTTCCTCGTCTCATGGACGTGGCCGCTAAGGAAATGCATGACGTTTCGGGATGGTACTTTACGATCTTGAGTGGTGGGCGTGGTGCGGCTGGTGTGGTCCAGACGGCGAGGTACGTTTCAACGGCGATAAGAAACCTGGTATCTGTGCTAAGGGGAACAAACAGCTTTCATCTCGGGCAAACAAGGAATGGTGTTGATTTCGAACACGCTTACAGCGATTTCAACGAAGTTGTGATGAAGCCATGGACCTCGTTTGTCAGGAATTTGTGTGGTACGTGTTTGACTTTGAGAGTTGACGGGCGCCTGACACAAGTTCATGCCAAAAGGGGAAAGTGGTGCCCAGGTTCCAGCCTCGGAAGGGAGCACACTTGAACACGTGCCCAATCAGGGTTCCGTTGGTCCACCTTCCCCATCGTCTCGCTCCCCAATCCCTCGCCCTCCGATCCCTCAGGAAGGGCTTGTTGGTAACAGGCACAGAACGCCTCAGATGGCCCAACTGGAGGGTGGCACTGATGGTACGGCAAGAACCCCCACTCCCACCCCTCCGTCTGGCGATGGCAGCGAAAACGTCTCCCCTCGACATTCTGAGGGTGAAGCGGCACAGGCTGAGCCACAAGCCTCGAACTCACCACCACCTGAGAACGCTCCCAGCAGCACATCTGGAGGTCGAGAGGATGGGCCAGTTCGTGCCGAACCACAACTCCCTCATTCCAGCTCACCACCACCTGCCGGCTCACCACCACCTGCCGGCTCACCACCACCTGCCGGCTCACCACCACCAGCCCGCTCACCACCACCTGAAAATACAAATGACGGACGGAGGAGTCCTTCCCACGACGCAACCATTGAGCACAACACGACACTTCGGGCTTCACAGGGCCTCCGCCCAGATTCATGGCTTCAACAAGCTCTCAAACGTCTACAAGCCACCGAGGGACCTGATTGGCGTGAAGCGGTAGACCTGTGGGAGGGTATTGAGAGAAATCAGCTCGAGAAAGCTCAACCTGAGGGCACCAAGGTACGTGATTGTATCCTCAACCTCCATGAACCCGGCTCACAAACTCGACAGCAACGCTTCTCCACTGTGAACCGCCCCCCTCAGATCGCACGATGGTTCGCCTATGGGCGAAACTTTACTACTGATCCCGACATCTCTGATATAGCACAGTACGAGCAGGAGCTGCTCACCTGGTGGGCGTATCTTCAGCCGGAATGGCGTACTTCGACAGACCCCCTACTGCTTCCTTTGTATCACACGCCGGAGGGCCAGAATTGGAGTGTCCTCAAGGTTACAGGGTCTAACGGACTCCTGATCGTCATGATGGCTTTCGCGTGGTGGGGTAAGGCCGTCGGCCTGTCTCCCTTATGGCTTACTGCCACAGCCGACTTGAAGCACACCTTGAAGGCCCTAGCAAACCTCTGCGAGGAGACGGGTTCTGTACCCCGGTGCGTACCCCATATTAATGGTAACGTATTTTGTTTATACAGATCCCCGCAGGCGTTCAACTATCAAGGAGCGCAGAGGTGCTGGCACTAACATTGGAAAAGAAAACTCCACCTTGGCCGGCCGACGCCGCAAACAAGCAGAGGCTGCCCCTCTTGCTCGTGTCTCTAGCAAGCGCCGCAAACAAGCAGACCCTCCGACTGTCCCTCCCACTCGCATCACACGTAGCTCCGCTGTGTGTGCTTCCAACAGTCGTCGCTAGTAGTTACAGCTTTGTTATGTATCATTCGTCAATGTTAAAAACCTTTCTTGTTCATTAACGTGAGATTTGCGAACTTAACGAGATGATCGACTGAACTGAGGGACTTGGAGAAACTTAGTTAGTGCAGGTATAAGACTTAGCATTTCTCATGTATGGGACTTAGCAAATTAGCCAAGGGTTGGAGAATGGACTTAGCAGAAGCCTATGAGTCTCATGATATTTTGTGAAGGAGATTGCAGTATGTGCACATGTTTTATTGTGATCTCAAGACATGTATTACTGCTCGCAGGTCCACAAAGTGGACGATGGGATGGTAGACGGATTGGGGACAAATGTGATAGAAGAATCTACTATCTCACAATACTATCTCACAACAGGACTGACCGTGGAAGCCTGATTATGCCAATCATTTACAAGATTGATTTGGAAGGCGCGGAGCATGAAATCCACTCAAAAAGGAAGGTGGCCGAGTTTTGACGCCCGGCAAGGGCACAGCCACTGCCACTGAGTGGTATTCCACGGTTGTCACCAGTGGCAGTTTACCACAATGGTGTACCACCGGGTGGTGCACTACTGCCACTGTGTTGTATACAACAGTCACAGTACTGCCTGCTGAGATGCGGAGAGAGGAAGGCCGAATGGTTGAGATGCGATGGTCGAAGTACTGAAGATCGAATTGAGGAAATGTTCCTCAATCGCAGTGGGCGGCCGTGCGTCGTGTATTCGTGGTTCTCGAGGGTCATCGTCAAGTTTGATACTCATATCACTGCTGGTAGAGTCTCGTCGACTTCCAGGACGCGTAGGTGAATATACAGCGGCGGTAGAGTCGGCTATGGAAGCCCCATCGTTATTATCGTCTTGCTTATCATTCTTCTTCGACAGAATAGCCGCGTAATCTGGTAGTTCACCACGAATTAGACGGTCTACAGGTATGTCAAAGATAGGCCACTGACTGAGATTTATTTCTTCTTGACTATCAGGTACTTCGTCGTCGTCAGAATCTTCGATGATAATGGGTCGGGGAATGCGTAAACGAGGGCTGCCAATTCCGAGACGAGTGGCAACGGGGTTAGCGGCGTGCTGGACTCCTTCGGAGGGGTGCTCCATACGAGGTGTAACAAATGTGTAGAATAAATGACCATGTTGAATGGGAGCTCGATATTCGTTTCGAAGCGTCTGGGAGACAATGGATGCGTTCAGCATCACTCCCTGTTGAACCAGGAGGGAGTCCATGCCCATACTGGATAGTTTGATCATGTTGTTCGACGACATGATCGAAATTACGTGATCGTCCAAAGGTCGATTGGTGTATGCTTGAGCAGCTTCGTCGATGAGTTGCGCATAATAATGTGCATCTCGAAACGACGTACGCATGCTGGGAAGACTGCTAGGGTTCCAGTAACGGACTAGATGATTCGGGGTGGGCGGCCAATCAGTAATCGTGGCTGCGAGACGTGTGAGAGCCTCAGAAGACGGTGTGTCAATCGTGGGGTCGATCATGGGGTAGTCCTCGTGGCCGGGGACAGCGTGAAGCGACCCGGTGTACAAGACAACCGGTAGATCTGGCATGTCGATTTGATCAAAAGAAGATGTGGTGCGAGATTTATGAGATGGCTTAGAATGCGAGGTGTAGAATGAGGAGATCTTGCTGTTTCTGCCTCGTATATATACAAAATAATTGCCTATAAATTCTAGAAGCTTTGTGAGTAGTCGCGCAATAGCATATACTAGCTGCGGGAGGCTTGGTATTGCGAAAGCAATGGTTAAAATTAAAACTAGAACTGGATTACACCATAATACTACCTTATGGAATAATTCCACTGATTCTTTAAGTGAAATCTCCCACTTCTGGGGCGTACCATGCGGTCTACAATTCTCCAGGTCTACTTCCATACTATCGGAGTAGTTTTGTGAGGGATACAGAAGTCGATGGTTGTTACTATACCTAATATCATTGTTGTCTTGGTTTTCTGAGGTTAGAAGACGGTCTATCTTTCCAGAATCTTCGTCATAAGCCTGGACATTGAGTGTATAAGCCTCTGGAAGAGTCTCAGAATTTTCTAGATTATCCTCAGCCTCAGATTCTGTGTCAGAATCGAAAAACGAGTCATAGGGGTCCTCCTGATAGGGGAAAGGGGTCATCGAGGCTAGCAATGAAGTCTCTATATGTGCTGGACGAGTTGCTGTTGGCAATTCTAACTTTCTACCAGGTCTTCCTTGTGTTGGAAAAACTAGGTAGGCTCCTGTTTCTCTTTGTTCAATGCTAACTTGATTCTCTACTTGCCACGGTCTGCCTAATAATGCTTGGAATGGTACATTTTCACCAATATAGAAGTCTGTGATAGTTTCTATATCACCGTTCCGTAAGCGAACTCCACGGATAAGTCCTTTAAGTTCTTTTGCACCACTACTAGCCACAATAATTTGTCTTACTGTGTCTGGTTCAATGGGTGATCTAATAAAATCAGGTACGAGGTCAGCGTTTATGATATTAAGCTGTGATCCCGTATCTATAATTGATTCTATTGGTATAGTACTACCATCACAGCTCCATTGAGTGTAGATTAAGTTACCGGCGGCGGTAGCATTACTATTCTGTAAGTGTACCTGAACGGGTAAAGATGGCGGCGCAACCGAGGTACTAGATCCTATAAGATGAATTTTAGAGTTTTGAGTTATTGATGGCCAGGCTTGATTCCTAATTGGTGATATTTTAGGTTTGCTTCCGCTTAGCTCCTGATTTGGGAGATTTTCCATCAGCGGTGTTACCAGGTTAGATCCGGTTCCCGATTTGGGATTCCTTCTTTTCAGCTGTTCCGAAAACGCATCTGAGAGTTCCTTTGATGCTCCCAGTAACTTACTAAGAGGAACATGGACTGTTATATCTAGTACTTCCCGTATCATTTTCTGTATATCTGTCTGAAGAGATAACTCTGATTGCCGGGGCTGTGTTTTCTGTCATGGGGAATCCTGAGGTGCCGGTTTCAATACTGTTGGTGAGCTTTCCGTCTGAGTCAGATCCTTCATGACAGTGTCCTCATTAGCGGTTGGGCGTACACAAGGTGTCCTGACATCAATAGGCTTGACTACAGGTAAATTTGCTGGCCGAAATGTTGTCTGTGTCCTTGACTGATTGATACTTGGCGGTCTTGATCGAGTATTCATAGAAGGTGTATTGTCCTTATTCACATGTGGTGAGGCCGTAGGCTCTTCAATAGACTGACGTCTAGTAGAAGTAGTCTTTTTCTCCACTCTTTGTGCGGGATAAACAGCTGAAGATTGGACTGGGTAGGATTCATCAAAATCGTAATCATCCATATAGTCTTCTGACACATATTCTTCAGAGTCTAATGCTACAAAGTGTGACTGTAACGGCTGCTGACGTCTTTTTAAGACATCCACAAGAGGATCGTGAGGTCCAAAAGAAAGGACTGTTCCATCTCTTAGCGCGATTTTACCATTTCCGTTTCTAATTATTGTACCTGCTCTGAATAACTCAGTAGCCTTGGGACATCCTCTAATAGTGTGCCCAAGCTCTCCGCATATGTAGCACTTCATAGGCTCAGTGTTTCCTCCTGTAAGAGTAGGGGGTCTTGCGTTAACTGGAGTAGGCGGACGCGGTGCAGAATAATTAAAACTTTGAGGCTGATCTGCAAATGAAACTCTAGTGTGTGGTCTTCTAGTTGGCAGATGATTAAAGCCTGGTGGACTTATAATATCAACAACCATAGGATCCAATTTAATAGCCTTATAGTAGACTACAGCATATCCAGGATCTGAAATATCCATTTTACTCATTTGAGTAATAAGCTGTTCTACTTCCTCCTGACTTTCAGTGTCTTTGTAGGATTTAGAATGTCGACCATTTTTCCTGGACCTAGAAGACCTATTCTTCTTCTTATTTTCTACTTCAGAGTCACTATCATCTTTTCTAGATGACCTAGAACGAGATTTACGGTGTTCTCTATGTCTTTTAGATTTACGGCGGCGGTCGCTATCTGTAGAGTCATCATCAGAATCATCAGAGTCTGTCTGCGTATACCAATCTGGTCTCTCAGTATTAACTCCCATAAGACTATACTCAAACCGATTTCGTTCAAGCAAGCCTTCAGCTATACTAGATACTAAATCAATAGGATAAGCTCTCTTAGGAGTCAGAGTCGGATTGGTGGCAAATAACCGTATTTCTATATCTTGTCTAAATTTACGATGTATCCCTTGCCAAAAATATCCAGCTTCCATTTCTTTGGTAACTTTATCTTTGGACCTAAGCCAACCAGCTTTAGTAAGGAATTCACGTTGGTATTCTTTCCATGTTGCTAGATCAGTGATTTTAATATGTTGCCATTCTTCAGCTAGTTCTGCTAACTGGTCTGGTATATATCTAGTCTCATCAAGATCTGCATCATAGTATTTAAGTACATCCTTCTCTAATTGTGCCCATTGTCCACGTTGATAACTAGGTAGTGACTCTATGAATAATCTCACAGATCTACTACAATAATCAACAAGTCACTCGCACTTTTCTTGTGGATCAACTAGATTATAGGCTGCACAGAGACGGTTATACTTTCTGATAAACTGTTTGACCAAATCAAAATCTCCTTTAAAACGTGTAGGAGCAGCTTTCTCTCCTGGACCAGGCATCATGTCTGGCGATCTGCCTTTGGCATAATCATGACGTAAATGGGGAGGTTCATCACGGTGTAAACTAATATCAGATAGTTCTGTAAAGTTGGACTCCGGTGAGGAATCAATGGTACGAGTTGGTTCTCTCATTTGAGAGAAATCGATATTCTGATGGGGAGTAGGGAAGTTAAAAGGATTGGCGGATGTTGAAGGAACGGGGTTGGATGACATAGTAATGTCTTTGAATGTCGATATGGAATGAAATGACGAAGCCAAGATTAACAAAGGTAATCCTCTGTCCTGCGGTGGTCACCAAATTCTTGTCACACTCAGTGGGGTTTTCACTAAATGCTTTGGATGTAGTTGGATCAGTCAAGATAGATCAAACAGTCACCCAAGTTGTGCAGGCTGAGAGGTGTGTTATTGATAATAATAGCTTTGGAAACTATACTACCAAGTAGTACAGATAGGGGAAATAGGAGTGGAAAGGGGTAGAAGGGTCGGAAGGAAAGAAAGAAGTGTAGGGTAAAACACTTCACAACACGTTAGTATGAACTACTCAACAAGTGAATAATACGTAGGTAAACACAAACAAATAGTAACTGACTGAGACAAGTAGCACTGAGACGAAGGAATATTCCTGACTGAGTATACTAGCAATGCTTCAATAATACAAAACTGCGATACGACAATTCAACTGAAATATGAAGCTCTAGATCAGACGTTTCTGCTAGATCACTTCCGATATTATTACTAAACACCTATAGAATCGTTCTATAGTCTAATGCTTAGCCAGCAACGGTCTATATGAATTCAATACGACTGGGGAGCAATCACTAAAGTATAAAGACTTAGGTGTACACAAGACACGTAATCTTATTTCTCTAGCAGGGGTTTCACAGGTCGAAGCACTCAATTATCAACTAATCAAGTCTATTCTTTACTATGTAACCTACAGTAATACTCTACTTAATAAGAAGTAGGTACTGCAAAAGAAAAGGAGGGAAGAGGATGGGAAATGAGGGCAGGAGAAAGAAAGATGGTAAAAAGTCTCTTTTTCTATCTACTACAATTTGGGGTTTATATAGACTACAGAGGAAAGGAGGCAGTGCAATGCCAAGCATTTCAAGGCTGTGCTGAATCTCTGAATGACTCATATTTCAGCAGGAGTAAGCCAATGATTTGTAATGGCCAAGCCAAAGCTTAGTAAGTTAAGGCTTGCTGCTTAGTAAGTACAGTTTTCCGTTACATCCTGGAAAGTTCTATAAACTTCTCAGACATTCTACTATGTTCTTGTATGTCTGTCAAGTTATTTGAGCTTTTCATGAACAAGATCTAATGTCACTTTGATAAGTATTTGCAAAATACTAGAAGGTTCCGTAAAGTGCTTCAACTTTCCGTACAGTTCTTGTCATTTCCGCAATCTTTACTTGTCATGTAACATAGTGATTTAAGACTTGTTGACTTACTAGGATGTTGGAATATTAATTAGGGGTCCCAGGAGTAAATAGTGGAAAGTAGGAAATAATGTCTATGATCGTTATATGAGGTCCGTTTGACTTGACTCAATTTGCAAGTGTATGCCTTGGTTTTATAGTAGCGTATGAAATAGCTACAAAACCCTAATATCCATGTCACTTACTACAAATCCCAATTTGGAGTATGACACCGGTTCCCACGCATTGGGGACCACCCATAGACACTGCCAACACCCATGGGGACAACTCAGGTCATCATGGGATGACTGATGTTGATAGCATTGCTAAAAGTGCACAAGCACTGTTTAGCAATCTATACATACATTACAAGTGCACGACTCCCACGGTCAATGCAACGTTCCCACGTTCAGCGCCCCATTAGTAGGTCTGTTGACCTCTATTGTGACGGCCGGAACAGGCACCGGAACGCCTCAGTCTCCGCAGGGAAGCAAAAGCAGCAAAAATGAAACATGGAGCCATCATTAGAATGATGTCTGGCATGTTCCCAAGCTGCTCCGGAGCTAATCAAATTTGGATGTGATTTAGTGAACACCAATATTCACGCCTCGCGCAGAACAGTACCCGTGGGAACCTGGGATGGTCATTTTCCTTACATGTCTAGAGTGATAGACACAAAGAGTCAATAGAGCGCAAATCATTACATATTATTGATGTAAGGGGACATCTCTATTTTCTCCTATTCCCCTGTCCCTTTCCCTTCCTCCTTGTTCCTTTCTCTTTTCCTTCATCCCACGGACTCTTACATACCTCCCTTTCGTTCCCTTTCCTTTCCACTTCCTTTCCACCCACTCCCTTCACATCCAAGTCATGTCCAGTGACTCCGAAGCCTTCCCGCACTTCGGACTTGCTCGGACACTTCGGACCCGCTCGGACTCGTCTATACACTTTGGGGCTCGTCCGGGTTACCTCTGTCCTCTTTCCTCACTTCATTACTCTTCGCCCTTACTTCCCCAGGTCACTGGCATGACTTCTGTACATTTTCCTTCCACTCCATTATCACATGTTTCCTTGTACCTTGTGATATTTGTTCGGACTTATGGCTGGTGTACTGTACAGTTATCCTGCATTCCTCTCACGCTACTACAGTACATATATACTTCGCTTCCTAGCATGGAGAATCCCTATCCTGTTCTCTTTGGATTCTCCCTCTGCTAGGTGAGCAGCTCTCTCATGTATTGTAGTTAGTCTTATTCATATCTTTGGATTCTCCCTCTGCTAGGCCTGCGCTGTTGGCCATCTTGAGGTTGCCCTTACAATTGATTGATTGCATCAACACATCATTAGTGATTGTTACCAAGGCAATTACAGTGCATTAGGACACTTCTACAAGCTTCTGATCAAACTATAATAGCCTAAAGTTTAACACAAGTGTCATAACACATGTAGCTGAGCTAATTGTTCCATGGAAAGCAATTAGAATGTGGCATGTAGTTAGACATGAGGACGTAGCATGTAACATAGTATATAAGTGACCCAATAAACACCCAGGAATGTTAACTTGTTCTCTTGGAAATACTGCTAATACTAGTGCCTAAGTCATTGTCTTCAACCTCCTCTTACTACTTCTCTTTATCAACCACCTACTCCAATTCTTGTTGGGTCCGCATACACTCTTGTAGTGTATTAGTGGTGCCCTAACATTATCTTACTAAGGTATTGTAATTGTGATTAGTAAAATGACATATTATGCATGTTTATATAAGATAGTGAGAAAAGATAAGAAACAAACCAGATCATAACAATATTAATATCAGAATCAGCATACTTAATATGGAAGCTATGATGTGAGAGGGTAATATAAAATGAAAATGTGCCCTTCATCACCCAGGAAGTAAACAACAGGTGGATCACCACTAGACCTAGACAGGAAAATGACAAATGAGCGCCTAGGAAAACACAAGATCCAATCCAAAGTTATCCTTCAAATGTGGAAGGGTGCCCTTGACGGAAAGAAAAACCTACCAAGGAACTGGACAAAGCTAAACAGGGTTTTAGTGGGTATTAAGCCGAGGCAGAGCCAGGAGGGGGAGTAGGCGAAGCAGCAAGACCGGCTTGAAGTCCCACACTTTGTGCGTAAAAGCATTTCCTCATGATTACATCTAATTATCCCTGGGGAAACTTTCCCGGGGGCAACAGCGGGCAGGGAAACTCTGGCACTGACGGAAGACAACTGCTACCTAACACTCAACCAAAAAAAATTAAAACAAAAAAAATTAAACCATCCTCCCACTTTGGAGAAAATTAGGTTATTTATATGTTTGACTATTCCAAGCATCTCTAAACATTACGGTATTCAAACGCTGGATTGCCTGGCTCCGATGAGTCAATAATACTCTTCGTATACCCTGCCTCATCTGTATGCTTCAAAGCATCTTCCACCGAGATGACTTCGACATCTACTAAATTCAACGATTTTTTGAAGTATAGGGCGATTTCCTTTAGCACCGCAATCTCCGAGAAGGGTAGTGTCCGTCGGAATGCTGCCTGGGCACCAAATTGGGCCATTCGTTTCTGCGTTAATATTGAGTAAGTAGCTATTGGCCCAGCATAAAACGGACGATACCTTGAAAGCCTGGATAAAAGGCATAGCTCGCTTATCCTTGATGAAACCCCTCTCAGTCAGCAGCTTCTTCACTTTAGTGTCGTCCACCTTGTTGACTTCCTCAGAGTACGCCTCCTTTACAATGGCTACGCAAGCATCTTGCCACTCTGGGAAGGCCGTGGCGACGTAGATACGGACACTCTTCGCCTTCTTCGGATCAAATATAGGTGGACTGCTAGATTTTCCCTTAGTCCGACTCATCATTTTAACGAGGGCAACTTCAGCATCGCGGATGGTCTTGATCAATCCTCGCATGTATTGTCCACTTTCAATGATGGAGGGGTCGATGGGCTCCGATGGTGTGGGCCAAAGGGCTTGTTGGATGGAATTTGGGGACTTGAGGGTGGTAGAATAGATGTGTTCGGCGAAGTGAGGAGCGATGGGTGCCGCGAGGAGAGAAGCGATACGGATCCAGTACATCACCAAATCGGCGTGCATACCAATGTCCTGAGTGACTTCTCTGTACCAATCACGGGAGGTTTGCAACTCGTAAAAGCCATACTTCAGCGCATCTTTGTAGTTGGTACTGTAAAGGGTAGGCACATATATCAATGTAAATGGAGGCCGGAGTTGAAAGCAGGACTGACGCTTCGTAGTGGCTTTGCGTAATGTTGATCAAGTCGTTGATTTCGTGCTCGAAGACTTTATCGTGATACGAATCCTTGGGGCCATGTCGTAGGTTGTCTTTATCCTTGACCATCTCCTAATATCGATCCGTCTGGTTCAAAATGCAACGAATATAAGACGGAGTCAAGACTACCCACATCACACCAGCCAATCAGAGTATGCACTCTCAGAATATTGGCATTGGCCGTCTTTTCGTCAAAGTTTGCATCTTCAACTCCATCGCCTGCGTCAGCCAAGCTCAGCCTTGTCGCATCGGCACCGAACTTTTGTATAGCCTCCTTCAGCGTCAAGGAATTGCCTGTGCTCTTGCTCATCTTCTTTCCATTCAGCAAGAGGTGACCGTTCGTGCGCATACTAAGTGGCCATTTGTCTTCAGGGAAGATAGCGACATGATTGTACAAAGCGAAAGTCAAGTGGTTGGGTACAAGATCCTTGGCTGAGGAGCGGATGTCGAAGGGGTAGAAGTACTCATATTCGTGTTTAAGTGCATTGGCTTTCTCGATGGGTATCGGAGCTGGGTCGGGGAAGGGTCCATTGCAGAAGATGTATTCCCAAACCTCGTCCGTCATCTGATCGGCTGTGATACCCAAGGGTCCAGGCTTACTGCCGTCTATGCTTCCCTCTATATACGGTGGTAAGGAGGAGTACATTCCGAGCACGAGAGACTCACCATGCAGGAGCTGAGCAACAGTATAATATGACATATAGATGGTAGAATCACTGAGCGATTCGACCAAAAATTGGGGATCCCAAGGAAGGACTGAACCCAACCCATACGTTCTCGCGCAGGCCCATTGATTGAGCCACGCCAAAGTTTTCTCAAACGAGTGCCTCGTCTCTGGTGAATACAGCTGCATCTTCTTCAGCAAGCTGGTCAGTGAAGTTAGAGGTTAGAGATCGAAACATCGTCAAGGACAATCTGCGTACCCCTCGACTTGCGCTCTCCAATGCTCCTCGCCATAGTTCAAATACCACTGATCCATCAAAGCAACAACACACTCGTCCGCACTTCGACTTATGACCAACCCTTCAGGCTCAGCGTATGCAAACGCATCTCCTGCATCGATCATACTCTTCCTGACTTTGGGCTTCGCATCCACGACGCTCTCGCCTTTGAATTCCCCGACGAGCATGACGCCGTTATAGAACCCTTCTTTGTAAGCCAGCTCCTTGGCCTCCGCCAGCTGCTTAGTATCCTTCTGCGATTGGATTTTCAGCTGTTTGACAATAGCAGGTGCAGTAAGCTCGCCATAAGCTAGGGTCTTGATGACAGGAACGGGGTCTATCGCTGCCCATGCGGGCTGAATTTTGTAGAACTCGGGTTTCTTGCGTAGATCGGTGAGGGTTTGGAAATCATCAGGAGAGTCGGATGGCACAGATGTGACCACACCGGTGCCCTGATACAAAAGCTGTTAATCCGGACGGTGAAATTTATGTTTGTTTACGAACCTTGGTGGCTAGAACGTTATCCATTGGCAAGACGTAGACCTCTGGATTGATAGCAAATGGCGCTTTGATCTTCGTGCCAACCAGTTTCGAACCATCTATTTCGGCCAATTGTTGGATCTGGCCGCGAGGGGAAAACACTCCCTGGTATGTCATATTACGCGCCGCACGGTAAGTGCACAAGTACGCCTCCTTGTCGCTGACGGCGAAGACGCCATACTTGATGGCCGTACCAACAAAACAGTTCGTCTGGCCGTACCTAAGATACTTGTGCGATCAGTAGATTTCCAAGTCAGAACAAGCACGGAACACACATAGTTTCTGGTCGCAGAGTAGCTGCAACCAAGAAAATATCTCTCCCCCCGGTCTGTGACTCGATCTCGGACTTGGCTGCTGCACTCCATTCCAGAACGCGCATCTTTATCGCAGTGTATTCCTGAGGTCCAACTCCTTCCCCGTCCGAGCGATCGTGGTCCATGCAAGGTTGGCCATCTTTGGGACTGTAGATGGTGTAACGTTCGCCGAACTTGATCTTGCCTAGCCTGTGCAACTTGTTCACTTGCCACCGGACGAACGCGTCATAGTAAGGATTGGCTGGGGTGGTCAAGAAGCTACGTCGCCAGTCAATTCGTGCCCCGAACGAGTTGTTGTCTGCCTGTTCGAGCGTCAGAGAGGCATCGTGTTGAAACAAGAGGATACAGACCACGGCGATAGGTGGGAAGTAGGTCAACCAATACAGGGGATCGGCGAATTTCTTGATTTCTACCCTCGGAACGCCAATCGATTCCATGATCTGGAACTGGTAGGTGTGACCCGTTGCCTTTGCCTGTAGCTTGCCCTTCTTCGCTTTGGACTTGTCTTTCTCAGGAGCAGCGGCGACGTGTTCAACAGCAACAACAGATCCACGCGCCTCGTTAGTCTCTACGGTGGCTAAGGCGGCGTTTTGGTCTTCTGCATCCTGGTGAACTTCCTCGTACTTTTCGAAATCGGGGCCAAAGAGTTCCATCTCGCGAATGATTTTATCTGCAGACGCCTAAGTATAATATATTAGACGCATAACATAGTGCTGTGCCACGGACTGTACGCACCTTGATAGGCATTCCCGTAACGTGAAACCCGTGGGGGAATAAGACTCGTTTCCCCAGCATCCTCTGATACCCTGCGTTGAATTCGATCTTGGATATTGTAAAGGCATGTCCCAGATGAAGAGATCCATTCATGTAAGGATACGGAAAGTTGCCGAACCATTTGGGGAATTTCTCCTGGACCTCCGCCTTGGAAAGCCCAGCTATCTCGCCCGGAGACGGGGCCTTGACCTCGAAAAGTTTCTCCTTCTGCCAGCGCTCCTGGTACTGAACTTCGAGGCTTTTCAGAAAGTCTCGCTTGCCTGTCTGGAAGTAAATTAGGAAAAAAAAGGTGGCCACTAAATAAGAGCGGTAAACGCACTTGAGCTAGTTCCAATGTTTGCGACATCCTGGAAGTGTTGAGGTTGCGTCGCGTTAATAATGTACAAGGATTTCTAATCCTAATCGGATAAGCAAACGTTTTCAGAATCTTGAAAGTTACTATGCGGACTGGCCCATCGATATTCGGAAATCGATATCTGAAGCGGTTGAGAAAACAATTGCAGCGTGGTTAGCTATGAAGGACCATTATGACCGTGAAAACTATTTACTGACTGTGGGAACCCCTAGCGTGCTATGTCTTTAGACATGAACTTCGATCATCCTTCACTACTTATAGCACTTCCGGCTCGGGATACGTTACCGGACCAATGACCTTTCTCTTCAACGACCACAGCGTCCTCGTCGTACCATGCACGCCGCTACCGGATACCACAAACTTGACCGCTGATGTTATTTCTATCGGCGAGAACTTGTACAGAACTCGTTTAGGTCAAGGCCGACTCGGACTCCGTATAGCATCCGCAATACGCTCGGAGGGACCATCACTAATATGTTGGGTGCAGCCAGATATCAAGGTACTCCCTTTATATTACTTGATAGTTCCCAAAGCTCATTGAGTGAATAGACAGACGGCATATCAGTTCCTTCCGGCTGGCTTACGCAACATAACCAGATATTCTCCAAGTCTGCTTCAGGGATCTGCAACGTATCCATCTCTATCATCGAGCCTACACTAATCACAGAAGTATTCTTGACTGCATTATCTCTGGACGCACTTCAATTTTCTCGGGCTCATATAGGCGAGCTAGAAACATCGCTCACTCAGAAGTCCATGATACTTCGTCAATCCACGACGCATACAATCTCAGGCGCAATTATCGAGTCGTCTGGGTGGTCAAAGAGCAAGATTCTTCAGTACAGGCTTAATATGTTATCTCCAGTTGCCCAAGGGTATGCTGAGAAAGGCTTGACGCGTTTTATCGTCGCCTTCTCTGGAGACATTCCGGCAGAGCAAACTACAGCTACATCCAGTGACTCAGAGAATGAAAGTGATTCGGAAGGAATAGAGATCGATGAAGGTTTCCTCGCGGTGGGGTCTTCCAGTCCGCATCCATCCACTCTCGACCCTCTCTTTCGGGCTCAGCCACTATCACAAATCCAAGGAGATCATCCGGGGGACCATGTCCTGTATCTCAATGTCTCGGATTTTGGTAGGGTTGGCCTATTGAACGGTGACTGGGTTCGATGAACACTTATGATTACAAACGCCTCACAGAAACGCTCACTATATCTATTTAGGGTATCATCCATGCAGGCAATGTTTCCCGACGCCGTCTTGTGCGTTTCTATACCGATCCATCTGATTCGAGCCCGACGTGAGTGAATTTGATCTATCATCGCAATTCCTCACATCTCCAGTCAGAGGCGTCATTACAGGCGCGCCCATGCTCCTTTGCAACATCTCCGAAGGCTTCGATTACTCCACAAAGAGCTTCTCGCTACTTACAAGCCCATTCGGGTCACTCGAACCCAATATTCCCACTGCCAGAAGTGCGACCATAGCCCGAGTAGCGACACCAATCTCGACCGACCGCAGTTACCAAGCCTTGTTTCTCCTTGCCCTCAAACGGTATTTCGAAGGCAAGAAGAGGCTAGTCAAAGAAGGGGACTTGATTGCTCTAGAGATCGATACCGATCTGTCTTGGCGAATTGCTGACCCTCAGAAAACTGAGGTATCATCCCCCGACGATGACGAACCCTTATCTATGTAGGTGTTTCCTTCAATATGAGGACCGCCATCTGACTCAGCTCAAGTTATCCGTGTAGTCCGACACGGGCAAACGAAATAGTTTTCTTCATGATCACCCACATAGAGCACCCTGCAGTTACCAACGGCATCGACTCCCATGACGTTGCGTACGAATCGGCCGCTGGGGAGCTGGGCTTTTGGATAGATCCTACAATTACTAGGATAGTCCAAACAGGCTTGGAGCACACCCGTATACCCGACATTGGACTTTCTACCCTGGGTCAGTACTCCATGCACAAAGGGGTTGATCATGTATTCAAACTACCTAGGGGACCAAGGACCTAGATCCCTTCTTGCCACTATCAGCAAGCAGCACTCAGCCTTATTATCCGTCGGTAGTCCCTTTGATCAACTCCGTTCAATATTGTCAGCAACGTTCGCTGATTTCGCTGTGGATTATGATTTGGACTTGTCTGTATTGCTGCAGGGCGCCCGGGGAACGGGTAAATCGACCGTTGCGTCCTGGGCGGCACAACGCCTGGGCTTCAATATCCTCGAAGTCGGTTTCCTGCTTTATTCCGGTCAAGGAATTATAAATGATTTACATCGCCGCAGATAAATTGTTACAATCTACTCGGTGAGAACGACACGAAGACTGAGGGCATACTGCGCTCCCGTTTCGACAAAGCCATTCAATGTGCCCCATGTATACTCTTTCTAAAGCACACTGATGCTCTGGCGCAGACCACACAGGTCCTGGAAACTGGGAAAGGTTTGTCCTTCTTTCATGTCTGTAACGAGCATTTACACTTCTTCAGACCCAGCCATTGTAACTGCTTTAAAGGAATGTATGGAACAAGCGCAAGGCTCCTGGAGAACTACGAGTTTCCCTGTTGTCGTCTTGGGCACAACAAGTGAAGCGTCGAAAGTTCCTGGCTCCATTCTTGCATTGTTCAAACACCAGATATCCTTCGAGGTGCACCCAACGTTGACCTATACTAATGTGCTTGCCTAACAATTTTCGAAGGCGCCCAATGAAGCTGAAAGATATGAAATATTGAACGGTTTGTTAGATGGAGCAATTCTAGCACCAGATGTTTCTTTGGCCTCCATAGCAACACAAACGGCCGCTTTAGTTGCTTCTGATCTTGCTAGTCTTGTCGCTCGGGCTCGTCATGTCTCCTTGCAAAATTTACCTGTCACGTTCGTCGCATCATTCTTACTCACATTCGTTAGCTGAGCATCAAGTAGGCCGAACGCAGACCAGTCAAATATACCACTTACTGCCAGTGACTTTGATGTTGCATTAAACAAGGCTCGAGCCTCGTATTCCGACGCCATTGGTGCCCCACGGATACCAATGGTCACTTGGGACGACGTCGGCGGGCTTGCACATGTCAAGTCAGACATTCTAGACACTATTCAACTACCTCTTGAGCATCCTGAACTTTTCGCTGATGGTCTCAAGAAACGATCAGGTATGGCATCGCTGTTGGAACTACCCTTTGGTGCGGTCCTCACGATGCACAGGTATTCTCCTTTATGGACCGCCTGGCACCGGGAAAACATTGCTTGCCAAAGCCGTTGCTACCTCCTGCTCCCTCAACTTCTTCTCTGTCAAAGGTCCCGAGTTACTCAATATGTATATTGGCGAATCCGAAGCCAACGTTCGCAGAGTCTTCCAGAGAGCTAGAGACGCTAGACCTTGTGTCATATTCTTCGACGAACTAGACTCGGTTGCTCCGAAGCGAGGAAACCACGGAGATTCCGGAGGTGTTATGGACCGTATTGTCAGTCAGCTTCTTGCAGAGCTTGACGGGATGTCCTCTGGCAGGGGTGGTTCGGACGTCTTCGTTATCGGAGCAACGAATCGTCCAGACCTACTGGATCCAGCCCTCTTGCGACCTGGCAGGTGAGTGGATCATTCATTCAACACGTGTTGTCAAATTAACACTATGCAGATTTGACCGCATGCTTTACCTCGGTGTGAGCGATACACATGAAGCTCAGTCCAACATACTCGAGGCCTTGACGAGGAAGTTCCGACTACACCCTGACCTGAATCTGAAAGAAGTGGCGGAAAGATGTCCGTTCAACTATACTGGCGCAGACTTCTATGCCTTGTGTTCCGATGCCATGCTTGGTGCCATGTCGAGAAAAGCAGAGGAACTCGAAGCAGTTATCTGTAAGACAAACATTTTCTTGCCTTGTAGTCCTTGCGTAATCATTTCTCCTGCCAGCAAAATTGAACGAAGCACCAGGTCCACACTCCCACCCCTTCCCCTTAATACCTCAGTACTATCTTGCAGAGATGGCTACGCCGGAGGAGATCGACGTGCTCGTCACCAAAGAAGACTTCGACATTGCCCTCAAAAATCTAGTGCCCAGTGTCAGCCAATCTGAAATGGAGCACTACGCTCGTGTACAACAACGTTTCTCGCAAAAATCTGATGATTAGTACAAGAAGATACATACATACATATCATTACATGATATTGGGTAGACTAGCGATCCAAAACCACCTACTGGGATTGATTCCCATCTTCGTGAGCACTCCTTTGAGAGGCGCGAATGCTCCCAAGGCTGAGCCTGTCGGTAAGGACACCGGTCGGCCAATGATTTCGTGGCTGCCGTCCCCAGTGTTTGTTTAATAGGATTGAATAGATGATCAACACTTACCTGTATGCTAGTTTCCCATCAATCACTACCTCTACCCGCAAAATGGGCTCATCGGAGTTTCGCGTGTCCACCTCGATCACCGACCTACATGGAAGCTTAGTGGACAAACGTAAACAAACCGTAGCCCGGACATTACCATTTGTGATTTCCTTTGGGTAAATATTTCAGCACTCTCTCCTGTGGCACTTCCTCGACCACAGTCGTCGGCTCATCGCTGTCCTCCGTGAACGCAACCGGCACAAACCTCTTCACTTTCTCCAGACTTTCTGGAGCCAGCGTACGGAAGAACGGAACGTCAAACATATTCAACGGACTCGTCGAAAACTCGTACACGGGGTACCCATCCTCTGAGTTGAATTCGATTGCAGCAAATTCATGTCTGTCGCCGGAGAGGAATATGACGTTAGGGACGGAGTGAACCTTCTCGAGGAGTGCAGCCTTTTCTGTTCTGTACCCCGCCCAGGAATCCATCTGCGCGTCATGTCCCCAGAGGGAGGTAAAAGGGACTGAGGTGACGATGAACTTGAATGTCGCCGTATTGTTCACCTATAATTCGGGAAAATATTAATAGCGTGAATGAGAACGACGACAACCCGTGGCGAACCCTTCCTAACCAAGAGTACAATTCAACGAGTTGTTTGTCTCCCAGCATCGTAGGGACTTCGTCGCCCTCGTAGATGCCAGACCTATATCGGCGCGTGTCCATGACGAAAAAAGCAACATCGGCGTAGCGGAATTCGTAATGATGCTCGTGCGGCGTCGTATTATAATTGCCGTCTGCATTGTAGATCTTGAACGCGTCGGAGGCGCTGGGGAAGGGAGGCATAGAGTCGTTTCCTTTCCCAGCATAGTTATTTAGAATCTGTCGAAGTCAGTTGGATGTTAGAGAGGTGGAAGGATTTTGATATGTACTTCGTGATCGTCGTAGGCATGGAAGATAGCTACGAAGGCATGTCAGCAGGTCAAGAATATATTGGAGTATTGGAGCTTACGAAATTTCTCGTAGATTTTTCTGAAACTTGAACTTTGGTAATTGCGTCGGTAAAGTCGTCTGTACGCTTCTTTAGTGTCGCCAATAAATACAGGCACGTCGGCATATATGAAGTCTCCCAGGAAAAGCATGAACTCCATCGGAGACGGGAACGGCTTGGAAAGCGAAGTAATAGTGGTAGCGACATCTAGAAGGATGCGTGAGATTCACAAATCGGCGAAGGTGATGATGATACGTTGCATACCGTTTACACCGAGATAGTCGGCAAGTAGATCGAAGCCCTTGATTGTCCTCCCTTGCAGCGGGACGTACGGGAAATTAGGTATGATACACGACGTTACCGCAAATCGGAAGCGCGTAGCAGTTGTTAGCTGTGCGTCGGGGAAAGTACGGAATGGTATAGGATTCTGAGGATATTCAAGCAGCGTTCCGTTGTCCCAAGAAAGTCTATCTGCGGAAGATTAATGGTTCCGAGACGCAGCGATGTAAGAATTGCCTTCGTACATTCATATTTCGTCTTTGGCCATAGTCCTTTGAGTTGCACCGTGCTCACCCAGTCGTTCGCCTCTATCAACTTCAACTCAGGACCGGTCGTCCAATTCTTGAAGCCTCCCTGAGCCTCTCTCCATATTATATGCAATGACTGAGATTCCTCTTCAACCAGCGGATGCCGGACGGTAATTTTGACGCCATCAGGGTACACCGCTCCAATACGCGTAAACACGACGTCTTGTGCGGCGTCGAAGAATGGGTAGGCAACAAACTCTACTGCTGCTAGGAGCAAGAGCACATTTATGGCGGCATTAGCTAGTCTTAGGCCCCGAGATTGCGTGGGCAGAGATAGCACGATCGTTGTCAGAGCCCCCGCCGACTGGGGTGACTGCATGCACACAGGAGGCGTGAGTTCACATCACCCAGTGATGGAATAAAAAGAGGGGCTTACAGGTTGATCCTTGGCCTCCTTCTGCGACGTCTTATTCGTCTCTTTACTCCTCCCAGTTAACCAAAACGCCGATATCCATGCAATAAACAAAGTAGGGATAATCTGTTTGCCCAAGGTCGTTGGAATCTAGCAAACGTGGTTCAGGTTAAGAGTTTGCAGACTCAGCTGTCGGCGCACCACTCTAAGAAATATGAATATTGCAAGTCTGAAGAGAAGGGAGAACACGGTCTCCATGAGCTGCAGCGCCATTCTTGAAGTTGGCGGTAAGTGGTCAGGCAGAATATGCTTAGTCAGCACACCGAGGCCAAATCGAAAACCCAACACGATCGACCGTCGGTCCGAATTTCGTCCCGGTATCTCAAATGCATAAGCGTTTTCAAGTATGCAGGTACGCTCATCTATTGATTACTAGAGTATATCTATCAAGTAAAGTCCTGATTTAAAGTCGTGAATAAGTCATGATCAATAACCGGGATCTCCGCCCCTGCTCTCCTGCACCATTAATCCTTCAATACGCACAATACGCAACGCAAAGCAAAGGGAAGCCAGCGTAGAGGCCGATCCAGAAGACGACATTCCCCAGTAACTTGTTTTTCTTGATCACCGGGATCCTGCTAATCGCAATGAGCGGTATCTGCGCAAGCTAATCACCCGTTAAGCATCAACATTCAGTCAGTCACTGATGCTACTTAAACGTTGCGTACCTGCAGCAAGAACAAATACATCCTGATCTTCTGGGTAACAACAACCATGACGAGCTCGTGCGCACAGGCGCTCAGCAAGAACGTCACGATCATCGCGTTCCTTCTCGAGAGCTTGTAGCTCGTAATCGTCGAGGCGTACACGTGTCGCAGCAAGAAAGTGTGCACCGGCTTGTTCCATTTACGGGAGAACTCATCCCAGCTGGTCGAGTTCCACTTGTAACGCCGAGTTGGTTAAGCTTAAACACAACCGAAGAAGGATGAACGTACCCAGTCCTCATAGAAGCCACGATCAGCGAAACTACAATGAACATATCGTCAGCAAATAAACAGGACGTCGCCTATTAAGACCTATACGCACTAAGAGAGCTCTGCAAATCCGTTGCAAATACACTCTGTTGAGGAAGAAGCGAAAGGGTCAGCCTAAGCTTCTTCCCAATAACCCATTCACAACGTACCGAAAATAATGAAGAATAGCAGGAGATACGCCATCATGAACGGTATCGATAAGTCAAGTAAGGAGCGGAAGAAAGATTGCTCTTTCAATGTCGGCACATGCGGGAGTATGAATGTCTCCGTGACGGTGTACAGGAGTGCGAACGTGCCGAATGTAGCGACCTGTAAACACTCGGTACTCAATGCCGGGTCACAAATAAACACCTGACATCGGCACACGCACCGTCTTCTCAAAAACATAAAGCGGCCTAATTCTCTCCGTTCGCGGATACTCCAGCTCGTACACCAATGTCGGTACGAGCTGATACACCGCAAAGTTCTTCAGCGTAATATTCTCGGGCCACTTCACGGGATACGGTCCCCTCGTACTCAATTCAGTCCGCAGCTCCGTCAGATCAGCTGCCATTGCAGAGACCTCTTGGTCAGGATGGTCAACAAGGGGGTGAACGTGCAGCGCTTCTCCAGTCTGGGCGCCGGCTCCTTCTCCTCCACCCGTCGTCACTGTCGCGTTCCCAGTTTCCGAAGAGGATGATAGTGTTGTTCCATTCCCATTCCCCTGCTTCTCAGCAGCGACCAAGCGTTTGCGCAGGACCGACGCCGCCGACGCGTCCATATACGAAGACTGCATCCCTTCCGGGGCCAGCGGCGTCATCGACAACGGCGTCTCCTCGCGATCGCTCGTATTCGATGAATTCGTCGCCGTTGCGTTGTAGTCAATCTCTGCCCTGTGCGCCTTCGCGTCCGCGACCGCCTTCTCGTAGCCGCCTAGACGTGCTGTGCGCTTGCGCAGGTCTTCTTCGAGAATCTGCGCTTGGTCGTGTATATATTTGAGCTCGCCATTGACGGTCATGTAGGAGTGCATCTTCATCATCATGACGAGGGAATGCAGGGTCAAGAATCCCGATTGGACCCACGGCCACTGACTGCGACATTGGGTGAGACATGAATGTTCACCACACGCGGAACTGAGTAGCATTGTGGCTGACGCACCGGTTGAAGGTCCAGGTAACGGTCGTGAATAGGACAGTCGCCTGCAGCGTATGCTGGAGGATAATCCCCGTGTAGTAGTAGTTGATCCACCCCCTGCTTATCGCCTTCGTAAATGGCACACACAGTGCCGTGCTCGCGACAAGTACGGCGTCGGATATGGCAAGGGTGATGGCGTCGCGCGAGAACATTGTGGCGAAGTGGAGGTTGAGGATGTAGCCATTGGTTTCAAGAGAACGAATGTATGTGCTGATAGTAAAGAGGAATATGGACACCCAGAACAGCGAAAAGAAGCCCTAATGGACAAATGAGTACCGTCAGCTTCGCATTCATTAAAGCGAGTTAGCATCGAAGCATCCCGTCCCACTGCTGAGCCCTTCATTCATTTCGCGGTGTACAATCACTCACCCGAAATTCATTCTGCCCCGATGTCGCATTATTCGTATCGAACACAGACGTCCTCGGCGCAAATGTCACCAGCGCGCGAAGCTTCTTCGACGTCTTTGAGCGGAACGGCTTGGACACATATATAGTGCCCTCCGATGTTTTGAAACCGCCGCTATGAGTGCGTGTGTTCGCCGGTGCCGCATCGACGGGCATGGTCGTCTTGAATATTTATTGGTGGCTGGGGTGATGATGATGAAGGAGGTGAAAGAAATAAGGAAAGAGGGAACACCGCCGGCTCTTCCTCTCCAGGAGTTCAATGGAGCACTCGGCCTGATGATGATGAGAAAGTCACCTCGCACGTGCTGACTCTAATAAGACATCACGTGCCCATTTAGCGTCGCGGTTAATTAATTGGCGGTCGCGACTCGCGATCACCCTCGTAGCAAACATGGCAGACAGCGTTCAGGCCAAGTTGATTGTCACTGAAAGGTACGTTCAATAGTCGCGATGGTACCTATGTGTAGGCCGGTGCGACGTCCACCGAGAGGCTAAGCCCTTAGTTATAGGGCACTCTTAGTCCGTATGCATTTGTGAAAGATGGCACGAACTCAGCTATGGGAAACAATTCAAGCGAGCCCCTCTTCACTCTGGCGGCTGCTACGTATACGGTAGCTTGAGATATGATTACTGCCCGGCCGGCAGTGACCTTTGGGTCATGGGACGATGGCAAGGAGATCCATGTTTATGTCTTTTCCAATATCAACAAGGAGAAGATCGAAGCAGCACAGATCCCCCTCTGGAAAGCCATCGTCGCTGCTGCCGCACGCGCTTTGAATCTTCCCGCTGATGTTGCCTTGTAAGGCCTCCATGTACCCTAACATAAACACAAGTTTGATTGATCAGCCTGTGGTCCTTTGTAGCACGTTTTGAGATGATAAAAATATTTGATATCCTACAGTGTCACTAGATTTTGATACTTGGGGGCGCCGCCATACACTCTAAAGTCTCACTTGCTTGCACTGATTGCACTTAAACTCTACAGAAATTGAATGAAATATCACGTGCCAACTTATACGAGCGACGATCACCTGGCAGCAGCTCTTTACCTGAACTTGTATTTATCTCAAAGTCTGCATACCGTGCGCCAGCCTTCCTTTTTACTCTTTTTTTTTTACTTACCTGACCCCTCATTCCGCTTACGATCAGGGAACCCGTGCTCTGCAAGCCCTCGCGTGCCCGTTCGACGGTACTCTTCCCCTTTTCCTGAGGCCCCCCCCAGTCAGTCCCGCACTTTTTCTATATCCCCTGCGACCCATTTTTGATCCGTCAAAAGCTTCCTCCACCCCATCCCGCCCCCCATGGCGCACGCACTCATCCACGTCCTGCCCCCCGAAACCCTCTCCGAAATCTTTCTCTTCTGCCTCCCCTCGGACGACTTTGTCAAGATCAGCAACAAACACGCCCCACTCGTCCTCACCCTTGTCTGCTCTTACTGGCGGCGCGTTGCCATCGCCTCGCCCCAGCTCTGGTCCTCGCTGCTCGTGCACGACAAATTACGCACAGACACCTTCCCCCTTATCGATACCTGGCTCGCGCGCTCAGCAGACCGCCCCCTCAAGCTCGCGCTGATGCTCTACGACGGCGGCGAGCACCGCCGCTCCATCGCGCAGGGCCTCCTCAACCGCCTCGTCGTGCACGCCACCCGCTGGCAGGAGATCCACCTCCAGCTCCCGCGCAAAACCTACGCCATCCTCTTCAAGCGCCTCAAGAAAAAGTACCAGACGAAGCGGCGCCCGCTGCAGCTGCCCTTCCTCGAGACGGTCACGATCCACACGTCGAACGACGAGGGCCGCGGCGTCGGCGAGATGTTGTGCAGCGTCCTGCAGGCCGCGCCGCGCCTGCGCTCGCTGTTCTGGGCGGACTTTGGGTGCATGTCGTGCACGATCGACGTCCTCCCGCAGAGCGCGGGGCTCATGGAGCTCCTCCTCGACATGAACCTCACCGTCAACCAGGCTCTCTGCATCCTCAGCCACTGCCCCCAGCTGCGCGAGTGCACCTTCGGCGCGCTCCGCCTCTGCGACGCCGCCCCGCCCCCAGAATCGCCGCTCCTCCTCCCCCAGCTGTCCTCGCTCACGCTGCACACGTGCCAGGACCTCAGCGTCCTCTTCGACTACGTCACGCTCCCCGCGCTGCGCAGCTTGAGCATCCAGTACGTGGCGGACAACATGGAGGGGCACGCGTTCTTCACTGCGTGGCCTGTCGCGGAGTTTGCGGGCATGCTTTGGAGAAGCAGGTGCCCGCTCGAGTCCCTCCAGCTGCACGCGATCGGCATGGATGAGTGGGCCCTCATCCAGTCCCTCCAGCCCGTCGAGCACTCTCTCAAGCGCCTGCGCATCCGCAACTTTGGCCCCGCATCCGTGAAGGACCACCTCCTCCGCCTCTGGACGAACGCGCCCGCCATCGCCGACACACTCGACTCCAGCCGCCCTACTTCTCCCTTCCCCTCCCACTCCACCTCTTCCTCAACAGCAGCAGCCTTCTGCCCCAGCCTCGACATCCTCGAGCTGCACGAGTGCATCGACGCGTCCGCCGGCGTCCTTGCCGCCATGGTCGCCTCCCGCACGCACACCGTCGCCCTTCGCACTCTTGCGGACGCCACGCCCCTGCGCCACGTCGCCGTCTCCGGCGGCTGCATGGCGGACTACCGCGCGCTCTGGAAGATGAAGAAGGACGGCGCCCTGGTGCCTGACCTGCAGATGGACCTGCGCAGCTTCTGAGTCCCGAGAAGCCCCATGCTCGACATGAATTACGATTTACGCGCTATTTATTAGATACTTACATACACACGACCGGACCTCACCCCACGCACTTGTATCCTCTTTCTTCTTCTTTCCTCTGCGTCTCTCACTGCAGCCTGGACCCCGCATCTCCCAAGACTATCTATTCACCTATACATCGATATCCCGTAGACTCTCTGTTCTGTTCTGCTCGCATCTATGACCAACCATCCAACCCATCTCGCCAAATGGCAGTTGTTTACTTGATGATGTCCAATATCCCTACTTACCCGTAGATGAGTTTAAATAATGAAAGCAACGAATTGATTAATGAGGCGGCGACAACGCGTCTACGTCCGACTCGACTGCATGCCAATGTGGGGGCGGAAGAAGGACGTTGAATATTAATTATGAAAGACACTCTAGCTCGCAGGCATCTTCACGTACAAGCTCCCGCACGTAATACCAAACGCCTTCAGCCTCCCACCTGGTGCAAATTGCTCACATGGCACCGCAGAAAAGCTTCGAGCCCCTGCTCGCGCTTCTTCAGTTCTTCAGTGCATCCCAGAATCGGTGCCTCGACATACACTGTAGTCGCCTGACTAAAATCACAAACCAAGTTCAAGGCTCTAACATTCAATGTCCAAACGTCCAAACGTCCAGGGTGCAATGCCCATGCCCCCGGCTCACGCTTGGTTCGACGATGCCCTGGTCCGATTTGATGCTTTGATGATTTGGGGTATTCCTCTGGGTGGGGATGGTAGCGACCGAACGACGCAAACGGTTGTCAGTGTTAGCCCAAGCATTGAATAAGATAACATGTCTGCGGGAGTGCCGACCCGGGTTGGTGATTAAAGAGGGGGGCTAGCATTGACAGTGAATATAGGAACCCATAGATAGATGGTCGGGATCGTTCTGTCCAAAGACGAGAGCAAGATAGAAGGGGAGTGATGGGTGAGAAGGTTACAGAGGGGAAGAGCCTTGAGGGCTTGACTCGTGAATTGGGCTCGTTCTGCAGCGTCTCGCTTACCACTGGAGCAGAGTTTGGGCCTTATTTGCAATAGAAAGTGGGATAAAAAGGATACTGTAGTGGTGGACATGGGTTCTAATGTAACGACTTGATGTATTCCTATGAACGATTTCGCATCAGAAGGAAGGAGATAGGTGGTGGGCAAAGAACGCACCTGCTCCAAAAGTGCTATAGACTGCTTGAAGTTGCTGACTTGTTTCCAGCAGTCGAGAGGGGACGTTGGGTTGTTCCTTTAGATAATGAGAAGGATAGAGAGAAGGGAAGAGGAGAGAGGCGTACTGGTAGCACGATATGACGGCAGCGGAGGCCTGGCGTGCGGCGTCGACCTCTGCGGCATTCTGCTTCTGCTTCGACCTCTGAACTTTTTCCTGTATCTCGTCGAGATCGCCGAGTAGGGTCGGCCCACTCTTCACGCCTCCTTCGGCACCTTCCGCTCCGTCATCGAGTCGAGCTATAGCGCGCTCCTTATCCAGATTCTCCTTCTGGAGGGCGCGTTCGATCTGGGAGCGGACGTCCTCTTCCTCTGCGCGCAGGTGTGCTAGCTCTGCCTGGATGCGGGAGCGGACATGGTGGTCGAGGGTGGACTGGCGCTCGGGAGGGATTTCTGGAGCGGCTGCGTGGTCGGAGAGGTGGGAGACGACGGCGGGGGAGAACTGGAGCGGGATGAGTGTGAGTATGGGTAGGAGAGAGAGCTGGATACCTGGATTGAGGTCTCTGGGTGGTAGACCTTGTTGTCCGAGTCTACGCGTGATTGAGACCCGCCCATTTTTGTTGTGAGAATGGATTGGAGGACGGAGGGATGTCGCGGTCGGAGGTTGTTGGGTTGACACGTGATCCAAGGGGCGCCTGCTACTCATACAGACGTCATCGACATTGCAACTTCCCATTCTATTTAAAAGGAACACTGTTCATTACACTACCCGAGTCGTGTCCGTTGTTCTACACCATTCTACTTCTACAGCGTGCACTTCATTCATTATGCGTTGAGTCCGATGCTCACGATCACAGGGCCACCCCCTCCCCCGTCTGCGAATATGCCGACGTCGTCGTAGCCTGCGATATCCGGCTCCGCTCCCCCTCCCCCCCGCGCACCTCTCTCGCCTCTTCCCGCAGATGCCTCGAGCCCCTGCTCTGTCTCTGCTCCCCTCCCACATTCGAATACGAGGAACTGCGATTCATAGCAGCCTCAACTCCCACCCCCATCCGCGTGAACGCAGCCCGTATAAGGCTCGCAGGCGGCCGCGCGAGGTGCTCCTCTGCGCTCTCCGTCGAGTACCACGATGCCGAGCTCACCGTCGACGGCATGTGCAGCAAATTCCGCTCCCTCTCCCTCTCCTCTCGTTCCCCCTTCCCCTCCCCTTCACGATCACGCTCCCGCTGCAGCAGCGGCCGCGTCGTATCCCTCGATTCAAACGACGGCGTCGGCGACCCCAGCCCCGACCCAGAGTCGTAGCCCCAAGCGTCGGGGTTGATGCGCTTCGGCGGGCGCAGGGGCTTCAGTGGTTTCGGCAACGACGGTTGGGGTTTCGATGACGATGGAGTCGATGATACAAATGATTGTGCTTGGTATTGCGGTGGTCTTTGTCTCTCCAAATCCCCTCCCTTCAAGTTATTCTTGCCGTTGCTCGAGTTGCTCGAGTTCTTGCGGCCTCTCCCCGTGAACGTGACCCGGCTATTCGACGGTTTCACCGACACTGGGTGCGGAGGACCCGTTCCGCGCATAATCATCGGTGGACTCGACGGCGCGATGTTGTGCAGCGTATTGTTCTTCGTCGCTTCGACCCAGTACTACCATCCAAAAAAACAGTCAATGTCAGTACTAGTACTAGTATCAAACAATAAACACCCAAGTCATAAATCGAAGCATAACACACGAAACACGAATGCGAATAAAAGGTGACATACCGCTTTCTTGCTCTCCGCCTCGCGCCGCCGCTTCAGCGCGCGACTGCAATACGCCCACGCCATGATGATCGCGATCGCGAGCGCCATCCCCGCGAGGGTGCCCCCGACGATCACGTTGACGGGGAGCCCCGCACCCCCATTTGAGCGTCCATTCCCGTTTCCGGCCTCTGCATCTGAAGTAGGAGGTAAACTTGCACTCGAGGCCGAAGCCGAAGCTGCAGGCGAAGTGGCGGAGGCGCGGGTGCGGGTACGGGTGGCAGAGGCGGTTGCTGATCCGGACGTGGACGTGGACGTACTCGCCTCGCCGTCCGACGCTAATGTAGTCTGCCGCGCGACGAGGGGTCGAGGGAACATCTTCGTTCTACCGGTCAAGCTTCAGCTTCGCTTCAAGACAAGGACTCTGCACGCTTTGTACATCCAAGCAGCCTTTGACATATATATATTCCAGTGGGGCGCCGGGCACCACTCCCCGCAACATGAGGCCTTTGTACCTCACAAAGCGATCGCCCCATCACGACATCACGATTCGCAGACTGCAGCACGGCCAATATGGGATTCTATTGGAGCGAATCCTGACATATGCAAGGACGTGCACGGCCTCTGGGGTCGAGGCCGCGCACTGGCGAGGGGTGCCCTGGCCACGAGGCTCCGAATCCCTGAAGAACGCCTCGCAATCGTCACATAGGAAGTACTAGAACATGCATGCATGTTGGACTAGGAAATCGGGGGTCCAACCTACGACGGCAAATCTGCCAAATCGTTCACCCTACCTGCCTGCCTTGCCCTTTGCCCGCGAAGTCAAGGTCCCAACTCCAGCTCATCGATGCATCGAATTCGAAAAGCTAAGAATACAACATACAAGCCCCGACATCGACATCGACGTGGACACGAAGCCAAGATTGAGTTATACTTATACCTATCTATCCATCGACAGCATCCATCTCGGCAAGCACGGCTTCATTCAGTGCCTCAGCGTCGGCCATGACCTTGTCCTCCAGTGCCGAGACGCGTGCCTCAGCTTCCTGCCGCTCCGATTCCAGTTGCGCGTATTGCGCTTGCAGCGACCGCTCCCTCCTCTCCAGCCTCTCCACCTCCTCCTTCAGCGCCTCCACCCGCCGCGGGCCCACCGCGCCCTCATTCACCTTCAACCGCGAAAAGCTCTCATAGTCCACCTTCACCTTCTGGAACTCCTCAAACGCCTCCGTCATGCGCTTCGCCAGCGTCTTCGCGCGGGCCTGGTACCCGCCGAGAGTCACACCCAGCTTCTTCTCCAGTTTCGCGGATTTCGCAGCCTCCTTCGCCATCTTCTCGCGGCACTGGTTCAGCAGAACCGTATACCCGTCGATCCTCTGCTCAGGCGTGAGACTCGCGGGTTCCGTCCACTTGTTCTGGGCCGCATCGAAGACGAGCTGTTGCCTCACGCGTGCCCACGACGCGGATTCGTCCACGCCCTCCGTCTTGGCCAATGCCGCGAGCCCCTCCTTGAGCTGATCAGGATTAGCGTTCGGGAAGCCAACCATCGTCGCCAGCTCAAGATGGATCGTGACCCTGGCCGCGTCGATGTCATCATCGGCAGGCATATGGTACGCGGACTTGGTGGAACCGGGTTTTGATGAACCGGGCAGGGGGTGGGCAATTGAATCGTGTTGTAGAATATTAACAAGTTCCTCGTTGATAAGTTGCATTGTCTCTGCGGGTAGATCGTCGTCTTCTCCTATACTGAGATCATTCATGAGTTGCGCCATGTCAACATTGGCTGGGCGAGGTAAATTCCGTTGTACGGCCTGAGAACGTCTCGCCAGAGCCTTGCGTTCGTTCTCCTCCCTTATCCTCTGCAGTCGTGCATCCCGTTCAGCAGCGTCCTCCTCCGACATCGGGGTCTGCCCATCAACATCGCCATCGCCGTCTTCATCGTCAGGGACCAAAAGCTCAAAGTTATTCTCCGGTTTCGGCAGGTTCAGGAATCCCGCTTTCAGCGCGCGCTTGGCGGAGGATTCCCGCAGTTTTTGTTCCCTCGGTGTATCTCCAACGAAGGACGTTTGGTCCGCCGGATTGATGGAGAGATTGTCACGCATAGGCGTGCGCAAAGGTGTAGCGGAGATCCCCGCGCGCACTGTACGGGGGGTAGCGGCAACGTCGCCCGATTGCTCGGTATCGCGGGGGGTAGCCAGAGGGTTCGGGGTGAATGCAACTTGATGACGGGGGGTAGCGCTTTCGAATCCTGTGCCACCTCCAGGACCGATATGCAGAGGAGTATTCTCCTCGCCGAGCAGAGGGGTCTGCTGTATAGTCATGTTTCGTAGATTTCTGGCTTCCGTCAAGACATTGTCCTCTGTCGTAGTCAAACAGTGAGCTCATAGTCTGAGGGTAAAAGAATGAGTACTTACGCTGCGGTGCAGTCCTAGGTGTCCTTGCCATCCTCGCATTCTCCAAGCCCTCATATTCCGTCAACAACCTTCCACTTGCTTCACTCCCCCCATTCACCAAAGCCTTCGCACTCTCCCCAGCCTGCCCAATCTTCACAATATCCTCCAACTCCGACTCTCCCACCTGCGCCGCCGGCAACACCAGCTTCCTCCGCCTCCCAATCGACTCCGCCTCCTTCAGCTTCTGGATCTGCGCATCCCGTGCAGCCAAGAATTTTGTTTGGTGGGAGTTATCTCCGTTTTTCCCTTCGGCTGCTTTCTTTTGTCGCTTTCGCCGCTCGGCTTCTTCGTCGTCGGTTTTGCGCTTGTTTTCGAGGCGACGGAGGGACTGGCCGACGGGTGCAGACGTGATACGCGCTTGCTCTTCGGAGGTGTCGTAGAACCCAGGAGCGGCTTTCTTCTCGAAGGGTATATCTGCGTTGTACTATATGTGTATACTATGTTAGCTAGGCAATGAGAATTGTGTTGCCGAGCCACGCACGTCCATGCCCTTCTTTTTCGAGTTGTTGCGCATGTTCCCAGATCTGTGGCCAAGTCAGAGAGCCCAATCGCTGAAGTGTAGAGCATACTCACAAGACACCAGCTGCCTTCAATTCACGACGCTTCTGCAAGGCCGCCAACCTCCTTGCCTCCTCCAACTGACGCTCTCGGGCCTTCCGCTTAGCCTTCTTACCTTGGGTATTCGCAAGACGTGCACGAGCCTCGGACAACATTTCCTTCTCTAGAATCCATTCGTGAGTCGTAGTGCGCTTTTAGCATCAAATCCACGCACCGTCTTCGTCCATGTCAATGGGATCTGGACGTGCAGGTTTTGTCTCCGGGTCTGGGTCGATTTCACCAGGCCTCAGCCGACGCACATCATCCGCACTAGGTCCCGCATCCCCCTCTGGACCAGCCAGTCCCAACTCCTCGTTCTCCTTCGCCTCCGCCTCATCCAGCAGCTTCTGATACCGCTCCAAACACTGTGTGGCCGTCCGTCCGACAATGGGCGCTATTGTCCGCCATTGCGTTGGCATCAATTTTGCAAGGTGCAGAAGTTTTTCATCTTCCGTCTGCTTTCATGGTTGGAGCTGGTCATGGAGCGGGTGTGTATGAACGCGCACCTTCGACCACTCCGTCTTCTTGATAGACGGGTCAAGCCATTCATACCAACGCGCCTTGCATTGTTTCGGTGTCTTGCGAACCAAGAGGGAGGATATACGGGCCCTACAAAGGATCTTTTCAGCACAGACAAAACCTGCGTGGTAGCATGTTGCATACCATTGATTTTTGCCGTACTTGGCTATCGCAGCCTTGAGAACCTCATCCTCCGTGTTCTGGATGTTGAAAGTGTGAATGGGGATGCAGGCTAGATGGCGCAGACAAGGGACATTACCTTCCAGACCCCTAGAGAGCGTGTCAGAGCAATACAGCGAAGAAAGTGAAGCGCGCGCACCTCCTTTGATAATTATACGAACCATAGTCACAAGTGGAAGGAGATGAGCGTGGTGCTTAGGGTTAGGGCTTAGCAAGCAATCCTGTCCGTGGGAGAATGATGCTGAGGTAAGCCGGACAAAGACCTCACATGGGTCAGAACGCCGGAGTGTTTGTGCATGGTGTGGTCCGGCCTTCAAGGAACGGTGAGCCAGATGGCCGCAGCGTGACGCCGTCTGATGGAGGATGATGATAAATACAGCCGGGGCGACCGTGAAGCCAGTTCATTGTGGATATATTTAACGCCAAACCAGTCCTCCCGCCCATAAAAGGTCTGCGCTAATACCGGCATCTTGATATCGGCAATGCAACGGCATTAAATTTCGCCAACGTAACGCCACCCAGGAGGTTTGACCGGCATCACCCGCGGACAGAGATAGAGTTAAGAATGGCCGGAAGAATCTCACAGCTTGTTCGCTAGAAGGGACGCTTGCCTGATCGTTATTTTCTTTGCTCTGATACTGCATATCCTGCTGTATGCAATCCCAAGGAATGGCAGGCACAGGTCGCCAGCACAGGGATGGTCGTGACAAGGAACCAAAATGTGTATTTGGGGATGTTTGCGGAGGAAGGGAATAAAAAAGCTTGCCGGGTAGTTGCCGACCGATCGCAATTCAAACTGAGTTACCGCAGAAGGCCGAAGTTGTCTGGCTGAAAACCGACAACCTTGGTCCTTCTCTTATCCTTAAACCATCATCTTCGCCACTGTCTCCCCTCCTCGCCCCCTCCTCCTCATTGTACCCGTCGACGAGAATATCCTTCAAAATACCCGTGGCCAGCCAAAGTCGCGCGTTTACTGCCAAATTGTAGATTTCAACCCCCGGCCTTCACTTTATGCTTTGATAACCGCTTCTCCAGCTCAGCCTGCTCCGTTGAAAACCCGGTCTTCGATGGATCCACAGCAGTCCCTCCCCAACCCTGATGACAAGTCTGTTTACACTCCTTGTTCTCAGAATTCTCACCATCTCATCGCTGCTCACCATGTAGCTCGAAGCCAGTCCTACGTGGTGCTCGCGCGTGCACCGTCTGCCGTGCTGCCAAGGTAAGGTCTCCCCCTCAGCCGGATGACTATCACTCCACTAAGTGTGTACTCTGTATCGCCGTTCATTCGCACGACATCAGATGAAATGTGTTGGCGCCGAAGACGGCCAGAAGCAGTGCCAACGGTGTAAACGGGCTGGCCAAGAGTATGTATTTTGTTCGCCGTGTCTCCCACAAATCAATGTTGATATCAAAGGGATTCTCCGCTAGATGTGTATTCGAGAAGCACCGTCGTGGCCGTAAACCCGGTTCAAAGTACATTCTGAACTTCTTCCCACTCATCGAATTCCCTTTTAACATCGTTCTGTGTGTACAGGCTCTCAGAGGCCTCTAAAATGCTCCGTCGCCTGGAGAAGGGGCTGAACAGTGCGAAGCTCAAATCGCAATCCAACGAGGCTGCCCTCGCGGCTTCCTACCCTCCGAACGACTCCCGAAGTGAAGCCACCCACCCGCTCCGTCCTGATGAACGCCCGTTTCCTCAAACCCACTTCCCCTCCAACCAATTACCGCCGCTTAACTTACCAGCTTACCAGGCTAACGGGTATCCCAACTCCGCGTCGTCAGTGAGGCAAATGGAAATCGACGAGGAGGACGAGGACCGAAACGATGAAGGACTCTTCCCTGCCAAACTAATCAGAAAAGAAGAGAACCAACGTAACTCGTTCTTCCGGACCATCCTGAATCCGGAAGAGACCCCTGTAGCTGCGAGCAGCAACTCGAATCGACAATCACCATATGTTCCCCCGCCCCGCGCCACTCCTCCCAGCGGCTTGAACGACCCTGTTACCGCCGGCCTCATAGACGAGAAGGAGGCGCAAGTTTTATTCGATCTCATATTCCTACGCCTTAATCCTTTTATCAACCTCTTCGACCCGGAATTGCACTCTGTTTCTTATGTCCGCTCTCGCTGCCCATTCCTCTTCACCACGCTTATTATGGCCGGCTGCAAATTCTTCAAGCCCCAGTTATTTGACAAGTGTAAGCGCCTTGCTAACGAGTTCGCTGTTCGGGCCTTCGCCGAACAGTGGAAACGTGTAGAGGTGGTACAGGCATTCGCTTGCTTGACATACTGGAAGGACCCTGATGACACTGTGCGTTTCTTTCGTTCGATTCATGCTACAGTTTGTGTTGCTCACGTTGCCACAGCGAACCTGGATGTTTATTGGTTACGTGAGTCTCCATGTGTGTGAACCAATATTTCGGTTCGGTTTCTCATCTTCCTGTTAGGCTTGCCGCATGGCCATCGAGTTGGGGTTGAACCGTTATGTAGCCCGGCCACCACCCAACGAGACCGACATCCAGATGCTCGAGCGACGCAATCGGGAACGCACCTACCTCGTCTTGTGGGTGCATGACCGAAGCTTAAGTACCCAGACCGGTCGTCAGTACATGCTGCAAGAGGACGAACTTGTTAGACACTCCGAGACTTGGCACGAAGAGGGTGGTCGCGTCCCACGGCCTGAAGACGTTATTGTGGCGGCCATGGTTCAATTACGTCGTGTGGCAGTACGTTCGCAACATTGCGGTTTCCCGTATCCATCTCATTCGGTGACTAGTCGGAGACCACCGACATGTTTTATTCATCTAAAGGACCAGGCATCAACCACCAAGACGTAAATTACGACGTTGTCCTACACAACTGCAATGGGAAGCTCTCCTTATGGTCTGACGCATGGACTCGGGAGATGCACCGAGGTAAGTCTATGCCCCATTCTGACTCTAAATTCCCGGACTTAATAATTTCTCCAGCTCACGGGGAAACGTTCCATTTCTCCTTTTTGAATCTATTCCGCCTTGGTGTCCGTCTATTCTTGAACAGCTTCGGCATCTCCGCTGCGATGGCTCCAGTAAGTACTTTTGAAACGCCATACACACTGAAGTAAGGCTGATCTCGTGCCCAGGGGAGCCGTGCAAGTCCCAGCACGCAGGCACTATCGGTGTGTTTTGCAAGTGCATCGGACTCCTTGATCATCCTGTCAAAAGACTTTGCCTCAATGAGCATGCTTGTGGGTCCTCCATTCTTCTCCGTATAGCGAAATCCTTATCACTATCGTATCAGCGCTATGGTCAAGATTCAATAACTGTTATGTCTGCATATGCGGCTATTTTCTTGTTAAAGGCATGTGCTCCCTTGTTTGGCTTCTCACCGGAAAACTTACCCGTGTACCTATTAGCTTCTTCGCTCCCCCAACACGGTTGCCCTGCTTCCCGATGGCGCTGCAGAAGACAGTTGCGCACTCATCACCAGGACGGCGAATGCATACCATGAAGTCTCGACCTTGTCCCAGACGTCAACATTGGCGGCCTATCACTCACGGTTCCTGCACAGCTTGGTCGCAAGCAGTGAAATATCTAATTCATCCCGCCGAATGGAGAAGGAACGTTCCGACAATAGTATACAGATTGATCCTCGGCTCCAAGGTAAGAATTAACAGCTCGGCTGTCACCGCTTCGCCCCCAGCTTTGCTTAATTCTTTTTTGTGTTCAGGGAGTACTTCGTCGCATAGTTCCGTCCAGTCGTCCCCGCCGCAGATGCATTCACACCATCCGCCTAACTCTGCCGACCAGTCCTTCCATTTCCCTGCCTCACCTAATATTCCAGCTCATCCCACGCAGCAAAACCATTTCGCCGTCGACGGGACCTTGAGAGGCAGACATCCTTCGAACACGGCAGCGAACGTCTATGCTGGATCAAACTACTTCCCCGGGATGGTACCCCAACATGCATCTGAACTTGATGCCAACTATTGGAAACATATGTTGCTAGAGCTAGGAATGGGATACGGGGAACACGCCGAGACAACTGGGGACGCAAATGTGGACCAAGATCAGCGACACATGTCCGGACACCCAGAGCAGCCGCATCAGCAGTATCAGCATGCTATCCATCAAGGTCACCCCAGTCAAGGACATCAAGTGTCATACCAACACCTGCAAACCTCGCAGGGATACGATCATTAACTTCACTAGCTTTTATCACATTTGTATAATGCTCTCCCTCGCTTGTTGTACGTCGTACTTCGTATTCTGCAATGTCGATTAGCTGTGCATGTTCCTCTCACAATTGCCTAGTGTCGCAACTGTCATTTATCCACGAACCATGGTAGTTTAGTCTGGATGAGATGTAATCTATATTTATGAAATGAAAGATTGGCTCATTGTATTCACGAATCTACACCGATGGGAAAAATGGCCAATTCCGTGCCGACGGCCACCACCAAACGCGGAATGCCTGGGGCGGCCAGGAAATCGAAATCTCGGACGAAGTGCGGACGTGGCAGAATACTGAGAACCGTTGGCTGCGCATGAACGTAATTGATGTTATGCATGTGGATAACCGCGCCCTTAAGCGGCGATTGACTAGAAACAGCAAAATATTCCGGATATGTATGGCACCACCTATAAGACTCATCAGTACCCGAGACGGTGATCGCCATGGTTGTCCTCGTCTCTCGTACCTGAAACGGTGGGTGCCTTCGGGGAAGGTCGTCCCGCTCACTCGAGGCTTTCCGCCTTGTAATGTTGCCAGATCCCAGATGTGGAATTTAGGCCCGTAAGCAGCACCGATGCTAAGGAAATGAAATGCGTGTCAATATCATCAAAGAACGGCCACATAATTGGGCTCCTACATGTCCATCGCATCTCTCCGCCACCCGGCAGATCCGCTCCACTGGACTGATATCCCAGCAGAGCCATCAGCGAGTAGTGATGGTTCAGTGAGTTCCATGATGCTTGAATGGCGCCAGCTATCACGGTCCTTCTCGTCATTTTCTGACCGCCAGTCAGTGAGGAATATCGAGCCTCGGCAATCTGCCACAACCAATTCCTTGCTGGTCAGGGGGTGAGAACAAACTGATACCAGGGGGTGAGAGAAAGGGATGACGTAGGCCGTAGGCTGGGCTCGAGGCGGCGGGGTAGGCGAGTCGTCTCTGTCCATCGAACCAGAGCGAGAAGGCAGTTCGGTTGGCGGATAGAGGTCCCATATCATCAGCATCCTGTCATCTGAAGAGAATCATTGGTAAGAAAATCACAAAGAACTGCAATTGTGATACCCGAGACTGTCGCAACGTAACGCGAACTATCTTCTCCATGACCACCGCAGAATGTCATGTCGTCAATCTTGCCGTGGTGGCCGCTGATGCCTCCTGCAAAAGAATAGATATTTTCTGCATTAGACGACGTTTTCGTTAGGTGATGCAGCCTGAAATCGAAGCTCGCTGCGACAAGCCTAGTTCGGACGTTAGACATGTTATATATGACTACCAATGTAAGGAAACTCACTGTATACTCCAATCATCCCCTGCTCCCGGTGATATCGCATTAGATGCCCAGGCTAGAGCAGTAATTCTGGAGCCTATGTGAAACGAAGCAACAACTTCGCATTTTGATTCGGTCTGCAGAAACGCAATGTGAACAAACTATCGAAATTATGGAAACCAAAGTTAACTTTCAAGTCTGAGGACTTGGACTGAGTGCTCGCCTCCTATTGCGACTAGATCGCTTGCATCTTCGTTGCAGCAGGGCCTGACCACGTAAATGTTAGTTCCATGACTGAAGCGGAGATCCATGGTGACTGTCGTGGTTGATATTCAACTTCTCTTGAGGAGCGCGTCTGCCATTCTTAATGTTCTTTATTTTGATCTGTTGCGTGCAGCCAAATAGCATGACCGCGTCTGTGCACCTCTTGCCATGAGCGTCCACCCTCCAAATCGCAATAAAGCGCCAAATCCACTCGTATTCGCTGCGCTGTCTGTTCTGTCCTTTGCAGCATTCTACACAGTTATCAAGAAAAGGGAGAAGACCGCGCCAGCGTCTTCACAGCCAAGGCAATTTGACCACCCTCTCGTACCACCTCAACACAAGGAATCGAACCACTAATGCCAGCCTTCATTGACAAGATCGCTGGCGCACTTCATCTGAAGAAGGACGGCAACAGCAAGACGTCTGAAACGCCCGTAGCTCCTGCAGCTGGATCGCCCGTTTTCGACGCATCCAAAGTCACCGTCATCTTCGTTCTGGGAGGACCTGGCGCTGGTAAGGGAACACAATGTGCTTATCTCGTCAAGGACTTTGGTTTCTGCCATCTCTCTGGTACAGTCGGATCCCTACTTGCATATCAACCTATCTGCTTAATCACGTCAAGCTGGCGATCTTCTTCGAGCAGAGCAAGTGCGCGAAGGCTCTGAATACGGTGACCTGATCCGGACGTGTATCAAAGAGGGCACCATTGTTCCTATGGAAGTGACTGTGAAGTTGTTGGAGAACGCTATGCACGCTGCTCTCAAAGAGAGCCATGAGGGAGAAGGGTGGGCAGACGGCCACGGTCGGTTCCTCATCGACGGTTTCCCTCGCAAGATGGATCAAGCTGCCAAATTCGACAATGAGGTGAACACTATACCACTCTCCTTATCTCCTTGCATTTATGCGACGACCATAGGTTTGCCCGTCTTCCCTCGTTCTCTTTTTCACTACAACAGAGGAAGTTATGCTGGAACGCCTCCTTGAACGTGGCAAGACAAGCGGCCGGGAGGACGACAACGCAGAAAGCATTAAGAAGCGCTTCCGTGCGTCGGGCTGTCAGCTTTTCTAACCATATTCTTACCTGTTGTACCCAGAAACCTACAAGAATGAGACCATGCCTGTGATTGAGCACTATCAAGCACAGGGCAAGGTTGCAGAGGTAACGTGAGCCTTATAGTCTCGTGACAATGACTTAAACTCTTTGTGCAGATCGATAGCTCCGCTACCATTGATGAAGTTCATGCCAAGGCCAACGAGGTGATAGGGAAGATACTGGCCGGAAAGGCTCAGCCTTCGACAACGGAAGTGGAAGCTCAAGTTTAACATCGTTCTGAGTGCCCCTCCATTTGCCCTATATCTCAGTACTTATGGTGTTAGTCACGTAGTTATCATGCAGACACGATACTCAACCAATCTACAAATCTATCTACCACATCTACATGTAACTTAAGGACACAATGGCATTCACGCGTATATCGCAAATTGTTCGTTGTCAACTTGACTTCCTATCGAACACGACGCATGACCTCCTCTTTCGATCTGGGTGATATAACCATCGGTGCAAATCATATGAGCACGCTCGTCGTCCACAGCCTGTGTCGATCGTGAGTGCGCTAGCCGCTTTTGTGAAATGGAGACTGACCGGTATCCATTTCCAGCCCCCACATCTATAATATTCAACTGCTGCTTCCCCATTGCTATATCGAATATTCACATGGTCCCCACCACGATATGCACCAGTCATAGTACCCCACAAATGATTCACGTACTCCTTTCTACACTCTTCCGACTCAGATGTCGTGTCAGGATGGCGCAGAGGTCGCAAAACAACCACATCCAGACAAGCCTCGCTCGGGGGCAGCGACACCGCCAGCGGTGTTATTCTAAATGCCACCTCCAGTCGATCAACATTGACCGTCGAAAGGAAGTACGCAAATGGTCCCTCTAACTTTGTGGCACTTTCGGAGACCGTACGGAACAGTTTGGTCGAAGGGTCGTATATTTGTACGTCGCCCGAACCAGGGATCGGCGTAAACTCAGCGGTTGCATGGTACCATCTTGTCTGGTTTTGCTGAGCAGCCACTTTGAACCGCTCAATTCCCGGCATCTCCTTTCTGAGGCTCTCGGAGTCATATAGGATTGACGCGTGGAGCGCCGTCGAGACGACTACAGACGACAGCAATGGGTGCGGGTTTCGTTCGCCGCTCGCCGATACGGGCGTGGTGACAGCCACCGTGATGGGTTTGCGTGTTCCGCCACCGAGGTATGACTTGAGCGACCTGAGTCGGTCATGGGGGCCCTCTCCCTCGCCCGGCGGGAATACCGAGTAGTACAGGGCATTGGCTGTGCCACATGGGATCAATACGATCGAAACCTTGACATTTCTGCCTCCGTTGAGGGTCGTCGCTGAATTGATAATTTCATGCAACGTGCCATCTCCGGAGCCCAAAACGACAGTGATCTCTTGCACGCCTGCGTCGAGTGAGTCGATCAGCTCTTTCACGAGGGCCCCTGCGTGCCCAGCGTGTTCAGTTGAGAACTGTTTGAGTTGAGATTTCTTGTGTTGCGCCAGCAATGGGAAGACCTCGTCCTCGAAGACTTGCTTTGCTGTGCAGCCCCCAGCGACTGGATTGTAGACGGCTACTAGCATAGATAATGGTGGTCGGTGATGATGAGTAACCAAGTCGCGCAATAATATGGATTGATCTTATCTTATCGCTCAGGGTCAAGACCGCCGCATTTGCTCCATGGAACCACCTTTGAACTCAACCATGCCCTTCAAAGTCCCGCCAACCTTCAAGTCGTTTACATTGGCCCTAGTTCAGCTAGGAAACGTCGGCGCCAACAAATCCGATAATTTACGCCATGCACGGGAAATGGTGCTCAAAGCAGCCAGTAGGCGGGCAGATCAACAGAAACCAAGTATAATCGTACTCCCTGCATGCGTATAGCCCTCCTGTTCGTATATCTGCGCTAATTGATGGAATTAGGAGTGCTTTAACTCACCATACGGGCATGTCCACTTCCCGGTATATGCAGAGGAAATTGGATACACGCCCGGCACACCGTACGACATCGCGAAGAGCACGAGTGAGTCCGTCAAAATGCTCTCCGAAGTCGCGAAAGAAACGAAATCGTGGCTTATTGGTGGTATGCTCGCAGTCCACGAGTGAGATTCTTACTTGACTGTCGATCAGGCTCCATCCCCGAGAAAGATGACACCGACGGCAAGATATACAATACCTGCACCGTGTACTCTCCTGCTGGTGGGATATAGTACACGTAGAGATTACTCTCTTTCTCACCGGACATTCTTGACATTTAGGGGAACTCGTCTGCATGCATCGCAAAGTTCACCTATTCGATATAGACATTCCGGGAAAGATCACATTCAAGGTTCGAAAGATCTAGCATCTTCGCCGGCTCCACTCATTATGGCTAAGGAAAGCGAGACTCTCACCGGAGGGAAGTCGATGAACTTCTTTGACACTGGTAATGCACCTACCAATCTCAATGAGGCCCCTTTAATCTGTTTCCTTCTACTCTACAGAATTTGCACGTATCGGACTTGGGATTTGCTACGATGTTCGCTTCCCAGAGCTTGCGATGATCGCTGCCCGCAGAGGTCTGCCTTTTGATTTGATATTGCTCGCCCAATCATTGGCTGATAATATTGTATTTACATAGGTTGTCACGTTCTAGTATATCCAGGCGCCTTCAACCTGACTACAGGGCCCCTTCACTGGGAGCTATTGCAAAGGGGGCGAGCTGTAGACAATCAAGTCTTCTTCTCCATGTGCAGCCCGGCGCGAGACCTCACTGCAGGGTATCATGCCGTGAGTCCCTCGAATCAAATATACCTCTCTTCCATTATCACTCAGCTATCAATAGTGGGGGCACTCTATGGTGGTGGATCCGATGTAAGTGGACTTGACGCATCGCCGCTTTGAACGCCTGGGGACCATTTGCACAGGGGACTGATCCTCTCCGAGGCTGGTGAAGATGAAACCATCATTTATGCAGACATCGGTTTGTTCTCTATTCATGCTGTTCATCACATCACTTATTCTGTTCATATCAGATCCTGAGACTTTCAAAACAGCCAGAGCTGGTATACCTGTAACGACCCAAAGGCGGTTTGATGTATATCCCGATGTTAGCGTCGCTTGAGCTTGGGCTTGAGCGCCCGGGCTGTACTAAGCGTAAATTGCGAATCTGATTTTGCCTATTTCGGCTGCTTTTGTAAGCGAATCGTGGCGCACATTCTTGAGTGTTCTCGCAAATTCTTTGAAGCTCAAAACAGCTTCATCTTCCACAGCCATCACTACTAACACTCTTTCTTCCTCCCGTTCCCCTCATCCTGCTACACACAATGGTCAAGGAAACGTGAGCATCCGTCCTGCAGCATTCAATTGGCGTTACTGAGCGATGACCCAGGAAATTCTACGATCTCCTTGAAGTACCACCAAATGCCTCAGAAGCTGATCTGAAGAAGGCTTACCGCAAAAAGTACTTGCGAAGAGTGAAGATTGTGCTAGAACATGCGCTGACATTTGCATGGTAGGGCTCTCCGACTACACCCCGACAAGGGTGGCGACCCCGAAGTGTTCAAAGAAGTGACGCATGCATATCAAGTTTTGTCAGATCCAGAGAAACGCAGCATTTACGATGCGCGGGGAGAGGCTGGACTGTCGGAACAGGGCGGCATGGGTGGTATGGATCCTCAGGTGCGTATCTCAGCCATATCGGGTTTCATTCGCGCGCGCTCAAGCCTTTGTTTTCTCCAGGATTTGTTCAGTCAGTTATTTGGTGGCGGCTTCTTCGGTGGTGGCTCGGGTCGATCGCAAGGTCCAAGGAAGACCAAGGACCTGGTACATCGCGTCTCCGTGTCTTTGGAAGATCTCTACAAAGGCAAAACCACCAAACTCTCCCTCACACGCAATATCATATGTGTCAAGTGCAAAGGCAAGGGCGGAAAGGAGGGTGCCGTGCGACAGTGCGGCGTTTGTGGTGGTCGGGGCATAAAAATTACTATGCGTCAAATGGGCCCGATGATCCAACAAATACAATCAGGTTGCGACGAGTGTAGTGGGACCGGAGAGGTGATCAACCAAAAGGATCGGTGCGGGACGTGCAAGGGCAAAAAGGTCTTATCGGACAAAAAGTTACTGGAGGTCCACATCGACAAGGGCATGAAGGGCGGCGAAACAATCCAGTTCAGAGGGGAAAGCGATCAATCTCCTACAGCCGAGCCTGGGGACGTTATCATAGTCATAGAAGAGAAACCTCATGAACGATTCACGCGCAAGGATAACGATCTCATCATCGAAGTCGACATCGATCTTCTGACAGCACTCGCCGGTGGTCAATTTGCAATCAAACACCTAGATGAGCGCGCACTTTTAGTCAAGATTGAACCAGGCGAAGTCGTCAAGCACGGTACGTTGGATATTGCCCATCTTTTTTCTTTGTGTCTGATCGGTTTACTGCAGGTGATGTCAAGGTTATCCATGGTCAGGGTATGCCATCACGGAGGCACCACGAACCCGGAGACATGTTCGTCAAACTCAACGTCAAATTCCCCGAACACATGGACCCAGGCGTCATTCACCTTCTTGAACAAGCTCTCCCTCCCCGTCAACCTCTTGAAAAGTTTCCGAAGAACACTGTCATCGAAGAGGTTCACCTCGCCGATGTCGACCATCACACGAGGCACAATATGTCTGATGATGCGATGGACGAAGATCACGAGGAGCCTAGGGTACAGTGCGCTAACCAGTGATCTCGGCATTCGTCTTTCCTTCCACTTCATTTGTTCTACACATTACATCCACACCTGCAATTTTAGAGTGATGCTCACGCCACAATTGATATATACCTTGCCATATTGTAGTACTGCAATTAAACCTATCATGAATCCCAGCGTGTCTAATTGTGTAATCAGTATATTGTTGTAGGTGAAAAGTATTTCGGACGTACCTCTGGATTCGCTCTGAACTTTTCGTACATTTCGCCGTTGAAGAAGCTCACTTCGGTTTCGTTTTCTACGGAACGAGGTTTGCTGTCTGATTTGACACGAAATGTATAGGCATTCCGTACCGAATCCCAGATCGATAAGGAATTTGCTATCATCTTTGAATAGCCAGTCGTCGTGATCAAGATTAATTATGAGATTTGTGGTCTATCATACTTCACCATCATCACAATCCTGACTGATACACAAACCACAAACCTTGGCCCCATGCGCCTTTGAGTATAGCTTGAGTGTATCTAGGTTTGATCAGGAATTCGACACGCGTGATCCATCATGAAGCTCACCAAGCTCCACATTCCTGTACGCTTTCCAGCCTGGCTGCGTTTTGACAGCTGATGGGTGACAAACATATTGCAGGTCTCTGATTGCGTCGTAAAACTCAGCAGAACATTCTACCTTTCGATGCGATCTCCTTGAGCTCGCCCACAGTAGTGGTCTCCAGATTTATATCATGGAGGACGAGACTGCGTTCGGTCCGAAATTCAAATGACTTGATGATGCGGACGGTAAGAGTGGCATCGGTCGGGGGACGCGTCAGGTTCGTCAAGACATCGGAGATATTGCCTTCTGTCGACATGGTCAGACGCAAGAGAGGTCAGGAGGAGACGGTCAGGAGGTACTACCTTGGAGGTATTTGCCATATTAAGCGCCTATTCCACGTGATGAAGTGACGGAACGGGAGCGCAAACGGGCCCGGAATCTCGGAACAGTTTACTTCTTGTCGACAACCGGCAGTCGACCATCAAATCCACGCCGAGCAGAACTCATCGAAATTTCTGCCCAAATTCAAGCTGACCCCGAACATGAGCCATTCCAAAGGCAATATTTACTCACCATCATTATTCTCCGCAGTTTTTCCGCTCTGGTTATTAAGCTAGCAATATCCGTCTGGAGTACAAGTCTCCTTACGCCCGCAACCATGACCGACTCCCGCTCCTTCCTCGAAGCATCAATTCCTGAGCTCATCAAGAAACTCACCGTTAATGAGAAGATCGACTTGCTGGGTGCTCCGAACTGGTGGAATACTTCACCCATCGACCGACTGAAGATCCCCTCCATTCGTATGAGCGACGGCCCTAATGTAACATTTCAAAATTGCCCGATTACACATTGTTGACAGATAACTAACACAGGGAGTGAGGGGATCATCGCATTTCGTGTCAACACCTTCGCAATGTCTTCCAGTAAGACGCCGCACCCCGAGTCTCATTACAGTTAATGACTTGCCCGTAGTGCGCCACTTCTCTGGCCGCGACCTTTGATCCACAACTTATACATGAGGCTGGCGCTTTTTTAGCTCAGGAGGCCAAAACCAAATCCTCCGTCGTCTTACTTGCTCCTACGTGCAACATACCCCGTTCCCCCCTCGGTGGGCGAGCCTTTGAATCATTTTCAGAGGATCCCCATCTGTCTGGTTATTACATATACCCATGCTTAACACCACCATGCTACTTACCATCTATTTTCAGGCGTTATGGCAGCTGCGTATGTGAACGGCCTCCAGAGTGAAGGAGTGTCGGCTACGATCAAGCATTTTGTAGCTAATGATCAAGAGCACGAAAGGACTGCTGCAGAGTCTGTCATGTCGGAACGGGCGTTGCGTGAGATTTACCTGTATCCGTATGTTGCGCTGCCTCTTGTCTCCCGTGGAGATAGTGACGTCGGTGAACAGCTTCATGCTTGCACAAAAGCATGCAAAGCCTGGGGCATTTATGACCGCGTAGGCAATATTACTGTCTTATCCAAACCCATTATCTCATAGTCGCCCGATAGATACGGCCGCATCGGCGGGTTGCACTGCTCAGAGAATCCCACTCTTCTGCAGGGGATCCTGAGAGACGAATGGAAGTTCAATGGCATCGTCATGAGCGATTGGTATTGCATTCATTTAGTTGCTGATTCCGCCAAGTCTCATCCATTCCATCAAGGTTTGGCACTTACGGTGTCTCTGAGCCTCTGAACGCAGGTTTGGACCTGGAAATGCCGGGGCCACCCAGGTGGCGTACTCCCGTTCTAATTCACCACTCCCTCACCGCGCAAAAGCTACTCCTCCCAACCATCAATGAGCGTGTCACCAACCTCCTCACTTTCATCCAACAACAAGCGAAGAGAAACCCCGACATTGTGTATGGCGATGGTGTCGAGCGGAGCCGCGATTCTCCCGAGGCTCGCCAGTTCTGTAGGAGGCTCGCCGCAGAAGGAATGGTCCTCCTCAGAAACCAGCGGGACACCTTACCTATTTCTCAAGTTAAACAAATTGCGGTGATTGGACCGCATGTTCAAGAGCGAATTATATCTGGTGGTGGTTCAGCAGCACTCAAGCCAACCTATGTTACAACACCCTGGCAAGGTATCCAAAATGCTGTTCCCAAGGGCGTAACGACTGTTTACACCGTCGGATGTTACGGTACGCTTGTGATAGGTATCTATGCTCACAGTTACATATTTATCATCCGCTAGCACACAAATATCTTCCAACTCTGGAAAACAATTTAACCACTCCGGATGGCAAATCCGGCTGGCTTTGTACTTTTTATAACCAAGACGCGAATGGTAAACCAACGAAAGCGGTAGCCGATTTTATTCTCAACGACACCCGGGTAAAACTGAACGACTTCCTTCCTTCTGGACTGGCGGATGAATGGACTATCAAGTTGTCGGGAAAACTTATGGTCGAGACCAGCGGGCTATACGAACTCGGGTTGACCGTTGCCGGTGAGTCTTATTGCCTGGTCCGGCCTTCACTTTTCAGTAGGTAACTCACCGTAAAATGAAGGTCGTGCTAAACTGTTCGTGGACGGAAAATTAACCATCGACAACTGGACAAAGCAGACACCTGGGGACTTTTTCTATGGGTGAGTGGCTCTCCATCTGGCCTGCATCTCGTCTTAGGTCCATATAGTCAAGGTACAATCGAGGAGACGGCCGTCATAGAACTCAAGGCTAAAAGCGCAGTTGATATCCTTGTCGTGTACACGAATACTTCGCCCATAGATGACGGCCCAGATGACGAAGTTGCTGCGTCACAGCCTGCACTTATGCGGGGAGTTGTACGTGGATAACCTGTCTTACGTCCGCAGTGCTACTGCTGATGTTCTTCCTGTATATGTAGCGCCTCGGCGGATGTCCTAAGATTGATCCTGATCAAGCTATTCAAGAGGCTGTCGACTTAGCTGCGAAATCTGATGTAGTCATCTACATTGGAGGCCTCACCCCGGAATGGGAGAGCGAGGGATTTGATCGCCCTAGTCTGCAGCTTCCTGGACGGCAGGACGAGTTAATAACAAAGTTAAGCCGAGCAAACCCAAACACAGTAGTTTGTATACAAGCCGTAAGCATCAGAATGCTATACATCCTATATTGATCTTTACACTTCTTGTTTAGGGATCAGCTGTATCGATGCCTTGGGTAGACGACGTAAACGGCATCATTCAAGCCTGGTATTCCGGCAATGAAGCGGGCAATGCGCTTGCAGACGTCCTCTTTGGGAAGATCAACCCAAGTGGGCGGCTCCCGCTCACTTTACCTGTTCGCATTGAGGACGTTCCATCCCATCTTTGCACGCGCAGCGAGAATGGAAAGATCCATTACCGCGAAGACCTATTCGTGGGTTACAAGCACTATCAAGCAAGATACATCAAACCTCTCTTCTCCTTCGGGTGCGTTATCTACATCTAGCTTATCCAATTGCTCACCTCCTACAGTCACGGACTATCGTATACAAAGTTTGAACTGTTGAGGGTGGGCTGTGCTATGCTATCTGAACAGCCATTCGGACTAGAAGTCAGTATCACCGTTAAGAATATAGGCTCTACGACAGGGTCGGAAGTCATCCAGGTCTACGTCGCATATCCACAACGACATCTCATACACCCCAAACTCCAATTGAAGGGATTTGCAAAGGCCAGAGACCTTCGTCCTGGAAGCTCCACCACGGTCACCATCAAACTCGACAAATATGCTGTTTCTTACTGGGACGAGAGCAGTCATAAATGGGTAGCATCTGCTGGGGAATATGGGCTGTCTTTTGGGACTAGTTGCGATAATATTGCCCTAGAAAGCAAGTTCGAGGTGAAGGAGACCTTTTCGTGGTTAGAACTCTAGAACGAATAGAACCTATACAAATAGTTCCACGCTGCGGCAGCATTTCAACAGTAACGAAGACTGAATTTCGCCATGATCGGAAGTGATGGTGTTATTGTTTGTCGTTCCATCTACAGCCAAAGTAGTAAACCACCGTAGTACTAGCACGAAGACTCTAGCGCCACCACCGCCTGCATTACTGCGACGCTGTTCTCTGCATTCAAGAAACCGCATTCGCTTGTCACAGCCGCCAGAGAAAGGCCTTTAAAGAGCAACCCGCCTCTCATGATGGCCAGAGTTCCTCATCGTACGCCACATTGTTATTATGTGCGTGTTCCAGTCTCATTCCAAGCTCGATAAACGCACTACCATCACCCACCGTCCAGCATCTCTCAGTCGCGATTTGCAAAACAGAGACGGCATGCCAGCTCTGATTCACTCTCTACACGAAGAGAACAGCTCCGTTCTCAGTCTCGCTGCTAGCGATGACTTGATCTTCTCTGGCGGTCAGAATTGCCATATCTCTGTAAGCTGTCGTCTTTGTGATTATGCTCATAGTGGCATCTAAAACGTGTGCACGAACGTAGGTATGGTGTCGAAAGACTTTCCAACTCGTCCGGACATTACGGGAACACACTGGAAGTGTGCTGGCACTCGAATACGCAAGCGAGCGGGATTGGCTGTTCAGCGCATCGGGGGACAGTACTGTCTGCGTATGGTCCACCAAGACGCTTACCTTACTCTATGTCCTTCACCCATACCAAGAGACAGGCTCGGGGGATCTCTTCTCACTCGCTTGGTCACCGTCTCTGGGGACCCTATACATCGGCTGCCAAGACACTTCCCTACAGTGGTACGACTTCCGTGGTCTCCAAAGCGTTGTAGACTCGGCTCCTGGATCGGGAACAAGCACACCCAATACTCGCAAACCTCACAGGTTCTTCGACAGTTATCCTCAGCACGAAAGGCGTCCTGCGGACCTTTTCGCAAATAATAGTGCCTCCACCTCTTTGAACAACATTCATCCTGAACGCACGGAGGTCGGGCAACTGAACAAGCTTCAAGTGCCGGCAACGAATGTGATTGATTCCGCCCACTATGGGTACCTTTATTGTATGGCGATCCTCGAAGGCGACAACAGTGCTGGCGAGGAAACACAACTAGTAACTGGTAGTGGTGATGAAACAGTCAAAGTACGTCCCTTCTCATTTGGACGCGTTTTCTTCGTTTACGGGTTCAAATCAGTTATGGATAATCAAATCCACGTCACCTCTCCCTCAACTCGTACACACGTTTACTTTCCAACATGGTGCAGTTCTAGCAATTGCTGCTCGTGGCGAGACCATCTACGCTGGCTGTCAAGACGGCTATGTCAAGGTACTCGACGTCGAAACAAGGGCTTGTGTGAGGACGATCATCGTTGACGAGGTGCGTTCTCTGGTGTTCATCTGTGGAGAGCACTATTGACGCGTCATCCGATAATCCTAGGGCGTAGACATACTTTCTGTCTCTCTCCTTGGTTCGGATCTATACACCTTCTCAGCTGGAGGGCGTATCCAGGTAGGTAATCATGTCATTTTTGCGCGTCTCCTAACTCATCCCCTTGACATTGCCAGCGCTGGTCTGCGTCTTTCGATTGTACCGCTTCCTGGAAGGGGCATGATGGAATCATCCTCTCGTCCAAAATCTCTCAACCCTCATCTCAACTTTGGGCAAGCACAAACGAAGAGTTCGATGTAGATTTAACTATCGACAGCTTCCAACTAATCACTGGAGGCAATGACGATTACATCAAGGTGAGTTCCTTCATCCCTTCCCTGCTACACGACATGGGTTCAATCATTTCCCAGATTTGGGATGTCGTTCCGCCCAAGACACGCGATCCATCTAGGCATGCTATCACTTCAAAGTCAACCATCGGCGAGTCACTCTCCTCATCTTAGTTGATAGGCCAATTACTCACCTCACTATAGAATACGCGCTATCCAAGTTCGTGGCCTTCCAAAGCGTAAGCAGCCTATCAAAGCACAGTGAAGACTGCAGACAGGCTGCTATCTGGCTGAAGAAGTGTTTGGCGCAGCTGGGTGCCCAGTCAACATTAGTATGCCTGATTTTCCTCTCCTTGGGTTATCACTTACCACATATCACTAGCTTCCTACAGGAGAAGGTGCAAATCCGCTTGTTCTTGGCACATTCAGCGGCACAAGCAAACCTGGAGTTCGGAAGCAGAGAATCCTGTTTTACGGGTAGGTCCTTTCCGGCTTCCTCCCGTAGAAGCTAGCTGAATGATTTTCTTTAGACACTACGACGTGATATCAGCCCCGCCCCACGGTTGGCATTCGGATCCATGGACGTTAAGTGGTCGCAACGGATATCTCTACGGGAGAGGGGTTACTGATGATAAAGGACCTATCATGGCCGTTGCTTGCGCTGCTGCTGAGTTGCTACGCAAAAGGTCTCTAGCCGTGGACTTGGTGTTCTTGATCGAGGGCGAAGAGGAATGTGGGAGCACTGGCTTCGGCGATGCCGTTAAACGACACAAGGAACAGATCGGCCACATAGATGCTATTTTTGTCAGGTTAGCTTCATCCTTTTAGTTCCGTATCGCGTTAGTACGAAGATTGATGACATTCTGTAGCAACTCGACGTGGATCGCAGAGTCCCCACCATGCATAACTTACGGTCTTCGTGGGGTCGTGCATTGCACTTTACAGGTGTGTACGCCCATTGCATCATCCGGAAACTGTCCCCCATCATCCAGTGTAGATATCAAGCAACATGCCCGACTTGCATTCTGGTATTGAGGGCGGTGCTGTGGTAGAGCCCATGCTTGACATGTGAGCTGAATTCTTTCCTTACTTCCCATGTCATTGAATGATACACAAAGGGTGCGACTCCTTGCCACGTTGACCGATAGCACTAACCGCGTGCAAATACCGAATTTCTGTACGTTATTATATTTCGTGATCGCCTTGCCTGCTTGTTTAACATTTGTGTACACAGATGATAGTGTCCGTCCACAGACGGAGGAGGAACAACAGTTATATTTGACTCTGTCTCATCTTACACAGAGACCAGCATCTACCATCGCTTCGCGATGGTGCGAACCGTCATTGACAATTCACAATATTCAGATTTCTGGTCCGAGAAGTGCGTTATCATTCACGCTTCAACCTTTGGCTTCTGATGCGAAATGGCTATATATCAGATGCCACCGTCATCCCAGGCAGCGTGAAAGCACAGATCTCCCTACGGATTGTCCCGGATCAAGATCTGAACACCGTAGTCAAATCTCTCTGTGACCACCTCCATGCATCCTTTGCCGAATTCAATTCTCCAAACGAAATACAGGTCCCGCTCATGCTACTTTGGCGATATCAAATCTGATGCTCTTTTTCTAGGTTTCCATTGACCATACAGCAGACTGGTGGCTTGGTGACTTGGATGGCCTATGGTTCAAGTCATTGGAAAAGGCTGTGCGGGATGAGTGGGGCGTAGAGCCATTGCGGATTCGAGAAGGCGGGGTAAGTCTTTCTATATTAACTTAAGCCCTCTGTTCAATTACTAATTGGCTCGTCCCAGTCAATCCCTTCCATCCCGTACCTTGAGAAGGAGTTTAAGTGCCGAGCTCTCCATCTTCCCATGGGACAGAGTACTGTAAGTACTCTAGATTGTCGTTTTTTATCTACTTTCGTGATTTGACCCTATTACCAGGACCAAGCTCATCTACCTAACGAGAGGATATCACTGGCAAACCTTCAGAGAGGAAAGGCTGTTGTGGAACGATTTTTGCTCAACGTGTCTGAAATGACAACACCTTCTGAATGATGTGGTATCGCCGCAACATTTCTGGCCGGACGCCTTAATATTTACAACGTTGTACCCCTTAAATATACCTATACCGTAAGAGAATACCATAATGAAACTAGACGACGACCTAGAAAAATGTGTCAATAACACCATCGCAAAGAAAAATAAATCCACTTTGGTCGTACCGGCCATCCGCTGGAGAAATCCAGTCTGTTGATCCCGAGCTACAGAAACGAAGGGCATGAGTCACTGCAGCTACGGCCGACCGAAAACACCGCCACTCACGAAGTTGCCCGAAGAAGTGTAGTAGTCTGGACAAACATATCAACATACGCTTTCGTAGTCTTGAGAAAAGTGTACGTACGGTATACGAGGATAGGGCCATCGCCGTCAGCCATGACATCTTGACCACCAGGACCAATAATCTATCCGAGGCACCACTTCAGTTGGGGGTTTGGTATAGTTGATAGTCGATGACTCACGTTGTCGTGGGTGCCCAATACCAAGGTGCCTCCACCTGAGGTCAAGGCGACACCTGCCTGATCAACGTACGGGCCAGTAGGGCTAGATGGGTTTGGTCAATAATTTCGACCGAAAAAGAGTGGCTGGATGATGGATAACATACCTCGAAGATCTACCGACACGGATATTGTAGGTACTGGAAGTACCCGAACAACACTTGTCCCAGGAAGTAAACAGATACCAGAAGCTCCCGGATTTGAATACGGACGCCGCCTCAATGGCACCAGAGGCAGTGAAACGTTGTGCAAGGGCTGTGACAGAGCTGCTAGATGGTTTGCCCGTCGACGAACTCAATCTGACAAGGGAGATTCAGCGAGAGTGATCGACATATGTAATAACCAGGACCGCACTTCACCAATTTGATCCCAGTCCAGAAACTCCCTAGAGCCAGATACCAGTTACTGCCGTCGATGATCAGGCTAGAGTCATATAAAAAAATATTCAGCTTCAAGCCACTATTCAGAGAACGCATTTAGTTACTTTGGATCGATGGCCTAGACGGGGAATATCGTGCTGTTGGTTCAGCATGATTTGTCTTCCGATGTGAGGAACGTACGTTGTAACTATCCCCCGGGAATGTCTCGGTAACCAAACCTTCGTTTGTCCAGCTTCCTGTATCGTCAAACGAGCGTCAGAAGATCGTCACAACGTAGCATCAGGAGCGCACTAACCAGGTAACCCGGTGGAGGATTTAGCGAAGAAAATTGCAGACTTGAGGTACGCAATGAGTGTGAACGGATATCAGAATAGAAGAGACTCACGCGCTGCGAACCGAAGCTTGAAGCCGCGTAGTATAGCTATACAAACATGAGTCACGGCAGGGAGCTCAGAAAGCTTGGACGGACTCACATAGAAGGTACTTCCGATCACGGTACAGTCTGTGCTATCTGAGTGACGATCCTAGTATACTATAGTGAGTCACTTGCCTGGAGCCCAAAGATTCCTTGAAACAGTATTTGAGTTTGGTATATAGATATACAGATGGTCGTGTTCGTACGCACCCGTTGGAAGTCAGAGTGTATGTATCGGTCCACGGAGCACCGTTAGGCCACACCTTCCCAACTAAAGTCCAGGCGGTTCTGTCGGTGGAGGTCCTGATTTCGAGGCCAGGCGCGGTCGCTAAAATTGTGCTTAGGACGGATGCAGACTAGTCTATTGTTAGGATCTTACAGAAGACAAACCACTTCCCGCTGCTGTCCTTGCACATGGTTGGATCATGGACCACGGTGTTGCCCGTGACGACCCCTGGTCCAACTACCGCATTCACAACCGCGGTGAACACTGTAATAGAGGGTAAAAGAGCCTGCCAGAATTTCATGGTGGAAGACGAGCTATGGTTAAGCGAAGGATGAAGGATGTTGTACCCCACATTTTATACGGCAGCACCAAAGTGACGCAAAGTACAACGGGTACCGAAGTTTTTGCTGCACCGACTTTCAAGCGTGGTCGCGTGTCTGCGAACAAGACATCGGCGAGGTATGATTGGAGCATCGAAGTATGAACGGACCGACTGAGCGGCCCGACAAGTGGCATGGTATCCCTTCTTCGCTACTCCGGAGTCGCGTAGTTGAAGATAGCCGACCGAATTAGCGGGATCGTTAGGACTCAAGTAGTGCCAGTCGAGTGACACCCCATCTTCCCGTCTCCTCCCCCTCCCTCGGACTTGTTCTTCAATCCTTAAATCAACACTGTAGAAAACTCGACTTAATGTCGGTCACGGGCGTTCTTCGTCGGCTTTCCCACTTTTGGCGTCTTGATGCCCATGAAAGTCTTCACCCCAACTCGACCACTGAGTACTGAGAGTTCGACGTAAGTAAGGGGCACGGGGTCAGAACAACGAAAGTCATCAAGACCGAAGACATGGCATTCTTTGACTACGGCGCATGCGAGCCTGGGATCAAGTAAATTCCGAAGGCAGAACGCTCCAACAATTGAACTCAACTTGCAATCCTCCCTCTCCTGCAGCTACCACTTCATCATGTTCATTTCCAAGATTCAAGTCGTATTTGGGAAGCTGTGGTACATTTGATACAATTCCAATCGTAATTATTGCGGTCATGGTGCTTTCAGGCGGAAGGAGAAAAGGTGAGTAGCTGAAGATGTCAGACGATGCATGAAATACGGGCCGAGTAAGAGAACACTGTCATGATGCTGCGACTTCTGCTTGAACTGGTTCAGGTTCAGAAGCTGGAACCTCTTGGCTTGGAGGGAGCGCTCCTCCTCTACCTCTGCCTCGACCTCTGTTGCCACCTCGTTGTGAGCGCCCACGAGGGCTTCCACGACTCCATCTTGAGTCGGACGCCCCCCCGGACTCTTCTGTCTCTGCCTCTTCTTTATTGGCGGGAGCAGCGTGCTTCCAGTCAACAGTAGGTTTTCCTGAGTCCCATTCCCGACTCTGTATCTTGTCCATTTTCCGCTTAGCGTTCTGTTCTCGCGTTCTGTTCACAGTCTCTTGTACTTTCTTGTTGAGAGCGATCTTCGCGCGCTCTGACTCCTGCATCTTTCTGAATGCATCTTCGTCTGCCTCGACGTCCTACATGAAATACCCGACATCAGTCGCTGAGGTTGCGCCATGTGGTGCTGCCACCCACCAAACGACGTTGCTTTATCTTGTCGTTCTGTGCCTTGATCCTAGCCATGCGTTCCGTCAGTTCGTCTTCCGTCAATTTATCCTGAAGGCGAATGAATGGGGGATTATATTGGACACGTATGGCGCCGTACCCTCTGCGCGCCTCCCGTCTTAACGCGTTCATGATTCAGATATGGTTTCTTCTTCTCAGTTCTGGGTTCCCCGGCATCTACAGGAGGAGCAGGCTGCTCTGGTTCCTCAGCCACTGTGCTGGCCTGGACTTTTGTTCCATCGATTTTGAGCTGGTCAAAGGCTAGGCCAAGGGTATTTGGAGACGTATCATCTTCGGGCATGGTGTTCGTGAGCAAGGAGTGCAGAATTAGGCGATCATTGTGATCGCCCGTTCGGGAAGTCGCGGTTGCGGCGATTCGCTTTATCAGTGGTCCAGTTCTACGTCCACCTTGATTCTTGTCCACCATGTCTCTTTCCAACAAACTGTCCATCACTGACCTCGAGCTCGAGGGCAAGCGCGTCCTGATCCGCGTTGACTTCAACGTCCCTCAACAAGATGGCAAGATCACCAATCCAGCAGTAAGTTCAATGGCAACACCCCTATCCACGGCGAGATCGATTGATCCCGCTCCATAGCGCATCGTCGCAGCGCTGCCCACCATTAAATATGCCATCGAGAAAGGTCATTTCATAATTATATCGTGTTGATGTGATGAATACTTACCTTCCACCGTCAGGCGCATCGACCGTGACACTGATGTCCCATCTCGGAAGACCAGATGGCAAGGTGGTGGAAAAGTACTCCCTCAAGCCAGTCGCTGCCGAGCTTGAGAAGCAATTAGGCAAATCAGTCACGTTTCTGAACGATTGCGTGGGCCCGGAGGTCGAGCAGGCCGTTGCATCTGCTCCGGCTGGTTCCGTCATTCTCCTCGAGAATCTACGATTCCACATTGAGGAAGAAGGTTCCGTAAAAAACAAGGACGGCACGAAGACGAAGGCTGATCCCGCAAAGGTTTCGGCGTTCCGAGACAGCCTCACCAAGCTTGGTGATGTCTACATCAATGACGCTTTCGGCACTGCTCACCGCGCCCACTCAAGTATGGTGGGAGTGAAATTGCCGCAGAGAGCCGCTGGCTTCCTGGTCAAAAAAGAACTCGAATTCTTCGCCAAAGCATTGGAACATCCGGAACGCCCCTTCCTTGCGATCCTCGGCGGTGCTAAGGTCTCGGACAAGATCCAACTCATTGACAACATGCTGGACAAGGTTTGTCTTGAAGATCGCGATATTTACAAAATCTGACATAATGCGACCAGGTTAACTCGCTAATTATCTGCGGCGGAATGGCTTTCACCTTCAAGAAGACGCTCGAGAATGTTGCGGTACGTCTTATCAAGCACTTCATTGGCATCATAGCATTCTGACAATGATTGCCAGATCGGCAATTCACTCTTCGATGCCCCCGGATCAGAGAAAGTCGCAGGGCTTGTGGAGAAGGCTAAGAAGAACAACGTTAAGCTCGTCTTCCCCGTCGATTTCGTCACTGCCGATAAGTTTGACAAAGATGCCAAGGTATGAGAACATGGCTTATCTGCTTTCGTATATCTTCATCACTTGCCGTAGACTGGCACGGCCACGGAAGAGGAAGGCATTCCCGATGGATGGATGGGTTTAGACGCGGGTCCAAAGAGTCGCAAACTCTTCCATGACACTGTCCTTGAGGCTAAGACTATCCTATGGAATGGGTGAGAGCTACGTTCATTTCTTTACTTTGCCGGAGGTGCTAATAACACAATAGTCCTCCTGGTGTCTTCGAGTTCCCCGCTTTCGCTGAGGGCTCCAAGGCTTTACTGGACGACGCTTGCGAGGCAGCTGCCAAAGGTGCCGTCGTAATTATCGGAGGAGGTGATACCGCCACCGTCGCAGCTCAATATCATGCGGAAGACAAGTTGAGCCATGTCAGCACTGGTGGTGGTGCGAGTCTAGAGCTTCTCGAGGGCAAGGTACGTTCCATATGCCATCTTTTGTGGCACCACACTCTCAATTTGTGCCGCCATATAGACACTTCCTGGTGTTGCCGAGCTGAGTGAAAAGTGAGTAGTATGTAGATAGAAGCAAGAACAATAACGATGTTGTAGTATCATTAAGTAAAGTAAAGGAATAGACTTTCCCCTGTATCACGTGTCGACTAGAATCCCAAGGACGCGAAAGTTGTTGAAGTCTAGGTGACGGTTCCAAGCTTGAGCCTTGACTACCATCGTTCGTCCACCGTTCGAAGCCAATTGTTGGTCATGGCTCGGAATAAACGGAAATCTGCGCGCACTAATGCCAATGCCAACAAGTCGCCCTCCCCCTCGTCTCGGGAGCACTCTCCCGCGCGCACAGATGATCATGGTCCTCAAAACGCTTCTAAAGACGACCTCTGCCCCGCATGCCCCACTGAACCATCACAAGCCATTCAAGAAATGGTAGAGAAGGAAAGCTGGGTCCGATGCGATGCTTGTAAAGCTTGGTACCACTGGAGATGCGCTGGAAACGGTGGCGAAGTCGAGACGATAGACAAATGGTCTGTACCCCGGGCCAGTCATTAGTAGGTAACTCAACATGGAATAGGTTTTGTGGACCATGTCTGGAGGCAGATCCCAAGCGTACTATCACTGTCAAAGGACCAGCCCGCAAATCATCCCGGAAACGGACACAAAGGGATTACGCCAATTTGAACGCAGGGGTAGGCTCGGATCCGACTCGCTGGACGAGACTTATGGAGGGCAAGGCGATCAAGAACGCACGCTTTAAGCACATGCATGGAAGTGAGGTCGGGGCTGAGTGGCTAGAAGAGGATGAACAAGCCATGATGGAACCTATCATAATTGACCACCCCGAAGGGCTCGGGATGCAGATGCCTGCTTCTGATTTCACTGTTAGTGATGTCGCCGATATTGTTGGCGAGGACCATCCAGTTGAAGTAATAGGTGCGACTTCCTTCGCGCGTTCACAGCTAATCCTCTAATAATGTCACAGATGTCTCGACTCAATCCACTTCCCCGGGCTGGACCCTCCGGCGATGGGCCGACTATTATGAACAGGAGCCTTCGGCGCGAGAAAAGGTCCTGAATGTCATTTCACTTGAAGTATCAGGTACTCCTCTAGCGGATCAAATACTCCCGCCACGAATCGTGCGGGAGTTAGACTGGGTGGAGAATTTCTGGCCGAACACTCGGAAGGGAAAGGGACATACATATCCCAAAGTTCAACTATATTGCTTAATGGGGGTGACTAACGCATGGACGGTACGCTCTTACCGAAGCTCAACGAATTCATTGACCTGACCTAACGTCCATAGGATTGGCATGTCGACTTCGCGGGCTCGTCGGTATATTACCATATCATCCGAGGTTCCAAAGTACACTCCCGCTTCCATAGACCACATGCACCTTCTGACCAACCTGCCGTTCTAGGTGTTCTACTTCATCAAACCCACTGCCGCTAACCTCGCTGCCTACGAGCGTTGGTCTGGCTCTGAAATCCAGAATCATGCATGGTTGGGTGACCTCGTGGACGAGGTCGTCAAGGTCGAGTTGACAGCGGGGAATACAATGATCATTCCGACGGGTTGGATACATGCTGTAGTATGTCTGCAAAGCTGGAATCATGCGAGTGCCTCTCATAATGCATTCCCTAGCATACGCCCATGGATACATTGGTATTTGGAGGCAATTTCTTGCATTCTTACAATGTTTCTACGCGTGAGTTTTCCGTCACCGGAAATGATACTTACTTATAGCGACACTGGCAGAGCTGCGGGTACGCAACATTGAAATCGCTACGAGAGTCCCAAAGAAATTCAGATTCCCCATGTTTGCCAAGTCAGTAGTTCGCAACTAGCGTCGTCAACGTGCTTACATTTTTATCAGGCTCTGCTGGTACGTCGGTGAGAAATACCTCAGAGATCTCAAGAACAAGGAAGAGTTTCCTCCACGAGTATTGGCCTCAATCGCAGCTTTGGCTGACTTCTTGGTCAGCGAAGCGAGAATTCTTGAGAAAGGTCCAGAGCAGGCGAAACGGGAGTCAAAGGAACAAGTGCCGAGTGATCGTGTCAAAGACCCCCCTGCTATCTCCAGGGAACTACGATGGAGAGTTCGACAGGCCCTAGGGCATGATTCCGACGATGAGGATAGCCGGCCCAAGGAGAATGCCAATCACCCGCGCAAACGTCCAAGATCTGAAAGCTCAGATGGAGTAGTCTCGCATTTCAGGAATTTCAAGCCTAGGGGATGGGACAAAGTTAGAACCCAATCCAGTGAGGATCAGGTTGTCCAGGAGAAGGTCCAGCGACCTCCTATCGACGGCGACGACTGGATAGAGACGTGGCCAGACGCCGCGAAGATGGAGGAGGACGATTCTATACTTGCGGACAAACGGATACGGCGGGACAGCATGGTGAGGGTGAGGCTGAAGAAGGACGGCGGGATGGAGAGGCAGCGAATAGACAGAATATTAGAAGACTGGACTTGGCAGCAGACATAGCAGTTTGTGTACATTGACTGTGGGAAAAATATTTGGTGAACTTGATCGCGCATCAACTCTATTAAGAAGAGCATCCTCCTTGCCCTCAACGATGTCAGAAGCCACCAACAGAAGCCAACATAGTTTACCACCAGAATCGCAATATCAGCAGCAGCAGCAGCAACAACAACAACAGCACGATCCTCGGAACAGACGACAGGGTGCACCAGCAGACCCAAACTGGCAGCCTGCCCTCAGTTCCATCCCTGACGACGGCGACCTCTTCGACGAAGCAGCCTATGGGTTAGGCCCTCCGCCTTGTGAGATTTTCATTGGCTTGAAGCACGTTCTGGGAAGCCTCATATTGTCCTACATCCGAACTATATCTTGTTCTCAGCCCAACCCAATGCAATAATGCAGCATCCGAACCGCTCGGCTCCGTCACTGCCTTCTCACCAAAACCAAAACCACGGACACGACCCAAATGCACCGCCAGTCCCTCAGTATGATCCTACGGCAGTCTTGGACCAGTTTGGTGCCATGAGAATTAGTGATCCTACGGGACAAGGGTCTCGATATCCTCCTCACCCCGGCGATCCCATCCCACGCGCCGCGTCTTCAATGTCTGCACGAGGGCCACCGCATCAGCAGCACGCCTACGGTCACCTCAGACACGCAAATACACTACCCCCAGGACCAGGGTATGGTCAAGGACAGGGACCACCTCATGCCTACGATCGTCATTGGGCGAACGCGGGGGATCCTTCGATGTATCCACCTCCTCAACAAGCCGAGGGCTACCCACCTAACGGACAATATGCAGCATATGATCGCGGGCCAGAGGGCGCCTATCCAAACGACCCATCCTACCAGGGCTATGGCTCTCCTGAACTTGCCTACGATCAACCGTCATATAATTACCATCCCCAGCACATGCAACCACCTCAACAACAGAGCTGGCAGGGCCAGCCTCCCCAGGCAGATTATAATATCTACGCCGCGGCTTCAGATGTGTTAGGCATGGCACCTCCCCCGGGTCCTCCAGCGGTACCTCCAGCGTATGATCCAAGCTATTCCACGCGTAGCTCCTACGCCGCTAGCTCAATATCATTACCCTCTTCTCATTCCTCACAACATGGCCCTGGTCCTTATGGTCCGCCATCGGTGCATAGCCATAATGAACCAGAGATCGCCCCACGTCCGTCACTCGAACGATCCGGAACATCGGCTTCTGTCAATCTACGAACGAGCAAGACTAAAGCAGTTGACTTGAGTGCTCCTCCCTATACTAAGGAGTACATCGATCAGTATCGCCAACGCATCAAAGCGGATCCAGATCCTGAAGCCCATTTCTTATACGCTAAGTATCTTATCGACGCCGCGAGGAAAATTCGGGCAGACCATAAGGATCAGCGCGCAGCGAAGAAATATACCGAGCTTCTGATTACAGAATCACTGAAAGTCGTCCGCAAGCTTGCGACGCAAGGCGAGGCATATGACGAAGCTCAGTTCTTCCTGGCGAATTGCTACGGTACCGGTGCGCTTGGTTTGCAGGTAGATCACGAAAGGGCGTACCATCTTTATCTGCAAGCTGCCAAGCAGAATCACGCTGCTGCTTGCTACCGCGTCGCCGTGTGCAACGAGATTGGTGCTGGTACACGGAAGGAACCGCCCCGTGCCGCTGCATTCTATCGAAAGGCCGCCTCGTTGGGAGACACTCCAGCGATGTACAAACTTGGCATGATCTTGCTAAATGGAACATTGGGTGAAGCAAAGAACCCCCGCGAGGCTATCAATTGGCTCAAGCGAGCCGCGGAGCAGGCTGATGAAGACAACCCACACGCGCTCCATGAGCTCGGTATTCTCCATGAACAAGGCGATAACCAGCTCGTCATTAGCGACCCAGCGTACGCCAGACAACTGTTCACACAGGCAGCGCATCTTGGCTATACTCCTTCGCAATTCAAACTCGGGCAGTGTTATGAATATGGTTCGTTGACATGCCCAATGGATCCTCGTCGTTCCATTGCTTGGTATACGAAGGCGGCTGAAAAGGGCGATGCCGAGGCAGAGCTGGCTCTTAGCGGCTGGTACTTGACGGGGAGCGAGGGCGTGCTGAAACAAAGCGATTCAGAGGCATACCTTTGGGCCCGACGGGCTGCCAATAAGGGATTAAGCAAAGCTGAATACGCCGTGGGGTATTACGCAGAAGTTGGCATTGGAATCAAGCAAGACATCGAGTTTGCGAAGCGATGGTATATGCGAGCTGCAGGTAAGGAAGCCACATCCACCGAGACCTCGAGTGTGCTGACTGTTGTATACCAGCGCAAGGCAACAAACGCGCCATGAACCGGTTGACAGAAATCAAACGGATGGGAAATAAGAGGATTAATGTTGCTAGGCCTACGCGGCAACAGGCCAAAGACGAATGCGTAATCTGTTAATCCCAGGACGCTCGCTACCTAATTACTTGGACTGAAAGATTTTACTTACTCTTGCTATCGTGCACGTGATGAGGAAACCATCTGTACTCTATTCAAAGGCTTGACCGCATACCAGCCTCTTATACCACATTAAATCCATTAACATCGTCTTGAGAAGCCATGAGCACTATACACGAAGGAGATGTCAGAGCCCTTGGTCAATCCCTCCCGAGAAGTTGAATCTGACCAGGAATCAACATAGAAATCTTTATTGGAGCACCTCGACATCAGACAGATCAACTGCCTCAATGAATCGGAGGACCATCCATTGATATCTATCCTTTCCAGTAAATCTAAGAACACGGGCGGGTCATATCTCTTGAGTGATGCCGATGAGCAGCTCCTGCTGAATATTCCGGTATGTACAAGGACCTCCCATGTTTTCGACTTCAGAAATTGACCTGAATTATACAACAGTTCAATCAAACGATAAAGATTCGTTCACTTGTGATCCAATCTAGTAACCCAGCGCAGGCCCCGAAACTCGTCAAGATATTCATCAATCGGCCAGCATTGGGATTTGAAGATGTAGAAGATGCGGACGAATCGGCTGCTGCCCAGATCATCGAGTTGACGGAGGAAGACACGACCAACGGTAACCCTCTCGTGTTGAGATTTGTCCGGTTTCAAACTGTAAACAGTTTGCACGTAAGTTTACGTCGCGGTCGAAATCATATATAGCTGAATATTGGCGCAGATTTTCGTGAGTTCAAACCAAGGGGGCGAAGATGAAACTAGAATAGATGCCATCGATGTCCTCGGCGTGCCCATCGAGTCCGTTTGATCGGTATTATAACCTTTAGAAAGCCCTTGCTAACTAACCTCTGTAATAGGACTACCAAGAATTTGAACGAGCTGAAGAAACAAGAAGAAAACTGATACATAGGATTAGCTCGTAACCACTACTTCGACCATATCCAGAGCAACGTCAATAAGCAACATGTCTAGGCATTGGGACGGAGTAGAAAAACTCAGAACCGTCAAACTTGCCATCCCATCCCAACTTTACGCCCGAAACAACAAAGATGGGCTGATGGACAGCACAGCGCTATTACAATCGACTTGGAATCTAATCCGTCTCCATGTCGAGTCCATTGTCGCTCGAATCATATTCTGGCATATGGTCCGATATATTCTCGACGGACGTATCTATTGATGATTGCGATTATCCTGAGCAACATTGGAAAATGGGTGAACAACTCAAACAGAAGCGTATTCTTCAAGATTGGGGCACATAGTGTCACGACTGTCTCCGCGTAGAATCGCGTGTACTTAGAGGAGAACCTTGTGATGGAGGGATTGATACTGATGAGCCTCAGCGAGACGAGCGCTGCGAGTTGCGGGGCTGCAAGAGTTCGTCTTTGACACTCTGAGGGGAGAACAAAACGAAATATTTCTTCCTTCCGAACGAAGACAACACACTGATCGTCAGTGTTCAAGAAGAGGGTGACGCTCGACGAACTTGAGGATGAGGACCATTCACATGTCCAGAGTGGCAGGGTAGAAGAAAATCTTCAAGCGAGGCAGAGTTGCTTGTTCCAGGCATTCATTCATCGATGCTTACGTAGTAGCATTCGTACAGACGGAGGGTTTCTAAGTTGGTGCACTGGGGGCTTGATATCCTTTGATAGCGATATCGAGAGAGCGATTCCATGGAACCCAGTCAAATCGACTCTGCACCCCATCCAGATGGACCGATTTGCAGGTAGTACGTCTCGAACCTTTTGGGAAACCAAACAGAGTGATAGTAGCTCGGGTTTATCCAGTGAAACAGCGATATTGTCCAATAACTGACAGGCAGGTCCATAAGGCTTACCATATGGATTGAAATGTGTTGCAAGGCAGGTTCAGGGTGATGATCTATGGAAGAGGTCAATGGGTGCTTTAAAGCGAGAACAGTAGCAATAGCATTCGGTGAGTTTGAGCGAGCGAGCGATGCTTTGCGGCCTCTGCCTCAAATAGCAACGGTTCAAGGATGGTCTCTATCAAAAGGATTAGAAGGTTCTACCTTGTAAGCCTTTTCCCTTTCATAGTGACGCTGGTGAACCCAATCTCGTTTACCATGAAAGAATCCTCGTCGATGTTCTTCTGAAACAGAGTCGTCTACCACATAAGTGTTCAAGCATCCATAAAGCCTGATGAGATGGACTTCTAAGAGACCATGAATGAGCATCAAACGGCGTTCAGAGCAACATTATGACAAGAACTGGCGGCCTGAGTTCAAAGTATCTGAAAGGGGTCCTCCTATCAGCTCCTGACACGCTGTCAAGGCCCCGCCACCCTAGTCCGAGGCGATTGCCAAGGACAACTCCAATAACTTAGAATTTGAACTTCCGCGCACACGCACCGAAGTGCGCCTCATTTCGATCAAATATTTCTTTTCTTTTCGACGACACTTTTGGTCAACAGTTTCTTGCTAACTATATATTGCAGTACCCAACACACAAAATAACGAGCTAGACGTATGGGACCATTCATTTCAGATGCTTATTCCGCGGTAAGTGCTAAGTTGTTGACGCATGCGAGTGACTTGTCCTGGGGTGAACTCGGTCATGCAAGAGTCATAGGAGTAGTCCATGAAATTGTCTAGTTTATGAGGATGTTAACAATGAGATAACAAGTGGACGGAAGAGTAAAACATACGGATGGGGTCAACGCCTCCTCCAGCACATGTGTCGCGACCAACAGGGCACCCAGATGCGGGAGAAGCCTCAGGAGGTGTGTCGCTGACACTATCCCCCGGGGATCCACAACCACCTTGGAAAGTGTGATAGAGGCCGACCCAGTGACCGGCTTCATGTGTCAGTGTCTTTTGTAAAGTGAGATTGAGGATATCGCAGTAAATGCAAAGGAAAGCGGTACGAACTTGACCGAGGTTGTAGTTCGTTGTGGTACCACCAGGAACAGAAGAAAAGAGCATGACGACACCATCGTCAGTGGGACTACTAGAGTAGCTCGATGGGAATGTAGCATAGCCAAGGAGTCCGGCGCCGGCGCCCGAGTTGAAGCTAGGGCATCATGAGAGGGTGATTCGGTATTGGGGATAAAAACAACCTACCCAACAGTGTAGACGTTGAGAGCGTTGGCGCCTCCCCGGCGAAGAGAGCTTTTCATCGAATTTTGTGCCGAGTTTCCAGGACCGGCAGTATTGAACCAGTTTGTGTTCACAGTGCGGTCGATCCCAGCGAGTGACCAGGTAATACCTGCACTTGCGAATGCTCGGTTCATAACCGTCACTTGAGATTGGATTTGAGAATCACTGTTAGCATTATGTTAGGACGGGGAGTTGAGATGATGTTCAAAGGGAGGGCACGGACGGAATGTTTCCTTGGCTGACGGCAGAGCCGGAACTGATGACATGGAAATAGATGGGGATGGTAGCGGCGAATATGCCAATTTCGCCGGGAACGACTTTCTTTGCCTGAAAATCGGCTTCGGCGACGATGAGGTTCTCTGGACTTATGAAAGTACCGCAAGCCCTGTTTTAATCCAATGTTGGTCATGACTTGAACGACGCGAAAGAAACAAATTATGCTTACCTAGGGGCAGTAGTGTTCAATAGGGGACTACTGAACACGTACGACGCGCCTACAATGGCAGCTACAAGCAGGGAGCGAAGCATTGTATCTCAGCTGGATGAACCACTATTCAGTGAAGTACCGAGTACTGGAGACCATGAACTATGTTACTAACTTTTATACCTACGTGCCACCAGCAAATGTCCCCCCATATCAGCAAGTGCAAGATATGTTTTCTCTTCGCGTGGCAACATACAAGATAACGAATGCTGAGGCGCAGTGGCATGTGGCCGCGAGCTGAAATAGGTGGTGTTGCGAGGGCTTCTGGCTTGGTAGAGAGTCCACGGAGGGAAAGTAACGCCAAGCCCACATGTGTCGCTGCCTGAGAGCGCTGATGCGACGGCGATAATGTCGACCCGGAGATTTAGGACTTCGACGTACTTTGTCTTGTATCAGCACGTAGAAAAGCTCGCATATGGAACGCACCTTTCTCCTAGGCTTCTCAACTTGGCTACAGCAAGGCTAGAGCTGTCAGTAACCAAACTGTCTCCATACATATGGGGTCCTGAGTCGTTTGCGACCCTTCCTTGCTGATTACACCGAGAGCACGAGGGTTCAGCTCGAAATATTGCGAGCAGGAGAGTCAGTAGACCAGTTCAGCATCTTGATGGACGACTCTATATCAACGTTGCGGTCGATGATCACGATCTTGGCGGTAAGACCTTCGATCAGGGTCCACTAGGAGCCTTAGTTTAGGGGGGACAGCGTTTAGGCTAGCGGGAGTCTCTTCAAGACCACAAGGAACCATACCATTGCATGTGTGCCAAACGAAGTGGTTCTGCCATTGATGCTTTCCATTTGACTTGTTGTGACGCATACACTTTACGAGCTTCCAGATTTCATGATCATTACTACTTCCACGGGTCCAAAATAACCTTCCCCCATTCGCCCTTGTCGAACTTTTTGTAAGCTTCAGGGGCGTCGTCCAAGGATATTATTCTATCAATCAAGCTTGTCGGCTCGCCTACCCCGCCAAAAACGTCTTGTCGTTTGACTGTAGAAAGACGGTGAGTGCTGTGTGTTATAAATATATATACCAACCCCACCTAAGAGATCAAATGCGGGAGGGAACATGGCCCGCGCTGGGCATCTCCCGAAGTCGAAAGAAACATTCTTGTTGTATAGCTGACGACCGGTGAATGGGACAGACGGTTCGCCGTGTACGCCTACGGAGACGATAGCTCCAAAGGCACGAACAAGGTCGTATGCAAGCGAGATCGCGCTGTTGTTGCCAACGATCTACACAAGCCGGTAAGTTAAAGTACCTAAGGCGCAGAAGCTCTCCTACCTCCAGCACGGCCGTACACCCGACTCCTCCCGTCAAGGTCTGCACGAGTGCTTTGGCCTCGTCAATCGATGCTACGGCAAACTCCCCTTGACCTTTACCATCGGACCCGATCTTATCGTATACCGCCTTCATCTTCTCTCTTCTTGCCTCGAGTGGGTCGATAGCGACGATTTTGTAAGGAAGCTGCCTTCTTGCCAAGACGTCCAAAAGGCTAACTGCCGCACAGATGCCTACGGGGCCCAACCCTACGATGGCAAAGACTAGCAATCTGTCTTCTGGGGTAAGAACCTGCTTTTCCAAATCCGAGGCCTGATCCGGGTTCAGAGCATAAGGCCAAGGCAGGCCATTGATCATTGGCAGGACTTTCGGGTGACTTGTGGCTTGTATTGCGGCAAATACACCTGTGGGGAGAATATCTGCCAAAAGAAGGAGGGACGAGTCATTCAACCCAGCCAATGCTTTGGCTCTCTCGGGGCCGGACAAGGTGCTATTCCATGTTGGCTTGCTTAGGCTGAACAACGTGCTTCCGGCTTTGGGCACTCGTACGTATTGCGCTTGACCACCGTCCAGAGCATCGCAACCAAAGAGTAGCCCAGCCGTGCACCGGCCCGTGTATCCTAGCCGGCAGACACTGACAATGCACATGTGCATCAGAGTTTCTCTGTATCGAAAATGGCACTCACTGGCATTCACCACAATTGGTTGTGAATGGCGACACAACCTTGTCGCCGACCCGTAAAGTCGAATAGAGGGCCGGGCGGTCAACCACATCCGACCTGAAACTTTCGCCAAGGGTAATTATCTCGCCAATGAACTCGTGCCCCATTGTATGTCTTGAAAGCCTAGTTAGTTTCTCTTCAAAGGCAGGATTACGGAGTATTCACGCATTCACAGTTGTGCCATGCCCACGGTATATCTATCCTGATATAAGCCCGCTTCTTATGAATACCACTCATTGGAGATACAAACATGAAGGTCGCTGCCACAGACAGCCGTATACTGGTCTTAGAATGAGCAACATATCGGGTAATTCCCGGGAACTGCTGACCTTGACTTTCACTATAGCATCATCTGGATGCACAATACTGATGTTTGACTAGTGAGTCCTGAGACCACAAATATGATAGCGCCTCGAAGCGGTATAGATGGCTCACCTAGGGATAGGAATCATCTCAACCCGTACATCGTATGCTGGAGGATGCCATCTTGCCGCCTTCTGAAAGCTACCTTTCTGTTCGTTGCTCCCCATTTGAAAGGTGGAGGGAAGACGCAGTATCGCAATCCTAAAGCCGGCTAGATGCTCTCATCTGGTACCGGGCTCCGGAAAGGGGGGTCATCATGTGGTCATCGGGCCGTTCGGTCGGTCCGCTGTCAGTTGACTTCCTCGTATGGAACCCTTCCATCCTCCGACAACTGCACAAGGCTACAACAAATCAATGTCTTTCGGTTTTCACACGAATAAAGCTCACCTGCTCCTGGGAGGTTTTCCCGTAGCGAAGTCCACATGCTGCCATAACGAATTGCAAGGAAGTCTAGTGTCATCCGCTCTAAAATTGATGGTATGTACCCAATTATGCAATGTCCCTTAATTGAACGATGTGTAGAAAGCGATATGGTATACAGACATATGGAAAACAAAACGAAGAAAGAATCAAAAAGCGACTTAGGCAACCAGTGCCGCTAGCCTCCGAAGATGCGAGACGTTAAGATAAGCCGGGACGTATGTTTCCAAACCCGATACCTCGCGGGGTAATGGTAGTTCGTATGGCCCAACTTCCTCCGTCTCCGGAGATAGAAGGAGATGGTCATTACGATCATTGGCTTGTACTCGTGATGCTACCACTCGCAGTATTTCAGGTGGGATAGGATTCTGAGACAGCAATTACGTTAGTACTGCATCAATATCGTGCGCAGAGCTGACTTACCTCATAATCAGCGACGTAATAATTCGTGCACATTCGTTGAATTTGCATAGGGCTGAGCATCCAGCAGACATCGTAAATGATTTCAATGTCGGCCGCCGTCGCCTACCGTGATGATTAGTAGGTAGTAATTAATGGTTTGAAGCCACCAACCTTCTTGAGCTGCAGGAGTTTGGTGGCTTGCATCAAGTGCTCCAGCTGAAGAGTTCCTTCTGGCATGTCGTGCGACTTGCACCATTCCTCGATACGCGTGATATTGTATTGTATTTGCATAGCTGCGGGGTGGACACGTATCGTCAGACTCACTGCCTCCGTCAGGCCCAAGGAATGGTAACGCACCTCGTTTCCATGAAGAGAAGTTGCGCCTCATCAACAAGTCATTGAAGCTGGTGACTCCTATGAGTTTTAAGAGTTCAGTCACAACTTGTTGCACAACCGACTCCTCCATGTAGTAGCTCTTCAAACTCTTCCAAACCTTGTTCAGAAGATTGAGGATATCATCCATGTTGTACGCAGGGGTGCTATTCGAGTTGAGTAACCGGTTGAATAATCGTCCGCCACCATCGCTGGTGGTGAATCCAGGTAGGGACTGGCTTTCGACGAGGGCTGGGATGACCATTTTTGATAGCTTCTTCTTGGTTTCCACCATCCACGTATGATAAATATTGTACTCGAGGCTGTCGAGATCGTGTTTCACAACAGTAACCAGTCGCTCGTAGTCTCCCCAGTCGAACGGTCGCACTGAGTTCTCTTCGCCTGGACCAATGCCCTGAAGCATGTCGCTTTCGGCGACACAAATAAAGGAGAGCATCTCATGAACGTTTGAGAGCCAGAAAATACCAGGAATGATAGCATCTTCCCCTGAGAAAGACTTCGTACATATGTGGTTGGTTGCATGAAATTCACGAAAACGATGAGGCTCACCATGACATGGGCTTGTATTGTCTGCATAACATTGGCCAAGAAGCGTTCGCTTTCTGCGATGAGCCCATACCGCCACATTTCATTGGTGACGAGGCTGATGAGGTTGGCGGGGAACAGGATTTCTTTCACGGCAGGAGGACTGGTGGTGCTCGGCGTCGGAATCTTCAGACCACGAACAAGTCCCTCAAGAACATCTTCGTCCAAGCGCTTGGCATCCATCATGAGACGAATCTTCTCTTCTGCCGGATCATCGTAATCCCGGATCTCAGGGAGACCATTGGCACGGAATCGCATGAAGTTGTCTTCGCCGTTGTATGCGACGGACACAGCCCGCGGGTTCATGGCTTGACTCTTCTTAACATCATACATAAGTTCGTCAGCAGATGTTCGATGATCAGATGGTTGGATTGAGAACACTCCCGCAGAGCTGTGGCGCCTTTGATGCCGGTTGGTGCTCACCATGCCGGAGCCTGCGACAGGGGGAGCGCCGTTTTGTTCATTCAGGCGAAGGTTAGGAGCGAAGGTAGGGGATAATGGTGGGTTGCCACGGGAGCCGTGTGTGAGAGCGTTGAGAGCGTTAGAGCGATTTAGTTGTTCGCGTAAGCTATTAACTTCGTTCTTGAGAGTAGCAATAACGGAGTAGTCTTCAGGATTGTGGACAGGGGTCGATTCAATCACTCGTTGTTGCTGCTCGAGCTGCATCGTTTGACGAACAAGGTCATCCGTAAGTTTTTGGATGATCTCTTCCTTCCCTGCAGCCTTCTGCGTGGCTTCTTCGAGTTTCTGCTCAACCTCCGCCTTCGCCTGTAGGAGAGTATCCCGCTTAGCCAGCTCGGCCTCAGCGTTCTGCAGTGATGCATGAAACTGCTTTGCACGTCCATCGGCTTCTTCGTGTCTGCTGATCCACTGCGCTAATTGTTGCTCGAGCTCCGAAAGCTGGGCCTGAAGTTCCTTCTTTTCTTGCGTCCGCTTTTGAAGATTCTGAGTAAGCTCGACGACCTTATTTTCCAGTCGGTACGAGATCTCCTTGAACTTGGACACTGAACGAGCTTCTGCCTTGAGTGCCTTGAGTTGTTTGCGGGCCATGCGCCGACGAAGGCAGGATTGCAGGTATATGACGTGTTTAACATCCGTGCGGAACCCTCGCCTCGTGGACCTAGAGAACTGTTGTTAGTGTCTGCCTTGCTACAATGTATACCACTCACAGGCCACGAATAAGGCTCTGCAGTAGTGTTGCAGCACCTGTACGCCGGTTCTCGTAGAATAGCTTGCGAGTTTGGGAACCACGCACACCTAGAAGTGTACGTTATCTTACTGGAGGTTTCGTACAAATGACCAACTTACGACTCTGGAAAAGAACAATAGCACGACGAGTGTCTGCAAATTGTTTGCGCTGCAAGTAGCGGCGACATATGGTCTGTATGCGTTGAGCGTTGATGTTCCTTCTGACCACTTCCACGAATTTCTTCGCCATGATCCCTCGCCACCAAGTCTGGATCTTGATTGTAGCAGCTCGGAGCTCGCGGTATTTCACCATGGCCATATGTCTTCGCATATTCTTTTGGACAACAGTCACCATTGCGTTGAGTCGAGCCGACCTCAGAGATTCCAGCGCCGCAAGCATACCGGATCGAAAGAAGATCTTCGTTAACCCACTCTGGTATTTATCCGGGTCATTGATCGTCTTCTCCAAAATGACGGCGCACAGATTCTTCAAATCTAACGCTTGAATCATGGGCTGCCATATGGATGAAGGCACGAGCATGTAGTATCTAGGCCCCGTTAGACTCCGTGGAAACAACATATCGAGACAATACAAACTACACACCTTTCGGCAAATTCTTCATATATCCATCTCGTAGGGTACCCAGCACAACTGATTCGGATTGTCTCCAAAACACCGCAAGCCCGCAGTTGGCCCAGCACCTGCTGAGGCGTAAACTCCCACGGCTTCTTCGCCTCGTTCGGTTTGATGCACCGAATGTAGTGGACATTTGTAACACTAAGCGTCTCCATGAGAGCAATGAGGGAAGCCTTGAAGATAGATCCCTGCGTTGGCTTCCTAGCAGGTGCACCGCCGGGGCGTTTAAGACCAGCAGACGGTGGGGCAGGGGATGAGTTTGTGGCTACAAATGATTGTCGTCCGGGGTCTGGAATGACTGAAGAACGACGAGAGCCACCACTTCCCGAGTCAGACATGGCTGGTGAACCCGGGTGGGGACTGTCGGGGGCCTTGGCAGATAGAAGAGCAGCATCTAGGACCTCCTTCAAGAAGGGGTTTTTGGTCGAGGCTAACAACGCCATCTGTTCATCTGGAACGGTATCTCTATTCTTCTCCAAGAAACCTTCAACCTCATAAGTGACATCGAGGGCATAGTGTGCAATGGTGAATGCTGAATTGCCGAAGCGAGGCTTTTTGTAAACCTTCTTGTTCTCGGGTTTCACGAGTTGATTGTTCAACTTCTGGAGGAAGGAGGCATCGCTTCCCGACGGCATACGTGACTCTTCGTCTAGTAGCGCCAGAATACCGAGTTTCCCTTCGATGACGTCGATACAAGGTTGATTATCAGAAAAGTCGATGAACGTCCAGTTGATTTCTTCCTTGACATACTCTTCCTGCTCCAGTTTGAAAACATGAGAGTTAAACTATGAGTTCTGAATCAATAACGGCAGTCCAATGACAATCTCTGAAGACAGTACCTCTTGTTGCAGCTTTTCGTTGGCATAGTTGATGCTGAATTGCTCGAAGGAATTCTGCAAGCGCGTTAGGTAGCCGTTGTAATGTAGATAAAAGAGCTCGCCTTTTGGAAATGTTCGAACCCGTAGATATCCAGTACTCCAATAAACATCTCAGCCCGATCAGCGGCGTCACCATTCTCTCCGGCTAAACTCTCGTTTACGATAGCCACAAGCCACTCGAACATGCATGCGTAGACGAATTTCGCCACACTATCCCGCACAACCGTTGCTTGGGCCGCATTGAGTGAAGTGATAATCTTTTCTGAGCGAGTCGTAATCTGTTTCTTCACGGTCCACTTCTTGAATTCAGCAAGATTGACGCCCAGGAACCGGGTTGCAAGCATGAGGGATGAGTCATTGTCATCGAGGATGGCATCGTTCCGCGATGCTGTAATCTTCACGTTGCCAAGATGCAGAAGAGCAGCTAAAAGCCTAAACACGGCCCATTGTTTCTCCACGCTTATGCCCACCGTAGACAATGCCTGCTGAGTCGCCCTAAACTCTTCAGCGTCGTCAACACCATTGATCGGCGTTGAGGTTGGTCCTCCCTGTTTCAAGAAATGGAACTTCGTGACGTCCGTATCCAGCCCAAGGTCCTTTCGCTCTTTCAGAGGGGCTCCAGCGCAAAGTTGGTAGAAAATGTGATAATTTCGTTCGGTCAACGGCTGAAAGACGATACGCGAGCGTTCCAAAAGATATGTGCGTATGCGAGCTCCAACAATTTCTTGTTTGCCGTCGAAGAGAATCTAAAATGATATGCATATATTATGAGTTCACTTGTAGGGACGCAGTCGTTACAACGTACCTGAATATACTTGCCAAATCGAGACGAATTATCATTCCTCGTGGTTTTGGCGTTACCAAAGGCCTCTAGTATAGGATTTGTTGCGAGGATCTGACGTTCTATCTCACTTGATTCGTCCAACGAAAGCTTCGTCTTCGCTTTTGAACCAGAATCTGGAGGATTGACCGAAGCGAGATATCGCATGATGAATTTGGCCTGTAATATATACTTAGCGAAGGCCGAGCGGCCGAATCGTTCACCTGCTTACAGATTCTGTTTTACCAGCACCACTGAATAGGCCTAAGGAAGGGAAATCTCGAAGTAAAGCAAAATGACACACCTCTCTCCTGAGACAATGATGGTCTGACCCATGCCCTCCTTTCTCATTGCCGTGTATGCATCCTCGGCGATGGCAAACAGATGGGGCTCGAGGTCACCTCGCTTCCGTCCACTATAGGCTTGAATGATTTCCGGTCCATAAAGAGTCACTCGTTGGAAAGGATTAACCGCAATCAGCACTATCCCTGAGTATGTGTATATGTTGTGCTGCGCGTAACGGTTGCGGATGGTATGGAGAACTGCTCGAGTGAGAAGCTGTGAGGCGACGTCGAAGTGAACTACTCACCAGATGGCTCATTCAAATGCGACAGGTCCGTCAAATCTTCAGCGGTCTCCAGGAGAGGTGGGTTCCGCAAGGGAGGGAGGCCTTCCTTGCCATCCCTGATATCCTTCACAGATGTATTGACCGTGATTTCCTGTACGAAGTCAGTACAGAGCCATCATGTGAGCAAGTACTCAAAAGTCCACCTTGCCCCGCTCGTCAGTGAAGACGAGCTTCATGGAATCATCGGCGCCCTTTGTAACGGAAGTGACTTCGGCTGATACCCAGGCGTGCTCCTTGTCTTCGAACCATACGCGGGTTCCCTTGCTGTATATATTTTCAGCCATTTAATTGGCAGCCAGCTGGCCAGAAAACGAAGGAAAATACGCGTGTATGGTTATGTACAACGGTAAGCTACAGCAAATGCGGCTGAGACTTTGAAACTGATCTCGCTTGACATTATATTCCCACGGTCAATTTTTGTAGTTCCCACAGTTACATTTGATTCATTGGTTGTTTCGCACTGTCATTAGGTACAGCTTTCAATGGGTCCCTACGCATTGCGCAGTGACTGGACTGCACACAGACATCGAATCTCAGGCGTCAAATTCTAGCAGAATCACTTGACCTCGAGCTGTGGCCTCTTTCGAGTTCACGAATGCCCTACTCAGAGCCATTCACTGAAGAGCCTGAACCTCTGATCTGGCCCAGGCGTCTTGACCATACGAGTGCAAAATAATAACTCTTATGGTGATCGTGCACAGCGACTTTGCAGCAAAGGAAACGTGGCCCTTCTTAACTGGACGAAACACATCCAAGGAACCGGGACATTCTCGATTTTAATTGCGGAACTGGACTACTACTGCTCGAGACATATCGCCTCAAGTACACCTCCGTCGATGGAGCTTGGCATCCTGTTCCCAGTACCCGTAGGTCAGCCATCTCTGACCGACGCAGCCATCTTCCTCCTGCTGGACCGGCCCATGGGTCACCGTACTCCCTTACCCCCGCGCTTCATCTACATTCAGACGTTTTGACGTTTCCCCCTCGGGAAGCAACCCTGTCGTCTGGAATTCGGCTCTTTCACACTGGTGTGAAGCTCAATCATTGAGTCATGTATACGGCAGACAGTACACTGGAAAACTGAATGGGAGAACCACTGTTTTTCGTGAGCCAAAAACACCAGTCGTCCTAGCAGATTGCGCTAAATCAGACTACGGGGATACCGTACTTGATACACAACTGTTTCGCTGCTTCTTCCTCTGCGTCTTTCAGCCTTTTGCCTGTCACAGCTTGATCTAATAAGGCCACCCCGTTCACTACCAACGATTCAGCCAAGTCATTAAGCAGCGCGGCGAGAGATCGTAAAAGCTCACCGTATGGCATGGATTTCCAGGTTGGCTCGTGTTGCGGGCCGGTAGCCTCAGTCTGGTAGGTGATTGTCTGTTTCTTGGCTTGGAAATAATTATGAATGGCACGTTTATTAGCTTCAACCGAAAAATTAGACGGTGAGTTTGGCACGATGAGGTTCTTTACAAGATACTCACAATTATCGGGCATGTTGATCGGAAGTTATTGGATCGTTGGTAGCAAAGTTGGTCAGTTGGCAATTTGAGTGCGCCGAATGTTCGTTGCTGCTGAAATGACTATAGTGAGCAGAGCTTATATACCCTCTGGCACCTAGGTGCTGTATTTAATTTCAGCGTTGAGTCTCCAATACCAGCGCATTTTCAGTTGTTGTAGTGCACGAACTTCCAGCCATTGCGGTATGGGATCTAGAGATATCCCCAGCGTACTTTGATCACTGAGGAAGATGTCCTTGCGTAGCTGCTCTATCATTTCGTGTGGACTGGTAGGTCGTTGTCCTCCGTGTTCTCAATAGAGTTGAAGATGTTATGCGGAGATGCACAACAGCAGTAGATAGCAAATCGTAAGCGCCCAGTGTAGGACCATTGCAATGTGCGCTCATAAACCATTGCTGTTGTAGACACCCTTTCTCGGGATAACAGCAAGGCACACGTCGCACCAGCACTCCCAAGTGGATATTTTATTTGTATTTTATCTTATGGAAATGCCGATACCGCGAATTGCGATCGATCGGTCCATTCTACTAGTAAATTTCATATCGGAGCCGGGCGAATTCCAGTCCTTTGGAATATTATTGCGTTCTTGCTGTTTACAATAGTTTAGCATCGATCATTATAAGTGTCTGAGATGCGTTCCGAAACTCTGGGCTACGCCAACCTATACCCGAAGACTTAGACAGCCATCCACGAGTACTCCGAGTCCATGCGCGTTGTTGCCAAAGCGGCGTGCTGGGTAAACATCAGTACTAGTGACCGTGAGACTTTCTGTTACGGTGTCACTGACTCAACAAACCTGGCATCCTTGCTGGCTTGTATGTCAGCCATCTCTTCATCTTCTAAGGAACAAGATACGGCCATAAGTCCTGGAATGCAATTTAGCCATGACATCGCTAATGCAATCCCAGTTACGCCCTCTTGCGAATTGCGAACTGTTCGACCTCTTCCCTAAAACACGGTAAAACCCAACATCGGACTTGAGTAATTCCCTCCCTGAGCGTAGAAAGTTCTACGTGCAGCCCTTCGGAACACACACGGACTAATTGAAGGATATAGAACGTCATATCACTACCAACCCTTTCCCCACTAACGCTGGTTGGCGTTCATGGGGGAGAGGACATCCTACGAACAGGGTCGATCCCAATCACTTCTCATAGCCGACGCGACATGTACTCCATACACCTTATACCCGGCACACTCATCCTTGCACATTTGTCTCTTCAGCGTCCCCCAGCACTACCGATACACACGCACATGGATCCAATGGAATGGTCTTGACGTTGTTCTAGTCGTGACCTGGCGATGCATTCGTGATTTATGGCCACGGCCTCTGGCACTTGTGCTTACTCGCAATGCTCGTATGCTTTCTTCTGTTTCTGTTTTACCAACGACGCGTCCTTCTACTCCTGACCGAACTCGTGTCATCTTAACTATGTCGCCCCTACTATCCTCTCCCGCGAAACAGCCTACCATCTAGACGTCGACTCACTCACTTCATCAAGCTAGAAAATAATAGCCGAGTCATGTATACATCGAACTGGGAAAGGAAACAATATACGGAAAGAAACGGGAGAGAACAGTGGCCTTTGGAACTAAAAACGACGGCCTTCCGAACATGATGCGTCGAAATTAGGCCGTGGGGAGGCCAAGCTTGACGGCCAACTGCCTCGCCGCTTCTTCCTCCACTTCCTTCTTGTTTTTTCCTGTCACCTCTTCATCTAACAAGTCGTTACCATCCACTGCGCGCAAATCAACTCAGTTACTGAGTCGCAGGAGGGATCATAGATGCTTACCCTGTGGCATAGTCCGCCATACCAATCTGTGCTGAGGACCGTCGCTGAGGCTCCGGTAAGTGATCGTCTGTCTCCTAGATTGATAATAGTTGTGGACAGCACGCTTGTTGGCTTCCACCGACAAATCGAACGGTGAGCTTGGCCCCTTGGATCGCTATGGATGATGCTCACAGTTTTCAGACATGGATATCGAAAAAGCTTCTGGGGTTGCTGAAGATTTGAGTTCGCTGAGTGCTCGTTGCTGCTGAATATTCAAATCGGCGAGCAATGGCTCTTATACTGTTCTACACCTGCGGTGAGTTCGCAATGTTATAGCGGTGCCGGTTATTCGAATGATCTAACTTCAAGGCATTGATGATTGAGGAGCGCGAAATGTCACCAGCGTACATTGATCACGTCCGAAGAAGTCAACGTAGACCCTAGAAGGCCGCCCCATCACCTCCAACGAGCTGGGAAACCACGCCTCCTTCTTGTTCTAGATAGCGCTGGATATGTGAAGCGGTGTGCAGGTCAACAACTGTAGTAGGCGCCGAATTGCAGGTGCCCATTGGGTATTGCTGGCATCAGCCTCCGTCTGCATCTCCACTTGGGTCCGGCAGGTGGAACGAGACGGAACACTGATCTTCCTGTATGGAAGAGCATTACGTGTCCCAAAACAAGGTAGTTGTGGTAAACCATACTCTGCTAATATCGCGCAGCAAGAAGTCATTATGCAAAACAAGGGATTTGACTGGGGCGATAAGTAGCACAAATAGAGACACATTTCTTGTCTTACGAGTAGCAGCATGCCCAAGGGTAAGTAACTTCTATACCAACAGCAACTTTGAAATTAGCTGGATCGGACAACCCAAATGGTCCGCTTCAGTAGGACTTTGCTGACTGACCAGGAGTTGACTCCGATCGACCCGCCGCCTTGGACAATATTCTGATGTTTCGAGGCCTCATTCTATGGCAAACACTTGTAAATTGCTCTCAAAGCGATACACACTAGTGGTACGCAAGTGGTACGCCCAGTAAACAGCGAGCATGTGTTCAGAGGTGGCTGAACTTACTTCCCGGAAAGAGGGCTCTCACGCCTGTTGCGTATGGGAAATTAGGAATTTCGAGCAGCACTGTATGTACTTGGTAAAACGTGAACTTCAACGATACAACAGTACTTCAAACATATTGTGGATTCTGCTTCTCCCGTCTCCGATATAAAATGGATTGATCAAGGCAGCGGCATTCCAGCAAGTGGAGTATTTCTCCCCTTTGAGCGGTGCGACGTGCTGATTTACACACGTACGTATATCTTGATATGATCCGGAGACGATGGGTGTTCATAAGGTTTACGAGCTCACCTGCATGATAACCAATGGCCTTACGCAATGGGCGCTTGCAACTCAGCGTCTACTGCTCTTTTACAGACGCACAACTTCGTATTCAGTTCTGTTGAGAACACGGAGGAGAGTGGCTTCCCGGTGCATAGGAGATGATGGGGCGTCTGCATAGGGTCGCCACCGCCTTCTGCCGAGGTGATCAATGTACACTGGTGACATTTCGCGCTGCCCAACCATCAATGCCTTGAAGGTAAGCCAGTCCAGCAATCGACACTGTGATAATATTGCGAGCTCACCGCAGAAAAGGAATAACGGACCTAGTTATCAGAGTGTATAAAAGCCACTCCTCGGTAAGTCGAATATGCAGCAGCAACGAGCACCCAGCGCACTCAAATCTCCGACAAATCTCCAACGCCAGAAGCTTTGTCAATAGCCATGCCTGAGAACTGTGAGCATCATCCCTAGCGCTCCAAGGGGCCAAGCTCACCGTTCGCTTTGTCGGTGGAAGCCAACAAGCGTGCTGTCAACAACTATTATCAATCTATACAACAGACAGTCGAATATCGGAGCCTCTGCACCGGTCCTCAGCACAACCTAACCTGGTCGACTATGCCCTATGGCGAGTATTCACAATCCCTTTCCCCCGTGGCTTCGCAACTGGGCTGATTTGTGCGCAGTGAACGGCCAGCCCATGTTGAATCAAGAAGTCAGGGGGACTAATAAGAAGGGGGTAGAGGAAGAAGCGGCGAAGCAATTGGCCGTCCAGCTCGGTCTCCCTACGGCATGATTTGAGGCAGCATGTGGGGATAACCGTCGCTCCTTTTTCTCGAAGAGCCACTGTTCTCTCAATGATATTTTCCGTGTATTGTTTGTTTCCCCAGTTCGATGTATACATGACTCGGCTATGATTCTTTGGTTTGATGGCGCGAGGGAGTAGACTTCCAGAAGGTAGGCTGTTTCGAGAGACAGAGACCAGAATGCCTGAGCGTGCATGGTCGGGACAGATATGATGTCACGAGTCTGGCAGGCAGGCAGAAGAAGGTCGCGTCGTTGGGATCCCAGAAACAGGACACAGCGTACGAGCACTGAGTAAGATGCTGGAGTCCATTTCCGTAAAGCAAATTACGAGGCCCCCAACCTCGAGCCCTGGTCTTTCGCCCGATGGATACCATTCCTCGGATTGTTTCGCGCAGCTACGGAGAGCACGTCATTAGAAATTCTCACCCAGTTTGATCAATATCCACGTATATCCGCAGCGGTGAAGGACGCTGGAGAGACAACGATCTTGCATGTTGCGTTGGTCGCCGCGAGTATCTCTATGCAGCCACTTAAGATTTCGTAAATTGGCGTCCGGTAACGAGTCATGAACATACCAGTTTCCCGTAGCTTTCGATCGAGCCTTGTTTGTGTCTCTAAGGACTGCCCGTTCGAGTCTTCGAGATATGGTGCACAAGAAGCTAGAGGTTTTGTTGACTGCCACGTCGGTCTAGCAAAAGACCGCGTGGTGTGACCCTTGTAAGCGGACGGATGTGGACTTTCTTCTTCTGTGATGTTGTAAATGACTTGCAACGCAGACGACCGCAGTGTCCGGGAGGCGTCACCCTCCCAGCAGGTTGAGGAGGCCTGGTACAACACGTTAGGTCTTTGGAGATTCTTGCGACGACAGCAGCCACGAGTTTCGCGCTTCCGACGGGAGTAGCGCACATACACGCAGTCTCCAGTGGACCCCGAGAACGAGGGCCTCAGAACGTAGTCCATACACAACGAGGAAGGGAGGTGTATGTATATCCAGGCGGCTAGTCGCACTGATTATTGTTTGTTCTTCGATTGCGCACTTCCAATTCCCAACAATTGTACGACCCCCAAAGCTGCTGAAACACAGTCAGGTTCTGCCAATGGTTTCCGTCGCGTGGCTTAACCGGCTTTGCTAGTTTTTCCTTTATTCCTCTTCCCTCGTGTCGTTTTGGACGCGTTCTATGGGCGATACTTCGCCCGTTCTGTAGCTCTCGGACACTTTATTCGAGTGTTCAGATACATCAGATAGTTGCCGACACGGGGATGCAGAGTGTACAACGCGCTGTCGTCTCAATGCGGATGAGGTTGGTCAGAGCCGGAAATGGTGCTGGGTGGATAATTTCCCAATATTGGGCATGTGTTGGTGTCCGTCCGTGTGCGCCGGGCCACCATCGAGTTCGTAATGAGTAACGACGGTGTCCCCAGAGCGAATTACTCAGATCGCCGCCTCGAGGGGCCGTGATATGAAGATCGTGGATGAAGGTTGCTCGTCCTGCCGTCCCATCATACACATGGCAATAACCACAAAGGCATGCACGAGTCTCAATGCGCGCACTTTGCGGAATTCGGCTTGGCCTCTAATAAAAAGGAGTTTCTCGTTAGTACTCGCGGCTAATCAAACAATTACTACCGTACCGCATGACAATATTCTCCTGATATTACTTGTACAACAATTCGTCCATTGACACTTCGAAGCGAGTGTATCGACGGCTTCGCTGAACGTACGTAACCTGAACAGCGTAACATCACGTGGTAAGCCACTACTGCAGTGCTGCGGAACCCGGAATTGACAGGTTTGCCGGGAGCCAACCAGCGTAGTCGACTGCGCAGCGTGAGTTTGCAGTCCGCTGTCCGATGCCAGAGCTTTGGGCGCTCTTACTTTCCTTTTCAACTACCATGCTCCCGGTCCTCGACCTCTATCATCCATTCCGCAAAGGCTAGAGAATGAGAGCAGAATCCCACAATTTCTACGATTCTGTGCAGCGAGGACCCGCCATAAAGTAATTACCCTCCTGGCTTGTTCTTATAGGTCCAATATACTGATTTGGTCCCCTAACTAGGTCTTCGATGCATACGCATCAACTACCAGAAGAGGCAAATCCTGAGGATATTTCGCGGAGCCTCAGAATATCATCTTCACATCATACACGACTGCCCAGGACGCATAAGCACCCAAGGCAGTCTGACACCGACTCAAATTCACTTGCAATGGCGCGAACCGTCGAGCCTGAAGCTATACTCGAAGCAACGATCCACTATCATGCCCCTTCCTGGGAAGCCGCGAAACCACCACCTCAACCTCGTCTACATGGCCGGCCGATGCCTAGGCCGAAAGCCTCTTGGGATAACGTATCTTCCTCATCCGCATCTTCATATGCTGCTTCTACCTCATCGTCATCGTTTACATTGTCGTCTGACTCCACGGGAAGTTCGTCGGCACCTTCTGCCCTTTTCGACGGCCAAAGCAAGCCGAGCAGTCATACGAGTAGCAGCACGTTTAGTTCGCAACTGAAGGCTCTGTATCGCACGATAAAAGAGTTGGAGGCTCGAATCAAAGGGGATGTGCCAGGAGATGCCAGCCAGGGTAGTATGGGGACAACAGTTGAGGAGTTCGAGCGGGAGAGTTGGCGAACACGAATAGCCGATCACAAGAGGTGAGTGATACCATGTTACTGCGGTTGAAGCCTGTTGACCCTGGTCGCAGGTTAGCAGACACGATATACAATATTCTCGAAATGACCCTTGCTCCTGGTGTACCCGCGTCCCTTCGCTCCATACCCACGAAATACAACCTCATCTCTTGCTTGTGGAATACTGGCTTCCACCACCTCCTCGAATCACTTCGCCGCGCATCCTTTACTTCACTCCTCGCTCTCGAGCACCTGCAAGATTTCATATATTACGCCTACACATTCTACACAGGCGTGTACGAAGAGCGAACGCTAGGAGGCTTCAAGAGTGACTGGCTTGAAGCTCTCGGCGACTTGGCGCGGTATCGGACCATCGTAGCGACGATGGTGCAAAGCAATTTTGGCCATGGAGCTCTTTTGACTGCGGCCGCACTTTCGGGGGTTCCTGGGAGCGTGAGCCACCCCGCAGGCGCAGAAGCGAGTAGCGATATCAATTCTCAGGAGCCTAGTATTGGTGTTGCGGCAGCACGATTACTGGAGGTCTTACCGGAGAAAGAGCGGTGGCGGAAAACGGCACAAGGGTGGTATGGCAAAGGGATTGCAGATACACCTGGAAATGGCCGTCTACACCATTGTCTCGCCCTTCTTTCTCAAGAAGTCGAAGGTGAAGAACTGCGGACGATTTATCATTTCGTCAAGAGGTCAGTCATCCCTTACCCCATTTTAGCTTAATACTGACGATGATGACAATAGCATGACCGCCCTTCATCCGTTTCTCGCGTCCCGTGAGGCTGGAATCCTCCCCATATGGTCTGCCGAATTGCAAGCCCGCCGACTTCTCCCTGGTGCTGGCGTTTCCGACCTCTTTGTACTCATCCACGGCATGCTCTTCACGGCAAGCCAGCTGTGCGACTTTGAGACTACACTTGTCCGATTCCTGGAGAAACTAGCGGTGGATGGCGCGGAAGACAAGGAATGGATCATGATGGCTGTTGTCAATATCGGGGCCGTCCTCGAATATGGTAAACCTGAGGGCACCTTAAAGCAGGCGGGGGTTTCAAATGCGGAAGATTTTCCCCCTCAACCTCAGAGTACGGCGAGGAAAGACCAGATGGACGTCGACGACATCAATTTCCCAATAACTGATCCGGAAGCGAAGCCCCCCGTTACCTTCTCACTCGCTGCTCAATTAATGTCTGCCATGCTCTCCCAAGTCCTCCGTAATCCCATCCGACGAGACGTTCCAAATCCTTATCTCACCGTCCTCCTCACCTTTCTGGCAACGATCTTGAAGAACGAAAAGGCATTGAAACTACTCAAACCCTATATCCCTTGGTCAGACCTCGCTAATTTCTTTTCAAACATACCGAGCCACGTCACCGAGAAGGTGCTATGCACTGGGGAGCGATGGTCCATGCTAACCAGCAAATGTGCGCCCCTTCGAGAAGATTGGTGTATCAGAGCGATGGCATGGGTTGGTCGCAAAGTCTTCGAGCGTGGCTATTGGTCCAAAGAGGAAGAAAGGGCCGCGGAGCTTGAGCTCCTAGACGACATGGACGGTCGCATCGGGGACAGTTCCACAACGAGGTTTAGCCTGTCCGATGCCCGGTGGACTCGAATTGTCAGATGCGCAGTCGGCATCGCTAATCTCGTGGACGACTTTTCGTGGGTGGATAGCACAAGACAATGCCGAGTGGACAGGCTACTCGCTGAGAAATTCCAACGAGGCGAGGGGCTCGGTTACAATGAACAGGGACAAGAGGGATATGGAATAGGTCGACGATGGGATGGTTCCATGGATGTCGACGAGGAGCTTGGAACGTTCCTGACTACCCAGAGATAGTCCTTTTTCGTTCAATCCACGCTATATTTATCAGTGGACATCACACTAGTCGGGCACAGGGCCTACAACCAATCGTTAACTGCATCGTGGGCAGCGGGGTTATGCTCAGTGACTTCCACTTGAGTTATCTCTCCGGCTTTCCGCCAACAGTTATGACTTGCATACACAATCATTTTCTGCATCGCTGTTGGGCCGCCCCGTACAGCAATCACTTCATTTTGCCATACCCATCATATTTTTATTTCATTTAGCATAGCTGCGGCTCCGCCATTCGTTTACAATTATTTTCCTTGGGAATGTCCATGTAGTTAGTTTACAACAGGTGTATAGTATCCCCACTCAATCACTGACCACCGTCCCTTTGCATCGTACTCATCATTAATAGCATATTTTATGGAGTAAATTAAGCTTCTTCTGCTTGTAGTAAGGGAACGGAGTGCTCTGACTTTCGGGGTGAATTCGATAAAGAGTATTCATCCCCTTGGAGAGTGTGATCACTCCCATTGTCAGTCCACCGAGGTTGTGGGTCGTCGGCGCGGTCAGGCAAAGCGATGTAGTTGCTACCAGGGATGACTGGAGCACCAGATTTGTCCAGTTTTAGTTGTCGGGGAAGTAAGACCAGTCCGACGAGGTAGGCGATTGGTAGGATCTAATACGAGATGCACCTAAAATTAGAGGGGCCAAGGTAAAGTAGCATGTGGCTTACAATGACCCAAGCCTTCCACAGGCCCCAGACAGCAGACGGCGCAGGATACCCAAGGGCGGTTTCTAACAGCTGAAGACCGCTGTATGTCTAATGTACATATGAAATCAGCATAATGGTTCTGGGAACAAGAGCCGAGTACACGCACCTGGAATACAGCGAAGCACAGAATGGACAGACCAAGTACTACATGGAGGATGTTTATTGATGGATGTGCGGGAGCATCGGGGATCAGTGGTCGTGACTCAATCCTTCGGCCCAGGAATAGTTGCAAAATGAACACCCCATATAGGACAAAGCCGTATATCTGTGCAGTTTATGTCAGATACAGAGGATTGTATCTGGTTTGGTGCAGTACATACATGGTGAGCACTGCGGAAATGACCTGCGCCATCGCTGGAGACTGCTAGCGGTCCGAGTAGGAAACCGAGCGTGATGACCGGAAGTCCTAAAAGCATATTGGAGATCCAATGCACCTTGAACCAGTGCGACGTCAACGTGCGACCCCATCTTGCTACTAGAGAGCCAAATGGGAGGAATAGAAGGAATCCAGCAGAAAGAAGCAGTCCGTGAAGCACTATCAACTTCCCATGATTAGAGGGATTGCTTTCTTCTGGTACCACAGCTGCGTCGGTAGCCTGAGTGGGAGAGCTAACTGATGCGGACCTGGTCACGGTGATGTTTGCTGGTGCAACTTCAATCGTAGGGCGTGATGGCGTGGTGGCCTTCGGGGGAGTCGCAGGGCGTGTGGGCGCGGCCGGAAGGGCAGTAAGATGTTCGGTACCTGGAAGGTCCTTCGTGAGGTCTAATTCGAAATAACCTGCGCCAAAGTGCATGTTGATAGTTTCGTCTGCGTCTCCGCCTGATGGGCGTGTTTTAGAGAAGGCCCAAATATATCGCTCATTGGTATGGCCTTCAGGTAGAACGGTCTTATTCCTCGGAATTTTGAACGCCAGGGTTTCCCAATCTGGTGGAGCCCACTACGGTAGCATGAAATTGCGCGAGTTATTGACCCATACTATCCATTGAGTCGCAGCACTCACAAAGTCAGTGACATCTTCAACGAAAGCGCGTCTTGGGGGAGAACGGACAATATGGGGTTCTCTGTAGTGCTCCGTTATGCGCTGGGAGATCGAAGTTGCGTTACTACGGTTCTTCCAGACGATCACCATCTGTGTATTGATCATATGCTTTCCAAAGCCACTGAGAACGAACATGAGCAAGGTTTTGGACACTAGAATGGAGAAGCTTACATGGCCATCCATCCCGCAGGTTTGAGTTTCGCGGTCAACTGGTCTGACTCCGTCGTCAGTACTTGCAGTGATGAGAACAAGCGCAGCCGCTTACAAACTACGGAATGCTCGTCCGCCGTCGCGTTCACACACATATGAAACCCACACCATGAATCCCCCTTCAAAGCGAGCGCAGGAAGAACATATGATAGACAGAGCAAGAAAAGAACAGGAAAGCTGGGACAGCGGAACATGATATCAGAGGGAGGGATGCGAGCGGCAGGGCCAAGCTGGCCGCGTCCATATATACTAGAATTGAATTAGACATGCTCCATTTGAGCTGCTTGATACCCTCCTAACATTCCCAAAGCTTACCGGGCAACCAGTCAGCATAATCCCTTTCGGTCAGGCAGCCACTTATTCTCATCAACGGCAAATAGACTGTGAGAAGAGGTCCTTCGCCGTCCAACGAGAGTCGACGCGTATCTCACCGCCATCATCAGAGAGCCGTTTACCGCGTGATCGGTATCATCGAGAGCGATGTTCGTGGAACAGGGCCTCCATGTCAAGCGAAACGCCAGGCATGTTCAGGGATGGATCCTGCACCCCCTGAATGTCAGTGACAGGGGCCCTAGGTCTACGCAAAAACCGTGTCGAATTGCAATTTTTATATATTGTACACACTTCCTAAGACTTCACGTAAGCTGCAGGTTGGTCTACTCGAAAACCCAACCTTCCAAAGCGCTGGTCCACTGGACGACGCCATCTGGGAACCACCTATCGGGGTCTTTAGTCTTTGACATCATCCTGTCATTGGTAGAGACGTACAAAGCAATTTCCTTTTCGGCGCTCTCAACAGAGTCGGATCCGTGACAGATATTGCGTCCAACAGCAAGACAGAAGTCACCACGGATAGAACCTAGTGCAAAGTTGGTAAATCCTGCGAGCACAGCGGGAAACGTCCGTACCGATAGGAGATGCCAGGGGGTTGGTGGCACCGAGCATGACACGGCCGGTCTTGACAGCATCAAGTCCTTGCCAGACCATGCAAACAACAGGGCCGGAGGCCATGTACTTGATCAAACCAGGGAAGAAGGGCTTTCCTTTGAGATCAGCGTAGTCTACGCGCGATCCGTCAATCACTTAGACATTCACCAACGTATCATCCACTCACGCTTCTCGAGATGCTCAGGAGTCGCCTGGGTCATCTTGAGGGCGATGAGCTTGTAGCCACGCTCCTCAAACCTGGCGATAATCTTTCCAACAAGGTTGCGCTGAACCCCGTCGGGCTATGAATTGAATGGCGTCAGTCAGTGATCTGGTCACCGAAAGAACAAGCGTTATCTTTTCTTACCTTGATCATGATGTAGGTACGTTCAGTGGTGGACATTCTGGCTGATGGTTGTGGTGAAGAAAAGAAGAGCTGCTTGCCCTTGCACTGAATTTATAGGCATCGATCCCATTATCGTGTTAATCACATCCATCAGCTTAACGCGATCTAATCTAATCTACTTGAGGACAATAGCATCAGATTCAAGCAAGTGCAAATATAAGCCCGACAGTTTCCGGTCATTCTGCGGCCTTTGCACTCCAACTTGAACTCTTCCAAAATGTTTGGTCCCCTAGGTCCGTCGCTGGCGCCTCAGATTAGGGCTTCACGCTCCTTGACCAAATGGCTGAAGCCGTTTGCTACGTGGTATGCCAACTTGGCTGGGTACCGCCAATTGGGCTTCAAATATGATGACCTTCGTGAGACTTCTCTATGCTCGATGCTTTGAATTCTGATCTTGAATTGCTGGTAGTCGTCGAAGAGCGTCCGGACGTTCAGCGGGTACGCCCCATTGCAAAGGAACTCTATGCAGGATAGCAACTCACGTCAACGTTCAGGCATTGTCTCGTTTGACCCCTCAGCAAGGCTACGACCGTATTTTCCGTATCAAACGTGCTTCTCAGGCCAGCGTCGTGCACAAGCCATTGCCGAAGGATCAGTGGATAAAGCCAGAAGAGGTGCGTTCTACTCTGGGGTAGCCTGTATATGTCCTCAGTAATGGCGCACAGGATATTCGTTACTTGAAGCCTCATGTAGTAGAAGTTGCCAAGGAGGACTCGGAGAGGCAAGCTTGGGACCACATCGTTGTCGCCAAGAAGTAGGCCCAGCAACGTCGTGCCCGATATCATTAGAGCTGGTATGATACAATGTCTCCAAATAAAGTCCATTAATGCGATTCACTCTCGCCTGTCCACGCCGACAACCCGGGGCCTACTGCTTTGTCCCCTTCGCTGTCTTGATGTAATCTGCTACATACGGAGCTACGTTCTCTCTTAGTAAACGCGCAATGGAAGGACAGTCAAAGCGCCTGCCTCAAACCAATTTACATGTCTTGGACGGATGCAGTCTGACCGTCTTAACCGTTGTACGTCGTCTCGTTCCCCATCTTGTCATTGTTGATGCACGCAGTGCTTGTCATACCATACCAGTAAATTCGGATGCTGTACATGTTTGTTCCCTGTCGGTGCGTCTGTCCGATAGACTGTTGGTTTCACTGGTGCTCCAAGCCCTGTAGTGTCTCGGGCGACAGCAGAAATAATACCAGTTCCCCGAACCCTGCAAGGGCATCAGTGCTATTCTCCAGATCTTATGCGCAAGGCGAGACCATCGGACTAAAACATAACAGTCATTTCCGTGTTATCGGTATATCCATCATGAAAACCCCGTGGCGCTTACAGTCTTCGAAGTCCTAAAAGGTAACGCGACACAGCAAAATTAGGGCCTTGTTGATGCGTAGCTCATTTCCGACTTGGAACCTCCGTGGCTAAGGTGCTTATTCATCTTGCCAAAAATCAAGACAACCGACCTTAGAAAAGGAAATTCAGTGGCCTTTCGTGGGTGTCGCGTGCGCTTCAAAGCGAATATATATGGCTAACTCTAGAGTGCTCAACAGGTTCAACCTTTTTTGAGCCTGTGATCGGGTCCTTACGTTCGTTCTTCTAATCAGAAAGTCCTGCTTACAGCAATAACACCACAACGACCTCTTACGCCGACCGACCTTCTACGATGAGTTAAAGTCCAATTCCCCTGTGATTCACATATCGAAATTATAATTAACAATATACTGCAGGGCGCCTCTCTACTTTGCTGCCGAGTTCACTTGCTTGAAGTATGCTGTTCGCACTGCAGCTCGTGCTAACTGGGCGAAATGGGCATATTGCAAGCTTCGAGCTATCGGCGCCGCGCTGGCTTCTTCGTTAATGTGGCGTGCGGTGAGAACGACCGCCTTTACACCCAATTCAGCATCCTCGACAGCGGCTGTCTCGTCTGGTTTACTTCGACTTCATGAAACTCGACAGGTGTCTAGAGCTCGATGCAATCGATGGCCTGAGAAGTGGGTTATCATCTATTCTATGCTGCAATATTGACTTCTTCCGCGGTGATCGACTTGTGCATTTGACACTTTGCTCTAGTAGAGCAATGAAACTATACCGCCATGCCTCGCTCGTCCTCGACGCCAGTGAGAGCGAAGTCTCAATTGTGGGAGATGAAATTACACCATTGCGGTGAGTTCAGTGACAGCAGCGAGTATATAAACCTGCTTGTGCTTCGAGGGGATGCATCACACAACACACTCAAGGCGCAACACACTTCCAAGATGCCTAACGCAGATAACTGTAGGCGTTCACAACCTCTCGAAGAACCGTCTTCTGACCGACTGCCTGTATGTAGCTTATAAGCGCGCTGTTCACAACCACTACCAGGGGCTTCACATCGCCCTCGTATATGACAGCACTCCTCACGGTCCTCAGCACCAGCAAACTTGGACCACTATGCCAACCGGTGAGCATCATCGTATTCTCGAGATATTCGCTTGCTTAATCCGTGGTTAGTCAACGGTCAGGCGTTATTGACCAGCCGTGTCGCGGGCAAGTCCAGGAAGGAAGCCGAAGAGAATGCAGCGAGGCAGGTGTGGGACACCGTCATCAATGCCTAGGGGGTTTGACATCCTCCGGCACCTCACCAGCGTGGCCTTCTTGTGTACCCACTTTGAATACTCTGCTCTGCGCTCTCGTTCGCTTTGTCTTTGTTCCGAAACTGGCTTTCATTTGATTTGACTTTCATCCCCCCATAAGAGACGTGCAAACCGTCCATTGCGCTCCAAGGGGTGCGCGGGTTGATTTAAGAACCGGCGGACCCCATTCATGCTATGCCAGCGAGATACCCTTCAAGTTCTCCGAATGACCCGCAGATGCAATTGCTGAACAATGAAAGCAATTCAGCGCGCCCAGTCTTCTTTGTTTTGAGATGGCGTTATGTTCAATCGACCGTCCCAGTTCGAGTCCGTTTGCATGCTATTCTCAGGAGACATACACTACGTATATCATAGGGTTTTACGCATGATTACATCGTTAGTTGATCATGTCCAAGTATACGCTCCCTGCACTGGCCGCGCTTCGTCCCGTAGTTCAACGCTCAGAACGCTGATTTCCGGTATACTCATATTGTGGTTTAACGTTAGTTTAGCATTTGACGGTAATTGTCGCTCCTTGGAGGTCCCGTCGCTTCACGCCGTCAAAAGAACATTGAGCAATGATGCGGCGCCCGTTGAGTACTAGCTTGGCATTGGCCCTGCAGTGCAAGCAAGCCCTTCAAGAATCAATTACTTCTGGCGTTAGTAGGAGTATCTCCTATTTCCTCAGTTTGGCGGCCACTGCCATGACTGCATGAAATTAGTAGCACATGCCATATCGATTTCTGGGCCAACGCACCTCAGCCTGTCGGATCTAAACATTGTTCAGTCAAACTCACGTCTTGATCATGGAATCCTTGCGCCCATTAGTAGAGGAATGGTTGTACCTAGATCAGGTATGTCATTTTGATCACTTTGTATAATCCGAGGCTAATGAAGGTTCTTGCAGAACGCAGAAACTAGACAAGAAATACAGAAACTTTGGTCTGAAGGGGACACTGTAGAGCTTGAGAAACGCATGAGGTACGTAGATCGTGAGATGTTATCGCCGTTTCGTGACTTAGGCAACATGTAGGAAAAGGATTGAGTTTGGGACGGCAGGTAAGAATTCCTATATCTTAATGATGTGAACGGGTTCCAAGGGCATATGATAGGTCTACGGGGCAAGATGCAGGCCGGCTGGTCGCGCATGAACGACTTGATTATAATTCAAGCCTCACAGGTGTGTTTGTTTGTTACTCTACCCCGAGCAGACTCAAACGGAGTCTTCGTATTGTAGGGACTTTGCGCGTATGTTCTCGCTCACGTCGAGAATGCTCGCAAGCGTGGTATCGTCGTTGGGCACGATCATCGACACCATTCCAAGCATTGGGCTGAATTGACGGCTGCCGTGTTCCTCGCGAACGACGTAAAAGCGTATCTCTACCGTAATCTCGTACATACGCCTATGTGAGTGGTGCTTCACGTTGTTCACAACTTTGGTGATGATCACGCTGTTGGACAAGGGTACCCTTCGGCGTGAAGGCACTTGGGGCAGCCTGTGGTGTCATGATCACGGCAAGCCACAATCCCAAGGTTTGGTCAAGCCAGTTTATTCTCACCCTATTCTTATTGGTACCCATTCCCAAAGGATGACAACGGCTACAAGGCAAGATACATGTCGTATTTCCCCGCAGATCTCGGCTAATGCGAAAACATAGGTATACTGGGAAAATGGCGTGCAGATCATAGGCCCGCACGACGAAGGCATCTCTGATTCTATCAAAGCCAACCTTACACCCAAAACTTGGGATACATCCTCTGTCAATTCTTCGTCTTTGTGCATCAACCCGACAGAAGACATGCGAGAAGCCTACTTCGCTAACCTCTCGAAATTGAGCCTGTACAAGTGAGCACCTGGTGCTACAACCTGAGCTGACATTCACTGATATTTATTCAAGGTCTCTGAACGCAGAATCAGCGGTGAAGTTCGTGAACACTTCGATGCATGGTGTTAGCAATCCCTTTGTAACGCGTGGTTTCGAGCTGTTTGGTCTTCCACCATTTGTCGCCGTCGAAGAACAAAGAAATCCGGATCCAGACTTCCCCACTGTACCGTTCCCAAATCCAGAAGAGAAGGGTAGGCAACTTCATCCCCGCCTTGTGTCACTTTGCTCATCGTCGCACTAGGCGCTTTGGTATCATATATATCTGTCATATACATGAATATACTCACCATGCGCCCAGGATCTAGCAATCAGCACAGCGGAACGTGAAGGCGCACAGTATGTTCTGTCACAAGATCCAGATTCCGATCGCTTCGCTGCCGCCGAGAAAGGGTAAGTGAATATAATTCCACCGTTGATATTTCCATCGAGCTAGCTTTTGGTTGCTAGGCCCGATGGCAAATGGATCGTCTTTACGGGAGATCAACTCGGAGCCCTTTTCGCGTCCAGAGAACTGGCCATATACAAGCAGTCCGGCAAACCACTGGGTACGACTCTACGGTTTTGGTTGCTATCATCATATTAACAATTGTTTCTGGTATACATCACACTTGCAGAGAAGCTAGCTATGGTTGCCTCCACGGTCAGCTCTAAAATGATCGAGGCCATGGCCCTCGCCGAGGGCTTCAAGTTCGTTGAATGTCTCACAGGTCCTTCGCTTGCATTTCCCCTTTCAGTTTGATACTAATGCAATGGATCAATTCAGGCTTCAAGTTTATTGGAAACACTGCGTTGACGCTTGTGGAGCAAGGTTTCGAAGTGCCATTCGGGTACGAGGAAGCGATTGGGTACATGTTTGGCCCCCAAATCCGCGACAAAGATGGTGTCGCCGCGACGGTACACCCTTAACCTGGTTCATCTGTCGAGTTTGCCGATCTAATAGAATTGCCCTCTTAAAGGTTTCTTTCGCGGAATTAGTCACATCGTTGCAACGGGAGGGCGAAACAGCCAGTTCATACATCTCCAAATTATACGAACGGTGATTGATTTATTATACTACCGGTCTTTCTTATCTAAATGCTGCCTTCATGTACAGCTACGGTTACTTCAAGGTTGGCGATTGCCCAGGATCTCTAGACGTTCCCTCACTGTGCCATTCATTTAGACGAGCAATAGTTACTTCGTTTGCGACGACCCATCCAAGATCAACGAAATATTCGCCCGCATACGCAGCTACCCAGTGAGAAATGTACACAAACCCCTTAGAAATTCTTCCTGACGGGGTATCTTACTTTGTTGTGGATAGACTACTTCCTCCAGCAATAGGGCAACATCTCCCACCCACTCCGATACTACTTACCCATCGAAGATTGCTGGACTAACGGTCGCAAGCATAATAGATCTTACTATAGGCTACGATAGCACAAATGCGCCGTCGTTCAAACCTCGGTTGCCACTTTCTTCAGGACATATGATCCAATTCAGAGCAGGAAACGACGAAGTCAAAATTGTTCTTACAACTAGGTGCGTCCTCAGTGTCTTGCGGAATAGTTGTGGAATATATCACCATATTCTAGGACAAGTGGGACGGAGCCAAAGGTAATGGAAACTCTACATGTGTCACATGCTGTGCACGCCAACACATCTTGTAGATCAAATACTACCTGGAAGGCAGTGGCCGGGACCGAGCGAAAGTGGAAGCTATGTTGCCAAAGGTGGTTGAGGAACTTAGAAGCGACTGGATGGAAGCCGAGAAGCATTCCCTGGGAAGCCCGTCAGCTTGAGTTATGTAGATGCCTAAAACCAGATGTCTCCTGTACCCTATTTGCATCCCCTGTGGCAAAGTGCGTGAGGATCAAACACTCTACAACAACGCGGTCTCTCAATCTCTCATGGCAAATACTACTGTAACTGGCGCGAAGGCCATCCATGGGCAGAATCCACAGGTAAGGGTTTTGTTTGTTTTATCCCGTTATGGCTGCGAACCTACTATCTTAGTTTCTAGTTGAAAATGTCATCCGAAACCGAATTTACGAATCGTCGTACTGGAAAGAATACTGCTTCGCTTTGACTGGTTTGTGGTGGACGTCCCTTGAGCTGGTAGAGCATCATGGCTGACTTGTAGATAGCCGAAACGTTGATTGATAAAGCTATCGAGATCAAATTTATTGGTGGTGTCTACGGAAATCAGCGACCAACAGAATTCCTATGTCTGCTGCTGAAACTCCTGCAGATTCAGCCAGAGAAGGAGATTCTGATCGAATATCTGCAAGCAGAGGAGTTCAAGTTTGTTTCATAGCCAGTGCTCGAGGACTTATCCTGACGTTGACTTTGAACAGATACCTTAGGGCCCTCGCTGCATTATATGTCCGCATGACTTTTAGTGCAGTCGATGTGTATGAGATACTAGAACCGTTGTTGAAAGACTACAGGAAGTTGAGGAATAGGAATATGGGTGCGCCAATGAAGTTGACTTCGTGGCCTGCTACTAATGTTTTTTCGGTTTGTAGCTGGCTATAGCTTAACGTTCATGGACGAATTTGTTTACTCGTTGCTCACGGAAGAGCGCGTTTGTGACATTATACTGCCCCGCCTGCAGAAACGCTCTGTTCTAGAAGAACGCGGAGACATCGGACCCAGGAAGAGCCGCTTGTTGGATGCTATGGAGGGTAGAAGCGACGCTGGAAGCGATAGAAGCCGGAGCCGTAGTGGGAGTAGAGGGAGTAGTCGCAGCAGGAGTAGAAGCGTTAGCGATGCTGGAGGGCGCAGTGTCAGTCGGGGGAGAAGTCGCAGTAGAAGCGACAAGACTCCTTCAGAAGCCGGTTCGAGATATGTGTCGCGTAGTCCCTCCCGTTCACGGTCCGGTTCGCGATCGCCGTATCGATCCCGTAGCCGTAGTATATCCCCCGACAGAATGGACGAATCCTGAGTGCGATGTAGTATTTCTTCCGATTCGTGTATACCTTCTTCCGTAGCCGAGCGCTTAACAGTCTGAGATCACTCACTTCTGACCATGATGGTGGCCGCTACTCGACTTCCTGTAATTGCTATATGTGGAACAACTGGTGTTGGGAAATCGCAGCTAGCTGTTGAACTTGCCCTTCATCTCTCCAAAACCGCTCCGAATCGCGCGAGGATCATCAATGCCGACGCTATGCAATGCTACGCGGGGATGGACATTATAACCAATAAAATGCCCGAAGCCCAGAGACATGGCGTCGAACACCTTTTAATGGGATTCAAGCAGCCTGGTGAACAGTACGTCGTTGGCCAATGGGTGCAGGACTCCATGAAGGCGGTCAGTTATGCACACACCCATGAAGGGGTTCACGTATTCATCCACTACCCGGTAGATAGAAGAGACCCACAAGCAGAACAAGATACCCATAGTCGTTGGTGGTACTTCATACTGGATCCAACACCTGCTGTTTCCGAACCGACTATCACAATCTGAGCTTCATGTGCCTGCCGAACCGCCAGAAATGTCCGAAGACGTGATACACAATCTTGCATCTCTGCCGCCGGAGTTGCTGGACTTATTCAACTCGCTTCCCGAACATCCCCCATCGGCTTCTGATGATCCAAAACTTGCCTTGTCGCTCCATAAACTGCTATCTTGTCTGGATCCCAAGATAGCAATGAGATGGCACTGGCGGGATACTCGGAAGGTGCTCCGTAATATTGAAATTGTAAGGGAGACCGGAAGGATTCCCAGTTTAATTCTTGGCGAGCAATCTAAAGAGAGGGTAAAAACCAGGTATGCTATTCTCCTCTTTCCCTTCAATCCTATACTCATTATTGACCAAAGATACCGTGCATTGTGCTATTGGTTATACGCAGAACCCGAGGTCCTAAATCCACGCTTGGACGCTCGTATTGACGAGATGATAGAGGTTAGTGTTGTGTTTGTAATATATACGAAAAACTAATCAGCACTTCCAGGCAGGTCTTCTGAACGAGATCAAGGAAATGCGTCGTATCGCAATTGCAGGACCAAACGACGACACCTTTAACAGAGACACAGACTACACCCTTGGTCTATATCAAGCAATTGGTATCCAATCTCATTCGCATTCCTCGAGGTATGCAACTAATTGTGGGTCGCAGGATACAAGGAATTTCACGAATACCTGACTACCCAAGATCCATCCGACAGGTTATTCCTCGAGTCTGTGGACAGTATGAAGCACTCAACGAGGAAGTATGCCAAACGCCAAATATCATGGCTGCGCAATAAATTTTTACCTGTTGTCAACGAAGCCAACGCAGAAGGCTTTCTCACTCCTACATACGTGCTAGATGCAACCGGTGAGTATCACCGATCCTCTCGGTCATAATGACCTTGATTAACCCAATTAAGAACTTGGCGAAAGCTGGCGGTCTCGCGTATTGGACCCTGCCCTCCGAATTACTGATGGTCAGTAATATCTGGTACTCTGAACAACTTGAACAATCGTTAATTGAGTGCAGCATTTCTTGACTTCCGGGAGTTGCCCAATCCAAAGGGTCTTTCCAGCGCAGCGACACGACTACTTAATATTACTCGCCGGCCAGTCGAGTATGTTTGTCTCACCCCTGCCTTACCTGTACCTAACGTGGGTTGCTTGTAGTCCCATTTCAGTCCTTCAAGCCCGGCTTAAGATAATTTGCCAAACTTGCACCACAGACCCCGAGCAACCGTGCATGATCGAAGAGGGCACACAATGGGAGGCCCACCGGAAGACGAAAGTACATCGCCGTCTTGCATCGAAAGAGAACAGGGTGCAGATGCAGATGATGATGAAGGCAGAGAAGCAGGCAGAGCGACGGATGAAGCGCTCAAGCCCACAGCTCCCTGGGGGGTTAGGGAGCCATCTACCGAATGCTTCCGAGAGTTCTGGTCAAGTAATTTTCCAGGCTACATAATCAATACAATTACTATCAGGCGTTGAATTGTAATGCGAAATGGATAGATGCAGTAGACGGTCAGGACATCAAATGGGCGATCACTCGGCAGAAAATCGTGATCCTCGCGCTGTATCTTCGCTAGTTGTATGGGAATGAGATGGATAGCTGGTGTTAACTTTCTTTTATGGTCGTCAAAATGCTGAGAAAATCGACACTGTCTGGCACATTATATACTTTACACATCTTCTTTGTTCGACTTTCATTTATTAATGTTTCCCCAGCTGCGACCCATTAGTTTCGCGCACAATGCAAGAGGCCTTGGGTAATTGTCATACAGGTGTATACAGTACTACTATAGAGCACGCGAAGCATCCCAAGGGCGATGCTTCCACGAACTTCAAAATCATCGGTTTACACTACTTACATAGCTGTCGTCAAGAGATGCGTTGTTTATCTTTATAAACAAGTGGGGGTATCGACGTTAAGACCTTGTCGTTGGGGCGAGGAGAGATTAACTGTGCTCATTCTTGGGAGACGGATCTTAAGCGTTGGCGTCGATGTTGTAGAGCTCGCAGTCGGGGCCTTCGCCTTCGCCTGGGCCTTCGCGCGCGAGTTGGCTGGGGGGCGATTCCGCGTTATTATTGGTTTAGGCTTATCAGATTCGGGCTTGTCAACCTCAGACTTATTCGAGACCACCCTCCGAGTCGTTGGAGCCTTTTCTTGGGGCCGCTGAGACGTAGAAGGAGGCTCGTCGAGCTCAACCTCGTCATCTCGCTGTTTCCGCTTCCTCCCCCGCTTCTCCTTGGGGGGATCAACTTCTTTCTCTTTCTGCTCTTTCTGAACGGTTTTACGAGCCCGGCGTTTCACCTAAGACCATTAAGCCAGACGGCAAGTAACGGCTCCAGAGCCACGTACCTTTGGGGGAGACCCTGAAAGGAGGAGGCTCGTTTGATCGGTGTCCTCCAACTACAGGTAGGGGGATCAGAAGGCATCGATATGATAAACGTGTCCTACGCACCTTTATAATGATACGGGGAGCCGGGATGATATCTGGAGGTCGCATCTCCCGAGGGGGCACCACTCCGGCATGTACCAGGTATTCAGAAGCGGACATTGTCTTCGCTGGTCCTGTTCTTCTCGCGCTCGGAGCTGCTTCTGAACGAATGACTGAAGACCCCTATAAACAACTATTTAGACAATGGGAGTTAACTCTGAAATAAACGAGCGCGCCTTAGTAGTTATACTAGTCGCCGTATCCTCTCTTTTAGTCCTCGACCGCAATTCCCTGGCACTCGGTTCCGGCTGAATACTGACGGCAGACTTCCGTCTGCGTTTGGCAGGTGCTGTCGAAGGCCCAGCGGAGGATATCGAGCTAACAGTGGATTCGTTTGTGATGGTCCGAGCCATACCATTGGCAGTGACGGCCCGGGGAGGCTGTTTTAATTAAATTACCACGATGATCAAGACGGGCACGCGACAAACCTTGGGGACTGAGAGAGAGGGATTCCTTGATATGATACGCGCGTGGTGATTGCCCGAAATATCTTCTGCATCCGTTTGTTTACTTGTGTCAACCTTGGACCGTGAAGAATGCTTGGAGATGCCGTTGACCAGTGCGTTGGTTTTGGAAGGGGAGCGGTGTGGGCGAAGATGTGACATTGCTTTAAACCCCATGAGCAACTGCAAACGCGTGAGATGGGCTAGATGAAGAGAGAAGACAAGCACGTACACTGGCCGCATGCAAATCATCCGCGTTGTGTGATGAATCAAAAGGTGGGAATATATCTTCCAGGTCACCTTCCAGAGAACTTAACGAAGTGAGGGGTGATGACATGCCCGAGTCCTCTTCCTCGGAGATCCTTTCCGAACATAGATATTAGCAGTCTCGCTGCACCAAGATGATCACTCACTGTGATTGAATGCCATAAGTCCCGTTGATGCGGTTCCAAAAGTCCAATACAATAACCCTCTCTGGAACCCGATAGCGGCGACCATTGATCAGCACCTCATCCACGGCTACCTTCGCCTGCGTATTATTTGGCATAGTCTCCGGTTGTATTACTTCAATGTTTCCATTGTTGAACTGGTTTGGTCCTGTAATATCTATTGGTGGTGCGTTGTGTTTGGGTATTCGACGTTTCAGCGGCTTGAGTGAAATCCATTGTAAGATAACAATAGCAAAGAAGCGGAGGTGTACGAATGGCTTACTATGACTTGCTCAGAGTGATTCGGACACATCCACTTCTTGGTAAAGGTTGGCATAATAGCAAGGGGTGGTTCTAAGCAATCAAGATGCCAATGAAGACTGCAATAATCGCAAGAGACAATCGGACGCCATGTTTCTGAGACGTTGGTAGACGATGACCGCCGTGCTCTCTTGGCTGCGGGAGCTGCGGCCGCGACAGATTCGGGCAGCGCGGATGTCCCACAACGAAAACAAAGCACAGGTACCCCGTTTCTGTCACGAAGTCGATGTTGATCTCGCTCATCTAGTTGACCATGTCGACTAGTATAGCGATGAGTAATTGCGCTGCAAAAACAAGGAAACAAGCCACGAACTTTAATCGAGGTTGTTTGGTCTCAGAGCTGTCGACATATGCTCCGTTCGGAGCCGTAGCCACTGGAAAAGGGGTCATTTTAATAGCAACTTTCGGTGGCGTGTATGCGCACCATCTTTGAAAAACGTCCTGATATCTTCTGGTAGTTGATACTCGTTCGGGTTGGCGTGGAGGAGGTGTTGGATGAGGGGTGAGAAGAGCCCGGGCGGGGGTTTTTGCGGTGGAAACTAGAGCCAAGAATCAGGAGTTTACGCGGTGAAGCAACACTACGATGCTCACCTGTTTTGCTGTGCATGCAGGACAATACCATTTACTATTTCCTTCATCCACATTCTCCTCTGGCGGGTCGAGACACCAGAAATGAAAAGCTCGGGGACATCCGTCACAGTAGATAAGAGCACCTGTAGACCGACACGCAAAACAATGGTCCTCGTTGTTGTTGATCTTAGATGATTGAGCTGGGGTTTGCGTTAAGAAAATGGAATACAGGACGTACCATAGGAAGAGGTGGCTCTGGGGTGTTCAACACTACCGTCTTGGGCTCCTCCTTCACCGTTACGCTAGTAGACGACACCTCCTTCCCCTTCCCCTTGTCCTTTCTTGGTCTCCCACGGCCGTTTGAGGGTTTGCCGGTTGAGGCTTTGGCAGGAGCAGAAGCAGAAGTATCTGGCATATCGTCCGAAATCGGAGCCGCATCCACGTCGATTGGCGCAGCCTGCAAGGCAGAAATTGAACTGCCTTCGTTGCTGGCGGAGGGAATCGGAGCAATGGCCGTCTGACCGTTCTGATGGCGTGCAGTGGCACGTTGAGCACGCCCGGACGCACCTCTGTGGCATGGCCGCAAGATGTATCAATGGGGTCAAAATCCCATCAAAGACCGGCATAAGTCGAACAGCGTAGAGTTAAGCATACAGAATGGGGGTTCAATGAGAAGGCTTTCTTTAGTGAAAGAAATGGTAGCTCACCCTCGCTCCGCTCGCATGCGTTTTGTACGAGGCCTGTCGATTTGTGGTATACTGGCAGCAGGCGTAACCGCCAGAAGTGCCGAGTAGGTGGAGTTGGGGTCTAAGGGCGGCAAATATGATACAGGTTTCTTTGTGTCTCTCTTCAGCGCAGCCTGCTGGACAGAAGTGATGGAAGGCGGCCCAGGAAGGATTTCTGTAGCAAGGGAGGAGTCACCGTCAAGGTGCGGGGGTTGTGCCACTTGCACGCCCGGCAACATGTATGGGGGCATGGTCGATGCCATGATTTTCGCTGTCTGAAAATGCGTTCGGAGGGTCGCTTGTCTTGAACTGCCCTTTACACGAGTTGTTGCAGCGGAGCACAACACTTGCGGGGCGAAAAGAGCAAGTGCCTCAGGTCGCTGTGGTGGCGGTCAAGGTCAAACAGAACGGCGGCTCAAATTCACGCCTCGGCAACACAACTATCTATCTACCGCATATACATGTAACATACAGCCATAATCCCATTTCTTTCGTCGTCGCAGACAACGGTGCGAGCACCTGAAGGGGCTCTGCACACAAATTCACTCACCATCTCTGTGGCCACTGATGTCTTCGCAACGACATCTACAATGATGGAAACGGGAGACACCCCCGAACGTCTTCAGCACACAGCGACATCAAAGATATCAGCAATTGTCTCGACTACGCAACTAGCTATGACCACGTACTATACAACGAGAGGTAATCGGAGTGGCATCAGAACCGTCATCGATTAGGAGGGCGGAGAGATGTTGGATAGCGAGAGCTAGACTTCAAGTTTGCGAATCAAAGGCTTAGGCTTAGGCAGCTTGATGGGGTATGACGAGGAGCGTGGAGATAAATGCCCATATGTAAAAGCAGACCTCGTCCATGCGTCCGTACAAAGTAGTAGGGAGGGACACCGCAGGGAGTGCAGCTAATAACAAGCTTAGGATCTTGTTCAACTACTTGGAAATCTACGGTAAACGCACCTTGATCACCCTCTATGTACATCAACAGCTACGTGAGTCCGTCAACATCGCCAGACCATTCCATACTTATCAGGACAGCAAGTAGATACTAGCCAGACCACACGACCACAAGGAACACCGCAGCGAAATACAGTCTATCCGCCGGTTCAGCAAGCGCCGAGGTGTTGCTGCTTGTCGATAGCATGTTTAGCCGGTTCGTTCTTCCACTCTCACAAAAGAGCAACCAGCGTCAGCGATCCCCAGTTGTCAGTCGGGGTCACGGAGCTGCCAGAGAGCGGTGTTAATGAGGGCGGCTTCAGCAGAAGTTCTCTGTCATGTCATTATGGACGCACCGCAATATCTTCCAGGCGCCTAGAATTTGGCGCAAATAGAAAGCAACCACCCAGTCAAAGGTCCTAGTCCACCACACCCAACCGGCTACCGTGGTTTACGCATGTTGCACCCACAGCCACTGGAGTTAATCAGGAAATACTAGGCAGAGCGCGCCATAGACTTGAACGCCATATACGTCTGTTAGGGGAGCGCCTGGGAGCGCTCTGCTAGACATCCCAATATCTCAAGCGCTCGTCGCTGAAGCTAACGGCCAATGAGTGTTGTGATGATCACATCGTCGGCCGTCCTCGAATAACTCGACTGCTGAGTACACAGAACGTCAGAACGCCGCAGGAAGTGACTAGCGCTGGCTATGAAGGATAAGGGCCTCTTCCATTGCACGAGTGGCGGTTCGTTGTATGTGAACAAGAAACGTTTGTCTCTTTCCCGAAGCCTGGAGTGCTAAATGGAACATCTAACATATGGGAAGTCAGAAGTTCTTTTTCGAGTGATCGGCTTGCCGGATTCGGGACGCCCGAGTCGTGAGGGCACGCACTGTTGATTTACAGTCGATTCGGGTGAGGCCAGTGTAAACAGGGTAACTGTCGCCGATCTCCACTAGTGATACTTCCAGCTTCCAGTGCAAGGGTATAAGATTTAGGTGGCGGTCAATGAGCATGCATCTGCTGGTCGCTGGTCACGAACGTCGCGCAGGCTGAGCGACGCGCTCCTCGTTGTACTGAAGGAACATGCGTGGGAACCAATACTCCATTTCCGAGTTCTCAGGGGCCTTCCCCTTTTATAACCACCGAACAACCCTACTATATTTACTCACCAGTTTCCCGCCGAACGACATCGCTGGGAGAGTTGGAGGGACAAGTTCGAGACAAACGGACGCACATTACTCCCAATCCAGGCGCTGTTTAGTGGCTGACGTTTTCATATGGTGCATGCTTCGAAATCATAGCGGCAACCTCTGCTTTCGGCGGGCTTGTTATGCGCTGAGAGCTTCAATGGACGCAAACCGTGGTATCCAGTGGATAAGATCTCGAACGTGGGCGGAGGGACGGTACTCATTGGTGACTATTTTGATCTGATGTCGTTTTCAATATTCTGAATGATGGAGTTTGTTGCCTGCACGCAGATTCAAGTGGTGGGCGATGGTGAGCCATATGACCATTGGGATGAATTAGAGCAGTACAAATAGCGAGGATTAGTCGGGGAAGACCTAGAGGCACTTTTGCAACCATGCTTTGGCTACGCATCCTTTCCCTCGTCGCGACCGCCTCAGCATTGAATATCTTGTTGAGCAACGATGATAGCTGGGTATCAGCTAATATTAGGTACGCATCCTGCCCTTATCACAAAACAAATGCTTATATCTGACACGATGACAGGGAAACCTACAAGGCCCTGCGAGCAGACGGTCACGATGTTCTACTAGTCGGATCAGCCGTCCAACAATCTGGTAAAGGTGGATCGTTCGTTCTGCCCACCGTGAACATCACTGCACCTGGAGGGGAGTTCGGATCGGTCCCGATTGGTGCCCCACCCTTTGGAAGCGATCCCATGGATCAAAACCTCTGTGGGTGACTGTCAACTACTACAATGCTTCTATTCTCTGAACAAGATGGTTAAATGATCAGGGTACTTCAACGGAACGCCGGCTGCAACTGTGGCCTTCGGACTCGACATTGTCGCGCCCATGCATTTCGGAAATAAAACTCTCGATCTGGTCGTGACAGGTCCGAACGAAGGCAGCAACTTGGGCCCATTTTTGTACACGCTCAGTGGGACTCTTGGGGCTGCGTACGCGGCCGTATATAGAGGGGTATGTATCCCATCCCCTCAGCAAACAGTTGATGATTCAAACCGTATACTAGTTTCCCGCAGTGGCGTTCTCTGGATCAAATGGCACTCACCGTTCATTTACGGAGGTCACTGAGCACAACGATGCTGCGACTATCCAGGGCAAGGTCTGTGTCTTTTTGGGCGATGTATATCATGATGTGCATCAAACTCCCTAACCCAATTTCAGTTGGTAGCTAATTTCGTCGCTGCGTTGTCAGCAGGAATCAACACTACGACGACTAGGTTATTAGATCTTGGTGTCGGCGTAAGGTGAGTTTTTCAAGTTCGTGTGCTGTATCAACGCCTATTTACCAACGTACAGCGTTGGATTCCCCGTCGTGGGTGGAGATAATCCATGCGTGGACGTAAGCTTCTACACCCGATGCATTGTTGGTACACCATGCTAATAAGAGGCTTAGCCACCGTTCACCGCCACCCGTATAACTGGAGGTGCTCTTATGGATAAGATTCGCATAAACGCAACTACGGGAATGCCCCAGTTCGACGATGTGTACGTACAATCTCCTCCCACGTTCCACCCAACTGAGATAACTTAGTGCTTTCGATGGCCTCAACGTTAATTTCACCGGTGACCCGAGACTACCAGGTGGGTCGACTCGGAATTTAGATCTAGTGACTGACGTTCCTTACCTTCCATCGCACTCAGGTGAAACCAATGTGACAGAAAACTGCCAGACCTCCGTCTCGGTCTTTGCTGTCGACTATGATGCACCCCTTAACCTCGCAGCACCGATTCAAAACAGACTAATCCCGATTTTCGGAAGGACGTCCCTCCCCGAGGCTGCCTGATGAAAACATATAGGACATCCAACGATCGAACCGAACATTATTACGAACAATACATACGAGTAGTACAAGGCCATCATGTGTACAGAATTATACGATAAATACTAACGCTCATAACGAATCTGATAACTTCGCGATACAACCCTGGATTCCTTGTAACATCACCAACCTGTCGTAATTTGGTTTTCCGCAGGTCTCTTTCCCGCACTTTGCATTCCAGCAAGCCTGAGCTTCTGGCCATTCCTCCATGTCGAGACCCCCCACTATATCACCCAGGGGCCTGCGGTCCATCTCCATGAACATGCGGATTTTGAGCTCTCGCCAAGTGTGGTTATCAAGTCTTTCACCGCACTCGCGGCAGAAACGCGGATCAGAGTTTCCCGCGTCAAACACCGTCTCAGTGTCGAGGAGGCGCTTGAACTCGTCTCTTCGTTTGCGATGAAGTCCAAGAAGGGCTAAAACGTCCTTGGAGGGAAGTCGTTCCAGAAGCTCCTGATGTTCTTCGTCATACAGAGACAGCGCTAAAGTATACCTCGAGGCCAGCTTGGCTTCCTCTTCCCATCCGAAATGTGTGGCGACAGCGAACAAACGAAGTGGACTGGCAAGGAACAGGGGCGTGGTGATGGCAGCCCGGATGGCAGCTAGTGGGCCTGGCGTATTCCATTCTTCGGCCAGCTTTAGCACTCCCTCTACTTCATCATACCCCTGCCACCGGGATGTCGACAACCCGCACAGCATGCGAAGTAGACGCTCTAATATTGCATCCTTTTCGTTGACCGGGATCAGCACATCATTCCCTGCTGTGCCAGTCGCATGTGGTGATATGCCATTGCGAAAAAACTCGGTGGTATTAACCAACACAAAGGACGGGACTCTGTACAGAGTGCCTTCGGCTGAGCGGAGCACGACGTTAGCTTCCGGGCTGGCGAAGGCGGGGTGATATGTGCGGGGCGTGTCTTCTGGTCGTGAGCTCTCCATGGTAAGTGAGCAAGGTATTGGGGGCGTGGATACCTCGTGTGGTTTGGAAAAGCCCGTTCTGGCGCTTGCTGAGCGGGATTAATTGGCTCAAGATTATGTATGAGGCGTGCGAGGCATCGGTGCAGTCAAGACGGAACCCTGCAAACTTACCTGAAGACCTGAATTGCATTGCTCAGGGGCAGTGGCGGTGAAGGCTGCATCTTATCTATCTATCAATCTTATCTTGTCCATCTACTTCTTGCTTGTAAGCCAGTGCTGACACGCAGAACTAGACACTCCGAAGTCATTGCGACTTCAATGCCAGCCTTTGTGCCTATATTACACAGTATCTGGCGTCAGACCATCAATTCTATGTAAAAAACAACTGAAAGGGAATAAGATTAATGTGTCGGATACTCGGGGCGTTAAATCAACTAGACAAGCGACTCACGACGGCCGAAACAGAGAATGGAGAGACTGTCGCCCTTGGCATATCCAGCGCCAGCGGGTAGGCGACCACAACTGATGACCAGGGGCCTGAGTCTTGACAGCGATGCGACCTAGCCGGTGGCAAAGCGCATACTCACAAGAATGTTCGTGGTGTTAGCGAGAGTGCTCGCACGATGTCCTTCGCGTCCGACCCCGGTCAGAATGTGTAGGTTCAAAACATCTCCCGGAGCTATGGTCGCACGTAAGCGACACGTCTAGCTTGGAGTCTGCCTCGAGGTAGCGGGGTTTTTGCTACGCCTTCTGTTGCGCCGATTGCACTAGCCCGAGGGATGTCCGGTAAGTATGGTCTTGATGATCATGCGGGGTGAATTAATACATATTCGCTTCGAAAGGTTGCATATGAGGCGCCGTTACTAGAATACGCCATTATCTGTGAGCTATTCCGCAGCGCTCAACGATGTGGCGCTATACAAGCGCCGAGTATTGAGCACTTGGGTCTGGGTTGTAGCACAAGTAGGTGCAGTTAAGTTAAAAGAAGAATCATTGTGACCATCTTCATAGTGTCACCTCCATGGAATATGAGATCGTCGTCTTCGCCAGTACCGCGTCTCTCTGCTTCGAGCGTCATTCGTTAGGCACACGGGCATAAGTCAGCTCTATCTACATATGTGTTCTAGACCTCACGATTTACCGGTATGTTTCCATTGCCTGTAGATTGTTCGACATAGCTTGATCGCTGTGGCATCGTTTTGGAGACGATTCAAATCTACTCCAGATACTTCTTTTTTTTAGTCTCTATTCAACCTCCGTTGTGGCGAAGCCATATGTGGGAGGGACTTCTTCGTTGTCAAACAGTGAACTATATACTTGGAGGAGCGCTTTGACTTTCCGCGGAATGGATGATTTATCTCTACATAGCAATCTGGTCGACACCTGAGATTACAGTATCCAAGGGTACATAAAGAGTTCGTCTAATTCCCAGTCCCCCCACCAGCAAGCTCAAGTATATACCTCTCCTATCACATATCAAACTACCCAGACATAATTATCGCCCAGCGATTACATGCCTCTACCACCGAACATCTCCTGTACGGCACTGCTTCTCTTTTAACTCACCCCGGCCTATTGAATAATGACTACATAGCTAGCTTACAGAAGGGCTGTAAACAACTGGGCCCAGGAGAGCAGACACACGCTCAGATTCTGTTGTGAAAGCAGTGGCCCAGTTCACTCGCCCACATGGACGTGCATGCTTTTCGGTGGGTTCTTTCCCTCCCCTGGCCGTATCATCTGAGTCCTGAGTTTATTTTCACAGTTGACGATCATCAAGTTCTGAATTCGCCCGTGGTCGATGCAAGGAAGGGCAGTGCTGAAGAGCAGGCAGCACAAATTCTATGGGGCATGATCGAGAGCGGTCAATTCTGATTTCGTTGAAGTCAAACAGGGGTCCAGGGGGGAGTCATGTAGTTGATTGGATATACTTCCGTGTCTTGATGATATATTTCTCGCCTATCTATAATATCCTCGTTGGTATCCAGCTCTCCATCTCGTAGGCCGTATAGCTTTCTTTCAGTGGTCATCTGAATCAATGCACTAGTGGTCTCTGTCATACTCCCACGGTCAGTCTGTGCTACTCTCCCACAGTCAAATGTTTCACCCCCTCTACCTCGGGTGGAGCAGTGTTTGAGGACCATGTTCATTTTACCCTTTGTGTTAATTCTGCATTCATGTATTCTATTTAAGCCCTCATTCTCACCATGATTCTCTTCTTGATGTCCTTTCTCCAATTTTGCAGCCCCTGGATATCCAGGCGGTTCGTCGCTCGTCTGCTGTCGACAGTCATCTGTGCAATTCTCATCGTCGTTCGCCCTTTCTCAAGATATGGAGTTCCCTACGCTTTCCTAGCACTCTCGTTGAAGGAGCTCATTTTCTCCGTCCAGGAGACCATTGCACAGCAGCTGGAATCCACAATCCTCGGCTTGTTGGGTGGATTGCTCGGGATAGGGATATCGTCGCTCGGAACGTTCATTGCGTCCCTTCCGACCGTTGATTCAGTGACAGCGCGCGTTATTCGTGCTATATTCTTGGCCCTCACATGCTTTGGGGGCGAGTTCTTCTTTAACGAGTCTACTAACTGAAAGAATTCTCATATGTTGCAGGTGGTTGGGCCAAGAGTCGCCTGCCTCGCCTTACCCATGCTGCCCGTATCTGTTGTTTCATCGCTATATGGCTGCTCACTGCGGACGTCACCCTTGATGAAGTGCGTATGTCGCCCGAACACATCCGATCGCGGCTGAACCTGTCCTTAGACCATTCGCGATTACGCAGTGAGCTTCCTCTGGGTCCTGCTAGTCGCAGCTTTTGCTCCCCTCATCTCCTCCCTGATGATCCTCCGGTGGTCGTCGGCTCAGTTTGCTACTGACATCGCCACGGCGTTCGCCATCTCGCATGACTGCCTTTCTCACAGCTTAGATGCTGCCTTCTCTTGCTCGCACACTCCCACCGCGGCGCAGAATCAGCTTCTAAAGATGTCCGTGGCGTTGAATCAGAGATACTCCGAGGCAAGCTTCGAGCTTCGGGTGGGCCGAGTTGGCGGTGAGTACATATAGTCTGTTCCTGCTGTTCCTGTCTTATACTGAAATTGCCTACGCAGTGAAATCGATCAAACCGCTGATTGGGACGATCGAACATCTCCGTCGAGAGCTCTCGTGGGGAATGGTGCACTCAAGGACGCAACCTGCTCCTCTGCATGTTGACTCTACTTCTCCAGACGAAAAAGATGTCGATGCCTTCCGCGTGCCAGCCTATGAGCTTGGGCATGCCGTCTTGACTTCAATGAGAGTTGTTGAAAGGACCGTCTTGACGTGTTATGAGCTCAATATCATGCCTCGCCAGCGTGATGAAGAAAAAGGAAACCTAGATGAAGCGCTGAATAGCTTATACAAAGCCGCTGTGGTAGCTAGAGACGTGCTCAAGAGTTTCACAGATGACTTGGACATGCAGCAGCGCGCAGAGGACGGCGCCGTCGGGTTTCCCCAGAAATCCTTTGACCTCTGCCTTTTCATGATATCACTACTACAGGTACATCCAAACTCCTTTTCCCCTGCAAAGGATACCGATCATGAGCTCCTAGATGGCTCACGAGATGAAGCACGCCTTGTATCTCTGCAAAAAGCTGACCGCTCTACACGAAGTCTCGTCCCCTCGCCTGTGGCATCCGCACTTCTCGTGGGCCTGGCTCGGCGCGGCGCCGTCCACGTTCATCATGGAGGAACGCGGTGCTATTTTGGACCAGGATTCCCCCGACCCTCAAGCAGAAACAGCGCTCTCGCTCACAGAAACGCTCCAGGGTATATCAGAGAACCAATATCCTACGGACCAGCCCGACGACAACGATCCCGATGGATATCCAGACAGCAGCCCCGATGACACCCCGGAAGTCCTACGCCGTAGGAGGATTCACGGAAGGGTCATGAGTGTGAGGTGGATGGCGTCTGTGATACATCACGTCTGGAACTACGCCGCCGTGCTGAGGACCAGGCTCAAAGTATCCAGAGTGCTGAGAGCCGTGCAGCACTCCCCGAACTTGAGACACGCAATCAAAAACGCTGGTGGAATCGTACTGCTCAGCCTCCCTGCATTCCTACCTACTGATTCACCCGGTGCGTCGATCCCGCTTGTTCAATGCAGTTGTGTTGATTATAATCGACCGTGAAGGATATTCGTGGTTTTACTGGGCCCGTGGCCAATGGATGGTGATTTCGTATCTTTGGGTTCTCGAAACGAACACCGGGGCCACTGTGAGTAATCGCTTAATCACTTGTAATTGAATACGCCAGTTTCTGAGTGTTCGCTAGTGGCGCGTTGGATATCTGCGGATCGTAAGCTACCTCACTTCGGGTCCTTGCACATAGCCATCTGACCCATGGATGTGCTAACCAGTCGGGTACTATCCTGGGTTGCGTCTACGGGTACATCGTAAGGCTTCTCCCCTCTCATTCTCATCTTCTCTTATAAACACCCTTGCTAGACCTACGTGATATGTCAAAGCAATCCCTACGCATTGGTGCTGATGCTGACGGTACGCACCATCGCTCCTCCCTCCCTGTTTCCATTAAATCGGACAAAATGACCATCCAGCTTTCTGAGTTACCCATCAGCTGGATCATCACAAACACAACTTTCCCTTCACTGGGTGTCGTAGCGTATGTTCCTCTCCCCTTACCGTCGGGCCTCTCTCGCACTGAGCTTTCACTGCCCAGAGCTGTGACACTCCCACCGTTGACGTTCGTGAAGTACTTCAGCCCCGAGAGCGAGCCGTCTCAGATCAGTGCGTCTCTTCTCCTCGTCGCTCTTACTCTTGTTTTGCAAAGGCGTTGACGCTGCAAACATTTAGTGCTCGTAGTCCTTCGCGGGCTAATGATCGCAGCCGGCATCATAGCTGCCCTCTTCGTCAACAGCCTCTTCTTCCCGCGCCATTGTCGCGTCATGTTCCTCAACAACATCAGCAGGACCATCGGCATCGTCAGTCAATTGTACTTGTCCCTCAGCCGGTGCGCGCCGAAAGCCTCCGTCCCTCCAACAAACGTACTGACGTCTGTGTCCTTGGGTGCAGCGATCTCTTCTGCAACGCTCTAACGTCCTCTATCCTCGAAAAACAAAAGATCCTGAAGCTCGAAGTCAGGATCCGCAATGCCCTCCACCGTGAGTTCTCTACGCGTTTATCCCAGAGCGCATTCACCTACTGTTTCAAGGCATGAACCTCCTGCTCATAACAATGAACGACGAGCTCAGTCTTGTACCAGCAAGTCCCTATCCGTCCCTTGCCCCTAATCCCATCTGACCTCCTTCATCAGAAACCAATGAAACGCTACCGCCAGATCGTCGTCACCCTCCAAAAGCTACTCGACCTCCTCACGGGCATCCGCAAAATCCGCGAAAAAATCCCGCGTAAGGAGACCGTCACCGCCGTGGTCACGCAGCGCCGCGAGTTCGTCTCGTGCGTGTGCGTCTGTCTATTCGCCGTCGAGCAGGTCTTCCGTGCGCGACAACCCCTGCCGCAGTTCCTGCCCTCTGCGCGCTTGGCGCTGATGACGCTGGAGATGCACGTAGAAGAGAGGATCAGGCAGTCGCGAGACGAGGATCTTGGTGGGCTGGGGTTGCCCATCGTGTATGCATTTGCCGAGGCGGATGTCCTACGGGAGTTGGTGGACACGCTTGAGGACTTGCTGGAGCTCAGTCGCCAGCTGTTCGGGACGAGTTCGTGGTATAGCTATGGCCCTCTGGACATGTCTGTTATGACCAGTATCCACGAGGAGGTTGGGGAACCCAGCAGGAGTCGTTGAAGTTCTACTTCCCTACCTACATAGAATTTTTCAAAAATAGACATAGATTAGGGTCATCAGCTACATTATAATTGGCAATTATATAGAGCTCGAGTATCAGTGAATCTACGGGTCGTGTAGCACTATGATATGCGTAGCAGTATTGTAACTTATTCAGACAAATTGAATATCGGAGTGTGAGCTAGAGTTACATTCTTTGGATGAAGGAGTCTTTCGTATAGTCATTTCTATGGCTCCCTAATGCAAGCATATACTAAGTTATCGTTCCCGAAGCTGCGAGGCCGTTATGTGGTTGTGCAACACCTGCCTCAGCCCTTCCAAGATTGCCTCCGTGACCTGTTCGGGGGGGTGCATTATTTCCGCCATATCCCCCACCAAGACCGGCGGACCCGTTGTTGAGGCCCGAGGCGTCGAATGGCGCGCCAGCGTACGCTTCTTCGCCCCATCCCCACCCACCTTCCCTAGTGAATGGCAAGTGCTCTCCACTCAACTGGTCTCCCGCCAAGCCCATCCCTGCACCATCGCGATAGGTGAAGAATGGACTTGATGACCCGCTGGCGATGAATGGTGTGTGGTGGAAAATGGAGGAACTACGCGGTAGAAGAAGATGGTTGAATCTGAAGTCAAACACAGCGGCAAAGGTTTGACGGAAAGCAATGTAGGCAGTGATGGACCCAATTATGCCTCCTGCAACAACGTCGTACCAGTTGTGGACTACCGGTAAGCAATATTGTCAGCCAGGATGAAGGGGGAAGCAGTAATTTGAACTGACATTCGTCAATTGTCAGAGCTCCAGCGATGAGTACCGCGCCTAGTATGGGGGCAAAGAACAGAACCATCTTCCAATACGCCGGATTATGCGCGCTCATCACCTTGAGTTGCGCGTTCAGGTAGAGCGACAAGAAGATGAGACCCGCGAAGGCTGCCGTTGAATGACCAGATGGCATAGATTCGAGGGCATCATTGATTTGCTTTTTGTCACCGGTGCAAATTCTTCTATCGTACATGAGAGAGCTGAAACCATTGCCGGAGGGAGCTGCACCGGCTGGTACTGAGGGTCGGCATACGGCGTAGAAGTGGGGACGGAGGCCACCAATTAACCATTTAATGAAGACCTAGTACCGAAGCATAGTAGTGAGTGAATGGTGCGGAATTATAGGGAATAGGTAGCTACCTGAAATACAGCAGCCGTGATGAGACTTTTTAGCACGCCCATTGTCGTGGTGAGGAGATCGTTCATGCTTCTGCGGCGGGCTTGGAACAGGCAGATGAAGAAAAATGGAACGAAGAATGCAATTAGGGCGGCGGCCCATATGGGAATGATCTCCTTGCGGAGGGGGTATGCGAACTGTGGGTACACCACTTGTCCATCCGCGAAGTAAACTGGGAATGATCTACTTGGCGCCGGCGCTATAGTTTAGGACGATCAAGGACTCGATCTAGCCAGGATGTAGAAATGTAACTTGCAGGCAAAATAAACTCCCAATCCAATGGCACCCATAAGGGCCATCGTTATAATGTCGACACCATGGAGTCTGAGCCACGTGCCCAACGGGACATGCCCATCTGGGTACGCGCCTGAGGCGCGTGGGGCACCTTTCGCAAGTTTCTCTTCGCGGTGGCGACGACCAAATGGCATGATGGTGGTTTGTGAGAGAGAAGAGGGGAAAAGATGAAAGAAATGGCGTGCAGGCGCAAAGAGTTTATATACCCTCACCGCGATGGGTGGAGGAGCGTTCTTAAAATAGAATGACGTATATATGTAGGCAAGCTCGTACTTTTGAACTTCTAGTGATACACGACATTACGCTTTGCTGGAGTCGGTGGTGTTATCGTCACGCGTACGACTGCGGCCTCGCCTGTACCAAACAACGCAGGACAAGAAGGCGACAGCTCTATCGTCGAACCAGAATCCACGCGCGAGTGACCAGCGGAGGGATGTCGGCGAAGGCGCGAACGTTCTCGAGTTCCGGGATGCAAGAGACCATTGGGCGTGCGAGTTCTATCGTTCTTGTCGCGCCGGCGCGTAGGGCAGAAGGAGAGTGATTCGATGTCGCGGTAGTCCAGGCGTCCGCGGCGGCGTTTCTCGTCAGTTGGGCTTGATCCACATTCAGCGACCACGCTAAGAACGATGATACCAATGATTGTTACGATGATGAACACGAGGATAGTGATGGCGAATAGAAGGACTGTCGAAAAGGCGTGTGAGTTCCATACTTTAGAAGGGAGCCTAGACTCTGGGAGACCGTCGGTATATAAAGCATTTAACTTACTTGGGCTGAGCTTTGAGCTGGCCATGGAGATTAGACAAATATTGTAGCGTAGTATGTTGAATCCGGTGGGATAAGCGGGGCCTGCGGGACCTCTGAGATGATGGTTGGCGTTCAAGGAAGTGTGGAGGGATGCATTCACTTTGAGGGGCTTTGGCGCTTAGATAAGATAAGATCTTCGAGAATCGAGTATCATGTCAGCGCTGAGTTTGAACCATTTGTTGATCTCCCTGCGGAGATTTAACTGGAAACGGGCGCTAAAACGAGTCGTAACTGTGAAATGCAATCTGTACGCGACACTTGACGACACCCGACACGACGCTCAACGACCCCAAGAGCCAAACGACCGCTCTTCACCACCCATGGACTCATTATTTGGCCGCAAGAAGTCCAGGCCACGCCAGTCTTCTGTTTCTACCCAGGATCTTCGTGCTTCTGTCCCCTATGACAAGTTGGCACCGTCGCCTCGCGCCCCCGTCCCAGTGGGCAGCATTTCCCAAGGACTACGCGGCAGCGGCGTAGGAATGATATCCGCACCAATCACGAACCCAACACTCACCTCCAATGGCACCGAACTCAACAAGTTTGCCATGTCGCGGAGTAAGGCAGAGCGAGACAGGGTATACGAGCAACACTTAGGGAAGCGACCAGGCTCGCCAAGTACGTCTATATCTACCGCAGAATCATCTACCCTCTACAGCGACTCCGGCGCCTCTTCGTCCAACAATCGCATGAGACGAAGCGAGGCGTCCTTCTCAACATCTTCTTCGTCTGGTCCGCGAAGCCCTCTTATATCGGATTTTGGGACTGGCTCCTCTTATGGACCCACCGGTACGGTGCGGCCCAGCTCAAACTATTCCACTCGCTCAGAATCAAATCGTACATCGAAATTTGCACCCTCACTCGCTAGTTCGGAGTCCTTCCAATCACAACACCCACATATATCTCAATTCTACCAAACACTTGTACATCCTAACGAAGACTTCCACTTTCCACGGCCGGAGCACGACGAAGAGATTGAAGAGATGTTTGAGAACGTGAAGCTGACGCGGAGTTTGGAGAACATCCCCAAGATGTCAATAGATCAGAAGTGGCACATTGTCTACAATAACGAACTCATGAAATGGGAGGAAGAGAAGAAGAGGGAGGCATTGACTCGCAAACAGATTGAGCTGGGCAAGTCGGGCGTGATTTCTGAAGGCGCGCCGGAGTGGTATATCCGCAAATTCCTGGACCGTACGATCACACCCAAAGAAGCAAGCGGGCTGCATGTATCGTTACGGAGTGAAAATATAATGTATTTCCGCAATTGCCCTCTTTCGACAGTGATATTGACTTTCTCATAGCTGGTTTAATCACTTTCTTGAATTACAAGGCGCTTCAGTGTTAGCTCAGACACTAGCGCAGTTACGGAAGACAACAAGGTGAGGGTTAGCTTACGGTTATGCGTATGGGGGGTAGTTGACTCTCGTTGTAGACGAGAACAAGATATCCAACTTGAGAATGAGATTGTCAAGATACTCAAGCGTATTCTCAACTCGCGTGTATGTGATCATCTACTGGAGCCCCGCTCGTGTTTCTCGCTGACGATCTGACCAGGGAGCGATGAAACAAATCAACGTTCCCCTTTTGGTTCCACAAGTTGCCCTGTCACTAGCCACTCCCCACATACCCACTCGTAAAGTCATCCTCGAAATCCTCACTTACTTTGCCGCGAATAATGAGGGCGAGTTTCAACCGCTGGTTGTGTCTGCGCTCGAAGCCTTGAGCGCAACGCAAAATGAGAGTGGCTGTTACCAGTATTGGTTCAGGGCATTAGAGACTACGCTTGCTGGTAGGGGGAAGATGGGAAGCTTGGTTGGAGCAAGCGACGAGGTTAAGAAGTCTGGGGCAGTTGAGGCTTCATTGAATGAATACGCTGTACGTCCTTGGTGTACCGAAGACGGAATTGCTTATTCACTGCATCTCATTCAAGCTCTCTAACATCATCCTCGTTAATGTCATTCTCCAATTCGTTGATGACCTTGACCTACGATTCCACCACCGATCGCAAATGGAAGCCGCCGGGCTTCACCGAATACTTGCGCAATGCGAGCAATTTGGGCTGCCCAGTCTTGACAAGAATATCAAGATTCTTCGGGACATGCTTGACGATGATGCTGCCCGGCTTCGCGAGGAAATGGACCAAAAGATCCTTCGGGATCTCAGCAACCCACAAGATGTCTACAATGCTATCTCTGCGAAGATAGAGAACACTAAGGCAGGGGACCACTTCTTGTCGATGATGCAGCATTTGCTGTTGATACGAGAAGAAGGCCCTCCTCTCGTGCATTATTTTCAGCTTATTGACTCTTTGGTAACCGATGTTGTACTGGATAAGAAGTTAGCTGGGGCAGAGCAGCGGCTTGGGCATTCTGTCGACCGGATAATAGCCCAGTTCAACGAAGCAGATCGCTACCAGTCCCTTTCTGAAGAAGCTACTGAAGCTAGGAACACGGCTTCTCGCCTCCAGCGCGAGAAAGACCTTCTGGAGGAAGAGATTTCCCAAGGTCAAGACGGTCTCGTAGGTCGCTTGAAGGAGCAGCAGAAGCATTTAGAGCAACAGCTTTCTATCTCGCGCGAGACAACAAACCGACTCCAAGGCCAGCTTGCTACCCAGAAGTCTGGCTACGAGGAGCGGATTGCGCAGCTGGAGGCCCAGATCATGGAGTTGTTTCGTATGCTTCGCGAAGTGGGTAATAATGTGGACACTATTCTTGATCAAGGCGCCATGGACCGGAGGACCCTCGTCGATACGCTTGAGAAGCAATTCCAGCGGAACAAGACGATAAGTATACTGGAAGGAAATAAGGGTTGGGGGAAGATGAGCGGCAAGTTGAAACGAGGCGGAACAGGCGGCGGTGGCGATGGACAAGGGGATGGCGAAGATGGCGAAGATGGGGACGACATTGACGCAACGCCAGGGAAGTCGAGTTTGAGAAGGGGTTCGAAGAGCATAGGCAGTCGAAAGAAGTCGACGAAAGGTGCGAGGGTCACAGGGGGTGCTACCAAGTTGGATGAGGCTGGCAGAGTATCACAATTCATGGACGCCGACGAGGATGATGCCAGGGAGCAAATTCAACAGCAGCTGGCTGCTGGAACACAGGTGGTACGTTTAGTGTTTTTCATTGGCCTCTTACAGGATCGACATTAATCGTGTTGTAGTACCCGCCGCGAGACGGTCTTTTGCAGAATTCACGAAGCATCCGGGCTTCACCAAGACGGAAGGACAGGCCCGTATTAGGCGAAGCCCCTTTCAGACCCCACAACGCCAATGGCCTCGGACAGTCCGACCTCTTGTCTCCTCACGCGGAAGAAGCGGGCGATCAGAGTGACTACAGTCGCTCTTCGTCTCCTGGCGGTGATGGGGATGGTAGCGAACAGGGTCAGTCAACGAAGAGTGGCTTCACAAATCTAACTGAGGACACGCAAGCGACGTCCGTGAGCTCTGGTTCAAAGGAGGGCCTAGGTATTGGCATGACGTTTGTAGATCAACTCAATCAGCGGTTTGCGAAGGCTCAAGCCGAGCGAGATGGAATTATTCCTGGATCTGTCGATGTTGACGGTGCACGAAGCACAGACCCACAGCCCGGCGGTGCTCCTCCGCCGCCGCCACCGCCTCCGCCTCCACCTCCACCGCCGCCACCTGGTACGTCTGGTATGTTCTCCCCCCCTCCACCACCCCCTCCTCCTCCTCCTCCTCCACCACCACCACCTCCTCCTCCTCCTCCTCCTCCTCCTGGCATATCTCCCGCTCTCTCTGCGTCGCCGTTCGGCACGCCGCCTCCACCACCTCCACCACCTCCCATGGGTACTCTGTCAGTGCCTGGCTCCTCTCGTACATCACAAGTCGGTCACAATATCACAAATATGCTCTCCAACCGTAAGGACATGCCTTTCACCCCTAGCACGAAGATGAAGCAACTGCAGTGGGACAAACTTCCACATCAGCAGGTGGGGAAGACCCTCTGGGGAGAAGAGGCGCCGAAGGAACATGAGATGTTGATGAAGTTGCAGATAGACGGTGTGTGGATGGAGATGGAGGAAGACTTCAAGGCGAAGCAGCTCGTTATCAACCTCATGGGTAATGATTCCATCCAGTCCAGATACTTTGCCTCTAACTCGCCTCTCTAATAGCCAGGCAAAAGCAAGCTGAGCTTAAGAGTGTCCTCGATCCGCAGACGAAGAAACTCGTCGGTGAGCAGAGAGCATCATTTCGCACTACCCGCGACGTTAACCTTTCAATCAGAAATTTTGATCCATCGCGTCAAGAAACTGGAACCGGAAGAGATTGCTAGACGGATTCAACAGTTCGACCAGGATCTCTGCACGGAGTTGTTCTTGAGCGAACTCAAACCAGTGCTTCCTTCGCCAGAACAGGTACAGAGCAAACTACAACATAGAACCCACCTCCCAATCCCTGATTCATCATGTACAGATCGGGAAACTGAATGTGTATCGCAACGCCGCCCCTGAAGAACTCGCCGGACTTCACCCCTCAGACAGGCTGATGGTCCAACTTATTAAGATCAACCGGCTTGCACCGCGGATAGAGGGCATGCTCTATAAGTGCAAGTTTGAGGAGACATGGGGATTGTTAAACGAGGTAGCTAGACTCCCTTTCCACCGATCGAAGACTAATCTGCGCCCAGGGCGCCAAAAATTTGGCGGAGGCAGGGCAATGCTTGCTCCAAGCTAAGCACTTCAAGGAACTGCTGAGCGTAAGTTTTCCTGCTCATTATTTTCCCGCATATTCAAATCTCGAATCAGTTAATTCTCCTGATTGGTAACTACATGAACGGCACGGGTATCAAAGGTGGCGCCTTTGGGTTCCGAGTCAGCAGCATAAACAAGGTCGGTGCTGATAAAAAAAAACGTCTCCGATGGTCCACTAAGCAACATCGTTAGATGGTAGATACCAAATCTGTCAACAACACCACCCTTTTGCATTTCTTGGAGCGTACGGTTGCAAAGCATTTCCCCGAAATGGAGGAGTTTCTCGAAGAAATCGCTAAACCGGCTGAAGCTTACAGAAGTCAGTCCAGAAAGCTATCTACATCGCTCTTTGATCGCGAAGCTAACGTTGCTTTTAGTACATCTCGCCGAGATCCGCAAAGGTTTGACTGACCTTCGTAACGGGTTGAAGACGATACGGCAGGAACTTGGCGAATATTTCGCTGGTATGGACCAGAGTGATAGGTACGGGGCCCAGATGTGGAACTTCGTCGGCAAAGCAAATTCGAGACTCGAGGACCTCACGGACAACGTCAACCTCGCCGACACTACTTTTACCGAAGTTTTAAAATACTACGGTGAAGAGGATAAGAATGTCACCTCTGGTGAATTCTACGGGATTTTTAAGACTTTTGTAACCTCTTATAAGGTCCGTTCCCGTGGCATCCATAATTTTAACTGACTAAAGACTTGTACTCTCCCAGAAATGCAAAGTCGACAACCAAACGGCTGCAGATGAACGCTCGGCTAATGAGAAGCGTAAACAGGCGGCAGAAGATGCTAAAGTCAATCGGCAGAAAGTGCGCGAGGCCGCTCAGATGCAAACAGATGACGACTCTGCAGTGCTCGACAAACTGATTGGGGAGCTGGGTAATGGAATGGTCTTAGGTCGACGATCAAGAAAACATCGCCCGACGGTCGACACTCGCTCAAACCAACTACTCACTCTCGACTCGATTGGAGGAACGGATATTGACGAATCCGAACGCGCTCTTGACATGCTAGCGCAGCTGCGAGCCGATGGGTTCGAAGCACCAATGCCAGAGTCACCGTCCATAGGGGCTGCGCAGCGTCGCCGACGCCGAAGGACGGAAGCCAACAAAGCCAACCCATCACCTCCTGGACCCTTATCCCCTCTCGCCACTGAGATAACGCTTGGGGATTCTGGTACAGAACCTACAGGACCACCAGATCTGTGATACCCGCTGTGACCATTGTAGCCATTTAGATGTATCTTTATCAGTTACTTTCTCTTTTCTCTAGCATCTACCGCATCGATTCGCATGTTCTTTATTCACGCTCCTCAATGCCAGCCCGAATCTGACACAAATACAGAACAAGGGGTATATGTTTCACTTGAGTGTCCCCATCCTGTTGGTGGGCCGTTCGTTATTTTGTGCATTTCTGGGGGTAGTCTGAAGACCGTTGTTTCTACTGTAGAATGCGAGTACTTACATTTGTTCCCCCAACAGATCTACATGTTGTCTTCGCACAGCATTCGATTCGAAGTCCAGCCTGTGGTACGCACGACTCGCCTTCCGTCAAGCAAAATTCTTCGTCCCTCATCCGCAATATCCCGCTCCCTCTCGTTGATGCTGCGAATGACCTGGTGGACAGCGATATCAAAGCCAATGTATACGCCAATATTGTTCTGAGGGCGCGCATAGTTTTGGTCGAAGGTGAGATACATCAGCGAACGCTGTCGTGGCTAATTATGTGGCCAGTTGGCCAAGGACACCCCAGCTCAACGAAGTTCCGTTAGGCTGTCTGGGATAGGATGGTATCATACTTGTGAAGAGAAGGCTGGTCATCTGACAGCAACTGTCCCAGCTTTAGCGGTTGCTAGCTCCAGTATGTAGAATGTTTATTTTCGCCGAGCCAGCTACTACTAGCGGCTACAACTTGGTCCCAGACTTCCTAGTTCCAGCGACTACGTGCAAGTATAGCTCAAATGTAGGCTCTGAACGGTTTGTTCGCCATATTTTTACCCTCACAGTCAGAATTCCCCTCGATGAAATCAAGCAAGCGACTAAATATGACCGTGACGGAGAGAGGGTTAGTACCATTTTGGCCGTCTTCTGACCGTCCTCTTTGCGTCCTCAGTCTACGTACGTAATTAAGATTAGATTCGAAGATAAGATAAGGCTTGCACCCAAAGAGTCTCGCCTCCTTGGTGGCTTATCTCCGTGGAGGTCTTGTCGATCGAAAATTATATGCTGCAGCAGTTCGCTCCCATTCGCGTCTGCACAATCGTTGGCCGCTTGACTAATCGAAACCCATTTGGAGCTGGGGCCGTCGTAGGGTAGGAGTAATCACAATCAGCCCAGTATTTATGTCCTGGTTTGCATACTTAGTTAATTGATTGATACGAAGTGCTACTGAACTTCCGAAGGATATTCTGATTCTGCTTGAGGAAAAATAGAATAGTTAAAATAAAAGCTGCGCTACGTGCATTCACTAGTGAATATCACGTTATTTTGCTGGGGTAGACGCCTGGCTGCTATCGTCCGAATCATCCCAACTGTCGAAGCCTGGAGACGAGGATGACTGTGATGATGGCGATCCCGAAGAAGGCGAAGAATAAGTGGGCGGATCACCGAGAGCTCCGGCAAGGCTAGAGTATGTGCTTATCGCGCCTGGAGGGATACGAGGCCAGGCGAAGCCGGCAGTGAACGCACCAGGATAGACATTTGGGACGGAGGAAAATATCGCCTCCTTCTCCTGGGGCCACGGCGAATCAACATCAGGGGTGGAGCTAGTTTGAGCGTGCCATGTTGAGTTATGTGTCAAGCGGCTAACAGACCGCCAAACGGCGCGACGTAGAGGAGGCAAACTTGGAGCTCTTGATGATTTGGTTTCTGGCGACACAGAGGTTCCATACGGGTGGTATCTTGAATAGGCGCGTGACGGAGCATTCCATTCCTGGAGAAACTTGCCGAGGGGAGTGACATACCCGTAGCCAGGAGTTGGGGCGATGATGGTTTGCGACCAGGTCGCCGACTTGGCTACACTACGATGACTTAGGCTCCCAGTTTCCGAGACAAGTCGCCTTTCGAAGGGGGTTGTCATCCGCTCAAGTCCAGTGAAGACAGAGCTCATTGAGTCGCCGAAATCTTCAGAAGGCTCATCGACAGAGAACTGTGTACTTGAAGTATCGCCCTCATCAAAGTCAAACGACAGATTGCCGAAGTTGAGTCCATTCCAATCGAACGAATCTACGTCGTCCTGTACGGGCTGGTCGTCCTTCGGAATGCTTGAACTAGGCGGCGCTGGCGGCATGATATAGTAGTTGTTGACGTTGACATTGAACTGGGTACACTGTATGGTGAGCGGTCCAGACGTTGCGGGGGTTGCCGAATAGATCATTGTTCGAGGATCTGTGAGCTTTGTAGGAGTGATGTGAACCTGGGTGAGAGATGCATTTGGGTACAACGGGGCGCCACGCCTTTATAGGTGCCCGTTTCCAGAGTATTGTCTTCCAATAGCGGTCAAGTGAACAAGGAAGGAGGTGCTTTGGCCGGGCGAGCCACCTAGGCGATGCGTCAAGGTCTCATTTAGAAAGATCGACTGCAAAGGCAAAAGCGGCGGTGGCATCGCGGATGACAAGGGCGGGTGGCGGGCGACGGAAATCATATATTGTAAGATCTATTGTACAGCGTAAGACATGTCGTGGCCACTGCAATCCGAGGGCAAAGCACAAAAGTCACGTGGCGCCAACTTATCCTCGATACACCCTGCTCAGCGCGCCCATTGACAAAGCGAGAATGAAGGCAAAGAGATAGAACACGCGGCCATCTTTATCATGCGAAGCGCCAGAGAGGAAGTTGCGGAGGGGCAAGAAAATGAGGCCGACGAAGAAATTGGCTATCCCTATTGAAAGGCAGGTCAATAGGAAGTGCCTTGAGCTGAAATGAAATTCGTACAGTTTAAAGAAAGACCAGTAGATGACAGAGCCGACACAGCCTGTGGCACAAGATGAGGGCTGAGCGTAGCGATGAAAACGGTTTACATACATAAAACGGCGAGACCTCTGGGATCATGACAAATGGAACTGGCCCTAAACCGATGGCGAAAGACCTATTGCAAGTTAGGATCCGACCATGGAGTCAAGCTAAGACACGTACATAACAAATGTGATGATCGCAATGCTAGACAACGCGACGTAGTTGGAGTCGAGACCGTAACCAACGGCTAGAAGGGAAACAATGGCGCCAACCGTGGATGCTGTGAGCAGGGGACGGCGCCCCATTTTCTGCTCGCAAACTTTAGGGGCTTGTGCATAGTTTATGAGCGGGCACATACCTCAATGAGGACGATGGGAGGAAACGTCATGAGGACATTCACGACAGTGATGCCAAGAGATATGTACGGCCCAAAGTCAGGTAAGGCCTTCGATAGGATGTCGTTGCTGTAGTACAGCACTATAGAAGGAAGTCATAAGCTCGCGAAACCCAACAATCTACTCGTTCGTACATACCAGCATTTATTCCAGAAACCTGCTGCGACATCATGGCGAGGCAGACGATCATTAGGGGCTGCCTGAGTTCAGGCTTCGCAAATAGCTGGGGGATAGTGACAACAGCCTCGCGGGGCTCGTGGCGTCTAGCTTCAACCTCGTCGTCTTCCACTTCATTGACTGATAGTAACGGGTCTTTGACGGAGCTGTCCGCGGTACCGCCTTCTTCATCAAATATCGTGGTACTTGGGCTTGAAGCATCGGTAACCTCAGCCCTCGCTATGTTAGATGCTGTTCCCCAGAGCCTTTGCGATATCGCGCGTTTCTGTTCGTGCAGGCCCTTTCCGCCAAGATAAGCAGGTGTCTCGCATGCAATGGCACTTGTGAGCAGTTGGAATATCGAAAGCGCGCATGATGCGAACAGAACTAGACGCCACGTTGTCGGGGTGGCAAGGTTGATCCCCAAAAGTTGGGTGATCATTATACCGAGAACAATGGAAAGTTGAGTCAAGACGCCGACGTTTCCGCTGATTGACGGAGGCGCTATTTCAGAGAGGTATATCGGACCCACGCAGAGGCCAATACCCGAGCCCATGCCTACCAGCAAGCTGCGATACTACCTGAGACACAGCAAAAGGGCAAGCAGAGAGAGGATTTGAGCTCACCGTCCAAATGCCATGATACCGACAGACCCTGCTACCGTCATGAAGGCCGTACCAAGCGCCGCGAGGAGCGCACTGGCCCTCGTCGCCCCCTTCCTTCCATACTTGTCAGTGACAAGATTCGCCACGACACTGCCAAGTAGGCCACCGATGGTAAACACGGCGGTTACGGCAGAGAAGGTGAAGTCGTCCATTGGTATGCATAATGGAAGTCGTGTGGCATCGGAGTCAAATGATTCCCGCTGTTTGCAAGTCAAGACCGCTTGGATTTGATTCAAAACGGAGATGTGGTAGCCATATTGAAAGGGAGTTACCAGCAGCCAGGCGCAAACCGTCCACCCGTAGGCGGTAAACGTTTTCATCGTGGTGAACGTCAGGCAACAGCAGCGGGCGCTTTCTGGTGCGTGTGCCAATCTATCTGTCACGTGATGGACGCGTTACATTTACACTTCCTAATTTGGTTACCCGCCCTTTTTTACCTTCGATGTCAATCAAGGACGCTCGACGCCTGGAACTGGGCGACGGTCATGGCAGTAAATGCTGTAAGCACACGGGAGACGTCTTGAAAGCGGTCTTCTGCTTCCATGCTGAACCCTCCATCAAGTGAAGCTGTCTGGTCAACATTTTAGTGAAGCACCCGTGACTTCCTCATGCTTCGATTCCAATTCTATTCCGTGGCTGCCTTCTCCTCTATTTGGCTAGAAGACGATCATAAGGTACACCTGGACCATGTGCATGGGCACCGACGCCACTTCTACACCTCCCTTTCTCACTGCACGCGACAAAACACTGCTCAGTACTGTGGCGACGATACGGGTAATTTTATTGACGGGTGTTTGTATGTTTACTTCCCAGATTGAGCGATGACATCCGTTTTTGGACCCAAATCTCTGGACGAACCCAAACTTTATTTATTCGCCCTTCTTCCCTTAACCTCTATCTTCATTTCAAGGTAACTTCGCTTCTCCACACACCGGCAGCCCTACCACGCCTTCGCCTCGGCTTCAATACCAGGAACCCTTTTGTGCTTCGAGCTGCACTGGTTAGGCCACCTCGCTCTTTTATCCCACTCTTTTTGGACGCTGTAGCTCGCCTTGTACGAAAGCTATTCCGAACGCCTACAATTATGCCCACATTGAAACGCCTCGCCATTTGGACTTTGCTTGCCGCTCAGACGGTCGTGCCCGCCTTGGCAGCATCAGCAGAAGAATGGGCTAAACGCTCTATATATCAGTACGCACCTGGCACATGATAAATGCACCTCCCCCATTGACCACTGCTTGCCCAGGATTATCACCGACCGTTTCGCTTTACCACCAGGTGCGGACCCAACTAAGTGCGACCCAGGAGGACATACTTGGTGCGGAGGAACGTGGAAAACGTACGCATTTTCATAATCTTATCAGCCGCATACATGTCATCATCTATACTCTTCCTCAGGATTCAGGAAAATTTGGATTACATTCAAGACGCCGGATTTACCGCCAGTGAGTTCTGACAATTTGCAAAGTCTCCAGATGTCAAATTGCCATGGCTTGTAGTATGGATCAGCCCAGTCAACCAGAACTATATCGGCCCAAAAACGCCTTACGGAGATCCGTACCACGGGTATTGGATTCAAGACAACTCGCAATTAAATGCTAGATTTGGGACGGCGGATGATCTAAAGGCGTTGTCGAAGGAACTGCACGCCAGGAAAATGTGAGTCGTTAATCTTGCTTCTCAGACATCTTCAGTCAATTCCGCCAGGTTCCTTATGGTTGACGTTGTCGTGAACAATGTCATGGCTACTTCTACCACCCCAGACTACTCAAAGTATATGTTCAAAGACAAAGTACGTCCACTTTCGTGAACAGATGACCAGACATTGAGGTGTTCTCCAGTCCATGTACCATGATTACTGCCCTATACAGTGGGGCAACCCTGACTCTGAGCAAACATGTTGGTTCGGAGACTCCAAGGTGCCGCTTCCGGACCTGGACACGAAGAATCCAACAGTTATTAGCACATATCATGCTTGGATCAGGGCACTCGTCGGGGAGTATGGTATTGATGGCCTGCGGATTGATGGTACGCCCACCGGCAACACTTCATTGCGACTGACTATTAATGGATCTTCCCCTAGCTGCGAAGTGAGGTCTTTGCCTCAGAAATGAAATTTGTAATTAATTTCGATCCCCTCTCAGGCACGTCAACAAGGATTTCTGGCCTGGATTTGTGGAAGCTGCAGGTGTCTTCTGTATCGGCGAAGTCTATGGTGGAATGGAGGTCGAGTGCGTATAACTCCTTCATCCCTATCACGTTTATGAACTCGGCCCCGCAGTGCTATTGCTCAATGGCAAGGCCCGGCCGCCCTTCCAAGTGTGTTGAATTATCCACTATACGCTGCACTCAAGGAAGCCTTCGTCATCCCTGGGAAGAGAAATACGACTGCCCTGGCCGAAGTCCTTCTTCAAGAACAGGAGAAGTTTGTGGTACGCACTTACGTCACGTGATTATGGCAGCCCCTCAAACCACACGCACATCTAGGATACCACCGTCCTCGGAAACTTCATGGAAAACCACGACGTGCCTAGATGGCATAACATGTCGGTGGATCCTCAGAGCATGTAGTAAGTCATGCGCTTCCGCGCGGCGTCCAAATGGGGGGCTAAATTGTCGCATTTAGTAACGCGATAGCCTTTATGTTCATGACGGATGGCATCCCCATTGTGTATGCCGGGCAAGAGCAGTACTTCAGTGGGAACTCTGATCCAGTGCGTCTATGCCCTTTACAAGAGGGTGGACATGTTGCTGAATGAATTTCGATCTTAGTGGAACCGAGAACCATTGTGGGTATCGGGCTACGCGAAGACACCCGCATACGAACTGATCGCACGTCTCAATATGGTGAGTGTCAATTATACTCAACAACCGTATCAGGCATGGGAAGCTGCGGGGAAGGTGCCCCGCAACCCCAAAGCTTGTAGTTGCAAATAATATGAGCTTCTCTTACATAGTGGCGTGATATAGGTGCGGAACTACTTGATCCACTCGACGGACTGGGTCACACAACCGACAAACGTCCTGACGGTCAGCGACAACGGCATTGGTGTGATGAAAGGCCCGGTGGTGTCAGTCTTGACTAATATCGGTTCGCCGGTAGGTTCGCAGATACTATCCACTTCACTCTCGCCTCATCATGCCCTGCGTTCAGCCTCGCAATGGCTCAAGCCTTGCTGTCCAGTCGCCTTATGAATCCAGCACGGCCCTTATTGAGTAAGTAGCATGATGCTCAATTTCCAATTTGTAGAGTTCTAACTCGTCCGGCAGTGTGATGAATTGTCGACAATTTGTCGTAGGCTCAGACGGATGGCTGGACGTCGAATATACAAAGGGTGGCGTAGCTACTATACTGGTACCAAGGGACCTTCTTTCTGGAGGGCCAATATGCCCGCCTTCCCCAAATTCTCAGAATGTGAAGGGTGGTCAGAAACAGGCCTCAAACGGGGTGAGGGCGGCGGCACTAGGAGATTGGGCTCTTGGTTTCATGGCGTTACTGGCTGGCGTCATGGTATGGTGATTATGGACTATGGATAGACATAAACTATATCTCATTCATTCATTTCTGGGCTAGTGTATACTTATGTACAGCGGATGGTAATAATACCGAATACGGAACATTAACAGTTCAACATGTACCAAATATTGATTTACGACAGGCTTCTAGTTTGAGCGGTAAATCACAGAACCTGAAGCCTCCTGAAGCTCCTGAATTTCACATTAGTGTCCATGTGACTGCCAGTCACTTTACATAACGGACTGCAACTACAACACACATCCAACTGTTTATGTGGCACATGGGTAAAGACAAAGAACAAAGCTCGGCGCATTGTATGCTCACTACAGTACTCACCGTCCAACATCTCCATCTCTTTGGCCATATCTACGTCCTTTCTTCCGATGAAGTGCCCTTCGGTTTCCTGGTCAGAGCTCAGAATGCTTGGGCCATCACTCGATGGACTATAAATGTCGGGATTTTCCCAGCTTTATGAAAACCTTTGCACTTTGCACTTTACCTCCCGATTCACCAAACAATCGACATGCACTATACTCGGGTGCTGTATGCTCATTGTAGCGCAGAAGCAAATGACTTCGAGGCGAACTTCGGGAACGATCATTCTCAGCCGCGGTCGATTCGTGGCAGAAATGGAATCTCGGACCAAGTAACACTCTCCGATGGCACAAATGGGTTCGTGGATATCAGAGCTCAGGCCCGCGCGAAAGACGAGGCTCGCCAACCCCGAGCTGGAGAAGTAAACGATGAAAACCAAATTGCCACGCGTCCCGAAGACAAGTGTCTCCCGAATCCCTCGTGTCGATATGGAAGAATAGCTGACCCCCAATGGCCTGTCCCGAAGGACCTTTCAAACGCGCGTATCCCAGAAGGAGGGACTTCTAACATAGTATTCTCGTCTGATTCCTTGGATGTCTACGTATTGTCCTGTCCTAGACGCCTGGGCCCTGAAATGAGGGTAATCGATGGTTGCACCACCCTTGTACTCAATGATCGTCAAGCCTGCAAACCGTTGAAGCTCCATGCACGCGCAGCTTTTGCCTTGCCCTCTCTCGACAACCTGGAGTCTCACTCCACTCCATCAGCGATCTCGAGCAGCAGCAGCCATTACGATTCTCGTTACTTTGGTAAACATCGTGGCCTCATTACACCGACGCCTGCGCACACTAGGGACGTGCGGCATGGTCAAGAAGCCGCGATATCTTCTGCGTACAATCCTACTTCCCCTCGCTCGATCGCAACATTTGATGAAGCCTCTTGGATCGATTTTCCAGAGCTTGCGGCCTTGGCGCGGCCTTTGCTGGGCAACCCCGAACTTGATACGATCATACAACTATTGGACGAGTCTCTGCATAATCATCCTAAAACGCCAGCTGCGAGATCAGTCCACGGAGCTCTTCCTGCCTCGCCGACCCTCGCGAGCGCACTACTCGATACTGCTGATGCTATTTGGTGGAATCATTTCTCGACATTGTGCAAAGGAGAGACGGACAACAGTCCCTACGAATCAGGAAGGGACCTTGCCATGTGCTTATTATTTTCCGATTACGATGGAGCCTCTTCCACACTCCATCCCGAGGTGACTTCTTTCTCTACCCCAAGCCCGCCGCGTTCGGTATACGAATAGATTCGTTGAAACGACCGACCAGAAACTGACTGGTCTGCTAAGTATCGCATTTAAACTGCCTAATAAATATTCTGTGGCTATTGTTTACGCTTGTGCTGTTCCTGGTTGGAAATCAAGCAGTGTAAACAAACCCCATTATGACGACGGCACCACATTGTCCATATTTTGAACCATACCAACACCATAGGCAGTTCATGATGTCCAACGAGCAGTCGAGTATATCAAGAACCGGAGGCACGATACTGGAAGAAATCAACCATGTCTCCAATGCCGCAAAGGAAGCTGTTCTCAGCGGAGGATGGTATTATCCCTTGTATGGAGTCGTGTACTTCATATCGCACCCCTCGCTTTACCGGTCTGTGGCGCCATTGATGTTGAAAAGTGCATTGGCATCGCTGGGAATCACCATTGGGATGTTTACATTCACTTATCTACCCCAAGTCGCGTTTTGTGCATTGTTTTCGGGACCTTTAGCTGTACGCTCCTCATTCGTTCCCGGGCAGTTGACACGGGCTTACACGGGCTTAGTTCGTAGCGGCTTTTGCCCTCGTTCTGAGCGAGAGTTCTGCGATCATTCTATTCGTGGCGAAAGCCTTTCTCCTGGGACCAGCGCAAGACAGATTATGTGTGTATCATTGAGGCCTCATATGGTCACATTACTGACGGCACCACTGTAATTCCCATCATCTTAGTCGATGCGGTGATGGTGCAGCAGGGTCACGCTGATGTTGTCCAACGAGGACGCGAAGTCAAGAGTAGCAACGGCGTCAAGACTTTGGGGAAAAGCATCACCAGGCCTTTGAGCCGCTTCAGCAAGGCAGGGATCATGCGATACATTATTTCATTGCCCTTGAACGCGCTACCATTCGTTGGCACTGCGCTGTTTTTGCTGTACAATGGTGAGATGGGTTCAACGCTTATGAAGTCTGATCATTAACTTAACTCCCTATCTCCGTTAAATAGGCAAGAAAGCGGGTCCGGGTTTTCACGCTCGGTACTTTCAGCTAAAGGGATGGACAGCGAGTCAGAAACAGCAGTTCATTCAGAGGGAACAAAATGCCTACACCGCGTGTGTACCATCCACAGCTCAACGTTCTGATGCAAGGACTGACTTCAGGAAAATTAGGTTTGGGGCAGTCTCCCTCGCGTTAGGTCTCATCCCGTTCGCAGGCCTTGCATTCGGGTTTACGTCCACGGTAGGAGCAGCACTTTGGGCCAGCACAATGGAAAGGCAGTCCGGAACCAGCGTAGATTCCGCAAATATCAAGCCGATAGACGAGCGGTCCGAAACAAGGGTAAACATATAGCGCTCAGTGTTCGCGGGGCGTTCTCCATTGTACCTCTACGTTCATAACCATTGGACGTTACACATCGTTGTTGATTTTCCTAGGCACAAACTCCAACGGTGTTAATGGAGGCTGTAAGTATGTATAAGTACGAAGTCTCCGGTATATCCGGGGTTCGGGGCTTGTGCGGGCCAATGTCCTGGAACTTGTGACATGTGCTTGCCTTTCATAGGCAGTCCAGTGCAAGTCCCCGTTTCTTGGCCACGATGTGGGGTGAATATTTCTATACCATGGCAGCACTTGTACGTCCGATCGCTGCTTGGACAAGTGTCATGAATGGCACGGTATGTAGATGAATTTTCCCGCTCCGCTACCATAGTGTCTTCAGATCTTACCAGCTTGCAATCAGAGCCTTCGCGTTATACATTTACCAATGTGTACTATATAGCACGGTGGTACGCTTCTGTGAGTTACAGCATCTTTTCGTCGTACTCAAAAGACTGGGTAGTGTCAGGAACCCTGCCAGCTAGGTGAGTTAACCATGACACTTTCTTTACAATGGCTGATCACTGTATATTGGCAGCAATCGATACGTAATGGACAACAACATGCCTAGTTGGTCCGATGGTCAATTATATTATGGTAAGTATCCATCGTGTGAGGAAAGACCGATCCCACTGAATGGCGCAGGCGATCCTAGTGGTTGGGAAAGCTCAAGGACTTCGATGCGCTATCAAAAGGAGGCTACGCATGCGCCACCAAATGACGGACCTGTCCCAGGACCCTCTGCTCATAATTACGGGGACGAAGCCCCATATAATCAAACTCAACCGTTCGTTAGTCCAACCCCAATCAATTATGCTGCTTCGACTTCTGTACAAACGTACATGCCAAATAGCAGCGGCTCCACCATGAATTTCTCGCCGCCATTTAACGGAAATTGCGACATGTCGGACGAAGACCTGTTGCTGTCCGCTATTGCAGGACAGCAGACCGGCTATTGGTCGGAAAATGAGCAACAGTCATCATCATCGTCGTTCCCCCCATCTTCGCTCCCTCCTTACATTGAATACCTGGGGTACCCATCCCAAGACTATTTCATGGGAGCGGTGACAGAAGAAGAAACGAATTCCAGTCCTCCTTACGACTCAGAATCGCCGTCGCATGATCTTATGCCCTTCTACGACACCAGCGGATCCCAAGAACCGGACTACATCTCGCCTGAAACTGCCGGTTCTGCATATAACTCGGCCTCGACCTCGAGGGCGGTTTCCCAACAGCAAGAAATATATAGCACGGTCCCGCTGGTGCCCACTTCGACGATAACTCGCTTCGAGCCTGTGGGCAGTGTACACGATCGTCCGAAGAAACAATGTTCCAAACTTCATCAATGTGATATCTGTCACAAGAGATTTCCCCGTCCCAGCAGCTTGAAGGTCCATATGCATGTCCACACGAAGTCCAAACGTGAGTGAAATTGCGTTATGTTTAGCTCTCGGTTGCTGTAAGATGCTGCCCATTTAGCCTTTCGGTGTTCTTTTTCAGGATGTGGTAAACGATTCACAGTCGCATCGAACGCGAAGCGTCATCTTAGAACGCATGGTGTGCTGCCGACACCTTCTGATGACCCTTCGCCCTACAACGTTGGCTTCACAGCACCTGTGGTCCTTTCACATCCTCATTCCATGGACTCAGCCGCGGCCAGACCATTGCAGCTATATTGGGTGAATAAGGGAGATGGCGATCCTGATGTCCCAAAGGGGGCTTGACAATGTACTCAGCGGCGAATTCTTTTTTTTCGAAGTTGCTTCCTTGTTTCGTAGTTTAACTCATATTGCATATTTTCCACGATACTCTAGTGTGTGACTTAGCAGTACGCGTGATTGTGACATAAGACAATCTCACTTCTCACCTCGATTTCTGGTTGCGAACGCCAACCACCCCAACGATGGCAGACACATCGCAGAAGAAGGAGCTTGAGGCCTTCTTCCATTTTTTATCGACGTTCGACCCATCTCAGGAAATCACACAAGCCTCAGACCTCTCCGATGGCTCTGTTCTATTCCACATGCTCTCAGCAGTGTCTGTCCACCCTGCGTTTTTGGAACTTCGAAGACAATGCTGATTGCTGAACGTGTAATCAGTGATACGAACTACTTTCCGGTACCAATCAGGTCTCCTGCGCAAGCGTCCGACAATTGGGTCGTCAGATTCACTGCGCTGAAGCGTTTGTACCGACTAATGACGCAGTATTTCGCGGACGTATTGCAGATGCCGACGAACAGTTTGGAGATACCAGATCTACAAGCTGTTGCGCAGGACCAAAATGTTATCCATACGTTGATAATGTGTCGACTGGCGATTGCTATTGGAGTACAATGCGAGCGGAATAAGGAATTCATCGAAAGGATCCAAGGGCTGAATGAGATAGACCAACACCACCTGATGAAGGCTATAGAACGGGTACGCTCTATTTCACGGCATCTCGTTTGGGTCTCCTGGATTTCACTCGTGCCTGCTCGAAGGTCATGGGCAACATTACGGACACTGGTTCGGGAAGGGATGCCTCAGAAGTTATGACAGAGTAAGTTCATTTATCAGACGGTGTGTCGAAATGCGTTTGACCCGTAGGGCAGAGATGATCATTATTATCGGATTCAGTCTGAGAAGAGCGTTATTCTATCCGAGAAAGAAACACTTGAAAAGGTTTACCAGTCACTACTAGAGGAACACAGAACGCTGCAGACCAACTTGGATGACGCCGTATCTGAGAAGGAGGAAGCTTTGGCACGGCTAAAGGAGGCCACTCGTGAAGTTGGACATACAAGGAATGACAAATCTGATGCTGCCTTGCGAGGGGAAGTTGATCGCTTGCGGATGGAACTGTAAGCATTGGGACTTCGCGTGATCTCCCTTTATTGCTGACTATGTGTCCTAGCCAGAAGAGCGAGGATAACTTAGCAATGGCGGAAGCAGAGTTGGATAAACAGACGAGCTTGGTCACAGACATGACAAAGAAGGTCGATGAACTCCAAATTCGTGCCAATGAAGCCGCGAAGTTGAAGGATAAGTTGGACGAGTAAACCCATCTTACGTTCCTTATTGGCAGTTACTTACTTCTTCAAACCAGGTACCGGCACGTTGCTGACAAGTTGCAAAAGAGCGAAAACGTCATGGAAAAATATAAGAAGAAACTCCAAGAGGGGGCGGACCTTCGACAACAACTGCGCGTTTGTGGTTGTTCGTTCGAGCATCATGGGCACTTTGTTGACATCGTTTTTCTTTAGAGCCTTGAGAAGCAGAACGCCGACTTGGTAGACAAGAACGCTTCACTTGAAGAGGAATATCGCAAAGTTGCCGCCTTCAAGCCTCTCATGGAATCTTATAAGAACCAGATCGCAGACCTTGAAACAAAGGGCTCCTCGCGCGCCCAAGAAATTGATCAACTCAAGTTCGAATTGGAAGAGTCCCGTACAAAGCTGCGACATACCATGGAGGAACGAGCTAAAGATTCAGAGACTCTTGAGTTATATCAAGAACGCGTTCGCGAACTCGAGCTCGCCTCTCAAAAGCCAATTTCGCAAAGCAGTGTGACCTCACCGATTGTACGCCAAACTACGAGCGAATACATCGAAGACGTACAGCCGTCGACCCCTAACCCTGATCTTGACGGAGATTACGACGTTGACCAAGGTCTAGGAGGAGAACTCGAAGATGCTGTCTCGGGGACGACGATGACGGACCTGAAGTTGCAGATCCGCAAGTTGAAGCGCGAGCTAGAGTCCGTTCGCAAGAATGAAGCCGATGCTAGCAGGTTACTGGTCCTTGAGAATTTACTGGAGGATGCGAACCGTATGAAGACTAGGTATGAAGGTGACTACCTTGCAGTCCATCGCGAGAAGTTAGTCCTTCAGCGAGATCTCGAGGAGATACGCAGCGGCAAGGCGATGGGTGATGGGTATGTATCCGCCGCTCTCGAACGGTATAGCCTAGATGAACATGTTTATTTTCATTTAGTGCTGAAGCCGCAATTGCCCTGCGACAACGACTAAACGAAACCGTCGACCAACTCGACACTTTGCGGAAAGAGCATGCAGAGCTAGAGGTCAAATTCGACACAATCAACAAGGAGTTGATCATCGCGAAATCTGACCGTGAGTCGTTCTCGTCTTTCCTGTCTGTTTGAGGCTGAGAGACGTTGTGTGCCCAGTGACACTGGTTAACAAGGACCAACTTGACATTCTTGCTACGTTGCGTGAATCCGTTAACGAAGATAAAGTTGACCTGGAAGCAGATGTGGAACGATTGTCGAAGCAGAACAAAGAGCTCCAGGAGAAGAATCGGATGCAGCTGGAGCAGGTCAATTCCCTTCTTCTGGAAAAGGTGAACCTGCAAAGCGAAGGTATAGGGCACAGAGAAATGATGCTTCAACGCGAACGTGCCATCGGGTATGATTCTACCTCTCAAAGGTTCGGGGGTATAACTATATAACTAACCACCCGTACCAGGGATCTTCGCGCTTCGTTGTCTGGCAAGGATATCCCTGAGGATATTAAGTCTAGACTTCTGGCGTTACACGAAGACAATGTTAGCTTGAAGGAGAGCCTGAAAACGGAGAAGTCGAAGTTGCAATCGGCTCGACAGGTTTGTCAAGAAAACATTACCAATCCCGGCTATGACACTGACCCACGCGTGCAGTTTATTAAATCGCAGGACAAACTTTTCAAAGAACAGCTCGCCGCAGGAGGAGGCCCACCCTCCGTACGCTGAGATGCTTGTTTGGACCTCTTCGGTATTGACATCCTGTGATAGGCATCATTCGAAGAGGCTCAGCGGAGCTATGAAACGCAACTGAAGGACCTCAAGGCTGAAGTCCAGCGGCATAAGGTCTCTCTCTCGCTACTTCATCCTTTCTTTCTGGTTTCGTACTTACAGATTACCCTTTTACAGCAACGATTAGTCGACGCCGCGAAACTTTACTCTCGGGAACAAATACTACTACTGGGGGCATACCATGAACTCGGCCAGCGGATTGCTCGGTCCCACCTGGGCACTACATCACAAGCAACCCCCCGGCCAGATTCATGGGCGTGGATGGGAAAAACTCGAGACAAGACCAGTCATTCGGTACGATCCCCCTCGCATAAATACGTTGCCTCTGCTAATTGACGTTCAACAGCTTTTGCAGAGGGTCATACAACGATGATATTCCACTTACATTTGTATTCATAATCGGAGGCATTTTAGTATTAGCATTCTTTAGAAATCAGATATACCCTTCAATGCATTTGTATTCATACATGGATTATTGGTCAACAAACTAATTGACTCTGCCAATTTATGGAACTCAGTTACTTGCGTCAAATGACTCGAATGCAGCTCAAGAGGCTGGAACGCCATTACATTTGTCCGCTTGTACTCCAAATCCATGCCTGTTTCGATTGATGGCAGTGTTTTGGAGGGCGGCGGTCAAATTCTTCGCAATTCCGTGTCGTTGTCGGCACTGCTGAACACTCCCATCTCAATCACAAAAATCAGAACCGGTAGGAAACCTCCCGGCCTGAAGAATCAGCACCGTGTCGGTACGTGCCTCAGCTACAGTAGACAATCTGTAATCGCTGGATTTTGCCTGTTATCATAGGTATCGAAGTCGCTGCAGAGATCTGTAGTGGACGCGTCCAAGGAGCGAAGAATGGGTCGACGGCGATAGACTTCCATCCTTCGAGTACAAAGATCCCATGCCACGCTATAGCAGATGCTGTGACGGCGGGTTCAACTGCTCTGCTCCTCCAGACGGCTCTGCCTATGCTTCTCTTCGCGCCCGTGCTGCCAGACGAGGCATTGCCAAGTTCGCTGCCGGAACCATCGACACTTATCCTTCGCGGCGGAACGAATGCATCCCAGGCGCCGCAGATAGAGTATACCCAGCATATCCTAGTCCCCTTCTTGAAGAGACATTTTGGAATCGATAGCGGGCTCGAGATTTCGCTGAAGAAACGTGGATATTACCCCAGGGGTGGGGGCGAGTTGTTGGTTTCGTACGTGTTCATACAATTTATATTATACGGGTCGGTATATTTACTCCCTCGCTGATTACATTGATATTTATAGGATACCGAGTCGGATTGAACCGTTGAAACCAATTCAACTATCCACCGAACAAGGGCGACTCATCCGGATTGGTGGGCTCTCGCATGTTGGTCGTCTCCCTGCTTCGCTAGCAACGGAGATGGCTGGGGGCGCTCTTAAACGACTGGCCGAAGCTGGTTTCATAAGCTCTAGCGCAGACTCACCGGAACCCAACAATAGCCAGCAAGAGACGGTTATCCCGATCCAGATCCAGATCAAACGAGAAAGAAACGATGACTGTCTGGGCGCGGGGAGTGGGATCGTACTTTGGGCCGAGCTTGAGGGCGGAGGAATGATTGGCGGTAGCGCTCTTGGTCAAAAGAATGTGTCGCCTGAGCAAGTCGGAGAGGCAGCCGCGGACGACCTTATAAAGGGATTGAAGGAAGGCGGTTGTGTAGACGAACATTTACAGGTTGAGACAATTGCTCCTGGTGCAGAATGCTGCTAGCTAACTGACCTTTCGAATAGGATCAAATCATCATTTTCATGGCTTTGGCGGCTGGCCGCTCAAGTGTCCTTACAGGCCCAATCAGTCTGCACACAAAGTAAGTACACGAAGATGTAACGCCCAAACTTGCTGATCCTTCGCTGCAGAACGGCGATATGGCTGGCAGAGAAACTCACCGAAGCGAAATTCGACGTTGTTGAGCAGCCCTCCGGACAATGCGTGATAGCTTGCAAAGGCATTGCCTACCAAAGGGCTGCTGCGTAGCATGAACTAAATTACAATCTCCTGATAAATACCATTGCAGCGTAACGTCCGACAAGGTCAACTATAAACGCGAATAACATAATGATTCCCTGCAACTTGTATGGGACGCCTAGGCGGCCGTATTAAAGCAGGGGCTATGTACTGGACTAGAAGACTACCGATTCCATGACAATTGAGACATGTCACCGAGTTTTCTACGGGAATAAATTAGTCCAGTGAAAGCGCAGAGGAATGCATGAACGCGCCTGGGCTTGATGAGATGACGCGCAAGGCCAAGGATAGCAAGGAGCATGAAGACACCGGAGGCGGCAACATACGCCCAGCCCAAGAAAGAGTTCTTCCCACCTATCCAGGCGACCGTTGATATAACTATCGACTTGGTACCCTTATACGTCTGTACAGGATAATCTATGGCGTTGTTTAGACGTGCGGCCGAATCCAAATGGGAGTACTTACTTGTGTTGATTCTCATCTCGTAGCGTCCCCTCGGCAGATTGTCATTGTCGTTCCTTCCATACAACTTGGTGAAGGTGGGAAGACCAGCTGTACGCATCCAATTCTGGAAGTGCTGATCATCAGCTAGCCTGGGGATATTGGACTCGTTGTATCCATCAGGGAAACGTTTCTGCCAATTGGGCGGAGGTACAATGGCCGAGGGATCGTAATCAGGTTTGTTGGTGTATTTCTTGTGTTCACCCGGCCACGCAATGTTGTCGGAGCTAAAGGCATATGTGAAATTGGCTCCATCCGATTCGGGAATGAGTGTGAGGTCGGAAAAGGTATCTTGATGGAAGGGTCAGATACAAGTCAGAACTACCGAGCCTCTACTCACCGTTGAACAAAGAGTTAGCGATGAGGCCGCAAGGATAGATAGCTTTCCCGTTACTGTCAACATCAAGTGGTTTACAGTCGCTGTCTCGTAGGTCTTTGATACTGACAGCCTTCCCCTTCAGCTGATCGGAATCGAAACTCTTGACGTATCTTCTGTGGTTTTGGTAGAAATTTGTCATCTTGTAGTACAGTAGAACGGTGTGCGACATGTCTGCCGGGATATCGAACCGAAGGATGCATTGATCCTGTTCTCCGACAGGAGCGTTTGAGTCGGTAACGCGCGCATACTGCGGCGGGGTGACACGGCTGGCAGCGCTGGAATCGGCAGCACGTAGATGATATGAGTATTTGTCCGAGGGCACGACAGTAAACGAGAGACTTTGTGGTGTCGAGGATTGAAGGTTCTCGCATCCCGTGTAGTCGATAGTGATTTCCGATACCATAGAGGAGCCCCAGATGAGGAGCCCACCTATTGGTGCAAAGAGGACCGAAATGATGAAGAAGGTGGGTAAAACGGTCTTGGGGGTCAAAATTGGCTGCCAGGCCTTCAACCGCTGCTGTTTGAAGGCCGTATCTGGGCAAGTACGATGAGCGACGGGGGCGACGCAGTGTGGATTCCACTTACTTGCTGGTCTCCTCCAGCCACCTTTCTCCTTCTTGATGTCCGAGGTATCGTCAGAATTATTTGAGTCCTGCCCATTGTTCTTCCTGTTGAAGAGACCCATAGTGGACGCTCGTCTCGAGCGATGGTGGAAGTGAAAGATGCGAACGACCTTGGCTGACCGTCGCTGCTGATGCTGCGCTTATGTCAGCCTCCTGACGCTCAGCGCACCGAAACACGTTTGGCCCTAATTATGTCCGTAAATGGGCGCTAGTCAGGGGTTACTTGAAGCAATTTGTACAGTGGACACAAATGCGAGTGTATGATACATTCAACCTACATGTACCATTTCTGACCTTTTTAAACCAACCAACGTACCATTGACAATTTAGACTTTCACAATCGCCGCACGAAGTAATAATTTCAAGTGACGTGCAATAGTTCAACCGAACCGACTCAGCGCCTTTCATTCAGAACGATTACTTCGCAAAGTTCATTGGGGAACGCCGGAAGATGCTCGATGAAATTCCGAACCAATTCTTACAGGCCAACGGGTTGGCCAACGACTGGTCAGTCCAAAACCGGTGTGCCTTTCTTTGCTATGGCTGCTGGCCCTACTCCTATATAATAGGATCTTCCTCCGCCACTAGATTCTTACCACTGCCATCTCCCATTCCAGTACACCAGAATATGAGTATTGATAAAGATAAAGCCCGAAGGCAATTCCCAATTGCAAGTTTTGAGACTTATCACAGTTAGCCACTTGTGTAACGAATCTACTTCACAAATTCACAGCGAGGCCAACCGTGCGTTCTTCGCTGCTTCCAACTTCTTTGTATCTTCCCATATCGCTATTGTGACTTCTTGGGAATGATATGACAGCGCCAGTAACCTATAGTAGGCAAGTCAACTAGAATTGTGTGATAACAAAAAGGCACGATAAAGAAGTCAAGTTACCTTGCGATAGTCATCCGTAGGATAAGATTCTCAGACGTCACTTTCTCGGCTTGTGAACTACTTTGCTGCCTCTCTTTTACAAAGTCATCTTGAATGTACTATAAGCCAGGAGATCGATGAGCGGAGGAGGGCAAGCAGCAGTGCGGAGAACTCACCTTAGCAACATCCTCGCCAACGGTGACACTACCAATCTTTGCACCACCTACAAGTGCTCTGAAAGCATCCAAACGCTCCGTTGGAGGCATCTTAATCTCGCTCTCGCTTTTATATAAGTGTTGAATGATTTCTGCATCAGGGCACCGTGACTGAAGCGGGACTGTGACGCTTGTCTAAGAGCGCATCAGCGAAACGGCACCAAGATAGGCATGGCATAATTAGTCTGACCTGGAAGAAAACACTTTTCTTGCCCTCGCACACGGTGACACAAGCCGTGTCGGTAGGGAACGAGAATCGACTATACGGGAAGACATAGTCAAGTGTCTGCCCATTCATCAATTCCTGTATAGCTCGTATGTTCATGATGCCTATGCCTTTTGAGTGACGCAGCGGAATAGCACGGGTGTCTACTTACCCTTTTCGTTGACGCCCCCTTCTCGTATGCCACCCTCCGATATGAGCACGACGCTGCCAGGTGGGACCTGCAACCAGCCAGAATGCAAATCTTCATCCTTGGATTCAGGGAAGAACGAGGTTGTGTTGATCGTCGATAGTGATAATGGGATGTGAGTGACAGTTGGAAAGATGCGTGAGATGACCACAGGTAAAATGGGGTGTTGATCTCCGTGAGAAGGAAATTTAGCTAAGGTCAGTGAAGGAGGGAGGATAGGTGGGGTCCTGGATTGGCTGTATCCTCAAGGTCGTAAGTGACAAAGCGACGAGAAGAAAGTGCATAACTTACACTCTTGCTAGAGCACAAAGGAAAACCCATTCAGCAGCTGTTTTGTCTCCAGCCAGAGCTTCGTCTGCAATCCACGAGATCAGTTCTTCTCTGATATCAGTGTGGAATTGAAGGGGGAAGGAACGCGGAATAATCGTGCGCGGCACGGGCCTGGAGAATAGGACGTGAAGCGTCGGCACTTGGATGCTTGGTTCATCGTTCACATCACTGTGTAAGCTGTAAGATTGTCAGCAAAGAGTGTAGTATAGTCGGGGGACGCATACGGCTCGTGAGTAAGAACACCGACAAAATTGTGCATTTCAGTGGACTTCATCAACGCAGCACGAGAATTCTCGTAAACCTGCGACTTCATTGGCATTCGTTCGATGTTTCAGTGCAAGGCATTTCTTACCTTGACTTGCACACCAATGTGCTTACTATTTGCTGCAGGATATTTATGTGGCCGGGCCTCTTGATGTGGCTCGTACGGCTTGCTACCGTGATCGCCAGGTAAGTCGTCTGTGCACCACTCGCTCTCTCCAGGAATGCTGACGGCCCAAAGTACAGAGCATTCGCGCAGATCCGCGTAGTCCATCTCAGCATCGTCGCGCCCATCGAGTGTGTCCGCGAAGAGCCCCCAGCCACTCGTATGGCCGTTTCTGCGTCTGGCCAAGTAGATCTCAGACGAAGACGATGTATCCTGGATCATAGCTCGAAATCGGACCAAGGAGCGATCCGAGTGGTATTTGGGGGGGCGTAACCAATCGAGAACGGGGATCTAGCTTGAATATGTGATTTACCGACGCGTTTGTAAGGCGATGAGCCACACCTCATTAAACGCGTCGCGCGACGCGAAGATCTCGCTAAAATGGCTCGCAACTTTTGCGGGGAATGAGTCGACGTCAATGTCAGCATCTGATTCGTATAAGTCGAGCAGCGACCGTAGAGGGTTCTGCATTACATTGGAATTCGATGAAGAGGTCATGATGGTGAAGCTCAGGGGCTAGGATTCAGTGGATTGAAATTTGAGAGGCCTTCTCACGATGGCCACTCACTCGTAACTTGCGCAGGTCGAAGTATCAACTTGTAAATCTAGCGGTGCATACTCTTAGGAGGCTTGCATTTGAGTGTCAAGTACTATTAAAAGTAGATCCTATACAACGCATGACGGAAAGGGTACAAAGAACAAAGCAAAAGCGAAGCGCGCAGGTGATACGCCCAACGTTTCCCTCAGCCTTCTAACCCGCCGATTGCTGTACTATCTTCCATGCCATGTACCATCCGTCAGTTTGGATGGATCCATCGTGTTCTAAAAACGTTAGTAGACCCAAGCCGGGAAAAAAGAAAAGTTCGATGCAAAATATAAGGATAGAGGACCGTCGTCGAGTTAGTAAGATGACCTAGCCTGAATAATTTAACACATGCGATGCTGGAACGGGGTCCCAGGAAGTCGTGACGTTGCGAGGAGAACCTGTATGGTGATGCGTGCTGGGTTGGGTCGAGCTGAAATGGAGAAGACAAGGATGTCAAGAACGCCGTTACTGCGTGCGCACTCGTTTGGAATCTGAAACACCGAATGATGAGTAACGCAAGGTACTAACTTGGGCGAAGACTTACGAGGAGATCCGGGCGATACTTCCTCCTCCTCTTGAACAAGCTCCTCGAAGTCTGTTTCGTCCAAGCTGCGCTTCATGGAAGTTTTCGTACTAGAAACTGTAACGGACGACTGTGCTGAAGGAGAGTCTTGCTCATCCCATGTAGAATCGAGCTCGCCATCACCGTCGAGCTCGTCGTCCCATTCCTCGAACTCATTAATCTCTTGTAGGTGGGGCTCTACTATAAGAGGATGAGCACTGCGGCGAAGGTCTGTCTCAGTGAATTCCTCACCATTTTTTAAACCGCTAGCTTCAAGAGGTGTGTCGAGAGCAGCGTCGACGTCGCCGCTGTCAGGGATATTAGAACCTTGGAGTTTATTTGGTCAGCGTAATTGACTCCGCAAAATTAGTTAACACACCTATTCCTGCTGATAAGCCTGCTTGTTCGACAGCTTCAGCCGCATCCGTTAGCTCTGTTGGTACAATCGATTCTTCTACTAAGAGGATAGTCAGTTTTGGCTGTCGTTATTAAGAAACAAGCTCACCATCGACATACACAGAAGCAGCGTCCTCTTGTTGAACTGATTCCTCTGTTGGTGCTTCATAGGTATCTTGCCCCACACCGTCCTCAGGGGGTGGTTCTTGAGTCTCGTCAGATGTATCAAGTACCGTTGGTAATACAGGCTCGTCGACGGCTTCATGTGGTGCAGCTTCGAAGCCATCATCACCGTCGTCGTCGTCGTCAGGGAGGTCTGGATAATCCTGTTCGACGTCTTCATGCGTTGCGTCATCCTCCGCGTAGTCATTTGACTCTTGGGCGACAGTTGATTCCTCGCCAGTTTCTGCTTCTTCATAGACGTCGGGGACGTCTAGTGGAGCGAAAGGTTCGCCGGCGCCGTCAGCCGCGTGTGCATCCTCTTCGGGTAGTGAGTCAAAGGTGTTGAGACCTTCATGTTCGCCTTCTTGGGTGTCGTTGGGATCAGTTTGTGCCTCACCGTTATGGTCGTCCCATTGCGCTCCCGAAGTTAGGAATGGCTCCTGGGCTGCTTCGTCTTTATTCTCGTCCAGACGGTCATTTTCGGGTGCGTCTGTCGATGTGTCCTGTGGTAGACTCGGCTCGGGCACAGCGTTGGCTTCGGGCTGTTCAGTCTCCGGGGCAGCCTGCTCATGGGAGGAATCTAAGAAATAGTGTTAGTTCGGCATACAATAGCAAATGGAGCACCTTACCCTCGACAGGCTGATGTTCTGCGTTCTCGGCTACTTCTGCTGCTTCTGTGGCGAGATGGAGCCGCGCTATTTGGTCGCGAAGTTGATGGTACCTAAAAGCAAAACGAGGCACAGAAGACCTGAGACGCAGACGAAGGGGTCCTGCTATGTCAGAACCATCGTGGATGACATTCAGATCGTGCAAAGTGACTTCACGTGCGTATACATTGTCCTGTGGAAATCATCAGAGTTCCATTCACCGAAGAAAGCAAGAATACGGACCTCGGATACGGCGAGCTGAAGATCGTATGCGTCTAGTATCAACTCGCCATCCCGAAGATCAGGCGAATTCATGAGATACTCTTCATGTCGAAGAGCCTCAAAGACAGACGACAAAGGCTCGTAGTAAAGGACTGGTTGGTGGTGTAGAAGTACGAGACAATCTGATCCAGGAGGGGATTCTGCAGTTGGACTAGAAGGTGTTCCCGAGCGGGACGACGGTCGGTTAAACAAGCATATGTTAGGGTACTCGGAAGATTCGAGAGAAATCAAAACAGGGGGCGGAGGATCAATATACACGCCTTCCGAAATCTCATGAGGATCATTAGACTCTACTGGGGCGTGGGTCTCGTCAGCGGCCGTTTCGGGCTGCTGCTGCTGCTGTTCAGCGGCCTCCGCGTTTACAGTCTGCTGGAGTTGCTGGTATGTAGCCTCAGCAGCATACTCCTCTTCAACATGGGCCGGCTGCACGATCGGATGTCCTGAGGGCTCGTCTGTGGGTGCATGCTCTTCCTCTGGCATCGTGTGCGGCTCATGGTCGCCCTCTTCATGTTGCAACTCTGGAACATCGGCAGAGACTGGAACCTCCGCGTAAGCTCCACCCTCTACAGAACCTGCATATTCCCCTGTTTGAAATGAGGAACTAAGTGAAATTGTTATGGGTTCTGCGGCCGGGCGAGATAAGTCGGGTGTCAAGAGGTGTCCTGCATGAGTATCCAGTGGGGACTGCGTCGTCTGAGGTGGCGTTGAACGAAGATGGATACTTGGTACAGGCTCTTCCACTAGTATATCTGTTGGGGCGTATGGCTCGTTAAGCTGCGAATCTACGGGATATAGGGAATCTGGAGGTAAAGTCGCTGCAGAATGTGGTGGTGTAGAGTTGGGAGGGATTGAGATATCGGCTGGCTGTTGTGTGGTCGATGTCGCAGCGTTGGGTATTATCGACGAGTCATAAAGTGGCGCTGGCTGAGGCGGCGAGGCATCCTCCACCTCTATGTCTACCATTTCCGGGGCATAGCTCTCAGCTTCATCGGTCATCTCGTATTCCGTCGTTTGATCCTCCTGCAAGCCGTCCATGTCGACTTCAATCGTAGCATCGTTGGTGAAAGTGTCGTCGTCCATTGTAGCTTCATTTAGCCAGGGATCTGAGGAAGGGTGCATGGCCACGTCTGTATCGTTTTGGTAATCTAGCATTTGAGCGTCGTAGGTTTCAAGCATGGTCACTGTCGTGGACATCGTTGTCAGTGAAAGAAAAGCGGTCTTGCAAGCCAAATTGGTCCCGCAGAGGTCAGGTTACAACTTGAGGGCAGGGTAAAATACTCCCACGATATTTCGGCTGCCCCATGGCGCGTCTTGTCTCCTGACCATTCACCGCAATGGAAACCACACATGCTGCAGATACGGAATTTCTTGTAAAGAAAAGCATGTCCTCTGGATACCGGCTTTTCTCTGTCCTTACTCCCCCAGTTTACACTGCATTTGTGTTGATGCAACGCGGTCGAGGAGCCTTCTCGATGAATAGACTGCTTCGGGCAACATGGCTAGGCGGAGCTGTTGGTGCGTGGTCTGTGGACATTCTCGCCACCAAAGCTTGACCTTCCGAAGGTACCGTTGCTGGTGGTGGCATTGAGTACGCGCGCTCTGCGTACTCCAACGCAGACACAGTGCGAACGAGGAGAATTGAGTTGGCATACAATGTACTTTCTAGCACTTCTGGTGGACCAATACATGATTTCTTACTATTGGCCAATTAAGACCACTACCATTAGGGCTGAAGATCACTCGACCATCGGTGGACTTCTTTTCGCTCTGTTGACCCCAGCAATTTTCTGGAAACGAGCCAGAACAGTTCATTGTGAGGCATCTTCACCTTTTGAACTCAAGTATAAGCAACCTGACTCGTTGGTTTTTACCGTTTGCAGTGATTCTGGGAGGTGCAGGTATCGGTTCCGCGATAGGCAGCGGGGTACACATAGCCAGGGTGCTTTCTGGAGACAGACCACCGCAGGTAGCTGTTCCAACAGCTTCCGGACCGGTTGTGGCAGATCCATGACTTAGAGTGACCTTCGTACACGCTTTCGCTCTGCTACTTCCCTACTTCATTGACCTCTCCTTATGTCTTTCAACCGACCGTCCACCTCAGGTCTAATTGTCAATAAGCTATCCTCCGCGCTGTTGCCCTCGTCGGCTTCCTGCTTTAGGCATTCGCCTTTTCTGACCGTCTCGCCGTCGAATGGATCGATTCCACTCATATGCTCAGTCATCGCCACGTTCATCTGCGCCCGGTAATGGTTCTTCGACCGAGCCCAATGAAGGGCAAGACTAGCTGCCTTTCGCCATTTCAAAAGAATGGCAGGCGTCTCGATACCGCGCTGCTTCCGAATGGAATGAGCTTCGCGGCGACTTTGTTCGTGAGCGATGGCACTCTTCGTACTCGTCGCAAATTGGGCGAATACAGAGTTGTCATTACTCTGTGCCATCTTGTTAACAAATTGCGAGCCTGAATTGTACGATTAGCTAGCCATCCACGATTTCGCGTACCCTGACGCACCGAGCAGGTATCTCCTGACTATAGTGCTCATCATCTGCCCGCACTCATCATCGATCAAATACTTGTGGCCTAGTAAAGGTAAGAATCCGTCGTGGCCTTGAGCCATGTACTCCCTGGTGACGACCTTGTAGTGCCTTCCGTCTTTCTTTCGTTCAACAGGCGCGCCGTCCGCGAGTTCATGGATACTTCCAGGTTTAGAGGCGTGGCCATGGTCACTTTCGTCGACTTCGTTCACCAACCACACCCCAAGTACTCTTTGTCCAGGCGGTTTCCGCGAATCCCAAGAGACTCGAAATCCAGAGACAACCGGAAACCGCCTGAAGAAAATTGAGTTATCAAATCGTTGACTTATTTAAAACTCACCCCTCTTGTGCGGGCCATGTTGACAAACTCGCTTCCATGGCGTCCCAGATAGCCTGACCGTCAAGCTCAAGGACGACTAGAGGGTCTTCGAAGGGAAGAATCTCCATGATGTCGCCCAAAGTAATGATGCCTACTCGCCACCAATCAACGCGAGCCCATTCCCAAGCAGTGTTTCATACCAGGTCCGTACGTCGAATCACCACGTAAGGTGCCCGCACATATGAAGACCCCATCGGCGCCCCCGCATCCCTGAAGACAGAGGGCATCGTCGTATGCGTGTCTAATGATGTCTGCAAACCAATTAGAGGAGGCACACTGATCATAGACTGTATCAGTCTCAATAGGGTTTCCCTTGTGCTTGTGCTTGCTTACCTCTGCAGTTCTGATGAGCTGAGACCGTAGATCCAGCTCAACTTCCGTCTTGCAAACGGGCGCTTTCATTGTCGACCCAACGGACGAGAGAATGTTTTCTACTATCTTTGACATCGCAGGGGAAGCCTCAGATCCAGGCTGAGTGCTACGCCTCTTGCCTAGGAAAGGGTGTACTTGGAACGGGGTCAACTACTCCGTATTTTTGCTCACCAGTTATGTTTTTGATGACTCTCTTTCGGACACTTCCTTCGGGTGTGTCCTCCAACTCCAGCGTGATCTCGCTCAGGTCGCGGAAGTCAGTACCGCTCTTCACAACAAGCACGTCTCCGTGATCCTCTTCGGCACCAAGAGCGTCTTGAGTGGTATCATATCCTTCCCAAGCACTTACACCGCGCGAGACATAGTATAAATGATCATGACCTCCCAAGATGAGATCCACACCGTGGGTGTCTGCTATTGGAGAACTCTCTTGTGTAGCTGGGGAAGAAGCATGGAGGTCCTTGGCTAGGTTTATATCCTTGAACCCCAGGCATTAAGCATTGCCCATGGATAGTTTCAGAGAACACAGTTGATCCTTACGTTTGGTACCCTGCCATGTCTCAGAACGATTAAGATGGCAAACTCAGAAACTTACCTCGCGTGGGTCAATGCGATGATGACCTCGCACCGATGTTCACCAGATGGGTCTCGCAAACGGGCAGATAGATCTCTGCCTGCCTCTGCCATGTCTTTGTACTTGAAGTTTGCCGGCCAGGTCGAAACAGTACCGATCCATTCCCTAAGAGAAAAATCCGATCCCTGTGAGAAATACGGGGAGTATATTGTATTCGGCGTGGTCCTACTTCTCTACCAAGCCAATGATGCCAATACGAATTCCAGATCTCTCCACGACTTTAAATTCGTGTAGGACGTCCGGAACCTTGGAGGTTTTCTCATCGATGATATTGCTGAGCAACCACGGCTAACCCCGGCTCCAACATTCAAGATGTACCCAAACGCACACCGCGAATGACTTACGAATTTTGTATCCGCGATGAGAAGGCGCAGATGGTGGTAACCTAAGAAGCGTCACGGGGACGCGTCTGGAATGCCTCACAGAGACAACTCACCGAAGTCAAAATCGTGGTTGCCTTCGAAAGTTTAGTAGATATCAACCTTTCCAAGAACTAATCGAGACCAACCGACTAGAGAAACATCCGGCGCGAGTTCGTTGATAACCGGGACCTTTCAACGAATCGAAACCGATCAGTCTTGGCCCACAGGCCATTTCGATCTCATACATACCATATGGCTTCCCCTAGTGATAGAGCTCTCTACCGAGGGTGCAAACAGATCCCCAGAGAATAATGAGAGGCCAGCATCTTTTGGCCAGTCCCGACGAATGCCGTCCAGCATCGCGGCGAATTGAGTTACGTCAATAGTATCGTCCGGTTTCGTAGAGAGCTTCTGGGGGCCAACACGGTAGACATCATTCCAATGAGCGATTTGAAGCTTCATTCTGATACTTGGATGATTTTACTAGATGATGATTTATCGGCCAATCTTGATCTGAATCATGGCGGTAACAGTGATATAGGGGCCCATGAAGGCTTGTGGCAATCTCATTTACTTCTCGCGTCGGTTTCTTGGCATCATGTCTAGTGATTGCTCTACTTTGTTTATGATGAGGAATGACACATATGAATGGTATCGAAAATCTTCAAAAGACAAAAACAAAAAGTGGTCGTTATTTATGAGGGTAATGTTTAATTCGCCTGCTTGAAGCTCCATTCCCATTACAATGGTCGACGTGGCCGGTTGCGGGGTTCCCTGCCCACTCCATACGATTGTCAGAAACTAAGAGACTCGGTCAAGATCACGACCTACATGAGGGAATGGGTGTTCACGACCAGCGGCGCCGAAGACAGCAAAGGACAGCACGAAGACCATAACCTGAGCCCCGCCGTTCAGAGCTACTCTTCATGCGTCAGTTGTACCCGTGTAACACCTGCAACAACACTCACCGCCACCCAAGATGTAATTGTATTTGTTGTACCAACGAGGGTACGATTTGCGAACCCAGAGTTGAGAAATAAGCCCAATAATGATGCTTGAGGTGATGGTGGATGTCACACCCACAGACATCCAAGCCGAGTACTATCGAAGAGGTCAATGAATGCAATTGTTAGGCGGCAGTGGCGATGTACCATGTAAATGATCGGCAGTACAACTTTATCCAACGGAATAGGACCAATCTTACGCCATCTCTGTAAGGTGCTTAGTCTGAAATGGCGGACAGTTGGGAAGAAAGGGACACCGACCTTCCAAAGAAGCCACTGCACGCAAGTAGGTATCGTCCCAAGTAATAGACTCATGGGCACTATCCAGTAGGGCCCTTTGAAACCATATAGGTCCTTCGCCAGTGACCAGCTAGATTCCGTTAAACCACGGAAGCATGGGCTGAAGAAAGAACCTACGTGACAGCCGCGCTGTTCAACATTTGTACCGATTGGCCACTCCACACATTCGAACCATTCGGTCGTAAGAGTACGTCTCTCTGTGAATCGACGATAGAAACCATCACGACTGAAGGAGATGTTGAGCGGCCGGCTTCTATGCAACATAATGACGGACTTACTATAGTTGATTGCAGCGCCTAGATGATATTAATATGGTGTTTTAGTCATCATTATTGAACCTATGGGTGACACTCACCTAGGCAAGTTCCCCATAGCTGCGCTGCGAACATAACTCTGGGGGGGATTTTGAGATATTGACCCATCTTGAGATCAGACGATAGATGGAGGGACGTCATGATTACTTCGTGACTCCACATGGAGAACTATCCGTTGCCGTTAGATACGAAGCTGGCAGGTACTCCTGAAGGCACTCACATATAAGTTCGCAACTGGTTTTCCAGGCTGCAGAACACCTGCAATCATTTTCATGAGTTGGCTTGTGTACACACCATGCCCGAGTCTCGCAGTAAGAAGGATGGAGAATGGCTGGGGTATATGTGTCAGTGACACCGAAACGCAGCAAAAAATGACCTTACGGCAACGACACTCCCCAATATGAGGGCGATGATATAACTCCACCAGGCAACGGTGGTTTGCCCTCTGATCACAACAGCGAGACCTGTCAAATAATACTTAGACCACGATACGCGGTTAATGAAACTAGCACCAACCGGACACAAACGAAACTCCAAGCAGAATGACGAACCACCACCAAGGGGCTTCCCTGTATTTTTGCATGGCCTGGAAAATGGTCAAATTCTCGACCATCTGGCTTGAAAGAAAGACTCCTTACTCGGTAATGACGGTCCAGTCTGGACGCTCCTTTGGATTTGAAAGTATCAACGACCTCCGAACCCCAGAATAAGATACAGTGAGCGAGAAGACCGCCAATCTAAGCAGACGTCAAAAGTAGGCGCAACGAATAGATGCAAAAGGCTCGTACTGAAAGGTTTGCAGTTAAACCATGCCAAGCATTGGATCCAGTCAAAGCAGGCAAACCTACTTCATTGAGGGCCGTGCGGTTTAAAGTAAAGGAAGGGCCGAACACGGCGCTTTGATTGTACACTGAGCCGTTAGAGGAGAATATGGAGGAGGATAGCATGGGGAATGCTCTAGACTAAACACGAAGAGTTTTGTGTCAGTAAGAAACAATGAAAGTACGTGACATGGGACTGACGTTCCAGAGGTTGGAATAGTATATCGCCATAATAGCGATATAGCAGAACGCAAAGCCGACCCAGGCATTTACTACAATCATGTTATTACCGAGTAAAAATAGGTAAGAACACGAGTCCGCTTACCCTGCTGTACCAATGGCAGATACATAGGACTGCCAAATTCATCAGTGACTCCTTGATACGTGGAATGGGCAACCTACTTGGATCCAATATACTGCCAATCGAAACTTATATTCAGCAGCCCTAAACCTTCGTTGGCGTTGGCACCACCAAAGAGATTTGTGAAGAGATCCCGAACCGGCCTTGACGCCCGTTGGGATGCAAGACAGAAAACACTGACTCCGTTTAGGGTGGGGAAGATGTACGCTGGGAGGAATTCGTAGCTAAACATGCCAACAAAAGCTGCCCAGAAAAGCCGTAGTTTCTTGCGGTTATCAGCGGTGTTGAAGTGGAGAGCTAAAACAGAGGGTTCATAAATAATTTTCCCCACTCCCTTGAAAATTCACTTGCTTTGAAAGATGGAGATCGTGTGCAGGTTCTATGGGACATTAGATTGAGAGTCCGGGTCGACGAGACGAAGACCTACATGCCAGTAAACCATCTCACTAGGATACACAGTGAAAGGCCGGAATAATCCTACTAGGCCATAACTACCACTCAGCGTGAGCTCTTATAATCACCAAATCAGAGAACCTTATACCCACCCAAAACTACCTGCAGAAAATGCAGCCAATACCGCAGTCGCAGCATCCACGTTCGTACTGTAAAAGAGCTGACCAAGAAATTGGATACTGCTGTGGCACATTTCTGGTTATCCCACTTACGCGCTGGACCGCGAAGTTGTAGATAGCACCACTGGTGGTGGCAGCGGTCGCAGCAATTATTGATGCAACGGCATGCTGTAGTAAATGTGAGATCTAGACTCTGGTCTAGTATAGAAGTGACTACCCATACCTCCTTGAGTGTGAATCGTCCCGGATTAATGAACGAAAGGAGTGGAGCCAGGGATGCCAGTCGATTTCCTTCTACCCAGGATGCCCGCGGTAAAAAAGCCGCCCAGAGAAGACCGGTGCTATAAACTAGTAATTGCAGGAAAGTTACCGAAACCGCCGTCTGGACTGGCTTGAAGTTGTATATCTGGATCATGCAGCCGATCATTAGGTGAATGATGATGCAAGAGTGAGCAACTCACCTGAGACAGAGTAGCCCCCAGCCCCGCAAATATTGTGCCGATGACAAACGAGCGAAATGTGAGCGCCGTCTCCCCGTCGTCGCGAACATCAACCAAATACCGTGAAACGTCTTGGCCTGTGCTGATTATGTGCTCGTGTGTGTCCGCGTAAGGGCGTTCACCAGCACCAGCGCCAACATGGTGATGATGATGATGGTGGTGGTGGTGGCCCTCGCCGTCCTCAACTTTGCTAGAAGCTTCAGAAGAGCGGCCAAGTTTAACGCTGCAGTTGCCGGTGGCGTATTTCTCTGCTATCTTCTCTGCAGAGGGTTGACGCGATGAAGAGGCCTCCGACTCAGTCTGGACCATGTGTGCGTCCTGGGCTATTGGGGGACCTTGTTGGCCAAGACATTTTCACCTGAAGACTGGGCTATAAGGATAGACCGTCACTGGTAGTCCACACGTAGTCCCGCCAACGGACAGATGGCATGGGAATGCCCGATACTCATAGAGCAGTTATAAATAACAATACAAGCTATGTGCCAAGCTATATAGTAATCGTCGATTAATGTCAGCGCATCTGCTAGTGGCGCCACGACACTTACTGGTATGCGCAATGAACTGAGATAATTTCATTCCAAGGAGTACAGTCGTGTTGGAGTCCACGATCATAATAGGCGGCTATAGAAATTATATTGAGCGCTTATATAATTATCAACGCCTCATCCAACTCTTCCATGGCGGATGCACACACCAGCAGACTATGTGCACAGATTGCGCACTCACATTTCGGCCCTTTGACTGCGGTTGGTCCTCATTTTATGTTTCCCAGCCCAATCTAAAATCTACCTAGAGTGTCGTTAACGCCCTTCTGACCCGTGGCCGACTTACATTCTCCCAAATTGTGCGATTCACGCCATTGAATCCACGAACTGCACGGGCAGCCATTCTGATTCTCGTGCAACACAATATCGTATGGCACTCTGTCACGGAAGAAGAGGGCGAAGTTTTGGAGGTCAATATAGACGAATGCTTGATCAGGCTACGTTTCGGGAGATTTGCCTGGCAGGCAGAAGAACTGTTTGGGCGTACGGTGAGTCAACTTTGTGAACGGCTGGAATCGAAGTTGATCTTTGCTTTTTACGCCCCAAAGGGTGGAGAGATTGTACAACTTATTTTAGATCATGGAAAATTACGACCGCCAGACATTATAGGCCCCCTCTCCGGTGGCTCCGTGAAAGGTATTGTACGAACTTCTTTTTTCGCACTGAACTTTTCTGATGCCCGTGAAGAGAGTGCAGTCTACGCGCAGACGCTACATAAACTCGTATCTGCAGCGTATCTCAAGCCCTCTACGCTTCTATCACACGTATCACCCCGAGACAAACGAATAAAATACGAGGCAGAAGAGAAGGCCAAAATTACCGGTTTCCCCACGGCAAAGGAGCTTCGACAAGCAAAGGAAGCCGCAGAGGCACGAATGAAACGCGAAGAAGCTGAAGCTGAGAAGATTGGCTTGGTGAGTAGATCATCTAACCTCACGCATTCGGGCCTGAATAAATCTGTTAGTCTTCTAGAAACGAAAACCCATAGAAAATGGCCACCGCTCGTCAAAGGTGAATATCTCACGTCGTCGATCAGAACGAAATAATTTATATGAGGTAGAAAAAGGCCGTCGAAGAAGAGGAGATAGTAGATGTAAGCTGCCTTGTCTTTCTCCCAGAGTTTTCACGCAGAGACTGAACTTTGGCCCATAGGACACTGTCTATTTTCGCATAAATTACCAGCGGTTTAGTGTTCATATCCGGAACTCCGTACGTACCGTATTATTTCCGTGTTACAGTACCCTAACCTTTGGTGTAGTTGATCGAACAAGCAGCCCGCGAACGCTATAATGATGGTGCTGCAGCAGTCGTCCGCGCGACGTTGCAAGCATCCGCGGCGAAGCAATTTAGTTTAGAGGACCCACGAACGGGTACATAATCCTATGGACCTCCCCTTCAGATCTAACATCCAACCTCCAGATCCCGTGTCCATTGCCAACATTGCCCAACACATCCACGACGATGATAACCTCGCTTCCGGCCTCCTCTCCTCGTCCAAAAAGCCAAACACGATGGCCTGCCTAAAAGACTATCTCGGCATACTCTCTGCTGCGGACAACCCCACTCCTGCTGGCCGCGCTGGCGCCTTCCTCTCCTTTTCATCCTCTAAAATACAAGTAGAGTTCGAAGTTGTCGCTCGGCGGCTTAAGAAAAGAGTACTCGAAGCGGTCGCCAGGGAAAAACACGGTGACGAAGGCGTTCGAATCATTCGGCTGCTCCTCGATGTCGGAAAAATGGACGAGAAGCAGGTGAATTACCTATCTCATCATTACCAGACAGCAGCCTGACATTGTCGCAGGTTTCGAAGAGCGTGATGATGCCGAATAAAGACGTCCGACCTCTCTTGTCTGCCCTTGCAGGGGACTCCTTGATTAGCACACAGGAGGTGGCTAAAACTGCTGACCACAACCCAACTCGCACGTTTTATCTTTGGTACAGTGCCTCTAGAATCTATTCAAGAATATCTCTCACTCTTTTATCAGGTATGTTGATCTGCAGAAGGCCTACTCTGTGATACTTGGCCAACTATACAAAACCCTTTACAACATCGGTACGAGGCGGGAAGCCGAGCAAGAGGAACCAAACGTTAAAGCCGTATTGGACAAAATGCAGCGCAGCGACGTAGCCGCCGACAACTCTCTCCTCTCTCGGATGGAACAAGAAACGCTGAAAGAGTGGGAAGCAAAGCGGCAGAAATTAGTGATATTGCAGATGCGAGTCGAAGAAGCTGTATTCATTGTAAAGGATCTAGGTGTGCTAGGAAACAGTGACGATTGACCTCGTTCTAGTTCCTGAGATCGACGATGATGGCTTTGGCGTCCGAACCCAGTGAGCCCATTGCAGCATTCACTGCGACTCGATTTATCGCTCCATCTGAGATAACTTGGGCACCAGTCGCTTCGTGGATATGCCCGAACACGTGTAGCCGGCAAGCATGCAGCTCTGTCATTCTCTGGGCGAGTCGTTTGCAACCCGCATTGATGCCTTTTCGCGTCTGGTCTAATATTTTGTGGGGGGGCGTGTGTGTCAGCAGAATGTCGGTGTCTTCAGGAATCCTTGCATGAACCTCTGACAATGCAAACCCGTCGTCAATTGCTGTAGATTTGACAACGGTCAATGAGGGTTTACTTGAACTTACCCTCGGCTTCAGCGTCTGTTCTATACTGAAAAGCACCTTGAGCATACTCGGGTGCTGCTGGCGAGCCGTAGATCTTCCAATTTCTCCCCGAATGCGATGTAACGGTGCAGGCCTCATGTTCGAGATATATAATACCTGCTTCCTTAGCGTCGTTCCCTAGGACCACTGATTGCGCTACTTCCAGAGCGTCTTCGGGATCCTACAACCTCGTGTTCATGTATTACGGCACCGACGCGACCAGGAAGTGCGCTCACCGTGCCGAGAAACCCTGCCCCGAATTCTCTGCGCAACGCCCCATCTAAACACAGCTTTGAGGTTGAACTAAGCGTTAGCACTCTCCACTTGACACTGACTTAGGACAGGCGAATCTTACATCGTGGTTCCCCGCAATGATGCTAAGAACGGGTTTAGCGGAAAGTGGCTAGGACATTATTATCATGCAGCAGCACTTACACCTTGATTGGGTGCGGTAACGACTTGAGCCAATCGAGGGTGGGTCGTAAGTGCTTCGTGTAACCCCAGCTACTCAAGTCGCCAGCATGCAGCAACACATCGCCAGAAGGTATGGCGGAGAACTTTCGACCATGTGTATCAGAGACGCATACGAATCTCGTCCATTGATCTCCGGGGTGTGGTGGTTCTTCGTCGTACGCGGTATGTACGACCGCTGTCTGGTTCGGGTTGGGCATGTTCAGTATCTGCGTCCTGGCCGAGGGTACTGGGAACGCCGTTGGGAAACCGACAGCATCGTGGTGAGCCTTTTAAACGCTACCAGAATGGATTCCCAACTGCTCCGAAACTGCTCTCATGCATTGCCTCATTCCATATGCGACACGGTAGAAACTTTCGACCTTTAGGTCTTAATCAAGTTCAACAGCTTGAAGCGGTGCTCAGCTCAGCGCTCGTCGTACGCTCACTGTCAGAAGCAGGGTCAGACCGAGGACGGCGACGAATTATATTATAGCAGCTATATGGAGTGGTGAAATCATTTCTGCGTATCAAACTCTTGGTTCCGCCACACGCGAAGCTCTTTCGCGAGTATCTTCCACCGTTCTTGAACGAACGGAAGGTCACCAACCGACTTCAACGTCGTAGTGGATATATATCCCCTATTATGATGTTTTCCGTACCAAACTTAAGTATTACGTCGTCAGTGAATATGAATATGCAAGAACGAGGAGGGAGACTCACTGATATCCTCGCGACGCGTGGGGGCCGCTTCAGTTTTCTCTGTCCGCCCTTTGACACACTCTCTAAGTGCTAGGTCGTTGTAGTACTTGCAGACGACCTTGCCGCCAGCAGCCTCAATGGCTTTAATGGCACTTTGCGACGCTCGCGAAGGGGTAATATAGATTGGCGTTTTGAAATGCTCCACACCCTATCCAATCATGATGAGAACACCAGCATCCAAGAAAGTTCACAAATGAGCATACATCACCAAGAATCTTAATCCCGTCATGCACATCATGCACGCACCCACTCAACAGCAACTCTCTCGCCGTAATGGGTTTCTCTGGCGACGACGTTATCCGCCCTTGGTCTATCCAATGCTGCAACCGGTCCAGATTCACAGGTGCCCATGTTTTTCCGTTTCTGTTTTATTCAGAGAGCCATAAGCAATGCAAACGCAAACGCAAGGGGGAACACAAGACGAACTGGCTGTAAAACCCTCTCTTGGGGAACCGTTTCGTTATGGGAGTTTGACCACCTTCGAAACTTGCATGCGGTCCAGGACCAGCGCGAGATTTCTGACCGTTGTGACCCCGACCAGCCGTTCCTCCGTGACCCGAGCCTTGCCCACGACCGACGCGTTTTTGCTACAGCCAATAAAAGGTGAGTACAAGAGCAGCGGTGTTATCAGAAGTAACACACAGCATGCTGCGAGCCTGGGGCAGGTTTGAGATTTGCAAGGGATATTCGAGGAACTCGCGACGCCATTTGACGCGGACTGTGATGGTCTCCGCTGTGTTCTCGCTCTGGCAGAGTTTCCGGGCGTGAGAAGTACGATAGGAGAGGAAAGGGGCAACTCCTCTCTATAGTCCTTGTTCGATACAACCAACTTATGTTGTCAATTCGATATTGAGGACATTAATCTTTTGTGAGTTTAGTAGCGAGGGAATTACACAACCAAGGGCTTTCTCCGTGGTAAAACAGAGAGGACCACAGACAAGAAATAAATATATCGTTAGCTAGGGCTACAAGTGAGGAGCTATGGATACAGTAGTGTTATTTATGTATGATTCAACCGAAAAGAATAAATTATGTTGTGTCAAATATCTAAGGAGTTGTCAGAATGAGAAGGAGCATAGGAACGTTGGATACTTACCGACGCGCATACCTTGTTCAGCCAGCAGGATCTCAGCGCCAAGACCTTTCTCGAGGACAAGCTGCTTGACTTGCTCCAAGATCACTTTCGGGGTATCGCTAGCACACCCTTTAGTATGTATGATATATACGCGAAGGCCGCGTAGGATATTTTTGAGGTCAATCGACGGAGGCGGATTCCGCCGTTGCCGCTTGCGAGCTGGGCCTGGGCTGGCATTCTGGTTAGCAGTGGCAGCCTGGGTTGCTGTCAAGCGTACTTTGGCGACTTCGACTGCCAACGCTGTGAGTTCGCACACGAGATGCTCGGGCGAGAGATGCCCGTGGAGCATATCGTTCGGTCGACCAGACGGCCATGAACATTCAATGAATATTGTGGAGAGTTTGGCGGGGATCTTCGGGGCCGCCGCGCGCCATACTTCTGTCGTGCGCGGGATGAGGGCGAGAGAATCTGGCTCAACGTCGCCGAAGAAAAGGAACTCATGGCCCGAGGAATCGTTGCGAACGAAGAAAGCAGACGACGTGTATTCGCCTTCGGTTTCGTCAATGACGCGACCATGGCTCAGTGGCATGATGCGCGCCGACACTTGGGGATGGATGGTCTTGTATTTCCCGTCTGGAACAAGTCTGAGACTGCACTCAGATAGCGCGATAGGTAAAGGGAGAAGCACGCACGGTGAGTACAGGTATTTGTAATTCTCGTCGTCTGTCTTCCACGACGCGAGGTTAGGCCAGATGCGATTTGAGAACACGCTTTCAAGGTCTTGCAGGCATTGCTCCGAAGCGTAGATTCGTTTCCGCAGACGATCCGTAGAGGAACCAGCAGACATTATAAGGCTGCTAATGTGGTCTAGGTGGGCGTGTGTCACGAGATAACAGCTGGATTGCAGGCGTCAGAGCGCGTCGACCACTTCGTGCGTTCACTATTGGCTCACCGAACGAAGGTGTATATTTGAGCTGCAGTGTAACCCTGATCCCCCTCCTTATCAAGCCAGAACTCGGGAGTCTGGCTCAGAATCTTGTTCAGAGCCCCTTGGCCTGATCCTGCATCATTAGTGTGAGCCGCTCTGCTCCAAGCATCATTGGCACGAGTTTGGGAGGCTGGCGCTCACCTGCTTCCAACCCAATCACCCCCTCGTCCCATGAGGCTTCAGCGGGCTTGATCAAGTAACTGGATAATCAGCAAGTCAGTAAAGATATCGATATTTCCACCTCAAGTCCACGTGTGCCCCAGGAAGACGTAAACTGAAAGTAAATAGAAAATACAAGGAAGAACATACGAAGATAGGTTGGTCTCGTCTGGGCCTCCCCCAGACCCTACCACAATCATGTTGAAGGCAGGCATTGCGGGCGACGACGACACTGGGCGCGGCGGCGAAGGTGACAGATGGTGAAGGGTTTTTTGCACACGCTCGTAGGTTATTATATAGCTGCCTCAAAACCTTCATTATCTTTTGACTCTATTTGATTCTACTATTTGGATCCCAGCACCGCTCTTGGACCTTGTTGGCCCCTCCAAATGCGATTTATCTCCCGAGCATTGTCTCGCAACGGGCAGTGCGATGCATTGACCCTACCGCCGCCCAACCCATCTGACCTGCCAAATGAGCCAAGTACAACGTCCACGACACGAGGCGCTACAGCCCAGGATGAAGTACAAGACTGGCCACGCAGCAGCAGCAAGACAATGACCATAAAATTAGCTACCACTCGTCCGGACCGTGTCAAAGGCCAGTCAGAGAATGTCATTTAGTTGCAAATCAGTCATGGGCGGACATGCCACGGGTTCGTCTGCAGATCATTGATCATTGTTCTATTGCAATGGTATAGGAAGAGATACATTGAAAAAAAATACAAGGGTTATAGTATGTTGCACCTCTGGTAAGGAAATCCCACTCCAAGTCAATACATCTTGCATTGACCACCAAAAAGTTAGAAAGGGCTCCAGCTAGAGGCGCTATGACGCTCTCGAACTTGCGGTAGACTCCTGCAAGAATAAGAAAAAGTTTGCAAGGGGACAATAGTGCGAGTTCGGAAATGAGTGAGGAAGAAAATTGCTCGGATCCAGAATTTATACTCTGACGCCGCTTGGCGGCGGCGTCCAGGCCAAACAACGCCGATTACGCTTCCGCTAGAAGCTCGACTTTCCAAGTCCACTGGAGCTCTTGTCGGATTATCTCCGTGATATCCACAACAGGTTTGGTTCTCATGAGATGGTCAACTTATATAGCCCAAGGAGGCGAGCATCCCCCCGCAACTCGCCATGCATACCCTTTCAAGTGGTAAGTTTGACGTCGTCCCTATCAACTGCCTTCCTGATCGACGATGAATCAGAAACGATGACAATGACCCTTCAGTGGCTTGCAATAACTGCCATATACTTTGAGTACGGGCAGGCCTTTCGGTCAGGCCTAGTGGACGATCTCAAGGATGCGTACTGCACCACTCCGACGCCCCTCATCTTTGATGGCCGCCTCTCCACCGGCCATCCCCCTGTAGACGATCAGATTTGCGCTCTCGTAGCATTCTTTCGACATGCAACGACAGATCAAGAGTGTCTGACTACACTTGTCTATGTCCTTGGAAACCTAGCCGTTCCTGCGATATTCTTACTTGTCGAGCCATGTCGACAACCGAGGATAACAGGAATCCTGAAACAACAGCAACCTCCAGCGATATCCTTCCAACGGTTTCTCGCATATCCAACGATACTTGGCTTGATGTATCAAGCTGTCTCGATGGGACCGACGATGAGTATTTATTGGATGCTTTTTATACAGTCAACCCGTATTCAAGAACGACCGCTGTATGTGAGTCGGGCTGACGCTGAAGGGATAATCACAGCGATCACGGCAGGGATGTTCCTGCCTACGTTCGCCATGATTGTTTCTGCGCAGCCAATATTCACCTGGCTCTGGCAAATATTCCCTGTCCTTGTTTGGGGAATACACCGTGGTTACGTCCGTATCGCCCTCCGCCCATGTGGGGCGAAGAATCAGCAAATGGGGAACACACTCATTCACGACCTCTTCGTGTTCGTATTCTTGATGTGTTGGGTACTTCATGCCATGGTGGTGTACCCAATCATCATGGACATAGATGCGTTGAAGGCGATCGTCATCCCCTCTGTAGCGAACCTTCCGCCAACCGTGTCAATAGGAAGAAGAATTGCTGATTTTCTAAAATGGGACGGTGCAATAGGGATGCTTTCCACGATGCTGGGTTCTTTATGGTTTACAACTACGCGGCGAGAAACGCTGGGGATGATGGGCTGGTATATGCTAACTGTTCCTCTTGTGGGACCGGGTTCCGCTGTTGCTGGCGTGTTGATTTGGAGAGAGAAACGTCTGTCGTAGATTCAAACTTGGAATTCTTGATTAGGAACCTTTGTGATCTTATCTACTCAAGTTGTTCCATCCTACGTATATATGAGTAGTTTCGACGGTTGGTGTTGGGCGATGCCGATGAGGAGTAGTCATTATATGTATTCATCCGCATCTGATAAACCAGGCTCACAAACAAAACGTCAGTGCTACCTGCAGTTCGCCTAACGCCTAACACAAATTACACAGGACACTCCGTCAATGCATACATGTACGTACTCAAAGTACATCGATAGCAAGACAAGGCAATTGGCGTGCAAGTTCCTAGGAAGTATGTCATGAGCAGTCTATTAGCGGAAAGTACCACGGTAGTTCAAATGAATCTACCAAAGCGGCATGTACGAATTATAAACAGCGAAAGAACAGATAAGAAACGGGTGGAAGATAATAAGTAGGTCACAGGGTATGGAGAGAATGTTATGACGTTGCATAGAGCTTCACAACACCATCTGCACCAGCACTAGCCATGAATGGTAGTGATGGGTGGAACTCGACATCGAGTACGCCTTCTCGGGCTTTTTCGCGATGGGACGTCACCTCCTGCAAGCATTCCCTCGAGCCGAGAAGGTCCCAGAAGCGCATGGAGCAGTCGTGACTACCGGATACCAGCGAGAAGCCAGCAGGGTCCACCGAGAGCGATGTCACACCATCGAGATGTGCTGTCATAGAATGAATGCATTCGCCTAAACCGAAGATGTCAATAAGAGGAGAGATGGAAAATATCGTCTACGCGTACCTGTGGTATAGTCAAATATTCTTATGAACTTGTCTTCGTGTGCTGTGACGAGCAACGACATCGTAGGATGTGATGCCATGCGATTCACCTGCGTGGCTGGTGTTCCATCTATACGTGATCGAAGAGTTTGTATGCGGGAGCACTGCACAACACGTAAAACTCACCGTATCCTATATCTGTTGCCAGCCTTGAGACCTCTTTACCGGTCTCAATTTCAAAGATCTTCACCACCGCATTTTGGTAGGCGACAGCAATCTTCTTCAAATCAGCCTTCAAGGCTTCCACCGACGTTGCTCCGGGTGCATCATTATCCTCTGCAATATCCGAAGACGCTTCTGTACTCTCTAGCCCAGCAAAGCCCCATGATAACGTCAGGGCCCAGCCACCAGACCGTCCGCTCACATCCCACACTTTCACCGTACCCTCTGCTCCGCAGCTAATCAATGTTGTCTCGTCTCGTACAAGGGCCAGGTCCCATACAGCGTCTGTATGTCCAACTAGCTCGCCTCGTGATCGTGTCTCGTCGTATGGCGCGTATGTAGTGTGCGCCGGAGTCGGAAGCGCCCATACTCGGATAGAAGAATCCAAAGAGGCAGAATACAGCAGACCCTTCGAAGGTGCATGCACAAGTCGTGTTATTGCTGCTGAATGCCCTCTCAGTGTCAATTGAGGCTCAATCTCGGTTGTAAGTCGCGTGCTAAAAGCGGAGAATCAGAATCAGCGGAGAAGTATGAGTGATCGCAGTATGGTACGCACGCGGTGGCTGCCAGGCTTGCAACATCCATCCTCCATATCTTGACAGTGCAGTCGTCACCACCGGTTGCTAAACATAGCTCGGTGGGATGGAACGCAAGCGCTCGGACGGCATCTAGGTGACTATATTATGAATGGATGTGAGTTAAGTTTCGAACGTGCCGATATGAAGCGAAATGGACGAATGAAGAGAGTGAGTTGTTCATGAGACTGACTTCCGGAGTGTTCGCTTCGCTTTCCATAGCTTAGCACCTTCGCCTTCGCTGACGACCGTGCCTTCCTCCTCTTCCACCTCCGGCTCCTCATCCCTGATTGGCACCTCATCGTCATCCTCCCTTCGTCGCTCCCATGAACTCGCTCCGGTTGTTGCCGCGGCCTGCACCTTCAACTGTTCAGCCTCATGGGACAAACGCAACCTTTCCTTCCACTCCCCAGCATCATCCGGCCGGAAAATAGCAGTGAGCTGGCGCTTGGCCTCGGAACCTTCGCCCCCGTCCTTGTCCTTGTCGCTCATTGCCGGCGTGGGCTGACCGGCCTGAGACTGGCCCATGGACTGAGATCCTGACGACTGCTGTAGGTGAGACTGTAAGGAGATGCTATTCATAGGATTACTCCGTTCAAGCTGGTTTCCTGACGCAGGCGCAGAGGAAGGACCTGGTATCAAGTTGATTCCGTTGGGCATGGTATAGTCTTTGCCTGCCTCGGGCAAGATTTTGCGAGGTCGGCCGTTATATGCGATTTGATCAAAGGAAGGGACATTGGGGAGAGATAGTGGTATGGGGCCGTTGTTTATGAGAGGTCGGTTCGGTAAAGGATTCATGGCTTGCGGGGAAGTGAGATACGAGATTTCTTGTAGGCATCTATATAAGTGAGAAAAATCAAGACGTGCCACGCTATGTAAACTTGAGGGCGTACTGTTTGAGGTAATCCCGACTTCGGGCCCTACTTTTGGGATCTCGCCCGGGGGGTGGTTTTGTCAGCGCTGCCATTGTACTGGCTGACGGTCCGTTGGTCCAATTCCATGAATTTGGTCGTGTGGAACTCGCTGCCGCTACACCATTCGATATACGCCCTTCGGAAGGCAAGGGCATATCTGAAAGTCGCTCGTGTGAGATAACCGGTAAGAGGTGGGACATGATGATGGGGCGGTACCTTCGCTACGCGGTGAGCTGCCACTGCTCCCTTCTTTGTGACTCTGGACATCATCCCGTTGCGGAAGCATACCGAGCTTTGACGGAAGTATCGATTGTGAGACGGGTTGCGATAGTTGTTTCGAGCTTTGAAGGACGGAGGGAATGAGACAAAAGAGGCGTTCGGGGCGAGTGTGTGTACATACCGCTCCATCCTCAGAGCAAATTCGAGCATTTTGATGCGGCGCATGAGGTCCAGTTTTACATTTTCGAACGAGCGGCGCTCTCCCTCCAGCAGCGCGATGCGAGCCTAGTAATATTTCTGTGTCAGCGTGTTTTTGCGAGCGGGAAGGCAGCACCAATCGACGAACCCTCATCTCCGCTCGTTCTATTTCCCATTCGTTTCTGTCGCGTTCATATCGCCTCCATTCAGTCTGCAAGAAATGGAGGACGCTGGAAAGCGTGAAATCTTGGCCATTAAGAGGTGGAGGTAATGGTATATTGTTATTCTGGGACCCTGGCTGCTGCTGCTGAGGTTGCTGCTGTTGCTGGACCTGCTGCTGCTGGTTATTTGTCTGGAGGACCTGTAGGGAGCCCAACATGGGTAATTGGATTGAGGAGGACGAGGAAAAGGGCTCTGGCGGCGGAGGCTTTGAGTTGGGGTTGTTGATTCGCGAAACGGGGTTGAGCATTATATGACCTTGCACAAACACAACCAAAGGCCGACACGTCCTGCACTGAGCGCCGCTCGACCACTACAAGTGCCCTTCCTCAACGTTGCTGGCGACGACAATGTCGGTACAAACAACAAATTTTCTCATTTACACCCCACACAGGGAAAGTTTAATTTCTTTGCTTCTTTGTCGAACGAATCAAATTTTACCGATCTCGGAGGACACCAACAAGCTTGCTGCCATCACCATGCGCCTTGCAACGAGGCTACAGACACTCTGTTACGGAAGCACAAGTGACTCGGCCCATCGAAGAGGACGCCAGATCCATTGTCTATCGAATCAGGAATACACATCTCCCATTATATGAGCATTAGATTTACTTCTTCCCCGACCTACAGAGTTCCGGTGCGCGCGATCAGAACTGCGGCACGGCAGCAAATAAGATCGCAGAGTACGTACTTCTTGATGCCAGAGTTCCCGGTTCCCAATGGGCCTCCTGTGTATAGGTCCAAGTGTCAAGATTGGAAATTGAGTATGGATATGATTCGGTTTCACTGACCCTTTAGAGCTGCGAACGAGAGATCCGTCAGCCCTGCAGCATTTTGCAGACAACCCTTGCCTCGACGTACCTTTGTCCCTCGCATTCTTCAGAGCTGCGGCTTCTTGTTTCTGTTTCTCTTTGAAGGCCTTCTCCTCATCGGTCTCCTCCTTTTTGTCTTTCTTTGGGGCCTAAGAAACGTCTTGAATATATGGCGATCGTAGACCGTACTGAACAGAAAACTTGCCTTCAAAGGCTTGAGCTTACCACCTGCGCGACCAGACATCGATGAGCACTTGAAAGATGCAGAAGCGCCCGATGATAAGATCGATCTATGGAGGCGCTAATATTCACTCAGTGCTCGTCAATACGACGAAACTTCTCTTCCTCCACCATGTGGTACGTTGAAATCTCGAAGGATTGGGACGTAAGTGAGTCTTACATGGGTGCGATAATTTACTGACGCATCTCAAGGTTCTTGGCCCCTTCCCAATACATGCCAGGGAACAATACTTCTTGTCCCCCTCGTTCCCAGTAAATGGTGCATTCCAAATCTCTGGCGTTTGGAACTCAATGCTCAACGATGACTTTCCAGTGCACGAACCAATAGATTTGACTAAGAAGTACCCATCTTCGTACGCTGACGGCGGGAACGTTTCGTGGACAACCACAACGTCCAACAAAGCTGGGGAAATCAAAGTCGCTTTCCCTAACATAAGGTCTCGTCCAAGCTGTGGTATATCCGAAGACTGATCAAATTCTGGTTAAAGGTGGCAATCACTTCGCGCGACGGAGGGTTGGGCAGCGCTCCAGCATCACGCAGTCCTTCGCGGCACCCTCACGGTGTCTTCTACTCCCCCGTATGGAATCCGAGAGAGACCCCGCCTCCTTGTTCAATTATTACAAGGCTCATTCTTCACGATCATTCCCTCTGACCTTACGAAGAGCCAAGGGATTACTCCCAGGTGGTACCATGGCAATATATATGCCATGGAACGCGCCCTACCTCAAGCAGTAGACCTCCCAGTCCCACCCGAGGCCTCAAAGCAAACGCAATATACCATTTTCATTAGTGGTGACTTCGAGGTACCCTTAACTTATGTCCCCATTCCAAGTAATTTACGCCACCGATCGATTAGATCCGTTTGTTTGGCGACCCAAGCGCATCCAAGCAGGAGTACCCTGTCCAGAGCCTGCAGATAGGCGTGAATATCGAGCTTCCAACCAGGGATCCAAGTACGCATGTGGTACATGAACCGACCCAAGATGTCATGTGTGACTTTGTTGATGGATGGGCCTTTGGCAATGCCTTGGGCATTGGCATGCGAAGTGTCGATGGCTGGTGGACCGTTAAAGAAGTCACGCTCGAGGACAGCAACCCAGACAATGTAACACACTTATACTACGCGAGAAACAGGGAGCAAGTCACTCATACCGTATGCTTTGCTTTGCTTTCCCCCTGTAGATTCCAAAGGATATCACCTTGCGTCTCAAGCAAGAAACACATTTGGCGCCCTCTCAAACCAGAATCATACCAATAGTCATTGAACAACATTCAGCCTTCTGCGGAGGCGAGCTACGAATCCGTGTGCGGGCACAAGGCCAGTCGACGCTTTATCCTTCTACCGTATCCGTCACTGTCCCCATCAAACACCTGGAAGGGTGGGATGGCAAAGATCGTCCCAAATTGTACTCGATCAAAGCCTCGTATTTCTACGCTCACTCCATGCCGACGAACTTTGTGGTTGTCCCGCCCCTGTACCGAAATGAAGGAGAGGTTTCCAAAGCTCCCATCCTTTGCCTACGTACGTACACCCCTCCATCGTATTTATACGTTCTCAATCAACTTCATGGTCGCGTGTAGATGGCGCGGGTGTCGACGTTATCGGCACTCCGTGGTGGGTCGAATCCTTACCACGCATGAACAATAGCTGGCTTGTCATCCCAACTGGGAGAACGTCTTGGGTAGGTCACTCTCCCCATCCTATGAACATATGGTATGAACCCTTTGGTTAAAGGGCCTGGACTGGCACGGTCCAAGCGCAAAAGATGCATGGGGTTCGCTGGATGCTCTTGTTAGCATTGCCGAGGCCAACCTGGCCTGGAAAGACTGGCGACTGCCAATAAATCCATCTGCCGTCATTCTTGGACATTCCAACGGCGGACAAGGTACTTGGTATCTCGCCTCTCGGTATCCTGATAGAGTATTAGCTGGTGGGCACGTCTTTGTTATCACCGAGCAAATCACTCACTCTGGTAACAGCCGTACCTATGGCCGGTTACATCAAGTCGCAAGCGTACGTTCCCTTGACCCAGTCGAGGTCGGCACACTACATGGATCCTGCTCTGCGAGCAATCCTACAGGGCACACTAACCCCAGACGACAACGACTTGTTTTTATCAAACTTAGTCGATATGCCTGTTCTCGCTATCCATGGGTGAGTGGATGCTCCTCCGCATTTTCTGCAATTCGACCCACCGATCTAAGCGGGATTGACGACAATGTCCCTGTGTGGCATTCTCGGGAATATATCTCCATCATCAAAGCTTTGAACCCAAATGCAAACGCGACGTGAGTATGCAATACATTTTCTGCCAAAGCGGGCTCAACGTGAATAGATATCGAGAAGATGCCGGCCAACTTCATTGGTATCCTGAGGCCATCACTCACCCTGACACACTAGCTTTCATTAAGAAGTCCGTGAGTCTGGAGGTGAGAAAGCCGCCTGTGGAGTTTACCTTGACCGTCGCGAACCCTTTGGAAAGTGGGCCCATGTATGGACTTCAGGTGGTATCCCTCCTTGTCCCAGGAAGGTAGGCACCTCTATATACCGCTAGTCTAGCCATTTACAACACACACTAGACTAGGTAGACTGAAAGTTCGCATCGACGACCGTGGCTTTGCACATATATCCCCCACCAATATATCCGCCTTCCTGGTCGACCTCAGCGTACTATATCCTAGTCAGGACTACGTCAACCTGACTGGCATATACGTAGGCACTGACCTGGTTCAATCGCCGTCTACGATCTATGTCGTCTCCAAGCAGGACTTGAGTGGCTGGCAGGCCAACGATGCTGTGGATCAAACTACGGGCCTCCCTCGGCCGCCTGGGCGCGCACAACTAATTCTGACTTCGAATGCCCCGTTGACCATCGTTGTACCGCCAAACGCAGTGCATGAGTTATCAATAGCTTTACGGATCGCCCATATCCTGGAGGTATATCATAAACTAGATACCTCCATCTTGACTTTCTCGGAGTATGCCTTGACGAACAGTGACACACCTCCAGGAAATCTCGTCTTGATAGGTAACACAGCCGCTCCCTCAGTGAAATGGTTGCTTCAAAAGAGTCCAACACCATGGTCTCTGCGAGAGAGGTCTCTGTTTTTGCAAGGCCGCGCTGTTACACAAGCTGGGCAAGGTATGATATGATACATATACGAAGCAATCTAGTGACATCTGATTTCCTGTCTACAGCTGTTGTATCTACCTTTCCCCACCCATCTCTACCGTCAACAGTCCTTCTCTTGAGTTCAAACGAAGGCGCTGGACTAGAGCGAGCATACAGGCAATTCCCCCTTCGAACTGGCGTCACGACTCCGGATTGGCTAGTGATGAGTGAAGGTGTTGATAATATGGGTGCAGCGGGATTAGACGGAGCAGGGTATGTACATTTTACTTCGCTGGTAATACGAATGACAAACGCAAAGCAAAAAACAGCACATGGGGGCGTGAATGGGTTTGGAACGAACCCATGTCGTGGCTGAATTAAGTTATATATATACGACGTGAAGGATGATGTTGAACAAGATCGAATTGGGTTTCCTGATTGTAATATAAAAGTTCGGCACTTTTACACTATGTTCAACAGACGGGGGGAAAGCGTGATAATACAATACAATGTGTAAGAGGAAGGGAACCCAGATAAAAACAGGAGATGTGCGACAGATAGCAAGGATACTAGCAACATTATTCTAAGACTGGAAAATGGATGTAGCAACCTGAATTGTGACAAGGGATGAGCTACGCCGCGTACTTTCAGGTAGACAGTGAACTTACACTCTCAAGGAGGAGAGTGACTTCGGGGGCAATTCGTACGAAGTCCATGCTCCAAAATTCGTACTTAGGGTTGCGAAGTAACTCGATGAATGTCACGAGGGCACCCCAAGGATGAGGGCGGAGAGCAATGAAGCGTTCCAACAATACTTTCGTCATGACCTCACGGAAGCGGGCATCCTTCACCTCCAAGAAAAGGTGGAGAAGGAGTGAGCTGAACCAGTGGGTGTGGGCATTAGGGTAACGGAGATGGAGGATCATCGAGCTGAGCAGGTGGTGTTGGCCTTCAACGTCGAGGCTGGTTGCGAGATACTGCAAGGCTACCACGCCGGGGTCACTCGCCACGAAGAGCGAAGACCCACTTCGGGCTTTGGCTTGAGCAACCGAGGAGACGCCAATGTACATAACCAAAGAGTTGACCAGTGACAAATTGTAGGTCTCTGTGGCCATGTCTGGCACAACAGGTAACCGTAGGCGATCCTGAAGGGAGGTCAGGAAAGCAGGGTTGCCTCGATTGAGCAGATATTGGTCGAGATTGGAACGAAGATCGCCGCTCTTAAGGCCCGATGCGAAATCGGAGAGTATAGGTGGGATGGGTCCCATTTCTGGGATAGCTTCGAATTTGACATTTCGAAGGTGGGGGTCTGGGAGAATGACAGAGGATGGGAAGGCACTGAGGATGATGTTCCGAAGCTGGATGCAACGAGGAGGGATGATGTCGCAGAGGGTGAAGTAGTATTCACTGAGGAATTCGGGGAAGTCGTGGAGAAGGACAAGTAGGAGACGTAACGTGCCGCGGTACAAGTCTCGCGACGCTGTTCGTAACTCGGAATCTTTGAGGAATGGCGAAAGGAACTTGAACAAAGACAGGAGGAGTTTGTGGAATGCAGACCATCCCTAGAGAAGAAATGAGACGGAATATCCGGTGTGAGCGTGCGCTGGAACTTACTTCGCGGTTTTCAGTGAGAAGTAACTTCGGCATGAACAACCGGTGCGAGATGAGGCACATCCAGGAGAAAGCGAAGCCAGGGAAGTAAGTGGGTTGAAGGGAGCTGAAGGTATCGCTGGAACAAGGGGTTAGATGGATGGTAACTTATGGGGTAAAGAACATACCTGATCGCAACAAGGAGTTGGAAATAGGCTGTGCCCAAACTAGATTCGATGGTGTGGAGATCATTGATGAGGCTGGAGAAAAACCTGAAGAACGGCTTTTGTTGGAAAGAAGGCCCCTGTTCCTCGTGTATGTTCGCGAGCACGAGGACAAAGATAGAAAGGATTTTTGTCAAGTAATGAACCTTCGCTTGGTCGTTGTTGACTCCAGAGGCATCTCCGTGATATTTGATGATATAGACGATCAGCCTTGACATAGCATCCAGGGCCTGGAATGCGAATTCGTAGTCACCGCTCGACACACACTTGATGTAGTGAGAGACGCTGGCTTCGGTGCAGACCCTGAAGAAGAATGAAGACATGTCTTCCACTTTCAAAATGCCCTGCTTGGTGAGCTGGGTGATGAAAGGAACAAAGCTCTTCTCCGGATTGGTGGACCGTTGAAAGATACCAATCCATTGTTGGAACCAAGTCAATAACTTTTCTCTTGCTTGATCTGTCTCAGCTTTTCCGAGCTGCCGTACAAGTTGGTTCTCAATCGGCAAGCTAGGTGGGCGCCTGATCCTATTGAGATCGCTCAGGAGCCTAGTCACACTGAACGCCGTTAGTAACAGGACCATCCCCACAATCATGCTACTTACTCGTCGCTGCCTTTGCCTGACTGTGAAAGTTGGCTAAGTATTTCCAGCGAGTAGCTGAATTGCGTTTGCGAGGCAACCGGGGGATCGGCCGACAGACATTCCCGAATTAATCCAACTGCAAAGGCCAGCAAAGTGGGTCGAGGATTAGTGTACAGGAACTTCGCTAATTGCTGATCTTGTTGAGCAATGTCTACGAGGCCGCTGCGGAGTAGCGTCACGGTAACCGGGACGTTGAATTTTCTCTGTAACACACAATGAGCATCACAAGCCACAATACACCGAATGAGAACAAACCTCATCTTCGGCGTAAACAAGCCATGTGATGGCTTCCTTGGAGACGTCCTCGAAGGTAGTGCAGAGTTGTTCGAGCAATACGACATAAACTTCACGACCCAACTGAGATGGGGTCTTGTAAAGCAGTTGAACGATTTTCTGCGACATCTGAAGAGGGGTCCCTTGCTTGTCGGCAGCTTCTTGAGCTAGGAACAATACTTGTCTGACCAGATGTCGAACATCGTGGTTAGGTGGCAGGGCTGCTAGCGACTGAACGGGGAGTTGCATTAATACCGCCTCCAAATCCTTGATGAGGGCCTGCGAAAGGTTGTGAGCAACAAAAGAAACAACGATCAAGCGTTGAACTTACGGCGAATCGATCCATAACATCTTGGTGGGTTAGATAAGGACGACCAGACATTTGCGCTTCTGGGGCTGGCGAAGCTGAGTATGCCGTCGGGGGGATGTGCTCGCTTCTAGAAAACGACATGGTAGAGTTGGGGCGGCTAGTCATTCTGCGCTTTTGGTCGTTGACTATTACGACGCTGTCAGAGGAGCAGAAAGAGGAGTTTTCTTGGACGTACCGAAATCTTCATAAACATTAACCTGATGTGGCTGTAACCCTGAAGGCTTCACCCGTAGAGGATCCGGCAGGGTGATAGAGAAATTGACTTGGGGAGCAGTTGGGTCCCAGAATGGTTGTCCGTTACGAATCTAAAGGCAAATAAGCTGTGCGTAAAGGAAAACCACGCATTAGATGTTACCTCGCGATGTCTACGCCGGGCCTCGTACGATGTGGCGAAGTTTTCATCAACATCCGTAACAGCTTGATCCATAGCCGACTTTTCTATTGCGCTACATGCCATGTCTAGGTTATCCGTGACTAGAACCATGATAACAGGGTCAGGCAACTGTGGCGAGTGTAAGTATCTTCCTAATTGCCATGAAACAGAGACATACATCACCAAACCCGTGATCAGCAAGGTACTGCCGTAGATGAGTAGCAAGGTTGCTCTTCAACGGTTCTTTGCAAGTTACCAGGGCTAGGCTACCAGCAAGGCGCTGAGCCATCAAATGAGCAGCCTTACGAAAGCGATCTTCGTTGGGCTCTGTGGCAAAGTCCTTGGTCACCAACTCCCTAGTCGAAATGCCTGCAATAGTGACGGATCTCTCGACCACCGGGAGAATGATCTATACCGAATATGTTTCGTGAGGAACATCGAAGTACAACACGCGGCGATCCTTACCTCTCGAACAGCCCGATCAACGGCAAGTTGAACAGCGCGTTTGAACGCAGGGTTAGTGTTGAGCGGAGCAAGCTGAGGGCTGATGAACACTTGATGTACGAGGTTTGTGAGGATGGATTCGATATGAGCGCCCATGGCTCGATGAGATTCGCCTGGGCTAGATGTGCCCAAAGCCAACACCTGGGAGTCAGCAACAAGCTGGGAGGAGGGGTGATAACCACCAATGGGAAGGGAGTCAATATCCGGGACGTATTCGGGGAGAGGTGGCCCAGCCAATGTGTCGCCCAGCGGCCTATTCCGAATGATGCTGGTGGGTTCTACAGAATCGAGTGCGACATTCAAAGCTTGACAAAGAACTTCAATCTCAAACTTGAGGTTCAGCTTCATGTCGGCATATTGATATAGCTCGGCAAGGAGACCCAGGACACCCATGAGCCATGGGTTTGGAGGCTTGAACACCTTGGACTTTTGGCATGGGACCATCGTCTGGCAGACGAATGGAATGGCAACGACAAGACGACCAGTGTCGTATCCTTCTACGAGAAGGTCCTTGAAGGACAGGTTTTTGTGTTTTATCGGCCTGTCGCGTGCCAATGTTATTTCCCCCAGCCACTTGCCGACATTCTTCAACATTGTCCGTTCCGTACTCCCAACCTGCATGGCCTTTTCTGAGTTGAGCAGTGCCGCAGACTTCACCAGTGTCTCCTGAAGAATGAACTTCGACAGCCGTGAGCGGTTGAGGGCGTCCAAAAAGCGGAGGTAGAGTTGATGATTGTTTGCTTCAACACTGATACGCTGGTCAACGAGGTAATTGGCGAACCAACGAGCATGAGCATCCTCAAACTGGGACTTCATCTCCTTTAGTTTGTCATCGAAGTTGTTCGGCGCGAGATTGTTGACGATGAATAGGATGCGGTCCGAAAGTTCCTCTGGTGGACTCTCTATTTCTCCCTCTATTACGTCCGGCTGAATAGCGTTGAAACCGGATGGAGGTTCCAGTGCCAGAGGTCCCGGTAGCTTGCCAGCATCCCCGATGCCATTACCATCCTGGGCAGCAGCGAGAGCGCGTTGAATGCTAGCAACCAGGTCCGGGCGGGCTTCGATTAGATGGGGGATGTTGAGGAGCGCCTCGCACAAAGGCTGCCATTCGGACAATCGGGATTCAAATTGTGACAAAGCTTGGGTCCCAAACTTGAAAAGGTTTGTCTCCGGAGGGCAGTTCAAGGCATCGAGAATGTAGCGAATGGCAATTCCGAGGGGGATGTAGTCGATCAATTGATGCTGGATAAGCGAGCCAAACAAGTATCCAGTCATTGAGAGCTCCCGAGCCGGGTAGTAGGATTGGAAGAATTTGTATTCGTCGAAGAGGAAGTGAAGCATGCACGAAAAGACTTCGTGGTCGCGGGCATTGGTGGAATCTTTGTGTTGTTGGAGGCGGACGATGACTTCGTCGATGGTCGTATTCTCATCATACATTTGTTTGTAGATAGCATCGACCTCGGCTTCGATCTCTTGAGAGTAGTTTATCACCGTAAACCCGGGTTCGGTTTCGGATCCAGGTGTCAAATCCATCAAGCGAGGATGGATTTGGAGGCAAGCGTTGCGTACTTCAAGGCAATATTTGGCGTCGGATTCACTCATGATTGAGGTGCTATCACGGAGATTAGCAAACGGGATGGAGATAGCGCGAGAGAGCCTACTTGTTTCTCAACATTCGAAGGATAATGGTGATGGTGCTGGGACTAAGGGTCATGGTACGGTTCTCTATGGGAGGGACGGATATTCTAGAGACCTTCTCACTCTCCATCTTTTGGTCGAGGAAAACGATGACAGAATGAAGAAACTCTCCGCCGTGATTTGCTGCATTGTCGGCAAGCCACTTGTCGAGGTTCAAGTACTCCCTTCGCGAAGCGAGGGCGGCGACATCGAGAGCGAAGGTGAAGGGGCGGACCTCGAGGAGCGAGTCCAAGATCTGTGGGCACGTTAAAGTTAGGTGAGCAGTACTCCCAACGGTCAAGGAGAATCTGACCTTGAGATCTTGCGCGACATCGAGAATTCTGGAGATATTGAGAGGGTTTTCGTCGTAGAAATCGCGGAACGCATCCGTAAGATACGTCGGTTCAATCTGCCACATTCGCATGAATACTAATTGATGATTTGGATGTCCCGCGAGAAACATCGACAGCAACTTGCGACAGTATTCGCGGCGAATTTCGTTCCAGTTTTGCGACTTCTCATGAAGTTAGTCGCGTTACAAGGACTAGGCAGGTTTAAACTACTCACCGGTACTTGGAAAAGGCCCATATGCACAAGTTCGGCACTTATTTTGATGGCTTTATCAAGCATGTCTCTGACACAGGACTTCACATCCGCCGAATCCGAGTCCGCCATCCGAACCAAGACTTCGAACAAATCTAACGAGTTCCACGTATGACCTTGAACGTTGGCGGCCAGGGCTTTGATTGTGGGACTTGCGATAGAAACATCGTCGACTGTCACGATTCGATGACCTGGGAGTTGTACGAAATTGAAGGTGTCTGGGGGAAGCGAGAGAAGGGCATCAAGCAACCGTAGATGATACAACTGGTTATTCCACGGTTCCCAAAAGCCAGTGACGGCATGTGGATCCGCATCACGGGGGACGCTAAGGAGAATAGCAATCAGAAGTTTGAGAGTTGCAGTGTCGACACCATGACGGTCAGGCCAGTCAAAGGACTTGATGACGCTGGCCCAGTTCAAGGTAACGTTCTACAGGCGATTAAAGAGGAGGAACAATGTGTGAGCCAAATGAAGTACTTACCAACCCACTGAGCACCCGAACCAAGACTCCCATGTCGCATACTGTTGATCCTTCGGCTGCTAATCGTGCCAGTGATGATACTATCTCTACCGCCTGGTTGTCGCGAGGCGGAGATGCTTCCGAGATGCCAAATCGTTGCAATGCCGCCCGGACAACATCCGGGTCGCTTGTGACATCTTGACCGAGTTGAACCAAGAACTGAACGAGAGTAGTCCCAGCTGGAAGGCTGTAACCCGAGATGTTGGATTTAATCACGGAGAACGGGCAGAAGTACACACCTTATAGTAGGTATAACACGGTGTAGGATGGCAGACGTATGCTCCTGGCCAAATTTGTTCTGTATCGCGACTATCAAAGCCTGCCGTTGTTGCGCATCTATAACAGGAGACTCGGGGGGTAGATCGGAGAGCAGCTTGTAGACGAGTTTTGACGCTTGGATGGGAGCTATATCGGCATTGTCAAAGGAAGGGTTGTGGCAGAGGGATAGAATGGCATTGTCGAATTCGTGACGTATGATGGTGGCCGCCTGCGTCGCCAATTCCTTTCGAGTTGTAGGTGCAAGAAAAGAAGCTGCGAGGACGAGCTTTTCGAGGGGACGCAGGCCTGTACGATCAGTAAATCGTACAAGATCAAAATGACGGAACAGGTCGCCGTCTCCTCTGTCTATACCGTCACGAAATCGGTCTGCAAGGGTAGGGTCGTGCGCAAGTCGCTGTGTTTCTTGAACGAGAAGTCGAAAAGTAAGGGTAGATAACATGTCTTGAGAGGGAGGGGTCGTTCCAGAGACGAGACGCTGCTGTGAGTGAACAATGAGCCGCCGTATGAAGTGCAAATACGTTTCGATTCCATGTTGTTCGGACAGCTTCATTGTGCGCAATGTCAGCAATGGTCACGTAAATGAGGAAAAGGACACGTACTGAGCGAATTTCGGCTTGATTCCTTTCAAAATTCTCCTCCGTTAAGGTCGACAAGAGGAATACAATCTGAGCCCTGACAATTGTATGGATATTCGTGTTCGGCGTGCTGTCCATGTTGGACGACCTTGAAGGGGTCACCGAACGTCGAACAACGCCCGCTGAGCCGGAAGCCGTTTTGGATAGGTGTTTGGGGGGAATTTGTGAAATCGAGCGCGCAGACCACCTCCAACACCGAGACGGACGATGAGTAGAGTGGCAACAAGTCCCAGTATGACAGCCCAATTTGGCCGGAGGGCGTTTTCAGGCTCCGTTTCAAGCGCCGACAATAAAAACTCATTCCCTCACTTGCGCTCATTGATCGCGGGAAACGGGCGACTGACTGTGGGAATCCTGACTCAGGGTCTCACAATTTATGGTCGGCAAATGACTCGCGACGCGACTGGAACGTCCACCACAGCTTGTACGCTCCCGGTCGTTGATCATGCAAGTCGAGCTCAACAAAGCCTCCTTCAACGCCCGTTTGAAGCGAATCTACGACTGCTGGAATGTGCGCCACCCAGTTTACATACTTTCCCTGCACCAAACTCATCCTTGGATCCCCCCAGAGCGCGAATGAAAATGAAGACTACGCTGGTTTGGCCAATGTCGACGCCCTTCTCATAGTCGCGGGCGATCCTGCAGGGGAAGATGAGCCAATGAGAAAGGGAACGTGTTTACAGGTCGGCACACTACATGAGTCTCATTGTACGCGCTCAACCAAGACTTATGGCAGCAATGGCTCCTTGGATACGAGTTTCCATCAACTTTGATCCTGTTCCTCAAAGACAAGGTCTGCATACTGTGCTCAGCTTCAAAAGGTGTTGTATAAGCCTTCACACCTAGGTCGGGTCGAGCTGACAATAATAAAGCAAGGATTCTTGCGCAAATACAAGCCCAAGGCAGCGTGGTGCCCGTAGAAATCCTTGCCCAAGCGAAACCGAAGGAACCCCCCTCTGATGCCCTCCCCAAATTCGTCGACCTTTACACATCTCAAAAGCGCGTCGGCTCGTTACTTAAGGAAACGCACACTGGAAAGCTAGTTGGGGAATGGGACAAACGTTTGGCCGAGGCCACGGAGAAGCCAGAGCTGGTAGAGATCTTCCAAGCGATATCCACTTTTATGTCCCAGAAGGACGAGGAAGAACTCGTACGTGCATCTACCACTAGCTGTCTGTTCATCCCTCTTAGCTTGTACGCAGAAAGCAACGGAAGTCGCTGGCGTATTAACATCGACGTTGCTCAAACATCATGTGGCGCTGAAGCTCGAGATGATCCTGGATAAGGAGACGAAAATCACCCACGAGAGTTTCGCTCTCCAGATAGAAGGTCGGCTTGGTGATGAACAGAAAGGTCCAGATATGAGAATTTGGGATAAGGCAAAGAATGCGAGGAACGTGCGTATACTACGCTATATTTGGGAGGCTTGATGAAGTGATGTGCATTCTCTATAGATTGACTGGCAGTCGGTCGAGTTTTGCTACCCTCCCATCATTCAATCGCAGGCCACTAAAGGTGGATACGACCTCAAAACTTCAACCCAGTCTTCCGAAGACCACATTGCACACAAGGGTGTTTTTTTGGTATCTTTAGGTCTTCGGTACAAGAGTTATTGCACAAATCTTGGTCGGACCTTTATTGTGGACCCTACACCAGTCAGTTTTGGAGTCACGCTTGCTCACTACCCTTCTGATCCGATGCGTCCTAGGAACAAGAGGTGCAATACAACTTGCTACTGTCCCTCCAAACTGAGCTGCTCGGCTTTATGAAAGATGGCGTTGTCGCTCGCGACGTCTACCAGCATGCGGTCGATTTTATCAAGGCCAAGAAGCCTGAACTTGAAAAGAAATTCGTTAAGAACATTGGGTTTGGGGTGAGTCAGATGATGTCGCAAGTGTATCACTCTTAACGGTGCAGAACGATAGATGGGTGTGGAATTGCGTGACTCGACGTATCTGCTATCCCCCAAGAACACTCGAAAGCTCAAAACGAACATGATCTTCAACCTAGGCCTTGGGTTTTCGGACCTTGTCAGCGAGAGTGGGCAGAAGTACGTTCTTATAAGAGGGAAACGAGGACGCTCTTGTTTACCCCTTCCCCTCTAGGTACGCCATACAACTGGGAGACACCATCAAGATCGAAGCGGAGAAAGCTTCTCTTCTAACTGAGGGGGTCAAATCGACAAAGGACACAATGTTCTTCTTGAACCCCGAAAGCGCTGACGAAAAGCCAAAAAAGCCAGAGAAAAAGGCCCCCGCTGTGTCGCGAAAGAATGGATCGCCGCCGAAGAAGACGGTCGCTGGTAAAGTTCTTCGGAACAACCGCCGTAACGATGAGGCCCATGTAACGGTGTCGGCGAAGCTGGCTGAACATCAGCAGGAATTACACGGACAACTTCAGGCCCAGGGCTTGGAGAAGTACTCAGAGGGCGGAGGAGGGGCCAGTGGCAAGGAGGGCAAAGGGTGGAAAAAATTCCAGAGTTACAAGGGTGAAGGTGCTCTGCCACCTGACGTGGACCGTTTAAGGGTACGCTGTATCAAAATCTCCTGATTGTGAACCGCCGTTTACGCCGTTGTCAGATCACCGTGGACAGGAAAGCCCAGACAGTGATCCTCCCCATTCATGGCTTCGCCGTACCTTTCCATATCAATACCATCAAAAACGTTAGCAAGAACGACGAAGGCGACTATACCTACCTTCGCATTAACTTCCAAACCCCGGGTCAACTCGCCGGGAAGAAGGAAGACACGGTATGTGATGAAGCGTCTGATCACGATCTCCCGCTGACAATGTCAATCAGCCGTTCGAAAATCCTGACGCTACCTTCGTTCGGTCGATCTCGTATCGCTCTCCCGACGGTCACCGCTTCGATAATATCTCCAAGCAGATTACAGAACTTAAGAAGGAGGCCAACAAGCGCGAGCAGCAGAAGAAGGAGTTGGCAGATGTGGTTGAACAGGCTAATCTAGTCGAGCTAAAGGGTCGCAGACCGGCCAAGCTGCCTGAAGTGTTTGTTAGACCAGCGCCCGACGGCAAGCGCATTCCCGGAGAAGTTGAGATCCATTCCAACGGTATCCGTTACCATTCACCACTTGGCCAAAAGATTGGTAGGTCTCTATTGGGCATGCCGTCGCGATTTCCTTCTTATCCCCTACCGCTGTATAGATGTCCTCTTCACCAACATCAAACACCTGTTCTTCCAACCATGCGACAAGGAGCTTATTGTCGTCGTACATATGCATCTCAAGTCCCCAATCATCATCGGAAAGAAGAAGTCGTTTGTACGTCGTTCATTGTATCAACTTTATATGAACCTGAACTAGTCCAAAGGATGTCCAATTCATTCGTGAAGCGTCTGACGTACAATTCGATGAGACTGGTAACCGGAAGCGCAAAGTCCGATACGGTGACGAGGACGAAATTGAGATGGAACAGCAAGAACTGCGACGGAGGCACGTTTTGAACAAAGAATTCAAGTCATTCGCCGAAAAAATCTCAGAGGCTGCATCAGCATCCGTACGTCTCCTACTTGAAAATAAAGACATTAACTAATGTGTAAACGAAGACTGGCGACCCTCTCGAAGTAGATATTCCTTTCAGAGAACTGTCCTTCGAAGGTGTACCGTTCCGATCCAGCGTCCGACTTCAACCTACGACAGAGTGCCTAGTGCACCTTACTGATCCACCATTCCTCGTGATGACCCTCAGCGAGATCGAAGTCGCATCCCTGGAGCGTGTGCAATACGGTCTCAAGCAGTTTGATCTTGTCTTAATCTTCAAGGATTTCACGAAGCCACCACTACACATCAACTCGATACAAAGTTCGCAGCTCGATGACGTAAAGAACTGGCTAGAGTAAGCTTCTCTATCCCTCCTTGGTTCTTTGTATTGAGGTGTTTTCTAGCTCGGTTGACATTGCTATGGGTGAAGGCCCTGTTAATTTGAACTGGGGACCGATTATGAAGACAATCAACGAGAGTCCGCACGACTTCTTTGTGCAAGGTGGCTGGAGTTTCTTGGGCGGTGCCGGTGACGAAAGCGAGCATTCCGAAGGCTCTCCGTCCGAGTCAGAGTTCGAAGCCGATTCGGAAGACTTGGTCGAGGAGTCGAGTAGCGCGGAAGAAAGTGCTTTTGAAGCTTCCGATGCCAGTGGCAGTGATGGCAGTGCTTCAGACTTCGGCGACGGCTCAGATAGCGAAGGTCAGTGTGCTTCTGGGTATTAGCGTTCTCTGACTAACCCATTGCTTTAGGAGACGACTGGGATGAGCTAGAGCGCAAGGCAGCTAAATGTGAGGAGACTTCATCAGCAGTTGGGTTCCTGTCACTGACTAACGTATTTCACAGCGGATGCGAAACGCGTTGAGGGAGGCCGAAAAGCCAAAGACTCTGATGATTCAGAAGACGACAAGCCCAAGAAAAAGAAACCTGCGGTAAAGACAAATGGTAAACCGAAGGGTAAGCGATGAGCTCCTTTACCGCGTACTAGCTTCCTCGTCCTTCCATGTTCTCTTTCCTTATGCACATATTACAATAACCGCAGATTCATAAAGTGTAATACTCTTGTGTTGATATAACATTCTACGACTACTGTTTGAAACGTGGATTCGGTTCCACTTCTTCATCGTTGAGCGCTGCCTCTCGCCAGAGAGCGATCCCGGTGCAGGACGCGCCAGGGCCAATCAGGGGCACAGCGAACAAGTGCCACGAAGCAATCACAATAAGCTCTGCAGCATCGCGAGCAAACCATAAGGTAGCAAGGACGGATGAACCAAACGCGAATATGAGGTCCCATTTGAGGAAATCGTCAGCTTTAGCGGAGAGGCTTGCTGTAGTTGGAAGGGGAGTTATCGAGGGGAAAACAAACGACGCGAGGGCCGGGGGATCGAGGAGCTTTGGACCAACAATGCAGAGATGCATGATTGCTGATGAGACGAACATGCCCATATACATCTGTCGGACAAGCTTATACCCCGACTCTGTAGTCCGCGGCGTAGGACGCAGGAAACTGTACGCAAGCCCAGCAACGGACGCGTAGACGGGGAAGATCTGCCAATATGCCGTAACCTTCGGATCCTTGAACAACATCAATCCCATCGAGGGAAGCATTGACCCTACGGCGGTGGCAAATATGATCGATTCCGCTTGTGGCTTCGTGATATGAGAGTGTGCATCTGCACGTCTGCTTGACGCGCCTGTCCAGATGAAGGCGAGCCAATAGATCGTGAGGGTGATACCAATGGTGATTGCTTGGCCGAGTAGGCCGACGATGATGGGGAACGCGATGAACAGTGAGCGACCTTTGCGGTGTGCTTCAATGGCAGGGAATGCCATGAGGAACCCTGAGGTACCAGCAAAGTAGAGGAGATAGGGTGATAGTTGTGGTTCAAGTTCGGCGTGGAAAAACGCGACGAGGCCACAAATGAAGCCATCGATGCCATGGACCCCAGTGAAAGGATGAATATAGGAACTGTTGGCCCCAGGTGCGCACTGCGCGCTCAACTCGGCACCCAGTCCTGAGACTGTCAGACTGTTGGTTATGAGGCGCACCCCAAGCGCCGTCAATGCGGGGAATAGGATCCCGGGCAATACGAAACCTATTCGACGCGATCGGTCAGTTGCTGAAGAACTGTGTCAATCCCACACGTACCATTCACAAAACCGTGCTTCGTGCTCATGGTGGTTGATGAGAAGAAGTGAAACACGGGCGCCACACGGGCGTTGGACTTGTCACTTATTCGCTTCCGTTTTGCCTTGGCGTCGTCGCTCCCACGCGAGTCAGAAACGACTCCCTTAGCCGAGCGCACTCGCTGAGTCATGGACTGGGAATCGATTTAGGCGACAGCCCGCCTTTTATTGCCCTGTTTGGTAAGGTGGCGCAGAGGCGACCCTGCGCAGGAAGCGGTAAAGCTCGCTGCTTTCTCATGCAAATCGCAGGAGACAAATAATCACTGACCCCTCCGGCAATGGTAATACAACTGAATTGTCCTACGTTACACTGTATCCCAATCTTTCTTTATGATATCTGCCGCTCGTTCCGCGTATATATAGGTAGGGCCTTGTGTGTGCGCTGCAGGGATCAGCGGCTGTGCGAACCAGATTTATCAATATATGATCTACCTTAGGAATCAAGATATACACTCAACGATAACTGAGGCGTCCACAACTCGCAGGCCCTTGAGACCTTTGACCTTTAGGTCGGGGTCCGTGACGCCCCAAGATGCTCCCCTCGGCGACATTGAAGAGCTTCCGACTGGGTGAAGGCCAGAGACAACGTTATCACGGATATAGGCGTCCAGTTCATTGTCATCCTGGAGATCCACCGCTGCGTAGTCTCCGGCTCGGGACAGAACATATCCTTCCCATGCAGGAGAGTCGAAGAACCGCTGGGTAGACCTAATGGCTTCTCGCATCGTGTATTGGTCAAATCGATGTGACAAATACGAGGGATTGATCGCTGCTTTGTCCAGAGGGTGAGCCGAATTCAATTTAACGAAGCCGCCTAGACATTTCGGCTGTCAGAACATGAAGCATACTTTAGCCTGGCGACACCCACGAGACATTGGCGTTAGAACCATGAGAGTTGCAGCTATGAGGTTGTCGGATGTTGGACCTCCAAAAATATTGCCGTTCTGACAAATTCAGCACAATCTACCAGCGCAAATGGGGGAGGCCTACCGTTATGATTATCTCAAAGTGCCCTGTATTGGGTCCCGCAGACGGATCCTGTACGCTATTGAAAATATCTGCAGTGCTCGGAAGCCTCAGACACGCTACGTGATCTATCCCAGAACTCGAGAAATCGCCGGTGCCGTTTCGCCGCCACTGCTCCAGGAGAGTGGCCCATAACGTCTCGTTGCGTCGAATAGACTCGTATGTGGTCGTCGAATTGACAGTCCACGTTAAAGTTGTGAGGGAATGGTCAGTGAGGTTGTGTCCGACGGAAGGAAGCTCGTGCCTGGGCGTGACTCCAACACTATTCAGGTCGCGTGCGTCCCCGATGCCTGAGTTCAGCAAAATATGAGGCGTGCCGTATGCGCCTGCGGAGAGTATGATTTCTCGCTTCGCTGCCAGTAATTGAACACGGGCAGGGATACCTATTTACCCAGAATCTAAGTGAAATGGGATGGAATGTGGGGGTACCGTGTTCTCACCATGAACGCTTTCTACAAACTCGACGCCATTGAACCTTGTTCTGTCGGCCCTGTCCAACTGCAATAAGCGCGTGGCTTGGGTGTTCAACAGGACATGGAGGTTTGGCCGGTTGATGACCTCAGGCTTGAGGTAGACAGTGCGAGAACTAGATCGAGTGCCATCAGGAGCAATAGTCGATTTAGACCAACCTAAGAGACCAACGAATCAGCCCTCATCCTAAGACAAGGACTTAATAAAACCTACCGAAGCCTAACTGCTTCCCTGAATTGGTGTTATTATTGAAAGGAAATTCGCTGTTCTCCTGTGTGGTTTGCATGATCCTGTCGTCTGTCGGTTGATAAAACCTGGGGGGCGCGACTTCAATCATATCCGAGGCTGGCGAGGATGGACTACCAGGCTGCGTCACATCCTAAACATCAATCTTGTTGATTTCGGTTACAGGCTACAATAAAGGTTGGGATGCAATACCTTCCCAAAGAATGGCTGCAGGCGGTTCCATGACCAGGACTCGTCGTTTACCAGCTCGGCAATAGCATCGTAGTTGTCAGCAGACCCCAGTGTGTACAGCATGGCATCTATTAATTATTTGATTAGCCTAGTTTTGATCTCTGAGTGCATTACATACTTATTGACGAGCTCCCGCCCAGGCCTATGCCCCTCGCGAGGGTCACACTCCTGTTCCCCAGGCCGCTTTGTGGTGTCGAGGTGGAATTCCAATCATACGCGGAACCAATCAGGCTGGTCCAGAGATACGGTATTTGCAAATCGAGCACGTCATTGCTAGAAACGGAATTAGTAGACAGCGGGAATTCACTGGGGAGCGTGCGTACGATCCGCCTGCTTCAATAACCAAGACTGTGGTACGTCGGTCCGCCGAGAGGCGGTTGGCTACGACATTCCCAGCAGTACCACCTGCAGGACCACTGATCAGTTTACGGCTTACGAAAAGTGCCAAGAGATACAAGACTAACCTCCGACAATAATGAAATCGTATTGATTTAGGAGATCGTCGGTGGAGCCCAGGATTTTGGCTCCAGCGAAGCAGAGATATGCTACGATTTGCATGAAGATAACTGGCGAGGAAAACATGGCGGAAAGCTGGTGCTTGTCCTCACTCGACGCTGAAGCTTTATACGCCTTCTATGGGGGATCCTCAAGCTTCAAGCTCTCATGAGAAGTGGGTTCAGTGGTTACTTAGTAATCCTGCGTCGTTATCTGCTGCACATCCACATGTCTCGTCTCCAGAAGTCCTCTGTAGAATGACGATTTAGCTCTGCATTAGGCATTACGATGACTCTGTTCTTCCAAGAATAAGAAGAGACTCGGGTAAAGTGGCTCATAGCGCTCTTTGCTGAAAAAATACTGGCCTCCGCCCTGTCAGTCTGTCACGGGAGAACTTGCGGAAATGACAGAGAACAAGAGAACGCAAATATATCTTCCTCTTGAGAGTGTTGTGGCGGCGGCGGAAGAACTATGTGCACAGAGCATATGATCATCGATGAGCATTATGGACCTATCAATCAGAATCAGAATCATAAAGCACGTCTTTGTGGAGAGAAGTTCAAAGAACCCTAAAATGACAGAGTTACCAGATCGACGGCGTTTGTTTGCTTTCGTCCTCCTGATCAAATAACGCGCCCATCAACTCCGATCATTCAAGAAAGCACGACAATACAACGAGTTACGAAGGAGCAGTGTCCACCACACGTCGCATCTGAACATCAAATAGCACAATTGTATTGATAAAAGAGAGATGCTCACAGTTACACGCTATGGTATATGTGGAATACCGTTACAAAGCCAAGACCAGCTCAAAATGGACGTAACCAACCGTGGGGTTGGCGCTTCAGAGTGCTATACAGTACGAGGAATGGCTCACATTCACATCCACTCCCAATCCTCACATGTCATGGTGCAGCGGGGGTATAGAACTGAGGGACATCCAATCCGCATATCAAGTAACCCGAGGTTGCTTAGGTTAGGCAGCCTATCGTCGATTGGTTCATTGCCAAGATTGGAGTCCTCCGCAACCGTAATGGTAAGTCGATCAAAGGACCCGCTCCGACGGAGACCAAGGACATAGGCTTCAAGCTGGTCCAACTCAGCACGCTCGCTGAATAGGGTAGTGAGATAGGAAGGCAATATCTCGATATGCTTGATCTTTGACGGGATGGTGAATGTGTTGACCGCATATTCGACGGCGCCAAGGAGGTCGTGTTTATCCGTATCGCACCAGCGGATGCAAAGATTGTCAACAACAAATGGCTTGAAATGATCTGATCGTTTTGAGCTGGGTTATTCTGTATTGTGGGGTCGATATAATGCAGTGGACTCGCCTGCAACGTTTACGTCGGCCACGACAAGTGTATTCAGCAGTGACGGTATGTTGTCACCAAGAGACACGTCCTCGCCCGCACAGTATAATGTCTTCAAATTCGGCATCCGGACGAACTTTGAAGAAAGTGGAAGGTTTCCACAAGATACGATGGCAAGTTCTTCGAGTACGGGCATAAATATGGAGCCACTGCCCTCCTTGATGCCGAAATCTGTAACATCGCTAAAATCGAAGTCCTGCAATGTCAAAGAGCGGACGGTGGGCGCAACTGCTTCGAGGACGGGTAGGAGATCGCGGGGAGAGTATAAGTCCTCCTTGAGGTAAAGTTTCGTGATGAATAGTTGTGAAAGAATGGAAGAGAGTGTCGCGAAGAGAATAGAGGAGCATAGTAATTCGTCGAGGCGTGGAAACCCGAGAAGAAGTGATTTGAGGATACATTCTTCAGGGATGTCACGATTGTCGAGAGGTCCACCGCATTCAACTGTAACTTTGCGAATATAAGGGCGCAGATGAGGGGAGCTGGTCAAGAAGCTGCTGCACGCTTGTAAATCGTCCACGACGATGATAAGTTCGCGAAAAAGCACGGGAAGACAGAGCTTGTGCCAAGACTTGCACACCAACGCGCAATTGACAAGGACGTCCCGATTTCCTTCCAGTTCCTGGATAATTAATGACTGGATTTCGGGGGGCAACCTGCGCATTATAACTGGTGAAGGTGCTCAACAAAAGCTGCCGGAGCGCGCACAAGTCACGTGTAACCCCTGACCGGTGACCACAGCGGGACAACATGAAATTTCTGGGAGAAGCCTAGTAAAGGACAGGGTGTTGTGCAGAATTAATGGTATCCAGAGCTTGAATCCTTAAATTGCATTTCGAAACGGGAAACTACCATTGGACAGTTCGTAGTGTGGACGGCGCAGGATGTAGAATGCGTGAGTGATTAGGAACGTATTCTCAGCGATTCCGACAGTATAGTCGAAGCTCAATATATTAAACCCTATTACGAACCTGTAGAATGCGTGAGTGATTAGGAACGTATTCTACATCGAAAGGATATGTGAGTAATCGTTATAACCAGGCGTAGCAAGTGATTAGCATACCTCAGCGATTCCGACAGTATAGTCGAAGCTGAGGATGCGGAAGTGAAAATGAATGTTTTTATATGTGATCGAAAAGGAAAGGGGTTGGCTATATCTGGAAAGAAGAAATAGCGCCCGAACTGCTTAACCGTTAAGTGTGATCCATCTTCAACACAGGACACAACCAACGACGGGTTGTCGTGCAAGGAGTGGTTCAATATAAATGCCCCTCCGATCATATACTGAAATTGGTACAGCGTGGGTACAGCACTGAGGGTTGTCTAATCCGTACATCGAGTAAACCGAGGCTACTCAGAACAGGTAACCCCTCGAAGACGCTTTTATGGCTCAGAGTATCAGACTCAACTGTGATAGTAAGCCGCTCAAGTGATCCACTCCGGTGGAGGTCAAGAGCATACCCTTCAAGCCGATCCAATTTGACAAGATTGCCCCTGAATACGATGTTGGACCAAGAAAGCAGGATCTCAATATGTTTGATCTTGGACGGGACGACGAGTGCGCTGACTACATGTTGCACGGTATCAGTGAGCTTGAGGTCAGTGGGGTGTATGTTTGAATCCCTCCAGCGGATGCAAATATTGTCCACCCTGCGTGGTTCGAAACCGCCTGATCGATTTCCAGTTAGTTTCTCCGTCTAGTAAGTAGGTATTGGCTATAGGACTTGCCTACAGATTTTGCACCCGCTGGCACGACAAGGGTCTTCAGCGATGATGGAACGCCATCATCGAGGGTCACACCCTCGCCTTCACAATATAGTGTTTTCAGCTTTGGCAGCCGGATGAGCTTCGAGGCGAGTGGAATGACACAAGACACTACGGCGAGGTCTTCAAGCGCAGTCATACAGATGGGCGCACTGCCGATTTTGGTAGTGAAGCGGTCTAAGGTAAGTTGGTTACTAAACTTGAGGTCCTGCAACGTCAGGGAACGAAGCGTGCCAGCGACTGCTTCGAGGACGGGCAGGGGGTCGGGGGGAGAGTATGTGTCCAGCTTGAGGTAAAGTTTCGTGATGGGCAATCGTGGAAGTACGGAAGAGAGTGTGTCGGATATAATTGAAGGGCAGTTGAGCTCGTCGAGGCATGAAAGCTCGGAAAGGATTGTTGCAAGCATACGTTGTTTCTTGTTGCCAAAATAAGCGGGAAATGAAGTACAGCGGAATGTAACCCTGCGGATGTGAGGGCGCAGGTAGGGTGAATCGGTCAACAAGCTGCTGCATGCTTCTAGCTGGTGTATTGAGAGAACGTTGATAGGTTTCAGTCCCCGAAAAAGGATAGGGAGGCAGAAATCTCGCCAGGATTTTGAGGCTAACGAACAGTTGCGAAGTGAGTCCCGTTCCATTCCCTGGAAAACGAGGAACCTGAGTTCGAGGGGTAACCTATGCATTCGTGCGTTGAGTGTGAGTAAAAGGTGTGGCACAGCGCTAAGCAGCTCGTTGACGAGCGCCTTAGTATGCCATCAGGATCAGTGTTGGACAGTCGGCGGCCAAGGGCGAAAGTCGGGTCGGCGACTTTCTGGCTAGTCGCTGACAAGCCGGCCGACCTTCAAGCGACCAGACCATGACGAACCGTGAGTTGATCACGTGTGATTATCTGACGCCTAATCGATGATCGGATTGCCGCAATCTCTGTCCTACCGTCTCGCAAAAACTACCATTACCACATCCATATCGCACCAACGTCGGCACTAACGTTGTTATCCCACTTCGTTCCCATGAGCAGCAAGGCAATATAAATACCACTTCCAAAGAAACCAACCGACTGGCAACAAACTGGCAACATGTCTACTCCGGCTTCCAATAATCGTGGCTGGTGGCGAGCCTACTTCCTTGACCACCCTCGCCTCATTCATCACGATCCTGACGCATATGCTGGCACCGGTGCAACGAAGGACAAAGCCAAGGTCTTCTGTAAGGTTTGTTTGGAACGGTGCATTGCCGCCGAGCAAGCAGCCGATCTCAATAATCCGACACTCATCGAGTCGCGTACGACGGCCGCAATAGTCGAGCTTCGTTAGTTTATATTCAAATTGGATTATTCGTGCCGCTAACTCTGCCCTGATCCAGTGTTTAGTACACCTCAAGGGGACCACAACAGGGGATGGCTTTCCAGCCGCAGCGACGTATTACTCAACCATCTACGCAACTGCGAGTTTCAACCAGTGGATGTCTGCTTGAGTGCACAGGAGGAGCAGAAGCAACGTGACGCCCTGGCTGCTAATAAGGGTGCTCGCAGGCAACAACCACGAGTTCCGGTACCAGGGGTGAGTTTATTAATCTGTAGTTGTTTCGAGGGTACTAATTATCTAGTAGAGCAGTAGCGGGTACACCAGCCAAGGCATTGCTTTTCCCCAGGTCGGCACTTGGGCGCTGGGTAATGCTCCGCTCCCGCTTCCCGTCCAATTCAGTGATGCAGCTGGTCGTTCCCATCTAAGGCCGGACAACATCTCAGTCACACGCCCCGCATCGGCAATGGGCTCAGCTGTCTCAAGCGTAACCCCGTCAGACTCGATTTCATCCATCTCTCGAAAGCGCAGTCGTCGGTCACTCTCAGAGCAATCACCAATGCCAGTAGTCGAGTGGAATGACTCGCGGCAAATAGCCTTCGAGCGTCTGCTCATTAGACTCACCGCTTCAGCTGGTCTACCACTCTCATGGGTGGAGAACCCCGAGTTCATGAGCCTCTGCCATGAGTTTATCCCTTATGCCGTCATTCCAAGTCGCAAAGTTTTGACTCGTCGCCTTCTTCCTCGTGCCGTAACAGTGATGCGAACGGAGATCCTTGCTCAAGTGTCTGGTGAACACGGTACTGCACAATGTGATGGATGGAGTGGCCTCAACAATCACCACTACATTGCGTTCATGGTCACCATTAGCAACAAGGTATGTAGTTTATTTCTATTTCTCTTATTTCTCTAAATAACTAACCATGAAATAAGGTGTACACGGTCCGCGTCCACGATGCTTCTAATGAGCGCAAGACGGCTCAGCTTCTTTACGACCATATGATAGAGGTTCTCAGAATACTTGATGTCGATTGGAAGGTAGTAGTTGTGGGATTCACTACTGATGCATCAGGTGAAGCCCGCAAAGCCCGCAAGATGCTCACAGAGTCCCACCCTCATCTTATTTGTCCTGATTGTTATGCCCATCAAGTAGGCCTTTCAATTTCTCATTACATCCCGCGAGATCTAATTCACTTGAAGCTTAACCTCGTTGTCGGTGACTATTTCAAAGTCGAGACTGAATTCACTGTATTCTCAAAGATGGCCACCGAACTCATTGCGTGGCTCCGTAGCAAGACTTATATCTTGGCGATTCTTCGTGATGTACAGTCCCGGGCAGGCCAAACTGCGCTGTCTGTCATCCGTGCCGTGTTGACTAGGTGGACCGCTCATTATCTAGCATACCGCCGTCTTCTCGAGCTTGGCCCAGCACTGCGGGCAATGACTTCTGACGATGCCATGCTGAGCTCAAATGAAAAACGTCTCATCACGGGGGACCGTGCATCACGGACGAAGGCAAGGGAAATGGTAGCCATCATTGATACACCAGGCTTCTGGCAGTCTCTTGCTCGGTATGTGTGCTTGGTTTCTATCTTGTTACCAAGACCTACTCTGATTATTTACCAGGATGAAGACTCATTTAGAACCTCTTGCCCGTGCCGCCAACATAGCACAAGCTGCATCATGCCGCCTTGATCAAACTCTTCTAACATTCGGGGATCTCTTTGTCCACTATACGTATCTCATATCACCAGAGAATGAAACCGAAGCTGACGCCAATAATACTGCCTGTACCGCCATTCTCGATAGCTTGGAAAAGCGATGGGCCAAGTCGGATCAAGACGTATTCATAGCCGCAACTATTCTCAACCCGTTCATCAAAGTCATACCATTTCGGCAAACTGTTCAATGGCTCTCACTTGCAGGAGTACTCTCACTTCTCACACGTGTATACTGCCGTGTCTTCCAGGTTGCCACTTCTCCTCCTCAGCTCTTCGATAACCTACAGGACTTCTTCAACAACCAAGGCACATACAAGGAGTTACAGAGTTACGCTGAGGTTGTTTCTAATGAAGCTCAGCGCAACGTGAGATTATACTTTTGCCTATCTTTGCTTCAACCTTACCCTTTGAATTAGAACCACCCACTTGACCCACGGAAGGTCTATAATGGTATTAAACCCCTTGGCGGTGACCATCCACCACTTAGCAAACTCGCTTTGCATCTTCTATCAATCTGCACGAATTCAGCATCCTGTGAACGTCTGTTCAGTGTCTTCGGCAATACTCTGACCAAGCTTCGCAACCGCCTTGGTAACGATTCCCTCACCGCACTCGCAGAGCTCAAGATGCATATCCGAGACGAACACTTACGGGGTGGCACCAAGGAGCGTCTGAAACGTTTCTTTGGTGAACGCAAAACACAAGATACAGGTCCACCGCTGCCACCATTACCCCAAGGACCAACACCGATACCTGCACAATTGCACCCCCCCATTATCCCTGCCATTGATGGAGTAGCTGATGAGTTTACCGAAATTGCCACATCCTTCATGTTGATGTTGGATGACGATGATGACGATGAAACTCTTGAATTTCCTTCGAAGATATCCATCAAGCTCTCCGACTTATTTGATTACCATTCTACTCATTGGACGGAGATTCACCGACGAAGTGCTTCACGCACACTTGATGAGGAGTTGGAGCTTTATGAGCTTGTTGACCTGGATGCAGACGGTGATGTAGATATTGATATTGATGATGCTGTCGGTGATATTCTCGCCAATTGATGTAGCACATGAGCATATGTAGTTATATTAGTCCAGCTTGATGTACCCCTATCCTCCTATTTAGTACTTTTGCGGCCATGAGAATATTGTCCGTATCAGGCAGTAACGACTGTTCGGGGTGTGAGAAAGGTCGGTTCGACCTGTAGCCCATGGTCTGCAAGTCGTGCGACTTCATCGACTTCACCGACTAGTCGCAGACCGGCACAACACTGATCAGGATTCAGTGCACCTCGAGTCCCAGACTCAACGCCAGTGTTGGCGGACTCGACTCACTCCGAATAGCAGTCAACGCCAATCATCGGATATATCAAGTCTTTGCTGACACTGCGCCTCTTGCATGCCCAGCGACATACATCAGAATCGGTCGCATTCTTGAGATTGCACGCGGGAAAGCTCGTATTGGAGCGGGACGAGGTCTGTGTGTGTGATGTGGTTTATATATCGGAGGCTTGCGCGAGTATACATATATTTCTGCTTACTGTATTCCAGGAAGTATCCACAATAGGGGTGGTCGAACTTCCTATTCTGCAATTGGGCATGCATATGCTCCTTTTGAAGACCGTGTCCCCTCATGACATTCCCTGCTGAATGCACACTTATCGTGGTGATGGATACGGACAAGGGTGTTCGACCCATACTACTGCCAATTGGCAATAACATGGATTGACATGTCGGCCCTACGGAACGAAGATTTAACGAATATCTTGGTACTTCCGTCCCCAACTAGGTCACAACTACCTCGCTTCTGGTACATTGCATAGTACAAAGAATATGAGGTCAAATCAGATCAACATTGGTACATCGTCGCCTGACCTTACTTCCGGCTCTTCACCGACGCACACCCGGATTGACAGCTTACGCATTGTCGCACTGAGGGAATTCCACTGATTGTGTTGCGAATTTCGTATCTTCGAAACTAATACCGCATAGTGACTGGCCATAAGCCGCTCTTTCTTCTACAAACAGCAGCAGATAGGCAAAGGCCACCCCATTCCGAGCGAAATCGATCGAGGAGAGCATGAGGAACTGCAGCGAGCGAAATGTGGTGATGTCGATAGTGTAGTAACGAACGAGTGCGATGAGAGAGTCGGCATGGTCGATAGATATTGTGGTAAGTGTTACCGTGTCTTCAACCAAAGCAAGCCACTTCTCCGGTGCAGCACACTGGTGAAATCCGCAAATTCGTTCTACTTCGTATCTCACAACCAAGGTTTGCACGAACTCTAGCCTTGGGCGAAGGAGGTCGACGTCCAAGCAACGATCTTCGTAGATGAGAGTTTTATTTTTGGGCGCGCCGGGGCCAGAAGGCGCGACTGGCACGAGCCTGTGTGCGTAGTTAGTTCGGTTTCTGTCGTGGAATGACAAAGCGACTATGTCATATGCAACATCGCGCGACACGGGGGAGAGGCCCAAGAATGAATGGAAAGGAGCGAGGTCGTCTGTACGGTCGTCTTCAACGCCGCGGCGGAAATGAAAGTTGGACATCGATGGTGCACACAGATGATTCAACAACTCGATCACGCCTGCGTCCTCACACGAGTCAACTTCCATCGTCTCCAACTGCGGGAGGGTTACTGAAATTCCACCACATGCGGCGTCCCACTCCAAAGCGATACTGTATAGTTTGAGGTCTACAAGCTTGTGCAGGACGCCAAGCGAGGCTAGGAATTTCGTCCCGAGTGCGTGAATGTGTTCCAAGTCGAGCTTCCACAGGTTATCAAAGGGAGTGGGGTTCGTGGTTGTATTGAAGGAGACAAGGCAGCCATCGAGGACAGGATAAGTCAGGTTTGGCATGTCGCCGAGCTGGAAGTCTTGACTGTGACTTCGACGAAATCGGTAACGCGAAGTGAACAAAGGGAAGTCATTGGGGATGCGAGGAGGCGGAAAGAGCCTTCAGGATCAGCAGCTGGATTGAGGGCAATGTCGAGTTCAACTATATGGGATGACCTTTGAAAGACCAATTCGCGTAGTCTTTCGTCGACCGAGCTGGGGGACTCCCAGAATCGGAAGTTTGCTCCCCTTGAGCGTCCACCGGCTCGGATACTATGTGCGTCCATAGTCCTCCGTGACTTATAGCAGCATGGTGCCAGGCTTTGTTCACAAATATCACTGGCACCCACGCGATGTGGGGATAGCGGCAGGTATTGCTCTTCGCAGGGGGACAAGCGACTAGCTACGCAAATATCATGGCAAGGACCTCTACGGGAAGTCCGTCTACTGCGCGGGTACGATGGATTGCAGGCGCAGGAGTTGCCTACAGTGCAGATTAGCCTCGTGACTAAACTATGAACTGGATAGACTTACTTGTTGAACAATGTGAGAGTCATACTCTAGTATAGAATGCCATGTTTCATTTAGCTGCGGTTTACTTGAGCGCGCCATACTAGTAAATCCTGGTGAAAATAGAAGAAAGGTAGCGCACGCTGAATTTAAAGGAGGGAAATAGGGTCATCACGTGGTGACCTAAATGTAGCCTGAACGACGTTACGACTGCGTGAGCTTCACGGTTGCAATGAAAAGCACACATCGTTTGGGGACCGTCTCTATGCCAAAGCATACAGCCAATTTATCCAATTTCACTGCTTGCTGGGGCTTACAACCACCTCGAACCCAATTTCACTGCATTCAACCGGAAGTCGAAGGGCAGCTTGTTACTGGCAGGTCATCCTCGAGATTGGGTGGAGGCCGTAATTATCAGGATATCATGAAGGTTTGGACATGTCGGGCAATACTGGCCAGGCAACATCAAAACATGGAAGAAGCAGTCAAGAGGAAATTATTCTGGCTCCGAGAACGAGCACGCTTACATAACCCGAGTGACTCATGTCACACGGCGTATTGCCTTCGGGCGCTGCAACGTTGACTCTTCTCCAAAACCAAATCTCTTCTTGCACTTAGATTTCTTCCTTCTACAAAAACTTCTTAATTCACGCCCTCGTACTTATTTCTAATTCATCATGGAGATCGACACGAAGCCTGTTGTTATCGGTTCCAAGGCTAGGACTGCTAAAGTCACCCGAACTACCTCTGATCTGAATGGTAAGCACTCCAGCAAGGACATACGCCCAGCGAGCGAGCTGACTGATTTGCTTCCTTCTTGCTTCCAGCTGTAGGTTGACTTACTATGGGAGTCCTTGCTATTGACTGAATCATTCGTTCAGGCCCGACGAGCAGGTGCTGTAGTGGCTACCGACAAGAAAGTGACTGGTGGAAGCAACAAAGCTCATCAAGGTATTCATCGGAACGCCTAGTGCTCTGAAGCCTGGCTTATCATTGTGTACTAGGAACTGACCACCAGCGCATTGCCAAACTTGACCGAGAAAACGAGGTCGCCCCACCACCCAAAATCTCGCCTACCGTCGGTCGGGTACGTCCTATGTCCGCACCGCCTCACCTTGCATGTGCTGACTCATTCACGAATAGACTATCCAAACCTCACGTCTTGCACTCGAGCTCTCCCAGAAGGATCTCGCTGCTAAGATCAACGAGAAGCCCTCTGTTCTTCAAGACTACGAGTCTGGGAAGGCCATCCCTAACCCCCAGATCCTTGGGAAACTCGAGAGGATTCTCAAAGTCAAGCTGAGGGGATCAGAGATTGGGAAGAAACTGGAGGGACCTAAGAAAGCTTAATTGATTTCTTTTCTCCCTCCAGTCCCTGCCTTGTTACTCATCGCATTTCTGTATTACTTTGGCACAATATATTTGTGTATTTTCGGACTTATTCCCTGGCACTGTGAGGAGTCTATCATGAATCCTAGGCAATCGTTACGCCGTCGATCTGCACATTGAAGGTATCCTTATGTCCTTCAGTTGCAGTAGGATGGACGGTCGCGACGGGCGCCTAATAATTGTAAATCTGTGCACCTCTCCACCAGCATGTTCAGGCGGACTACATCACCCGCCCTCAGGCTGCTCGGTAACCTACAGCGCAACCCAGCGGTTCGCGTGATACCACGAACGATGAGCACCCAGGAAGTCAACAAGATGCCCCGGCCAGAACAAGATCCTGCATACGAAGACTTTCGGCCATCATGGGTGTATACTGGCTCACGGTTGCTCACCTACGTATTCGTTCCATGTACGTCCTAAACCCTTGGTCATCCGCACTCCTGAACATAGTACGCATGTGCAGATGTCGTTTTTTACTCTGTCTTCTTTTATGACTTCGGAGACCGCGAACATGTCTTCCAGCCGGTAAACACTCTTTGCATAGAGGATTGAATTCTGGGACTAATGACGGCTGCTAGGTGAGGAGATGGGCCTCTAGACAACGAGAATCATTCTTTTCCCTCTCCCCAGAAGAAGCCAGAATAGTTCAGGCCGAAAAGGCGAAGGGTGTTATCGAACCGCCCCCCATCAGGACAGCAATAGATGCTTCGTCGTCGTTCAATGAACGACGGGTTGATGACTAGCAAGGCTTTGTAGCACACCGATGTGCTTCGCTCTGCTACATCAACTATTAGAAACGGACAAAAGGGGATCCTTCGAGTATTACTGTTCTGCGTATGGCGTCTAATTGCGGCACTCGTTGATCAAACGTAGAAATGTCGTGGACCTCATTATCAAGGGGTACGGGCAGCTCCTAAATGCTCTGGAATCCGAGCGTACACAACTCATTGGCTTCAAAAGGAAACACTGCTGCCTCGGGCTGATCCAACTGCGCTATGCCTGGTAATATGAGAGGAAGATGGAATCGAGCCGGCGACATTGGTCTGCCACGTACACCCAGCTGGGATGCTATATCGTTCGAATGTCTTTCTCGCCAGAAAAAAAGTGCACTAAGTATTTCGCGTAGGCCACTAAATCCATGGCTCAGAGGGTATACTATTCCAGGATCGCTGTAAACTTAGCAAGCATCTGTATGTCCAGTTACAGAATAGAAGGATCGGCCCCCCCTATTATAGGTACTTCCTGGTATACTGGACTACATTTACTCGTGCAAGCCGCGCGGTATCACGACCCAAGCTCCTTCTCCAAAGAGTCGTTGGCTTTCTGGCGCTTATCTTCGGAGAACTGAACGGCCTACCATATACTAAGATCTTGCTGGTCTTTCCGGACATCTGGTTGACGTTGAATGTTTAAAGGAAGCTGTCGGCGCTGGCCTCAAGTCTATTGCTCACGATAGAGACAGCTAGAAGCAATGCACCACCATGCATCAAGGCGCTCGTCAGCAGGCCACCAAGTTAGCGTTACACCACAGCTTTCCCTCGCACCACCAACTCACTAATGCACAGGCTACCCCCTCCTCATTTTACAGGAAATGGAACGGGACTCATCTCGTAACTACTCGTTGGCATCCAAGTCCTGGCGAGATCTCTGTATCCCCGTCCTTTTTCGGGGACTGAAACCCATCAACGTCATCTCAATAGCCCAATTGCAAGCATGCAACAGCTTGCTAACCAATTCTCCCCGTCTACGCCCTCACGTTTGCAAAGTTACCTTCATATGTCCTCAATTTCCGGCCTGTGTAGACGACCAGAAAAAAGCATGGTTGAATTAATTCTTCGGCTTCCACGCCTCGAGGAGCTCAAAGGCGGCTCAACTCTTTTCGCCGCCATCTCTTCCGTACTCCCACAATCATCCATCACAAAGCTTCACCTCAGACAGGATATTCTCGACCTCCTGTCTGTCCTCAAGGCGGGCCCTAGCGTGCTTCGCTCCCTGGCACTACAGGAGCTCACCTTTGATGATGAACTCACCAAGGACGGTGTCGCTACGAAGACCAGCAGGCAACCCGTCTCTATGACTACTCTGGAAGAAGTCTGTATTACGAAGGCAAGTATGTAGACCTCGGCGAGAGCACTCCGTCACCTCTGAAGACACTTGTCTTGCATGGCGTGGAAGTTGCAGGCGAGTTTACCATCTAATATGTACCATCAGACGGTTAAAGTCGGAATCAATCAGGAAAATTCAGGACGCTCAGCGCGGACAATGTTTGTCTTCACAGGTGGTGCCCGTCGAACACGCAATCAAAAAGTTCACCTTTTCGTCCAAGATCAAGCATATTGAGATCTTGCTCTCATCCTCCGGCATGCTTTTCGATGGCACATACAAGAAGCTAAACCTGCTTGAAGAGTATGTTCTTTACCTTCACCGGAGCGGATCTCTTGAGCGGCTTACGATTACGGTTGAGTTCGACGTCGACTCTCTGAGCCCTGAATTCGTCTCCCTATTCTGAGCAGCCTTGCTTTACTTGATGTCCGGATGAGACGCCCCTCAGTACGGTCCCCCTGCTGTACCAGGTTCGGTATAGAATGGGATGGAAACTGAGCTGTTCATTGCACTTCTTGTAATGCCTCATGTCAACACTGTACATGTTCGTACTATATTTCACGTACTACCTCATCAATAGCTGACTATTTTGTTGCAAAGTTTATCCATCCACACCTCGAACATGAAACTATTGACTGTACATCTCGTACGGCCTCAGGACAACCTAGTACGTGTTGTTCGACCGGCGGTTGTCAAAATGAAGTTGCAGAAAGCGTCGGAGGTTTGTGAGAGTCTCACAACCTGTCCACGCCCTTTCATCATCCACGGGCAAGGACTCCTTATGTCGCAACCAAGCCTTCGAACCCCGCCCTACTGCCGCATATACTGCTCAACCGTGGCTTGTACTCGCGGATCCACCTTGGACAATACCCTCACGGTATCATTCTGTCATTGTTTCACATCAGCTACTCATTCTCGCAAAGGGAAAACAACGTGAGACTTACCCACAGTATTTCGCGGAATTGTTTCCCTTTCTCTGAGATGACAAAGTCACTTGGCTCCGTGATTTGGGCCGAACTCACATATGCACCCTTCAAGGAATTGACTCCTTCCTGTGGGGTAGTAGTCGACCCCCATATCACTTGTCGCGCACCCTCTTCGGCTGTCTTGGCCAGCAATATCTCCAATAACTGCATCATGGCCACACGCAACACGCCATGTATACCACGGCGGATTTCAGAATAGCAAAAACCAGGATTAACGCAATCCACGATTATTGTGCGGCGATCGGAAGGGAGATGGTGCGTCAAAGCCAGCGTGAGGAGAACGGTCAGCACTGTTGATATTCGTGAGCATCAATGGTGATCCGTATTTATTGTATGACTTACGTTTGGTCAACCTATATCTTTCTAGATGATTGCTGTTGTACTAGCGGTTGAGCGACACACACAATTGAGCTAACAAGAGGCCTCACTAAGGTTGACAGAACTGCCTGTTGTTGAAAACCTCAAGAGCGGACGCAGATTGGAATGCCTTATCTGGAATTTTGCCATTCTGATGTGTTTCGCTGGAGACAATCACGACGCGTGGCTCGGCGGTGAACGTGTCTATCGTCTGGAACATCTTTGGGAGCAGAAGAAGGATGAGGAGGGCCGGGGCCAGGTGGTTGACTTGCAGTCTGAAGGTGTCGTCATGTTAAAAACTGTATACACAGTGCATGGCCACTTGAACGACTTACGAGGTCTCCCAGTTGTTTTCGGTCGTTGCGTACTCCATTGGCATAACAGCAGCATTTGAAACCAAGATATCAAGCCGCTCTACTTCTTTGTCCAACTTGTCCACGAAGGATTTGACCGATTTGAAGCTACAAAGGTCAATTAGCCAAAGCTCGGCCTTGTCAAACCCTGTACTATCTTCGAGATCTATCCAGCGGTCCAAGTCAGTATCCAAGCAAGCACATGCCGATAAGATAAGGCTACTCACTCCCTACAGCTGCAGCTCCCTTCTCCCGATTTCTGCAACCCATGATCAACCTCGCGGGATTCATCGTGGCAAAGTGCTTTGCCGTCTCGTATCCGATCCCTGTATTCGCCCCAATCACGACTACAGTTTTCCCTGTTAAATCATGGTTCTCCACCGGCGGTACTTGCGCCCACTGGGCCTTGATGAAAGACCAGAATGATACTTGCATTTCGTCGAGGTTTGCTTTGACCTCTGCGTTTCAGCCATAGGGGCTTTTTATACTAAGTGGTAAATTGACGGCTGACAAAGCCCTGTGACACTCATCCAATCACAGGCTGTGAATTTGCTTCCGCGCTGCCTTGCATCCGTTGGCTGAAACGCAGACGGTGTGTCGGGCTCCTTCAAAAACGGATCAAGGACAGATATGCGGTAGATTTCTTTACTAGTGGTGGCACACCCAGCTGGACAAGCACATTGGGGTCCGCTGCAAGATGAACGTCACCAGCCGTCAGCACATCTAATCATGCTCCTAGGAGTCCTAATTCATTTTCCTGACCTAATATCTGGCGACCCTCAATTCTGTATCCCAGCAGTATCGAATAGCTGTGAGTTTATCGAGCGCTACGTTCGTCGCGAGGTAGCACTAGCTATCCATATTTAGTATCTGCTATGTTCTTTTGGTTATAGACACCGCTGCTACTCTTGTGCTCGAAGCGCCTACGTACGGTGATGCCCGCCGTAGACTATATGAATTGTCGAATCGTGAGGATGCAGATGATCCTAGTTATCCACGTCCTCAGGCCTGTTCGCCCTCAGGATCGTATACATACTCCCCGTATATAGGCTGCCACTTTCTCTCCTTCGCCCTCTCCCTGACATCCTCCTTCTTCCAATCAACACCAGCACTTCCCTCTTCAATGGCCTGCTCCGCCACCGCCACCGCCACCTCGAAGTTGATTCCCGGAGCGTCGCCAAAGTCGGGCAGCAGAGCATTGTCGGGGTCTTCTAGGGCGGGGGAGAGCGAGGCCAGTCGCCGCGCTCCTGCGATGATCATATCATCCGTCATTCGACGGCTTTGGCAGATCATGGCACCGAAGCCAAGTCCAGGGTATATAAGGGCATCTGAGTGAGGACGAGGAATAGTTAGAATGAGGCGTCTGGAGAAGATATTAGAGTTGCTTACTATTACACTCTGCAATACTACATATCAAATCTTCAGTCAGCCTCACAGTAGTGCGCAAAGGTATGAGTGGACGACACACATATAATCTTTGCCATTCGGCATCTTCGTTGGAGGGAATGGGCTCCCCGTAGCGATCAATGCCTTCCCCTCCGTCCATTTGTTAGCATCTGCAGGATCAACCTCCACGAGCTTGCTCGGGTTCGACAATGGCAAAATAATCGGTCGGTCGCATCCTTCCGCCATCGCCTTAACGACCTCCTCCGTAAACGCACCCGCATGCGTCGAGCACCCAATCAACACAGTCGGCTTAGTCCTCTTCACAACTTCCAACAATCCCACCTCACCACTCTCGTTAGTCTTCGCACCTTCCCACTCCTCGTCGGGTCGCACGAATCCATTCTCGTATAAGGAGTCGCGAATGAGGGAGGATCCCAGAGATTCTTTGATCAATCCGTGTTTGTCGATGAGATAGAACCTTTTGGCTGCTTCAGCGGGGCTGAGGTTGTCTGTGGAGACAATTGCGTCGCGGAGTTGATGGGCGATGCCAAGCCCCGCAGATCCTGCCCCGTAAATAATGAAGCGTTGGTCACATAGCTTCGATTTCGTTACGCCAACAGCGGCCATTATGCAGGACAAAGTAACTGCGCCCGTTCCTTGACTAGATGCACCATTAGGTGAGACAGAGGTAGAATATCGTTATAAATCACTTACATATCATCATTGAAGCACGCGTGTTGATCACGATAGCGTGCCAATAACCTTTGTGCATTCGTGACACCAAAATCCTCGAAGTGCAGCAAGCTATGCGGGAAGTACTTGCGAACTAGCTGAACAAATCTATTCATGCCACAATGAGTAACATCGCATGATTGTCGCAGGAGCAGGTACTGACTTATCGATGAATTGATCGTATTCTTCGCCACGGACGCGCCTGTGCGGCCAACCCTGAGGACGATTTATATATCTACCCGTCTTGTTTTGCTGGAGAAGGCGGACTCACAACGTAGAGATTGTCATTGAGCAGGTCCTCATTGTCAGTTCCGACATCGAGAGTCACTGGAAGACTTTTAATTGGGTCTATGTGCCCTATTAGACTATTTTTGGGGTCAGAATGGAACTCTGTAGATGGGTCATGCGACGTACGTATATATGGCCGATTTCGCAGCAGATATCTGCGCATGTATGCATGAGCCACGAACAAAAGGAAAGAGAGTCGGCATACGCCAATTCCCTAAACATCGTTTAGTATCTCAACGATGAAAGGTTTAGGAAAGGGTGCTCACTCCGACGCCCTGATCGCCAATGCCGAGAATTGCTTCCGCATCTGAACACACCACGAGGTCGATTGCGCGACCCTTGGTCTGTTCTAAAAAGTCCTCCTCCATGGTATCCTGGTCACAAAAGGTAAGGTACAGGCCTTCGCTGCGGCGAAACAAATGGGAGTAGTTGGAAATAGCTTCCGCCTGCCGCATAATCAGTACCTTAGATCAGGATATACTTATATGCGCTCGAACTCACCTCGGTAGGCGTATAGATGATTGGTACGAGCTCTCTTAGATTTTTCGAGATCAGCGAGTAATAGAGGACCCAATTTTGATCCTTTCCTTAATCAGTTACGCTATCCACAACGCGTGTATAAGCAACTCACTTTCAAACTTTGCAGAAACGAATTCTTTCTGATCGGTGTCTCTCGTGTCATCAACTGATCCCATGCCCGAGCGCATTGCTCGTCGAGTGTGTTCACGCGCGAAGGGAGACGTCCAGTCAGACCAAACGCCTTGCGCTCCTCCACCGTGAACGCCGTTCCTTTATTGAATCGAGGACTACCCAGCAAGGCACCTCCTCTCAACGCAACGCGGAATTCGGGGTTTTCAACTTTGGGTACCATTGTCGTCGCCTAGATGGTGGCAGCTGGAAAGAGTGCCAGTGCCGTTCGCTCCATCTCGGGATGATAAGGACTTAGATAATGTGTCTCCATTGAGATCCATGACCACGTTGGGCACCAAACTTCGATATCGAGGCCTGGAAGGGATAAATTAGGAACTTCGCCACTGGCCAGCGCCTCCCCGCCATACCGTCAAAGTCAGGGGCTTCTTTGTGAATCCGAAATATGGCGTTCCCGGGAACATTTGGTTCTTCGGGGTTCCGCCTAAATTCACTGAATGGACCGTTTCTACATGTTCGCCTCCCCCCCAAGATGATAACGGGTACAATTCACAAGGAAACAGAAGCAGAGAATCCCTAGCCCCTAGCTATACTCCCAAATAGGGAAACTCCAGCATCGCGAGCCTTTACTTTTCGGGCGAAGCATGACTTCACTCTCTCAGTGATAACTTCAATGCTCGCTGCAAAACGAATACGACGGGGGATCGGCTTGAGTTCAAGACGATTCCTTCACGATGGCTCAAATACTCGAGAGGGATGGCTGTTCGTCGACTCAGTCTTCCCTGTTCAATTGGGTGTATGGGAGTGAGCCTAGGCAGCCTATTTCGAGGTCTCCTGGAGAGCTGACCATCTCACCCTGATAGCGTGAGGTCGTACATATCTCGTCTGAGGCAAGACACGCTGCTATCCGAACTGAAGGACAAGCTGTCCCGCGTTCAAGCTCATAAATTCACGATCCTGGAGTTGGAACCCCACCTGAAAGACGGTGGAGTATTCGTTCACTTCAAGTACGCGCTTCCGGACAGAGGGGAGGAGGATTTGAATGTCGCGGAAGACTCGGAAGACGCGCATCCAATCGACTCGACGTCTAGCACAACTTCCAGGTCAGGCGACCAGACGCCGCAAGAACGTCGCGTGCTCCATGAAATAGAACGGCTGCTGAACGAGGAAGCAGAGAACGCCGGAGGTCTACCGTCGTGGAATGGCATACGAAGGGGTAATGTGTGGCTCGTACAGGGAAGCCCGTGGAGAGAGGTGCGTATAATATCACGACGTTATCATTCGCAAGCACTTATACATGCTATACAGGATATGAATCGCTTCGCGTTTCCAATGCTGCGCGTCTCGTTCGAGGGACCAGACGTCCCAGAGCAAGCACTCTATCAACTCTTCAGGCCGTACGGTCGTATCCAGGAGCTCACCATGCCCACGGCCGTACCTGCTGGTACGCCCCGCTCTTCCGTAATCACCTTCAGCCGAATTCGACCTGCGGCAATTGCCCGCAATGTTGTCCACGGCTTGGAGATCGCCTCTACACCGAGGTGAGTCACACTCGTTCATCCCTTAAGCATCGACCACTGATGCTTGTATTGCAGTACTGATAACGCTGCGAAGGCTACATTGACGCGACTGAGAATAGCATATCAGAAACCTATCCGAGCACATGTCATAAGGGACTGGACAGCAAACCATCCGAGAATAGTCATTCCCGTCATCGTTTTCCTGCTTGGCTCCATTACATACACGGTCAGCCAGTCCTTGCTTGTCTTAGACTTCGTTGAACTGGTGAGCAGGTCTTCGACCCCGTACGCGCCATGATGGTGCAAGCGAAGATGCAAAATTGGTTCGACTATCACGGTACGTATGTCCAGCCCACGATACGCTGTACCGGAATCTTACCTTCCGTTTCCGTAGAGTGGACGCTGTACAAATGGGCGTGCAATATGCTACCAACTCAGTTGATTTCCTATCTCGCTTCGGACTCCCACTCTTCATCATCCAAGAACAAACGCTCACTATCCGCGGCGATGCGTGCGCAACGGTCGAAGGAGTTGTCTTCTGATCTAGAAATCCAGGGTGTGTGGAAAGAACGCCAGGAAGTCGAGCGGACGATTAGGACATACCTTGATGATTTTCCAAGTAAGCTATCTGAATTACTTGAACGACCCCCTTTCCCCTGCTCACTCTGATTTATTATAGCTACTGTCGCATTTCTTCACGGGCCGCAAGGGAGCGGCAAGTCAAGACTACTGGAGACCATGATCCAGGATTCAGATCGGTAAGTAGCAAAAAATAAATGTTCGGAGGAGAACACTTATTCTTTTACGCCGGAATCCTAGACATGTTCTGCATATTGACTGTCGAGACCTCCAGAAGGCCGTATCCGACCCACAACTTGTCGGCGCTCTGGCGAGGCAAACGGGTTACTGGCCTGTATTCACCTTCCTTGATTCCATGAGCAGTTTACTCGATTTGGCGAGCGTCGGTTTGATCGGGCAGAAGGGCATGTATTTTCATCTCTCGAGTTGTTTGAGCTATGAATTGATTCGCTTTCTTATTAGCTGGCTTCTCCAGTTCCCTCCCAGACCAACTGACACAGGTGTTATCTGTTGTCACGCGTGCCCTGCAAGCGACCTCGGCGTCTCACATCCACGCAGCCGCTCTCAAACGGGCGCGCGAGGAGCAAGACGAAGAGCGAAAGGCTGAGCAGAACATCGTCCTGCACAAAATAAGGCATGGTACATGGCATGACGGACGTCTGGATTGCGTAGCGGGCAACGGCGTTATGAGCGAACTGGGGATCGGGGACGAGGCGATGGGTGTATTGGAGGACGAGTACGGCGATGACGTCGGCGTGGTGGAGATCGCTGGGGAGGCCTTGACGGAGCCAGAGGCGATGAGAGAGGCGATGATGGAGCTGGGGCGGACTGACCGTGGGGATGGCGAGGTGGAGAGGCCGAAGGAGAAGAAGAATGGGCACCATAGGCAGCCTGTCGCTGATGCTGAAGCGATATCAGCCATTCCGATCGTGATTATTCGCAATTATTCGCCGTCTAATAAGGCGGGTGGCAGCAAGGAGGATTTGCTGGCTGTTTTGGCGCAATGGGCAGCTGGCCTCGCTGAGAATCGAGTAAGTTGTTGCTTTTCGACAGTCCGACTTCGTTTATTCGTCCGTTCACTTAGATCGCCCATGTTATTGTTGTTAGCGATAACAGGGAAAATGCCAAACGGCTCGCTAAAGGTGAAGTCTCCCTACCACCCATTTTCACCTCTTCCAGATGCTCATCCTGTGTTATGTTCAGCTATTCCATCCAAACCTCTCAATTCTATAGCCCTGTCCGATGCGGATACCAGTAGCGCTTTGTCATTCGTGAAGCAGAGATTACGGGATTCCGATATCGACGTTCATTTTACAAAGTCCGAGACCGAGCTCGTCGAGCGGCTTGGCGGGCGGGCAAGTGATTTGGAAAGCGTGAGTTCCGTGCAAATTGCGTGCCATATATTTATGCAATTGCCTAACGACCGATTTAGCTTATACATAAAGTGACCAATGGACAAGGCGTTGCAGAGGCTGTAGAAGATATCGTAGTGCGCGGGGTAAGCGAACTACGGAAGAGCGCATTTGGGGATGATGTGGACGACGCGAAGAGCCTTGCTTGGTCAAGGGAGCAGGCGTGGGCAGTCTTGAAACTACTGGCCAAGAAACCGGAGGTCCGTCTTGCCGTCCTACCCATTTTCATTTGTCGTATGATCGCTAACCGTGTTGCTGCTCAATTTGTGATGTATCACCAATTATGATTCGTGGCAGTAGGTGTCATACCATGAGGTATTGATAGAATTTCCGTTCAAAGGAGACGAGTCTCCGTTGAGGAATATGGAGCATGCCGAATTGATTGCTATAGGGACAGTGAACGGTATGTTTGCATTCTGCCGCTCCATGCGTATCCTCTTTCATAGCAAATATCTATTTCAGGCCGCCCATCGACCATCCGCCCCGGCAAACCCGTCTATAAATACGTCTTTGAGCGCCTGGTCAAGGATCCGATATTCCAAGCCAACCAGGATATCGCGTACAACAATAAAGTCATATCTAGCGCGGAGACTACCATAAAACTATGCGAAGAGGAGCTGGGGACGTTGGAGAATATTCGGGAGCAGGAGGCGAGGACTAGAGGCTGGGGTGATTGGGCGTTTGGATGGATGTGGGGGATGCGGGCGTGTGATGCGAGGGCCGCGTATTTGTTTGATAAGATGGGGAAGGCTGGGAAGAAGGTCGAGATTCTGGAGAGGAAGAACGAGGAGCTGAAGAAGGTGCTTGCGACCGCTGAGTGAGGTTGCGAAGGTATGGACATTTTATCAACTAATTGTGTATATCATTGGGTTGTTGGAGCCAGTGTGTTCGTATCATAGACACGGTCATATTCAGATTCTTCTTCGCGTTCCAGACGCTTTCCGCGTAGGCCAGACGTTTGGACGGAAGGGGCAATTGGCAAGCGGTGGCGGGTTCAAAGCCTTTTCCGGCACTAGTGAGTGCGGGCAAGCGCAGCGCGGCTTGTGAAGATCCTGTGTACTCTACAGGGCGCGGGGCACAATGATCTATTGTCACAAACGTTCGGCGATCTCGTTCACGCGTTGCTTCGGGCTTCGGCGGCTGTGACAAACATGCTACAAGCGTAGTCCTGGGGTTCGAACGCGAAACACCGCGATTTGGAGGTGCTTGGAGGGCGCAAATGCAAACGCCCAGCTTGTTCGCCAGCTAAATGATGTGTATGTAGGCGATCATAAGGTGGCGTACCGGATGTTTGATTGTGAATGATACAGATTCGTTCAGTTACTGATCAAGCTTCAAGCTTTTGTTGGGTCAGTAGCTGATCCCATCTTCGTAATGAGTGCCGTTCGCGACCGCCTAGATCATCAAATTCGATGATGTGGCCAGCAGTGTGCTGATTTAGTACGGCTGTGTTGAAGCGGGCCCGGGCACCAGGGGGTACCACAGGCTGTTTAGTGGTGGGATAGGCCATGTAAATCCCCCTGCTGCGCACACCTGTACCCCCCGAAGCCCGCAAGCAGCTGGAGGCGGTGGCACTCAACTGCGACTGGACTTGCAGCGCAAGCGAGGCTGTCTGCGCCCGGCGCCCGCTGCTTGCCAGTGTTCAGCGAGCCATACATAAATCGTCCGTTTCATCGGGACTCACATCAATTGATGCACTCATGATTTTAGACTGATCATCTCTATTCTTGAAACAAAGTACTTCCAGGTATTTCCGCTGTCGGGGCTGAGGTTGCTGCTCATCTAATTCCGTCAGTGCGAGGGCTCGTGTCCGTGTAATCGTATCTCTGTGAATATCAGAAAGCACGTAACAACGGCGCGTTGTTCGGCAATGGTACGTTTACTGACATCTCAGGCTGCACCTGGGCCTCGAACGCGCGAATTACGACGGTATCTACGGAGGAAACATTTCTGTGAACGGAGCGCGGACGAGGAACCAGCGCAGCCATAGAAGTCGAATGCAAGGTGAGTGATGGCCTGCATGCAGTGACCAGCTCAGCAAGGACTACAAAAGCAAGAGAGATGCTGGGCGGCCTGAAGAATGTCCACTCTGCCAACTTTCTTCAATGCACCCACTCACGTGGTGGCCATAGCAACATATTCCCACGACCGCAGCCAACCGTCACTATCAATATCAATTCACACAACTGCCTACTGTTGTTCGGCAAGTCAGTTTCTGGTAAGTACCATCTTCTCCTCCTCCCCTTCCATCCTCCTCCTGCCCAGTTTCTTTTTTCCTTCTTTTATTTGCCTTTTTCTTGCTCACCCTTTTGTCCTTCGACCACACAGAAGCGCGAGCGCAAGGCGTAGACCGTCCACCGTCCTTTCGAAACTTTCTTACTTCCACTCATTCCCGTTCTTCCTGGCGTCGCACGTCCACTCTCTGTGTAACTCGGTCATTTCATAAACAAGCTCTCCGCGAGGGCCCCTACGAGCCTTTAAACAAAGAACACTTCCCGAAACAACTCGTGCGTCCAAGCTTCACCGTCTTACAGCAATTTCGCTGAAAGCTATAGCTAGCCCTCAACCCGAAATCTAGTAATATCAAACATACACAGCGATGGTGTCCAAGAAGTTAATGGGTGTATGGGCGTTCCTGGATTTCTGTCTTCTCGCGGCGGGAATAGTGGCTCTAGTCCTCTCTATTGTCTGGAGGAAGACGGATGTTATGATGAACATGGTGCTGAGCAATGCCGATCTGACTGGTGCGTCACCCGAAGTGTTACTGGAACTCGCATGCTTATCCTCGTACTTCAGCCGGCACTGTGCTGGGCATCGTTCTCTTGATCACATTTGCCCTATCTATTGGCGCTATCGTCCAACCAAACCACGTCACCATTGGTCTTGTAATCCTTAACTGGGCTCTTATTGCGGACGCACTCGGTATCGTCGTCATTGGCACATTCGTTTGGTTCTTCACCCTCAGAGAACGCGCCAACTTCCACGACTTATGGTTACAAGCCTCGGACCAAACGAGAATTACCCTCCAAGACAAGGTGAGTTCGCCGTTCGATATCTTCACATACATCACCGGCGCCCGCTGCATCGCTGTTGTTGTCTAGGAGAACCATCTCTGATTTTTTGTCTCGTTTGACAGCTGTCCTGTTGCGGATACTTCAGCAGTCTAGATAAGGCTGTCATCGGAGGCACCCATTGTGCCTCTGTTGAATTCGTCCAAAGCCTAAACTTGACGCAAGAGGCCAACTTCTGCGTTTCACCAATTACGAAGTTTGCCGACACCACACTGAATAACATCTTCACGTACGTATTTTTGCTGTTCTGCGGCCCGTTCAATGACTGAGGTCTTTCTGCAGGACGGTTTACGGTTTCATGGCGGTTGTCATCTGCCTATTCCTAGCCTCATTATGTGTCATTAAGAAGGTCTGTCTCGCTGCAACCGATTGATAACTTGCACAATTGACCTGACGACAATCATCTCGTGTACAGAGGCAAGAAGCCGAGCGATTCAAGAAAATAGACGCGAAACGCGGTGGACGAGGCTTCGTCTAAATGCCCTTCGGCGTTTCTCGGTTTCTTTTTGCGTCTGTTCGTCTATTTACCTCAGCTTAATACGTTACCCCTCTCCCTCCCTTCCACCGCCTCACGTCCCCCTCCTTATCATCCCTGCCTCTGTTTCTTCCCCTTCCTCCTACAATGCACCCAGTGTGTGTTGTCCGAACATCGTGGCAACCGTAGTGACGCTAGGCAGCGCCTGGGTCCCGTCCGGAGCAGATCTAGAATCATAGCCAACAAACCTTCACCCGTTCGTACCTTGTACGCCCATTAACTTCTCTCCGTCGCTATTCCAAGCCGCATAGCATCGCAATGCTCTCGAATGAGCCCTTCACCCATTCCATCCTCGAGCTCCAGTCTAGACCACCTCCATTCATCCTTCTACCCCCGAATCGTGCACCGCACTCAATTTCCCTCCTCCCACTGAATAGGTCTCGAGTTCATATGTAGTATGCTTGTTTGCTTGCCTATTACTGCTTTGACCGGTTGAACCCTCGTTTCTTTTGACGTTCTTTGTTTATTTTTCTTTCACTTTCATACATTCTCAAACTACAATTTTTCTTTCTTACATACAAGTTCTATGTACGCACTGGGCAGTGTGATATAAGGATCCCTCGAACAAACTGTATTTGTGTGTAGAGGCTCGGTTATCTTATATAAAGATAAGTCAGAAAGGTGTGTTGATGTGGATCCCCTTATGGCCGCCTTCGCCACTCTTCTCCATCACGGTACTGAGCTTGATAGTCGCCTCACCCATCATGACCATGCCCGCCAACACGTATATTTGATAGTCTCGTGTCCAATTCTATCGTATGTGGCGGTAAATGAGATCGAAAGGAGAAGCAGGAAGCTTTCATTCAAGGTCCGCGAATACTGGACCCATATGGCGCACCGCCGACCAACTCTGAACCACAACACTCATCTGACAAACATAGCTTCGTCGATGGCAGAGATAAGTGAGTTCCACATGCCGCGCAGGAAGCGAGGACTGAGTTGACGTGGACATCATACACATTCCGTTAGCGCCCTCGATGCTGATCTCGGGCTAGCCTGAATGTGACTCTGGAATTCCTCGAGATTCATGGTGCTGGCCTATCTCGTGAGAGACTTCTATTCCTTCTCCATATGAGGCCTTATATATAGGCGAAATCGTCGACGCTTCTCTTCGTCGCTTTTCCCCTCTCGTGACAAGCTGCACGCACTTTCTCCAGTGGTTCGTACCGCCGACCGTCGAAATGGCCAACACGACAGAGAAGGGATATGATAGTGGGACAGACAGCCTCGACAATGTCTCGCAAGAGGTCCGCTTTGAGCGCCCGACAGGCCTCAAGGGACTGTATTACCATCCAATGACACAGGTTAGATGGATTGTTTTTCGAAAGAGAGAGCTGGATTTTGAGATCTGTGCGTTCATAGGTCGCTCTAATCGGTTTCGTGTGCTTCATGTGTCCTGGTACGATCTTCTTCAAGCCTGTGAATCAAGAGTTTGCTTCTGATCTTTCAATCCAGGCCTTTTCAATGCTTTGAATGGTCTGGGTGCCGGAGGTCAAGTCGATAATACTACTAGTGCCAACGCCAACGCAGCACTTTACGCAACATTTGCATTCGCTGCCTTTTTTGCTGGGTGCGTGTGCAGTTTGTCTTACGTGGATAGCCTTTAATCATACCTTCAATAGATCCATCAATAACGTCCTTGGACCCAGGCTCACTCTCCTCATCGGAAGCACGGGATATGCCCTATACATCGGCTCGTATTTGTATGTTCTATAAACAGCCTCGTAGTCGAAAGTACTGATTCTGGCGATTTCAGGGCTATGAACATCCATCCCAATGCAGGTGGTTTTGTCATTGCATCCGGTGCCATCTTAGGCATTTGTGCAGGTTCGTGTCCGTCTTCATATTAGGGCATCAATCGCGCTGACGAAGGGTACACTAAAAACACAGGTCTTCTATGGACCGCCCAGGGCTCACTGATGTTGGCTTACCCGACCGAAAGTCAGAAAGGTCGCTATATCGGAGTTTTCTGGACCATTTTCAATCTCGGTGGTGTCGTCGGAGCCTCCGTCTCATTGGGCCAGAACTTCCACTCTGAAGCGAATTCTGGTGAGCTCCCTGCAAATCGTAACGAATGCGTGATGCTCATTTCGATTCTTAGTCGGCAATGGAACATATGTGAGTCGGCCAAAGTTTGTGCTAGAATAGCTTTTACTTACCATGATCCTAGATCGGATTCCTGGTCCTAACTCTTATCGGTGTTACCATCCCTTTGTTGATGGTGAACCCCAATAAAATGATCCGTACCGACGGTACCAAAGTCACCTCACCTCGCCACCCTTCATGGAAGACCGAGATCATGGGGCTTGCGATAGCACTGCGCAAAGACCCTATGATCATCCTCCTCTTCCCCATGTTCTTCGCAAGTAACTGGTTCTACACATGGCGTACGTAAACCTACTCTTCCCAAGGCGGTACTCTAATTAATCCTCCTTCCAGAATTCAACGAGTACAACGGCGCACTATTCAATATCCGCGCCCGTTCGCTCAACAATCTTGTGTACTGGATGTCTCAGATCGTTGGTTCGCTGGCTATCGGCTTCTTGCTCGATCGACAAGGGCTTCGTCGCCGGGTCCGCGCATTCCTGGGCTGGGGTGTCCTCCTCGCCATGGTGTTCATAGTGCATATTTGGGCGTATTTCTATCAAAAGTAAGTTCCCATCCTCGCCCTATTGAAATTGACAGTGTGAATGGGGAAATATGGCATACTTAGGAACTATACTCGTGAATCTCTACCTCCAGATGCGGTCAAGATGGATATAAATGACCATGGATATGCTGGTCGCATTTGGCTGTACATCTTCTGTGGCTTTTTGGATGCTACGTGGCAGACTACTGCCTACTGGGTGAGTTCATTCGAGCGCGACGATACATGTCCTTAACTGAGGATGACTTGAATAGATGATGGGTGCCATGTCCAACGACCCTGCAAAGCTCGCCTACTTCACTGGATTCTGTGAGTCTTTGGTCTCAAATCACCTAACTAATTTTGATTATTCACCCATACGTTAGATAAGTCTCTGCAATCTGCTGGGGCCGCCGGCGTGTGGCGTGCAGATGCCGTGAAACGACCGTAAGAAGCACACCCTTTTCCCTCGCACCGTACAGGTACTGACTATCGTCTATAGATTCATGCACATCTTTATCTCGACCTGGGTCCTCCTTGTAGCTGGATTGATATTCATGCTGCCGATGATCTATTTGCGGGTGACTGATCATACAGAGGAGGAAGAAACTTCGTAAGTAATAGTTGCATTTTTTTAAAAAACATATTGATGTTGATATCCAACGGCTCTTGGTATTCAGGCCCCATGCCCCAGCGGACGAGGTGAAGGCGTAATCTATCAGCCATCTAATTGTCCTGTCATGTATCCGTTTGCTGTATCCGTACTTTCGACGATTTTGTGACGATTTCTGTAATGTTTTGGTTGAATGACACGATACGTTAATGTCTTCGACTTCTGGTGCTTCTGGCCAGAGTAACAAATAGAAGATATATAGACACGAAGCTGCTAATCTCGTATTAAGATAACAAAATTATTCCTATTCCCCGATCGCAGTATTTGCTTCTTTGAGAAGTCAGTCTCTGTTCGAACGGGCGAGGTCTTCTCGTACAAATAGTACACCATTTTGCCACCGTGTTTCCACCGCGACTTGAGTTCATTGAAGCCTATTGAGCTCATGAGGAGTCGGAGATGCTCGAATGTGAGATACCGCGAATTCTCAACGCAAGGAAGTGGCAGCTGTAAATTTTACATGAGTGACGGATAACACTGGCATGCTAGTGCGACTTACAGCTAGAAATAGATATCCCCCTTCGTTCAGCATGTTGTGCGCGTAACGAAGCATTCGCCCTGGGAAGTGATAGTTAATGATCGGGCACCTTCAATAGTCTCCTTTAAGTTGTCGCTCGAGTACTCACCACGATCACTGGCTTCGGGCACGAAGTTCAAGACCAAGCTCAAGCTGATGGTGCCCCATTTCCCTCGGTGACTACATTGATCCAATGCCAGGAAGTCCTGCTCAATGATGTCAGGATGTCTTGACTTCAGATCCATAGGAGTGGCATCGATCCACGAAGTACAAGAACGATAATTGTCGGGCTTGAGTGCACCAACCTCAAGTAATCTATGCTAGACAGTTCAGTGTAAAACAATGCCCTGGTGACACGGAACACCCACAAGTGCCGTTGCTTTACTCTCTGACAAGTCTCATGGACCTTCATCTCTTTCAACCACGATATTAGATACTTCTCGCTTCCCCCTCCACGGTCGTTCCCCTGGCCGATGCTCGACATGCGTTGGTACGCCTCCAATCCGCCAAGCTCCTCTATCTCATTTTCCACTTCCGTAAGAGCCAGCTTAACCTCGTCGCCATTACTGAGTTGGTGTTCAAGTTGAGCTTTCTTCTTCAAGAGAACGTGAAATCGTCGGATCAAAGTTCTGCTGGCTTGGGGCTTGCTGGAAGAAGGATCAACAATGACATTGTTCGTAATCGGAGCCTTGCGTTTCTTCGCTTTGGGCATATCGAGGAACTCGTCGAAAATTAGGGAGAAGACATTGATGTACATGTGATGTACTTGAGCTTGAACCCTTGCACCTCCTATCTTCTCCTGGGCCTTGCATTCGAGTAGCTACTCGAACCTACCTACTATCATCATTCATTTCCTTCATAGACCACGTATTGGAGATTTTCATCCTGAGGATGCAAGTATGCAATTAACTACCTACTATTCATTGTTGCACAGATGATGTGTAAAATGGCCTTGAGCCTAATGTACGGAGCTGCCTGTTGTATGAAAAAATGCTGGATGAGCCTTGAGCCCTAGAATACTGCAAAGCGAGAGAAGTGACGACAGATTGATACAGTCCTGAAACGCAGTATGCACTTGTAAGGTAAAAAATATATGTGGAGGAGTTGTATATAATGAAAGAGTCGAGGCGCGGCTATGAGAAGGCAGGGTAAACGCTACCGGAGATTTGCAGTGGCGTAACTGCAATGAGACGAGAAGTGGAACACGGGTGACCAACCCCGATGATCCAGCTTTGGATAATCCTTGAGATTATCATGCATGGCATGCGCCAATGAGAAGATTGAGAAAACAAACAACGAATACACCATAGAGCGACAAAAATAGAGTTGTGGAATCTTTAACGTTTTCCTCCCCTTCTGGTAGGGAGTTTCTTAATTTGTCGAGCTCCCGATGGGGTGTTATTGGCAGGCGGGGCACCCATGGTGAACAATGGTTGTCCACCCCCGCCGGGAGCACTGACCCCGAACGGCGTAGAGGTTTGTGCACTGCCGAAGCCGGACGCGATAGGCAATGAGGAAGCGGGAGCTGCAGGAGAGGCAGGTTGGCTCCCTCCAAACGAGAAGGGTTGGGCAGGTGAAGTAGCAGCAGAAGTGTTTGTCGACCCGGGGTTGGCACCAAACGAAAACGCCGGGGTCTGGCTAAACACAGACGGACTGCTGGGTGCTGACCCATTAGCGGAGAACGGGTTGGCCGCCGGAGTACTGCTTGGTGGTGCGCCGAAAGAAAACGGAGCGGGTCCTGTGGCGGACGGTGGCGCAGAGGTGTTATTGAACGAGAAAGGCCCTGCAGTATTGGGACGAGAGCCGTCATTGCTGGTAGATGGACCAAAGGAGAATGGTGCAGCGGGAGGATTAACGTTGTTCGACGCCCCGAAGCTGAACGGGCTTTTAGCTGCTTCGGCAGGTTTCACTAAATTATCTGGCTTTGCACCAAAGGGATTTGAGGTCGAGGGGGGGCCGAACGAGAATGGGGAGCTTGCTGTCGAATTTCCACCAAACAGAGTGCTGCCTGAGGTGTTGCCACTAGCAAAGGAGAAATTTAGAGTGGGTTTAGGAAGATCTCTACTAGGCTGCATGGATTCCCTGGTGGGGCTTTCCTCCATTCGCATCTCCTGTTCGTCATTCGTGGGCTTGGGTGGCGTTGAAGGGCGGGCAATTGATGAGAAGGCAAACGGTTTGCTCGACACATCACTGGCCGCGCTACCACTAGAGTTGAAGGAAAACCCGCTGACAGGCGCTACGGAGGGTGTGGCATTGAAGCTGAAAGCAGGCTTTTTCTCTTCCGCTACCGGGGTACTAGGCGCAGACGAAAAGGAGAACGCCAGGGGCGCCGTCGATACAGTTGGCGGAGCATTTTTACTTTCGGCGGACGGACCAAAGCTGAAAAGGCTGGTACTGCTGGGGGTTGTGTTACCAAACAGCGACTTGGGGGCCTCCGCTGGCGCTGGGAAGGTCAAGGGGGGCTTTGTGGCTGCACTGGTTTCGGTAGTCGTGTTTGACGTGGTGAAGGGTGTACTTCTGCCGAACAGTGATGGGGTAGGGGCACTGTCTTTCTTGTCTGCGTGCGATGGAGCTGGACCAAACGAGAATGCCGGAGCTTTGGGGGTCTCATTGCTTTCCGTGGGTTTGCTGAACGAGAACGGTTTTGACGATGAAGATGCTGACGTCGAGCCGAACAAACTACTAGCCGCTGGTGCTGGTGCTGGTGCTGGTGCCGGTGCTGGCGCTGGTGTGGGTGCAGAGTTCGTACCGCCGCTCGCCGTTTCTTTGCTTTCCGAAGGAGCTGGAGCAGCTAGAGCAAAGAAAGGATTCGAAGCAGGGTTCGACGCTGGAGCAGGCGTCGAAGGGATCGCTGCTTGACTACTCTCAGGTTTGCCGAAAGAAAAGGATGCTTGACTGCCTTCGGGCTTGCTGAAAGAGAATCCTGGCGCAAGCGAGAACGAGGGCGTTGGCGTTGCAGGTGCAGGTGCGAGCTTTGAAGTAGATGGTTCACCCGAAGGCGATCCAAAGGAGAAGCTCGTGGGGGCCGGAGGAGTTGCAGGCTTTGACAGAATGGCTGAAGTCGCGAAAAAGTTCGGAATGCCTGATTTGCTCTGGTCTGGCTTCGCTTCGTCTGCTGCTTCTGGGGATTTGAACGAGAAGCCTTGCGGGTCCACCGCATGTGTCGTGGTAGCAGGTGCTGTAGTAGTAGCCTTGGGAGCAGGTGCGAACGAGAAAGCGGAGGGCGCTGGAGTAGGTGGCGTCTCGCTTTGAGCATTGAATACGGACACAGGAGGGGCCGTGGGCAGACTAGCACTTGCATCACTAGTAGGTTTGGAAAGACTGAACGGGAGAGAACTGATGGGAGGTTCCTCAGCATTCTCGTTGTCTTGAACAGGTGCGGGACCCTGAATCTATCGTTAGAGACTCGGGAATGATGAAAAGAGCGGGATACACACTTCTTTGGCAAACGAGAAGCTAGGCGGAGGGTTGAAGACAGGTACCCTCTTCGCAGCTTCTTCGAGCTCAATTCGTTCTTTCCGCCGGTCGTCAGATTCGAAGGCAGCAGCGTCCTTCGCGTCATCGTCTCCATCCATAACTTCGTCCTCATACACTGCCGAAAACTTGTTAGGTCTTTTGCCTATCGGAGCCGCAGGCCTGGCGATATGATTCCTTGAGATCTTGCTGCGCCCAACGCGAAGAGAGGAACCGAGACTGGGTCCTGCTTGCGTGGGTTGAGAAGCAATCGAGTACCAGTCACTTGATGGTAAAGGAGGTACATTATTGTCATCAGTTTGAACTTCTTCGTCTACTTCAACCTTTTGCTTGGCTTTGTCCGTCGACATCCTACTTTCACCCTTGGGTATTTCGTTGGATGCACTACGAAGCTTATCTGCATCTTCAGCACGGGCCCGAGCGAGAAGCTTTTTCATTCCGCCGGCTCCTGCGTATGGCTTCGTCTCATTAACCTCTCGCGTCCGCTTGTGTTTCTTATCCCTCTTTGATGATTCCTTGTCCCCCTTCCGGCTCCTTCCGCGCTCCCTGTCGTTCATGAGAATCAAAGGGTTCCGCCGCCTGAACAAGTCAGGACCAGTTGACCCCGAGGTCGAGCCGCTGATCAAACCGTTGACATCAAAAAGACCTTGGGTAGGCGTACCAGCCCTCAATCGTGTCGGTATCAAAGGAGTTTTGTAGACATCCAACGCATGCAAAGCTTTCTGTGCTGGAGTCAAATGAGCTTGCGATGCAGTCTGATTTGAAGCGTATTGCGAAGGCAAATCTTGGCCATGTGAAGGGAACAAAAGTGAATGGGATCGGGATGGAGATCGGGACTAAAGAAGCCCGAGCACGAGAGAGAGAAGGGGAGAACATTAACATAAATGTTGAAAATGGCAAAAGGAGGAAGCGATGACGTACACTACGATGGTTCTCAACCAAAACCCCAAGGGTGACAGAATCTGAAGGAAGATGTACACCCTCGTTTTTAGGCGGACCGCGCACGAAAACAGGATTCTGTCTGAGAGAGGATATGGGCGGAGGCTCACTAGTGTCCCGTCTGATACAAGAGGGAGTAATGAGAGGCAAAAGTTGCGACTGAGACGGCTGCGGAGTCAATGAAGACCGCAAGACAAACGACGGGCGAGAAGAAGTAGGCGGTAAAGACAATTCCCGGCCAAGTGGAGGTGCCGCACGGGTTGGCCCGTTAGCAATGCCGAAAGTCTTGCGGTCCATCGAGTGCTCGCGAGGCGAAGGAATGCCAGACATAGACACATCTCGTTGAATTGGCTGAGCCTGACCGAATGTAGGAGAGTCTACCAGCATTGTCGGCTGGAGAGCGAGGCTGGATGCCCGAGTAGACGAGTACCGAGATCCCCCACTGGTGTCGACAGTCGGCCGTATCGTTGTCGCAGGCAACGTAACCGAGGCCGAGCGATTGGGCGGGACATAGGCGTTGGAAGCGAAAGCGGATTGAGGCGGATCATTGTAGCCCGCCCGCTGGGACTCCTTGTATCGGTCATAACCAGCGGGGCTGGACACCCTCAGCCTCTTCGTCCCCCGTGTTATGCCTTCATCAGTTTCGCCAAAGGAATCGCTGGCGGTTCTTGACTCATCGCCGACAGCAATGGTGTTCGTCTTCTCCGAGCCAGCTACACGCCTTCTCTTCCCTTGATCATCCTTCTCCTCAGCAAAGTCTTCATTATTCGTCGCCAGCCAGGTGAATGGGGCGGTAACTATGTTTTTGAGCGTCCCAAATATAGAGTGTGAACGAGTGACAGAGGGTCGGCTCCTGTGTGTGTTTCCAGCGGAATGCTGCTTGGATGGGCGGCGCGAGGCTCCCATAGACGACGACGAGACGGTGGGCAACATCGTCCAGCTCGATGAGCACGAGTGGCTTGAACAAGAAAATGTGACGGTGTCACGGAATGTTGGAATCTTGTGACGCTTTGTCACGGGATTACTTCCAGCTGACAAAGGGAAGGCTTGATTGTTTGCAGCCAGCGAGCGTATACATTCTTTTTTATCGATGAGCAAAGGTTTGGTTAGATTGATGATAGGCTTTTCTACTAGCCGTATCTGCATTTTCCCTCTTTTGAACCAGCCTCATATTTTTCTGAGTGATGGTGCAGTATTCGGCCCGTGGTATACTCAAATAGTATGGTGCATCGAAACACGTTCATCACCCGAATTAGAGGGCTACATTCGCCAGTCATATACATGAGTAACAACCACAATCTCTTGGACTCACATATCTTTTGAAACTCACTACTAGAAAACATGGAATATCCCCTGTTGAATACCCCTGAATCAGCGGCAGATTCCGAGTCCACTTCAAGGCGCGTCGCGACGCGCTTGAATTGCCACTGCGTCAATCCCAGAGATGCCTCGCGAAATTGTCTCTGTCCAGCTTGGGCAATGTGGAAACCAAAGTGCGCGATCTATACCAGCCGCAGGAAATAACACTCATTGAGCTTTGCGAAGTGGGGGCCGTATATTGGCAGCGCCTTTGCGCAGAACACGGTATCAGCAAAGAAGGGATCCTTGAAGAGTGGGCAACAGAGGGAGGTGACAGGAAGGATGTCTTCTTCTACCAGGCCGACGATGAACACTATATCCCGCGTGCGATACTCGTCGACCTGGAACCCAGAGTGATAAACAACATCTTGACGTCGCCGTACGCGAACTTGTATAATCCAGAGAACATCTTTGTATCCAAGGATGGGGGTGGTGCAGGGAACAACTGGGCGCAGGGGTACTCGGCGGGAGAGCGAATATACGAAGAAGTGATGGAGATGATTGACCGTGAAGCAGAAGGCAGCGATTCATTGGAGGTGAGTCCCTATATCGACTACTCTCGAAACGCCGACTTATATGAAGAAGGGTTTCATGCTCATGCACTCAATAGCAGGGGGTACGGGATCTGGCCTGGGATCGTTTCTCCTAGAGCGCCTGAACGACAAGTTCCCGAAGAAGTTGATCCAGACGTATAGCGTATTCCCCAATGCACAGGAAGGAGACGTCGTTGTACAACCCTACAATTCAATGCTTACCCTTAAGCGACTGGTGAACCATGCAGACTCGGTTGTTGTCCTCGACAATGGTGCTCTGGCCAGAATATCTGCCGACCGTCTCCATATACAAACACCGTCTTTCGATCAAACCAATCAACTTGTTTGCTTAGCCTTCTCCGTCCCTCGCTGCCCTCTGACAAAGAGTCATAGGTATCTACCGTCATTGCCGCAAGCACACAGACTCTACGATATCCCGGATACATGAACAATGATCTCGTCGGAATCATCGCCTCGCTTATCCCTACACCTCGGTGTCATTTCCTCATGACCTCCTACACCCCATTCACGAGTGATCAAATCGATAAGGTACGTGCGCATCCCCATGAAGGCGGAGATCTATTCACCTCCGAATTTCAGGCGAAGGCCATTCGGAGGACAACCGTGCTAGATGTGATGCGTCGCCTCCTACAGCCGAAGAATAGGATGGTATCCACAACGCCTAGTAAAACAGCGTGCTACATATCTATCCTAAATATCATACAGGGAGACGTTGATCCTACGGATGTAGGCGGTACACTTTCGCCTGCTACTTGTTATTGATCTCCCCGCACCGCCAGGTCCACCAATCTCTCCTCCGTATACGAGAACGTCAGCTTGCGAATTTCATTCCTTGGGGACCAGCCTCAATACAGGTCGCGCTTACGCGACGGTCACCTTACGTTACAACCAACCACAGGGTGAGCGGCCTAATGCTCGCCAATCACACGAGTATTGCCTCAGTACGTATCTCCAACCTGCTTCGTAGTCGCCTACTGACACTCGCCCATCTCGCAATTTTTAGTTATTCAAACGTATGCTCGATCAATTCGATAGATTGCGCAAGCGCAATGCCTTCATGGAACAATATAAGAAGGAAAAGATGTTTGAGAATGGATTGGAGGAGTTCGATGATGCTAGGTGCGACCCAGCGCCGTATCACGCTCGAGAAATCTTGTGCTGACAGCCTATCAGGGCTACTTGTGACGAACTCCTGAAGGAATACAAGGCCTGTGAAAGCCCCGATTATATTTCCTATGTAAGTTTCCTCCGCGCATCTTCGGATTCCCATATTTAGCCACCCGCAACCTCTAGGGTGGTTCTGAGGGTGAACCAGCTACCTAGTGATATGCCGTCCGGCAACCTCATCGTAGGCGTTGGCCTGGTTGGACCAGGAAGAGATGATAGGTCGCTACGCTAACTGCGTCGCGGCTCAGCGAGACACGAAGAGGAGAGTTGCTCTGGTATTGTCTTCGTATGTATGTATTAGTGGTCTATGAACCATGGACTCCGCTTTCGCCATTCATCAATCCTACAAGTCACGCTTTGGTGCATCGACGTCCAGTGCTATGAGTCATATATCGTCCCCCACAACTACGGTTCACAGCCCGTTGGGCGACTCGAAAATCGACTCCTTGTTTCACGGATAGTAGGGGTGTGATGTTATGACCTACCGTTTCCCTTCGGTTCCCGATTGGTTGTGAGTTTTGGTTGTATCCTCCTTGCAAACATCTAACTTGATTTTACTCCTTTATGTTCCACCCAGACTAATCGTCGTAAGCACGACTTCAGTGCCGGCGTTTATGACATCCAGTCTGTGGTAGCACCTTTCGATCGGTGCCAAGCGCTGAAGGCTTCGATCACCGCGAGGGTCTATATAAACCTACCACTTCATGCTTCGATGGACGGGAAATTGGCCACGGCTTGGTGTACGCGTCACACGGCAAGTAGTCTCAGCGTGGTATGATGCTTGTAACGACAATGAGGACGGATGCAAGGCAACACGGATGCACTCTCGCGTCTGATTGGCTGATCAACATATGTGTCACAGGGATCCATGTCAGCACTTTGTATGAATGTCGATTCGCGCTTGGTATATGATGCGCTCGCTCTAAGTCGTCTGTGTTTGCAGCATAGCAAAGTAATTCCTCTCAATCCCGTTACAGATGCAGGTGTCAGCATGGGCATTCATCAAGGGCCAGTGGACGAGGGTCCCGCCTGTGGAAAAGGGAGATTTGACAGGGAAGACGGTCGTTGTGATTGGCGCGAACACGGGCATAGGATACGAGACTGCGAAGCATTTCGCGACGATGAATCCCGCTAGGTTGATCATGGGTTGTCGAAACGAGGCAAAGGGGACCACGGCCTTGGCGAGTCCGTACTTTATTTCGATCGCTTCCTTGAATGTTGACTGATTTCCTTGCCAAGACCTCCAACAGAGCACAGGATTCGACAGAGCCGAGCTTTGGCTGATCGACCTTTGTGATTTTGATTCCGTCAAAGCTTTCGCGGACAAGTTCGAGAAAGAAGTTGAGCGGCTCGACATCCTGGTCGCAAATGCCGGCGTCGTGTCCATGAAGTACGAACTGACCCAAGACGAATGGGAGACCTCGTAAGTTGTCTTATACAGCTTCACTCACGCGCCGTTAAGCTTGACACCATGATACTTTGAACGCCAGACTTCAAGTTAATCATCTAGCCCCGACCCTCCTTATCATCCTCCTACTCCCGAAATTGTTCAAAGCAGCCGAAATTTCTGCGTCCGAGCCACGCATCGTAATCGTCGCCAGTGAACTCCATCAGGACGGCAAAATCCCTGACAGGCTCTATCAAGTACCCTCCGCGCTCGAAGCATTGAATAGCAAAGAATTTTGCCAACCCTAGTGAGGCCTCTCGTTAGCCCAACTCTGCATGTAGCTGATCAACTGCCTTGACAGTGATCATCTGGAGAAATACAAGTTAGCTAAACGTGAGTCTAACTCACTTCTCACGCATGTTAAGGCTCACTTTGAAACAGTGCTAAACGTTCTCCTCACATTGGCTTTGACGGACCACCTTCCATCATCTCGTCCCACAATTATCGTGAATGCCATAAATCCTGGATTCTGCTACTCTGAGATTCGTCGTGGAATGCGCAGTGTCTTTATGTGGCTGTTCGAGAAGCTGATTGCTAGGACAGCGGAAGAGGGAGCGCGGCAAGTGATATGGGGCTCAGTAGTTACTCCGCCTGAGTCTAAAGGAGGGCTAGATTCCCTGAAAGGCGCGTATGTGAGCCTGGCCCACATCATGGAGCCAGGCGACTTCGTCATCTCAGAGCAAGGGAAGGAATTTCGCAAGATCCTTTGGGTAAGACTTATCAACGTTGTCTCTTTGCGACGAATAGCTGACGCGACATATTCACTTAGAACGATACTGTGAAAATTCTGTCCAAGGTGGACCCGCGGGTTCAGACCACGGTTGAGCAGTATCTGCAGAAGTAGGCTGGGATTCAGAGCCATACTGGTGGTTGTCCATGGACGTGGACTATACTTACTATCTATGATACCCTTCTTTATATCATACACGTTTGAATTCGAGGAGATATCTATCCTGTGTCTTTATTGTGATCCTGATCGAATCTCGCTCTCCTAGTATGATACTCCGAGTCTACAAACCTGAACCGAACTTCGTTCCGGAAGTAAAGAAGGGGTGATAGATATTCAGAACAATCTGCAATACGACGCAGAGGATCTTGACTCGTAGCTAACACACCGGGAACATCAAAGCTTCAAGAGGATGAATCCAATGTCTCTGTCGGGGAATTTTGTCGAGAATCGAAACACTAGCAAAGCCCCTGAGTTATTCCTCAGGCCTCAGGGGCGACACCACATCTCCGATTTCGCAATGTCTGGATGTACCATACAAGATGAATTTACGCGATTTCAAAACCATCCTAACCCTGGAGGCCCCGTCACAACCCTCTTATCGCTCAAAGGAACACGGGGCATTGGTCCTTTCTTCAGGCTGCGTTTACTCGGGGCCGACCATTTCTCCACCAAGGCCTGGCAAGACCTGCTCGTCTCAAGTGTATGGCAGATGTTGACCGTACGCTCTCGCTTTTGGTAGGATACATTGAGCTGAGGATCGAGGCGCATATCCGCAAAGGGCGGGTTGTCCAGTGACTTGGAGTGCCATTCGTGTGCATCGCCTTTCCCACTCAACGCCTGTTGCGACCCGCTGTAGAAAGTTGAAGTAATCTCGAGCGTGGTGTCATCGAGGAGGGAGGGCGAGTGACTATTATTCATCTGAAAATAAGGCTTGAGGATACAAACCCAATGCACATTGAGCTAGCGTCGGCGTACGTTGGATTTATGAAGTTCATCGCAGCCGTTCTTGGCGAGTGTACGATTGATCATGAAGTGTCGTTCACGAAGGGGTTTTGATAGCTTGTACCACAAAATGAAGCCGACGGCGACAGTTAGGACAACCCCGATAACGACGAAGATAGCCACCTTGGCGGTAAGTGTTGAATTTCCCTGCGAAGTATCTTCCGTCGCAAGAGCAGTGGTTTGTGGTATTGACGGCATGGCAAGAGCGATAGGATGTTGGATAAGAGGAAGAGTGGAGTAGAGGTACATGAAATGTCGCCTAAATATGGAATATGTAACATGGGCCCGCAGAGCGCAAACCAATGGCACTGCCCACGCCACGGCTAGGTATTCAGAATAATGTCCACTCCGGTTGTATGTTATTCTCATCACAGCCGGGGTATAGAACCGAGGGGCGTCCGGTTCGAATATCAAGTAAACCAAGATCACTCAAGGTTGGCAGCCTGTCGACGACCGATCCAAAACCCAATATGTCGTCCTTTCCGACCGTGATGGTCAGTTGCTCAAGGCGCCCACTCCGGCGGAGGTCAAGAGCATACGCTTCTAGCTGGTCCAACTTCACCCGCTCGCCGCACAGGACGCTAGGCAAGATCTCGATGTGCCTGATCTGCGATGGGATGGCGAACTCATTGGCTGCTTGTTTGACTGCGCCTAAGAGGTGGTGTCTATCTCCTTCCCACCAGAGGACGCAAAGATTGTCCACATTGAGTGGCTCGAAATTGTCTACGTAGGTGAAGTCAGTTACTCCGCTTCGTGGGTCAATCTGTGTACTCGCTTGGAATGGTTGCTCCTGCCACGACAAGAGTGTTCAGCGATGAGGGGAGACCATCACCCATCGCCGCCCATCCAGCTCCATAGTATAGGATTTTCAAGCTGGGCATCCTTATAACGTTTGAAGTGAGGGGAAGGTTATTACAATGCACGATAGCGAGTTCTTCCAAGGCAGTCATAATTATGGGGCCGACGCTGATCTCGATCGCGAGATCGTCTTCGTCCACAAACACGAATTCCTCCAGTGTCAGGGAGCGAAGTGTCCCAGCGACTGCTCGAAGAACTGGAAGGAAGGCACGGGGAGCGTAAATATCTTCCTGGAGGTAAAGTTTTGTGATGGACAGTTGTGGGAGCACCGTAGACAGTGTGGTGAATATAATCGAGGTGCACAAGAGCTCGTCTAAGCGTGGAAGCCCTAGAAGAAGCGACACAATCATATGGTCTTCGCGAGGGTGAACATGAACAGGAAACGGAGAGAATTCAAACTTGAGTTTGCGAATATGAGTGCGTATATGGGGGGAGTTGACGAGGAAGTCACTGTGTGCCTGTAGATCCTCTATGTCGATGACCAGTTCACGAAAAAGCGCGGGGAGGCAGAGCTCGTGCCAGAGTTTGCATACCAGAGCACATTCGCGAAGAACGTCCTTCTGTCCATCCAATTCCTGGAGAATAAGAAGCTGGATCTCGGGTGGAACTTTACACATTTTGGGAGTCGATGGAGCCAACCGCTGTGGGTGCGGAATAGAAGACCCTGCCTCTGAGCCGCGCTTGCTTATGCAAAGGGGTTGCAAAGGGGTAACCTTTGGCACAGTAAGTAACATTCTACTACACAAAATGTACTAGCCCCTGGTGGGGCAAGGTTGGTCGTGAAAGAATGTCAACCATTTCAAACGTTGGTAACAAAGTTCGAGATTTGAAATTTGAAAGATCGGAGCATTGGCTAAATATCATGCTTAGAGGTTGTACAGAAATGAGGTCAACCTAGATTTTACTCCCAGCCCAAAGCAAGATCGATACAACGGGGATACAGCACTGAAGAACCTAACCGTACATCAAGTAGGCCAAGGCTATCTAGGTTTGGCATCTTATCGAGGACCCAGCTAGACTCCATAATGTTGCCTTCAGTCGTAATTGTAAGCCGTTCAAAGGAGCCGCTCCGGCGTAGGTCAAGAAGATGTGTTTCAAGTGTGTCCAGCTCGTCGAACGCGTCTTTGCGGTGCCTGGTGCTAGGAGAAAGTAGAATCTCTATTTCTCTGATTTTAGACGGGACGGTAAATGTGGCGATTGAATGTTCGATAGCTTCTGAGAGGGTGTGGTGCCCATGCCCATGCCACCAGCGGATACAAAGATTTTCGACACTAAGTGGCTTGAAGTCGTCTGTTTGTTTTCGGCTTAGCTACGTTCCGTGTGCAGATGTTGGATTTAGGACTCACCGGAAACTTCTGTTTCCGCTATGACAAGTGTCTGCAGCGAACATGGTATACTGTCACCGAGTGCCCCGTCCATGCCTGCACAGTATAGTGTTTTCAAGTTTGGCATCTGGATGAACCCGGCAACAAGCGGAAGATTTGCACACATTACAAGGGCAAGTTCTTCCAGTGCAGTCATGCAGATGGCTCCGCCCTTGATTACGGAGGCGAATTCATCCACAGTGAGTTCATCACCAAAAATAAGCTCCTCCAATGTCAGGGAGCGGACTGTGCTAGCGATTGCTTGGATCACCGGTAGGAGTGTAAGCGGCGAGTATACATCCACTTTAAGATAGAGTGTTGTAATGGAGAGTCGTGGGAGGATAGAAGAGAGTGTCTCCAATGGAATCGAAGTGCAGAGAAGTTCGTCCAGGCGTGGAAGTCCAAGTAGAGTCGATTCGATCATACGCCGTTCTTCGTGCTCGTTGGTGACATAGATCGGAAAGTCTTGAGATTCAAACGTGACTTTGCGGACATGTCGACGTATGCGGGGGGATTCGACCAACAGCCTGCTGCATGCTGGTAGATGTCGCTTGCCATCCATATTGATGGTAAGTTCATGAAAAAGGATGGGGAGGCAGAACTCGTGCCAAGACTTGCATACCGATGCACAGTTACGAAGCGCGTGAGGATGCCTTCTCTCCAGTTCCCGGAGAACGAGATGCTCGATTTCGAGAGGCAACCTCTGCATTCTGAGTAATTCGTGAACTCGTAAAGTTGACTTGCAAGGAAATCGTGCACGAGAGCGCCACGAAATAGGAGGCTCCTAGTCTACCCCATATGAGTATCGGCGATCATTCAAGGTATATATTTCCTTGCGAACAACTTTCCGTTACAAGAGGGCAGTAGTAGTGGGGAGTGCTATCGACAGGAAGGGAAGAAGGGAAGAGTGCGAATATTGAGCCGGATATAATGAAGAAAAGTAGAGCACACAGCATAGACCCGCAGAACGCGGTCAACGACAACGCTCGCGCTAAGCAGTGCTACAGGCATATGTCTATTGAAGCTCACTCCCAGAGCAAAGGAAGATCCACACAGCGAGGATACAGCACCGAATTGCCACACAGTATCATGTTTTCAAGCTCGGCATTAGTACGAACTCGGAAACAAGCGGAAGCTTTCCCCATAATACGATAGCAAGTTCTTGCAACACAGTCATACGGACGGGTCCACCCCTGATCGAAGTGGGAGGATCATCAAGCATGATGTCCTCCAATGTCAAGGAGCGAACAGTGCTTGCGGCTTCTCTGAGCACGGACAGAAGGTAGAGGGGGGAGGATATGGCCTCGGGTGGCTCTCCGAGGTAGAGGGTCGTGACGGGTGATTGTGGGAGGACCCAAGACAGCGTCTCGAATGGAATTGGGGAGCATAGGAGCTCATCAAGGTGTGTGAGTCCGGAAAGAATCGAATCGATCATAACTTCTTCGTCTCCGTCAACATGACTTACGGTGAAGTCCCAATAACACCAGACTTTGCGGACGTGTTGGCGTAGGTGTAAGGGGGGGAGTGTCAACAATCTACTACAGGCTACTAGTGGCAGATGTTGATCGTTATCCATGTGGATGGTGAGCGAGCGAAAAAGCTCGGGAAGGCAGGACTCGCGCCAGGAGCTGCATACTAGTGCACAACTACGACGTGTATACGAGTCCGAAACTTGTCGGAGAATGAGATACTCGATTTCGAGGGGAAATATGCGCCTTAGCGTATAGGATGAGTGTTGAGATTCAGAAAAGGGATTCCACTGCACGTGTTGCCTCATTGGCTTGTCGTCGATTCACCGACCGCGGCCTCAGAAGAAGTCTCTTCTAAGAGTAACGATCATATTCTCGAAGAGAGGCTGGTTTATCAGCAAAGATAGCGCAGAATTTGCAGACCGCTGACCTGAGAAATATTCATTAATCATTGCTCTATTGCACGCCAAATGACCAGAGAAGGCAGGCCGAGGGCCGTTTTCACGCGTAACCCGGCAGGCATTGAACTGAGCCTCATAAAGTCCTTTGGTATCGATCCCCTTCTTCTCATGAAACAAACATCCGTATACAGGACGTCTTTGGGGAGACCCTTGGGAACCTCATGGCCTCGTTCGAGATGCGAATATCGATGACCAAGGCGCAGTGGACGCGAGTTCTACCAGTGGAGATGGAGGATTTGACGGGGAAGACTGGCTGTTTTTAGTCTCGATTTGACTTCCATTGTGGCGAAGCCATACTATGTGGGGGAGGGGGGGGGCTGGGGTTGTTATTGGGCCCAATACAGGCATTGGATACGAGACTGCAAAGCACTTTGCGACGATGAATCCCGCAAGGTTGATCATAGGCTGCAGAAGCCAGAGAAGCGACTTTGTCATCCACGGAGAAGGAAATGAGTTCAGTGCAATTCTCTGGGTAAGAGTGGGGGGTTTATCTCGCGATGGAACGTTGCTGACGCGTTCATGGAATGACACGGGGAAAGTTCTGTCGAAGGTATAAAACCTATCCAGCCACAGTTTAGATGTGATTGATATCTGTAAGATATAATATCAGAATCCAATTGCCTGCCGTATCGAATCACTCACAGAGCTATGAAACACTTCTGCATCTACACAACACACGGATGTTGACTGCGCTCAAAGTCCCCCAGCTTGACGCCAGCAATATGAATTCTTGAGAGAGGACTCGGAGCAACTGTATATTTCTGGGTTCTGGGCGCCTAATATTCGTTGCTTCACTGTTATTCAATGGCTGGCTCCGCTCTGGTTCATGCTGCCGTATTCGCTGCTGGTGCCCTAGTAGGCGGAGGCGTAGCCGCTGCAGTCGCCTCGAGAAAACGCGAATTCCCCCACGCAGCGCAAAATTCCCAAGTATCCGCCATAAAATCCCCGATCATTGAGGTCGGACCAGGAGGGAACGCCCAAATATCCACAGTCGCGTCTTCCGGAGGCGTTATCGCCCCCCCATTGAGATACGGAAACCCTGGTGTGTTTTGCTGGTTTCTCTTGCTGTTGGGTTAAGGCTCATTTGGCTTGTAGGTCCCATAGCTGATCCCTTGGTGCGCAAAGCATATGTTGCTGCCTACGACCGTAGACTCCGCCATCCTGCTTGGGTACGCGTCTTTTAATCACACCGTTGCGGGCTCTCTATGCTGAAATGATATGTAGACGGCTGAACACTTGACACTAGCATCACTAGGCAAGTCGGCAGTTTCTCCCCCACCCGAAGGTGGCGAGCTGGTAGACCGCCAGAAGTCGACTTTCACCGAAGATGCCTCGTTGCCTGCTGCATTCCGGTCCAAACTTTCAGACTACTTCCGGAGTGGTTATGACCGCGGCCATATGTGTGCCCCTGTTCTTGATAATTTAATGAAATCTTGAACAACGTCGTTTGTTAACAGGGTTCCTGCAGCTGATGCAAAATTTTCCCAGGTAAGCAGCTCAGAACTCTACATTGCATCAATATGTCTGAATTGACGCGTTATTTCTTAGGAAGCTATGAATGAGACATTCCTCTTATCTAACATCGCGCCTCAAGTTGGCGATGGTTTCAACAGACATTGTATGTACATTTTACTTCTCTCAGCAGTTATAAGGAAAAATAACACCACTACCAGATTGGGCATATCTAGAAGACTGGTGTCGACGCCTGACTTCGTCGTTCGCTGATGTCTACGTGTTCACAGTCCCCTTGTACCTCCCGCAGCTTCATCCTGACGGGAAATGGCGTGTGGTAAGCCGTATCGCAAGTTTTCTCCCGAATTATACTGATTGCCGAAAGACGCATGAGGTTATTGGATCACCACCCAACGTGTCGGTACCAACGCATTTTGCGAAGGTTGTCTTAACATCACGACCTGCGTCTCCGTCTACGCCGGACATCCTTGAGCTCTCTTCCGGTGCTTTCGTGCTCCCCAACGCTGTGATTCCGGATGGAGCCCCACTCGAAAGCTTCATTATGGATAGTAAGCGGCATTATCAACAATGTAACAATTGTCAATAACCTTTCTTCAGTCGGGCAGGTTGAGAAGGCGGCTGGACTGACGTTCTTGTCTGACGAGCTGAAGGCAGCATCCAAGCATATCTGCAAAACCACAAAATGCGAAGTCATCGTTCGTAGATTTGACGACGCTAGAAAACGCCCAGAAATGCGCAGAGCGATCTCGTCACCAAAGTAGAATCTTCACATATTTTGAATATATAATGCAGGTAGATCAGTATTAATATGGTATGGAGCCACCAGCTATACTAATGCTCGGAGAGCATGTCCTTGATACTCTCCCAGTAGTCCTTAGAGACGTGAGATTCGATTTCTTCCTTGGTCAACCAGGCGAAATCGGAGACGGATGCTTGTGTCGGACGGACTTGACCAGCCATTATATGGGCTTTATAGAAGAATGTGACATCCTGCTGACGATGTGAGTGGTAATTGAGCATAAAGGGCGGGGCATATACCTCTTGTCCATCCTTCGTTGCTTCTGCGGGGGATTTGGACACGCCCACTGGGTTGCGGCTGACGACCCAGGTGTCCATGTGAGGCCCACATTCGGCAAAGAGGTCTCGCTGAGCTGCCTAGAAACCGCGACTATTAGTAATAGTTTTTGTGCTAGTTAACTTGGACGCATACTTGATGTAGCAACTCTCCCTTTTCCACACCACCCTGAGGGAACCTCCAGACTTGCTTACCATCCTGGTCGACCCGCAATAAGAGGTAGAGATTCCGTGCACCCTTCCTATCCAAGCTTTTGGTGTCCTTCTTGATGTCTGCTTCGTGAGTCCTGGACATAATGACTTCGCCTTCACCCTCTTGCTGGCTCAGCTGAGCGACCGCTCTCTTATTGGCTTCCTCCTTCTCATTCGTCACGACTTCTCCGGTAAAATCCTTTCCGAATGCCAGCTGCTCCCTCTCCGCCTCCTCTATGTTGAAGCGAGTTTCGAGTAGAGAACCCTGTTTAAAATAGAACTCATAAGGAAACGGGTTGTGCAATGCACGGCGTATTCGAGCTTGGTATGCATAATAAGCGCGTTCGAAGGGGGTGGGTGTGCGCGTAAGAGTGGGGGATCGGTTCAAAATGATTGCTGTCGTGATTTTGGGACGAGTGGAACGTTTCGAGGACGCCGGAGGAGCAGTCGAGGCGGTCGTGGACGAGCCTAGGGAAGCCTCGGTAGCCAACGCACGGCGAAGACAAGAGACATCTAGGAGGTTTCAGAAATGCTTTCGCCTCACGGTGAGCCTGCGTCTTACCTTTCGATGGAGCTCTACATGAAGTGAGTAAATTGCGCGAGAACATCGCGTCGCGGTGTGGTCAAGGACTCGGCAAACTTTTTGGTTTCGGAAAGGTTGACTGTGGGAACCAGTTCCCAATTCGGAACCAGGTGCATCCTGAACTGCAGTCTCCGACGCCTCCGCCTCAGCATCTTGGACGTTCACAGCGACCAATGTCTATATCCCTGGTTTCCAACACATACCTCGAAGAAACCTCATCGAAATTCCGCTCGAAGCCGGTTCCATGGGAGGTCAGTTACGAGCGCGCTTTGCAGGAATATCTCTGAACGCATACCGTAGGGCTACCAACGCGCAGGGCTCGTAACTTCAGAAGATCTTACCCTCATCAAAAGAATTGGAAATAATAAGGCTCGAAACGAGTCGATCTTGCTGTCAGATGGCCAGACATACGCGCTGCTCTACTTGCGACTTCTGAAGAAGCTCCAGAGAATCGATACTATGCAATGCCTCCTCGTCCTGATCGCCGAAGCTCTCACAGGTCGAATTCCACGGCCATCTTTTGGTTACCTCATCGCTGAATATCATTACAGACCACGAGGAGCGCATACCTCTGTTCTTCCGAACATCAGAGAGTGATCCCGAGTTGCCCTATGTACCCCTCCTTAGGTGAGCCACAGCGTAAACTGCATCGCGACACGTACTCAATCGTCGTAGGTGTCTGGATACTCAAGATGAGTTCATTCAGCTCAAGACAACTCAAATCCTCACTGTCTTGCTCAGGTGAGCTGATCGCCACATCGTCCTATATTGTTCCGAACCACCCCCACAGCACAGATCCCTCTCCTATTTCCCAGCACCTACAGCCTTTCCTACGGACATTGTCTGCATTGATACAGTCTCAGAGTTCAAACAGGCGGGATGTGGCAGTTCAAAGTCTTGAAGCGCTTTTGGCGAAGCGATCGACCCGAAATGCCGTCTGGGCGCAGCCAGGCATAATCAGCGGGTGCGACGTGCCTATTCATCCCAACACCCCAGTGCTCACAACCGACTAATAGTCTGATCGAGATCCTTAAGCAACGCCCAGGGCCTCAGATGAGCTATCAAGTTGTGCTCTGCCTTTGGCTATTGTCCTTTGAGCAAGAAATAGCGGAGAACATCCAGAAGTATGCATCATGACTCTTGTTTGTTGACACGTGGTCTTAGAATTTTGATGTAGGAAATACGACGTTATCCCCCAACTGACTGACGTCGCCCAGGGTGCCGTAAAGGAGAAAGTCACCCGCGTTGTTGTTGCAACGTTTAGAGTCAGTTTGAATGGGCCTTCCCTTAACACCTACACAGCTGACCTCGCATATCCTCAGAATCTGGTTACCAAAGCACCATCTGCGAATCTGCCAGCGATGCTCGTTGCAGAGTTGTTACCTTTCGTCAAGAACCTTTGCACAAGGAAATGGACGGACGAGGATATCATCGAGGATATTCAATTCCTCAAAGATGAACTCACGGCGAACTTCCAAAGCCTCACGTAAGTCACCCTTTCTTTTCACAGCGTGCTCTATCACCTTGTTCACATAATCATATTACCACTGGCAGAACATATGACGAATATACATCTGAACTTTCTTCTGGGCACTTGTCGTGGACTCCTGTTCATGAATCTGACGACTTCTGGAAAGAAAACGCCACCAAATTGAACGATAAGGATCGCGAGCAGCTCAAGTGCGTACAGCAACATTAACATCCGCGCAACTAAAAAATAACTCCGAATTTTAGAATACTCGTGAAGCTTTTGATCAACTCTTCCGACCCCCTCGTACTTGCGGTTGCAGCTCATGACATCGGACAATACGTCAAACACTATGAACGCGGCAAGAAGTAAGTTCCCCCTCCCGCCTCTCTCTACTTGACTGATTATACTACTCTCCCTAGGTTCGTCACGGACCTCGGAGGAAAGACACGCGTTATGGACTTGATGACCCACGAAGACCCGGATGTACGGTATCGTGCCCTGATCTCAGTCCAGCAGCTCGTCAGCCAACCTTGGGTAATTGCGTGACACCTCATCATCCCCATAGTCGTGGACTCTCATTGTATGATATTGAGCGTGTAACTTTACAATAATGCCGGTATTGTCGTTCCTTGAACCTGACCTGCCGCTGACTGGATCATGACACGCCATATCACCTGTGACAACGACACGGACAGTTGACCTCGCTCACTAGCTCAGACTTGTCCCTGTAGTGATGTCCAGCCGCCAACCTCCGCCAGCGTTGAGTCCAGCAAGAAGTCAGGTGACCGCTTCGTCAATGATCTCAGGTCTCGACGACGATCCACCCTTCTACGTTTCTTCCCCTTTGACACGTTCGCCGCGGTTGGTTGAAGCGACGTCTGCCTCTTGTACCACGCTTGCCTAATTGCTTGTGGATGGAGAACATTTTCATAGAGCCCGAGTGGCTCGGCTTCCCTGCCCAATGACTTACTTCCAAAATAACAGAAGTAACTTAGACAGACGCACGAGGATGCAGGCCCCACTCCGTTAGGCGAAGCTCCCATGAACGCGGACGACTGTCGAGGCAACCTAAGTCCACATGTACCACTGCCGACTTTATCCACTGTATACTCCGTCAATAATTCACACATATCGCCGACACATCCAGTACGCGCCTGCTTATACACTGTCCGACACACTTCCGTGCGTACGAATAGGATACCGAAGTCGGCGACTTGTAGACTTGACCATTGTTGACTAGATTCTGCGCAAGGCAGAATACTATGCTCCGTCGCTTTCAACTGGCGCTCAGGCATCGCTTGTCGTTTTCGTTGACCATTAGAGGATACTTGGTATGGCACGCTGACTTATTATAGGCCTTTGGGGTCCGGACCGTTTGAAATTCTTCGAAAGGTGTTGTTTCAATGTCAAGACTGGACCTTTGCGTTCGACGGGCAGCGCGTGCCCGTCGCTGCGTCAACGACATTCGATTCTGAGTGTTCTCTCAAATGTTGCCTCCGACACTCAGGTCTCCTCAACAGCACCTCGGCTCTCGGCATGGGCTTGCTCTGTATATAAGGTACCCTCCATCAGCAGAATTTAGCATCATCAGTTTCACTTCTGCATTTCCTCGGCCCTTCTTCAGCAGTTCCACCTGTTTAATACCACCTCACCGGCAGAATGTCTTTCACTTCATCAGCTTCTGAAATCTACCTTACACGCGTCGGCGAGGAATTGGTCTTGAACGAAGGCGTCAACCTCGCGACCAAGTTTCCTCCTGTGAAGCGCGTCTTGGTCGTTGGTGGCGGCGTCACCGGTCTCACTGTGGGTCTCATCTACAGCGGCATCAACCATGGATATTCACAATCCTTGTTTCTTGACTACTTGGGCTCTGCTTGACGCTGGCTACGATGTAACAGTCGTCTCTGAGAAATGGGCCTCATTGAGCGACCGCATCACTTCCCAAATCGCCGGTGCACTGTGAGGGTCTAGGACCGTTTGACTAATGATAACGAGCTTTAACCGTTTGATTTTTACAGCTGGGAATGGCCTCCTGCCGTTTGTGGCAAGCACACCAACTTGATCTCTCTTGACAACTCCAAGCGCTGGTGTTTGACTTCCTACCGAGCGTTGGACAAACTCATGAAGACTGTTCCTGTCGAAGAGCACGGTGTGCGCATGCGGGCAGCCAACTTCTTCTTCGAGCAATCGTTGAATGACATGCCCGGACAGCTGGAGAAAATGAATGAAATTGAAGCTGAGAAAGAGGTGATGTTATCTACCTCCAAGATTCCAAATCAATCTCAGACAAGCTCGAATAGATCCAAGGCTTCTTGCACGACCCGACGTTAGTCACCAAACATGCAGTCAACCAAAAGGCCGGCGTCGTTGACTCCTATCGCCACCTTGCCCCTGTCATCGACACCGACCACTACATGACATGGCTCCGCTACACTGTCTCAAAGAAAGGCGCCCGACTTGTGACTGCTAAAATCTCCGGTGACTTGCTGGCTCAAGAAGACAAGCTTCTCGCCAAGTACAACGCCACAGCGATCATCAACTGCACCGGACTTAACGCGTACGAGACCGCTGCTGACAAGACTGTCCTTCCTCTGCGTGGCGCATTGATCCGCGTCATCAACGATGGAAAGAAGTTCCCCAAGGTCACGGAAGCTTTATGTGTTTCTCATGACGACACCCACGGCGCCGACGCTGAGGACATTGTGTTCATTGTTCCTCGTAACGATCGCACACTCATTCTAGGAGGTAAATCGAAACTACGCATTGTCTATTTCCTGCGAGCTAATAATTATCACACAGGACTTGTTCAGCCGCACGTGCACACTCTTGATCTGACCATCAACAGCCCCGAGATTGTTCGCATGCGCGAGCGATGCAACGCTTTTGTTCCAGGTCTCGAGAATGCTGAGTTAGACCCGGACCCATTTGTACAGGGACTCCGCCCATTCCGTGACGCAAATGTTCGCGTCCAGAGAGAGAAAAGACTAAGAGAAGACGGATCCATCAGCCACATCATTCACTCGTACGGCCAAGGAGGGTGAGTACCACAATTATTTGGACTCTAGATGTTGTCAACTCACCGATTTGGTTAAACAGTTCCGGCTTTACACTTTCGTTTGGTTGCGCCGCAGATGTGCTTGGTCTCCTCGAGGAACTTGAGGCCGAGATTCCATACTCATCGAGGACCGTACTCACACAAGCTCACCTGTAGAAGCCTTTTCCTACCATCTTTCTATATATTTAGACGGGCCCCTTCTAAACACCCATTTAGCATCTATATTGTTGCGTCTCATACGTCCTATATAATTCTGTAATTGGATCCGTGCTATAAAATAAACTCCAGAGCATGAGTTTATCGTCGCCCAAATTTCAAGGGGATTCAATATTTTTGCTATTCAGGGGTTGAATAGGTGCTTCACGTGCCACCGTGTTTAGCCACATTGGCACGCTTTCGAAGTCCCGCTTCGTTGCCTCGACCACTTCAATCATGGAAGGCCCAGGACACATGTTGTCGTTGAAGGTGATGCGCGTATCCGTAGGTATTGGTGACCACTTTCCATTCGCAGGACTCATTATGACCTAACTCTGTGTTTAGCGGCCTTCATTGGCGGGTGCATGGGAGCCCTTCTACTCTAGTTCTCCATCGTTCTCCGTGAGTCCCTTGCAGAAGCTTTCAAGGGGTCGTTCATCCAAGAATCAACATGCATAGGCTCATTCCACGGCATCAATTCTCTCTTTGCAAGGAAAGACGCCTCTGCCGCTGCACCCTAAGACGTTACGTGACTTGACACACACGTCCGAAATCCTCACACTTCCATCTTCGTTTGGTGCGATACAACTAGGAGAAACATTCACAAGTTGTCTTTGCGTCAACAATGAAACCGAATTCGATGTCGAAGGAGTGCGGTTGAGAGTAGAGATGCAGACGGCTAATACGAAGGTCGTGCTTGCAGAATTTGGCGGACCAGACTGCCAACTTGTTCCAGGGGATACGCTAGAGAACGTTGTGAGCCATGAAATTAAAGAATTAGGCCAGCACGTCCTTGGGTGCACTGTCTCCTACCGTGCACCACCGAATGTCCGACACCCACCAGGATCGGCAGAAGACCCCAACGATCCCGCCTTGCAGACTTTCCGCAAGTTCTACAAATTTGCTGTCAGTCTCACTCAGCCAATTATCTCCGATCCTTATTCAGTAGGCTGTTCATGCAGGCTTCCAATCCGTTGTCAGTGAAGACCAAAGTCCACTCACCTTGGTCACCCTCCGCCATGGTTTCTCCTCCAGAACGAGAGAAGATCTTCCTCGAGGTACACATACAAAATCTGATGCCAGACCCAGTGTGGTTTGAGCGAATGCAATTTCAATGCATAGATGATTGGCAAGTGGAAGACATCAATTGCGACGATAGTGTGTTTTCAGGTTCAATGGCTCTGATGCAACCACAAGATATGCGGCAGTATATCTATATCTTAACACCTACGGCTGTGCCTCTAGCCTCCACTCCGCCAACACCTGGTAGTACGATGCCTCTCGGAAGACTGGATATCTCCTGGCGGTCATCGTTTGGAGAGCCAGGACGTCTTCTTACCTCGGTAAGTGCTTTATAATTCTATAAATCCTGGATGCAAACCTATCCGTCTAGATGTTATCGCGTCGAATACCAGCCCCTGCCTCTGCCCCTGCGCTGGCCCAGCCCACTGCTTCTGCACTTCCTGCCTACCTGAAGAGAAACCAATCAATCGCCTCCATTCCATCCCGTCCTCTTTCTCCTCTATCCCGGCCAGGCTCTCCCTTTAATAATCGTGCTCAGCCACCCGTTCCAGTTCGCACCCAAACACCTGCATTCAGTCAATCAAACCAGGCATTGATAACATCAGATATTGAAGTGACGCTCGTTGTGCGGTCCATCCCTCGGGAATCAATACGTGTGGAGAAGCCATTCAAGTTGTCTTGCTCGTTGGTGGTATTGGGGACGGTAGTAAATTCTCAGATCAGGACGCTACGACTTGTTGTCCAACGGTTGCAGCCGCCCAGAGTAATCCAGGGTCCTCCGTCCTTCACCGCCCAACCTCCCCAACCACAATCTGGCGCCTTCAGCCCTCGGGCACCGTCATCTGGATTCTCCACCCCGTCGCAAAGTCACACAGGTTTCAATGTTGCTCTTGCACACAACAAGATATTGGCGGCTGCCCCACGACAGTCGCTTTCCGAACTGCCGAACGACATCACGAAGGAATCTGAAGAGTCTAAGGAAGGAACCGTTGTTCTTCCTCCTCCGTACTTTAGCGGCAGTGATGAACTTAGAGCTCCACTATCCGCCGTGAAGCCCTTGGGACAATCTACTCTCTACCTCCCTCCCGTTTCGTTCTCCTCGTCATCGGAAACGAGCGATCCTTCAACCAAAGTGCAAGCCGTTCAGGACTTCGAGCTTGATTATATAGCCTTGCAGGAGGGGTTCACGATTGTTGGTGGGTTGAGAGCGCTACTGGTAGAGGACAACGTCGACTCGGAGATGGATAGAAGCGCAGTGGGGTTCAGGATACTGAAAGAATGGGATATTATAGCTGAAATTTTGGTACAGCCTTGAAGTTACCATTTTCCACTACATGCAAACCGGTAAGGTACTGCATACTTTCAAGATCATGGTCATTCTCTCCGGAATCTTGACTTGTCCTCTACTCAAAGGGTTGCTTTTAGCCCGCACCTTGAATTATATTCCATTGAACATCTCAACTGCCTGCCGTACCAGCTGCGAAGCACCAATAGCGAGCGTGGGAATTTCAGACGGGGGATCAGCGTATCATTTGCTTACGCAAGTTAAAGATCACATTCACATCCATTAGCCCGCGTTGCTTCTTCTCTGACCTCAAGAACTGGACAATGTCCGTTTTCTCCCCAACTCCTGCGGAAACTGCCCTTGTAAACCAGATATTCGCCCAGTCCGATCCTCAGAAGCTCGGGGTCATTACTGGAGATGTCGCAGTCCGGGTGTTTGGTGGGGCGAAGCTCCCGCCGACCGTCCTTGGAGAAATTTGGAATATCGCGGATGAGGATAACAAGGGATGGTTGTCGAAGAAGGGTGTTAGTGTGGCTGTGAGGCTGATTGGGTTGGCGCAGAAGGGAGAGAAGATAACGCCTGCTTCGGTCAATAAACGTACGTGAGACGCGCTATTGTCCTGGAATTGCGGCACTCATGGTGGGACAGCCGGACCACTGGCGAACATCGAAGGCGTTGCGCTGGTGCCCAATAGCACGGGCTCATCGTTACCCAGGTCGCCTGCACCGGGAGTTCCGCAGCTTACCTCACAAGACAAGGCCAAGTACGACAGCCTATTCCAGCGGAGTGGGCCTGTCAATGGCTTGCTGAGTGGTAAGTTATAAATCTTGTACGTGGATGCGACTTATTGTGCTCCCAGCGGACAAAGCTCGGGATATATTTGTCAAGTCTAATCTATCCAACGACCAGCTCCTGCAAATATGGTCAGTTGGAACATCTCTTCTCTCTACAGCATGCGCTGATGACGGTACGACAGGAATCTCGCCGACACGAAAGACAGAGGGGCGCTGGACTCGGCGGACTTCGCCATTGGGATGTATATGATTCAGAACGTCATGTCTGGGAAGATCCCATTTATACCCTCAACGTTACCACCTGGATTATACCAACAAGCTGCTGGTGCAGTGGCTACACACTCGACTGGAACTAGTGGATCGTTCAGTCCTACTCAATCGGCTTTCGCCCCTTCTCGTGCCCCCCTACATGCCCAGTACACCGGGCAGCAGTCGTTGCAGCCCGATCATACCGGAATGAGCAGTCAAAGCAGACAAGCACCACGCCTGCCAAACAGACCAAATCCTGCTGCCGTAGGCAGTAGTGCGTTTGGCACCTCACCGTTTGGCACTTCTTTGAATGGTAACGTTCAGCCCCAGTGGGATGTAACTCCTGCGGAGAAGGCCAACGCGGACCGCCTCTTTGATACCCTCGACACGCAGCGAATGGGGTACATTGATGGGGATGTCGCTGTCCCCTTCATGCTACAGTCTAATTTGCCTGGGGACGACCTAGCCATAGTTTGGTGAGTTGTTGTGGGCATTTTTGCAGTCAGGCTAACAAATACTCCTACCGTAGGGATCTATGTGATATCAACGGAGACGGGCGGCTAACCAGAGATTGTTTCGCCGTAGCGATGCACCTCATCCAGCAGAAATTGGCGGGTCACGATATCCCCAATGCCCTTCCACTGTCTTTGGTGCCACCTTCCATGCGGAACAACGCGAATATGTCGTCGCCTTCATCGTCATTCCAGCAACCCGCCGCCGAACCAATCCGCGACTTGCTATGGGACGACTCTCCTCCTCCCCCTCCATCTGCGCCTCTCCCACAGCAGTCAACGGGCGTACCGCAACACTTGACGGGACAGACAACTGGAACTCCCCAAAATGTTTTTGCATCTCCCCCGCAAGCATCGCGGTCCCCACCCCCGAATGCGGGACCCTTCGGTAGTGGGAGTAAGAACTTCCTCGATGACGATGACACTGCACATGCCCAGCCGTTACACGACCACTCTGCAGAGATCGGCAATGTTAGGAATCAACTTGATTCTACTACAAGGTCGCTTGGTAGTACGAAGGCCGAGCGAGCAAACCTCGAGCAAACCATTGCCAACCAAGCCGCCGAGCTGTCGTCTATGCAATCACAATTGGCGGTAACGAAAGCTTCGTATGATCACGAAACGAAACTTCTACAGTCCCTACGCGAACGGTTTGCTACTCAGGCCGCTGAGATTCAGTCCTCGAAGGAGGAGCTAATTCGTGCCGAAAGTGACTTGAGTGCGGTCAAATTGGAGAAGGCTGAACTTGAGGGCAGTATTCTTCGCGACAAAGAGGAGGCGAGAGGTTTGAACCGGAGGATGCATGAGTCGACGAAGGAAATCGAGCTACTGAAGTTCGACATAGAAAAGGCTAAGAAGGAGGCTAAGCAACAGAAAGGCCTGCTTGCCATTGCCAAGAAGCAGCTGAGTACGAAAGAAACAGAGAAGGCGAAGGTTGAAAAGGAATTGGAGGAAGCCACCGCAGAGCTGAACGGTATTACGAAGGAGCGAGAGGATGTCGAGGCGGAGTTGGCAAAGGCATCGGAACTGCCCCTCCCAGTTAGCCCTCCTCAACGAGCTGATTCTGTGTCCTTTGCTGCTGCTCAACCACTGCCATCCACCCCTGACGTAGGCTCCCCGTCGGGTTCAGTAAAGAGCAATAATCCCTTCGATCGACTGACCTTCGGTGGTTCAGGGTCCAGATCCCAGTCACCGTTCATGCCTTTTGCTAATGCTGCGATTCCAACTCCCCCTGTCAATGGGAATTCGTCGCAGGCTGATTCGAAAGAGATGTCTAACGACGACCCATTCGGCTTGAATCAACCGTTTGAACCCGTCCAAAGTGTAATACAGGACAGCCCTAAACCACCCACGGAAACTAGCGACGTCGTTTCGCCTATTGGCGAAACAACACTTAATGGGCCCAGTGCGACGTCCGACGAACAAGCCAAGGATCCGATATCTGCTTCTGCTGAGAGTGATTTCTTCGCCACTCCGCCAACCACCGCGGCTTCGCAAGTGACAGCCCCCGCGCCGACTGAGCAGGCACCACCTCGTTCCACTACTCTCGATGAAATATCTGCCAAGTTCCCCGATATTGACGACTCCATTCCTGGCGCGTTTCCCGTTCCCAGTCCGACCGCTCCTGCTAACACGGCCCCTACCAAAGCAAAGCGCGAGTCGACGGACCTCAATCATCAACTACAGGACCTAGACGTACACGAATCGGATAGCGATAGCGACAGCGACACTGACGAGGATGAGGTTCCACTTGCTGAGCTTAAGAAACGAGCTTCCACAGAGATTTCAGCTGCCCAGCCTGCAGCATCTGGGACAAATGGTACTTCCAATGGTCACACTGCCTCGTTTGAAGACGTATTTGGTCTTTCGGCAGAGGCACCGCCCGCTGCCACCATAGCGAAGACTAACGATTCTACGGCAATCCCTACGACAGAAGCGCCCACTCCGAAGGCTGCCTCGCCAGCCACTGACCCGTTCGGGTTCCCTACAATGACTGCTGCCCCGGTCTTACCCTCACCCGTAGCTGGCATAGATGCTTTTGATGCTGCAATGAGCGGAATCTCGCCTGGTGCTCCATCGGCAGCGCCTCAATTCTCGTTTGATGATACCTTCGACTTCGCTGCGGCAACCGCTTCAAAGCAACCACTCGCTTCAAATCAAAATGGTAACGCTATAGCGAACGGTGTCGGGAAAACCGGCTTCGATGATGTATTTGGTTTCCCCGGCTCCTCTCCAGCGGTGCCAGCCGCTACACCCTCGGCCCCGCCTACTGGCAATACTGAACCGTCCAAGCCTTCATTTGATAGCATATTTGCCACTGGTCCACAACCCTCACAGCCGTCGGTGCCCCCAACCACGAACCCGAGCACGTTGACGCAGAACACCTCTAGCTTCGTTGACACCTTCACCGGCTTTGATTCCACCCCCTCCCTACAGTTCGACCAGTCATTTACCGCCCCCGGTAGCCAGGCTCCCGCCGCCGCCGCCAGTCCTCCGACATCTCCAAAGCCATTCCCGGCTGTATCTGCCCCAACGTCTCCCGAGAGACCACTGACTGCTCCGGGCCCTGTTTCCCCTCCTCAACGCTCGAAGTCACCGCCTCCTCGTGTAGCATCTCCGAAGCCGCGCCCCTCAACATCATCTAAAGACGGCAATGAGAAACCAAAAGAGCCCCCTCACAGACACTCTAAGCTCAGCGTAAGTTATTGGAATTATTCTCTGGTACACTCCCTCCTCATCCTTGATTAGATTCGCCTGCCATTCGGGAAGAAGAAGAAGCAGGAGGCTCCGCCGCCTCCTCCCCCGGCCCAATTCCTGACTCCACCTATCGAGGAGCCTGGTAGTACTACTCCTGCCGTAGAAGATGACGTCCAGCAAGTGAAGCAGCTTTGCACCATGGGTTTCAGTCGTACACAGGCCATCGACGCCCTTGAAAGACATAGTTATGATCTTCCCAAGGCCCTGAATAGCTTGTTGGGGTCTCAATAAATGCGTATCCCAGCTCAGACAATTCGGTTCTACTTTACGTTTGTAAATATGGTAAATGGTTGGGTTATGTCTGCCCGAACTTTCAACTCTCGTTTTTCTTTTCCTTCTCCTTCATACATTTATGTCAGGCTTATATGCTGAGACCATTCCTTCACGGTACTGCTTTACCTTACTCGTTTCCTCGCCCTATTTTTCACTTCAATGGATCACACAACCTCGCAACGTGCCTCAGAAAATGTTGAAGTCGCAATGTTATTGTTCAATCCACATGTGAGTACGGCGGGACTGGTATATGATTAGTATGGGTAAGGAGTTATATTAAAATACGAATGCGGGTATCTCAAGAGGGCGAAAGCAAGAAGAAAGTTGTTGAGCCCATAGTACTTTACTCTTTCGTCTCAGTGCAACGTCTGCAAGTTGGGTTTGTGTTGGGTGATGGGCGAACAAGATGCAGGTGTAGATTTTTGCAGATGGCCCAAACTCTAATTCGAACGTGTTGTCGCCTTCATGAACGAATTGGCTAACGTCCAGGAATCGGTCATGAGTGGGCTACGAAGAAAGTTTGTTGAGTTTTGATTCCACAGCACTGAGCGTTAAACTTACTAGAAGGGGAGGAGCTAGTGGTATAAACTGCCTCTTCCCGTCATAAAACATCCCGACCGATAAACTTCCGTCCGTCGGCCATGTCTGCGGGCAACTATTGACGAATTCCGAGGCAGCGTCAGGCGACGTTCCAACCACACTCAAAGTCTCCGCCATGTCCTTAGAACGGTAACACGCCAGAGATACCGACGCGGCATTCGTCATATCCCTGACAAAATAATAATATTAGGATGCATGATAATTGCGCAGACAATAGTGCGCCTACACCTGGGTCTTATAGCGGCGCCTCCATTGTGCTAGTAATGCCTCTATCTCGTTTTGTAGAACAAAACGCGAGGTCGCTTTGGCGTTCTCCTCATTTCCTGTAAGTATACCGAGGATTGTCACGCCGGGACGGAACATAGGTTGGACAACGCGGTCATCAGAGACCGGAACAGGATCGTTGATCGGCACATCTACAGCTTGCGTGGGCGCGTCGCTCGTAGTATCCATGTCTGCAACGGGGTTGGGGGTGGAGCTGAAATTGGGGTTATCAGAAGGAACGTTGTTATTAACTTGATGTAGGTCTGTCTCTATTGAAATTGACTGGTCCAACCCCGCTTTGTCTGAATATGAGACACCTGACACAGAGGCATCGGCACCCCCGTCAATTGAGGCAAAGGGGGCCTCGGCTGACGTCCTGACGTCCACAGCGTCTCCGCTTTCATCTTTACCATCCTGGCCAGCCACATCCACGATGTGCGGCTTTTTTCCATTCGATTCTAATGGTGATTCTTGACGTCCGGGTAGACCAGCATCATCACACACGTTACTATCATGTTCCGCAGCCAGGGGGATACCGCCATCGACCGATGTTCCCGAGCCGCGGGGAAACTGAGCGGAGGGGTCGTCATTGGTTGAAGCTGACGAGGACTGACTAATATGGTCGTTCTCTTTGGCAGACGTGGCCTGGTCATCGCGAAATTGCTCGGAGAGACCTCCCGCAGATGCGACTGAAGGAGGCGGGCTAGTATGGTCGGTATCATTTGTATTGACAGACGTGCCTGGGTCGTCGCGAGACTGCTCAGAGAGCTTGCAATTGACTGAAGTTGAAGCTTGGCTAGCTTGCTCAGCTTCATTGGTTTCATTGACAGACGAGCCCTGGTCATCGTGAGAGTGATCGGAGAGAGGTTCCTTAGCTGACACTGAAGATGATTCGCTTGCATTTACGAAAGACGCAGACGCAGACGTCGAGGTAGAAGTTCCATCCTGGACGTGCTGAACGTTCACCGGTTCTTCAGGGATATCTCGAGCCTGATCCTCGTCTACATGCTCGGGCTGCACCTCTTGCGCTGTGTCCGGAGTCGAGCGGGCTTTTTCATAGGTACTCTCCGAGGGAGATCCACGGGTGACGTTGTCTGTGTCTTCTTCGTCTTCGTTATTGGGATCGAGGGGCGTTGAAGAATATGTAAGTACGTCGACAGGGCATGGGCTGACTCGAACCTCCCCCTCTTCCTTCTCCTCAATGGCAGGCTCCAAAGGAGCAGGCGTGATCACCGGCGCGTCCAAAGTGCCACCATCAGCCTCAAGCTCCTCGCCGTCCTCAAGCGTTGGTGGAACTATACTTTCACCGGCGTCACCTTCACCTCCGCTTTCACCTCCACCTTCATCGGCGTCAACGTCCATTGACTGCTCCGGCTCAGGAAGGTCGTCTTTCACAGGTTCGCTGGCAGATCCACCCATAGCCTCTGGGAAATCCACATCCATGGGGACCCCATCATCCTGTTGCGGCTGTTCTTGCGGAGAAACCTCCTCTTTGACTGCCTCAGTATTTCCAGCATCTTCCTGAGAACTCGATACCAGCGCCTGTTCGGCACCATCACCTTCAGAGACGTTGGTTATGTCGTCCGTCGATACTGGTAGGCCGTAGCTCGCAACGTTGGGGACGTCGGGATCGAGAGGCGCGGCAACAGTGCCAGCAATATCGGGATCCTCGTGTACATCGGGAGCGTACGAACGGACTGGCGCCTCCTCAGAGAGGTCATCATTCTTCGGCTGCAACGGCGGGTCCACAGAAATAGTCTCAGTCGCAACCACTGGCTTCGCGCCCTCACCCTCCTCCACATCCACATCCCCGTCACCGACTACATGCATCTGCGACTCGAGGAACCTCAGCGACATCGGGAGACCATCATGCGATGCAGTCTCAGGCGCAGACGCAGACGCAGATAGCGACCTCCGTGGTTGCTGTATTTGGCTGGGGGATGTAGATAAAGACGGCCCGTCGGCAACAACCTCCATTTGCGCCTCCAGGAACCTCGGCGACATCGGAAGGCTGGCATGCCTCTCAGACGCAACGGACTGCGATCTCCGTTCTTCGGTGGGAGCCGCAGCAGGTTCTGCCTGAGGCTGAGGCGTCCCATGCGCGGAGACATGTGGTATCTCTGAAGGGATTTCTGAATACACAGCGTCGGCAGCAGGGGTAGGATCGGTAAGAGGTACAACGGTAGCGAGTGGGAGTGGAGTATTCTCGTGTACGATCGATGGTCCGCGTTCAGGGGAACCCGAGATACTAGAAGGGCTCGTGAAGACCGCCTGGGACAGTTGGAATCGCAGTGCAAAAGGCGTCGACGTCGACCCCCGGCTCTCTGTCGTGGACAAGGACAATGGCGACTTCAACCCCTCATCTTCAGCAACCTTGGGGGTTTCGACCGCCCCCACGGGTTCGTCGTTAGCTTTGGCCTCGGCTTCGACTTCGGTATTAGATGCTGGTCGCGGTTCCTCAAGTGCTTCTGACACAACGGGTTCGTCAGAAGCTTGCACCTCAGGGTCGGCCGCGACGACTTTATTCTCTGTCGGTTCGGGTTGCTCTTCCATCTGCAAATTAGGAACAGTCTCGACGCTTTCGCCAGCAGCACGTTCGGGCGGGGCCGAAGTCGACTCGCGTGGTTCTTCTCCCTGTGGTGCAGGCTCCGCTCTCTGACTCGCAACACGTTGAGGCGGGGCCGATTGTGTTACCTCCCCCTCACCGTCGGCAAGCATAGCCTCTACTCCAGGTGCAGGGTGCGGCGATCGGCTCTCCAGAGGTATAGCACTGTGACCATCGGGCTGTACCAGAGCAGACGGCGCTGGCTCGCTCTTGAGTGGAACCGGAGGCGCCACTTGACCTTGCAAAGGGCTTGTCGCCTCGCGCGACCCAGACTCTGATCCCGGTCCTTGCGAAACAGAAAGCGCAGGCGTCCGCTCATCCGCAACTTCAGCCTTCACCCTCGCAGCCTCAGGCGTTCGCTCGTTAACACCAGCACCACCAGCCGCTCCTGTGTGAGTGGCGGAGGCTGGTACAGGTATAGAAGGGGACTTCGCCGTGCTCCCACTCCCACCTCCTCCGCCACCACCTCGCCCACTCCCACTCCCAGACCCAGACCCACGTTTCTTCAACCCAGCTCGCCGATCCACCGTAATCCCCGGCAGCTTCGCCGCCTCCAGCCGCCGCCGCGCGTCCTCATCATCCGCATCCAGGATGTCCGCCCGCGGCATGTTCCTACGCCGCAGCTTCACGCCGCCTGCCTTGGGCGCTAGGGTAGTCGGTGTCGGTGTCGGTGTGTTTGGGTTGGGTGACGGTGTGTTCGAGTGCGGTGTCGAAGTCGACAGCCTGGTGGCTGGTTTCGACGTCAGGGTTGGCGTGGGGTTGGGAGTGTTGGATGTTGGTCGGGAAACGGGCGTCGGTATTGGTGTCATTGATGTTTGTACGGCATTTAACGTTGGGTTGGTTTTCGATGTCAATGTCGAGGACGTAGCAGAGGGAGCTAAAGGATCTGGATTATCCGGACGCGCTGCTTTAGGCGGGGATTTTGGTATGTGTTTCGCAGTAATTAACGGCGCACCTCGCACAAATCCCTCCCCTGCTCCCGCTTCGCCTGCTCTTGCTTCACCTTCACCTGCCCCTCCCACTCCTGCCCCTCTCCCGGCTGCTTGAGCTGAAGTTGATTTTGGTAAGGGGTTAGCTGCGGGGACGGTTGTGGAGGTGGAGGCGGTGACGGTGACGGTCGTTGGGTTGGTCGCAGGGGGGGCAAGTTTGGTGGAGATGGGCTGAGTCCTCGGAGGTTGGGCCATCACCGCGTTCGGTGGCGCGGCGAGTGCATCTGTGTGGGGGGTGGGGGGTGTTGATTTTGACGACTTGACTGCGAATCTGCGAATATAATCGTGAGCTTGCTATTAACCCCGCCACACTCGCGCGCACCTGTCATCTACGCTCCTGCAAAATAGGTCAAGATGCTCTGAACATAAAGTCAGTCACTATGAACTGTCACGTAGCGCACAAGCTCACCCAAGAACTCTGTGTTTACAAACTGCGCGCGATACTTGGCCACGGTGTTGACCAAGTCTCTATATTCTGGCGCGAAGGGGTTGCTTCCTGCTAGCGAGATATGGAAGGGGCTCTTGCCCGTCACCCCTGCCTGCTCGCTGAGCGTCCTCTGTGCCCTCTTCGCAACATCAGCACCAATCCCAAACCATCCCTGCACAACTCACCAGCAACAGTTTAAGAATCTAAGCTCTGCCTGTGAATGAGATATTCCCACTACGCGCAACACTGCCCAGCAGACTCACCCATGACAGCGCCTCGGGGTAGTACGCACGCGCGTCGTTGAGCCATTGGGCGAGCTTTCTGCAGGCCTCGGTGTAGACGGGGGGATTTGGGCTGGCGAGTTTTTTTAGGAAGAGGTGGAAGATCTTCTCGTTCTGCTTCTTGGTGTCGTTGTTTTGGCTGGTAGCGGCGGTTGCGGTTGCTTGCGCAGCCTGTGTCGAGGCGCGAGGCGACATCAAGCCTCAATGTCGTCTACCCTTCGGCCTGTGCTTGCCACCAGGCGAATCAGTAAATGATAGTAGATTACTTTATAACTCTGCCGCTGACTTTGGCGCTGTCGGGAAAACATACCACAACGGGAAGCAACGAGGAAGGGTCACGTGGTTGATCGCGCCTGAAAAGTTGAGTGGCATGTTGGAACCTCTCTTCCTCGAACCGCCATCTTCTCCTCCCCCTTCGTGTTTTCAATCTATTGATTAGAGCTTTCTGTGCATCTTAGCCCGCTTCATACCATGGAACAGCTCACATCCTCCCTCGCTCCACCCCGATCGAACAACAAGTCGAATGTCGCGGGCACGCCCCAACCTGCTGCAGGAAGCGTGGCGAAACGGTGCCATTAACGTTCATTAACTTGGGTACATAGCTAATAGCGATCCTGTAGACTCAGTAGTGAACTTATGACGCTCATGGTAAGCCACCTCACCCGCTCACCCGCTCGCCGAATGCTAACCAGAATAACGCCAGATGTCCTCTTCACCCGGTATAGTGAGTGAATGTGGTACTACCTCCGCACCTGCCGGCGCGCTAAACTACTCCGCAGTCTGCCTTCCCGCGAAATGACGGTAACCTCTTCGACTGGGTAGGAACGATTGAAGGACCAGCGGGAACAGTATGTCTAGATCTCGCAAGTTCCCTGCTTTAATTGCTCACTTCGACACCGCGGTGCAGATATACGCTGGTCTGACGTTCCGTATATCCATCGCCTTTCCGCCGAACTACCCTTATGTCGCGCCGACGATTAAGTTCGAAACGCCATGCTACCATCCTAACGTTGATATCAATAGCGGGGCGATTTGCCTGGATATTCTGCAAGATAAATGGTCGGCCGTCTATAGCGTGCAGACCATCCTGATTTCTCTCCAATCGCTCTTGGGAGGTTCGTGAATGAATACAGCTTCAGGGTGTTACCTCGATCATGACTTTGCATCACCAATGATAGAACCGAACAATGCTTCACCCCTTAATCCTGATGCCGCATCCCTTTGGGACAGCCCCGAAGGTAAGAGCCAAGGTTTCGCAAGAAGACCATCTCACTGATACGTCTATCTATCTTGCCAGCATTCAAAACGCAAATCACGAAGCACTACCGACCTCTGAAAGATGAATCTGCTTAATCTCAGCGTCGTTTGTGCATCATCATCCATCAGCGAACATACTGCGGCTTCTTATGTCGCTCCCGCGTAGCCAATGTGTTATTTACGTTGTCTACATGTATATTTCCTCTGTGCATCCACTGTATGTTAAGCCCAATGATATGTGTCCCCATGGTCCTAGAACGAGTGTATTGCCTCCGTCTCAACGCCACTGGCAGAGCATGGGGGCACTTTGGACGCGCATCAGCTCGTACAGCAACGCTCATCGAGGTCGTCAGTAGCAACGCCGGCTATATTGTATGGGCGCTAACTGGTTTTGCATGGACTCAGGGTTTTTTTAGCTTTACCTCTACAGCACAGCTTGCTCTCCAGGTTCCCCCTCCTCCCCCTCGACTGGCACTCTGTTCACGTCGTGCGCTGAACCTCAACACAAACGATAGCAACAATCTCTGAACCTCCAAGCGTCTCGATATTGTGAAAAGTGCTGGTTGCTTTTCACAAGTTTCTGACGTTGCTTCACGGATACCGTTATCTCTGTTCGAGTTCCCCACATTTTCATGTGAGTTGGCGTCCCTACTGTTCTTCAAGACGAGCGAGGGTGGCTCCATGTCCACGCGGCTGTTGGTATCAACGCGAATACTTTCATCCAATATAAAGTGGTGCGCGACTGGTGCTTCTCGGTACACGACGCCTACCACTTGTCGCTGTATCGATTATTTTCCCCCTCTACTGTATCACATATTCCACCATACATTTTCTCATTCATCCTGCCTTATTTTTCAGCCTTGCCCAGTGCACCCACACTCGAGTAGACTCGACACACACTCCTTCACACAATACTCCACAGCATGCCTCGTCCCCGTCGTTCGCCTCCCACTGCTCTCCGTCTCATTCCTGGTGTTCCAGCTCGGAGTTTCAGACGGCACGCACTTCCCTCTGTTCCGGTGCCGGCATTCCATCCAAGCATGCCGATGTTCGAGGCTACCTCCATGGTCCAAGGGCCTGTCCCCCGACCTCGTTCCAGGCATAACAGCATAGAAAACCCTCCGAACGCGGCACTTATTCACAACCAACAATCCCTTCCTATCCCCTCTCCGCCGTCACGCCTGCCCTTGGCGGCTGTCTCGCTCTCCGACTGCGAGGCGTTCGCGCACCCCTACCCATACGTGCCGTCGAACAACTCAAGCACGTCGTCGTTGAGCTCGCTTTCGAACTCCTCGTTCGCGTCGTTGTCGAAGGCCAACTTGCACGATCGCGATGCAGCAGGCAGGAGCCGCTCCAGCTCCAATGCGAGCATGTCTTCGACTTCTAGTGGAGGGGGTTCACCACGGGTCTTGCGAGGTCCTTGGGATCACTCAGGGTGTATACAACTCCCCTTTAACGTGGAAGAGATCTTGAGGGCGCCAGAGCCTGTCGCAATCAGCCCTGGTGGCATGCGATAGTCTGGCCATTCGTGGATAGGTCTGCTTCGTTCACTTCTAGGTGCTTCGTTCACTTCTAGGTGCTGGTTACCTTGTTTCGCACAAGGAGGGATGCCGGTTTGATTCTAAGCATGTACGAACAAGGTTATTGGCGCTGTGCGTCCACCAACCATCATTCTGCCGTGTTTGAATCTCATCCCATCCTTCTGCCTGACTCATCAGATGCTGGCTCTTGTACCTTATACATCACACCAATGTATCATTATCATCTTTTTATTGAAGTATTTGGCTCCATCACGACGCTCCCGTTAACTACGCCGCCGGTCGTGTTATTGCCGTACTGTCTTCTGCCTTGTAAATTGCAATCGGTATGTGGTGCTTGCCAAAGTTCATTTGAAGATCAATCACTGCTTCCATGAAACGATCAAGGGGCGGAGCCAGTTACAAGGCATGAGGCGGCCAACAAGGAACAAACAAGCAGGATCTGTGGGCGCCTAAACGGACTGCTAAACGATTTTCTTGATCTCGCACTGTTTTTTCACTTGTTTTCACGACTCATCCACTTACTTCCTTCTCCTCCCAACTCGCCCAGAGGCCACGACGTTCCCCGATACTCGACATAATGACCAGCCCACCAGATCTCTCCTCCCTTTCTTTGAACAGCCACCCTCAACAACGTCTTCATGATTCTTACGATTATGAGGGAAGTCCAGCAAGGCAGCAGTATTTCGCAACAACCTCTCCAGGGAACATCGCTGCGCAGTCTCAGTTCTCAGCGCTCACAATGGGTCAGTCTCCGTTGAAGGCAAAGCCGGCCAGAGGTGCTCTCCCAACCGTGCGTTTTTGTGACCAGAATGGGTTCCAATTCGCTTGGCTGATGCTTTCTTCAGCAATGGCTCGACAGTTCGCCGGATAATCGTTCCTTGTCACCTAACAATAATTCTGATTTTTCATCTGCCGGTGGCTCGCCACCAATGGGACATCTCAACCCCCCGATGGCTCCATCGACCCCCAGCTTGAACCCCGACGATGAAATCATCCCTACTGCCATTGTAATCAAGAATATACCATTCAACGTCAAGCGCGAAACATTGCTTGATATAATCGTGCGTAAAATTGCAGTTATAATCTATCGCTCGATCCTGACCAATGTGCATCAGACCTCTTTATCGATCCCCACACCGTATGCCTTCAACTATCACCTCGATCAACAGGGGGCATTCCGTGGTTTAGCCTTTGCCAACTTCCGCCAGTCTGCGGACGCGGATGCGGTCGTGGCGGCTTTGAACGGATTTGATGTGCAAGGCAGAAAATTGCGAGTAGAGTACAAGAAAGTGCTCCAAGCTGGAGAGAAGGAAAGGATTGAAAGGGAGAAGGCCCTCCGTCGTATGCGCTCCATGCAACTTGAGAAAGAACACATCCAGACGCCTTACGATGAATTTGGTTCACCGCTGACTGGTGCCTACACCCCTTCGCGCTCCTTCTCAGCCACCTCCTACCAACAACAATCGCAATACTCTCCTCCCAATGTCAGCACCATGCCTTCGTATAACCTCCCTCTCTCCTCTGCGCCGGCTGCTCCACAGCCACCATTACCGCCAGCCACCCCTAGCACTTCGGAGAAGTTGTCGGCAAATGAGCTTGATCTAAACGACCCGTCTACTTTGGAGATCTATTCGCGAATCCTGCTCTTCAAAGACGATCCCATGCGTGATGAGCTTGCCTTCTCTCGCACTCTATCGCCCAAGCAAAGACGTATTGTTCACCTCATTGCTCAGAAGCTTGGCGTCTATCACTATTCCGTTGGGGAGGGTGAAGAGCGTTACGCAGTCGTCACCCGTATTGATCCCCAGAGGGTACGTTTCCATTCTTTCCACGTAGTCGTCGAATGCATCCTGATCGGCCATGCGTTTATGAATAGAAGCAACAAGCTCAACGCCAACCTCACACACTCTCGCGCGCGCCTTCTGTTTTCCTCACCTCATCTGGATCTACTATGCCACAGAGCTCTGGTGGTCTGCGAGTGAAGAAATCAATGCCCGACATGAAGACTTTGCATTCGCAAGCGCCCCGCCTCGTCTCCCGACCCTCCAATGGCAACATTCGCGAAGGCTATGCCACTATCGCATCCCCTTCCCGACGTATCTCCAACAACTTCAATTCGCTGTTCTCGGACTCGGGGAACAACGGTGGATTTGGCGGTGTGCCGCCCGTTCCGAGCTTGCCTTCAAGCATCGTTAGCGCGGGAGTGTTGAACGGCCATGACAACGGGGCCAGTGTTGTGCGCCAACCCCGTGGACCTGGTGTCGGTGGCTTCACAAGGAGGGATAGCAGGATTGGTCTCAACGAGGCTGCAAGGAGTGGGGCGTTGGACACGCGCTCGCACGAACCGCTGGACATCTAATCAGCGTGCCACTTGCTAGAGCGATCCAGACCTACACAAGAAACTTGCTCAAATGGTATATAAATGATTCTCACGGCAATGCAGAATGCCCAAGTTCTGACTGAAGACAACGGACGAGGAGACTAATTATCTAGTTCGGTTAGAGTTCGATCTTTTTGATGTTCCTCCTTCCTTTTTTGCGCGACCTTCTATGGGTGCAGGCTTCCTGTCTGTACTCATTCTGCTCGTTCCCTCTATTTCTCTTGTTATCTAGGTACTGGTTTATCTGTTCATTGAAATTCGCCCCACACTCCTTGTCAAAACCTCGCTGATTCAACTCAACTTATGACTTTGCGCATCCGTTCATTCCGAACATGCCTTCCTGCCGCTCGTTTACCCGCCTGCCCATCTCTTCCCTCTTCTATCCATCGCATATCCCATCATCGTCATTATCATCCGTGGAATTCGCTCTGTGTTTTTGTCTACATCTGTCCCAATCTTATTGTTCTCTCCCCCTCCCTTTGATCATCACGATACGGTATCATATACTACTATTTGCGACAGTTGCTGCACCAGCTCATAAATTTACTTCCACTATTTTTCCCATCAAAATATTGTATTTATCAAGTGCAAATGCATTGCCCTTTCGCGTCAAGGTAGTCTCTCAGGAGCCCAAAGGGTGCTCAGTGTAGCCAACAAGCATAGTTATAAACAAGAGTGTGGTGCATGGGTACCGACTTTTACTAAAAATGGAAGCGTCGGGAGGGCGGAGAACCAAACATGCGCATACCCTGAAATGTCCATTTCAAGGACGTTTCCGCATATCGTCAACCGCAGTTCCAGCATGTTCGCTGCCGCCACATCTTTCTTTGCCCGGACTGCTATATCACAATCGTATAATATAGGAGGACCCTCCACTGGCAGCAGATCCTCGACCCCAGGCCCTAGCAGTGTATCTCCCTCGACACCCGCAGCCTTTTCACCGCCCATTACTGTCGGTTTATGGAAGGTTCAGTCGGCCTCCCACAAGGTCACGAACAAACGTGTTTCTGTATGGAGCTTTGATAAGCGGGGACCGGAGATGGAGAGGCTATCGCCCAGTGCCAAAGACCGTACGCTAGAGGTCTTGAAAGCTGAGGTGCGTTCATGAATGGATAGTTTCTAGAATGCCTCACACAGCGTGCAGGCATCGGCCCTCGGACGTCTTCGGCACCCTTCCATTCTAGGTTCGTGACTGAGCTGGACCTTCCGTGCGACCGCTGAACGGACGTGACAGAAATGGTGGAACCACTGGAAGAAACCCGCAGCGAAATCATCTTCGCGACTGAACCCATCCTCTCGTCTCTCGATTTATCTATTCCAGGGTCACAGCGGTACTCCCCCCTCGTAGAGTTGGATGAAGTCGAAGTTCGTCGTTTACAATTAAGACGATGTACACTGTACTTACATATTGTTGTTGCCCAGATACAGAAGGGTATTCTTCAAATATGCAAAGGTCTCGCCTTCATCCACACCTCTGCGCAGCTAATACACTCCAATATCTGTCCGGAGAGTATAGTGATCAATAATGCCGTCAGTGAATTCCCGAGATCATCTCCTGATTTACCGACGCGTTATATTTATAGGGAGATTGGAAACTAGCTGGCCTGGGGCTGACTATAGCACTGATCGGACCTGGAGGATCACCAGCGCGATGGGAGTTTCCAACTTTCGACGGGAGAGTTCCACCTTACATCCAACGCAGTTTCGATTATATGGGTAAGGCTTCCTCGTTCGCACCATTCGGTCTAACGACACCATTCAGCACCCGAATACGCGCTGGACGAAGCGTTGCTCACAGCGTCTGACATGTACAGTCTTGGGTGCCTCATCTATGCGGTACACTGCAAAGGAAACCCCCCGTTTAAGAACCATGGCAGTCTAGGTGGCTTACGAGACAACGCCGGTCGTTCCATCCCTGGCATGGAGGGACTGGACACCGATCTGCAAGGTGAGTTGATTGGCAAACACGCAATCGTCTACTTACGCACACGTAGAACTCCTGCGCTCGATGATTACTCGACATGCAACGAGCCGTCCAAGCCCTAGCACCCTCCCGTCCCACGCATTCTTCTCCTCCCTCCCGATCTCCACTTTGAACTTCCTAGACCGCTCCAACTTCACCGCCAAAACGCGCGAAGAAAAGATATCTTTCATGAAGGGTCTGACCAGTGTTTTAGACAGATTCTCAGAAGGCCTCAAGTCTAGGAAGATATTACCCTCTCTTCTGGAAGAAGTATGCGCCAGTCTCACACGGCAAGACTTAGCTATGATTGACTTCATTCTAGATGAAAGACACTCACCTACTTCCATATATTCTTCCCAACGTCTTCGCCATTTCTAACGCCCTCACCCCATCGCAATTCGCGACCACGGTGCTACCCAGCTTGAAGCCGCTGTTTGCGATCAAGGAGCCTCCGCAGAATATGCTAACACTCTTAGACAACCTTTCAATGCTCCAGGGTAAGACCGACAAGGTGGTCTTCCGAGAACGTAAAGTCTTCCTTGTGTATGCTGCCTCACCATGTATAACTCATGGTGCTGCGGCGTAGAGGTACTCCCCCTGGTGTATAATGCCCTTGAATCAGAGCATGCGGTAGTTCAAGAACGCGCATTGAAGGCAGTACCAGACCTATGCGAGAGCATCGACTACGCCGAGGTTCAAGGGACGCTTTTCCCCCGAGTTGCCGTACGCTCATCAACACCTCCTCGAGTACCCGATTCTGACCACCCTCGTTTCTCGCAGTATGTTTTCTCAAAGACTAGGGTGTTGAGTGTTAAAGTCGCGACGTTGACGACCTTTTTGACGATGGTGAAGACACTGGACCAAGTACGTTAATTACCAATCACAATGATTCTTAATATATAACTACTCGATAGTCCAGCCTCACGCAAAAGCTAGTACCGCTCCTGTCCAAGATTAGGACGAAAGAGCCCGCTGTCATGGTTGAAACACGCTCTCTCTTCTCAAAATTTCAGAGGCTGATGAAATGGCCACAGATGGCTACCCTCTCCGTGCAAGAAGCCATGGGTTTCAAAGTCGACCGTGAAGCTGTCGCAACCCTCGTCTTACCCCAGCTTTGGTCAATGTCAATGGGACCACGTAAGTGCATACTTTGCACTTCCTTGAACAACGCGTACTTAACGTCCTTGACTCCTTCGCGCATACTATATATTCAGTACTAAATCTAGATCAATTCCAGCGATTTATGGGAGTGATTAAGAAGCTAGGCGAGCGAGTGGAGAAAGAGCATAATCAATTCCTGAGGGACTCGCAGCGGCTAGAAGACAGGTCGTCACTTAACACCAACGGAAACGCAAATGGAGTCCAAAGCTTCGCTGGGTCGGTGGACTTTGAACACCTTGTCGGCGGAGGTAATGGTATACCAGCAAAATCAACAAACCAAACAAATAGTTCCTGGGAAGACGACGTTTGGGGGAGTATCTTCAGTGATGATGTGCGTGCATGCGGTCTCTTTCCTCCTTTGTGAACTGACGGGTCATCCTAACTTTCACCTCCGTATGCAGGCTTCTAAGGTTCAGACCTCCGTTGCCGCAAATTCGGCGCCAGCATCTCCTAGAGCCAACACTACGAATTCCCCATCACCCTCGCCTTCTTTCGTTCCAACCAGGGCGTCGAAGCTTGGAGCCAAACAGATATCAGCCTCTTCGTTTAACAACGGCTTCTCTTCCCAAACCCAGTCACGTCCATCGGTATCTACAACGACTACGACACCCTTGCAGCCCCGTCATACCGGTACATCCTCGCAGACTTCTTGGCCTTCCATGCAACCGATGCAACCAAACAATACTGGAAGCCTCTCCAGCACGATACCAACACATGCCCAAGTATCGATGCCACCTCAGCGGCCTAATTACAATATAGCGATACCAGCTGCAGCTCCGATCCCCGCGACTATCCCGTTCAGTTCTGGATCGCCACCACAGCGTCCGAATTACAACCTCTCCCTGTCCAGTATTACCCCTATGGCCGCAAGCACGCCGCCACCGCCTTTAGGGTTCTCCGCTCCCCCCACACTGACACCAGTGCAAGCAACACCCCCTGTGATGGGTGGTTTGCTGACACCGTCTCGTCCAGCACAAACATCCATACCATCACAAAAGCCCTCTAACAATGATTGGGGTGACTTCGACCCTCTCGCATAGTAGGGTCTATGTATGCTAGACTGTAGATATATTGTTACTTGGATAGGACCTCCATCTTTATGACTTGGCCGGCTCCACCTCAACGCCACTTACGACGGGCACAGGACCGGCCTCAACTATTGTAGGCAAGCCTCGCATGGGCCTAGTTTCCTGGGAGATCTCTTTCACGTCGATGTTCAAAGCCAGGATACCTTTGAGCACGATAAGTGCCCCAAGCTTGGAGTATACCGCATTATTTTCCTTGCACGCAGGGCTTAAAATGCCTAGAAGGTTATGAGCTTCCGAAAGGACGACACGCCAATGCTTGCTTACAGTTTGTGCATCCCTCGAAACAGCTGCAACCCTCTACGGTGCTCATGGCCTTATGAAGAATTGCGTAGGCTACAAAGTCTGTTAGTGAAGGTAGGGGTACGCTAGTGAGGAGCTTTCACATTGGTCGAATGCTTTCGCGGCAACGCCACCACCTCTACCAGGAGTGTCATAGAAAATGAGACTAGGAGAGATGATAACGGGGGAGTTAACACAATCACAAGAACACCATACCGTGCAGGTCTCTTCCTAGATGATTCGGCTTTCTTGTACTCTTTCTCTGCAGCCTTGCATTCCGTTCTGAGATCAGCCGCCATTGCAAACTGATTGAGGAAGGCATGCTGGGCAGAGTGTATGGCTTCGGCCGCGTTGATATCCGCCTGCACAACGTGAGCAATAGCTAAGAAAGGCGTGCAGAAGGTTACCTCTTCCATGATCATCAATGCTGATTTGGGGACATCGAGCCACATTCCGGTGGAGTCGCGTTCCCAAGGTGGCGTTTCTACATCTACCGAGTCCAAGATTTGCTTATGCCTGAACAAAGTTGGTGCCCAGGCATCATGTAAATAATAGCTGTAGAAGGACCGACCTAACTTTGAAAAAGCCTGGAAAACGTGTCATGTAGAATCGACATCGCAACAAAAGGAGCGTACCGAACACTTTGGTGTAGATATGCACTTCTATCATTGCATGCAATCAGTCGACCTCGCACGCTGTTGACATTGATGTCGCTTACTGCCGAAAAAGGATCTCTGTGGCGAATCTTTAAGTGCCTTTAAGCGATAGGTCTGAGCAGCATTAATGTCTCTGTGTTATAACAACCTCAATCCTCAGCAATGATATGACCGTTTGACGAGACGTGCGTACGTAAAGTCTCTGCGTGAATGGCTGAGTTAGGTTTTTAAAGGGTCTGCATGATAACGACGAACCGAGGCTCAGTAGTCCAGCTGACGTCTGCCCTAATGACTTTGGCCATTTTTGTATCGTGGCTGACTTCCCGGACCTGTGTGCAATCCGGCGTCAAAGGTTGTAGTCGCCTCAGACTCAAAGCTTACGATGAACGTCAGTCCTTGATGTATGAACTAGTAGATTTGCTTCAGCATACCGACAAAGGGCGGAGGGCATGCCACTTACAACACCTCCTTCGTATATTTCGAAGAGAGCTCTAGATACTTCAGTCTCTTCAATAATGACCGGGTATGTATCTTTCGTTACGTCGACCACGGCATACTTCTCTTCTTGCACACCACCTAATACAAGCTTAGCGTTGACATACCCCGATAACCAATCAATGGAACTCACGAATAGATATATGGCGGGAGGGGGATGGGAGGAACTTAGTGTGTGGGTGATACCTGCGAGCCTGATACAGCGTCCGATCCATATGATTGCAGGAGAGTATTTACCATCCGTCCGCGTCCTTTGTCAGACGGGTTTCACATATGTGCTTGAGGGAAGATCCAAAATAGACTTCATCTTCAGTGGAAACAGGCATTTCATGCGCGGCGCATTGTAGGTGGGCTATACTTGCATCAGTGGAGGCCTGAAGAGCATGTATCTGGGGCCCACCCTCGAGAATAACTTCACTCTGGAGATCGACAAATATATCGTTGATAGGGCCGTCCCACAGGTCCTCTGGGTGATGGAGGTAGTGTTGGTCGACAGGAAACATGTCTGGAACAAGAACTGCTAATGCGTCTTGTGCCCTTCGACCAGCCCTTCCAGCTTGCTGGCGCTAGAAAGCGGAGTGGTTTCAAACCGGTTCGAGAGGGACAATGACAATACTGACAAAGCTCGCTATGGTCACAGGAAACCCCAGCATTATGACCGCATCGAGTACACCAATATCCACGCCGAGCTCCAGAGCATTGGTAGCAACAATCCCCAGGAGATTTCCGGAGAATGCGTCAGTCTCGATACGTCTCCGATCCTAATTTTGGCCGGTGTCAAACTGTAGGTTAGTATACACGGTCATAAAGTCTCACCTCGGGCGAATAACCTATGTCCATTGTCAATTCATGTGTAAACTGGGGTAGCGGACGAGGTTCTTGCTCACCTCCCCTATAGGCGACAGTCTTCTGAAGGATATCATGGCGTCCCTCCGCACTTAAGTCAGCGCGAAGTGTCTTCATTGCCTAGGAGAGCATGAGTGAAGCCCGCTTTGAAGATTGACCTACGCACTAATTCACAAGCTTTCCTGATCTATCTCAGGCAGCGCGTCAAACGATGATATATCTTTATCGGTGAAGATTGAGTCGAACCTTGCAAAACAAAATGCACCGTATCCCCCGTTTCATCAGGTATCTCATTAAACCAGTAGCTTCGCTAAGCGAGCTCCTACGGCCCAGAGCAGGCTCCGCTTCGTCATTGAGCGGAGGGTTCCATATGATGAAGTCCTTGTGTCCAGAAGGAGCTCCGTCTTCGGTGACGGATACAGCATCCTATTTATAAGGTGAGCCACAGAGTGAGCTATTCAATTCACCTTGGTCCGCACGACTCACATCAACGCCGAAAATATTCTTCATGTGCATGCTGGGGTTACTGATGGTTGCGCTACAGGACACAAACCTCACGTTGCTGTCTGTTCGGAATCATCAGACAGGGTCTCCGAGATTGGGTGTCATTTTGACTTACTACCAACGGCGGCACACACTCTTCGAAATCGCCTCATTATTTGGGCAACGTGACTCGAACTCGAAGTGAGACACGGATAATCAGCGAGTCTAAAAATAACGCATACCTCCCAAATAGGTTCGAGTAATAGTGAAGTTCATCTACAGCAAACAACTTGAGGCGTGTCATGAAGCTGGGATCACTCGGTGAGCGTGAGTTGTATCAAAGAACGGATACAATTACCTTCGCCAAAGCTCCTCGTGAGGAAGAATCGCTGCGTGTATCATGTCCTGAAGGGCATACTTTTTCATATAATTGGAATCAACATAAATACTCACTTACGAAATTAGTAAATATGATGGATGCCGCTTCACGTATCCCTAGTTTACCTAAGTTGGGCGGTATGAAGTAGGGAGCAGCGGTGGTTACCTGTGCGGTACTCTGACAATGTATCACCATCATATGTAGCTACCTGGGCGCGATGAGAATCGCACCGCATGGTGCAAGGTTAAAGGAGTACCTGGATGTGTTCGAGCCCAGGGCATGAGACCAATAGTCGTTCCATAGCAGTCTTCTGGTCCTGAGCTAAAGCCTAGCAGCGTGTCGCCATTGTGAGCCTCGGTTGGTCAACTGATGGCCTCTATTGGTCCCACATACCTTCGTAGGGTAAACGAAAATGGCGGTAGCACTTGCGTCTTCCTCAAGGAAGCGTAGTACGGGTACCTGCACAGAACTTGTGTTCGAATCCATGACACCCGCGGAGGTAAGAGACGAAAATACTTGATAGATGACACTTTTACCGGACGCAGTGCTGGTGGACACGATCACATTCTCTCCTTTTGCAAGGGCGTTGATGGCGGTGGCCTGGTGGGTGTACAAGGAAGAGATGTTCCTTGCCGTCGCTAGAGCTTGCTTGATGTTTGGCGACAGCGGCTCATCTAGATCACCTAATGCGATATTATAGACGACAGCATGGTATATATAACCATTCTGCACACCTGCTTTCCCATCCCGGACATCAAATTCTCTTCTTTCCACAATTTGATTCCTATACCAAGACTGAGATTCTAATTCTGAGAGGATAGAGCTGATGGATGGCCGATGACTTGGATCCGGAACTTGAGATGAAACAGCTTCGGAAAATTCGGAGAATGTTGCGTGAGACGCGGAGGGGTTAATCGGAATATGGTCCCGGCCAGCAGATTGTAGTAATGCCACTGGATCTTCGCCAGAAGGCGTTGCCGCAATCAACCTATGTACGCGATATGAACAAGCGGCTAACTCCAGTTCAGCGTACACACTCGTTGATTGCTTGTACCAAAAGAGTGTTCCGTTTCTCCACAAGCTTCTTCGCGGCCGTGGGTGTCAATGCAGGCGGAGGGGCAAGTGAAAATCTTGAGAATCATTCAGTGGCAGCATGAATGGAAGGGTAGGTTGGAGGTACCCCGGGTTCTGACTCTTCCTTCCTTTGGAATTTTCAGCAAAGTCTAAGATGAGGACATGGTCGGTATCATCTTCGATGTGACCCGTTGATGATGATGGCGTGAAGGGATCCGGCCTCGATTCACCATGGATGTTATGCTCGACTTTGGGTATATACGCGAATTTGATGACGTCTGGCAGCAGTGCTCTACGTAGGGCCAGCTATCACCTGAGCATTGACGCGTAAGTGCCCACTTACTTGAGTTCCGCTACCTTGACCAATTCCAAGGGCCTGTGGATACCGATATGTCAGAATGTCGCGTATATACGCGGTATTACTCATACTGTTGAAGGAGGTTTTCAACAGAAGTACGGACGACCGGGAAGGTCGTCGCCAAATGTTTCCGGGAAGAAACGAACGCGAGTACGGTGTTCAATGCCTCATATTCGGGTCATTACATGCAATATCTAGAAAAGGCAGATTTGACAACACCTTGAAAACCTGTCCGAGCGCATCGTGCTTGTGGTAAGTGGCATATCATAGGAGCATTGCGCGATATGGTCACCTTGAGTAACTTCAAGTCCGACCAAATGGGTCAGAACCACGACTTCTCACAAGGAACATGCCTTCTTACTGATTGGAAATGCTCTGGCCATGCACCAATCTCACTGACAGCCGCCTTCGACTTGCCTTTGTTGGAGCTGGCCTTTCTTCGTTTGCCGACTTTGTAGTCTGGGGCATTAGTGCCAATGTCACTGCTGGTCCTCTTCTTCATGACTGACGGAGAATACGGTGCTCCAAGGAGCCGGAAGGTTGTTGAGGTTAAGTTTAAGAGTCGGACGTACCGCCACCGTAAATTGGAATCGCTGGGTTACAACTTCTTTCGATGGGTCAGGTGACCGCTTGGCCTCTCACGGTGGGTGTAAAGGCACTCAAATATTATCATATTCAATTTCCAAGTATTATCAACGAAAATCTGCCGATTCGAAGAAAAATTTTACGGTGAGCGCTGCGATGTGATGGCCGCATCTAATACTCCTGAATGTCTAGGACCAAGCAAGCTTCTTCATTGGCAGCCCGAGCAACTCGGCTCAGTCTGCGGTTAATTTGGCTCGCTTCCTGATCTGAACACGGAACGCATGGGCTACCCCATTGACCAAAATATCATAGCCGTACCCCATGAACACGGACGAACGCCATATACAGGAGTGCAGGTCCACATGTACCGTCGCCGATGTCGACTTCTCCACTGCATACTCCGTAGATGCTCGATGTTCGCGTTTCCCCTTGCTGCGCAAGCCACTCTTGTGCATGGATAGATCCGCCGACGAGCAAGATCCCCTTACGCTACGGGATGCTACGAGCGTCTTCTATAGTTTTGGACTCGGCACGTTAATAATACACTGTCAGCACCCAGGCTTCCTCGCGACTCTCGTGAACCGCTTGACCTTTCTTCACCATTAGAGGATAATATGTATGGCGTGGTCTGACCTTAGCTCCGAAACGTTTGCAATTCCTCGAACGTTGCTACTGGGTGTACGGAGGCTAGAACATTGCGTTCCACGGGTAGCGTCGCGCGTGTCCGTCGCTGCATCAACAACGCTCATTTCTGATGCTATGACCTCTGCCGTGCTCCTTATGGGTGCTTGACATTATTCTTTCTGAATGGCATGTATGGATTTTTCAAGCAACGACATGGTTCTCGGTCTGGGTCTGTTCTGTATAAAAGGCACTCTCGTTCGACAGACTTCAGCATCAACAGCTTCACTTCTATATTTCTCCTTCTTCAGCAGTTCTACCCACTCAATACCATCGCACCGACAATATGTCTTTCACGTCCTCAGCTTCCGAAATCTACCTTACTCGCGTCGGCGAGGAATTGGTCTTGAATGAAGGTGTCAACCTCGCGACCAAGTTTCCTCCTGTGAAGCGCGTCTTGGTCGTTGGTGGCGGCGTCACCGGTCTCACTGTAGGTTTCATCTACAGTGACATCAACCATGGATATTCACAATTCTTGTATCTAGACTACTTGGGCTCTGCTTGACGCTGGCTACGATGTGACAGTCGTCTCCGAGAAATGGGCGTCATTGAGCGACCGCATCACCTCCCAGATTGCTGGTGCACTGTAAGAGTGTCTCACTCCTCCGTCCCTTTCGACGTTGTAACGATGCTCTTCACAGCTGGGAGTGGCCTCCTGCTGTGTGTGGCAAGCACACCAACTTGATCTCGCTGGACAACTCCAAGCGATGGTGTCTGACTTCCTACCGCGCGCTGGACAAGCTCATGAAGACCCTCCCTGTGGAAGAGCACGGTGTGCGCATGCGGGCAGCCAACTTCTTCTTCGAGCAATCGTTGAATGACATGCCCGGACAGCTGGAGAAAATGAACGAAATTGAGGCTGAGAAAGAGGTACTACCGTCTGCTGATAATTTCAACGCCATCTCACGCAAGATTGAATAGATCCAAGGCTTCTTGCACGACCCGACACTGGTCACCAAACATGCAGTCAACCAAAAGGCCGGAGTCGTTGACTCCTACCGCCACCTCGCACCTGTCATCGACACCGACCACTACATGACCTGGCTCCGCTACATCGTTTCGAAGAAAGGTGCTCGACTGGTAACCGCTAAGATCTCTGGCGATTTGCTTGCCCAAGAAGACAAGCTTCTCGCCAAGTACAACGCCACAGCGATCATCAACTGCACCGGACTTAACGCGTACGAGACCGCTGCTGACAAGACTGTCCTTCCTCTGCGTGGTGCATTGATCCGCGTCATCAACGATGGAAAGAAGTTCCCCAAGGTCACGGAAGCTCTATGTGTGTCTCATGATGACACCCACGGGGCCGACGCTGAGGACATTGTGTTCATTGTCCCTCGCAATGACCGCACTCTCATTCTGGGAGGTAAGTATAAATCAGATTTGGCTACTTGCTGCGAGCTTACCAACGTTACACAGGCCTTGTCCAGCCGCACGTACACACTCTCGATCTGACCATCAACAGCCCCGAGATTGTCCGGATGCGCGAGCGTTGCAACGCCTTCGTGCCGGGATTGGAGAAAGCTGAATTGGACCCGGACCCGTTTGTCCAGGGACTCCGCCCATTCCGCGAGGCCAACGTCCGTGTCGAGAGGGAACAAAGGCTAAGGCCAGACGGGTCTATCAGCCACATCATCCACTCGTACGGACAGGGAGGGTAAGTTCCGGCAAGGATTCGAATTTCGACCGTATTGTATGATTGATTATCATATAAATAGGTCTGGATTCACACTTTCATTTGGCTGCGCGGCCGATGTGATGGGTCTCCTCGAAGAACTGGAGGCTGAAATCCCGTACTCGTCGAGGAACGTAGCTGCACGCGCCCATTTGTAAGGCGGTTAATGCTTCGACCCGTTCTTTATATACCTACTTCGTTCTCATAGATATACTGACCTTGTTATATCCCACTACATTTTCTTTCAATATACTTATATACTACATGCGAAATTTGGGAAGCCGCTAGCGACCCTGAAGTCCGACGCCCTCGGGAATTTTGGACCGACAGCCAAACATAGAGTGTGGTAATTTGCCCAATTAAGGGGCATGGTTTACTTCCTGGAATTCCTCATCCTCCTGCCTGCCAATTGTAGCGGAGTCACCGGTTTCAAAGCAGCCATTGCAAGTTTCTATCTACTGCTTTGCCCTTCCATTCCCGCTGGCCGATCGCAGTAAAATCTTATAAGGCCGAATATTCGATTAGCCTTCTATTCAACCATCCCGTAAATACCCAAGTTCATCACCAAGCATACTCCTCCTTATTATCCCTGTCCTTGTCATCGTCGGCGCCAGAATCACCTCCCTCCCTCTCTGGCATGGGAACATGGTCGCTATCATGTGGTAGAAGGCTGCTTGCCTCATTTCCACACATGGTCTCCCGCTGCTCTGGTTCTCACCGCGACTCTTGTTGGTATCCTGTCTCGCGCATTGCTCTGGATCCTGTCAAAGGGGATCCGTCCTTTAAATACCGATCTGACTATGGTCCCATACCATTGGCGGGCGCCTTTGGAGCTCGTGCTGGCCTCCGACTGCTTGAACGGCCGTCTTCTCACCCTTCGGACTCCGCGCGTCCGCCCTCGCTCTGATCCTTTACCGTCAGCCCTCTTTGGACCTGACTTCTGTATCTCGCAGCTTGGCAGTGGCCCGAGGCCTTGGTCGCAGTCGGGGTGACAAGGTGCTATAGCTCCTGTGTCTGGCTAGCACTTCCCCGCTGCGTTTCATTGTCGCGTTCTCCTGAGCGAAGCCACGGCCCCTCGCACGCCCTATCAGCACGGCACCCTCTACTGCCTCATCTTATACTGCATCTATCCATACCTTTATTTTTTATCTATCATCACGACTACCAACACTCCAGTGCGCTGTTGCTACCAACCTACTCAGTGGAAATACCATCCGTCTGCAACTTCTCAGTTTCGCGATCATCTGCCTAGTCATCCTGCTATCCACTGCCTATTATTCTACATACTATCACTGCTCCCTATTCCCGCGACACTACCTCGACAAAACTCTATTGGACGCATCTACTACCGTCTACGTTGCTTCGGTCGTCAACTTCTATCATCAACGACAAATCTACGAACCTTTACCATCTGCAACAACTATGGATCTTTAACACGGACTACGCAATATTCACGCGCCTTTCTTCAGCTCGAACCTTCACATAGTTCATCAGAGTGCACCGTCATCACCGTCAGGCTCATTCTCAATATACCTCCCTCCCCCTCCTCCTCAGCCACTACTATCCACATTCTCATGAACCAGTCTGTGGATATAACGCGAGGAGCCATGGCCGGGCACCATATCCCCCTCTTCTATCACACGGTCTCGGTAAATTCAGACACACCTTCTCGAGATCTCATGCTTCACCATCCACCCCTCCCTTCATCTCCTCTGGCTTACATCGGATTTTTGCGGATCACTGTATTATATCAGCTTTGATTCGGGCTCGGGCTCGGACTCAGACCCGGAATACCCTTCATTTGCCTCATCCATCGTCTCCCAGCATCTCCCCTTCGGTCTCGGATTTACGGCATAGCTTCGAACATCCATGGATACCCTTGGGGAATTGGAATCTGGCATCTCTATTTTTGTCTGTGTGCGTATATGACGCTCATCGCGAGCGCTCTGGCTTCGGTTTTATTGCACGAACTCAGGACTTGAATATAAATAATCACTTCCGTGCTTGATCGTCGAGCTTCAAGACTAATAACTCAGTATTCCCCTAGGGAGACAGACGAGTCATGGAGTAAAAGACAATGCTCTTCTATATGCAATAAGTGAGGGATATTATACTTAAATGCTAATAATACAGTGTATGCATGAGTGTGGGGTATATGAGAATGGGAATGCAGAAAGAAATCATCATGATGTACTCGAGTATGTATCATATCTCGTCGACGTGGCGCAGGCAGCTCGCAAGCCCTAGAGCTGGCGTAGGCGTACCGCCGGTAGACGCCAGCTCGCGCTCCAGAGTCCCCCACGAATCTGTCGTAATCTGCAGCTTCTCATCGTGCTTGAAGCTAGGCAGATGCCCGTACAAATGGGTAGGTGGGTTGATCACCAACCTTAGGATATACTGTGTAATACAGAACGGTTAAGACGCCTCTCCGGGCAGCTGAATGGAGAGAACTAACCTGTGTCTCAGCAATCTCCTTCACACACCACGAGCTCTCTTTCCCTTCCGCGCCAGCCCGTATACTTCCTCTCAGAAGCGTGACTCCCTCGCTATACTCGTTGAAGTACCGCAAATGGGCACTCGCGAGCGTGGTATCCCTGATGATGGGTTCCGTAATTCCCTTGCGCCAGAGCTGCACCCGCTTCAGAAGCACGATGCGGATGTTCTTGCTATACATAGAGGCGAGGAACGGGTCGCTCGGGAAGACCAGGGACAGTGTGAACGGTATGGGTTCTCCGGAGGAGAAGCATTGTGGGGAGGGCAGGGAGAACTGCAGCCATGACAAGACGTGAGTAAGTGCACCGTACGCAAGGTTGAGAGTGGGTTGGGCTATTAATAGAATGGGACTTACGAAGACGGATTTCTGCGAGTGGGTGCTGATTGGCGACTTCGTCAAGCGCTTCGCGTCGAGCGGAAGGATAGGTTCTAGTGCGACAGTCTTGACACGCTCGAAGATGCAGAGAGGCGAGTCAGACAGGTTTCTCGACGGTCTTGGGATGGATATAAGGGGGGCTTCCGATGGCCTCGTTTTCGGAAGATAGAGAATTGATATTGTTTTCCTGAGTGTGCCAAGACATAAATGAGCTTGAGAGATCAGCAATCAATGATAACGCTTACGATTCGTGTCTTCTCAGGCCCCTTCGCGCCATATCGATTCGGAGACGGTAGGAGACTTCACAGCTGGAGTTCTGGTAGTAGGCTGCGAAGGACGGCGGGAGCTGTGAAACTACTCCTTGCACCATGACTTCAGAGGGGAGGTCGATGGAGAACACATGTTCGTCCGTCCACTCGACAGTGCTGTCGGCGTAGGAGTATATCTGTACTGTACTCGACAACACAGGCACTTTGTATTCCCCAGACCCAGGGCCGCGCTGAGACACCGAAGTGTTGAGAAGTCCTTCGAGCTGATCAAGATGTAAGTAAACTTCCCCGCATCGTCTCGGCGATACATCATACCGTAACGACAACTTTCTCGACGTGACTGCGATCGCCCGAGAACTTGACGGCGCCCTCGACTTTGCCGTTCAAGCCATAGCTCGGGGCGTGTAGTCCCCAGACGCGCGAGCCCAAGTTGATGGCCATATGGTCTGTGAAGTATAGCCAGTCGCAGTCTGGGCATCCCGTTCTTTTGAACGGCTCGAATTGGATAACTCGTTCCGAGCTGCCTGCGCACATCGAGTACATTGGCGAGGACAAATCCTCGTCGTAGTTGTACTCTGGAGGGGGGGTGATGACGAGTTCAGACATGGTGGAGGGGGGAGGGTGAGTGAGCAATGCAACATCCTGCAGGCCAAGCCTTGGTTCATATACGGTGTCAATCGAACTTCCCGACGCGCCGCGCACAGGCGAAAGGATAGGGCGAACATGGCATCCACCACGGCAGGCGAGATACGGAAAGCGTCCGAGCGGCGAAACGATCTGAACAAGCTTGCTTCTACTCCTTCCCGAAGCGTGGGACCCGACGCCAACGCCTGTGGTTAATGAATGATCCTTTCTCACCTGCATCCACTGCGGCAAGCAGGCGCAAGGTTCAGGCGTGTGCACACGGACAAAGTTCGCTGTCCGAAACCACCCGCATCTGATCCATAACGCCCATCTCGGCACATGAACGGCCTGAGAATGGCGCTATGAATCCGCTGCATGGGGTGTAAGATCAGAAACCCTCCGACTGAGGCGGTATGGCACAGATTGCTCAGGCTCACAGGATCACGCGCTTCTTCTCACGACGCCTTCCGACGCCAACAGTGCGATCGGACACGGACACCATCATGCCCATGAACAACGACACTCGTTGTTCAAATCGTCGGCCAGGTTTCTGACATCGTCTCCTTTTCTTGTGTTGTTCCCGTCTCTTCCAGGATACTGGCCACATTCCCGACAGTTGATGGGATGGTTTGAGCCGTAACTGTCCCACGCGTCCGGAGCTTGTTCGACGGCAGCCTTCTCCAGAGCCTAGTTTCTTTACGCTTTACGCTTTCCTATCATCGTGATCACAGCAATGAGACCGACACCTTATAGCCTTCAAGCAATGGAAAGACTTCTTGTCCGTAACAAGAGCATCAGCTTCATTGGGCTTGGGAGAATGGGCTATGAAATGGCGTACAACCTCTTCTCGAAAACCTACGCGGAAGCAAACGATTCCCACTTCGTCGTTTGCGACGCGGTTCAAGAAACTTCACAGAAGTTCTGCACCAACTTCTTGACCCAGTTTCCTCGCGCAAGGATTGGGATAGCAACGACCCCGGAAGAGTACGTTCTCTTCTAGTCTTGACTCTTGGATGCCCGGGTTTGATTGCGGTATAGAGCGGTGCTTGCCTCTAAAACGATTGTCACGATGCTTCCCTCTTCACCTCATGTTCAGACTGTATACGCCAAGGAGTCAGGGATTATCCCTGCTATCCAAAAGCTTCCGGAGGCCGCGGCCAGGGAAACCTTCTGCATAGATTCCACAACCCTCGATGTTACTGTGGCGCGCGAGGTCGCGAAGGATGTGGTACAGACAGGCGCAGCTATCGTAGACGCCCCTGTCTCTGGAGGTTAGCCGTGAATTCATCAACAGTTCTCCGTCTCCATATAACTTTTCAGGTGTTACCGGAGCCAAGGCTGCTACGCTTTCCTTCCTCGTTGGTGGCACCGAAGAAGCATTCCAGTTATCGCATCCAGTGCTCTCACATATGGGAAAACGTATCATCCATTGTGGTCCTTCTGGTTCGGGCCTTGGCGCCAAAATATGCAACAATGTTTGTCCTTCGCTTGTGAATTTACATCTAGCTTCGCCGTCGTAACTCACGCATGCCGTTTAGCTTATCTTGGGGGTGCAGCAGATCGTTGTTGCAGAGGGCATGTTATTGGGCCAGCGTCTAGGACTCGACCCGGCCATACTTGCAGGTGTCATTAACAGTTCGACAGGTGGCTGTTGGGCTTCGTCAGTGAATAACCCAGTACCAGGCGCACTGGTTGACCAATCTGCTCCGTGCGAACGTGATTATGAGGGAGGGTTCGCGACGGCGTTAATGCTCAAGGTAAGATTGACTTCCACGTATGCATGGGGCCCCGTAATGAATAACACCGCCAGGATATGGGGTTGGCTACGGGCATTGCTGGTAGCCAGGGGAGCCCTCTACCTTTGGGAGAAGCTGCCGAAAGGCTTTATGAAAGGGTCATAGAAGCAGAGCCTGAGCTTGCCCGGAAGGACTTCTCATCAGTGTATCGTTATCTCGAAAAGCTGGCAACGGTGTCTTCCAGAACTTGAATAGAAGCTATCTCCCACTTTCACAAGAGCCTGTCTGCTGAAATTCTCGGATTTCACTTTCATGAGATGCCTGTATTAGGATTATGTAATCTATTATAAGTTTAAGCAACGAACGCCGAACTCAGTGGTTGCCTCCGCGACGACACCTTGAAGCTCAGTTCTTCCTTCCTCGGTCCCAATCCACGCGCACGACGACCTCCACAATGACCGACGCCTCGTCCAAGCCCTCCGTGCTCCTTTTTGGTCCGTATAGTTTCTCCAGGAAAAGGTTAACGGCCGACTCCTGGACTGACTGGTTTATCTTTAATCGATCCAGGCGGTTTGAACACGTATGCGCGGGCTCTTGCTGCGTTTCTCGTGCCAGTCGATGGGGAAGCTTTGGTGTCTGTAAGTCCCCAATTTCCTGGCAGCCCCGATCTCCTGAAACTCTGGACTGACACCCTGTACAGCACTTGCGCATCGTGGACAAGTTCTCGGTCCACCCCCCCACCACGTTTGTTTCTTCACACTTGCTTCTAATTTCATCCTTTGATTGTGTCTTCGCACCCACAGGTACCTTGGATCGGAATTTCCCAAGGTGCTGGAAAAGCCTGAAGTTGAGTACCAGCAACGCAATTTGACTGTCCCATGTATGTGGGCGAGCGGTTTCTCCTAATAGCAACTCCTTGCTTACGTTGACTTGACCCATGTAGCCGCCGTGGCTTCAGCGTTTGACCCGCCCGAGGGCCAGGCGCCGTACGATTATGTTTTTGATTTGACGGGGGAAGTTCGGTATGATCGAACGGAAGTGGTGCGTGTCCCCACAATCAGGCAAGAAAGGATTGCCTTTAACGGCACCGACTTAGATCCAAATCAAGACTACATGCACCGTGGCGAGGTTGATTGGCCTCGAGGCTGCGAAGCGCAAGGTTAAGGCTTACGTTCGGCTCCAGCTCCCTTTCTACGAGACGCACAACAAAGGGGCGCATGATGAGAAAGAGAATTGCAAGCCCTTCTCGACGATTGGTACTTGGTGGCATGAGACGCTGCGGATGTTGGCCGCCATCCCCGAGTAAGTCGTTGTCTCACTTGTTGTCTCACTTCGGTCATGGACCTACCCCTGATTGGCGCACATAGTCTCAATCTTGTCATTCTGAGGATCGGGTTCGGCTATGGGCCCTACACTGATTTCGGCTCAGGTGAGTTCTATGCTGCAATGTGAAGGTTGCAATCGACGAATTCTATCTGGCAGTGACTTCTGCGATCACCGTCAGCTCCGTGTATGGGTACATGAAGAAGCCTATGAGGACATTGTGAGCGGCCATCTTCTCATGTCTTAATCATTCACTTAGGGCGTCATTAGGTGGTCGCCAGGAAAGAATCCTACCTATACGGTTCACGTTGAGGACATCGCGGGCGGCCTGTGGTCTTGTGCTGAGTGGATTGCTCCTCTAGGCAGAACAAAGGCGGACGAGACTGCGGGAGAGGTCATTCCTTTCCACAACGAGAAGTCCAAGGTCTCGGAGGTGGAGGGAATGCCGGGTTCCGACGAGAAACTCGTTGCACCGTTGTTCAATCTGGCAAGTGCTTACCGTTACACCATGTTGATTAGTCTCACACGTCATCTACACAGACCGACGATTCGAAGAGTACTCTACTAAGTGTCGGTGAAACTACGACGTCGTTCTTTGGGACGACATTCGAATTCTTCAACTTCCTTCAGAACGCCGCCGCGAAAGTGAGTGATTTCCTGTTACATGATACGTGGTGGCTTACTGTCGTTGATAGTGGAAACTCGAAGAGATGGTCGAAGACATCAATGAGCACCACGTAGGAGCTTGGACGGAGATGATTACCAAGTCAGATCCCCCAATACCCAATACGCCCTTGACCGCCTATATGGATAGTTATGCCCTTCAAAAACATGTCGTGGCGTTTGACAATTCCAAAATCAAGGAGGTGGTCGGGTACAAGTTGCGGCACCCAGAATTCAACCACGATGTCATCCAAGACATCATCGACAAGTGGAAAGCGGAAGGCAGCTGGCCCAATCTCTAGGCCTGTACTGTTCGTCGCTTCGTTTCTCCTCGATCATCCTTGCTTTGCGGGTTTGCACTCTTGATGAAATTATATCTAACCTCTTCGACGCTTCTGTGAATATTGTATAGTTCTGCAAGTAATTTCCAGTAATGAATCCCACATGTCTACATTGTATCTCCATCACTTTTCTTGACGACTCTGCCATGTACCTTGTCTGATAATGATCTCCCCTCAACGTTGTCCGTAAATCCAGTCGTTCCGCGCCCGCTCGGGGAAATCAGAGCCAATGCCTGCTTGAAACGCTGAATCGATATAGGCCTCTGTCTATTGGTCAGGGGAGAACAGAGTTTCGATGACATTCACAACGACTGCGAGAATTTTCTCAGCCATGGTATCCGGCTCGCTCGCATCCATATAAGCCTAATGATTGCGCCGGAGCGTTATATATCCCTTTCCGCCTCCACGTATGGCTTCGACTACTCGCGACGCCGCCAATCAGGAGGCCTACGAACTCTTGCTTCCATCAGGCCAGGAGGACATACCCAAGCAGGGCGATACAATGGGCAAGGAAGAGCAGATGCTGAAGCCTGAGGGCCGTCCGGGAGATGGGTTGGCCAAACTTGCTGGGCTGGTGAGTCTTGAACTCAATGGTCTACGGCGTATCCTTACGTTGACCTGGCGGTGATAGATATCTGCAGCAGTAAGCTCCTCATCCGAGCCGATACAGCACACTGAACTGAGTTACTTTGACAAGGTCTTCCTACTTGTTACCTGGTACGCCGAATTGAGCAACGATCCAAAGCAGCATGGGTGGTTCGCCATACACCCACTACTACAAAGCTTTTCTATCGCCCTTATAACATATGGTGCATATCTTTCCGAGATTTACCCAGTGCATGCTGAACCGTTTCCTTTAGGGATTTTGACGCTGCAGCCAACATCGCAGCCCAAAACTAAAGCTGCTGGGTTCGCGAGACATCATCTAGCTATATTCTTCATCGCATTTCCCTCTGTCACAATAGGCACGTTTGCCGTGTGGTACAATAAGCATCTAAATGGCCGGGATCACTTCCTTTCGTGGCACGGGGTGAGTATCGTGTGTCCGTTTACTGCAGACAAGCACTAAGCGTGAAATACAGACTCTAGGTATTACGTGCATGCTATGGATAACATTCCAAGTTTTACTCGGTGGTGGAAGCGTTTGGTTCGGTGGGAAAGCCTTTGGAGGAGGTATGAAGGCGAAGCTGCTATGGAAATATCACCGGTACGTCGACAGCTACGGGTGTCACGAAAGTCTCGCTCAATAGACATATATCATTCAGCCTTTCCGGATACCTGCTGTTTCCTCTGCTCCTCTTCACCGCCCATCTAGGCGGTGCGCAATCAGGCTGGGCAACCCGCAACACGTCAATGGGTCAACGTTTGATTGCCTATATTATCGCACCAGCGGTCATCTTGGGCGCCGTATACGCAAGAATTCGGTGAGTTTCCTATGGTTGCAGTTAACATTTCCTGGCTGACACTTCTCTTAGATTATCCAAGATGAAATTCTTCTAGAGATATAGGTATCTCTGTAACACCTCGTACTCTACGCTTCAAAGTTGTAAAGAGGCTACCAATAAATTATACTTATGTTCGGCCTGATCCAAGCTGTTGATGTGTGGTCTGAAAGCTGTCCACAAGTCGTCAAGATAGTTGAGGCTGAAGTAGAGAGAGGTTTCGAAAGATAAACCAAGGCAATATGAGGTTCCAAGCACAATCACATTCCAATAGGAAGTCTACAAGGTCGAATCTAGCCATATCGTCCGTAACCACAAGTTCCAAAATATTACAATGCCGAAACCAGGACACAGTGTCAAATTATAAAGATGAAAGGTAAATCGAGCCGTCCAATGGGGATGCAATATACAAATCTATATCCAAGATATCCAGTCCATGCAATGGTTTTGAAGTCAGAACCCTCGCGCCGAATCCAGTAGCGCGGCTTATCAAATAATCAAAAGATCCCGTAGAGGATCCGAAGTGATGTTGATTCGGGAAAGAGAAGCATCCTGAGGGGGGAGAAGCATGTCCTAGAAAGACGAGGGATACGGTGCCCAGTCGCAGCCGCAGGTCTTCCATCCTCCATGGCTTAGGGACGGGAGAGGATTAGGGGGAAGAGGGGAAGAGTAAGGGGTATTTTGCTCCGTGAAGAGTCGAGCCTCAGCCGAAGAGATACATTTGATGATTTCAAGCCAAAGAAAGATACGCCGATGATGGAGATAGCAGAGTTGTAACCAGAGCCACGCCGGAGGGAAGAGAGGAGAGCAAGAACCATAGTCACGCCAAGGAGGGAGGAGAGTATTCTGTACTCAAGGAAGCTGCGTTTCTGGGAAGAACTGAAGAGGTAGTGGCCAGCCACCTCCCAGGCATCCAAGAAACGAGTTCCCATTTCCGGAACATAAAGGAGCAAAAGAGAAGACTGCCGAGGGGTTGGCGAAAGGAGAGAGGGAGGTGTTATGCTGAGTACACGTAGTAAACGAGGTTGTTCGGGGGTTCATGTAGGTGTGGTAGATCAAGAGTATCAGCTAAATGGTATTCAAGATGATAGTAGAATTGTCGTAGAGGGTAGACGCTGGTGATGGAAGCAGAATAGATGGTAGTAGATATGTTCGATATAGTTTCGTCTGGATAGTGTCGAGAGAATAGGGAGCAATGTGATAGTATGTTGAATAAATGGTAGGTAGATGATCGCGCGACTGAGTGGAGTTGATAAGATGAAGCAATTGAGGCGACGTAGTTGCAGATAGATGGTATAGATGGTAGCTGCACTGTAGTATCAATGGCGCAGAAGTGCTGATAGTTGATACGATAGATAGAAATAGATGATAGTTGTCCAGGTCGACTGTAGCGATGGTTGAAGATGAGGTCAATAGGGGTTCATGAGGGGCCGTGGCTTTGCTCAGGGGAACCCGACAATGAAACACAGCGGGGAGGTGCTGGCCAGACACAGGAACCGTAGCTCCTTGTCACCCCGACTGCGATCAAGGTCGAGCACACCGTAGCTCAACGGGGCCCAGAGGGACGACAACCAGCGGAAGAAGTAAAAGGGGGAGGACGAGAATACATAGGGCGTGACGTGTACTCGGCGATGATAAATGGTGGCTTAGATGCGGGAAAATATCCCAAGGCCAGCTTGGGGAGGAGTAGAGTGGTTAGGCGTGGCGTGGTTCGGCGAGGTTGGATTTGGCGAATGTAAGTTCCATTGAGAAAATGCGGCCACAAGCAGCTCGAGGCTAGTTGATGCCTTGAAACCAATCGCACATCAGCATCCATCTGAAGGCGAGCACCAGAAACAGAAATTCACCTTTGCTTTGACGCTCATATTTGCAAATTCTGAGCACAAATCCTCTATCGAGATGGGGAGACGGCGACGTTCTTTTAGCTTTGGTTTGGTCAAGGTTGGTGGGTGAGCAAGTACAGTCGGCCTAGTATCAACAGCGATGAGTGGGCACTCTTCGTCTGCAGAAGGCTTCGGGTGGGCAGGTATGGGGATTGTGAGGATAGGAGTGTGCAACCTTTGCCTAGACATTGTGTCCAGAACTGGCGTTGCGGACATTGGCGGCTTCGAACATAACGACCGTCAGCATAAGATACAGACATGGGCATGAGGACGCAAACTTACCGATGCCCTCAAACTGAAGCTCTCAAACAAGGTGCATAGTTCGTCTACAGAATTGTCAATGTTCGGGGCATCGAAATATTGCCCCTCCTCAAACTCTGATATCGGCTCGGAATCGTGATGGTGAGGGCTGATGAAATCGCAAGGTGGGTTGAAGTCGAAGGGAGGGAAGGACAGATCCAAATCGAGCTCCATGGAGAGAGGTTCGAAGATTTCTGCTATGGACCACCCGGCACCGTTGTCGGCGGGGGAGGAGCAGGTGAACCCTGTGTCTGGACGTGGTCCCCGGGGCGAGGAGTGCGGTGTCAGGAGTGATTCCTCCTCGCTTTCCTCGCTCTCGAACGAATAAAGCTCGTCATCTTAGACGTCGTGAGTATTTGTGTAAAGGGAGACTTAGACGGACTTACCGCTCTGTGCTCCTCCTGAAATCCATTTGTTCCTGAAGAACGGCACAATGTCATCTACGGGGATGAGACTCCTGCGCAAGTGATAGGGTGCCAACACAGATCCTTTGTAGATATCGAAAGGAGCTGGGTTGTCCGTCTGGTTCGCACGGCAGGGTGCAAGGAGACACGTTCGCTCAGGCGCACTCATTCTCGCGGAGGCAGAGGAGAAGATGTCGAGCGGGCCATGACGGACCAACGCCTTACAGAAATATGGCTCAATGGCGGGTTGGATGGGGAAGGTGACAACCGATTCGGTGTATACAGGACCCTCGAACGCGTAGATAGTCTTGCCGGGCGCGATGGGAGCCGGGGGAGGATCTCGCCAAAGCGCAACGTCCCAGGAGTGTTGAAATGGTACGAGCTCCAGGGCGGTCGTCTGATAAGGACCCAAACGGGGGCAGAGGCTGGTTCGGCGGGAGGCACGCCAAAGAACAAGGGTCGAGCAGGACACTTCGCGTTCGTAAGACCCTAGTTCCAGTAAGGGTGACCAGTAGCGGACGACCACTAAGCAACGAGATACTAGAGTCATTTCCAAAGAGCACCGCCAGTAAAGGACCGTAGGGAAGGTGGAATCCAAAGGGCGGGAACGGAGGACTAGTTCTGACGAGGGTGGTCGATAGAGGACAACCGCCAAGCAGTTTGAGGGCAGCACGAGCCCCAAAGACGTCCGCTGATATGTGGCCATAGTAAGATCGGTATTGGAAGAGCGGGAACCTTTCGATAGAATCCAGAGCACTAGGCGAGCCAGGATACCAATAAGAGTCGTGGCGAGGACCAGAGCAGCGCAGTAGAGAAAGTGGCCGAGAGTGGAAGCAAGGCGAGCAGCTTTCCTATCAAACCCGTGCGCGGACAAGAGCGGTTCTAGGTTCAACACGATGGCAAGCATGTTTGCATACCAAAGAGCGAGGGAGGCGAGTGGGACGCCGAGGACGGCAAGGACAGAAGTAATCAAGAGCATGGTTGGTGATAAAGCAGCGTAAGATATTTTCAAGATGGTGGAACGGATGAAAGAGGGTTAATCGAGTGTCCCATCCTTATATATGTTTAGGCATTAAATATTAAACGATCGGGATCTCGACGCGACTTGACGCGTGTGTGTCACGTGTATAACTTTGTTTCGATCGGCGAGCAGGAGGGATAGGGTAAAGCGGTAAATGTCAGCCTGAGCTCGCAATGGCTGCTTGGGATATAGGTGGACTCGGCTGCAATTGTCAGGCAGGAGGATATGAAATTCCGAGAAGTAAACTATCTCCTGATCGGGTAGATCAAAGCCTGCAGGGCGGCGTTTGTGGGCTTCTACTCGCACAGGCCAATATACTGACACTATTCTCTAGGATATATGGCTGTAAGCGAGAATTCGTATCACTCACAAGCACTCTAATTCAGATTGGTGCATTGACAAGTGACGAAGATGAACAAGGCTAACCGACGCTCGCAAGCTCCGACATCTCCGACATTGTCAGGGGTATTGCAGTTCAAGGCTAGGGCGCAAGTTCCGCGGGGTTCGCATGTAAATACATTGAGAGAAAGGAATGGAATATAATAATGAAACCATCACATCTATGGAAGAATAGGTATATATAAAGAAGGGGTAAATGAGTTACAAATGGGCGTGTGTAACAACGTTCCTCGACGAGTACGGGATTTCAGCCTCCAGTTCTTCGAGGAGACCCATCACATCGGCCGCGCAGCCAAATGAAAGTGTGAATCCAGACCTATTTATATGATAATCAATCATACAATACGGTCTAAATTCGAATTCACGGGGGAACTCACCCTCCTTGTCCGTAAGAGTGGATGATGTGGCTGATAGACCCGTCTGGCCTTAGCCTTTGTTCCCTCTCGACACGGACGTTGGCCTCGCGGAATGGGCGGAGTCCCTGGACAAATGGGTCCGGGTCCAATTCAGCTTTCTCCAATCCCGGCACGAAGGCGTTGCAACGCTCGCGCATCCGGACAATCTCGGGGCTGTTGATGGTCAGATCGAGAGTGTGCACGTGCGGCTGGACAAGGCCTGTGTAACATTTCTAAGCTCGCAGCAAGTAGCCAAATCTGATTTATACTTACCTCCCAGAATGAGAGTCCGATCATTGCGAGGGACAATGAACACAATGTCCTCAGCGTCGGCCCCGTGGGTGTCATCATGAGACACACATAGAGCTTCCGTGACCTTGGGGAACTTCTTTCCATCGTTGATGACGCGGATCAATGCACCACGCAGAGGAAGGACAGTCTTGTCAGCAGCGGTCTCGTACGCGTTAAGTCCGGTGCAGTTGATGATCGCTGTGGCGTTGTACTTGGCGAGAAGCTTGTCTTCTTGGGCAAGCAAATCGCCAGAGATCTTAGCGGTTACCAGTCGAGCACCTTTCTTCGAAACGATGTAGCGGAGCCAGGTCATGTAGTGGTCGGTGTCGATGACAGGTGCGAGGTGGCGGTAGGAGTCAACGACTCCGGCCTTTTGGTTGACTGCATGTTTGGTGACCAGTGTCGGGTCGTGCAAGAAGCCTTGGATCTATTCAATCTTGCGTGAGATGGCGTTGAAATTATCAGCAGACGGTAGTACCTCTTTCTCAGCCTCAATTTCGTTCATTTTCTCCAGCTGTCCGGGCATGTCATTCAACGATTGCTCGAAGAAGAAGTTGGCTGCCCGCATGCGCACACCGTGCTCTTCCACAGGGAGGGTCTTCATGAGCTTGTCCAGCGCGCGGTAGGAAGTCAGACACCATCGCTTGGAGTTGTCCAGAGAGATCAAGTTGGTGTGTTTGCCACACACAGCAGGAGGCCACTCCCAGCTGTGAAGAGCATCGTTACAACGTCGATATGGATGGAGGGGTGAGATGCTCTTACAGTGCACCAGCAATCTGGGAGGTGATGCGGTCGCTCAATGACGCCCATTTCTCGGAGACGACTGTCACATCGTAGCCAGCGTCAAGCAGAGCCCAAGTAGTCTAGAAACAAGAATTGTGAATATCCATGGTTGATGTCACTGTAGATGAAACCTACAGTGAGACCGGTGACGCCGCCACCAACGACCAAAACACGCTTCACAGGAGGAAACTTGGTCGCGAGGTTGACACCTTCATTCAAGACCAATTCCTCGCCGACGCGAGTAAGGTAGATTTCGGAAGCTGAGGACGTGAAAGACATATTGTCGGTGCGATGGTATTGAGTGGGTAGAACTGGTGAATAAGGAGAAATATAGAAGTGAAGCTGTTGATGCTGAAGTCTGTCGAACGAGAGTGCCTTTTATACAGAACAGACCCAGACCGAGAACCATGTCGTTGGTTGAAAAATCCATACATGCCATTCAGACAGAATAATGTCAAGCACCCATAAGGAGCACGGAAGAGGTCATAGCATCAGAAATGAGCGTTGTTGATGCAGCGACGGACACGCGCGACGCTACCCGTGGAACGCAATGTTCTAGCCTCCGCACATTGAAGTAGCAACGTTCAAAGAATTGCAAACGTTTCGGAGCTAAGATCAGGACATATTATCCTCTAATGGCGAAGAAATAACAAGCGAGTCATCAGAGTCACGAGGTAGGCTTAGCCCGGGTGCTGGCAGTGTATTATTATCGTGGCGACTCATAAAAAAACATGACCGACCAGAGAAGGCACCCGTAGCATTCCGTAGCGCAAGGAGGCCTTCTTCAGATTCCTATTCATGCGAAAAGGTGGCTTGCGCAGCAAGGGGAAACGTGAACATTGAGCATCTACGGAGTACGCAGTGGAAGAAGTCAACATTAGCGACGGTACATGTGGACCTGAGGGGTGCTTCGGTATCCGGCGTTCGTCCGTTTTCATGGGGTACGGCTACGATATTTTAGACATCTTCAGTGGGGGATAGCCCCATTACATCCTATACGCAGATCAGGAAGACTGCCGCTAGAGCCGAACCGCTCGGACCGCGAATGAAGTGGCAAGCTGGTCCTAGACACCTTCGGAACCAGGCCTGAGAAGCGGTCATCGCATCACTAATTCATGTTGAACGTATCTTCGAAATATCGGTATGGGCAGAGGGTGGAGGCAAGAAGGTGAGCGAGGGCGGCACAGCGCCACACTGACAGTCACCTGACAACCTTGCGAACTCGGCCCTGCGTGCTCCAAGACCGCATCCTTCGTCCGACTCACAAAAAACCTCATGCCAGAAATCAATAGACAGCAAAGGCAGGTACCGATACTGTGTCCGAGAATTCCAAATCATCAATCGACTATCGGCATTCTGAACTTCTTCTCCCCTCAGTGAACTGGTGGTTTTGCTTGGGTTTTGGGCCTTTGGCCCACTTGGTCGGAATTCAGGTTATTCAAGTTAGTCGCATCGCGCAATGTTCCTGTTATCTCATTTATGCAGACATGATATGGGCCTCGGAGTCCGGACAGGTTCAATCCAAAGCGTTGCTGAACTTCCATTCTCCGTCTCCGTGACCCTCACAGTGAGGGTTGAAACACCATGCAACGGTCTTTTTTTTTGTGGGGTGGAAACTAGGGATGTGAGTGAGATAAGGCAAGGCGACAGCCTGGCAGTCTTAAACTTGGCTTGGGTGACCAGGTGAGCTCTGATCGAGTTCCAGGAAGTAAGTAGGCCGTATCCTGATTTGGTAAATTTTACCAGTGCGAGGCATATATCAAGCAGCATGGGATGCGCAGATGAGACTGATCTCCTTGTGGGCGGTCGCAGTTACCAAATCCTACCCATGAATGAAACCCTGCCTATTTCGAGGTTTCCAGCACAAATCTCACCCACCGCTGTGTCTGGATGACATTTACTCGGCATATCATACAAGAGTGTCACTGCCTTGGAAATGAATCATCCGTGAAGTATATGCTCCGTTACGCATACAGCACATTACAGGCAGGAGACCAACCAGAACGAGCGCTAGTCGCGGGCGCTGTGTTCTCAGCGCCCATGCACCGCCCCTCTCATACGTCTGCGTCGGGATCCGTGCTTCGCAAGCTGTAAACGCCTCAGACATCCGACCATAAGGCAGGTTCAAATGACTCAAGCGAGGCGCGACGGCTTTATGTTACAGCCTTAACATATATAAATGATCCTCTGGTGCCAGCGCGTTGACTCCTCAATCGCACTATGGGCCAACTGGATTTGACCAACAACAACCATTCTCACACTCTTCGCCTACAATACGTTGACGCCATTCCATACGCATGTAGCCCATGGACCGATGTATCCCGTTGCATGTTCCGCAGCTCCTCTAAGAAGGGTGCTCCTTGCCTTGTCATTGTTAAAACATGGCGGATTTTCAAGAATAGCGCTTCCGACGCCGATCGTCAGGTGTTCGTCAAGGTATTGATGTTATCTTGTCTCCGTAATAGTGGTAGATTGAGGGTTTGCATTCGTTAGAAGTTACGAAACCGCTTGTTTCAATGGAGGCGTTTGTGCCACCATCCATTCATCACATCTTTCCAAGAGTCGTCGTTCGTAGACGACACACTTCCAGTCGTCATAATGCCGTTCTTTGTACACGGAAATGCATTAGACTTCATCGCTGAAAATCCCGCGACCAGCATTCTAAGCTTGGTAGGTTGGAGTGCTTGCAGTATTGAATCATCACGTCTCATATACATACAGCTACAAGACGTTACATCTGGTCTTCAGTACATGCACGGATTAGATCCACCAATTGCCCACGGCACTCTAAGAGCAGTAAGCACCACTTGACCCTTTGCATCGTGTCCCTTTCTCACAATTCACCAGTCGAACATCCTCATCTCAAACGAGGGGAAGGCATGCATTACGGATCCATGCATAAACATGCTGCCATTGCCTCCATTCTGGACGATCGAAAATGCTGTATACTCAAGGTGGTTAGCCCCTGAGATCCTCACAACGGGGGCGGACGAGTTGCCCCTTGCCAGCCCAGAGGGCGACGTTTATAGCTTCAGTATGACCGCAGTCGAGGTTAGTTGATACATTGTCCCCTGGATACGCATCGTACTGACTTCAATACTCAATTAGATGTACACAGGAGATCGGCCATTCTCGCATATCAAATCAAAGCTGGCTGTTCTGCTGAAGGCTACACAGGGGAAGCGCCCACTCCGACCCACCGCAGACAACGCTCCCCAATTGACTGATGGAATGTGGGCGGTCCTTCAGCGCTGTTGGGCCCACGACCCGGCCTCCCGGCCAAGTATGACAACTGTAGGCATTTGGTTGCGAGCTATGAATGTATGACATAGGGCGATTCTGATCTCCGTACATAACTTATTACTACAGCTACATGTCTATTGTACATTCTAGGTGTTCCATGTGTATCTACTAGCTTTTCTACTGTATATTATATACCTTTGAACTTAGATATCCACTTATCTACGACGAAATATGACCACTCCTCCCGCGACCAGTTGGAAGAGGACGCCCTCCGATGGAATAGCCACCTATGGTGTATGGACTTGCCACCAAGGGCGAACGCGGGGAAAACCCACTCATCCCACCCTTCTCATCAACGTGATGTCGCTCAAACTCCGCTGGGAGCATGATGGCTCTGTCGATTGCAACAGGCAGAGAGCGGTGACGACCCCGAAGCATGACAATGCAGACGATCAATTTTGACAACGGCCGAAGAGCACCCGATAAGGAGTAATTTTCCTGTAATGACGGGAGTTAGGAGAGGATATACAATGGAAGGGTTTCCACCGAATGAGACGAGTAACTAACTGTTGGGATCCCTAAACTCATACCGACCGAACCATATGCAGACACCAGATCAAACACTGAGTAACAACCATTAGGGGGAAAGAACAACATGGGTACGATGTTTACACTCACTCAACGTGAACGTATTGAACCAAGGTGCGTTCTCGTCGTTCAGATTTGCACGCTTTTATGCATCAGTCACGACGTTTATTCAAAATGAAGCGGCAGGCAAACCTCAATGATGCAAAGCAGGAACAACGCGAAGGCCAACCACCACATATCTGGCAAGAGTTTCACATCCGTCAGTTGTGCTAGGCATTACGCAGAGTCAGTGACTTACCGAAGGCGAGCAGTCTTCGCGCATGGAGGGATAAGTATTGACTCCAGACAGTTGCCCTCGATCCAACAGGCTGAAAATGGAATTCCCCATCTTCTTCCCCTTCGAAGATACCGAGAGATTGTTCTTCATAGACGTTTGTGGCGCGGATACTTAACTAAGTATTAAATATATATCCACAGACTATCGCGTCGTATAACATACCTCATAGCGATGGGGTCTAGATTCAAGGCTCAGTGGATAGTGCAGATGCGAAAAGTAGATACTCACAGACGCTGACATACATCATGATGAGATACAGAACTCTGAAGAATTCTGGTTAGATTGTTGCCGACAACACGCAGCCTACAGCTACTCACTTCACGGCAGGGGCAAGCGCCAACAATGACACTGCTGCGAACCCGGCCGCACGTACAGAAACAGCTTGCAAAGCGCCGACAAGAATCCGAGTGCCCACCGGGATGCTCGAAATAGCGCCGTTCCCAATATCAAGAACAAGGAAGAAGACCCAGTCCGTTATTCTGCATTAATCGTCCTGGGTTAGAGGCAGAGCTAGAGAAGGAAAGGGGGAATTGAATCGTACGTGAGGGATACCACGATTGTGAGGAGAAACCACGTTTGATGAGAAGGAAAGAGGTAGATGTAGCATCTACGAGGATGGTCGAGGAGGAAGCGCATGGTTTCGTGAGTCTGCGAGCCAGCTGGGACAGTCTGACTGAGACACCATCTGGTTAAACAGGGTGAGAAAGCAATCCACAATATGGGGCCGACGCTGTGACGCACATAGAGAATCTGAGGCTAAATAATAGCAAACAAGATGGTTCGGTATTGGCGGATGAGTGGCCAGAGATATCACTTACAAAATGGGCTGAAGATGGGATCGAACGGCGAAATAAATATTAGGCGACGTCTACAGAAAGAGAATCACGTACGAAAGCAGTGTTGCCAGCAAGGATAAGGAATATCACGACGATGACGGTTAGATATGCCCGTTGGAATGGGACCATGGATTGATCTACAAGGGAGAATCCCGTGTTCGTATAGGCCGACGCTGAAAGGAACAAGCTAAACCTAGATGCACAAAGACATGGATTACCGAAGTACGAGTGAATATATATGAAATTGACGAACCAAGTGGGTGAGACCCGCTTGTGGAGCTGCGGAGGCACGAAAGAGCTGCTAAATTGGCCAATAGACATGTACGGCGCCATCATGATGAACGCAACCAGTTGCACACCGATATGATACTGCAAACCCCATCGTTAGTTGAATCACAATTCAGCCTCTCGCAAAAAGCTCATACAAAGGCGATTATCCACAACAATGCAGTCAGAGCGCGATACTCAACCCCTCCCAATTCTTCAAGCTGCTCCTCCGTCAACAAGTGGAACATGGAGTTTCTCCCGATGATAGGTGGAAATGAGACGTATGAAACTGGAGCTGATGGGGGATCGCCCAGCTTGAACGCGCCTTTATCATCTATCGGAGGAAGCGGCGGCATGAAGTCATCGAATTTGAGGTTATTGGAATTAATGGCGGAGGATGAGAGGGTTGGCAGGCTTCGTGGCGAGGCGTATCTCTGACGGAGGTAAGTGATGAGTCGCTGAAGGAGAACAAAAGGGGATGGAAATCCTCCGAAGTGAGTGTCCTTCGCGCTTTGCAGGGATCGTGAAGTCAGGTAAGATGGTTGTAATGATGAGCGAGTTTGCATAGATGTTGGCCCTATAGGCACCACAATTGCATAAATTGGACCTAGCGGGAAGTATAGAAACAATACTCACGACGAGGCCGCGACCAAGTACTATTTTGCGCCGGTGTTATTTGAGAGGGTAAGAAGGTGACACGGGACATCCCATTCGTAAACTGCGTTTCGGCACGTTGTAAGGTGTCTATCATCGACTCAGCGTAATGCTCCACAGTTGCGGAGCAGAGGTGTATACCGTGAATAGATGGAAAGACGCCTGGATCTGAGAGTCTTCGACTTCGGAGGCTTGAGGGCCTTGCTGAGTGGGCTTGAGCGATTTGTTGGCTTTTGGTCAGGATGCCCGGTCGTTTGGGTGGTGCGTCAAGCTTTACCATGGGATCTGGAGGAGCGACCACGATGGGTTTGTTCTTTCTATCCCGAAACAGCGAGAGTGGCCATGGAATATATGAATGTGTCCGTTGGCGAGGTAGGTTGGCGCGTCGTATCTGGCTATTAACGGAAGCGGCTTTTATGATGTGCTGGAACTTCTTGACGAAGTATCGTCTATGTTACCAGTTCAATTGAATAAGAGGATGTGGTGTTTGCGTGTGACTTGCCTACGAATATACACCATGACCCAGGACGCTACCACAGGGCTTCCTACGCACATTTGCAGAAACAGGATCACCTGCTGCCATGGTGTCAACGAGCTGAGATCTATGGTTGCCAAACCACAGACACTCATCGCACTGACGCAGTTGAAGAGTGCGTCAATGTACGATATCCTGTTCTCTCCGTTCGAGAGGTACAGGATTAACGAGGATAGAAGGGGGGTGATTGTACTAGGTTTATTGAGACGTTATGACCTTACTAGCGCAGTGGGGGACTCACAAGATGATGAGATGAATCCTGAAGAAGTTCAGATTCCTTTGCACGTAGTCCCATGCTCCTACAAGACTTGGTGCGCCCATAATGTCTAGGACAGAGTATCGAATAACGGGGTGGCAGCCCAAAAGGTGAGTGAATGGTGAAAAAGAAGGCTGGGGCTATATCTGATACTACAAGTGAAGTGTTTCCAGCCATCCGCACCGCCAGCAACCGCTAACAAGCCCAGATGTTTCCAATGCATATTTGAAGTGTTTCATCCCGGAGTTATCGACCCAAGGGTCGATCACGACCAAACCATGACACGGAATCACAAATAATGGGTCCGCGAGCGGCCGTGAGCGAGCTCCAGGGTAGTGTGTTGAAAGGAGTAGGTATGAGCGGATGAGCATCTCCGGACCGATAGGGTCTAACGTTTAACCCTAACCCCAAGGCTAACATTATTACATCGGCGAGAAAGACAAAACACAATGGATAGGTGATACGAGGTGGATAGACAGACTGGCGTCAAGGCCAGAGAGTACTCGCGGTGAGACTATCCTGGTGCATGATAGAATATTCTGGGTGAGCAAAATTAACCACAATTGCTTATCAGGAGGATTATTGCTTCACGGGTGCGACGCGCAAAAGAAATAATCTATGGTTTAATCCGCCTGGAACGTATGCGCTTTCCATTCTGAACGGCAGGCCCCCAACTATGGACGCAAGTCAACGGGGGAACAAGGGGGCGCGGACGGCGCTACTCACCCACGTATAGTCTTTTTCGGCTTTGCTTCGTGAGCAAACCGCGATATAGGTAGGCCAAGCCTGTATTTCTCCATGCACCAGAGAATATACCTGAAGGAGCTTCAGATAGACCCCATATGGCTGAGCTTGGTGTCACGATACCTTCTGTCCCGAACGTCCAGTTTCGCTTTCTTCATGTCTTGGCCAGACAAACGCCAGAGGTCTTCCCATCTCTCGACAGTCAGCTTCGTCTCTGCGGAGCGGCCAATAGCCTTCAGAAAGTCTTCTGGAGTCTTGATTCCCAGAGATTCTGTAGCAATGAAGTGAGCCGACGTGCGTGGAAGTAAATGGGTTCCAGTACCACCTCTTGTCGGGGGGACACGCCGCTCGGCAGCATGGTTGACGAAGGTCCTCACAGAACCTAGATTGCGGCCGAACGTGCTGAAATTCGTAGCCCAGCGAGACCATAGAGTGTGCAGTGACATTTTGGTGGAAAAGTAGAGGAACGAACACGTGATCTTCACCAAGAAATCGTTCTGTATACTATTGGCCTTTGACTTGGCGGTCCGGAACGACTTGAACTCAAACCATCAATATCGCAGTACCAACATGGATTGTACGCTACACTGGCTTTATCACAGGCAGACACGCTGAATGTACAATCAATACGGTCCACTGGTGGTCTCTTTTCTGCACGCTTTCACCGGGCTACTCAAACTCAGCGACGACTCTCCTTGACTGTCCCGATTTGGCTGAGGCGCCCTTGTCCCAACATGAGTCTGCCTTGAGGTGATATCAACGGGGGGTGGGCCCTTTTCGGAGTTGAATGCTCAACGTCACCTAGTGAATCTCGCCGACGCTTTGTTATAGCAGTCCATCTATAAAACGACTATGCAATCATGGCTACAGGATCACAATTATATCCCTCATCGACCGGAATATTCTTCATATCATGTCCTGGGCAGTCCGACGCGAATCTATCCTGGCTAACGAGCTTAGTCTCCGAAGTCAGGACGACGGGTCCTTCGGCTGGTTGGACAGCTCGACAACCAACATCTTTGATGACGAGAAGGCCAGCACCAACCCAGTCCAGAGGACACTAAGCCCTGCGTCTACTATCTCATCGGGGACTTCGTCTACGAGCACCTCCCCTTGCCTTCTGAGGAACAATACCGGCGACGACGAGGACGATGATTCGGATGCAGGCTTTGAGAGCGATCACTCAAACTATGAGCCTTACTATATTGATAACGACAAGTATAGCGTTATTGATGGAAAGGCGTACATGATTCCAACGTGAGCTAGATCTAACCTTGATTCGCCGCGTATAACATACTGAAATCAATATCACCAAGCATTCCACAACCTATGTTCAGCCAGCCAGTCTACCTACAAGATGCACTCAGCCCTATGGCGGAGACAGCCAACCATCTCCCACAAACCCCGCACCCGCACCCTGCGACTCCACTTCTACCCCCGTTTCAAGGGTTTGACTCTCGCAGTCTTTCCCCTAGCCTACCTCCTTCTACCCCTCTGCCTGCTCATAACTATTCGCTGGGGGAACGATCTCGCAACACGCATGCCACCAAAACTTGGTGTAATCGTACTTCATTCATCTTGGCCGAAGACTCCGACGAAGGAGAGAGTGACGGCAACGCGTCGGATGACGAGTACATCCCTTCTCCCCAGTTGAATTCCAAGAAGAGGTTGCGGAGAGATTCTCCACAACTTGACGCATGGACCTTCGCTGGAGCTGCCCAGAGCCGTTCGACCACCATTCCTCGCACTCCTGCTCAGATCGCCCCTCATGCGAGACCCACGAAACGCGCCCGTACCTCCCCAACATCACGCAACGTGCAAGTTCCCTCCCTCTCCGAACCTATTGATGCCCTCGCGTTATCTTTCAAATGCCCCGAATGCGGATGGGTTCAGCGCAATAAACGGATGCCGGATTTCAAGCGTCATCTGCAGTCGCACGTTCGCCCTAGTGACGGCGATCATTCCAAGGGATGGTGGTGCAAGGGCATCCTGTCTTCCAGTGTACCTGGGTTCTGTGGAGAGGGCTACCAATTCGCCGGTGAAGAGAGGTTCGGTGGATGCTTGAAGACGTTCAGCAGGAGAGACGCTTTGAAGAGACACCTGGACAACCCGAACGTATCCTGTTTGGGCAGCGTTTCGCCGTGGAACTAGGCCCGCAGCACCGGAATAATCATGACCTACTATGATTTTCTATTATTTTCACTGATATATGATCCGCATTCCCCCATCTACGAACATCACCTTTTATTTGTTTGTATCCCCCTTAATCGGACTGTCAGTTTACCATCACTACTTTGTATCGCTAGTTCATTTAGTGTTCCCTTCTTCATTGTTGTGCCACGATTTCTTCTCTTACTCTGTGTCGTATCATATTGTAACAAGTGCAATCTTATTCTGCGACGCGACGCGTCTATTTGGCGCTCACTCCCGATGCTAACAAATGCGTGTCAATTATGCCAGTGATTGATATTCCGCAATCCAAGTCGCGCCTTCATTGACAACGGCCATGAGCGACCAAATTCCAAGGGGCGTATCCACGAAACATGTCCTGCACTCCGAAATACTTTTGGTTACGTCTGCGATGCGCAGGAACTCACGTTGGGCGACCACGACGCATTTCATGAGCCCCAGCAGAGACCCGGCAGTAGGAACCAACTTAGGACTTCGGATATCAAGCCCTTCAACCCCTACGCTGCTGAGGATTGACAGGGAATCAGACCTTATGGCTGGATTCCAGGACTTGAAGCGGATTATCAGCGAGGCCGAAAGTACGTCTGGTCACGGGCGCGTCGCGGTCAACGCTTATGCGCATGGCTCATGCTACTAGGTATCGATACCCTGCCACTCCCTACCCTTCTTGCACCATTCCTTGCCATAATACGTTCACCACTCTCGACTGGACCCATAACTTCCTCTGCATTATCATCCTTGCACCATTTCTTCGTATGTGGACTCATTTCGACCAATGCCATGATGCTGGACACTGCACTTGGGGCACTGAGTAGTGTGGCCTCACATTGCAAGTTCGAAGCAAGTGACTCGTCTAGCGATGAAATAGTTATCCTCCGAATAATGACTGTCATCCACGACTGCCTATGTGGTCCGGTCGGTCAATTTCTAGGCGATGTCGAAGTCTGCGAAATGCTGGAGACCGTGCTAACAACTTGCTGTCAAATGCGACTCAGTGGTACGACAAATCTTCGACCAGATTATGCTCTCAACTAATCTTCTCATAGAAACTCTACGGCGATTTGCTGAGAACATCTTGCACGGCCTGATTAGGGCAGTGTTCTTGCGCCTGGCCAGCCTAAATCCAGTCGCCGAAGAAGCCAAACTACGCGAAGTCGAAGAAGACGCCAGAGAAGCTGACATCCGTATGAATGTATCCAGTAAGGACGTCCCGAAAAGCCCGGTGCCCGTAGATGTGCCCCAAGAAGGCACAGCCGAGCCAGCTGCCAACACTCATACAGCCGCGGCAGAAACAATCGAGACGCCGCAACCCGAACTTCAACCACCACGCTCTGCTGCATCACCATCTAGATCTGAATGTTCGAGACCCTTTCTTGTTACTGAAACTTGCCGTTTACGTCTGTCAACTAGATGGCCTGCCTTCGATTCTGGAGCTCCTTCGAGTTCTGATCAACGTATTGGACCCAACCGACCAGCAACACACAGATTCTACGCGTCTCGTCGCCCTCGGCGCCCTGAACATCGCGTTTGAAGAATCAGGTAGTTGTATCATCCGCTTTCCATCTTTGGAGGCCCTCATCGTCGATCACGGTTGCAAGTTCTTGTTCCAACTGGCTCGTTCGGACAACCCATACGTCCTCCAGGCTGCTCTTCGCACCAACGCCACTGTCTTCGATACTATGCGTCCAAGATTGAAGCTTCAGCTGGAGTTGTTTTTGGCATTTACCATGGACAGGTTGGCCCCAGCACCACCTGCAAACAAGGCTCAAGCCAGCATGGCGAGAATGTCTGGAGTGCCTACCTCCCCGTACCCATCTACGCCAATACTTGGTGCCCCTCCAGAGTCTGAAGCAGGCGAAGGCACTGCAACGCCGACGCGAGTCCTAGTCGCCCCTGCCCGCGGAGAAACTCGCGACCAAATCCTCGAGACTCTAAGCCAGCTATCTAGGAAGTCTAGTTTCATGGTCGACTTGTACTCTAACTATGATTGCGACATCAATTGCGAAAACATGTTCGAAAGACTGATTGATTTCCTGACGAAAGTTGGTGCGACTTTTACGTCCAGGATAGCCATAACCCCTGACTACTCACCCCTTCAACCAGTCCGTGTACTCGTCTCAGTATGCTGGCGCCATAGATGTTCACCAGAAAAATGCGCAATATCTATGCTTGGACATGCTCCTCACGTTTGTCAATGACATGGCCACGCGCGCCGATGGTGTTCGTCCGTTTCATCTATTTCATACTGAGCGCAAACTGAAAGCAAAAATAGCCACACACTCCTTGGCCATCAGTACGTAGTCGCGTGTAGGTGCTTCCGACACAACTAACATTCAGCGTCAGGAATACCCCGAGCCAGCTGCCCTTATGGAAGCCAAATCTCGGAAACAACTTGTCCTAACCGGGGCCTCGCGGTTCAATACCAAACCCAAAACAGGCTTGAACTTTCTCGAAGAGAATAAGCTTATATATGCGGACCTATCGGCGGATACAACTAAGGCGCAGAGCTTGGCCAAATTCCTCAAAGGATGCAGCCGTTTAGACAAGCGCCTTTTGGGAGATTTCATTTCAAAGCCAGATAATATTGACCTCCTGCATGCGTTCCTTAGTCTCTTTGACTTCAAAGGGGTACGGATTTCTGATTGCACCTCTACCCAGGGCAAAACTGATCATCCTAAGTAGAAACATATCGCCGATGCCATGCGAGAAATGCTTGAAGCATTTCGCTTGCCAGGCGAAGCCCAGCAAATTTCAAGGATCACAGAGACCTTCGCATCCATATACTTTGCGACGAAGCCAGGTAAAGTGAAAACTGACCTTTTCACTGATTCTACTCACCGATGTCGCTACTTTGTAGAGGGCATCCAAAGCGAGGATGCAGTTTACGTGCTGGCGTACTCTGTGATCCTGTTGAATACCGATCAACATAATCCACAGGTCCAAGTAAGTATCAATCCAGTTTCTGGATCACCCATACTGAAAAATGAGGACCAGAAAAAAAATGTCGATAGAGGCATATACACGGAACCTTAGAGGTGTGAATAATGGTGGCGATTTCGACCCAGAATACTTAGTGGGTCCCATTCTCGCACTGCTGGATATGTTTACTGAGATGTCCTAGCAAAACATCTACGATTCCATCCGCAAACGGGAGATTGTTATGCCAGAAGAGCATACGGGCCAACTTGGCTTCGAATACGCCTGGAAAGAGCTTCTTGCGCGTTCACGGAATTCTGGTATGATGCCCAATCTTGGATCCGTCCACTCACTGAGCACATCAGCAGGTGAATTGCTGATGTGCAATAGCTCTTTATTCGATGTCAACATGTTCAAATTGGTCTGGAAACCGGTTGTTTCAGCGATAGCATACGCCTTCATTAGCTTTGACGATGACTACATCATCCAACGCGCCGTAGCTGGCTTCCGACAATGCGCTACACTCGCCAGCCGATTCAATTTACCCGACGTATTCGATTTCGTCGTTGTATCCCTCTCCCAGGCGACCGGCCTCCTTTCAGAGTCGCTTCCCGCCCAAGTCCCAAATTATCCCGTGGTAGAAGTCGAAGGGCAGGCGATAACTGTTTCCACCCTTTCGGTGAAATTCGGTACCAATTTCAAAGGACAATTGGCAGCAGTCGTCCTATTCAATATAGTCAATGGAAATGGCAACGCTCTTCGTGAAGGGTGGACCCAGGTGAGAACACAGTTTCAAAGAAAATCCTTAGGAAGACCTGACTTCGTCTGCAACAAAGATATTCGAGATGTTCCAGAACCTATTCTTGCACTCTCTGCTACCGACACGTATGCTTCAAATGGAGGACTTCCTGGGTGGCGTTTCTATGATTCCCTTGCGCGGTAGTCAACCAGCTCGTCAGCAACACCGGAACGACACCGGTCTCTTGTCTGCGCTATCCTCATATCTCATGACGCCATACGGCTCCAGCTCCGATTATCTCGTCCCTGATGCTACAGAATCTGACGTCGAGAACACGCTTTGTACGATTGACTGCATTACATCATGTAGGCTCGACGAGCTCTACAGCCAGATCATGTATGTCCCTCCTCCTCTATATAGGTTGCTGCTCCTAAGCTTGCATACCCCAGGCAACTGGATTCCGACGCTCTCGTTGCTGCTACTCGGGCATTGGAGGCGCTCGCCCATGAAAGAACTGTCGCTAGATTTAAACAAGAGTCTGACGATGGCACTATAGAAATCGACGGCGAGGCATTCGCTCTACCCTATGATCCGGCTTCGGTATTTCTGCTCGAAACCATGGCTAGCATTGCATGCCAAAATAGCAGTCTGATCGATGAACTTTGGTATGTCATGACTCCTTCACGCTGCGCAATGCTTATCTCCCTCCTATCCTAGGCCAATTGTCTTTGAGCATTTATCTGCAGTGGTGTCTTCAGCGAATCATTATAGTGTTCTGCTTGTCGAGAGAGCGATAGTTGCTTTCCTTAGATTGTGCCTCATTCTTGCAACCAAGGTTAGTTCTGTTTTTGTCATGCGACGCCGATTGCTTCTGACGGTTATAGGCCTCGCTTCGAGATCAAGTTTATGTATCGTTCGATCTCCTTGCTGGGTTACCCGCCAATGTTGCCGCTGCTGTCGCAGAACAAGTGGTCTCGGGAGTGGTTCTCTTAATGCAAAAGTATCCGGAAGTAGCCAGGTGCGTACAAACCGTGTCCTATGGCAACACTAGATGTAAAAGAAAACTTTCGTTTTTAGGTCCCAGACGGAATGGAATATCGTCTTCGCTCTCCTTCGATCCATCATGCCAAACCCTGAAGCATCTCGGCTCTCCTTCGAGTTCATCGTTAGTCTAGCAAGCGACGGACCAAACCAAGTTGTCACTCCAGATAGTTTCGCCGGGCTCGTCATGATTCTAGACGACTTCGCTACAGCTGCTGGGAAGGCCATCGAAAGTCAACAGACGAAGGGTCGTCAGAAGCAGCAATTGACGTCAGCACAGTGAGTTTACCCACCACTGTGATGGTTGCGACAGAGCTTCCCTCATCCTAGGTCACCTATAATCGAACGAGGGCGAAAAGCGGTCGATTTAATATCCGAACTGAAGAAATTCATGTCTGTGTTCTTGGATTCAAACATACCGCAAGGCCAAGGTTTGTCGCAAGTCACATATACCGAAAATTGCGGCTCAGCGTGTTCTAGTATGGTACCAGTACTGCTTCCCCCTCATGAACTCTCTGGGAAGACAGTCGACCAATGCCGCAAGAGAAGTTCGCTACAGCGCGCTCAGCCAGCTACAACGGCTACTCCTTGGACCCTATATGGTGTTCGAGAATATTAATCCCATTCAAGTCGAGGAGATATTTAATCGCGTGCTATTTCCATTGTTGGACGACCTAGTGAAGCCGCAAGTAAACGAGCGTGACCCACAAGGGATGCCAGAAAGCCGCTTGAGAGCCGCCACCTTCCTCTGCAAAGCCTTCATGCACTTTGAAGTCCGGGAGAGCCAGGCGGACGCGGACATACGCATAGTCTGGATTCAAGTCCTGGATTTGTTGGACCGTTTGATGAATGTAGACAAGTCTGAACCATTAGTAAGTGCAACACAGACAAAAAGCACATTCATATGATACACAGCTGATGTTTTCTGTGTAGTATGAAGCTGTACCGGAATCGCTGAAGAATGTGCTGTTGGTCATGAACGCTGCCGGTCTCCTTGTGCCTCCTCCGTCAGAAGAGGATCAACGGACGGAACGCCAACGTACGGTATGGACGTCGACACACGAGCGCATGGAACGCTTCTTGCCAGGTTTCCTATCAGACGTTATCCCACCTCCCCGAACGTCGGCATCCGCACAACCCACGTAGGTTGACAGTGTGCTCACGCATGATGATGTACCCATGGACGTACATGAGGTTGGAGCCATGAAAGAGATTCAGCAGTGCACAATTATTTGTATTATTGGTACAGTTTATTCATTATGTACGGTCAGGAAGAAGAGGTCATTATCACATCCCCGCCGCGAGGCATCAAATCCAAACCAGCCACCGAGCTCCTGAGCGCGCGTTCCCAAGCCTCCTCAACGCGATACCCACCACCACGCATGATCCCCTCCCTATCTCTCCGTACGGCTTCGCTCATCACATCATCATACCCCCCGGGCTGCATCACAAACATATCCTCATACGCATAGTAGTCGTCCTGAAGCGGTACGTGCGGCGGGTCGGGCACAGCGTTCTGCGCCGCCCGCGTCCGCAGCGCCCGCGTCGTCTCTGCGGCGGATATCATGCCCTTGTTCCCCGATGCCGCCCTTGCACTCGACCGCTTCTGCGCCTCCGCCCGCGAGCGCGCAACTACTTTCCGCGCATCCGTCTGGCTGTTCTCCAGCTTGTCGATGAGTTCCCGTTTGTCTTTCTCCTTCTCTTCGCGCTCCTCCTCTTCTTGCCGCCGAAGCTTAGCAGCGCGTTGCTCGCGCTCTCGGCGTTCTGATTCTTCCTGCTCTTTGAGGGACTGTGCGTAAGCCTCCTCCCGTTGTATGTTGAGCTCGATTATGGCAGCATTCTCGGTGCGATATTGAAGTATTCGAGCTTCCGTCTTCGGAAGGTCAATCTCATTTATGAGATTAAACGCTGACAGTGTCCACTTCGTCAGCCAGAAGCGATAGCAAGGGTATCGAACATACTAATATCCTCCACTTCTTCCAGATAATCGTTGAACGAGCGAAGGTCGGGGAAGTCTTCTCTCCTTTTGTTGAATCTACGACAGAACATCATTAGCATTGGTTTCTGTGAAGCGCAAGGTGAGGATGAGGCTGACTCTTTCGCTATCCTACGGCGTATAGCGACTTCCTTCTCTACGCCCAGATCCTCGAACGTCTGCGGCATAAACGCGAGTTTGCGCAGCACCCTCGTGCAGCCGGGTGCGGGGCATGGAGCGGGCCCAAGGGTGAACAGGCGGTCAATACATGATTCACACCTACACGTTATTCGATTCAATAAGAGAATAAATGAGTAAATGAGTAATTCCAATAGTGTGGGGAAGTCGTCCGCACCGACATTTTGTGGTAGCAAGTGCTTACAAGGAGGCGCAGTTTGTTGTTTAAGTAGCGGTCGCTCTTGCATACCGGACATTGGTCGTCTGCTGACTAGCATCCATACCCCACCATTCAATACAAGAGGAGCTCCCTCCCCTCCCCAAGGGAATAAGCATAACGACTTACAGAGAATTCAGACACCCTACCCGAAGGATCCTTGACACCCCCTCCCGCCCCTCCGCCCAGAAAGATGCTTGTCGGTGCCGAAGAGGTGGAGGTCGACCCGACGACGGAAGGCGTGGTCGACCGTGTGTGGGATGCTGAGCGAAGAGCTGATGAGGCGGACAAGTTGCTACCCTTGCGAATTGTCTTTCCCTGGAGCCAGGTGCCAGCAACATTGGATCGCGGGTTGGAGGACATAATGGTTTCTACTCAGGACGAGCTTGAGCGTGAGTCGATCATGACTAGTGGTCACGAGACCGAGTTACCCCTGTTGTTTCCTATATTCTCCCATTCGCAACGAAATTCAAGTTCAAATGCGAACCACCCAAAGAAAAGATATATAGTACATTTTGATGGATAGGCAACTCATAACTACCCAACGACACCAAAAGCAAAGGTCGGAATCCCATATAGATCTACGATAGTCCTCACCTCGCCTTCCGGTATTCCGTTGGCGAGGTCTCCAGATCCAGCACCCGCCGCCACATACAGCGGCACAAAATGGTCTTCTCTCGGATGTGCAGCCCTAAACCCCGGATGTTTTGTCAGCCCGTACATCGCTTCCTGTCTCTTAGCAGGCTCCGGCGTCGCTATGGCCTTATGCAGCGCCTCGTCGAAGGATTTATACGCCGCGCTTGCCGTATCTGGGTGGAATGCCGAGAAATCGCGCAGGTTGTGAATCGTGAGGCCCCCGGAAAGAACGAGGATGTTCTCCTTCCGCAGCTTGCGCACGGCCTCGCCAACCTTCCAGTTGTCAGCGGGCTTGAGGGACGAGTCGATGCTCGCTTGGACGATGGGGATGCTGGTGAACTCGTCGCCGAACATGATGCGGAAGGGGACGAATACGCCGTGATCGAGGCCTGGGCCAGTATAGCCGCGCCCGTCTTCGCCTCGGGCTTCCGTGCGGGGTGTAGTGCGAGCTGGGAGACCTGCCTTCGTAGAAAGTCCAGCCAAAGTGCCGTTTTGTAACACAAGTGATACTCACTTCTTTGAAAAGCTCGACGACCCTGTTAGCTAGTGTTTTGTCCCCTCGCGACTTAAACTTGAGTTGATAGAGTTCCGGGCTGAACCCATAGTAATCCATTAGCAGAGGGTTCTCATCACCATAATCAGTAACTTTAGCACAGGTCAGTCGTCATTGGTAATAGCAAATGAACATCGCAGCACACCTAATCGTTGTGGAGACTCCCAATGCGCACTGAACACCACTATCCCCTTTGGCTTGTACTTCTCCAGCAGCGCAGGCCCGAAATCCCGCAAGAAGTTGGCAAGTGGGCCATTAGGACCTTGATACGCCATCAAGCCCTGTCTCGCGCCGAAGACTGCGTGCCCCCCAGTCGGAGGCGTGGCAAGCATGGGCGACCCATGCGCAAAGAAGAACGCTGGGATATTATCGGGCGTCGAGGGCAGAGCATCCAAAGCTGCTTTCCAAGGTTTGGTCATCGTGGTTGAAGATAGACGTCGTACGGTGAATAGAATTGCTACGAGGCCAGCCAGGATGGATATGGGATATATATACGCTGATCCGAGGATGCCTCTGGACATCAGTGTGTCAGCGCCGACTCAGCGGTAGTAAGCGGAATTATGAGAACTCATGGACTTGCAATCCATGGGATGAGTGATCTCGGCGGGACAAGTATGAAGCTTCTACCCACGTGATCTCGACGCGCTCATCTTATTCATTGCACTCCTTTACAGTCGCATTCTCCATAATCGCTACTACGATCAACGCGACTCGTGTTCCAGCCTTGAACTACGCCAGGGCGCAACCTATGCCTGCTAACAAGCATGGATCCTCCTCGAAGAGCCACTTTGGCGGGGAATCTCCGGATACTAACGAGTAAGCTTCATCCAGCCATTGTGTTCATCCATGAAAGTGAAGGCGAAATAGCTACAACTGCCAATTCTGCGGGGTACCTCTAGCTGATCGGCCCGATGTGAAGATATGTCGACACTATCAACGCCATTACCAAGGTGCACACATACAACACCCGGTCTGAGGCCTGACATTCACAATTGCGTGGAATATGTAGCACAGAACCAGCAGGAGGAAGCTACGCAAAGTACCAGCAGCGCCGCGGAGAAGACGGTGAGAACGGGGCAAGGCAAGGAGGCATTTTGGTACCCTTCTTCGAGCTCACCGCCCCCACCCCATTACTACCCTGGTTGGCACTATTCTTGTATATGGAGGTGACATGCGCTGAGGATGCTTGTATAATAGGTATGATAAAACTCCTGCAGCGGGCTTTGAAGCAGTTACAAGCCAAGGGCCAAACAAGACGTGCAGTACTTTGCTACGAACAAGCGGTTTATATCCCGAGGGAAACTTGGGACGCCACCTGGGGATGCGGGTCAGTTCTCCCGCTGCCATTCGTTTTCCTACGTCACCGTTTAACGCCATCCAGATATAGGAACTTCTTGATGGCTTGTGCTGCTCTGATGGACCAGCAGCTACAACCTCTCTACTTTCCGTTTCTTGATTCACCTATCTCCCCTGGTGTGAGAAATCTTCAGCGTTGGATTGAGAATGCTTGGAAAGATGGCAAGTGCTTACGACGGCTTGTTGACGCCGGTTCGACTGTGGCTCAGTAATATGTGCCTAGGCTTTGACGAAGAAGGCCGCAAGGAGTTGAAGAACTTGGTGAATACCAGGAAATGGATAGGCACGTCAGGTAAGCTGTTTGACAAGTCTTACCTGAACTATTCTTAATCCCTAATACCATATGACCGCCTAGATCTATGGGTGGCATTCACTTACCGCCGTATACCGTTAGTGCCGCGGTCTGTGTAATACGGTCTTTCTTTGACTTGCTTTCGACAGTGCAGAGTTGGTGGAGTTCAAACTAGAATCTTCAGGCGTCCAGCCTCTAATCGACTGGATAGTTGCATATTTCTCTTCAAGCAGTCTATCGCAAATGAAGGACTTCGATGCTCGCAAATATATCGAAGGTGTACCTCAAGGAGAGGCAGTCAGAATCACTGAAAGGATGCCCATCATTCTCCAGCATCAAGGCCATTCGAGGACGATCGTGGGATACGAAGTCACGAAGAAGGGAGAAGTCAATTTGTTGACCTTCGACCCCTCCAGGTACCTTTCTTCATGCTCATCCACTGACATATCATATGTATACATATTCTTCTGCCTCAGAGTCCCGAAACCCGCCTTACGTCGGGCAGCATTATCTCTATGGGGCGGCAACCCAGACGCATCTTCGCGAAGCGATGGCCCTTTAACAAAGCATCGCAGTATACGTGATTTCTTTAGTCCAGCTTCCCGTGCCTCATCGCATCAAAAGCGGAAGCCATCTCTTGAATCATCCCCCGTCGAACAAAAGCGGTCACGACAGGATAGCACCGTACCTGCCGCTACTAGAGCTAACACGTCGGGCGCAGCGGCCAAACCACCAGTGAATGGGTCAGGGCAGAGTAACTTGATCAACTTGGTAGACGACCATGACGAGGAGAAGGCGGAGGTGGAGGTGGTAGGAACGAATGCACCCACGAAAGGGACCAAGAAGCAAGCCAAGACCGAGCAAACGAAGCTCGATGGCCTGGTGGAGAAAATGCCGCCCAGCCAGGTCCTCGTCTCCTTTCGGTTGGAGTCTAAGAAACTCGGGTACGCTTGAAAAGCACTTAATCATCATTGCCACAATCGTCTCAACTAACATTTACTCTACACGTTATACAGGAACAAGAAGGAATACCAGATCTTATATTTCCCAATGACCGCACCGTTGACGGAGAAAGAACAGAATGCGAGGAAGGTCGTGCGCAGTACCAGATATTGCTAATCACTTGATGCCGAATGTGTATTTGGGAGAATTTTTGGGGAGATCATAGCGTGTTATAACTGTATAATGGGCACGGATAATGATGTATAATTAATTTCGTAGATTAGTTGGTACATGTACATAACAAATCCTTAATCTTGCACATGATTTCTTGGCTATCATCTGACTCGGGAGCAGGAGTGTAGTAGGTTGGCCAGGCTTAGTTCGGTGAAGGCGCTTGCCGTACGTTGTGTCTTCCTCTCCTTGCGTTTGTCGGTCCTGTGGTGGCGTTCCCCGCTAAATGAAGTATAATCTGTTACTCTTTCTCTGATGCCACGACACTCTACGGCTCGATTTTACTGATGGGCCCAACGCAGTGGCAAACCCGTATTTACAAGGTCGACCAAGAGGACTCGAGACGCGCGTCCACGGCAGATTGAAGGGTATCACCAGGAAAACACCAGCAAAACGTTGGCAGGAGGTCCGATGTGAGCTCCCACGCAAAGTGGACCCCAATGTTATTTTGTAGTGATCGATGATCGGCGAATGGTGCCTTAGACTGCCAGAACGGAGACTAAAGCATCGGAGTCCGGAAAGCCAATTGCAGGAGGATTGAAGACAAGAGGTTTTCGGTCGCCACTACACGTTCGTTGTGCCTAGAATCGCCGGATGAAAGTGAACGGAAGACAGCCTATGCTGGCGCCGCCGGAACACGAGACGTAGATTTCGAGGCGGGCCTTGAGACGTGTTTCGTGCGCTCGGTGAATTTTCGAAGAACAAGGACGAGGGCTCCAGTCTGCTCCAATACTCATCCTAACGACCCGCCACATGAACAGTTTCAGTCAGCCTGTCAGCCTGGCTAGACCGCAAATGTCCGTCCAATTGATGCCATGATGGGCACAAACCGCCAAAATAACATTCGATCAGGGTGTACACGCGCAGCGATCAAGTGAGTTTTCAACTTTCTTGGTTTCGGTACCGAAGAGGATGGTCGAGTGCTCGCGGCCGTCGCCGTCGACAGAAATTCGGAAACGAAGGTGAAGCCATATGTCGGGGTGCTGATGAACGCGGGCGTGATAATGGATGGTGACCCCAGCTTTAAATATAATTTCTTGCATGCCCTTGGGCCATACGATGCCGCATGCTGGAGCCCGCAATCCGTGGAGTCGCAGGCTCCGTTTCGTGGACGACAAGTCCGTTTACACGTGGGTGATCCGCTTGCTCCGTTGATTTTGCGGGGTGCAAGAGCGGTGCGGGTCCCTTATCGGTCCCTGACATCCATGTGGCCAGGCATCGTCGTCGTGCGCTAAGCGTTTCACCTCGAATGCGCCTTGAATCATGGGCTAACCTCTAATCCCTTTAGTAGCATTTCAAAATGTAGACCGTCGTATCGTATATCCGTGCGCGACTTGTGATTCAACCTGATCACGACCGTAGCCTGGTGTCCCCTGGAGGTGAGTTGACAGCTCGCATATGTTCTGCGGTTTTGCGGATATATGTATGACCTTCGTTTCGTTCAGACCTCCCCACGCGTCTCTGGCCTAAGACGAACGTTTCACCCCTCCTCCTACGCTGGTGCCTTGCTCCACTTCGAACTTCGCAATCATGCCGTACGGTGAAGGACAGACGTTGGATAACATGCTTGGATCATTGTTTATTGGGTCGGTGTTGGCAGCAGTGTAAGTCGAGCTTGTGTTCTTCTGCAGCGGAAACAGTAATCATATCTTGCGCGATGCAGGCTGTACGGAGTGACCAGCCTGCAATCCTACTGGTACTATCATTGGTTCTACAAGCGGGACTCCACGGTGCATCGGGTAGCGGTACGTTGGCCCGCTCCTTCGTCCCCCCTTCTGGCCTGATTCACCAGAACCGCTAGGTTGGTGTGCTATGGACACTCGATACCTTCCACCTATTCCTCATTGCCCACGGTGTATACCATTACTGCGTAACGGGATTCTCAAACCCGACGACACTGAATGAGATTGTCTGGTGAGCTCAGAACACTAACAAGCTTGTTATGTTGCTCACCCTCCACTTGTGCAGGTCCATGAAGGTGTGCATCGGCGTGTTTCCCAGCACGGTGCTTAGTTATTGACAATAATGGCAGCTTCAAATCGTGATCAACGTGGTCATCATCCTTCTGGTGCAGGGGTACGTTCTCTCCGCTGCTTTTATGGCGCCGACACTCATTCACGAGTTGGCAGATTGTATACATACCGAGTGTGGCTCCGTAAGTTCCTTAATTCTTCCCCGCAGCGTTCTGTCTATAACCCGCACTCAGTTGGCGGGTACCACAATGCTCTTCTGGCCTACGTCGTGGTACGTTCAGTACTATACATCTAAGCAGACCCGATTACTAACGAGGAATGATAGATTGCGACCGTTGCAGGCGCCTTTGGTACGCACTTAACATTGCTTATTGATGACCTCCTGTAGTAATCATTCCTCTCCTACTCAGGGATTGGCATGGTCCTCGCACACCAAGTGTACGTACAGTCTCCAACTACGCCAGGAGCTCCTTCCTCACCTGGAATCTAGTTATACGTTGAAAGACATAGCCGACCATCAGAAGATCGGTGTAAGCTTCCAAACTCATTATATCTCATCAAAACAACCCGACTCACGCCACATCTATTGCAGTGGGCGATCATCTCGTCTCTCGCAACGGCTACCATTGTCGATTTTATCATCGCCGGTGCGATGGTATACTACCTTCAACGGAGTCGAGGGCTGCAATCACGGATGAACTCCAAGATCGCGACCATGATGCAATTCGTTCTGGGATCTGGCTTTCTTACCAGGTATGTTGGCTAGCTCATGGAGTGCGACACCGGAATTAACTTTGTTCCATAGTGCATGCTCTACATCAGCATTGATCGCCGTAAGTGTATCCTGCAGCCAGTGTAAGCAGACGTGCTAACCCGTGTGTTGACAGTATGTTGTCATGCCAAAAACGCTTGTATTCATGGGCATCGAGTCACTCCTTACGAAACGTCAGTTACCTCAGTGCTTACATCGCTGCGAGAGACAATATTAACCTAACTTTGCGATTTTAGTATATATCAATTCATTCCTTGCTATGTGAGTCTATCCAGTCAACCATCGAAAGGTAACGGTCCAACTAATTGTTCTGCTCGCAGGCTAAATGCTCGTGAACGAGTTCACCAAGAACCGGACTCTCGCTTGTCCGTTCGCATTACCACAAGCCTGTCTAAACCTAACGCGAGTGATCCACCAAGCGGTCTGAGTGCTGCTTCGTCGGACAACTCCCTTGCTGTAAGTCCCCTCATCTTCTACCGTCATACCTTAAGTATTAGACTGATCGCCGATTCACCTCAGAACCGAAGCATATCGTTTAAGTCCCCAGTCTCGCCATCTCCCATACTAGTCAAAGAATCCAAAGGGATATCTAGCGACCATCCATACCCTTGGTGATCCCCTCCTCACCAAAACTCCTCTTTACATACACTCACATCCTCGCATTCCGCATGCCCCCTCTCTCCCGTGGCATGGACATCATCTAGCACATACTTTATCTTGGTCTCTCGAATTGGCTCCTGTAGCATGGAAAATTTGTATCAGTTCGTGTATATGTGCATTCGGTAGCTTAATACCACACCGGGGTGTCTGTGGCCCCTGGATCGATGGGCGTACAATAAATTGAATAATTTCGTTAGGTTCTAGGCAGATTGGGTGTGTGCTTTGCCGTGAAGGTGAGAAGGCATCCCCTATGAGCATCAGGGGCTAGTTTACGTAAGGGGATTTCGATGCTCGACGCGTGTACCGCACATATTGACCACTTCACCAAACCACTCACTTAGATCATGTCGAGGTCGTACGATCGCGGTACAGTCCCATTCTCCACGCGCAAGGACCTTTGCTGATATACTACATTATAGCGCTCACCGTTTTCTCCCCGGACGGGCATTTGTTCCAGGTCAGATCGCGATCATGCACGCATTCCGCGCATATATAACACGAAATGCGAAGCGGTTAGCTGACGAGACAGTGGTGGTGGTTTATAGGTCGAATATGCTTTGGAAGCCGTCAAGAAGGGGACATGTGCTGTAAGTGCACCGCGCATGGCGACATCCATCTATGTGGCTGGTAATTGAATTGAATTGAACGGGAACCAGGTCGGCGTTCGAGGCGCAGACGTGGTGGTGCTCGGCGTCGAGAAGAAATCGATCCTGCAACTCCAAGATCCACGCACGGTCAGGAAGGTGGTCATGCTTGACGATCACATATGTTTCGCCTTTGCAGGTACGCGCTTTTCTACACGCAATCGTTAGCGAGACGTCGTCAATTATTGCTACACTTGTACGATGCTCATTCGCATATGAAGGTCTGACTGCCGATGGGCGCGTTTTGATCGACAAAGCCCGGGTGGAATGCCAAAGCCACAGACTCACAGTCGAGGACCCCGTCACCGTCGAGTACATCACAAGACATATCGCTGGAATCCAACAAGTAAGTCCCCCTTCATTCACTTCACACCCTCATACCCTCTAACCTATTGTGTGTTTATAGCGATACACTCAATCGGGAGGTGTCCGACCGTTCGGAATCTCCACCCTCATCGTCGGATTCGACCCGTACGACACCAAACCGCGCCTCTACCAGACAGAACCCAGTGGCATCTACAGCGCCTGGAAGGTGCGTTTCGACCTCCCTGCCCCTCACCTGTGCTTTCCTGTAGGATGCATGGCCCAACTAACATCACGACATCGATCTGTGCAGGCGAACGCTATTGGCCGCTCATCAAAGACCGTCCGCGAATTCCTGGAGAAGAACCACAGAGACGACCTCACGCGCGAAGAGGCGATCAAACTCACCGTAAAGAGTCTATTAGAAGTCGTGCAAACGGGCGCAAAGAATATCGAAATCAGCGTAATGGAGAGCTACGGCAAAATCACAGTGAGTTCTACCTCCATTTGTCGCCGCAGTCTGGGTTCTGATTATATGCCCTCGAAGCATCTCGACCTTACGCAGATAGAGGCGATCGTGGCCGAGATAGAAAGGGAGAAGGAAGCAGGTGCGTTTCGTTTCTCGTTGTCTTTGAATATGTTCGCTCATGTGTATTATAGAGGCGGAGAGGAAACGATCACGATTGGCCGCTACAGCTGCTGGCCAAGCAGCTATGACGCAGCGCGCAGGAGATGCTGGACCGTCGCAGTAAATTCACATCTGGTCTGTATTCATATTACGATTTTGATATCAACAGCATAACACATCCAACACGAGAACCTCAGCGAGACCTACAGTCGAAGCGGGATATATAATAAATTAAACACAACAAGCGACAGCATCAAACACCAGTGAAGAGAGTCCATACACCCTTAGCATACTGTACTATCTCGTTTGCCCCCAACTTACTTTCGCCGAATATCCGATCTACGAATGTAATCGGCACCTCACCTACAGAATACCCTAATGCTCGTGCGCGGACCATCATTTCCATCTGGAACACGTATCCCTTCGACTGTGTCACCGAGATGATGTGGCGGAGCACAGGCAGACGGTATAATCTACCACAGCATGTTAGCTGAACGTCGCAGCATTCGAAGGGCAAACACACCTGAAGCTACCAGTCAGATCGCTGACCCCCGGGCTGAGCACCGTGTCGGCCAGGTAGTTAGCACCTCGGGACACGAGCTTCCGCTTCAGATCCCAGCCGTGCACGCCTCCGGGTGTGGCTTCAGCCAAATGAGGTGTTGAGGTCGACCTGTATCGCGTTCCGGTCACGATGTCCAGATTGTAGGCTTTTTGTAGGCTGCACCGTTGGTTAGGCACGGAAAGACGAGGCGCTTTCAGGACACGTACGCAATGAATTGAGGTATGAATTTCGGCTTCAGAAGAAGTGAGTTGGCGGAAACCCAAGGTTGTATGGTGCACGTACGTGGTGAGAAAAGTCCGCGTCCATGATAATCACAAAGTCTCCAGAGCAGAAATTCAGGCCGTGAACGTATGCGGTTCTGCGAGTACCTCAACAACCAAGTCCACTAGCAAAGTTGTGCATGGTACGCACCCAAGTCCGAGTTTTCCAGCTCGGGGTTTGAGAAGCTGGATATTCTTCAGCGCGAGAGCGAACGCCAGAATGCCGAGTTACGCACAATCTTATCTTCGCCGTACACAGAAGCCAGCTGTTTCGCGATATCCTGAGTACCGTCCGGACTCGCGTCGTCGACAACGATGATCTCCCAGGCCAGCCCGCTATTGATACAGTTGGTGACAACCCCCCGGCGGATACGTGCAAAAACGTACTGTTCATTGAACGTCTTAGCGAGCAGCCAGACTATTATGGGTAGATTCTTGCGCTCATTGTAAGTCGGAAGGATAACAGAGTATTTGTGGGTATCTTGGGAGTTGAATTGACCTTGCATGCTGAGTGAGGCACTGCTCTCAAACGGGTTCATGAAATGAGAAATGATTGATGAGCCTCAGTATTTTGCCTAAGTCAGTATAAAGTCCACGTAAGTCCATTTTTTGATGGAATTCGTCAGTTTCCGTACCTTTGATGTAAAAATTCCGGCACCTTCCTCTTTTGATCTTGTGCGGAAGGTCCCGACGAAATCTAAGTCGGTGAAAAGCAAACTTACAGTGACTTAGTTTGACTGGGAATGGGAGCGTAAAGTAATAGGATTCAGACATTGCTTATGTAAGGGGAACTAATCCCAGGGGCGAAGATGCATTAATCGAGAGAACATTAAGGCTCTAGCCTAAGAGCAGTTGCTCAGGAAGTGACAAAGGGGGTATCTTGAGGGTGCTGAATGTCGGATAATGCAGGGGTATTTAGATACGAGACGAGAGACTTGGAAGAGCATGAATACTGGTGACAGGCGCTGGTGCCCCCCTGTCTTCAATTACATAATCTTTTTTGATTTCGATGGCCAGTTCAATTGTTGGACTTCAACGTTTCGACGTTTCAACTCCTCACCAACATCCCCAATGTCCACTTATTTCTTCGACAACCGTTCACAACACTTGGGGCATTCAATGCGGCCCCGAATTGAAGCTCTTGACATCTCTTCTCGCCGTAACGCGCCCCGTGTGGATAACAACTGCTCCAACTCTCTGGATCCACGCGCCTGGCAAACAGACTACTGGCAGGATTCCCATTCCCCTACGCGCTTCGCTAACTATTCCGACTCTCATACTCAAGTTCAAGCTTCCAGACCACTCAATACACGCAATCATCATGCCATGGACACGGAGGGGGTTTGTGAGTACCTTATATTTCAACGTCAATGTGATGCCTCCAGCCAACCAGTTGTATGTATGACTCAGCTATATCCTCGTATCCAAATGATCCCACCCCTTCTTACCAATCAACTACCCCTGCCGGCCTCCATGGATGGCTTTCTACCCCACCCCACCTACTACGCCCGCTTCCAGATTACATATATATATTGCATCATGTTTACTATTAGTATGAATTTATTTTATTGCCTGAGAACGGTTTTGTACTTGACTTAACCTGACCATCACTGACCGTGAGCGACTGTTGCGTTGAACATGGTGGCCTGACTTTCCATGACTGACTTAGACACTAACAGACTTGACTTGACCTGTTTTCTTCGATACCCGAAAGGGACCCACAAAATCATTTTCAAGTCATTTTACGGTAAATATTCCGGCCTAGGTCCGGCTAAGTCATTATTTTATGACTCACACAGACTTAGGCAAAACACTGAGGATGAGCACTGAGTTGTGAACGTGTTCCGATGGTGCGTGGGAACTTTGAAATAGTCACGATTCTGGCAAGCATGCCAGTTGCGGTTCACAATCAACCAATTCCCAGCAAACCGGTCAACCGTCGATGAAGAACATGGTGATAATTCACAAGCAAACAGTGTACATTGACTCAGGGAATAAGAATACCGCCACAGTGGACGGCTTGAGGAACGACACCTCTGCTTCAAGTCTCCAAGGTCGTGCCATTTACAACTATATCAATTAGCCCTGAAGTGCACACTGCATCGCACCAATTGACTTGTTCAACGGGTTTGGTATTTATTTCAACGATTGAACCGGGAGGTAAATAGGCGGACCTGACGAAATTATTCAGTCTACGAACAAAGTCCATGTTCGTCACGCTGATGCCTTACAGCACTTTGCTACTGCACGGGTAACTCTGTTGTAGGTCTGTTATCAACACGCATACAGATTGAGTCAATCCTATCTTGGGCACACCCTCGGGTTGAGATACCATTATGGTCGAAGTTCGGACTGTGCCCAAGCTTCGGTATTTGGTTGGTACTAAACTTCGCAAAGAATTTCATTTTTGTGAGCATGCTGCACGTCGCTGCAGCAGAGTAGTTTCTGGTCAATGTACGCCATCACTGAGTTGTCCTTGGATTTCTTGTGCTTGATGCACGTTTGCAACTAGTATGCATCAATACTAGCAGTATTTCCTCTCCGCTTCCGTTTCCTCCGTTCCGCTTGTCACGTGCACATTTGGTTACCTTCCCGCTTACAACAATACAACGGGCCACAATATATATTTACCGCCCTCGATCCTGCGATATCTTGATTGAATAATGGCTGATACAGACAAACTCCTTGTCACAGAGGCACATCTTGCTCTCAATGAAGTATGTCAGCTCCCCCAATCGCGATGAATACTCAAAAGTCGAATCCCAGGACCCTAGGCCCGTCGTCTGAAGGCAGAACGAACCAAATCGCTGGGCTCGCCGATCCAACTTCCTGGAATGGCGCTGTCCATTATTGTCAGAGGCGGAGATGCTTGGATAGCGGAGAACACGCATGTCATTCGCAAGATCAATCTAGAGGTGCTCGTTTTCGTGATGCATGGTTCAGCGGTGTCTGATGCTGGGCTAGTCGGGGAGGACTCTGCAGTTATTCCGCGGGCATACAGGACCCGTTACATCTATCGCCTTTATGGACAAGCGCTATGGGAGCGGCGACAGGAAGATTCTAATCAGTGGATCATGGGATCAGGTCCGATACATATTGCTCAACATGAGAGGATTCCTCTGACACCGGTTTAGACAATCAAACTGTGGGATGTAGATGTATGTTCGACAATCCACAGCCGCAATACAAAGCTAATACGCCAACGTAGTCGAAAGAGCTCTTATCCTCAACAGAGGCCCACTCGGACTTTGTCAAGGCCCTCCTTGTCTTCCCATCTCTGCAGCTTCTGGTGTCAACAGGCTCGGACAAGATTGTACGTCTTTGGTTTGTCACTTTCTTGATCCCTTCAATGTCGCAACTAACGTGTCTGCGAAAGGGATCTGTCAAAAGCGGCGTCAGGCAGCCCGCTAAAATGCGTGGGCGTGATATCAGCCCACACTAGGCCGGTGGAATCGCTAGACGGACAGGCACTGTCATCAACATCTGCCAATCTTTATACGGCTGATACTATGGGCATGATCAAGCTCTGGGAATTGAACAAGGGTGATGGGGATGATGGATGGCGTAGCTCGCTCAAACAAGAGCTGAACTATCATCGCACGAAGATTAATGAGATACTATATGGAAATGGCCAGTTGTGGACAGGTAATGCACGCGAGCCCTGTTGAACAGTCAACTTCTAACGCATCACGAAATATAGCCTCTGCTGATGAGACTGTCCAGATCAAACCCACAGACCAATCACCATATCTTATCGCGCATCCTACCACAGTGCGATGTATCCTGCCACTCTCAACCACGGACCTCGCCGAGCCATACGTGCTAACAGGTGCAGGAGATATGATTCGGGTCTACGATGTTTCGTCACCGCAAGAACCCGAACTGATCAGTGAGATGGACGCGCATTGGCACGATGTTACCGCCTTGCGGTTATGGGTCAGAAAATTCGTCGGGGACGACGGCAGGCAAAGGGTGGAGCCCTGGATCATTAGCGCCAGCTTGGATGGGACAATAAGGAAATGGAGGTTAACTGGTAAGCGTGCAGTGCTTGCTCGGGCATCTTCGCGTCTGATGCTCGCTTTGCAGAGTTGCTGAAACCTATGTCGAGTGTCAATGCGACATCTGGGAATCAAGAAAAGGAGGTGGAGAAGCCATCAGAGCCCGAAAACCCGTTTCAAATGTCAGAAGAAGAAGAAAGAGAGCTCGCTGACTTAATGGATGACTGATGCCGTAGGTCTCGCAGAATGTTGGTGGGCGCATGGAAGGTCTTGACGTCGGGCGGGCAATTTCTGATGTCCGAGACGTGTCAGTAATCTCGCCTCCAGTGTACTGTATATTACTTTGGGTGCATAGCCTTGTATTGGTGAGAGCGTATTGGTGAGAGCGTGTGCACGTGATGATGTGCTTCTGGAGTGGTTGGTACCCAAACCAACCAAAGACATTCAAGCGCAGTGCGCCAACTCAAAAGCTCATCGAGCCGTCGTCAAGGTTCTCTGTTCTTCCCGTCACCCTCTTTCCATGAATATCCCCCGCTCCTCGTCGCTGCCAGCAAGCGCACCCCCCATTCGTCCCCAACCACAACTGGCAATGACTCACACCCACATCCAGGACTCACAGTCGCTCCTGACACCCCCCATGTCGCCTGATCACACGGAAAAATCAGCGTCGGCTACAGCAGGACGGGATTCTGTAGATTGCGATGATGATATTATTGTCGACGCAGAGCCACGGTTTGTTAATTGCTCGCAGGTCGCGAACAATGCAGAGTTCGCACCACCACCCTCAGAGGGCGCATCGACCGTCGATGAATGGCAGGAGTTCGGGGAAATGTCTGTCGATCCCCAAATGCCCGAGCCGGCGGGTCAGCCACCATTGCGGTGTCTGGACGATGAGCAAGTCCATCTGCAACGACCTGGTACCCTCCGATTGACCGATTTCGAGGTCAAGGGTACGCTAGGTGTGTAAGAATTACGTACTTCCGCAGGACTGATTATTGAATGTGAGATTAGGTACTGGCACGTTTGGTCGAGTCCTGCTTGTCCGACACCGGGCACCTCAATCCAACTTCTACGCCATGAAGGTGTTGCGCAAGTCTGAGATCGTCCGCCTCCGCCAGGTCGAGCATGTCAACGCAGAGCGGTATATCCTGTCGCGAGTGCACCATCCCTTCGTTGTCGACCTGTTCGCCACATTCCAAGACAGCCTCAACATCTACATGCTTCTATCATACGTTCCTGGGGGCGAACTCTTCACCCTCCTTCGCCGTGCGCAGCGCTTCACGCCAGACGTCACACGATTCTACCTCGCGACCATCATTCTCGCATTAAAGTATCTCCATTCATTCAACATCATCTATCGCGACCTAAAACCCGAGAACCTCCTGCTTGACTCGCGTGGGTATCTGCGCCTCACGGACTTCGGCTTCGCGAAGATTGTCGACGACCGTACATGGACGCTCTGCGGCACGCCTGAGTATCTTGCGCCCGAAATCATCCAGTCGGACGGGCACGGAAAAGCGGCTGATTGGTGGGCTTGTGGCATCCTTTGCTACGAGATGCTGGTGGGGTATCCACCGTTTTTCGACGAATCGCCATATGGAATATATGAGAAAATTCTGGCTGGCGTGATTCACTGGCCAAAGTGGATGGACAGGTTGTCAAAAGAATTGATCAAGGACTTCTTGCACCCTGATCGTACGAAGCGGCTGGGCAACCTTATTGGAGGCCCTCAGGATGTGTTGGATCACCCTTGGTTTAGAGGTGTCGACTGGGATGCTCTAGAGAGGCGTGAAATCACTGTTAGTATTCAGTGCTGGATTCGGTGGTATAACACTCGCTGACCTATTGTCTTCATTCAATAGGCGCCTATTATCCCTGTCACTTCGTCGGCTGAAGACACCCGAAACTTCGTACATCTTCCTCCTCCCATCCTTGAAGAAATGCCTGGCTTGCAAAGAGAAGAAACCCCACCCCCACTCCAGCAGCGCTTCGACCCTGTCGCATACCAATTCCTTGAATTCTGATCCCGGGTTCAAACTACACTTCACTCCCTAGCTACTCATTTCTTGGACTAGATCTCGTTGCCACTCATTCTCATCTTGTCTGCATCCTCTCTATTTATTCGCGTCCGCGCCCCAGGAGTCCTTGTGTATCCATTTGCGTTCCGCTAAATATTCCAACTTATATTGCTATCCATTTAAATTCAGCCTCACCGCTTATTGTATCATTCATTGCTTGCTAGAGACCCCGTTCTCCCCACTCTCATTTCGGCTCGTTTTTATTCCCCGTCTCCCCATATGTATCCAGTGACTCTGGACAAAAGCCCTCGATACAAATTCATCTTGGCCCACCGCTTCATCTGTATATATAACCCGTTCGTTGCGCTATTTATCCTTTCTTGCCTTGTCCCGCCCCACTGCTGTAGCCCTTCCACCCTACATACCCTATGCGTTTCCTTGGTATTCCACCCATTCCTTGGTCTGCTTTATCGTCGTGTATCTGATATATCAATATATGTCCATCGTCCTAGTTACAAGCACATGAATGAACTGAGACCATTGGATGAGTCAATCTGTCTCTGATCGTGTCACCCGAGACTCGGAGAAGGAAGCACCAATGGCATGGAAAGACATGGACATACACGGTTAGCAACATCGTAATGCAATTTGTACATACATCAGAACTAAGCAAACCAGCAGGGCTAGTCCTGGCTAGACGGTGGCTTCCCAGCCAGGGAAGAATGGGTCCTCATTCAAAGTTCTCTCCTTCCAATCCTTCGGCACCCACCCCTTCTCCTCCTGCTCTCTCGCCCATTCGTCCAATGCAGGCAATGCCTTGTGTTCGACGTGATCGGTGCCCTTGTAGTCGAGAATTGACCGCTTGCCTTCGCGTATAACCTTTGCTACCAATCGCGGGATATATGGCTCCTCCCTGAACCGTGTGATCGGCGTGAAGAGGGCCTTGAAGTTGAAGACGATGTACTTTGATTGCGGCAGCCGGCGAAGGGTCTGCCAATCCACCCGTAGATGAATATCTTCAACTCGAAGACTAGCCGATTGTGTGTTACGGAGGGCGAAGTGCGGGTCGTCTGGCTGGCAAAATAATGGTTGTCCTACTTCTAGGCCCCAGGATCCACGTTGAATGGGCTTGTCAGCCGGCATTTTAGAGAAGAATCTGGGAAAACAACACGGTTAGCTTCATTCAAGGAGAACCGAATAACCAGAATGACCGGTCAATGGAGAGCTTCATTTTATCATAATCTGGCACAACTCGATGTATCTCATGCATCGGTTTACCTATCTTCTCGTCTACGTTCCAGCCGACAGCAGAACAGGCGATCCCAGCACGCATGTGGTATAGCCCGGTCTTCTCATCCTCGGCGGTGAGTAAGAAGTCTTCTGGCACATGTTCCAGCAGGAACACCAATGGAGCAATTTCCTTCGTATTGACCTCGACATCAAGTATCTTATTCACGAAGCGACCGGAGAATGGGTCGAACTGAAATTGGTTGGGATATCGAGCGCAAATGAATTGGATGACCATATGCATAAGCTCCGTGCAGGCGCTTTCACTGCCAGGCAGGTAGTTCAGCACTTTCTTGCCATGTTCAGCGTACAGCGCCTTACGCTGCGCCAGGCGCTCGCGGTACGTAGATTCGAGTTCTATCCACCAATCAGGTTCCATCTTTTTCAGAGCTAGGAACGGTGGGAGAAATGAGTGACGAGTGTGAGGGCGAGTGAAGGAATGCATACCCATGGTCTGGTGATATTCCCACCGGAACGGCCGATAAGGCCTGGGTTTAGCCTTATCAATGTCGAAATGAGAGAGCGGCTTTGGGGGAGGAACACCAGAGAGCTTGAAATAATCCGGGACCCCGCAGAGGAATCCAAGTATTGATAGTGAGTGGGGGTACGACAAGCGACCGTGCCTCCACAACGCCAACATACAGAGTGCTAGAGCACCGATAGCGTAGAGCAACAGTTGCATCTTGAATAAAATTCAAGGGTGGGTTGTGGGAAGGACAAGAGATAATGGACCACCTTCGTATCATCTTCATTGCATTATAAGTGGAGTAGGAGGATCGATGCGTCCCACGGGATCTCGCCTTTCGAACCAGCACTCGGATGACCCTGATGCCCCACGATGATAAGTCGATGTCCAATGACGGACGCCTCAAGCGCTGCCATTGGAGCTACTGAGCGCACGGAACTCTAAGTGAGCATGCCCTACGAAGTGGGCGAATACTTGGAGAAGGATATAATCCTTGGAGTAGAACAGGTAGATGAGCATTGTGGCAGATTGATTATGATACATGGGAAATCAGATATCCAAGTCATCACATACATTACTTGTCCGGTAGAAATATCCAAGTACACGCATATTCAATACTGCGCCGTTTACAGCCGAGCTTTAGGCACAAATTGGGATGTTGCGGACTGCAAGCTGGCGGCAGCTGTGTTTACCAGCTCGTCGACACTTGCTTGCGAATGGATCAGCCAACAGTTACTGGCGGACAAAGGTAACAGTCACTTACATCTCTCGGGCAGGTTTGATATCCTATGATAGAAGAAGGCATGAGGAACAAAACTGTTGACATCTGGGAGAACGTACTTTGATAGCGCCAGCAACTTTGCCCATCAACCCTGTTACATAAAGGGTAAGAAGGTGCTAGGGAAACTTGCAGTGTTACTCACAGGAATGGCCACTGACGGATCTTTCGGGGTGAACCTTGAGCTCTTCTTCGTGTGGCACTTTCCCTTCCGAGAGGAGTTTCTCTAACTCATGACGGCGAGATGTCTCCCTAAGGTTAAGTTAATCACTTGCCGACGGGATGACTACAAGGTGAACGATCGCCTACCATTCCGTCAAGTAAGGTGTTTTGCGGACGCTCATCGGCCTGCCAGAGTAAACTAGCGTGCGGAGGGTGTCGTCGTAGCCTGCGCTTAAGACAGCTTCTTTGTGTGCCTTGGGAGCGCCAGCTTCCACACTAGCGACAAATCTTGTGCCGACCCAGACGCCCGCAGCGCCGTACCTATTCAAAGACCATCAACTATGTACCCTGTTTTACGGGATCAAAAAGGCACTTACGCGAGTGCAGAGGCTAGACCACGACCATCGGATATGCCGCCCGCCGCAACGACAAGAATGGGTTCTCCCGTTAGAGGGCTCTTAGCATTTTTGCAAAGATCAACCACGGCGGGGATCAGGATGGAGAAGGGTGTGTCCCCCGTGTGACCGCCACCTTCACCACCCTGTGCACAAATGATATCGACACCTACGAAAGAATCAGTGACGGGGTACGCATACCGCTGAGGAGGCCAACCTTGCGCAAGAGCTTTCGCAACGTGCTGGACGAGATGAGCCACTCGGAACTCGTGTCAGGGGTAATGACAAACCTTAGGGTGTCCGATCATACTATATAAAGGATTGGTGATCAATACCGACGCAAATCCGAATGTCCGCGGAATACATACTTCATGACCTTGATATTAGCGGCGTGAAGTTTGTCAACGGCCCATTTGGGTGGAACGCCCACAGCGCAGACGAAAAGTGCCGCCTTGTTTTTTATGATAACGTCGATGAGCTCAGGAAGCTGACCAGCGGTGTAGTCGTACTGCAAGTTATTGTTTAGTGTAGAGCGCAAGCAAGTGGATACTAGTGGCTTGCATTGGTCTTTCTAGCACTCCCGCCGACCTGGGGCAGCAGTAGATCAACGCCAAATGGGGCGTTCTTGTCCTCAAGATGGGACTTCAGGTCATCAATGGAACCTTGGAGGAACTTGGGGCTCTGGCGCACGCCTCCGATGACCCCAATGCCACCTGTACGACGAAGCTGAGTTCCCCGCGCGTTCTATCAGGTATCGTGCCACCAACCTGCGTTGGTAACCGCAGCTGCAAGCTTTGGGCCGGCAGCCACGTTCATTCCTGACAACGGTAGCGATTAGACAGCTGCGAATGAACAGAAACGCCAGGACACGAACCCGCTAACATAACGGGGTGGTTGATCCCAAACAACCTAGTGAGGGGGGTAGAGAAGACGGGCTCTGAAGAAGGCATTGCTGGTTGGGAGCAAGAAGGGGGTGGGGGTGGGGTCAGGATCAATTAACGCAGGGTTTATATTCTTTCGCGAACGCCGCGACGATTTCAAACAAACGGGAGAGATGTAAGGTTGAGTAGGCACGCGCCCATTGATTGCCGTAAATCCATCAACGTAGCACAGAGAAAAGGAGATACACTCCGGCTATGCTCTAACCGAGACAGAGTTATTCCCACGGTGGAACCCTACTGGTCCGGCATGTATCGCGGCATCTCAGTTTCACAAAATTCGTTCTGTTGTCCGACGATGGAGTCCAAGTGTCCCGTTGACCATGGCGCTGGGACTACCTCTGCGCCAGAAAAATCCACAGAGTCGGCCTGCCCAGTAGACCACTCATCCCCATCTTCTCCGTGGAGTCGCTTTCTTCCTTCCCGCCCGCCGTCTTCGCAGAACCATCCGGCTGCCCTATCGAATGACCGCGAAACGTCCTCAATACCAAGGGCATCGGACAGTGGCAACTGGGTGTACCCGTCCGAGGCACAATTCTTTAGTGCCATGGCTCGCAAAAACCATAACCCTCAAGCAACTGACATGAAGACGATTGTACCCATACATAACGCCGTAAATGAGCGTGCTTGGTCAGAGGTGCTCAAGTGGGAGGCGGGCCGGGGGAGCGACAAATGCGGGGGTTTGAAGTTGATCAACTTCAAGGGCAAGCCTGGGGAGCGAAGTATCAAAGCCAGGTGGAAGACATTACTTGGGTAAGTGAGGACCGCACATCTCGGGCACCGATGTCTGAAACTGCGCCTTGTAGATATTCTCCACCGTTCGACCGACACGACTGGGTCGTAGACCGATGCGGGACAAAAATGCGATATATCATTGATTTCTATACCGGTCATACCGCAGGTCCAGCTTCCAATAATGTGTCGTTTTACCTCGATGTCCGCCCTGCAATGGATAATTGGGAAGGGGTTAAGATGCGGATGGAACACTTCTGGAGTCGCATCTTTTCCTAGCTTCTTTTAGTGCTGACAGTGGCGAATGATTTAGATTCAACTTTCGCTGGACGTGGTATGGCGATGCAAGTAGATCGGAGGCTAACGATAACCCAGTCGATAGTACCAATTCGTCTACCGGCCTTGTAATGGCTGCACTCTGTGGCTCTTCTCTTCGTAGGCAGAATAGAATATACTGTTTAATGTGAGGTAACCACCAACCCCTAACATATACAACAATGATGAAGCAATACACACGATGAAAGATTCATCGCTGTATCCTCACTTTTTTCTTCGGCCGCGGGGGAGGTGCTGGCTCTTCCACCTCGCTCTCCTCGTCTTCGTCTCCATCTCCGTCGCTCTCCTCTCCATCAGTGATTTCTTCTTCGTCATCCCAACCTGCCGCATCTTCATCCTGTTCCTCTCCGTCATCGTCGTCGTCGTCTTCGTTGTCGTTCTTCGCCCCATTCGCCTGCTTCTTCCGTTGTACGTTCCGTTCCTGCTCCTCCCTGCGTTCCTTACGCAGCTTCTCTTTCGCTTCGTGAGTCGCCTTCAGCGCCGCAGCTTCCTTCTTTGTCTTCTTGACTAGAAACCCGAAAGATACAACGGTTCAAAAATTGCAATGCAACAGTGTGAAGAAACCCACCGAATTCATGATATATAACAGCCCCTTCTTTCCCCGGGACGCCCTCCGTTATTTTGACCAGCCTCAGCTCCATTCTGGGACCGACTTCGTCGAGCCTCACCGCCCTTCTCTGGCCCTTCTTATTATTTCTTCCAACATAGTCATCTGCCAACGAAATCGGATCCCCATCATCGCCAGCTGCAGAAGAAGCAGACGAAGCAGCAGACTCATATCCACCATCCTCCGAGCCCGGCCCAGCTTCCCCTCTCTTCCTCAACAAGAAATCTGCAACGTCCTTCTCGTTGCCTAGATCAAGGAAGCCCGAGGTTGAATTTGTCGATGTTTTTGATTTTGAAGAGGTTGCACCTTCGAGGATTTTCCGAACACGTTTTGATACGCCGTAGGGTTTCACTGTGATAATGAAGTGCCGAATGTCGACGGTGCCTCGGTCTGCATTATAGTGGACGAGGACTATTCGTCGCGCTGAAGAAAGAGTAATATTTTTGGGTGAGAGAGGTGGGAAGAGGGATTGAAAGGACTTCATGAGTAGGGGGAGATGCGGGGGAGTGGTTGGAGAGGCCGGTGGAAACGACGCAAGTACTAGCTATACGCAAGATCGTGTATTTATGTTCATAATATCCACGCACTCCGAATAATGCACAACGTACCAGTGGTGGACTGAGATACTCCATTCCCATTCCTCTTGAATGCCGAGAAGCGTGAAGGATATCTTTCATGAGGCTGTATCTCTCGATTCGGAAACTGAGAGTAGGACCAGAGGATAAACGGACGAGGCGCATTGAGGGGGCGACGGGAGTGAGTGTAAAGGCGAGGAGATGGGTTACATGGAGCGCAGGTGCCATAGTCAGATAGTCTTTTAGTTTGTTGCGGTGTCGTTCCTATGTACTCATCAGCTGGGATGTAGTTTACTCTGCCGGTGGAGAGGACACTCACCTTCAGCCTACTAGCTGTATTGGGTTCCATGACCTTTCTGAGATCCCTCACCAGCTGTGCCAGAGACGATCCGACTTGACCATGCTTGATTATAAAGGATTTAGGCGTTCCATCATTCACCACCGTACTGGCGTCAGCAGCGCCTTTCCCTTTGAGATGGGTTCTATTTTTTCGTCGCCGTCCCATCGAAATCCTGCGGAGAGAGCTGAGAGGAGGAAGTTAGAGGTCAACCGAAATTTTGTTCATGTGATCTCCATTACTCGAGGTGATCGGTGGCTGTGCATGGAGTCCAGCGACTCGAAATCCAAGAAGTAATTGCCTTTTCTCTCAGCGGAGCATATTGTACTGCGTGTATTGTCGGTAAGAGGACACTGTAATATAAGTAGGAGGACTAAAGGTGCGAGCAATGCAAGGTTATCTCAGCTATGCAGCAGCACTCCGCGTACCAGTATACTACCGGCAAGAAGTAAACGAAATATTGCAAGATACCGTATAAACTTGGACATGATCTAAACCTGAGGGTACCAGACATGTTGGAACTTACCGGCACTATCTGACTGATTTCACCCGCTTTCCTTACTGTAGCTGAGACACAGAAGAGATCGTCATTCATGGCGTCAATACAACAAAGCATCGCAACAGAGGTCATCAAAATCATAACAAATTTTCTGGTTGTAAGTATGTTCGCTGCCCAAGCAAGATTCCAAAACGAAAATAGATAACATGTGTTCAAACAGGCGTCACCTTGCGACGCAACGCATCTTGGATATCAGAAATTTTTCTCGCAGTCTCGAGGGTCGCTGGCCCGCCAGGAAGGATGGTGAGACGTTGCTTCGTGGTATTGAGGGAATGCTGAACATTCGGCAATACACGGGGTATGAAATCAGCAATGAGTTTGTCCTATAGAGTTGATTAGTCTCGCTATGAGATAGAAAAAGGTTTGTAGACGAACTTCGGGTTGGAGCAAAGCGACCGAGCGCTGGAGCCACCACAAAGAGGTCTTGAAAGAATCGTCGTTAGGCGGGGCCTCCCCGACAGTAGCCGATAACTAGGAGACATTGTTAGACGATCGATCACAATCCCAACATAATGAACTTACCCTGTGGACCAGCGTCAGGATGACGGCTTGCGAAACGAGGACCGGCCCGTTCAGAGGCATGATCACATCGGGGTTGGTGTGCATGAGGAGGTCACGAAGCTTCGTTGTGTCTTGGGTATGCAATACGCCAAGGTATATCTCGTCCCATTGTTCGGGTTTAACGGGGGGAGTGACAGGCGTTCGTTCTTGTGGCTGAGGATTGGGTTGTGGGAGTGTCGCGGGGTGGGATGCTTGCGGCGCAGCGATACTATTGGAGTACCAAGCTGTGTGCAGCGGGGCGGGAGGCTGCGTTTGAGGAGAGAAATTGTTGTGCCCATAATTGGTAGGAGGTTGAGGAGCGGGTGGTGGCATATTCTGAGCAGCGGGACGCATGTGTTGCTGGGTCATATTGCTAGGGCCATGTTGAATGCTTGGTCCCGGCGAATTGTGGTTTTGTTGAACTTGAGGAAGGTGATGCATAGGCGCTGGTCCGGAGGTAGAGGAATTCATAGTGAGGAACTTGACTTGTTCAGAGAGGGCTCGGACAGTGTGCTCCAATTCTCGAATAGACGTCTGGAGAAATCACATTAAACGCGTAAGTAATTCAGTGGTTAAGTAAGCGTACCTCTTGATTTCGGAATGCATCGTTCTGCCACGCCGTGACCTCGCTTTTGAGACTATGCATCTCCGTACGAAGCTCACGAAGGACTTCCTGGTGATACGATGAAGATTGCTGAGAAAAGACGGGGAGGAACGTCTTCGTAACTGCCTCCTTGACCTGTCTCTCCAGGAGAGGCGTCAAATTTGAAGAGAGGAGATGGGCGAAGTGAGCAGAGATGTCGGGGCGAAGCAGTAGTTTCTCGATTTCGTTTGGTAGACTCTGGTACATGGGGCGGTGGATCAATAAATTGATTGCACGAGAGGGGTGCGCAATACATACCTGGCCAATGAATTCGGCAACACCGCGACCAATCTGGTCATTAAGCGCGCTCTTGACCTCCGTCTTGGTAATATTCTCCAGCGAAGGAAGAACAGAGTTCTGAACCTCGTTCTTGACGGCCATCTCAACGACACGTGTTGTATTTCGTGTGAGCTCGGTCGAGATCAACTTCAGGATCTTCTCTTGTCGGGCGAAGTCTTCGGCTTGTTCATTAACACGGGCTTCTTCAAGTCGTTGGTCTATAATATTCATACATCAGAATGAGCCCTAAGCCGAGCGACAGAAAGCCTACGTTGTTTATCCATTTCCTTGCCGATGAGCCTGCCAATGCGTGTGTGTAGGCTTTCTTCCGTCCTCTTGATCTCTTTGGTAAGCGCCTGGCCCAGAGCAGAGTCGTTCAAGATGTTGGAGTCTACTGGGTTGTTCGACCGATTGCCGTTGCGGTTCTCTTCGCGCTCCTTCCAGTTCACATTCTTCCCCTTCTGTCCCTTTCCTCTAGCGTTATCAGCGCTACGCACTTCCTCCCGGGCGAGATCAGCCTCTACGTCCTCGGACGGAGGCGTTCTCAGCCTAGCAGGAGGGATGATGGTGGATCCCTGAGGAGCGACATTGGGCAGGGTAGACATTTGAGGAGTGAACTGAGGGGGGATCGGACGACCCTTGGGCTCCACATACAAGCTTTGAGAGGCCGGAGCAGGGGGTTGGGGGAGGGAGTAGGAGGGGAATTTGGCCGGCGCTCCAAGCAACGCGTGATCATACCACTCTTTACGTATGAGAATCTGGTCCACCCCAGATGCATGGACGGAGAAGGCGACGAGAGCTAATTCGCCAGGGGGAACCTTCGCGGCGGCGCAAGCCGCAAGCGCTTCATCTCCGTGCGGATCTGCATCCATGGTCAAGATCACGAAGTGAATGGTCGGCTTCGGCCCTGTGAATTCGACAACTTGTTCAAAATAGCCTCGGCCGACATCTTCGCCACTCATCGCAGCTGGGTCCACGTTCAACTTGATCGCAATCATACTGTCGCGCCGGCAGTTTGCTACCCAAAGTGTCTGTATTCTCGTATCGTAGCTGACATGGCCGAACATATCCGGGTCTTCTCGATCGCCATTGACGAACTTAATGGTAGATAATACAGTCTTCGTAGCCATGGACAGCAGCTGGAAGATAGTCCCGTTCTTTCGGCCGATCACGACGCCACCGTCAACGAAGGTGATGCTTGACGGCATATCATCACCACGAATCTTGTGAGTGGTGTAAGGAACTCGGTCATGCATGTTCCAGAGCGTAAATGTTGAGTCCTCGGAAATGGTGGCAATGCCACCGTGCAAAACGTCGAAGTCGAAGGCAACAAGTGGCTTCAACGGGGTCTGAGCTAGGTATCCGAGCAATGAGGACATAGCTACTTACGTTTGACAGGGAGAAGACGCTTGCGAGGTGAATCAGCTCGTGCTGTTGCAGGGGTTGCCCTCTCAGAGAATGGAAGTTCCCCAGGTTGATCAGATAGATTCGGTTCTCTGAGGCGATGGCTAGCATATCAGGCTCCTTGGGGTGCCATTTGACGGCATGGAGGGGAGCTTCGCCATCGGATGGGGGCGGAATACACAGCAGCAACTCGCCACTAGAAGTCCGTCAGCTGAGGTCGGGGGCAACTATGGAGGGATTCTTACGGTACGTCGTCAGTAATGACCTCAGGGAGCTCCCATACAACAAAACCGCCGTCTGAAGTGACACCTGCTAGTCTGTTGCCGTAGACCGCCATATCAGTGACACTAGCAGCGCTTGGGAACAGGTTGGGCAGCTGCAACAAGGTGCGATCCCCACTTGAGCGAGAAATGACACGGACGCGACCTATACACATCAGGGTTAGTGATACATCACACACAGCCAATTCGAGTTAATTACCGCGAGTCATAGCGTAGGCTACCCAATGCGTAGCACCGATAGTCGTTCCCGGTAGGAAGACCGCATCCTGCCTCACAAGAGCGATAGCGGTAGACTTGACGGAGTCGCGGGGAGCTTGAATTTCTTCGAGTGACTGGGACACATCATATACGACAGTCTGTGGTTGAGGACTAGTATAGTGGTTAATCTCTTATCATCACGGTCAAGTGATGAAGCTCCTACCTTGGACTTGACTGATTCTTGTTGGGATACCTGTTGGTCTGGCCCTTCGCCCTAAAGCCTCGAGGCCCAGGTGAGCTCTCCTTATCGCGTCTGCCGGATTGAGCAGGGAGCTGTGATGCACCCGCCTGGCTAGCAGGGGAGTCCATCGGACGCTGGGATACAATGCGATTAGAGAGCTGCTGCTTGGGTGGCGACACCCGTGGAGGCGACGGCGGCCTTGCACCTGCAGGCTTGGGAGGCAGAGGAGGAGGGGGCGGTACGGTGACTCTGGGCTGGACTGGCTCTGCCGTGGCATACTCAGAGCTTCCAAGCAGATTGTAGGGTTCGTATGCCGGAGGGGGCGCCTGCGCCACTGGTGGTTGAGGGAGGTGTCCTCGAGTAAGGTTTTCCAGCAGATTGTCGACTGATTGACGTTTGGGATCAGATATCGCGGACCAGCCTGAATCCTCATTACCACTGGAGACACTTGAAGGTTGTGCCGGCACGGGCTTCTTCTTCACCGACATGGATGACGTTTGAGCGAGCGCGTCAAACGGAGAGACATACTCGAACATGCTCTTTCGGGAAGGGGAGGGTGGCTGAGGTGGCTGGCTCTGTGATTGCGCGGGAGGAGGAGGGGCTGCTTGCGCCCTTGGTGTGATATCGCTAGGTTGATTAAGAGGGTTGTAGGGATTATTGTCGCGCTGACGATACTCGTCTTCCCGCTGTGACTGTGACGGACCATAAGGGGGAGAAGGAGCGGCTGCAGGAAGGGAATTCCTCTGTGAATCAGAGTAGCTTGACCTCGGGGGATTCCTATAGAGTAAATCAGGGAAATTAGTATAAAACGACATCATGGGCGAGCGAACAAGAGAAGGGAAATGTGATGAGATTCACGCCCCATTCTTGTAAGAGATAACACGCAACTACCTCATGGATAGAAGACTCATGTTATACATGCTGCATCTTTAGCAGAATGCGTGTCATCCACATCTGGTTATCGCGAAAATACTCAATAACAGATGTGACGTATTCACTTATCGTGCCATCTCCACCATACGTCGCGGCGACGGGAAGCAAGCAACAAAACCACTCACCCAGCCATCAATTGTTCGAGCAGAATCTTTCCTTGCGTCTCGTTGTGGCTTGGTGAAGCACCAGACCGTTGCGAGGAACCCGGAGGTGTTGGAACTTGCTGTGGCTGCGACGCCGTGCTCGCGTTCGAGCGGTTCGAGCTTGGGTTACCAAGAAGTGACAGCAGGGCATTCTGCCTCTCTGCTGCCGTGCTATTACTCACAGATGACACAGAGGAAGCGACGGGTTCCTCCGACAACGATAGGCTTGGGGTCGCAGGTTCGGAATTGCCATACACGTTAGAACCTTGGTTCTGATTTGTGGGCTGCTGCGAGTCGGCAGGCGGAGAGGCGATATTATGAAATAAAGAGTCAATCTGGTTTGATGTAGGTGCATCTGCAGCATGCGGACTGGGGAAGGGCTGAGGCTGCGACTGCTGCTGTCCAGGAGGAGGCGTGGAACCTCGACTGAACAGCTCGTGGATGGTGTTCGAGCGACTGCTGTCCATTGGAGAAGATTATCGGTTGGCCGCGCGTACGTGGGTGAACCAGAGAAAGGAAGTGTCCAGCGATGCCTTCACAATTTTTGGGTTCGCCTGGCCGCGATCCAACACGCCGCAAACACGAGGCGTAGGGCCTGCTTCGGCAATTCCCGGTATTGTCTCCCACGATCCGATAACAACTTACGTCCTGGTTGATCGTGTCAGGCGCAGGAACCAGCGCGTACAGTATCACTAGCTGCGGGCTGCAGGTGTCCGCGGAAGCAGTCCCAGGTACGCATGAGTAAAACAAGTATATTATCCGTCTACAACGTCGGAAGCACCGCACCTTGAGAAAGGTCCTGCCGAGCCCCTAATATACTGAGGTCAGGCATGCAACCAAATAGCCTCAAACAACCCCCTGTATATAAGGGGAGCCCTGGGGAACATATTCCGCAGAAAGAATTCTCGCCACCAACTCTGACCCACATAAACTTACGTTCACCCAGGATGCATACCGTGGGTCGCTACCTCATCCGCTACAATCGTGCCTCCGACTGAAGCTTCCTTTCAAGGTCAACGATCTTCCCATGAATTACAACGGATGCGGCAATGCCAACTGCACTTGCGGCGAGAAGTGCGCTTTTGTCCAGCCTAGAAATCCCCATTCTGACTCGACCTCCCCAGCTGCCAATGTAAGCCAGGTGAATGCAAGTGTTAGGCTTTCTACCATCAATCGACATCCGCAACCCCTATCTTGTCAAGTCAAGTGTACCATTGTTAACAAGCCGTTTTCTCCTTATCATGTAAACTGTAGCGCAATAAAGTAGCAAAATGCATGATCTGCCTTTGTTGATTAACTCTTAGCTGTACATATACATATTTAGCTGAAACTTATGGATGAGTGCTAATGTTTACAACAGCCCGGTGTATCTCTTCGTATCGATGTCGCCTAGCAGAGTCGATGTCCTTGAGTTGATCGAGCAGCCGCACACAGTCGGCCACCAAGTCTTTGTCACGGTCCGAAGGATAGTTGGTTAGGATCAGACGCTTGTAGTGTACCAATGATTCCATACACCCTGCAAATGAAGACTATCAGAGAAAGGCCCAGCCGTCGAGTGCACGCAACCCATACACTTGCTATCTGGCTGCTCTTCCAATAACTCTTGGATCACCCCTATTTCGCGCTCAAGGAGCTCCTTATCGTGCCCTAACCTACGTAAAGCTAAGATGAAAACAGAGGGGAAGCCTACACGTACCTAGGCCTACCAGCCAGCGGTGATACATCCATATGCTCTGGTCGTCTGGGTCCGTGTACATAGCGTTCCGCACAAGTTCAAATTCTGCCGCAAGCATGAGGGGTCGGACATTAAGGCTTGATGGCCGCTTACCTTTCTCCTTTGACTTGATGGGGTCTAGCTTTCCCTGATGCCATAGGGACGTATATACCTTTGAACGTTGGTGCCACGCGCTGAAGTTGGAGAAATTCGATTCTATTTTCTTCATCGTGTATGTGAGCTCAGATGACTCGGGTCGAGGCACGGACATATTAGCTAGCACGTAACGCCTGTAATTCCACGCGTGGACTAGAATAAACAATGTCTAGGGCGCAATGGTCAACTCGGATCAAGTGGGCTCACAGTTTCGGGCATCTGCATTCAGCATCTTCTCGACGGCCTGAAGCTCGAAGGCCCAGTACTTCTTCCTCCACCCATCCAAGTCGCTACCAGGGCCTTGGGGGACGTTCTGGAGGCACCACTGGCGATGGTTCCATATCCAGTAGACTTTGGGGTGAGATTGCAGGAATTTCATCGTCAGCGCGAGTTCCCCAGACAGTAGTTCATTAATATCCTCAGGGGTGCTACGTCCATCGTTATGAAAAACTTGAGGACCCAGCGCGAGGAACTGACCTTTCGCGAAACAATCCATTCAGCAGGATGTTCCGTCTGTAGTTCCAGATAGTGTAGAATTCGGGATTTACGGTCAGAAGCTGTGTCGTGGCATCGAACGCTTCTGCACTCCAATCCTTCCCCTTCTTCTACTGCGTATATCAGCCGGTGGGAGACTCGTCGCGTGTAACAAAGGGCGTACACGATCGAGAACAGCATCAGTCAGCTTCAGCAAGCCCTCGATCTTGGATTTCTCGCGTTGTTTGCGATCTACGATGGCCTGCTGAGTCTGGCGTTTTACTCCGTGCTGGATCTTTCAGTCAGCATCGCTCAAGACACTCGAAGGCAAGCTACGCACCATAGTGGTGGTGGAGGTATAAGCCGCTTAAAGATGGCACTCATTTCACACGGAATCGTCACATGTACGTAGGGGCAACAAAATATCACCAGTGTACACACTTTGCCAGAGGGAAGAATGCAATAGAACAATAGACCCCATTATTATCTTAAAATTTGCATCAATTCCAAGTTGCTTGTATTTACAGGTATTCGGTATGGATGTACCGCATTTCTGGGTCAGGGGCTTGGAGATATGTATCACACCATATGGGTGGTGTATAAACGGCAGGTACGCCAAGAAAGAGCGGGGGGGAGTTGCATCTTGCCAGTAGGTATCTGATATGTTCGCGGTCCGAATCTTTAAGTTGATATTCATCGAATGAGGAGTGTGACCGAGCGGCATAGCTTGTTTTTACAATGACCGGGCGGTCGCTGAGCGTGCATCATCCAACCTCATTCACGAACACTTGAACGGTTATCTGCTTTGGGGAGAACCTTTGGAAGCGGCCGTCCTTGAGCTGGAGAGCGGCATACTGCCTCTCCAACGGTTAATGAGCATTCGACTCATTGCTATCGCGGGAGGAGACGCGCATTCCTCCGTGCATAGTCAAATCTGCTTTTACTTAATGACAGGGAACCGTGTTCATTCGTTTTTTCGCCGGGGTCGAGTTCGTGATGACGATCTTCTTTCTCCCTGATTAGGGGGAGAGGTGCGAGGCGAGGGCACAAGGACATAGACGTGCCGCGTCAAAAACTTTACTGACGGTCGAAGAGAGCCAAGACATGGATGCGGCTGTCGTGTGTAGGTGAGTGCATCGGGGTTCTCCGTGTTTCGTGATCGCCAACCTATGCGCTGACACATCATTGGTTTGCTTTCTCTAGATGGGGGACGTGGGCGAGGCAAATGGAGGCATGGGAAGGACAAGGTGGAATGGTGGGGAGGTCGATTGACGGTTCAGTTTAACCTTCGAGATAAGATAAGGAACGGGTAAGTACATGCTTTCAAGATTGTTCAAATACTTACTTACCGAAGCCTGGGCAGTATTCGCGATTGCGATTCGACATGGCACCATCATATACAGACGCCGAATCCATCGTTTCCGTCTAAGCAATTAAGCAACTTGGGAAACCGGGTTGGGGCTCGCTGGAGCAGGCGGGAGCAGCAAGTCACGATGTCGAAGGATATATGAAGATGTAACGAGCACAACAGAACAGACCTCTTCCCAGCTGTAGTCATGCACTTTGAACCTTAGTACCATCAACGACCTCGGCGCCAGCGTTGCACTGGCGGTGAGTAGAGCAGAGAGGTCACACTGCCGCTGCTGGCAGCATCTCCATTTCGAGGATGGAACGCGGAATCTAAGGAGCTTGGTATAAACCGATCAACGCGTACTCCCTCGATAATTCTGTCTCCCTGCGTTACATGCCAAAGATCAGAACGACATTATCAATAGAACCGTGCAGTCCTTGCCATTTGCAGATAGTGTGATATGTTGCCAATCATGAGTTCGGTGAGAGTTGAACGCGCCGCCCTTCCTTGATTCATTTATTGACCGTGGGAAATCTGCAAGTGAGCGCTGCGTTGACGATCAAATTCTGTTGCGCAACACATTCAAAATGCCTTCCGTGGCAGACAAACAGCCGTCGCTGGAATCCCTTCAATCACATTTCCCTCTGACATATCCTGTGCCGAATCCAGTATCACACCCACACCTCATATCAGTCAAGGACTTGCACCGTGAAGAGGACCTCCTGCGAAATCCATCGTCGTTCCGAACATGGTGGTCAGCTATCAACGCTGTTCGCGAAGAATTCATCGCGCAACAAAAGCTGGAACGGTCTGTTGAAATCCCCCCGGAGCTTAGCTCGCTACTTGGACCGTTGGCAACCCCATTGGCGCGTAATGCCTTGCAACGGTTAACATATCTCTACGAAGCCGCTCTCGTGAACTTCGGCGGTTCGTTCAAGCTATGGAAGTCATACTTGTCACTGCGTATGTCGTTCGTACTGGGGAAGCCTGTGGTGAAGAAGAGGGCTGGTGGCAAGAAAAAGCTTCCGGAGATGAAGGACGCGTTGCAAGATGAGAAGGAGGATCTAGAGGAATGGGAAGGAGGATTGGACGGTGTGGTTGGCTGGGAAGAGTGGAAATCCCTGCTCGCGACCTTTGAGCGCGCACTAATGTATCTACCGAAGGTGTGTCTACAAGTGAATTCGTATGAAAGCCTGAAACCTTACCTTCGTTTCATACAGCTACCGCGTCTATGGCTAATGTATATCTCGATATTCAACCATCCGAAATGTCCCCCTCAAATATCACACACACACGCGAGACGAACGTACGATCGTGCTCTACGTACACTCCCCCCTTCTCTCCATGCACGAATATGGGTTCGGTACCTTCTGTGGGCAGAAGACAAGGGTGGGGCGACCACAGTAGCCATCTACCGCCGATACCTCGCCATCGATCCCTCCATAACCGAACGCTTCACCACCCTCCTTTTGAACCCCGTTAGCTCAGCCCCGCGGCCGCTCGAAGCTGCAAAATACCTTTTGTCTCTGGCTCGGAAGTCTGCGCGTGGGGAATACACAAGTCCGGAAGGAAAGAGTCCGTATCAGCTTCTTGGGGACTTTATCGACGTAGTCGAAAAATTCGCGGAGGACGTCGGCTTTGACGTTGAGGAAACCATCGAGTCGAATAAAGCAATCAAAGAGGCTGAGCAAGCCGCTAAGGCCTCGGAAACAGAGCCAGAGCAGGCCTCGTCCGATGGCAAGCTGATACGATTCGCGGGCCCCGCCATTCCTGTCACTGCTGACGGAAAACCAGCGCCAGCCTACGACGAAGACGAGGACCCAATGAGTCCAAGAAAACTCAACATCGAACATATCATACAGCGCGACGGTTTGCATGTATACAAAGACCAAGCTGGGCGACTGTGGACGGGCCTGGCGACCTACTGGATCAAACGAGGCGAATTCGACCGCGCAAAGGAGACCTTCGAATTTGGGTTGAAGAGCGTTCTGACAATTCGAGACTTCACTCAGATATTTGAGGCGTATTCGGAGTTCTGCGAGTCCTTGATGAGTGCCATGATGGAGAGCTTGGAGGATGAAGAGGACGAAGCAGAAGCTGCCGAGACACAGCAGGAGCTAGACACCAAGATGAAGGAATTCGAAGAGCTAATGGATAGACGGCCCTTCTTGGTCAATGATGTCCTCATACGGCGGAATCCGAATGATGTGCAAGAATGGGAGAAGAGGGTTGCTTTGTGGGGTGACGACGACCAAAAGGTAAGTATTTTTGCTAACAAATCCAAAACCATGTATTAAATGTGTGGTCCCCTAGGTGGCGGAGACGTACACCAAAGCCTTGGAAAGCATCAACCCGAGAAAGGCGACAGCGAACTTCCACCACTTGTACATCAACTTTGCGCGATTCTACGAAGACGGCGGCACAACGAAGAGCGCGGAGCAGGATCTAGACAGTGCCCGTAAGATCTTAGAAAAGGCCACCAAGGTAAACTTCAAGGCTGTAGAAGATCTCGCAGAAGTATGGTGTGAATGGTCTGAGATGGAGCTTCGGAACGAGTGAGTTTTCGAGAACTGTTCGCTTGGAATACCTATCTCATCGCTTGGATAGGAATTACGACGAAGCAATTCGTGTTATGCAGCGAGCAACTGCTATACCGAAGAATACCAAGATCAACTATCATGATCACGTACGTACTTTCAATCCATGTCTTGAGCCGCCTACGGACATCACTTTCAATAGACATTGTCCGTCCAAACGCGATTATTCAAGTCCTTGAAACTTTGGTCCTTCTATGTCGATCTGGAGGAATCGATAGGGACTGTGGAAACCACAAAAATGGTCTATGACAAGATCCTGGAGCTGAGGATCGCTAACGCGCAAATCATCGTGAATTACGCCGCCTTCTTGGAAGAGAATAAATACTTCGAAGAAAGCTTCAAGGCCAGTTGCTCATTTATTGTGGTTGCGTCGCGTCCTGACATTTCTATTGTAGGTATACGAACGTGGTGTAGAATTGTTCACTTTTCCGGTCTCCTTTGAACTTTGGAATATCTATCTCTCAAAGTTTATCAAGCGATACGTGAGTTTTGTCCCCCCTTTGCGCAAACAGTACTTACGTAGATAATCGTACAGGGAGGTTCCAAACTTGAGCGTGCTCGAGATCTTTTTGAACAGGCACTAGAGAAATGTCCACCTAAATCTTGCAAACCTCTGTTCCTCATGTATTCCAAGCTCGAGGAGGATTACGGACTAGCTAAACGGGCTATGTCGATTCTTGAACGCGCCACTCAGGCCGTCTCTGACGAAGACAAGTTCGAGGTTTGTCTTCGTTGTACTATCCGCGACTTCTTACTCAAGGGAACCGTAGATGTACTCAATATACATTGCTAAGGCCACGGCCAACTACGGCTTGCCAGCCACTCGACCAATATATGAGCGTGCTCTCGAAGGTACATATTCCCTTCGCTCATTCCGCCTGACAATCAATGCCAACTGCATCATTCAGTCCTCCCCGACCGTCAAACCGCAGAAATGTGTCTCAGATTCGCAGCCCTGGAGCGCAAGCTGGGTGAAATCGACAGAGCCCGCGCTATCTACGCTCACGCATCCCAATTCTGCGACCCGCGCGTCAACCCCAAGTTCTGGAGCGAGTGGAATAGCTTCGAGATCGAAACAGGGTCGGAAGATACGTTTAGGGAGATGCTGCGGATTAAGCGCAGTGTCCAGGCGCAGTTCAACACTGAGGCTAGCTACCTTGCCGCACAAACCATGGCTGCGAGGCAGGGTGCTGCCCAGACGGAGGAAGACGAAGAAGAGCAAGATGCCATGGCTGCTGCTGAGAAGCAAGCTGGTGCTGGGACAAATGGGCCTGCCTTCGTCGCTGCTACGAAGACGGCTGTCCCTCGACCAGACAATGGTGACAAGAATGTGGAGGCCTCCGCGGCAAACGCAGACGAGATACATATTTCGGACGATGAAGATTAGCCGTGTATTTTTTACTGTGTCTTCTGTATTTTCGCTACACGATGCTTGAGGCTTGAAGACTGAATTGAGAGCGAACATAAGGCCGGGCTATCATGCAGACACCGCAAGCGTGTCATGATCGTGGTACGTTGAGCGCCCATATTATCCAACCCTTGCAGATAAACTTTCTCTCCATCACCCATTTCCATTTCTTCCATCTTTCCCTCATGCTAGACCACTGTTCGATATCGCATAAAGGTCTGTTTTGAGCTCTTTCCTCGATAGGATACTACCTGACACGACGATATAGGCGGCCTGGTTCTTTGGTCAAGGTCATTCACGCCGGAAGCTTCTCAGCTCGCATCATCCTCGGCTTCTCCAGTGAACTCTTTGGTTCGGGATGTCCTTACAGAGGGTCGCACTGCGGAAGAAAAATACGAGAAGGACGGCTATGAAGTCAAGTGGACCTTTGCAAATGACCTCGAGTTGATATTTGTGGTAAGCACACGATTAACTACTGCTCAACTTATCGACCCAATGCCATATACCAGGTAGCATATCAACGCATACTTCAGTTGACCTATGTGGAAGAGCTACTGGATGCCATGAAACGGGTGTTCCTCGAACTCTTTGGCCCCTTCTTGGCTACCCTCGTCGCCTCTTTGCATGCTGCGACACAGACCGGGAAAGTCGTCACTGCTTCGGCATCGTCTTGGAACTTTGTAGAGACTCTCAAATCCTGGGATAAGACATTCGATAGACTTCTCAAAGGCTTCGAAGACAGGGCCGCTCAGGTGCGCTTTCTCCGTCCAAGTATGACCCACCTCACCTCACAATTCACATCCCCACAACTTAGGAACGCAGGGCTAGATTGCGCAACCCTCAAGTCGTAGTCACCGACGATTCAAGTCCGCCTTCCGATGATCTTAGTACCGTACCCTCGCAGTCGTCAGATATTGCTCTTGACCAGCAGCAAATTGCCAAAAATGTACAAGCCCTTAAAAACCGACTGCGAGGTCGCGGTGGCCGGCGCGGAGGAAAGGAGGGATGGCGTTCGGATGCGGGAAGTGGGAGGGACAGTGTGCCGAATTCAGAGTACGTGATATCTTCTCATCTCCCGTGTACGGTTGTCTTAGCATTGTGGTTAAGCTCGGAGACACCAACGAAAAAGAAAGCTAAAACGAAAACACAGAGGAAGTGGGGCATCGAGGCACCAACGGAGACAGATATGGCTTCACTGGACTATAGCGTTGACAAACCCGATGACGACGCCTCCCGCGGATCGCACGACCTAAATGCGCTTGTAGACAAAGCGTCTCTTGGTGTTCGGACTCAGGATGGGATGTATGAAGTCAAGGATTGGGAGTTCTCCCGCAGTGGAGATGACGAGACGGACAATGTTATTGCAAAGGCTTTAAACAAGTCCAATCTGGGGAACAAAGTTGCATCAACGTCTGGATCTTCTTTGGGCGCCATTGGTTCCATATTTGCTCGTTTGACAGGAGCAAAGGTCTTGACGGAGGAAGATTTGAAACCAGTTCTCGAAGGAATGAAACAACATTTGATGAAGAAAAACGTCGCAAAGGAAATAGCGGATAAAGTATGCGAAGGCGTTGGGGAAACCCTAGTTGGAAAGAAGGTCGGCAGCTTCCAAAGTACGTTCTGTTCATTCATGGGAGCGAGTCATTGAGGAACGAACCATCCCAGCCACAAATGCTGCTGTCCGATTGGCATTGTCCAGTTCCATCACGCGTATTCTTACACCCAAAACGTCCACGGACTTACTCTTGTCCATCCGCACAAAGCTATCATCGCCTCTACCTTCAACCCAACAGCGCATGCCGTACAGCATCACCTTCGTGGGCGTAAACGGTGTGGGCAAGAGCACGAACTTATCAAAAGTCTGCTTCTGGCTTATCCAAAATGGTCTGAGGGTCTTGATAGCTGCGTGCGATACATTCAGGTATGTCGCATCTTTGGTTCGATAGGTTTGGGTGATTCATGAATTTGGTATCTTTCAAGGAGCGGTGCAGTAGAACAACTCCGTGTCCACGTACGCAATCTTAGCATGCTTGGAGTCAATGGAGCAACCAATAGCAAAGGGCGCGTGGAACTGTTTGAGCGTGGTTATGGGAAGGACGCAGCTGGTATTGCTAGAGAAGCCATATCCTACGGTCAGTGCCATGGTTTATCTGACGGCATCTCCTTATTCATATCATCCCATTGTCTCCGCTTTCATCTTCCTTCCGTCACATTTGACGGGAACAGGAAGAGACAACGATTTTGATGTTGTCCTGATTGATACTGCTGGACGTATGCAAGACAATGAGGTATGTGAATAAACATTCCACTTACTGAATCCATCCAATGAATTACTCTAGCCTCTCATGCGTGCGCTTGCGAAGGTCAGTAGCCTTCTATTGAATTATGTTGATAATCACTCACGACAATATACCATAGCTCGTTGCAGTGAACAATCCCGACAAAATCATCTTTGTTGGAGAAGCTCTTGTAGGGAACGAGGCTGTTGATCAACTCACCAAGTTTGATCGTGCTCTGCGAGACTTCTCATCCTCTTCAGGTACTGGGAAGGGGAGAGGCATTGACGGAATGCTTGTGACCAAGTGGGACACGGTTGATGATAAGGTATGTATTCCTAAATCCGGCTCACTATGCAATTTTACTGATGCTGACTGATATCGTTTCTATAGGTGGGTGCAGCACTCTCGATGACCTATGTCACCGGTCAACCCATTCTCTTTGTTGGCTGCGGTCAGGTGGGTTGTATATTACCTTAAGGATCATGCTTCGTGGCTAAACCAGATACGCAGACGTACACGGACTTGAGACAACTCAGAGTTGCGAACGTAGTGCAAGCAATTCTCAGTGATTGAGACCACATCTCCAACAATTGATCCTTCTGCCGGCGTTATTGCACATTGACGTTCTCAGAGAGTGTAGATGATCAAAACGCACCGCATTTGTGACGCCACGGCTTAATTATTATTCTTTCCATTTGGAACAAGCCCCCAGTCTAATTATGCTCTGTCTCGTGTAGGATACGGACGTCTCGTACAATAAACATCTAAAATACATACAAGCTACTACGTGGTTCTTGCCAGAGGAGTCGACGTGGGCCACATCTCATTTGCTCAGTCCGCGCATCAGGACTGGCTAGAAATTTGAAATGTTTCAGCGGTGGCGGCCCAATTTACCCCCATAATCTATATGGTTGAGCAACGGTCGAGGGCCCGTCCCATGACCAAGCTCCTTGGATACCACTCCTTTCAACCATACGGGAATTTACTCGTCTCGAAATTAGGGAATCCCCTCATGATAGGCGTGGCCTCCGCGCTCCTACCATCAGAAGATACGAAATCGAAGGTCGCGCCCCCCTTTTGCATGCCAGCCGCTTGAGCCATCATGAATTCCTTGCTAGGCGGCATTCGTGACCTACGTCGATGGCGCGTGAACAAGAAAGCTGCGAGAAGAGCGATCGCGACAATGAGAAGTACACTGATGACGATACCAGCGATTGCGCCTGCCGCAAGAGTCCGCTGGCTTGGCAAGAGTGTGTTCGTTGCACTGGTGGTAGCCAAAGGTGATGGCGGAGTGAGAGGAAGAGTAGGGGGTGGCGAGGGGGAGGACGAAGGGGAGGATAAAGTGGGCGACGAATTAGTTGATGGCCCCGGACCAAAGGTGGAGGTGATGGAGGTGAATACTGCCGGGGGTTGTGAGTCGGATTCGCTGGGAGTAGATGATTGGTCTTGGGCAGAATTCGTGGCAATCGGGGGGCTGAGTTCGCTGGCTCCGGTAGGAAGGTCGGTGGGAGGGTCGCTCGTAGCTTCGGAGGTTGTGTCTGTCAAGGAGGCCGAGCTAGGTATGCTCTCAGCCCCGCTGCCTGTGGAGCTGGGGGAGGCGTATGAGCCTGTTGGGGGTTGCGAGCTCGACTGAGGGGGATGAAATCTCCTGGCCAGCATCTCGCTTCCAAGAATGGGAGGCTGGGGGAAAGTCACACATGAATGGGACGCTCTGTAAACCAGCTTGATACTTACGGAGGGTGCCAAACGGTAGTGGCCGGCACGCGAAAGCGAAGGTTGTATTGAAGTGTCGTCAGAGAAAGAGGTTAAAGTAGGTGAAGCCGGACCTGTGCCTGCAGTACCGGTGGAAGTGGAGGGGTCGAGACGAGACGAGAAGGGGGGAGGCTATGTGGGAGCTGGGACGGTGATTATGATGGTCAGAAACATTGATGATCATTATCAGAGTTGTAGTCGCTAGGAAGACTGATATACTAGAATACCGCGCTTCGTCTGAGCCTGAGCGCTGAGGAGCCCCTGTTGCCGTGATGCTTCTTCGCCATTTACTTCCACGATCTCGGCTGCGTCTATTTGTTCGCCACTTCTCCTCCTCTCACATTCCAAGTATGAAGATTGTACCAGTGCCAGTGCGACAGGACAACTACGCCTACATCTTAATTGATGAACCGTCCAACAAGGCCGCAGCCGTCGACCCCTACGACGTGCCCAAGGTTAAGGCTGCCGCTGACAAACTCGGTGTCGAGATCGTGGCCGGGATAACGACCCATCACCATTTCGATCACAGTGGCGGTAACGAGGTGGGCATCTCGTGTATGATCTTAATTTTTAACCGCTCATTGCAATACCATTCATCAGGCGTTTGTGCGTATCATATCATGACTATTGTTATAAACGGATCTCAACTCAAGGGCACAAAGGCGAAGGCATACCCTGGTGTTCCCATCTACGGGGGCAGTGATAAGATTCCTGCACTGACGGACCTCGTCAAGGATAACTCCGAATTCACTGTTGGAACCGACACACATATCAAGTACGCGTGATTTCTAAATACGATCCAGTGCACGGTCACCTAACTATCGAGTATTACAACAGATGCCTCGCGACTCCTTGCCATACCCAAGACTCCATATGCTACTACGCAACTACCCCGGAGCATCCGGGCGCGGTGTTCACAGGGGACACCCTGTTCATAGGCGGATGTGGTCGATTCTTCGAGGGTACAGGCGAAGAGATGCACGCTGCATTGTCGTATCTGGGAACACTACCTAGCAAGACGCTCGTGTATCCCGGCCACGAGTATGCTGGGGGCAATATCGCGTTCGCTCGCAGCGTCGCAAGCGACGGGGAGGTCGCCAAAGGGATTCAGAAACTCGAGGCTGTGGCGAAAGAACACTCATCTATCACTGGCGTCACAACAATTGGAGAAGAGAAAGAATGGAATGTGTTTATGCAATTACAAGATGCGACGGTCAGGTAAGAACGAAACCAACACCCTTTGCAAAGGATCCCTCTCATTGCTATGCTATACATGTAACAGGCAAGGAGCCGGGGTACCCGAGGGTGCATCTGACGTAACTGTAATGGACAAACTGAGGGAACTGAAGAACAACTACCGGGGGTGAGTCGCTTCCTCCAGGCTGGTGGGTGAGCTCAAGTCCCGTCGGGTTCGAATTCGGAAGATCCTCCAAATTGTAACACCATCATGTTATGTACATCACCCATATCATCGGACACAATGAATACACTATACAGCAGCACGTATGCCTTTTTTATAGGTGAAGGGAAAGCCATTGTCATAGCAGAGGTTATTAGAGAGAGAGAGAAAGTACATATGTCATCAGGTGAGTAGGTCCCTAACCCATACCTATAGTCTTCAGGATGGCCGCCCGAGCGTAAGGGATATATGATAGTGTATACCATGTGTACGCAAGGAACTCGATGAAGACGAAGACTGCGGGCGGGAGGTCAGCGGGTATATCATCAGTCAGCAGCAAGCGAACGCACTTAAACATAGAATCTGTGAGAATACACCGGGACAAATGAGCACAAGCATATTCAATATAGGAAATTTTGGCGGTCTCACCCCGCTTTCAAGAACAAATGCACCAACAAGAACAAGACCAATCGAGATGAAGAAGACTATTGTGGCAACTACGCGGACAGGCTTGAACATCTAGATTCGGCGAGAGAAGCGAAGGCAATGAGCATCTCTATGCATGTATAGACGAAGATTTAGCGCACCATCTTCAATTGTTTGAAGAACTGATGAATGGCCAACCCGGCACTTAGTCACAACGGTGGTAAGAATAGCTTCAAGACGCACCCCGATGAGGAAGCCTGTACCAATCAAGGCTACAATCGTTCCGAACACATAAAGAACTACGAGGCAGTAGAAACTCATCAATGAACTCTATTCACGCACGAAAGGCCAACGTAACTACTCACTCGCGAATATTGTGAATTGACCCAAGAATAGCAGAGCGCTCCCGAGTATGCTCAATACGAAACCTGCGATAAGACTGATTTACGGCAGACAGCACGCAGATTCAATTCAAGGTGAGTTCAGAGAGACGAGGGCAACGAACGTACCACCCCACGAATCCGTACAACCTCGCCGTCCGGGACAAGCCCAAGAACTTGAACGCCGAGTCTCCTTCAAAGAACTGCGTCTCGGGCACCGTATTCGTGATCCCCTCCAGATTCATCCATCCCTTGTTCGGCGCCATCGTCAATTCCGGGTCCTCTCAAAGAGCGTGCGGCGAGTTATGTTATGTGTTTCGGTGAGCTGCGCAGCGCGGCGAGTGCGGTGGGTGATTCGACGTTAATTACTTGGTTTGTTTTGGGTTCTGCGGAACTTCGAGGAAAGCACGGGGCTGAGGGCGAGGTGAGGCCGTGATGTTGATGAGTACTTGCTGTGCCAGCAGCCGCCGAAGTGTTGACCGTGTTCAGAAAACGTTCCGCGCGTCTGGAACAGGCGGTTATGTAAGTGGCTCATATAGGAGTCAGGAGCCGCTCAGGAGGAGGACCCCTGAAATGGAAAATCTCAACTCCATCCGTGAGGGGCAGCACTACACTATAAAAGAGCGCCAACCGTCAGATTTTTCCTATTAATGTAGTAGTAATATGTGTATTTACAGCTACAAGGCGAGGAGGCGCACATTTTGTCTCACCTGTTCTGATTGCAATGTTAATGTACTGTCTAAGAAGTCTCTCACCTTCGCCATCCTCCACCACAGTCCACTTCATTGACATCCGGGCCCATACCATCGGATCTAAAGAGGAGTGGGATCTGACCTGGACTGATAACAGCGTGATATTAGTTTCATTTGGGATGTCAACAATGGTGTTGTGAACGATGCCTTATCTTTTATCACTCAATGTTCAACAGTCAAGGATGAAGTCAGCAAGGAGGACTAAGGGGAAGACGCCAGACTCCTAGCCACTGAGTGAAGTCCAAAACCCAGGGGGGCATAACAAAGCTAGTCAAGCTGAGGAGGCCACAGAGGGTCGAGTTTTTGCGATTTTCAGTGCATGAGAGGAGATGGAAGTCAATGCCAATTTAATAGACCGATGACTTCGAGGTTTAAACGAGATTTGGCAACAAAACAGGCCACCGAAATGGATTGAAAGCCCCCTAGCCCCTGGTCAACATGGTTTCTGCTCAGGAGAGCTCACTGGAGCCGCATGGGTAGCTCACAGCTTACCATAGATACTTACTTATGAGTGCGGGCATGTAAGAATCGGTGATGTGTGAGGCGCATTCACCAAGGAAGCATGAACATAGAATAAGCTATTAAAGGTACAAATCCTTCATTACGTGGAAACACATATGCACGAAAGTGTACGTAACAGGGGCGGTAGGAATGTACGGAGAGAGAGTGTGTGTGTGTGTCGAAAGGGGAATGAATATCACCAAGGAGCTCGTCGTTGTAGTCGCAGCTTGACGTCGCATTCGCGCTCCAATTGACCGATATAGTCCAACAGGGCGTCCATCAAAATATAAAGAACAGTAAGCTACGAACTGTCCACGACATCGTTCGTTTCAGGTGGTACGTCTATCTTGATCACAACTTTCCCAGTCGCTCTCGAAGTCAACAGTCTCTCGTACGCTTTAAGCGCGTCGTCCATCTCGTATATGGAGTCCACCACTCCCACTACCTTGCCTACAAGGATACAATCAGCAGCAAGAAATATACATCACAGACCGACGATCCCTTACCTTCAGCTACCAGGTCGCGCAGTGCGTTGATATCCGCCTTGTTCTGCACTAGCCCGTAGACCCTAGAGCATGTCAACATCAAGTCCAAGTAACAGTGATGATATTCCTCACTTGAATTCCCGAGGAGTGCCACCAAGCCATGTGGGCCATGTCATTGCAGCAATGGTTCTGAACAGGTTGCCAAGCTCTGTCAGAGACACATTGTGCGGTGCCGGGGTAGTCGTCACAAATGCTCCACCGGGCGCCAGGTACGCGGGGCTGTGGGTGTACAGAGACGGATCCGACAGGCCGTACGCGTCAATTATGGCGTGGAATTTGGGTGAGGGCGGGTGGGATGTAAGGTATCTGTGCAATGGCTCCTTCGTATAATCAATAAACTAAACAGATCGTCAGCACCACATCATCGAGCGCTCAAAGAACAGCCAACCTCGTCCGCACCCATCTTCCGGACCAGCTCCTCGTTCTTCCCGGACGCGCTCACAACGACGTTGAGCCCGTGCGCTTTCGCGATCTGTATCGCGAACAGCCCTACGGAGGTGCTCCCGCCGTTGATGAAGACGGTCTGGCCAGCTTCCAGGCGCGCGTCGTGGAACATAGACTGGTACGCGGTGAGGCCGACCACCGCCAACCCAGACGCCTTAATCGCGTCGATATTGGAAGGCCGTTTCGCCACGCTTATCGCAGGTACCACCGCGTACTCAGCCAGAGCCCCCTGTCTCGTCTTCAGGGCCACAGCTATTGCGGATACAATTAGGTTCGTCATTAATTGCGCAATACGGCGGAAGAGCACGCACAGACGTGGAAGAATCCGAACACCGGATCCCCAACCTCGAACTCGGTGCCGTTCTCCTTCACGACCACGCCGGAGAAGTCGTGCTCTGCGATCAAAGGTCTTTTGGCCAGAAAGTTGGGTGCGACCTGCATCAGTTTGTATCCTCTGTAAATCGGTTATTAGTTCACGTCGTCGCATGAGGTGCAGAGATAGGATACATACATGGGGTTGAGGGCGGCAGCTTGTATCTTGACGAGTACATGGTCCTTCGGGATTTCGCTCGGAACGGGCCAATCCGAGTGGAACTTCAACGCCTTCGAGGGGCGTCCCATTCGCTCAACTATCCAAGCTTTCTGCGTCGTCGGTGTAGGCATGATGATGGTCGTTCGGGAGATACCAGTTTGAACCTACCCTCTTGCAAGAGGCCTACTAAATAGTCCAGCAGACATGGTATGTCAGCCAACTGTATTAGTAAGAGCAACGCCAGGGTCGGAGGTTATGAACATGTCTGAAGCTCTGAAGCTGAAACATTTGATTACTAAGTGGTGGAGGATCGTCGTGGCACAGTACCTCTACGTTGTAGTTTGTGCGTCGTGAAAAGGTCTTCAATAGCCGTGGAACCAGTCAGCCGACTTTTTTGGACGTCTAATCGGCACAAAGGGGGATATACCCATGGAGACGCGCTATCAAGTTCATTGTCGAAGGAGGCTGACAACTAGCAATACGTTGGGACTGCACACCCCAGCCGCTGCGAATCTGTCAGTCATTATCGTTGGGATGCTTGGCGAACGCAAGTACCCGGTCCAGTGCGTGTATCGCCACAAAAAGAAAAGCAAGCGTCGAGTGTAGTTCGTTCACGAACATTCCAGGGAATGCAGTTAACGACGCAAACCCTATTTGCGGCCTTCTCGGAGGGCTGACCGTCAGCCAGCTTCGTAAAGGGGCTGCCAGGGGATAGGAGGTACCGTCCTTCATAAACTTCGCACATCCTCTCGCTTCTCTTTCTTCACTACAACCACATACTCCCTGTCAAACATTGAGACAATGATCTGCAACTGCAAGCTATTCAACCTCCACGACTGCTCATGTGAGGCCATTCTCGCGGGCGAGGACCTCCACGTGCAAGTTCCCAAGGCGAGGGCGACCGGTGCCATCACTGGGCTGACCTTCGACTTCAAGGCCGTTCGCCGCCAGCTGCGCTCGGCATTGAAGGACGCGATGCAGACCAAGAAGAAGAAACAGTGGGCGAGGAACGTGCAGAAGATGTCTGCACGCTACCTCGACGTGCCCGATCAGCAGTTCGCGGTCAGTGTCATCCACTCGTCGGCGCGAGAATCGAGTCTGACTCGCGTCTATTACTACAGGAGTTCCTTCCGGACGTGGCCCGCTATCTCTGAAGTGGCGGCAGAACCGCCTAGGAGAAGAATGGCGGTGATACGGAATGATGAGTCGCGTGCTTCCTCGTTTCTCGTTTGCTGATACACCTCTCCAAGCGTTTGCAGCTTTTTCTAGGAATGCGGGACTGGTAGCTAATCACGGTAGGTCGGGAGGTGTGCGCCTCTCCTGACGAGTCCAAAAGGACGAAACCTATCACGATGGAGAACGATGAATTCAACAACCCCGATTGAGATTAGTGGATAAGGTAACGTATGTAGAGTGACCCCAGGCGTACAATATAGGGTGATGGCTATGAAATTGTGTTGGTGCCTTCGGATGGTTGTCCGCTCGACGAAGACGGCTCAGAGGTGGGCACCGCCTCCAGAGTTGCGATGGTATGTTCTATCGCTCTTTGTCGACTCTTCGCAGTGGCTACATCGATGGACGCCAAGTCTACTTCACGCAAGGCTTCCGCCAACTGTAGCTCGACTTGTACCAGAGCGGCACGCTGTTTGCAAAATATCAACGCACTCTTCCTGAATTGCTATTCATGTATTTATCGTCGTTAGTAAAGCTTGATGATGGACGAAAGGAAATCCGGGGACTCACCTCCCGTTTGGCATGCATTTGTTGCAACTCGGAAGGCAGAGGGATCGGTTCCTCAAATTTCAAAGGGAATATACGGTTCAATTCCGCAGATGCCAGTTGTGGGTATATTTTGTCAGGTTCGTGTTTGTGGTGATAAGGTTTATTTAGGCGGGTCGGCGGACCATCGTATCTGGAATGTCTGTCACTGACCTGACGATTGAATCTTGGCGGTGAGGAGCGACGCTGAATCGGATGGGAGCTCCCGGATGGAGAATCAAGTCTCGAGTGAGGAGACTGAACTCTGTCCAAATTTGCGGTTCGTAGGTGATGTCTTGGATGAGTCGGTATTGACGCATCGGATTGGTCTCTCATCTTCACGTCATTATCCTTCACTCGATCATCCACTGGACGGGCGTTGACCAGATTAACTGGAGGTTCGCTTGGGTACTCCCTCTTAGGCGGAAGAGGCGCCGAAGTGGGCTCAGCTTTGATTGGAGTTGGTGAACGGCCCCATACAGCAGGTTCTTGTTTGACAGGACTTGGCTTTATATCTAGTTGTTCATTATTCTTGACAGGATCCTGAGCATTTACAGGTGGCATGGGCTCCTCTTTGAGTGGGAGAATCGCACGAGACTCTTCTTGCTTGATGGCTACTCGAGGGGGTGATGTCCGCGGTGGAGGAGTATCTTCCCTAGGCGGTGGCCGCCAGGGAGGAGAGGAATAACGCCCCGGGCTTCTGGGACGTGAGTAACGACTGTCGGAAGGACTGCGAGGCGGCGGGGGAGAAGACGGCCGCCTCCGAGGAGATCTGGAACGCCGCCTGTCTCCACCATAGTCTGTAAAAACAATGTGGCGCGTCGTCCAAGCATCACAATAGAGGCGGCGTTGGCTACGCACCTGACCGACGAGAATCTGGTACCCATGAATCTACTGTTGTCTCACGATGACGACCGTCGTGTGAGGATGGGCCATCTCTCCTTCGACGGTCATCGTCGCGGTGGTAGTCGCCTCGATCCCTGTCCCTGTCCCTGTCCCGGTCGTCTCTGCCACCAGACCTCGACCATCCATCAGGCGGTTCTTCCCTTCTACTCCATGACGACCTAGAATCAGACCCTCTACTATCATAGTCTCTTCTGCCATAACCGCGACCGCGACCTCTGGGGGCGTCATTTCGTCGAGGGGCGTCCCGTCCGGAGTAACGAGATCTTGGGTATGGCTCTGCATCCTGCCGAGGTCTCGACGAGTAAGGCCTGTCGTCGTATCGCCTGTCAGATCTATCGTCGCGACGTCCGCCAGAATCGCGGTACGAGGATTCTGGCCGTCTGCCAGAGTCCCGGTCACGGCCATCCGCGTCATGTCTGCTGATATTTTCGCGCGACGGACTTCGTGGGGCCACCACAGGTTTTGGAGGCAGCGTGTCCATTTCGTGGTGATGGTCGTGAGCAGAGATTCCACTGGCGAGAAATTGAAATTGTTTGGTCACGCTTCCCCTGTTCTGTGCTAAACCGCGATGTACCCCGTCTTCTACCCCGTCGCCTCGTTATCACAAATTCAATGCACACCTTCGAGATCAGATGGGTTGCCCGAAGAACTTGAAGCGGACCTGAGGGCCTTTGGGTGCAAGCTCATCCATGAAGCTGGTATCCTTCTCAAGCAGTGCGTGCCGCCACACACGCGCTCGGCGAATTTCCTACTAACGAATTTCAGGAAACAGGTCGCTGTAGCCACAGCACAAATACTATTCCAGCGTTTCTGGTTTGTGACTTCGATGAAGCAGTTTGGTATTGGGGTTCGTGCGCCGTCATGACGTTCCGAGCCGTCACCTAACGCCAACCAGGATGTAGGGATGGGCGCTCTCTACCTCGCCTCGAAGCTGGAGGAATGCCCGCTTCGCATGCGGGATCTTATCAACGTTTACGATCTGCTTCTACAACGGACTGTGCACAAGCTGAGCAACAGCAATACCGAATTCAAATACGCCGCGATGTCATATTTCGGGAACACATTCTACGACCTCAAGGATGCGCTTGTTGTCGCCGAGATGCAAATATTGAAGCGGCTAGGGTTCAATGTCAATGTCGTACTACCATATGGCACGCTCATCAACTATATGAGAGTGCTAGGGCTTACAAACCACGAGGATGCGTGTACGAAAGCTTGGGGATACCTGAATGACGCGTACGTGCGCCGTTCGACTCACACAACACCGCACTTTCATGATTGTTCCCTCATGGCTGACTGTATACAGGCATCAAACCCCGATATACGCGTTGTATCCTATACCGACGATTGTCAGCGCTGCGATATTGCTTACAGTGCGCCACCTGAACATCGCCTTGCCCTCAACGCCGCCGAACTGCTGGTGGGAGTTGTTTGATGCGGAATGGGAAGATATTTGGGACATCTGCGGGCACATAATGAGGCTCTACCGCAAGAGGACACGAGAAGATGAAGAACGGGTTTGGGGGATGCTGAGCAAAAAGGATGTCCGCAAGTGGCTGGAAGAACATCCCCCGGAAGAGCAGGTTGATATGCCGCCATCCTAGATCGCAAACGAAAGGCACTGGACTCGGTGCTGAAGCAAGATGCCATCAGAAGCAGGCTGCATTTCACTATTGGTGATGGGACGCGGGTCGAATGGAAAATGACAAAGGTTGGCCATTGCAATGATCTTTTGCACGCACGTTGCAAGGCGCGTAGCACCAGAATTGAAATAATGCGACAATTACCATATATGGCCCTGATTTACATCTTGTTCTTGCTTACTTGATATCGCTCAGCATGGTTGGTAAGTAATGAGAAACTCGGGTGTAAACCGCGCAACTGCTCGGCTTCCGAGGTAGAAATTGCCAGAAAAGAGCGATGGATACCCAGTACCCACTGCAGCACTTCTCTCCCACCGTTCAACCACAACCATGTCCACCCCAACGACGCAAAAGGCGTGGATAGTCGAAAGAATGGGACACCCCTCGAAAGCATTAAATTTCAAATCGGACTGGCCTGTTCCAAGCGAAATCCCAAAGGACCACGTACTCGTAAAGATACAAGCTGCGGCGCTCAACCCAGTGTATGTTTCTGTCCATCCCGAGCATCTAGCGACTCGAACTCATCATCTATCTATAGAGGATGGAAATTGATGCAGTTGGCTCCTAATTTCCTCGCGAAAAGGCCCCTGCCTGCTGAATACGACTTTGCCGGCGTCGTCGAGAAGAAGAACGGCACGGAGTTTGAGGTGGGGGATCCTGTGTTCGGATTCATCCATGCTCGTACGTCCCCTCGTTGTTTTAGACGGCCTTCGATATACACCGACACTTCGCGATAGTGATAACCCTGAAAACGCGACAAGGCACTTTGGCCGAGTACGCGCTGGTGCCGGATATATGCGTGACCAAACGGCCGTCCAATATCGATGCGATCCACGCTTCTGGGTTGACACTGGCTGGCCTCACCGCCTGGCAATCCCTGTTCGAATGCGCCCATCTGGAAGCTGGCCAGACGGTCTTCATCTACGGCGCGAGCACGGCAGTGGGATTGTTCGCAATACAGATCGCGAAAGCACGCGGGATCAAGGTCGTCGCGAGTGCCTCCGGAAAGAACGAAGAACTCGTCAGGAAAACAGGCGCAGATGAGGTACATCCAGTTCCATGTGGCTTATATGCGCCGTGCTCACGGATATGCTAGTTTATTGACTATACGAAGGAGCCGATACACAAATACCTTGCATCCCATCCACCCTCGCCCAAATTCCATGCGATAGTCGATGCGTACGGTCTCTCAGACCCCTCGTTGTACACCCACAGCGCTACATACATGGCGCATGGTGGCGTATTTGTGACAACTACACCAGCCCCTCACGGTCTCTCTTTCAAAGAGATGGGGTATCTTCTAAAGACGATCGCTGCTATGACATGGCCCTCCTGGCTTGGCGGCATTCCCAGGAAATTCAAGTCAGGATGTCTGAATTCGAGCTTATCGAAGTAGTCGCTAATAATTCTGATATTCTAGGCTCGTCAGTCTCAAAGCGAACAAGGCCGATTTGGAGGCATTCCATACCTTGGTTGCAGAAGGTAGGGATTCATCCTGCGATGTACAGTCTAGCTCTGTCTGACGCCGAACTCTTTAGGCAAGGTTGTAGGGGTCGTGGACTCTGTCTACGAGATGCAAGACGTGCTGAAAGCTTACGAGCGAATAATGAGTTCAAGAGCAACCGGCAAGGTTGTGGTGAAGATCGAAGGATCAACGTGAAGAACACGAGCACGAAACTTCCCTGGACAATGTTGGGTCCCAGCGTTTATATACCATTATCAATGTTGCCCTGTTAACACTAAGCATTTGTACGACGAAGACCATCAACAACGATGAATCTTGACTCGAAGTAACTTCACAGCAGTGATAGTGGGCTGGTGAAATTGCGCGGTCACTTACGGCAGTCGTCCATCGTCTACCAGCATAGAGTAGCCGACGAACCGATTCCACCCCCTCATGCCATTATGGACAGAATCTTGGCATATGGAACGTTCAGCAGGCTTGCCACCAACCCAAGAGATACGAATCCGACCAAGGCAATGGTTTCTAATCCATCACACTTCAGTGTTCAATACCAGACTCTACTAGTACTACAAAGAGTCATTGTGTCCCGAACTCTGAGAAGAAGGTCCTTCGCCGGAATAGCTCCTTTGAATAGTATAGTCGAAAGAAACGGACGATGTACGTACCCCATGCCATACTTCGCATAATATGCAAAAATTAGTCGTTGTGGACGGAAAGTCGGCAGGTTGTTCGTGTTCCCGGGTTGGAAGGGGTGTGCCTGGGCGCACCACTAAATGAGTGTGTTTTACAACTGGCGAACATCGACATATAATAGTCTACACACCACCCATCAGCCTTACTGTCGTTACGCTAATCTACGATTTAGATGGAACGTTATGTGATCGTATGAATATATCGATAACTTATAAATTTCCAACCCGGCCGAGTCAAATATCCTGGAGAACTTAAAATCTAAATCCATCCGCCGCACTTTTCTGGCCAATACGAAACTTTAAAGCCGGCTCGAAGACGGCTCTCCAAGGGCATAGAGTGCATCTAGTCTTGTCTTGAACTTCGCATATGCATCCCGGCGGCGAAGTTTGAACGTGGGCGTGAGAGTGCCCTCCTCGATGGAGAACAGATCCATGCAGACATGTATACGCTTAACGGCCTCGAACCTAGGAAATTGAGCAAAGAAAGTTAGTGATAACGAAGAGGTTCAGTATTTAGGAGTGCGCACCCTTTCAATCCACTCTTCTTCGCCTCAACGGCCAATGCCTCGAATACCTTCTTGACGACTCTTTCGTCCTCGCATGCTCTTTGCAGAACATCTGCATCCTCCGCAGTAACTTTCTTGCCCAGAACACCACTCACAAGCTCCGCAAATACGATGGGGTCAGGTACAACAACGGCCAAGAGATAGGACTGCAGCGAATCGCCATGCACGTAGATTTGTTGAACCAGGGGTGAGTTTCCGTAAAGATTCTCGATCTTTTCGAGGGCAACGTATTCGCCTTGAGAGAGCTTCATGATGTTCTTGACACGGTCAATGATTTTTAGGCGACCCGCTTGGTCGATTTCGCCGACGTCGCCGGTATGCAACCAACCCTCCGAGTCCAAGGTTTCTTTCGTGTTCTTTTCATCTGGCAGATTACAAGGAAGGAAACATCGTCAGTAACCAACGTCACAATTACTTAGAAAAAGGTGCGAACCTTTGTAGTACCCAGAGAAACCGTTGAGTCCGCGCGTGCAAATTTCTCCCCGAGGGTTTGGCTGGTCGCTAGATGTGTATCCCATTTCTGGCACATCGACAAGCTTAACTTCGTTAAGTGGATGTGGAGCACCAACGGTCCCGCTGGAGTGAGGGTCATTTGGCCAAGTCTTGCAACAAGTCGCAGTGTTCTCAGTCATTCCGTAACTGCAGAATGATACAGCGTTAGAGCGCTCCCTCATTCACCCACAATAGTTTCGGCTACTCACCCCTCACTCAGTTCACAACACAACAAGATGCGAAGGAAGTTCATCTCCTCCACGCTAGTAGGCGCAGAACCTGTGGTGATCAACTCCAGATTACCACCAAGGACAGCAGTAACCTGACGATAGACATGAGCCCAGATTCAGCCTATCTCATGTTCGCGTACCTTGGAGAAAACGAGTCTGTCCCAGAATGGATGGGTGTTAATTCCCGTCTTGACTAGTCGGTCCAGCTTGACTTGAACGGCCTTCCTGAAAAGCGCACCCTTAAGACCGGGTGCTTTGCCTGCCACTGCGGCTGCTTGGCTGACTCTGTTCAGAACACGGGGAACGGCGGGGAAGAAGTTTGGCTTCAAGACTTGAGCATCTTCGAGAAGACGGAGTGGGTCGCCTGTGAAATAACCGATTTTCCCGCCAACAGCAGTGGTCGAAAGTTCGACAAGACGCTATAGGGTGTGCGTCAGAATCATGACCCAAAGGTGCCGGAAGGCGATGAGTGTACCTCGTAGATGTGGGCCAAGGGAAGGTATGAGAGTGCGCAGCCATCTTGCTGAATAGTGAGGCCAAAGAGGTTGGAGAAGACGCTCATTGCGAGATTTCTATGGGACAGGAGGGCACCCTTTGGGTTGCTGGTGGTGCCCTGAGCAACAATCAGCAGATGTTCTTCAAACGATACGCATCTAGGACGTACAGAAGTATAGCAGATGGACGCGACGGAGTTGGGATCTGGCTTGAGAATATCGGTAAGGTGGGCTTCACCCAGCTTCTCCACTGTTTGCCACTGTAATCAGCTACGCATAACTCATGCGAGGGGCTGACGACTTACTGTCGCTCAAATCCTTAACTTGGATGCCAACAGCATCTCCCCAGGAAGATACCACCTGTCGGGCTTCGGGAGTCAGGTTGTCCAAAGAAACGATAAGCTTGACGTTTGGCAATTTGGAGGCCATTTTGAGCAAATCGGAGACATGGGAGAACGTGGTGAAGACAACCGTGCATTGAGCGTGATTGGTGCTAAAGGCATGGTGAGCTTACACGGGAAATCCATCCTGAACGAGATACCGTACATGTATTCTGTGATGCAGAGTCGGTAAGCAATCACCTGTGACGGAAAGTGTATAGCAACGTACCGACGGCATCTCTTCCGAGCGTGTCATACAAACTTACGCCAACCAAACGGTACGCGTGGAGTGAAAGATCGACAATCTGCCATTCTTCACTCGCTGCATGAGATATGGACGGTGATGGAAAGGCCATAACAACGTACCTGGCCTATTTATTGACCAAATTCCGACAGTGTCTAAGTCAGCTCCCCCTAGGACTCCGGTGTCGAAAAGATATCGCAACGCGCTGCCCAAGCGGCGTCTTCGGATATCAACTTCGGCGTAAGTTTGCCAGACATAATGGTCGGCGAACTTGAGAGGGTTTGATGAGACCAAAGGCCGGTGACCGAGATATGGTCGATCCTTGCCCATACTGATACCATACGCGAACACCTCAGGCAAAGTTAGAATGGCTCCAGGCGAGTTCTCGTTGATGAGCCCAAAAACGCCTAGGCGTATTAGCGTGATTTTAACTTCTTTCTGTGGGTCTTTCGCTTACCATTACGGTAGTGGGCTTCGAACAAAACGTGAGTTCCTAGGATAGATTTGCGATTGACGCAAACATACCGGTTTGACCGGGGCGCTTCGTGCCAGGTACTTCTACCGCCTGGGCATCGTAAGGCATATGCTCAGGCCATGGCGTCGTGTTTGGGTTGACGGGTTTTGAAAAGAACATTGCGGGGTTGTGGGGGAAGAGTCCAAAGGGTTCGGTTCTGGGGTAAACCTGCCCGTCAGGTATTATATTCTGGCAAAACACACGTGAATTCGTGTCACCTCACATGGGCGCTAGACCGGTTCCCGGTACAATGAACGGATTTCAAATTACTTTATGTCACTGGTAGTACGAGTACGATACAGCGATGAGCGATACAGCGATCAGGTTTTGTAGCTAATCTAGTGCTAATCTACTGATATATATACATCGACATGGGTATCCAATTTAGAGCCACCGTTCGCACTGAACGCGCACGCTGCTTGTTACTGCATGCAAGTATACCATGCATGGTTAACTCTGGTACAGGACCCTGCACTGGCTGATTTGTGAATGAAATAGAAATACCAAGATGTAGATTTGTTCTGTGCCGATATTGCAGCCATAGCTGCTTTCCGAGGGGACCGCCAACTAATGTATTGACATTGAAAGTTATGGTGGACATATGGTTCCAAAAAGGATGAGGATATAGACCAAGAACATAATGTTAGCAAATGAATAGAAATGCCCGTTCTCAATGAATTAATAAGAAACCCTCAGCAACATCAATTCACTCCTCCCACCGAGTTGTTCATTTGTTTTGTTCCACGCCATCTACTACACCTTGATGGTCGTATTGGTTTGGCCCTTCCATCTCACTAAACTGGTTCCTTTCAAAAGCAAGTCTCCCCCCCTTTACTTGCCCTGTGTAGACTTGACTCTTCATTGATTTACAATCGACACTCCCAACCACTTGATTGCACTCCTTTCACATGGCTAATCAGTGCTCTCTCGACACGCATTCCTTCTGCGAGCCAGGAAGCCCATAGAAACTCATCCCGACCGTAACTTGGACGTGCATTCTTGGATGTACAGGGGCCTTTAGGGGTACACATGACTTCGCTCGCGCGTCTAAACGACAGCGAGCAACATTCAAGCAAGGCAGACAATATCCAGGTTGGTCCCCCTCCTAAGTCCAGCGATTTCTCAACCCCCTTTTCAACAAGCTGATATCATTTACTTGATACATATTCTATTATTCCAAACGAGCTGGATGGATAAAGAAGAAGAGTGTGAAAGGTGACTTTGCAGAAGCTAGGTGAAAATACAGGGTAAACATCGGCAATGATATCAGGAGCATAAACTATGGGCTACTAGAAACAATCTGCAACATTACTTGTAGGTATGTATTGAAAGGCATCAAGGAGCACTGAGCACGATCTGCGATTCGTTGTCAGTACGTGATAATGGATGGGTAGCCGAAGACGTACGGTCATAAACTGCTCGTAATTGAGCGTCACCCAGCCATCTCTTCGAGTGTCGTACCTGTTGAAAGTGGCATTGATAAGATGTATGTCGCAAGAACGTGGGTAGAATTACCGTTGGAATGATTCAGTAAGCGTCTTCACAACAACACAGGCCCGGACGAATCTATCGAAGGTAATCCCGGGTGGAGGTCCATACCCAACCGCGGGCTCCGATGCTGCGATTGTTTTTAGGTTCGAGGATATAGCGACGGTGGATGCATACGCACCGTATTTGTGCTCTATGAGAGTCAGCAGTGACGGTGACAAATTGTAACCAAAGCTACGAAGGGCTTCGGACAACTCTCGCCCATCTATCGATCCGGATCGATCGCGGTCAAAGTGCCGGAAGACATTCTGCCAGTCCGCAATGTATTTCCACAGTCCAACGAATTCTGTCAAAAAGGCCGCGGTCAAGCAAGGGGAAATATCACAAATTACAATTCATCGAGATACCTTGAAATCCTATGGTGCCACTGCGATCGGTGTCCTATCGGGTGACATCTCACTATTCCAATTCCATAAGAGAGCTTAATGAAATGTGACGTACAAATATAGACATTAGCATCTTCACGGTATCGAGGTCAAAATCTGCCGGCGATCTTTCGTATCAAATACCCAGTAAGAGCGATCTACGACTCACTGGTCCAGTTCCCTGAACGCCAATCAGCAACGCTATCGCAAAGCCAAGATGAAATGTGGGCGTACCATTCAGAAGAGCACTCTGCAGCTCTGTTACGCTGATCGAGCCCGACCTGTCTGCGTCGACTGCTGAGAACCAGTTCCACAGCTGCGGGTCGGCGCCTGGGGGTGGGCCGGCAGCGGGATATCCGCCTCCATGAACCCGATGTGCATGCGCTGGTTGCTGTTGCGAGTAGCTGGGGCTGCCCGAGTACGCGCGATGGTGGGTTTGGGGGGCGCCGTAGCCGGGCTGTACGTTATACATTGTGGAGACGATGATGAAGGAGGCGCCGGTGCATCATGAGTTCCCTGTTTGTAAGGATAAGGTGGCTATGTAGGAATCACATGGCGCGAAGTCGAAGTCTACTGCCCAGTTAGTGCTGCGGACACAAAGCGGACAAAGTTCGCGGGTGCTAGCTTGCTGTGTGCACAGTGCAAGGCCGGTACATATGTTTCACCAGAGCTGCGAGCATCCTGGCACAATTTGGGGATGGAGCTCTGAGGGTAGAGTGACCCATTTTAATATAAGTTTGGGGTTGTGGAGAAAAGAGGGACCACAAAGGGCGGGCAGATGTCGCAAAACCTCTTCACAAATATGTATATATGAACGCCATAATTCTTCTCCTTTCACATCGTCGACTGTCGGAATCAATGTACAAACCAATCAGAGACAAAGCAGCGATCCTTGAGGCTTCACCCACCGCATTTGGGCAATTATACATGTCTATGATTGGCTCAGATCCGGGACACAGGTGGGCGAGGGAACAAAGGGGACACGCCAAGGGAGGGTCATACTGGGTAATTCCCTGCAATTCCACATTTCCGTGGATCGTGCCTTTTGAACTTTTGACTATCGATGGTCAACGAGCATGTAGGGACCGTTGTGCCTGATATCGACATCCCAAGAATGCCAACGCAGTGGCGGCGACTAAGTGGCGATGTCGATGACGGCGTGGATGGTTACCCGCCATCAGGCATGAAGGCGGGAAGTTGACCCGCCGCAGCGCGCATTCTATTACATTACACAGCATGTTAATTTCTATTAATTTATTTTACTTCCAAGAGAGAACCAGGAGCGAAGTGAAACATACCGGGGAGTAAGACAACCGTTATTTCACCGGGAGAACCAAGGATGGCGTCGGGACGGTGCTAGTTTGGTTGGTAGGATCTATAGCTTTCGGCCTTGCGACCGCGCGGTAATGTAGACTTGATCCAGACTACGTCGGTATGTAGTTCCTTGGAGGGGAATACCAGAGTCGAAATATTCTGCCAAGGCTTACCAGAAGAGTTGGAATCGAACCTAGTGGTGCGTGTGGCCTTGAAATTTTGGATTATTTGAAACAGTTGACTACTGCGAACCTCAGGTATACTTCCCTCGTAAGCAACTCCCCATGACTGCGTAAATCCTTGGGCGCCGTTGATGATGCACTACACCATTCGTTGTAACAGCTGGGTACCTGGAGCTGAGAAGTTGTCGACGTACACAACGACTGCTGGATAGCAAGGGGGTGATCTGATGCAAAGTAAATAGCCCATAGAAATAGGCGTGCTCCCCGCTGGAATTGATGTGATCGGGGTGGAGGGGAACCTTCATGACGGTCACCAGGGCCTGACTAGCGAGGGCGCCAGGTATCGACAGGCCAATGTAGAGAGCTGCATGGTCGGCAGGAATAATTCCTCACGGATCGCCTCCACTAAGCCATCTATTGCTCAGCCGACAGGGCGACACTTACGGTGAGCGCAACGGCGAGTTGTCGAGGGTGAAAAACGAATCTCTGGATACTGCCAAGTAGTTAAATGCTCGAGCAGTCAAAAGGTGATCAGAACGGGCTATCAGACAGATTTGTTGAGTTCGATGTGCAATATATCCAATCCTGGACGACCTATTTAGCGAGTAGCGGGGTACTCCTTCGACGTACGAAAATCGTAGGGTGCTGATACGAGTGACTTTAGATTAAAGTAATATATTTCTGACGGGAGTAAATCTCTCTTACCAAATTAATTCTTTTTTTACAATTTTCAAGGGCGCATGGGGGCAAACTCTAACGGATTTGGTCACTGATACAAAAAGATGGCCGTGTCAGCAGCGGGAAGAACAAAGGGAAGCAAGATCAAACCGACCTAGCTCCCTGAGCAGTGTCACGAACGCTGTCAGAGATAGGGCCTGGCGTAGATAATGGCAGAGTACATGCTGTACCCAGCTGTAATGGCGTGCCGCGGCTACCTCCTAGTGCTTGCACGGGACACCGATACTGGCTAGTCAAAAATCCGCCAGGCTAAGCGCGGAGCAACTCACTCCATGATGGCGGTCTCATTGGCGTGTTCGGCTGCAGTCGTATGGCGGACGGAGCCGGGCTTGGGAGGAAGGATATTGTTCGCATCTAAGTGATAGCAGAAGTTTTGTCCAGAATTGTCTCTGGCGCGCCACACCATAGCATCCGGACTCCGCTTACGTTCGATGTTCCCTGGGTAGACAAGCATAACGTTTACCCGTGAGCATTTCGAGCATTCACGAACCATGATGGAAGCTCCTTGGGGACATTCAATTATTGGGGAGATTGAAATGCGTCGTTGCTATTTTTGGTCGACATGGGAGTTGGACGCCAGCCACAGATGCGTTTTTGTTCGATAAATGATAGCGTCGATAAATGCACGAGCCTAGCGAGATACAATTATGCATTAGTTGTGAATAGAACTTGACACTCCAAGTCAGAATAATGTGAACATATATCTCCGTGCTTGAGCCCTGGTGGTGAAGGAAAAACTTTTTTGGGTTACCATGGCAAGTCTGCATATGCCAGCGCCCGTTCCTTACTCCTCTACGTATGTTGAGCACAGGTATGTAACCTCGGAGTATGTGGAGGCAGAAGAAAGCCTCGGAAGAATGAAAACGCCAGATGGAAGTGACTTGTGGGACATGGCCAGACTAAGGTGATTTGCGCAGATGTATCAAAAGCGACCGAAGCTAGATCTTTTGAAAATTGCGTTTAGTGCGCGAAATGAACGGCCGGCCTATTCTCAACATAGTTTGTGACAATTTCGAGGTGCGTTGTCTCGTCGTTCGAATAATAGATCATCACGGTTCATGAGCACGGTCCAGACGTTGAGGTTCCAGTCGGCGCGAATGGTGGGCGCCGAAGATATATCGCCGACAGAGAGAAGAAAGTGAAATCTTCTGAGCTCCAGCATCCCCCAGCCCAGATGGTGGAGTTTACGAAGAACAGCGGACAGAAGTGAGATGGCTCGCAAAGTCGGGACGATTCGCTCTGTGATTGGTTGATGCCCTTGATTGCCGACCTTACCGCCTCAGGTACAACCACGTTCAAGGGATCGATTGTGGTTCGATTGCCTCCGCTCCCAGTGTTAAGGGTCAGACCGCTAATCCTGGTTGATGTCGTCGGACGATGGAGGGGCCGATGAGTATGTTTGGGAGGATGTAGCATGGATGTTGGCTATGGGGTGGCTCTGCTGTACAACTTCCGGCTTCTTTGCATTATCAAGCTTTGATGGTGTCGGTCCTGGTCAACACCCGTCATTTCATTATCATACCCAAGTCACGTTCTTTAGACGAAACATATTTGGATGAACATGAGGCTACCACAAGGCCCCGGGGTTCTTCAGCCAGTGGAATGTGAGTAGCTGGGAGCGATTGCCCAGTAAGGCTTTATTTGATGGGGGGTTCCAGAATCGCTCCCAGTTGAGAACCTGGAAAGTCGTATGTCAAGAGAAGGGCCAATCAAGAGGGAGTTGCCGCGACCAACCAATGATAGCCAATGGCGTCCTCGTCGCGCGGTGGAAAATTGAACGTAAGGCTGTCTCACACATCGCAGGGCCCGCCGAGGCTTCTCTTCTCTCTATTTCCAAAATGCCATCAAGGTTCATGCTGTACTTGCTATGTTTTGAGCAGAGACGAACCGATAACTTGGACGAGCAGCGGAGTCTGAAGTGTATGGCAGTTATACTCAGCTATGGAATCATCGGCCTGAACCTTGTCGAAACACGGCGATCAGCCGTCGTTCGCCGCTTGCCGGAGGACCCTCCAAGTTTACTTCTTGGTTGCCGGCGGAGCGATCACGTGGCGCTATTGCCCCCCGGCTATTCAGTACCCGACCCGTACCATCTTTAGTGAAACGCTCAGCAACATACCTCGGTGCTATCCAAACCACGAACTCTCTTGTTCTCGCCAAAGCTGTAAGCCCTGTTTCACTCGACGGTGCTATGTTGACTCCATACCTTCTCCCACAAGGTTCATGGCAAATACCGAGTCCTTGCCCGCGCTGAAGGCAATTATCTTTGACGTGTGTCCAACTTGAACCTTCTCTGCCCCTAGTAGGCTCAGCTAACAGCACTTACTGTCGTAATGAATCCAGATCGGTGGCGTGGTACTACGAAGTCCGTTCATTGGTATTGCTGCATACGAACGAGATCATGGACTTCCCCCGAACTATATCAACTGCTCAATGTGCGTTCCTATCGTGCACTTCCGTTGCTCCGAGACTCATATCTCCGGACGCAATCGAACTTGGAAATTTCACGTCACTCGTCGTATGCAATAATAGCGTAGGGCGTGGATCTCATGGCGCTTGGCAGCGCTTCGAACGGGGTGAAATCTCTCTCTTCCCCTTTTACGAACAGTTTGGAAAGGACCTTTCCGACGTCGTGAGCGGAAATGAGTGGTATAAAGGTTACTGCCGAAGAAACAAGATTAGTAAGTGTCAGCTGCCGGTGTGGAATCAAACGCACGACGTAACGCTGGCTTCACTTCTTCCCATAGCATGCCCCTTGTTGCCGGAATCACTGCATGTTGACGGCAGAGAGGTCTGTTATATCTCGAGTGGGAATACATTACTGATCGCTTGCCTGGCTTATTTTAGTTATTTGGCCGCATGATGCGTGAAAGTGGCGTGTTCGACCCGCATATCTTGCTGGCAATCCAGAATCTTCGAGGTACGGTCCTCAGGGATCATAGCTGAAGCGCTGAAGGAGTACCTTGTACTCGCGACCCCTCAGCGAGCCCGTTGTCATCTAACGTTGGTACCCTCATTTTACTGATTCCGCCTGTTTCCAGCCGTGCAGAAATACCGCATAATTGCGTTAACCAACAATTTCACGAGGACAGATTCCTCTGGAGATCCTATCCCACCGTCTGAATTGGCCTTTCTTGGATGGGACCGCGGTGGTGCCGCCCCTAATAAGCTGCGCGCCCTCTTTGATGACTTTATCGATAGTAGTGTTCACGGCATGCGGTACGTCTTGTCATGTCCCTGATGCACTCACGTCCCTCAACCTGTTATCTTTCGTGTAGGAAGCCTGATCCGGACTTCTATCTGCTGGCATGCAAAAGGAACAACATCAAGCCGGAGGAAGCAGTGTTCCTCGACGATATTGGCATGTAAGCCGATGTTCCAACTTCTAGCCCACTCGTGGGACCAACGAATATATTGACCTTTTGATCAGGAATCTCAAGGCGGCGCAGAAGCTAGGGATGCGAACCATCCGTAAGTCCCTCTTTATTTGTTCCAACATAAATATTAATTATGTACCGATTGGTATACACAAGAGGTTCGCATCGGCGAGACCCTTGATGCAGTGAAGCAATTGGAACAAATTGTGGGCTTCAATCTCACCACATCCGTAAAGCTTTAAGCAGCGGGGCGGAGTGGAAATAGATTATCACAGAAAGTAGACTACTGTTAGCACTAGAAGATATAGCTTGCATTGCAATTGTTGCGGGATAAATGTTTCGAACAGCCTCAAGTCGGGTTGAGACCCTGTAGGATTGCTATACTGGCGCACACCGACTAGACTGAGGACAAAGCCGCTGACGATTTCGACATTCACCAAGGCGCAACAAGTGCATGCGGTACTGGTACATGAGTTTCTATCTCTATCACCACATGCTGCACCACAGCCACCGCCACGGTAATCGAGGGACTCAGTCCGTGGAACAATAATGGAGTGGATTAAAATGGCTTGTCAGACGCGGGCGTCTTGTCTTCGAAATATGAGCCCAGCTGATGTGGATGGCATCGAGAGAAGTTAATTAGTATCTGATTGCTCAGAATGGGCAAAACGGAGGCAGGGTACGCACCACAGGCACTTTCACCAAAACTTCACGCTTTACCAATGGCGTCACGGAGAGAAACTATGGGAAGAAATGGTTAGTTGCTGTCCGCCGAAGCCCGAAGCAGATGGCAACCATGTATGAGAGTAACGCACCAGAAGAACAGCAGAGCCAGCGCCAAAGCCCCATACCCCCAAGCTTGGAACCCAACGTTTCGCAGCCTGTCGAAGAAAGGAATTAAAGAAAACATTCCGGAACGGTGAAATTCGAGGGATGTACAGTGAGTGCCGCGGCGGGTGGCGATGGGTGAGAGAAAGCAAGACGAGCCATTGTTTGCGACGGCGTGAGTAGCGGTCAAGTAGATTCTATATGGTCGGGAGTGAGCGGCGCACGTCGTTGCAAACGCCGTCTTGAACCGAAACAGACGCACCTCACGTGACCCAATTTTCACTGACATGCACGATCATCATGCTCTGCATCCTCCGCTCATCGTGCCAGTCAGTCTCCCAAACGCAAAAGGCCATCAGTCGAGTCTGCAAATCCCCGAGATCGTAGTGAACTACCTGTAGCTGAAGCTTTTGGCTCAGCAAATCTTCACGTTGGTCCTATCTGCCTGCAGATGTATGTATTTCTTGATTTGGTGGTTACTTGACGAATCTGAAGCAGAATCAAGTCTCATTTGGTCAGGTTATATTGAACAATGGCCAATCCACGCCAGCGCCGAAAAGCTCGCTCGTCTACCCATCGTCCTGTCAGCCAATCCAGGAGAGCAAAGAAAATACTCAAGAAAACACCTCGTAAGCCATGCTATTGTCGTCCACCATGATATATAATGGTGTACTGACTTTGAATGTCCGAATCCTGCATCTGCTTCCCCTCTATCTTCGTTCTATACCGCCCGCTGTCGTTCACCGCTTCTGGGACGATCACCATGCTGGTTAAGCCATACGCGGTCCGAAAGTCTTGCAAGATGCCTGGGATAATCGGAAGACTGTTCGGCAAAAGTGAGTGAACAGCACCCGTTCCGTTTTCATTTCCAAGGACAGGCGGCTTCATCAATGTCTCTTTCATCCATCGTTCTTTGCATGAGCAGCATGATCACACGGATATGTCGCCCGTTCTGCTGTAGCTTATTTGATCCTCGTTCTTTTCACTGCTTCCATGCGCTCTGGGCGGCTGTTTTTGTGATAGATATCGTCGCTATAATTCTACGATCATATACGTTCCTCAGCTGACTTATACCGCTTTCCTAGTTATCTAGCTCTCGGGCTTGTGCACTCCCTCGACCCCCTTGCGTCGGGCGGAGTTGAACCAAATGAAAGTGCCCCAACGGAGGGTACCACGAGCGACGCACCTATTAATCTCAGCGAGGGTCCTTCTGGCGATGCTGATAAAAGTGCCCCTCTCCGTAAAGGTTATGGCCGAATAATACGTGACGAAGCTGGAAATGTAATCGACATAGAATTGCCAAATGATGAGGCCGATGACGCTAAAGACGCCCCACAAGACATAACGATGGAAGATCTTGAACTGCCTATCGACGAGTCGACGAAGGAAAAATGGGTATCGGGGATGGGCGGACGTCTTGAAGGAAATGGACCAGTGGAAGGTGAGTTTCTTTTACCTTTACTCCCGTATGGGACATCCACTCCTATTTCCTCGTACGTGTTCCTTCGCGCCTTTGATTGATGTCAGACTGTATCCCCGAGTGGCGGACATCTCATGTTGGATCGTGCACCAGATGGCTTCGGGCTGATAAATGATATTCGAAGTTGGTGCGGATTTTTTCACGTCAAACATTAAATTGTCAGCGTCTGATGTTGTGGATTTTTCAACGGCCGTTCTGATCCTCTCACCTTGAGCTACTGTTAATGGAACTGAATGGTGGTGCAAAGACCAAAACTTTCCGCTTTCCTTGATCATCTTCGCCGTTCGTTCAATCCTTCCATTTGGCTTTCTTTTTGCCGCTTCTCTTCCACGATATGCTCTCTCCCTCCACTTCTCACGATTTTGCAAGTGGCTGACCTTAGCTTGACTCCCAACAGCCCTAGAACGCATATCTTCCAACACTAAATGCAATTCAAACACTGTATCCGCATCAATAACTGGCGCGGGCCCACGACACGCTTCCCAGGGCGAAATCGCGTACATGAAGAGACTGGTGGCTAAGTATGGGCAAAATACAGAGCAAATGGCGCGCGACAGAAAGCTCAACCCTGAGCAGCGCACGGCTGCAGAGTTGCGGAAAAGCCTAAGGAGAACGGGATTAGACGGGGCAAGCCGTCAATCGTAGCTATTGAGAATAGTGAGCAGACCGGATACGTAACGAATTTGTCTAAATGACGATTATAGTTGGGTTGCGCACTAGCGACTCCGCAGTCCGGATACAGTCTTCGCGATTGCTGATGCAATTGATGCGTCGGTACGCCTGCAATGTGGTTGAGAGGCACAAACGGTGTTCAAGAATGTATGTTTTGCTCGTTTGGGCACCGGGGGCGAACGAATTCCATAAGGCTGTGTCGCATAACGTTGATTGGTTCTGGTGCTTGCCGAGTCGATGAGATCTCAGTTCATTCACACCAGGGAAAGTAAAGTTCAGCTGCTTGACGTCAAATGCGTCAAATGCACGGGTGCAGTCAGCTAGTCGACAGGTCACGCAAAAGGATATGCAGTGCAATCGGGGGAGACTGGGCTATCACTGGTGTCCAGGATGCCGGAGTCGTGGGTCGGCGTGTAAGCGGAGGCGGTGACAAAGTTCAAGGCTCGCGGAGCACGGCGACGGCGGACGGACGGATTCGGCAGATCGCATAATGAAAAATAATAATAAACATTTTTGGAAACCGTGACATTAGATTCAATGCAGATCTCCTTCTCGAGGCCACAGATCCGGTTAGGTCGTGCATTAATTCTTCGATACCGTAATATATATAAGTCTCTCTCAATGTCCCCCGGTTCCCTCAGTCCCACTCCTGTCTCCCATGTCGCCCCGAAGCCAGAATGCCGGCGCCCCTCCGTCTACAAGGTCATCCACAAACACGCCTTATCCTCGTCGTCCCTCAGGCCAGCCAAAGTCCTCGCGCCAGCAGTTCTCTGCATGTGGTGCATGTCGGATGCGGAGGTGCGCTCGGGCAGTCCCCTCGTGTTCCATTTCTCACTTCTGTAATCCCAGAGTGCGCTGTGATCTCAAAGACCTCCCCCTTGACCAGGCTGGACCGTGTCCATCATGTTCAAATTGTAAAGAACGCGGGCTGAAATGCGTGTACGTCCCCCTGCGCTTTCATTTCCACTATCATACCAATATCCCCCATGCAGAGACGAATTCGCCGACGTGAAATCAGTAAAGTTGCTCAGACGGGGCAGACGGCTCCAGCAGGTAGAGTGGGTGTCAACAGCAAGCCCATTGCCACAGTACTCGTTCTGATGATCACATTGTAGGCGGATTTACGGCAAAGTCTCAGATCCTGATAGCGCAGAAGGCTCCTCCTCTTCCTCGTTGCCCTCTCACGCTCGACCACGGACAATCCCCGGCCTCCAGCCAGAGTTCTTCGCCTCTCCATTTTGGCGATGGTTCAGCACGCAACGTAATATTACTCTCATATATCGCTTCTCGAAGCGCCATCATCTAACTTACTGAATATTAGGACCCATATTTGATTCGACCGAATTTCCCGCACGTTTCTTAGCTCACACCAAAGGGTCTCAGATTCTGAGCTTCGAAGGGCAAATATTATCTATGCTCCTGGTGGTATGGGCATACTCCTTCGGTGTCAACGAACGTGGACTCGAAGAAGCCAGCAGCTACGACTTCCTTTCCCTGTCTTCTGCCCCAGATTTCGAGAGCCTCACCCCTACCTCCCCACGCAACACCCGCCGAGCCAGCGTTAACATTCCACCCGATCGCGAGCTCTCACAAAACCTCAAAAGCGGACTCGATCATCGGCGCCACGAACGCAGGGAGAGGACAGACTCCATGCTGCGTGAAGTGATGGAACTCATCGACGCGCATTCTGTGATGCGCCACCCGACCTGGGATGGTGTGCGCATCTTGCTTTTAATTCTACCTTTGATGGAAGGTTTGTCACCTTTCTTTCCCCCTTGAGGAATGCCATGGTGTTTATCAGATTTCCGTATAGAGTCCCATCACCTAGATAGGTTGATGATGTATGAGGCAGCCCTGGCCCAGAGTCATGCGTTATGGACACTTCCATCCTCCTCCGGCCCCTCGCCGTTCTCACAAGTGCCAGACGATGCTATGGTCCGTCTGCGCGTTTATTGTTATGCACACATCCAAGAAGGCATTGCTGGTGGTCTTCGAGGGGGACGTCTCACGCTGTAAGCTACGCGATTCATCATATAAAATTAGAAACTCATCGGGCAACCCGCAGCGACCCCGAAGACCTTGCCACTATCCAACAATCGCTGTTATCTCCTGGATATACTGGGGATACAAGTCACCCTGGATCACCTACATTCACAGCGGCCGCGGAAACCTCTTCTCATTCCGTGATTACAACGCAATCATGCTCGCGCGCTCGAACCACCCCTCCTGTCTCTTACTGGCACCCCAACTATGTGTTCTCCCTCCCCCTTCGCCTCAGCAGCGTATGCCGAGATATTCACGCCGTCCTGACGGGTGCCAAGGCCGCGAGATGCCAGCTCGATATCGATGCTGAAGGGATGCGTAGGATCTGGGATGGTCTTGCTAATTGCTGGGACGATTTCGACACCGTGCGTCGGCAAGGCACGTCCAATGTCACCGAGGACGGCGTAGATTTGGACCGATTTGCTAGCGCGTGGCAGGTTAGTTGATGGTCCCATTCTTGCGTCGTTAGCTCAGCCATTGACCACAATGTACTCCTGTGCTATAGATATTCATCTTCGAGTGTCGTAAGTTGCCTATACCAGATACTACTAAGTTCCAGGGCTAAACATTATTCCTGTAGATAATATTATCCGGGAGACTTTGAAGCACCGCCTAACGCGAAAAGCATGCTCACCGCCGCTCTACTCAGCCAACTCCCCGGATCCATCCTCACAACATCCCGCCTCCTCCACCCACAACCTCCACGCTATCGCGCTACATCATTGTTCCCGCCTCCTTCCGTCGATTATTTCCATCGTTAAGCACCACCTAGAGCGCGGCACAAGGGACCCCGACGGTGCATCTCTATTCAAATGGGACACAGGTCTTGTCAAGGACGGTGTCTTCTTTGCCGGAATACTTGCTGCCGGCGGTGAAAGCGATCTACAAAACTCTCGTGACGACCACACTTTCAAGCAGGAGGACATCGAAAGTCTCACCTTTAGCGCGAAGGCTGAGAGCGCGCAGCTTTGCCTACGGGCCCTTTCGGAGATGCGATGGGCATATGCGAAGAGCGAGGACCGTGTCGATACCATTGAGCACATCTGGGAGAACAGTCATCGGAACATGCAGCTCGCACCGACAGCTGAGTACACCTCTTCCCAAGACATGACTCCGTTCCGCCATCAGGATCAACAACGTCTTTGTCCCCTTCCGGTCTACACTTACAACAAAGCAGTGATACAGAGCGGCCCGCATCTTGGGCTTCCTTTGTCAACGCTGAATGAGCGGTCGGGACGACCACCGCTCAGCGTAGCTTTGTCGCCCCGTACCTACGCCGAAAGCGCACCCAATACCGCTTGCAGCACGGACGGAAGTGCTCCGATTGGATGGGCATCGTACACACCTCCGGGAACTGGGACTTCGGCCACCACCAGTACCAGCACTGGCTTCAGCGGAAGTGATTCCCCCGTATTTCCCGCTCGACTAGCGGGCAATTCCATGCCAGCCTTCAAAGAAGGGCTCGACGATGGCTTCTACAATGTTGCGACCGCGGATATCGAACCGCAGTTTACCTACAACGCACCGATGGGGGCTTCCGGCCATGGTCTAGCTGAGCCACTCGGATACAACCATCATCGGCCGTCAAGTCATCATTCTCAACATGGAGTCGGCTCCAATGCGGGATATCTAGAATCTGTCGGGATGTACATGTCCACGGGAGCCTCTCAGGTTCTAGCCCATGCCGCGGAAGAAATGAATACGGTCACACAGTTCACGGACTACTACTAAATTGCCTCTGCTGTTTAAGGTCGACAAGATGGACTCTATCAGACTCTATCAATCAACTAATCAATCTGTATATGATCTATTGTTTTACACTCCATCATTCGTCGCCGCTTCGCATCTTTTTAGTTGACGCCATCTCTTCATACCTCGCTTTCAACCTTGTTGCATCTGTCACGTATTATACCATCATTGCATCTGTCTTTTAGATTCTATTCGTTTACTTACTGTTACTGGGTGGGTTGGTTCGCTCATTGTGTATTATTACATGTAATGGCATGGCCCATTAGGCATGGTCTTTGTACTCATTACTCTCTCTGAATATCAACGATATGGAGACTGCCCAAAGTACAATAAAATCCATCGGAGTGAATACGTCTTTTAATTATACCTTCCATCGGTTGATCGAGGAGTCAGTTACGGTAACAGGCCGGGCCGCAAGGCGGTGATCAAGGTGAGCAAAGCTAGGCTCTCGTTCCGCCAAGCCTGGAGGATCTGCCATCTCCAAATGGGCCTTTCTGATGCGTCCACCCTTGGATATCGTGGGTTATGGATTGCACTAATAATTGAAGATCTAGTGTTACGATACGCCAGCAGGAGCACTGCAACGTGTATACCGGATGGGATGATCTCATGATCCATCATCCATGCACAATAGCAGCCTCTGGATGGTACCGAGCTGAGTTCGATATATACTTCCATGTTGAAAGGAGGCAAAAGGGTGGACACTCAGAATGGTAATCGACTCCAAGAGCTCAAGGAAACGAGCTTCTAGCTGCGTTTGCGGCTAGTGATCACCGCGCTAATCTGGTGACGTTCAAAGCAGGTTGATGGGTTGTTCACCTGATAATCAGACCTCCAAGTCATTGGGCCTACATATAGATAGAACAACCGTGTGCAAAGGGGGAAAAGGGGTGCCCCCACGACTGTGGGACTCGAAGTTGTGCAAGACCTAAATACTACGACTGTGGCGCCGCTGCTAACATAAGAACATGGCTTCTCTTACTCTTTGACAGCGTTCTCCGCAACCCTTGTCAGGGATCGAAACGCGGCATGGTCTTCTGGATGCGGAGCGGCGTGCGAGCAGCCCCCGCTTCCCCCCGCTTGCGTGGCCGTGGTGAAGCCTCAAGACCTTCAGGGAGAAATGCCATCCTTGATTATAACGAGTATTTCTGGTTAGTGACGATGCCGTACCGTAGTTCATCGCAACCCTTGGACGCTAAAGAGAGAAGAAGGATAGTCAGTCACAGCCACCGAGACCAGAAGCCAAATCAAACGTGTTGATCGTGAAACCAACGTAGAAATGACAACTCGAGGTGACTTTCTCTGTCAATCGATGCTGTACGCGTTGTCGGACCAACCAGTGCAGCTGTGCAATCTTGTGTTACTTTCTTCTTTGTTTCTTTACCGACGACGTGTTAACTGGTTGCTTGTTGGATCATGAGATGTTCAGGGAAGTAGAGATTAGATTAGATAAGCCAAACTCCGCGAGTGATCGACGACGCCTCAGCTGCCGGCCCAGTGCTGCGCACGATTCTGTCCAAACTCTGACCACCAACCCGATTGCCAGACCATGTTTTGTGAGTGGCCATATCTTCCGAAATCTGCACCAATTCATTATTTGATAGTTTGCTTGCCCATATTGTGTACGTGTACATTGGAGGCAGTCTGACTTCCGGTTGCCAGCTAACTTCGCGGGAATCCTCAAGTTGGCTGCCAGACGAAGATTAAGCCAGATGCAAGCCAACCCCCTCGGATCTGCCCCAGATGCCACAATGGTCAGTCGTTCTCTCAGGTCTCGAGGACGTACATGCTCAATGCTGCTGCAGCTTCTATTGTAGCGGCAAAAAGCAAGTTATGGTTCGAATTCTTCTTCGTGCCCATTTTCCCTATGTCGTCGGATCACATTTGGATCTGTACTATCTGCCAGTTTCGGGCACCGCTACAAACTGGGTGCGTTGCACTTTGCGCTAGCCATTTACCCCCCTTGTTCAGTGCTGTTACCCACAGTCAATGGGAACCACAAGTAGCCAGTAACTTTGGCTATTTCCCTCCTCCGCAGCAGCAGAATTGGACAGCCCCGAACCAGCCAGGCTATCAGCCTGCCTACATCGTTCAAAGCCCACAGAAATAGGTAACTCATCTTGACTTCCCATATCTTGCGCACACAAATCTGTATTACCTACGGACGCTCGCGACGTTGCACTATGTCACCACTCTTCTCCCTCGGAAATGAGTCCTCATCGTTATGGATGCCCTGCAAGCCGTGCTTTCCGACCATCCGCTACACACTCGAAGCACATTTTGGTTCGTTGTCACTGTTTCTTGATTCCTATCCGCATGCCGTTCTTCCTTCGGCCTCGTGCAATTATCCTTCCCCATAATCTGCTTTCTTCCTAGGCAACCCCTCTGAAGATGCGCGGGCGATGCTTAGACACCGTAATTTTTCGACGCGCCAGATAAGCAATCTGCGCGGATCTGGAAGCGAACTTGGGAACGTGGTGGTGTTGCACTCGTCAATCTAGGAGCAGATTCGTCCCCCCCCCCCCAGTGCATCCTAAGCATCTTCGACCATTTCACGTAGCATTCGCAAGTCCCGCATCTCGTCGACGGCACGTAATTACGGAGAAGATTTGGTCTTGGATCTTATCATCATTTTCTCTGAGTTCTTGGGTGCGTTCAAGCTTCCTTCCGTTGCAGTTAGGAGTCTCGCGAGGGTTCGCCTTCGCAGAAGCCTGGCTTCACCGCAATTTTCGGGTGTTGCAGTGAGATCCAGCAGATTACGTCGTCGTGCGTTGTGTCACCACTAGCACCTCCTCGATTCGAATTTGCTGGTATTCGTGTCCAAATGGCTTCGTTCTTGTGCTTCAACATCTTACTCTTGCAGTCTACACACTCACGTCTCGCAACGATCCACCATCCCCAAGCGCACACTAAACACGGGGTGGCAACAGCTAAGTTACTCCTTGAGTCATAGCTTAGATTTTTAGTCACAGCACGAACGGACTTAACTCATGTTAGTTGTCCAATGAAGTACATGCCAATACGTGTATTATTACATGTAGTTTGCGATATCTCCCCTATGCAGCGCTCAAACGCGACGACCCTTTGCCATGACTAGTGCACGAGCTCGAAAGAGGGTCGTCAAGACGGCGCCACCCATAAATCCGCATATGCTGGACGCAATGTACGAAGTGATCGAATCAGAGGCCGCCTGCGTCAGCCTATTGTGGACTGGTAACGCATTGGGTAAAGGAGAACTAGACTCAATGCCTCGCTCAGCCCTGAACTCGCTGTCGGCCTTAGAGGGATCGGTCAGATTGAGTAAACCTATCTTGGGAGGCTCCGTCGATGTTGCGCCGTGATGGATAGTGTACACATTCTGCAAAATTTTAAATGAGATCATGGTGGTGTGAAACATGTGTGTGCGTATCCAAGCGAGTGACTTACGCGGAGGAACGTGTCGCCGAGCAACCAGTCTCCGGAATTAACCTGAATCATCCCATAAGCAAAATGAATGTCCCATCTCAGGTACCATGGAGGACGTACACCATCGTTGGCTTGAATGCCGCCTAGGCACCAACCATTAGCCTGTCCGCCGTCTATCCAGCTAAGGTCTCTTGGATGGACGAAATATTCCTTCTCGGCACCCTTATCGCCGAGTACGAAGCCAGCCGCGATGCTGCGATTGCAGTGAACTTCCCAAAGGCCGGAGATGGGATTTTTCCGAGCTGAGCCGCTGGGACCGGCCATCCCCCAGAAGGCGTCCACGTCGATCGTTGGTCCCAGAACAAGAGTTGTACCTGTGTCGAGTACCGCGATAGGTGATTTAGCGCCAGGAACGAGGGAAGGAGATAGATCGAGTGTAGCAGCATCTACCGTAAGCGAGCGCAGAGGTATTTTCCAGAAATTGTAGTCCGTAGCCCCGTCCTTGGAAAGAGGGGTAAAAGCAAAGTCATCGATAGATCTAGCGTAGTCTGTATCAACCTCCCCGAAAGTAAGAGAAGACGACGAATCGTTGACGCTGTCTCGGCCAAGTTTGATAGCGAAGTAGCGTTTGTCCTCTGGCAGAGATGAGAATAGGTTGTCCATGAGTGTGTTGCCAGTCGTAGGGGGTATAGACGCAGAAGGGGCAAAACAGAGTCCCATGATGCCAGAGTTGCCCGTAGTAGATAGACCAAGGTTCTCGGTTTTGTTTGCGAGTGCTGTATACGCAGAAATTACCTTCATTTGGTGAACACGATGTATATAATATAACCCATTGCGTACCGAAGACTTGATGTGAGACTTCGTAGGAGCCTATAGTAACTGTCTCGAAATTGATGTCTCCGGACACCGATCCGGACAGGTAATTCAGCTTGAATGGATCGTGAGAAGGCACCAGGCTGCTGGATAGATATTGATATTTTCTGACGCTTTGGCAGTCAGTATCCGTACATTTATTACTGACAGTCCACTAATGGCAATGAAAATGAGGGGGTAGAGGCAGAATCAGTCGATCGTCACTTGCCAAATCGGAAGAGCCTGTATCGACTATGTGTTCGAGAGTTTCAGCTCCAATTCTGACGTTTGAAGTGATCAGGAACTGTCACCGAGTGGAACTAGGGTACCAGAACGTACGTGATATTGACCGTGTAGGCACTAGAGAAATGCAAACGTTGAGTGGCGTTGAATACCAAAAGGTAAGCACGTACAATTCTTTGACTTGAGATACGGGTGCTAGACTACTGAAGGCGTTCCCAAAGGCGTTTACCTTGCCTCGCTGTACACGGCTCATAGGCAGCTTGAAGCTGTGTTGAGCTATACAACGCTGGACGGCGATGGAGACAAGTACGTGTATAAGCCAAGAATGGCGAGGCGGCGTCAACATGTTGCTGAGAGATTCTGTGCTTGGGTAAACCAAACGCCTTTGCACCTTTTACGGGTCGGTGATGTGTTGAGTAGCAGAGTGCGCGTTCGCGTCGCGTGATCACCTTCACGTCGCTCCGAATGTTAAAGGCGAACAGTTAACTTCGATATAAGGAGGTGCCCTGAGCTGCGAACACCACGATTCCATCCTATGAGGCTACTTTGTATGATGGAGAAGGATACGCACTGGTATAGAAGGTGTGGAGCTCGCAAGGAACTCGTTCTTAGCTGTAATCAGGCGCTTACTGCCGATACGGATCCTCGGGACTCGCCGGTAGCAGGACTAGTTCTCGTCGCATAGTACTTGGTAGCGGTCACAGTGAAAATGCAAAGGCCAGTGTCACCAATGCATCCACAATTGCACGCAACTTATAGTTCGTTGCCAATTGCCCCAGGTTGCCGCCATTCAGCCCGAAGTCTGGCCCATGGGCAAGGAAACCCACTCTAGGGATGATGGTTGATGCTCTTGACGTTTCACGACACACTGGTTATGTGTGTTAGACATGAGAAGACTAGCAAGAATTCGGCGCAATCGCAGAAGCCAGAAAAGACACTGATATTAGAAGAATTCCAGGTACACCCAAGAGACCGATTCAACTGTAGTATCTACAGAGGCGGTTGTGATTGCGAAGGACAGTAGAAGACTAGAATTGGGTCGCGTGGTTGGCATGTCACTGATACTGGAAATGGCCTCAAAACTCTCTGCCGAGGAGCTGAAATCTGGTGAAATGACCGCGTATGTTGTGGTGAGGAGAAACAGTCGGCGCCCTGAGCGCCGAGCCGGCCTAATCGGGCGGAGTTGCCGGTGTCAAGGGCGGCCACGCATGTCACTGCCACCCAACCCGTCTTCACCTCCAACCGCCTCGCCCATTGTTGTTTTCCCACCGCTTCTTCCTCTTCACCTCACCTTACCACATTTCCATAATGCATACCAGCGAGTACGACTACCTCTTCAAGCTTCTCCTCATTGGTGACTCTGGCGTTGGCAAGGTCAGCATCGTCTTTTTGCTCTTTATCGTTGCCTTGTTGCTGACTTGATTCATCCTCGCGTCAGTCCTGCTTGCTTCTGCGGTTCGCCGACGATACATACACGGAGAGCTACATCAGCACCATTGGTGTCGACTTCAAGATTCGAACAATAGAGCTAGAGGGCAAGACTGTGAAGCTGCAAATCGTGCGTAAATGCTTCTTTGACTGCTTTCCAGAAGGCGGAGAGGAATGTGGCTCGGGACCACAACACGCAGCCAGGAAAAGCTGTAGAAAAAAGGATTTGGGGGTATTGGTCTTGACGGCTCTTCCGCCGCGCCTCGTTTTCTGCCTCACCCCCTTATCACATATATGCATGCTGACTCTTCCATTTCGATGATGGCCTTCAGTGGGATACTGCTGGTATGCCCTTCTCTTATATGCTTGCGCATTGCGCATGTCTCACTGTGTTCCTACAGGCCAGGAGAGATTCCGTACCATCACGTCATCATACTATCGTGGCGCCCACGGCATTATCGTTGTATACGATGTGACAGACAACGGTGCGTTGCCGACGGACTTCCTGCCTTTACACCCCAAAATTCAATATAACATACCTTTCAAGACACTTTCTCGAACGTCAAGCAATGGCTCCAAGAAATCGATCGCTATGCTTCGGAAGGCGTCAACAAACTCCTCGTCGGTAACAAGTCCGATTTGACGAGCAAGAAGGTCGTGGAATACAGCGTCGCGAAGGTGAGGCAGTACTGCATTTCAACCCCAAAAATGTGACTCACCTTGTTGATTTAGGACTTTGCGGACCAACTATCTATCCCCTTCTTGGAGACTTCCGCAAAGAACGCCACCAACGTTGAGCAGGCTTTCTTGACCATGGCGAAGCAAATCAAGGATCGGTGAGTCGTTCCGAGTGTCTATAGCTTATCTATGCTAAGACGCGCTCGCAGAATGGGGTCATCGTCATCGGGACCTGCTAACAAGTCTTCCACCATCACGCCGTCCAACCCAGTACAGCAACAGCAATCCGGTGGCTGCTGCTGAACGGCTTCTCTGCCGTAGATGATATTTAGTTCTTCCCATTCCCTTCTGGGCCGGCTCGCTCTGCTTAACACAGCGTTGGTTCCTCCTTCCCACTCCTTCCCATGTTCTACCTGTCGCGGACTCATGTCTTGATGCACGTTCGTCTCACGTCAGTTAGCGCACTACCATGCCTGTATCGTATGCTACGTCCAATGCATTGAGACCTTTCTTATATATCTTAACCAAGATCTTCGAGGAGATCAACCCTCATTTGGTGAGACGACTTGCACCCCAAAGTCGCAGAACCGCACGTGATCTCAGAAGTTTCGCCTCGCGACGCGTCAAGGGATTCTGGGTGGTTTCCTGCCTTCTTTGGCGTTCGCTCGTGTAGGAGGGTATATAAAGTCGAGCAGATAAGCTGAACCCCCTCCGGCTTCAATTCGAATCTTTCCAAGACCCCATATCGATATAGCAGCGGAAAGCAGAAAGCACGGCAAGTGACAATGTCGAACCGTCAAGGCCGCCCGCTCCAGGTGTCTTCGAACACCTTTGTCATTTCCCGGTAGGTGGTCTTTGGGTGCTCAAATCGACGTAATTGACACGTTGCACAGTCTTCCGACGAAAGAGTACCACCAATATGATGGTGAGTCTAAATGAGTCCATGCGGCGAGTCGCGATGCGACGCGATCACGTTCTAACAACGGTTATCGCGTATATCTAGTTGGTATGTCGCTTCGAACATCCAAATGAGGGCGAGAGCACTGATGAGGTCGGATACGCTATAGAATTCATCCCGGAACAGAAGAACCCACGAAAACGCCAAGAAATCATGCATGAACTCATATTACAATACCCCCAATACTTCAATCCGCGTTTCGCGTACGACGGTCGCGCGATCATGTATATATCCAAGGTTCTCAGCATAAACAACAGTAGTAGCGCGACGGTACGTAGTGAGCCTGGACCGACGATCCCCGTTGCTCGACTGACGCCCTTTCGATCCCGGGATGTAGCTAAGCGTTCGACTGGGGAAACCTCGTCGTAATCGACCGCCCGCTGCTTCGCGTGAAGATCGTCCCGGCCCACCAAAGGGTGGTATTCAAGTGAAGCTGACGTTGACCTCAGCTGAGACCGTCAAACCATGGTACGTGCACTCCTTTGAAATGTCGCCTGCGACTAATGGCTGCTCCACACAGGCTCCTTAATTCGCTCATACGGCATCAAGGATCCGAACAAACGCCCCAGACGGCAGCCGCGACCAACTTGTTGCAGCTGCTCGTTCGTCAGGGGCAGAATTGGTGCGTGCCCAATGCATTTGGCTCCCCTTATCGTTTGTGATAATCTTTGCTCAGGGCAACTTTCCCGAACAATGCAAGAGCCTATTATACGGAGATAGGATCAAGGGGAGTTGGTGGAGGGTTTGAACTATGGCGCGGTTTCTTCCAGTAAGCGGGTTGAATGTTTGCCACTCCCTCCCTTGGTCTGACTGGAGCCAGATCGGTGCGACCCTCGATTGGCCGTATGCTCATTAACATCGACATATCCATGGCCGCCATGTCCGTGATCTTATGTCTTTATTTATCTTTTTCATTGATCATGATTCCTCAGGTACAAGAGTGGTGGCGTCTTGGATGTAGCCCTTGACGTTCTAGGAGCGAGGGACATCCGTGTGCTCTCGTTCGACGGACGGGATCCTAGATTCCGAAAACTTGAACGATACTTTAAGAAGCGGATGATCACTGTCCACACGCCTGCGATGCAGGGTGTAAGGAAAATGATATATGGACTAGAGCCAAAGGCGGGGCATTACAGATTTAATTTGGAAAGTGGAGAGTCGCTCACTGTTGAGGTAAGGGTATCCCTGTGACTACTGATAGTGAACATCAGACTAACTCAACCCTAGTCGTACTTCCGCGGCCAAAACAAACCAGTCAAATACCCCGACGCCTTTGGCATCATCATCTCTCGGCCAAACGATGATCATAAACAAATCATCCCAGCCGAATTCTGCAACGTCGTTCCGGGCCAATTCTACAAGGGCAAGATCCCGGAAGACATCCAGTCCGGTGCCGTTCAGAAGTTCTCGACGATGCGGCCTGAGGAACGCTTGAAAGCGATTCAAACTGGAAACGTTGGCGGTAAGGATTTGCCAGGCCCAGTATGTTCTAGTGTTTCCTTCATATATCTTGCGTCTAATCCATAACCTTCAGGCACAACAATACCCGACCAACGATCTTATACATGACGGCGGAATGACCATTGATTTTGAACCACTGAAAATCAATGGGCGTGTTCTCGACGCCCCAAGCCTGCAGTATGGCGGAGCCCAGCCATTCGTTTGTTCCTCCCTCTTTCCCCCCACCTATTCATTGACCCCTACCTGCAGAATCCTCAAAACGGAGCCTGGAACGTTGTGAACAAGAAATTCCACACGCCAGAGAGGCTAGGCGTATGGAGTGTGGTGAACTTCGAACTAAGCATCCCGGAACAGGTGGTTGAGAACTTCGCCCGGAACCTCCAGGTGTGCTGCAACAAGCTAGGCGAGTTCTGCCATACATCGTGTCTGTTTGCGATTTTGTACTTAGTTAATTTGGCAGGAATGGGTATGAATCAAGCCGTAGCTGGCGTGGCTATACTGAGTATCTCTTTCAGGAGTGGCCGACTGTGTCTTCTATGGCAAAGGGAATCCACAAGCCCCGCAAAAGGTTTGGGATTTTTTTCTTACACGTACCATCGCTCATATTTTTCGCAGACCTTGAACCAGGCGTTCGGAGAGATGCGCACATTCATGGAGCAACATAAACTAAAGCCGAATCACATCCTCATCCTCGCCATCCTCCCGCAGAATGCAGCTCCCCTCAGAGCTGATATCAAATATTGGGGTGATGTCGAAGCTGGTGAGTCATACTTCTGTGTACGCTGATCGTCACTGAGTTTGCTGTGAACAATAACTAGGGGTTCTTACGCAGTGTGTGCGCGAAACGAAGATTTTCTCTCGGGGTCAACCTAAGTTCAACGACCAGTATTGCAACAACGTTGCTCTCAAGTATGTGGCGCATGCACCTTCCACATGAATATCTGCTGACTCGTCTCGGAAGGCTGAATGCACGACTCGGCGGGACCAACTCAATTCCCAGATCGAGTGCCCTTGAACAATTGAAGAAAGCCCCTTACATGATCATGGGTGAGTTCTTGTCGTGATTACACTTAGCTTTCGAAATTAATAACTCCCCAGGTGCTGACGTCGGGCACCCCGGGCCTGGTACAGCAGAAAGGCCCTCGGTTACCAGCCTCGTCTTCTCGCACGACAAATACGCCTCACACTATGTGGCCCTTTCTCGGGTTCAGCCGCCACGCCACGAGATTATCGTGGACCTGCGTGAGATGGTTGCTGTGAGTCTGTCACGCCGAGCAACGCAATAGCATGTTCACACCTCATGTCCATTAGACAGCTGTCTCTGCCTTTGGTGTGAAAAACAGGGCAGGACCTGCCGCGGTATGCCGCATGCTCATGAAGCTCTTGTCCATTTTGACTGTTGGTCATTCATTAAGATCGTGTTCTTCCGTGACGGCGTTTCCGAAGGCGAATATAGTCAAGTGGCGGAGAAGGAGATTCCTGCAATTCAAGGCATGGCCGGTGCCTCTGTTTTCGGCCACAAAGTAGACGCTGACATGGGACTGTCTGTATAACAGCTGGGATTGATGATGCGTGGCGGGCCGCTAACGTCCAGCAGGCGAAGCCAAAGCTCACGTTCATCGTCGTTGGCAAAAGGTATGGACGGTCCTTGTACCGTCAAAGAGGAAGCGGACTCATGGTTATCACCTCGTAGGCATCATATAAGGTTCTTCCCGGCATTCGGTCGGTGAGTATACAGCATGTCAAACGTGCTGCATACTGACAATGACATTCATTTCCTTTAATGAATGCAGTGGCGCAGATAAGAGCGGGAACTGTCCCGCCGGCTTCGTCGCAGATACGGGGATTCAGAGCCCCTTTTGTGCTGACTTCTATCTGTTGAGTCACAGCGGCTTGCTTGGCAGTGAGTTCATGTCTTTCTCAACCTGAATGGCGAAACGATATATGGCTGATGAAAAAATTCCGCAGCGAGTCGACCAAGCCACTATATCATCCTAAAGGACGAGAACTTCAATAGTAACATCGATGAGTACGCGCTCAAAACTGTTCGGTTCTACGCTCAGCACTTATCTAACAACGCTAACATTCTAGTCTTCAATCACTTGCCTTTACGTTATGTCACGCATATGCAAAGGCGACGCGTTCAGTCTCCATTCCCGCGCCCGTGTATTGTAAGTCGCCTCACCCCACTATTTTTATCGGGATTTTCGTGTTAACAATATTTTGTTCTATCTCGCAGATGCTGATGTACGGTGATCCTCCTATGATCATCCTCCTTGTAAACTGCTTACCGTTTCCTTTTCCCATCTCTGCATGTTTTCGGCATATTAGATGGTATGCAGTCGCGCTGTCTTCTACTTCGACCGCAACCTCGATTACACGGGCTCGGACACGGCGACGGTGTCCAGCGGGGTGACCTTCAACCTCGATACGTGGAGATCGGGATACAGGACCATCAACGGGAGGCTCTCAAAGTCCATGTATTTCCTGTAGACCGTATAATCCGGTGATCCAACGATCCACCTCGCTGGACCCTCTCTCGGTTGCATTCATTCGGTTTAATCGTTCCCCGTACACGTCCACCTCGAATTCTGGTTCTGTTTTCACAACGCCATACGCCATACAGGCCGCACTATCTATCTCCTTCGACGTCCGCGCCAAGCTCACTCGACGAGCCATGATACTTTATATTGCATTGTCAAGTGTATCATTCTCAACGGCCACTTCCATGTTCCGTGTTCACGATAGCAACTCTCACTGTATGCAATACCCCACTAGTTTTGTACTTAGCACCGTCACGTTTCGTCGTCCGACACTCTGTAGTATACCTTTCAATTTTTGTGTAGTGACTCGATAATCGCGAAATACTGTTTACGTTTGCAAGAAGGGCCAGTCTATTTTTCTGTAAGCATAGATAGATCAACGTCGGGTCGCCCGCACCCCGTCCTTGCTACGCGTCGGTCTTCGAGCTGAAATTGATTTATATGTATCACGTCGAACCCGAACCGGCTCCTTGAGCGATCTCCCCCACGGAGAACCCGCCTATTCGCCATATCATTCACCCATCTCTGCGATATGGGCGATATGGGCTGGACATGGGCGATACGAGGATCTTTGACGTTCGCGCCTCGCGTTACGCGAGGGGAAGGCCGAGCGTCTGCGTGTGGTCTGATGTGCGGCCGTACCGGCGCGCCGGAAAGGCCCAGAGCAGAGGTCACAGTGGGCGCAGGCTACGACGAAAAGGGAAGCGGGGAAGCCAAGCTTGAAGGAAATCTACACGGTCATATTCATCATCTGGCGGCGTCTCTCCTCGAGATAAAGTCTGCTCCGAATGCACGATCGGACCTCTGCGTTCATGTTTGCGAGGGTGCATGCAAGCTTGGGACCGGGGATACTCGCGTTCCGGAGCTGGCGCTGCTCGTCCTGATATACTCGCAGGTGAGGGCGTGGTCGGGAGCAACAGCGCTCCCTGCCCCTTCGCTGCTGATGTCAGGACACAGGAAAGAGTGTCATCGGGACCGCGAATCCTTAGCAGCGTGCACCAGGCCGACATTAGTGAGTAACCGCAGCTCGACGTGAAACCCCTTGGCGAGCGGGCGCTTCGCGTATGGCGATGGCAGACCATTGGGACAGTTGGTACGCGGCGAAGAGGGACTCCGATGGAGGCGTAATCTACACCGTTCCTCTGCTGGTCCTTGGTCCTTTGCTCAGTGCTGCAACCCGAGCGCGATCGCGATGCCTCTCCCCTGCTGGACGCGTTCTCGCTCCTCGCCTCCTCGCGGTCAATGCGGGCTTGATTCGCAGCAGCAGCGTCCGCGTCAGTCTGCGCTTGCCAGCTGTCCTTGGAGACTTCGTTCGTAGCCGTGCATGTGGCTTTGAGTCGCTGGATCGCGGCCCTTGGTCATCCCCCGTTGACGGATAGGAGGCGAGCTCCGGCATAGGGATCCGATGCATCGTCGGGGCACTGGAGAGTGTTGGGATTGGTCGTGATGCGCACCATAAATCCCCGGTATTGGGGTGAAGAGCGTGTTTAAAGGGGTATATGGGGTAAAGCAATAGAGCGTCGGGTGACCGACTAGCTTCTCACGTACCACTGTAGACGAAACTCTGTAAGTCGTGAACTTGTAAGATCAATCGACGGACTTGTCAGTGCGTGCGGAACATGGTAATAACTAAACTAAACAACTAAACATAACTCAATACGATGTGACATCCCGTGACCGTGCCACTTTCAAGTTAACTTCTCGCCATTCGCACATTGTATTACAAGTACTGGCCAAACACTGTTTATATTCATGCACCGCAAGATCCACTCAGGTCTACATGTGAGACTGATGCAGTAATCTGCCTTGAAATTGCTGATAGCGAATATCATCCCAGAACTTTCTTCATTTGAATAACAATGGCCTCAAGTATAGGAACATCCTCGTGGGTAACACATCCGGCTGGCTTAGAGTCCTCCAGCTACCATATTGAATGTTAATAATGACGACACAATGCAGAGCCTCATCCACGGAGTAATCGAACGGTGCTTTGATCCCAGTTTCCCGCCAGGGAAGCAGGCACAAGATTCCTGGAACTTGTTCTGGAGAGATGTGAGCTCCTGGCACCAGCAGCGCTGGTGGTGTCGCTAATCTGATGCCAGATAAATTTAGTCTTCCCTATTCGAAATGATCCTGACCGAAAAAGGGCCATGGGTGCGCATGTCCTACGATATATCGAGGATATACGCGGTCATCGCAAGTCTCCGAAAACAGCAAAATGGAGGCATACTGTCATGGATCATAGTGCGTTCAGTACACTCAAAATAAGCATGATTAACCCGCTCCCCGCTAGTAAGAAGAGGCGATACTGCGTCGTGTCAGCCGGCAATCATTCCGATGACACTGCCAGGAAGCCCTCTCATCTTAACGCCTCGAGCTCCAGACCCAATGGCGCGGAGCTGCACGGCGTCAAAGGTCACTTTAGAAAGTATAAGTATTGTATCAGAAGAGGTGTGTACCCTCCAAGCCGGTCCAATTAACTTCTCGGCAATTGATGGTCGTCTGTCCTAGGATCTAGTACCTGCGTATCTACCCCCACGAAGATGTCTGGTCCCACCTCAGCCCCGAGAACATCGAACCTACGAAATACGCATTGTCGCAACTAGCTCCGTCCGACCACAGTGCAGATCTCCCACTCCCGAGTCGCCTTCCCCGAGCAGGGCGATCAAGCCCGAGTCGTCGATGCCTAGTGCTCCCCTTGAACTTGAACATGTGTCTATCTCGCCGTCTCCTACATATAGAATCGAAACCGTGCCATGTTTGTCTACGGAAGGGCCCGCCACCACGGATACAGGGCAAGTATGGCACGAAACAGAGATCCGGGGCCCATTGGGCTACTCGCCTGATGTCTACAAATTTCTACGCTCCTGCGTTCCGGAGACGACCCACTTGATGAAGCTTTTCGTCAATGAACTTGGTATTAAGGACTTAAAATCCCTCTTCGCGATCATGCGGTGGCCACCGTCGTCCCGCGATCGATATTTCTTCAACTTGACACGCAATGGAAAGTTAAATTACATTGATTCGGACGCCATCAAGAGGCGGTTGTGTGACATGCAAACTGAGTTGGAGACCGCAGCCCCCCATACGTCGTAATGGATCAACGGGAAAGTGTTTAACAGATATGAATAGGGTGATTGTGAGACTGAGCATTGTGTATGTATTCTACTAAGGACAAGCCATCTCGGATGAACTATGGTATCTCCTGTTCCCTATTGAGCCCCTGTTCGCTATTTGACCGACTTCGAAATCCTAGGGTGCGTCTTGATTCTCGGAATCTACACAAGGGTTGATATCAGACAATGGCGATTGCCTCCTAGCACGCCGATATTCGAACTAACGCGGTCTATGGCAAGATGGGGCAGGAAGAAAGGACGGCACTGGCAAAGGAGAAGGGGGCTCTCATGCACATCTTGTTTGTCCTACTACCCGCGCCACAGCACAGCGACAGTCCAGCGCGTTTTTTTTCGTTCAGTGACGCTCCTCGATGTCTCGCTCAACCAGCATCCCCTACTCCCTTCCGTGTGGCTCTCCTCCACCGCCGTAATCCATAATGCATACTCGGTTGCTCCGGCGCCGGGACGGGACCGTTGACGGTGCCTCAGCATGACCAGAGCTACGCGATACCTTGTTCCCCGCCGCCCATGAACAGTTGCCTACACCCCTTCATCATCTCAACACCCCTTCAGTGCCGCGAACGCGTGGACGTTTGAACGTTTGAACGCCCGTCACCATCAACTCGAATATCTATTTTCTGGATGCCCGCAACGTCCTCGATCATCGATAATCCATAGTCAATATTTAAGAACGTGTCCGCGTCCGCGCCAGCACTTCAAGCTTCGGTATTCGGTACTCGGTACTCGGTACTTGTGGAGCGCTCTAGCGGCAGGTTGGAGCACCGCGATGCTGCTGATGTGCACGATACGCCCTTCGCAACCGTTTGGACGCGTCGAACCAGGCCATCGCCAGCAAATTTACACTTGCTCATACTGCCAATGCGCCACTCAGCGCTCAGCATCCAATATCGAGCAATTATCCACGGGGAGTTCTACAATGGAACGGATATTGCTCGCTACTAATCGTGGCTACGCAGCTCAGGCAAAAACGGCGTGCGCCTCATTTCAACTCAGCACCCCCATCCACTCTTCTCGCTCCCCCCAGGGGCCTCCTCCGTACTCACCTCCCCCTCCCTCAGCTCCCCCTCCTCCGTACCCACCTTCACCTCCCCCTCCAGCACCCCCTCCTCCGTGTCCCCCACCACCGTACCCTCCACCTGCACCTCCGCCACCATACCCTACGTCACCCCCTCCGCCACCTGCACCGCCTTCCCCGCTAGGATATCCTCTGCGATCGAGACTTCGAGCCCTCCCCCCTCTGATTCCATCAGGATTGCCGCCGGCGGGTCTCCCGCCATTACTATTCCCGTTGGAATTGCCTCCTCCAGCCTTCCCTCCGTTACTATTTCCGTTGGGATTGCCTCCTCCAGACCCTCCGTTACTATTTCCGTTGGGATTGCCTCCCCCAGGCTTCCCTCCGCTACTGTTCCCGTTAGGATTCCCCATACCGTCGGTCGCGCCACCCTCTAGGGTACTCGCGGCGACAAGCATAGCGGATACGACGAGGAGTAGGATCGAGGAACGCATTAGGATCTGCTTTTCGATGTCAGAGGTCGGGTATCGAGTACTTGACTTTGGTCTGCGACAACAACAATCAATCAGTAAATCGATTTTGGTGTATGGCGGATATGCTACCAGTGGAGCTGGGTGACCAGAAGGCTCAGGCTGAGGGAGCTCGCTGGGGATTGCAGGACAGTCTCAGCCTGCTTATGTAGGACGGACTCAAGTGGTGGGCATACCGGTGGCCCTACCATCACATCCATTGCGCTATTCATCGCCGCCGCCGGATAACCTTGCATGCAGTAAGCTACGGGGACACAGCAAATGAGCACCATGCTAGCCAACATCGACTATCCCACTATCCGAACGCTCGATGATCTCCTCCATTCGGCGGGATCCGCGCGCCACGCTGCCACACTGCCAGTCAATTGGCATCTTGGACGCACGCCGTAAGCTCAAGCTTGAGCTTAAGTGATAGCGGTCTTGCAGATGTCTCTCGTCTACGGCCGTCCACTTGGATTGGAGGACGTGGTACAGCCTACGACCTTGCAGGAGCAAGCTCCAGAGACTCGCTGCGTCTTGCGTCTTACTGGCGGCCGCGACGGGCGACTGCGCGCTCCTTACCGCCTCGACACGACTCAGACTCAGCCTATGCTCGACCTCGACCTCGACCTCCCCAGTCCCTCTGCACGCGAGCGCGACGCTCCATCCCCCATCACATATCACATCAGACATCAGCCTGCCAAGGGAACACATGTGCACACTGCACACTGCACAGCGCGCAGCACCCGATGCGTGGCACGACCCGCCAACGCCAATGACGGATGCAGACCGTAGGGTCTAGTAAACGATGCAAGTCCGGGGGAGGGAGATGCATATAGCATGCCTTACGCCTGAAAGAGCATAGATACGTATACATTCTTATATCATCGTCCTTTCAGCGGGACGACAAAGACCGATCGTGGTGGGGGTGACCGGTGAGGGAACGCGAAGAAAGAGAAGGGAGGGGCAGAAGGGGGCTCGAGCGCTTACCCGAGGCTGCGTCGTAGACTGTCCTACATCCTGCATCCTGCATTCTGCGCCCACACTATAGCTACCAGTGCGCAAAATCCAGAACCAGAACGAATGACCACCGTCAATCCCTCGAAGGCGCAGCTGCTACGGGCACGACGGTAACTACAGCGTCACCAAGCCCGCCCATCACACGGAGCACACGAACGGAATGGAGCGTCAGCTCAAGGCAGCGATGCAGCGCAGGGCCCCGACTGCACAGCAGGACTCTGGGGGCTTTTCGGTGAGCTGGGAGGCCTCCGGCGAGGAGCGCGTTGCGCTTTCCCCGGATGCACGATGTGCAGGCCGTACAGCACGGCGCTGAAAGATATGTTGAACCTGGCGATGTACGCGGATACGCTCAGATTCGTGGGGCGTGGGGCGGTGGTCGGAAGCCTTATCATCGCGACGGAAGTTGTGCAGTGTCTGGGTGCGTTGGTACAATTACAATGGGAGTCGAGTTATGTAAGTGCGATTTCTTTGCCTAAGCCGCGGGAGCCGTGTATACATAGTACATCGTACATCGTACAGCTCTCGATCCCTCGATCCCTCGATCTAGGTCGAGACGGTGTAGTTAGCAGAGCAGGTAAACCAACCGCTCCAGCCCCGAAATCCCTGTCATTAGCCAGTACTAGCGACTACTGTGCTTCGCATCGTGTATCGTAGTAGTATTACTTCACCTTCACGCGCATGGACAGCTCACATTCAAGTTTGTAAGTTTATCAATATCCGTAGTCCCGTGGATGGTACCTCGTTCGTCCTATACTTTGCTAGTGGGAATTGTTTGGGTTTGGTTCGTGCGCATCATGATAGAGTATTTGGCGTTCGCTTGAATGGGTTGCTGGTGCCTCGGCGGGAATGCCTCGAGTGGTGAATCCGCAGTACGCATACATATACGATATGATCAACTGGGACGAGGGAACCAGGGAGCCAGTAGGTAAGACACGCGATAGGACGCGAGGGGGTGGGCTAAAGATCAGATTAGTTGACGCCGGTCTGTCGATTTCTGAACGGAATTGAAGGGGGGCGCGCGAGATGAAAACTTCAACGTCAACTTCCACAATAATCATCTCCTGGTCGTACTATTCCTCGCCCGCACCTCCAAGAAATATCTCTGGATAGATCAGTAACTTTGTGCGTTATGTTGGGGGTAGGCGTCGTTGTCAAACGGTCCACGCGTTCTGATTGCATTAATGTCTGAGAACCTAACTTTCATGGATAAATCCGCAGGAGAGACCAAATAATCGTATAACGGAAAGAAGCTGACGTAAATGCAGTATGAAGGAAAAGTCGGGGATCAGGCGCAAGTGAACTACTTGTCACATTACAGGCTCAGAATCAAATCCCAAGAACACCCTTCGACCCATCTTTGTGGTCCTCGTAATCAGCCACAGGGACTGCCTGCCAGCACCGGGTGCACGTAACCACGGACGTGAATTTGCACTGCGAGAGGACGTGAGCTTCCGGTTTGGCGCCGTTCTGATATCCTACGCACCGACTTCGCATGGTTCTCGAGCGCCGACAGATCGTTGGTGCGGGCACTGCACCCAAGGTGAGCGTGCCAGCATGCATATCTCAGTCTACAGCATGATATGATATGATGTCAGGCCGAGACTAGTTGCTAGTTGGGATGTTCAGCGTTGGCACTGACCGGAGATCGGGCTCAGCTAGAACGAGCCGCCTGTGATCTTGGCGGGAGGAGCCAGTCTTTACCCGGTAACCCCCAGCCTCAAAGCACCTATCATCATACACAGTTGAGTCAGAGCTGGGGTAAAGTCGAGACCGTGACCGTAACACGTACTCTTCGCAGATCACTACGCACGTCACCGATTCTTGAGATGAACTCGAGTCCCCTGTGAGCAACGCAGTGCTTACTTGTAAATGTAATCCCGTTGTAGAGTCTTCTCAGCGTTTTCTTGTGCGCCGCGCACGCCTCACAGTATCCCGAAGTGTCTGAGAGTGCCATAGTAGATGCGCAGAAGATAGAAGATCGAGGGAGGTGGGACTGATGGGAGAAAGCTACCAGTTTGCCGCTGCTTATATACGGTCCAGTCGGCCTGAGTGGCCTCGCAAGTGGCCGGGAGGCATTGTGGCAGACAAAGCATCTAGTCCTTTGCTACGGTTGGGGTGCCCTTTATGCGCCGGGGCTTTGTCGTTAGCATTAGCAGTCGAGTCACGAAGATAAGTGAACGTGAACCTTCCGTCCACCAGTTCCTTGAGGGCCAAAGATCAAAGAGTGTGAGTGGGCAATTGCGCCGACGCCCTGTTGCTATGTGCCCGCTCATTATGGTGTGTGCCCGGATGTGAATGAATGTGTCTCAACACGAAAGTCCGAGTGCACTAGGTGATAGGGGCGGCTCCTGATGGAATGTGCAGTTGAGGGTGTACTCGCAGCTCAGACATACCATAGAGGACACATTTGCGTACGGCGCAAGGGCCAGCCATATCACCGCCCTTCACCATCCCTGCTTCCTCGGTCCATATGCTCCGCAAGCTGGAGGTCGCTCTTCCATCGACTTCAGTCATCGTCACGGTCACCGCCATATACCACCATATACAGGATACCGGCCGTCAATCGCAATCGCAATCGCGTAAGAAACCGCCCGACAATACGCTCGGTGCTTGCACGCTGCACAAGAGCACAAGAGCACAAGAGGGCGGGTGGTGAGACCCTCGGATCCGCTGAGAGAACCCTTTTCCCTTGAAACACGCTTCTCAGTAACGATGAACGATGGCAATGTGAGTTTGACTTTGACTTGTTACCTACGGCGAGAAGGGCCAGTGCGAACCGTGTCAGGACTCAGCGTCGTCAGTAAGTATGAGTATGAGTATGAAGCAGAGGGACTTTGAATGTCGGAAGCAGGGGGTGCGCGTCGTCGTACAGGAGAGCTTCGTAGTGCTTGGTGGTTGTCTCCTGGCTGGAAGAACGTTGTGTGGATATCGATATCGATGTGGCGACTGGCTGCCACTCGACTCGAAAATCAACCCAGGGTCCAATTTTGGGAGTGATACTTATGCTTATGTTATTTCGCACAGTCATAAATGCGATCCCACGGTCAATTCTTGAACAGGACATTCTCAGAGTTCATGTTCGGGCGATACCACCCTTCGCAATGTTAATGCTCCCCACGGTCACTTCGTCACTTCCCCCATTGTCTTCGCTTCGATCTCCTTTATAAATATAGGGTATTGATTCAAGACGTGGAACACCGGCAAATGGGGACGTCTGGCCGCTCGGGCACTGGCAGGCCCCCTGACGTCCGCCTGGACACCCTCGACAGATGCAGCGAGGGTACTTACTGCGAAGACTCGCGCCTGCTTACGACTCGGCCCAGGGAGCACTGCTTACGCACACACGTCGACCGGATTGTCAGTACCTCACCACGAGCGACCTTGCTCATGTCTACCTCTCGTTCCATTGTTGTATAAATACTTCTTACTCGAACACTCATTTGGGGTATATCCGCAAATGATGCTACCTCCGCCTCCGCGTACCCCTCCTCAGGCCCATCACCCCGGCATATCAATCCGCTAGCCTTCGGCTCCCATGGCGCGTTTATTTTCGGTTTCTCAGTGTTAAATAGCCATTCATCGCGGGGGTCTTTGTCCATCCAACTTGTCCCTGGATGAATATGTACGATATTAATACCTACCCGACGCTCATGGTCGCCGTTCGAAGCACAGGACGGCGATGAAAACCCTTGTCCGGTGCCATCACACCCAAAAATGCCGGCGCGCAAACGGACGGGCGTGCCATGGGGGCGACGACAAACGTATAAATACGAGCTTGCCTGTCTGGCATCCCTCATCCGAAGTTTCTACGCCAGAAAACGAAGATGCAGTTCTCCTCCCAAGTCCTCGCACTCGCATTCGCACTCGCACTCGCCGTCCTCCCCTCAGCCTTTGCGGCCCCGGCCCAAACCGACTTCCGTATCAGCCCGAGCGTCAACACGAACAAGTGTCTCAACGTGCGGGGCAATCTCTTGGCCAACGGAACTGCTGTCGACATGTGCGTTTTCGTGCCGTTTTATCTGTCTATCCGAGCTGCACTTACGGTGCAATTTCAATGTAGCTTCGACTGCAACAGGTCCTCCGCGCAGAACTGGGTCATCAGCCCCGGGTCTACGAGCGTCCAGCTGTCGGGAACGGACTTCTGTCTCGATGCGGGCTCGAGTACGCTGAACACATTCACGACTCCTCTTTCTCGTGGCTGACACGTACGCAAAGGCCCCGCGAATGGCGTAGGTATGAAGATCTGGCAATGCTTCGACGACCTCCCCGCGCAGGAGTGGTTCCTCACCAGCGACGACCGCATCGCCCTCGAGAACCAAGGTACGGTTATGCGCCTCTTGTACTTAGAGATTTATGCACCGTTGACCGTTGACCGTTTGTGTGTACTGTAGGATTCTGTCTTGATCTTACCAACGGAGACGTTACGAACGGCAACCAGGTCCAGATTTGGCAGTGCACCGACAACGATGTCAACCAAGCTTGGGTCCTTTGAACGGCGCATATGTTTGCTTGCCCTCGCCGTATTGAACGTGCTTTCTAGCGATATACATAAAGTAGATACGCGGTCAATTGTGGAGGATCGTCTATGACCAGTGTATAGACTCGATACTTTCAAGGTTCTCCGTTGGGATGAGCACATGATCAAAGGGTTTGACCCGCATCGAAGAACCCGTGGTAGTGGTGGTAAAGCAAAGATCTGACTGAACTGGGACGTAAACTGACAGTGGAATGTTGACTCTCATTGTGGGAATTTCTCATATAGCCACAACGAAGAAGTTCAAGTCAGAGATGGCCCCTAACCTCTGTCATGTGATCTCCCGCATGATCCTTGTAGGCTCCCGCTCGTTGGCATTGCACGGCGATGCTGCGCGCAGAATGTTGAAGTATAGCCAAACTCCGCATCTAACTGGCCGTCTCCTGCAGCATCGCATACTCCCGTACCACCAGTGCCGGCGCTTTGCTTTCTCCCGCTTTCCCGAGCCCAAGGCGCCTGGTTCGTTTCGAAGTACGCGTCGCAGGCCGGAGTCGCATACCCAGGCTCGAGAGCCCCCCCGCGAAGCCCACACGCCGGAAGACGAGTCCCAGCTGTGGCACACCAGTCAGCGGCCGCCTGCAAGCGATCCCGAGGAGGGACTGCGGAGGCTCCTCGCTGAAAATGAGACCCTGGTCATTGAGAGGTGTGCATCACGCGAGGCTTCCAGGTCCAGGCAGGAGGACTAATATTTCTGACGCCGGCGCAGGCAGATCGAGATGCTTAACGTCTTTGTGGGGTTTGAGCAGTCGAACAAATACAGCATCAGTCCGTGAGCTCGAAGACGGGCAATTTCGATAGGTGCTGACCTGCGCCGGTAGGCAATGAGCGTGGTGTGCCGTTGGGCTATATCGCTGAGGAACCAGGGGGGTTCCTCAAGACGTTCTCGAGGCAGCTCTTGGCGACACATAGACCATTCCGTGCCCTGGTGATGGATCTGGAGGGTTCCCCGATCTTATGGGTACGCCCCTTTAGGCCTTAGGCCTTAGTCCCCAGATTTTGCCGCTCAATGACTCTGAATCAAATCAGGTCAGACGCCCGTTCGCCTGGATCAACTCGCGGATGTACGCCCAGCGGCTCAAGAAGTTCCACGAATACACACCAGACGGTGAGCCCATTCTGGACACATTTGCGGAGGTGCAGCAGCGCTGGCATCCGTGGCGTCGGCGCTACGATCTCTTCCTCCGACAAAGCCACCGCCGGATCCTCTCCACCACCTCCGACCCCCAGCCGGAACCGAGCCCCGCCGTGTTCAGCCAGGCATTCCAAGTCGACGAGGGGTTCCTGGCGTGGAATTTCAAACTGCTAGACGGGCGTGCCGAACAGGTCGCACACATACAACGCGCCTTCCGTGGCTTGGGCCGAGAGGCGAGTACTGAGTTCTCCTGCTTTACCGCCAACATGTACGCGGTTTACTTACTCGGATTTACTTGTGCGCGTAGCTATTTACTGATACTGGTGGGATGGAATTCTGCCGGTCGCTGTGCGGTTAATTGATTATCAGGTTAATAGGCCAGTACATCGTTCGCTTTGGGCCTAGTCCGGAGACGTCAGAAGAAATAGACGGAACACCACCGAGGCCGACTATCCTTCGGAATCTCACTGTCGACGAGCGAGCGGTACGCCCATCCATCGCTCTATCTGCCTTCATTCGTATCTAACATCGCACTGTTGTTTTTCTAGCTCATTTTAGCTCTGGCTAGTAAGCATTCCCTCCATCGGCCTACATCCACGGTTTGGCAGCTAATGAAACTTCCATCCGTTCATCCCAGTTAATATAGACTGTGATTACTTTTCGAGGCATTCTGGAAATCAGTAAGCGGTGGCGGTCCTTTGTTCGCGGGCTGATATACTGAACCAGTTACAGTGGTGGTCTCTTTGGCTTTACGCACGTCGGTGGGAGCTGGGAGTAGCCCAGCAATGGCGCTGTATTCTGAGCGGCAGGGAGCACGAACTTGTAACACCCGACTCTGGCATTCTATGTACATGTTGTAGAAGTGCGTCCGATCGAAAAATCACACATGCCAATACATGATCCTTACAATTATTGTGTCATCTCCAGAACAGGATTTGAAGTGTCCTGGCAAGTTACAACGATTTCGTTGACGCGACATGCCCCTGACGCTTCGGCTAACTCATCTAAACCGCCGCACTTCATTTCCGCTATTCAGTTCGCATCTCACAGAGCCGTCTCCTGATGACGTCCGATTCACTGGCATTCACCTTTCCGTCGCGTATCAGGTTCAGAAAATACTGATTCTGGGACTGAGACGGCCATTTGACGAGTGCGGAGAGGGATTGTGCGTTCTTGATACCGAGGTCGTGCACGAACAGCGGGAGCAGGTGCGTCATTTCGGGGACGCAGGAGCGCAGGAAGGCGTAGACGTCGGGGGAGTGGCTGCCCGGGGGAGGCTGGGATTCTGTTTCACTGCATGCTGGCCCTGTATCCGGAGCAGGTCCTTCGGTTGGTGCGCCTGGCGTGGAGGCGCAGTCGCAGTCGCAGGCGTATGCATTGGGTAGCGCGGGAGAGGGATATTCAGGAGGCGGGCTTGGAGTCGATGGAGCACACACGTTCGTCCCGCCCCAACGTGCAAATGGCGGAGCAGGCGACTCGACCCTGGGTAGAACGGCGTCAGCCAGTGCGACTATGCACATTTCGTATGTCTGGTATTCCTGGGGCTGGGGCGGGACCAGGCATCTTCGCGGGGGCGGATACTCGGGCGTTAGGTCCTAACGACTGCTATCAATGGACGACTGCTAAGTCGGGATTGGGATTGGGCGGGATACCTCTTGTGATATGATACTTATATTTTCTGGGGTCGTCATTGAATTTGAATTTGAATTTGAGGCCGTCACGGTGCGGCTCCGCGTCATTGGGCCCTGCTGAATTGACGTGAGGGACATTCTTGGGAGCTGCATAGAAGTGGTTACAGGAGGTGAAGTGATACGGCCTCTTGCTGCGGACGCAGGGATACCGCATGAGCCACACTCGTTTTGCATGTCTGTCTGCTTGTATTCCCCGACAATATCAGCCTGGTGCTCTATTGCAATGGCAACCGGTAGACTTCGGGGGCGGCACCGTACGTCCCTGATATATCGATGTACGTGGTTCCTCAAGGTCGATACCCGCTCGGGATCGTTGCGCGTCGGGAACACGGTCTGTATCTGCGGCAACTCAGCGATGGCAGAGGCGAATATTCCTGAGGGATGCTCAGAGCTTAGCGCTTAGCACTTACCTCCTCCCAAAACAAGTCCCAAGACTCCTGAGATTGCTGTCCTACGGACAGATTCAGATCAAAGCACTGCACTATGACTCCGCGGACGAGATGCTAGAGGTTGGCATATTCAATATTGAGATATGTTGGGGAAGGGGGTGTATGGGTTACGAGGATATTTCTGTATTCTTCGCTATGGCGGCTCAAGCGCAGGAAGCCCTATGTGTAGATTAGGTGTCAGCAGGGTCCGAAGATGTAATCACATCAGAATCTAACGTGTAGACCGTAGCGGGCCATAGCTATGGCCGTGCTGATAGATGTTTACAGTGACTTTGGAGTAGGCTTTGTCGGATATGCCAAGTTTCAAGATGATGGAATCGGAAAAGTTAAAGTCATACGAGGTGCCCCTAACCCCTGAGGCCTGAGGGTGCGCGCCGCGCATTTATATTTACTAGCACTTCCTTATCCTACTTACTTATGTACTCAACGGCTTTCCAGATCCGGATTCAACCCATACCCATACCCATTGGTGATAAATAATCGTCGAGTCCGGGTCGGGATGATGAGTGCAGGCGGCTACGTGTGTTCGTGTGCTGAACGTTGAACGTTCCCTCCGAATTCCGGCTGTGGATCTGGATGATCGCGTATGCTGTCCATTTCGTGCGTGGCGAAGTAGACGGGAGGCGCTGGTAGTTGCGGTCACAAGCAGTCCGGTGCCCGGCGCCAATGTAGAGGGCGACGACCACCACGAAAGCTGAGGTTGGCGCGGAATAGATAGAGATAGAGATAGAGATTCGAAGCTACATCTCGGTTGACAGGAGACCAGCTGTCATATGCCGACTTCGACTTCAATTGACTCCCCACCATCGTCCTGACCTAGCTAAATCGTAAACGTTAAACACGCGTCGCCCGTTCAATATTCAGGTCTGAAAGTCTTCGTTGTCTTGGCCAAATTTGTCTTCATAGAGGATATTGGGCAGGTCGGTGAGGCTGACAGCGAGGGGATCATGATGAAAACACGGCAGCCTGTCGCGGGGGAGCTCACAGCCGTCCGCAGCATCGTCTCCTTCTCCGGGGCCAACGCCTTCATCCAGCGCCTCCAAGGGCAACGTGAGGCTCCACTTCCAAATACACGTCGACCTCTTACCAGGCGCCAGCTCGCGCACGAACTCAAAGTCCTCGCAGAAGACCCACGGAGCCGCGTGCCAGGACCGGATCAGCCGCGCGAGCCCCGCGACGTACTCGTGCGTGAATCCGCGCGGGAGCTCCTCGACCGAGCGCCAATACACGTGTATGCGGCACTCGTACTCGAGGCGGAGGGCCCGCAGCTTGCCGAACGCGCGGCGGGCGCGGCGCGCTGCTCGAAGCAGTGCGGGGGAGCTGAGGGGGAAGGGGATGATGCCTCTGAACAGTACCGGGATCTCCCAGATGCCGCGGATGGCCAGGCACTCTAGGTAGGGCAGGTCGGGGAGCAGGTCCGCAAAGAGGCGGAGCTGCGGCAGGATCTGCCGCCTGCTCCACGTCAGCGAGTGGCTGTTCACCGTGCCCATGCTCGAGACGGACGGGAATTTCTCTGCTCTCAGGTCGATTTCGCACCGCACGAGAAGAGCGACGCGGAATGTCGTGGACAGCCGGAGGGTCTTCAGCTGTTCTGAGCGCAGGATGAACGCGCGGAGGGCCTCGTAGTCCTTCCTCCCCTTCTCGCCCCAGTCCTGGACATCCCCAGCGGTCCACCCCCACCCATCGGCGCATTCGTCGTAGTAGTCTCTCCCCCACTGGAACTGACACTCCAGGCTTTGGAGTCGCGGGATAGACAGCCTGCAGAGGAACTCATCTAGCAGGTCCAGCGTCTTTGCTTCGACGCGAAGCGAGTCCAGCAGCGGTAACGTCAGCAGCGAGCCACATCGATTGTTGCGCGACCAGCGGTATTTCTCCGGGAGGATGATGGGGCTGTCGTCCGCGCGTCCGAAGTGCACTGATACGCGGCGCAGAGGGGACTGGATGCGATCGAGCACGTACAGAAGATCGCACGTCGCGTCCGGGGTCGCGGTGACATTGGCCAGCACATCGCAAGCCGCTAGTTCCTCCCAAGCCATATAGTAGCTCGCGCATATCGGCAGCCCTCCCTTGATGAACCTAGACGCGATGACTACCTGCGATTCGAACCTGTATGGATTCAGTGAGTGATTGAGCGTACGCAGGGGAATATACATGTATGTACTCGTCTTTCGCCGGCAGCTGGGGGAATATGCAGGTGCTCAATAGGGAGGAATCACTTGCGTTTCTCAGCCAAGAAATCTCATCTTGCCGGATATCGCTTAATTTGCGTTGGGCACACACGCGAGTTGTATACTCGGCGCGGCACTCCCAGCTAGGGAATAGCAAGTATGTAAGACCACAGAGTAGTCGGGCATCCATCGACTCACCAAACGACCCATTCGTCCTCTGGGGATTTGCCCGGCAATTCATCGCAACGATGCCCACATGCCGGACATATCCTGATGTCGTTTTCGAAAAATATGCACCCTTGGTAATCCCAGTTGGCCAATCTGATCTCAGCCGCACTGGACATCTGCGTGAATTCTGTGACACCAGGGGCGGCGAGGAGGGCAAAGTATCGTTCGTGTCGTCGCGGTATATACGTGCTTTCCAGTATGTAGATATGGGTGAACCCCTGATGTATGTGTAGCGAATGAGGTTGCTGCTGAGACAGAAACGAGGAGCGTGCGCACCTTCCACGACGAGCAGAACGATATGGGAATGGATACTGCCTGCCTGCCCTCCCTGATTCTCACGTACTCGAGTCGAACGTCTTTCAAGGATGGAATGTGGAGCCCCAATGTCCGCCGAATACGCTCGAATGTCCGCAAATCGAAATCCCGCCGGTATCCATTGGTATTCATATATCTACGGTGAGTGAGGACAAGGCAGGCCACGAGCGGACTAGGAACGCACTTGTGAAACAAGATCAAAATCTGTTCGAGCGGCTGCCGGAACTGCTCAAGCTCAGTGGCCATCCTGCGTATAATCGTGTGTATATCTGGGTCGCTTGTCCTCCAGAGGAGGAACGAAAGGACACTCCTCCACAATGGGCCAATAAGCGAGAACTCCAGACCTCTGCGGTAGTCCCCGATCTGATCGTAGAAGATGGTGAGCGCAGAATGATATTGCCCCGCGCGGCTCCGGACGGCTTCGAACCACGAGGCCGGCCACACTTTAGTACCCTCAAGGAGCTCTGCGACGCATCCCGCGAACGCAGCTGACAGCCGGAGCTCTGCTAACTGCTGCTGAAGAGGGCCGAATAGGCGCGTCTGCGACATCAGGGCATCCAGGGGGAAGAGTGTATATTGTATATCTTCGATGATCGTGATGAGATCGCTGTATGGTGAAGTCGTCGGTATCGGAGCGTCGTTATCGAAGTGCGGGATTGGGTCCCGGCCAGCGAAGGGGCGGCCAGGGGTGCTTCGATAACGGGTGATGTGATAGTGATTGGCATAGATGTACTGGTCGCCAGCAATGTCGTTGAAAGTGCTGTCGTGAATAGAGAAGTTGCTGGCGTTCGCAAAGGACATCGTACGGACGTAGACGCAAAGGCCAAATGCGACACCTGAGAGCTTGTACAGCCTGCTGGGGCCTTCTTGTATTGTGATCCCACGACTGCAGCGCTCGGCCCAAAGTCGTCCAGGCCGTAGAGGACTCGATCTGGCAGTGTCGTACTGCAGGCATTTGAGTTATAGATCATCCTGGAGTTCTGATAGTTGTTACAGTCGTCTTGTTTAGATTTGAAGCGTAGCCCATTGTTCTGAGACTGTATCGTTGGCTCGTCAGCCTCGGTACAAGCGACTCGAACGTTTGACAACTCACATTTCTGGTTCTGGTAGTAAGTCGTCCATTGAGAATTCGGGCCACTGGCATACCTTGTCCTCGCCCTGGGTCGCGCATTCTTCATCCGTTGGAATTGCCTGTCGCATTTCTACGTTGTCGAGGAGGCTCAGGTAGTAAGTATCCAGTGGTGAAGGCAGGTCCGAAGGGTTTCCCACGGGACATTGAATGGCGCGGCGCTTATGAAACGTTCATCTGCCTTTATCCCAACCCTTGCGTCGTGCATAACATGCGGGCATATGAAACTCGTTCTTGCGATCCTTTCGGGTCGAAATGCCAAGAATCGCCGCCATCCTTGCGGCCATTACAACGTCTGATCTGCGACGGCCAGAGGGGCAGCAACCTTGAACCTTGAACCTTTGAAGGGCCAAGGCTCTTCAGCGTTGCTGGCCCGCGGCTTGGGGACTTTTGAACCTACAACAATGGAATCCTGCGAGTAACTCTTGGTTCTTTGCGTCGTTGGACGAGCAGTCTTCGTCAATAGCTCTTCATCGCGTTCATTGCCTGTTGTCGCCAGGACTCGGATGCAGTTATTTGTAAAGCTGCTGGCCCTCAACTATATGGTGCTCTATGGTTTACCAGGCATGACATGTACGTGCACTGTTCTCCCCACGAACTACCTCCTCATGCCTGTATATAGATACCGGACCCACATATGAGCTACATCGAGATGAGCAGAACGGGTGGGCCACCTTCCCAGCATCCAAACATCTGGATTCTACCCAAAGGCGCTGTGAATCAGGTCACCCCAATAGCACCAGAAGCGGACCCCCCATGGCTGAATGAAAGCCTCACAATTAGCTTCCGTTGCAGGACACTTTGACCCTGATTCACCCATGACGCCTGCTTACCTCTCAGATCACCAAGCATTAGTAACTCGTGGAACGCTCTAAGAGCGCCCAGTACCGACCAGTCGGGAATTGTGCAATCTTTCCAGCTCCTAGCAGCATCACAAAAAGCCTTATAGATATCCAGCATCGACAGCAGGACTTCCCGCTCATCGATTATCATGGCCATCCCAACGACGCAGAAAGCTTGGATAGTCGAAAGAATGGGACATCCCTCAGAGGCCTTGAAATCCCACTCCGACTGGCCTGTTCCAAGCGAAACCGCAAAGGACCACGTACTCGTGAAGATCCAAGCCGCCGCGCTTAACCCTTTGTACGTTATGTTCCTGTCAAAAATAGAAAAATAGAACAATTTGTGCTCATTGCGTGTTCATAGAGGATGGAAATTGATGCAGCTAGCACCCAACTTTCTCGCCAAGAGACCCCTGCCTGCCGAATACGACTTTGCTGGCGTCGTCGCAAAGAAAAACGGCACAGAGTTCGAGGTGGGGGACCCTGTCTTTGGGTTCATCCATGTCTGTACATTGTTTTCAGCACGAATGAACATTGACGGACACTAATGCTCTCCAATGTGTAGCTATAACCCTGAAGACGCGACAAGGCACTTTAGCTGAGTACGCGCTGGTGCCAGATATATGTGTGACCAAAAGACCTTCCAATATCGATGTAATCCACGCTTTTGGGTTAACATTAGCTGGCCTGACCGCATGGCAATCCCTCAACTGTACGCGCCTAGAAGCTGGTCAGACCGTATTCATCTATGGCGGGAGCACAGCAGTGGGATTGTTCGCCATTCAGATCGCCAAAGCACGCGGTATCAAGGTCGTCGCCAGCGCATCCGGAAAGAATGAAGAATTGGTCAAGAAGATGGGTGCAGATGAAGTATGTTTGATTTCTGTGGCCTATGCCTGTTGCGCTCACCGATATTGTAGTTCATCGACTACACGAAGGAGCCGATATACAAGTACCTTCGCCCAAATTCCATGGAATCATCGACGTATATGGTCTCTCGGACCCCTCGCTGTACACCCATAGTGCTGCGTACATGGCGCCTGGTGGCGTATTCGTGATGACCACACCAACACCTCACCGTATTTCTTTCAAGGAGATTGGGCACCTTATCAAGACGCTGGTTGCTATAACGTGGCCTGCCTGGCTTGGGGGCATTCCCCGGGAATTCAAGTGAGATATTCTATTCTAACTAACTTACTCTCGGTGGAAAATGCACGGTGATAATCTTCATGATCAACATAGGTTCCCCGCTCTCAAAACAAGGCCGATTTAGAGGCACTCCGTGACTTGGTGACGGAAGGTAAAAAATCATCCTGTGCACCATCCAGCTCTCATCGAACGCATCTTGAACGCATCCTAGGCAAGGTTGTAGGAGTCGTGGATTCTGTTTACGAGATGGAAGACGCACTCAAAGCTTATGAGAGAATCTTGACTTGGAGAGCAACTGGGAAGGTCGTGGTGAAGATAGATGGAGAGGACAGGAGCACGTAATCTCTTGATCAATGTCGCTTCACGATTATTGCCAGTATGAGGAATGACGGACTGGATCCGCTGGATACCCAAGAGCCGAGAGCGTAGAGCGTCCGAACAGGGTATTGTTGAAAATAAATACGGGTACGGGATACAGTTATACAAATGGGCGGTACAATTCAGACCGTGGTATATTGGCCTCGAGAGATTTATCTATCTTGATCACGACCTTCCCGGTCGCTTTTGAAGACATAAGTCTCTCATGCGCTTTTAGGGAATCCTCCAGCTCACAAAAACCGAGTCCACGACTCCGACTACCTTGCCTAAAAGAGTTGGATTAGGATAGGCAATCTACGCGGAAGGATGGAATGGTGTCTTACCTTCAGCTACCAGTGCACGGAACGCCTCGAGATCTGCCTTACTCTCGTGGACGTCAGCGACTCTGGAACGCCGAGATTATCAGTGGCAACTCCTAGCGAGCGTGTTGAATCACTGACTTGAATTTTCTTGGGATGCCACCCAGCCAGCAAGGCCACTTCATTGCAGCAGCGGTCTTGGTGAAGTTCCCGACCTGTTTTATCGAAAGGGTTTGGGGCACAGGTGCGGTCGATATAAACACTCCGCCAGATGCCAGGTAGGCGGGACTATTGGTGTACAGCGAGGGATCCGACAGACCATATTACGCATCGATGATGGCATCGAACTTGGTTTCAGGAGGGTGTGAGTTGAGGTATTTGTGTATTGGTTCCTTCGTATAGTCGATAAACTAGAAAATCCATCAGCACGGAGGTTTTAGGCTACAGGGACTTGAACATACTTCATCTGCGCCCATTTTCTTCACTAATTCTTCATTCCTTCCGGAGGCGCTTGCGACAACCTTGATCCCGCGAGCTTTCGCTATCTGGATTGCGAACAGACCGACGTGCTCCCGCCGTATATGAAGACCGTCTGGCCGGCTTGCAGTTGCGCGTCCGTGAATAAGCATTAATACGCACTGTCAGCGTCAACCTAGGCTGGTAAACCAACCTCTCTTCGAGAGTATGACAATCGATCCTCTTAGAAGAGAGGCTGGTACGGAGCATGTGTCATTTGGCTGAAGGCCTTCCTTCGGTGTTTTCCGTGATGTCGGCAGGCCCGGCAGATGGTAATTTGAGAGTCAGACAGCCTTGGCGCTGACACACTTCCGCATTTGGACAACGCGTCTTTCCCAGCTCTATACCGCTACGTGCTCGCGTCTCCTCCTTGGTGCGCAAAATGGATGCGCCTCCTGGCGACAACGCGCCCAATCGCGCCTATACATCTGGCTCATACTTTCCTGTCGCGTTGGTCGCTCCTGGCTCATCATGGAACACTCCTGGAACCGTTCAATTTTGGAATCAGCCCTACGGTCCTGCACCCCATCCATATCTACATCCCACGCCGTCGACACCAGCTCAGCATCAGCTCCCACACATGGTCATGAGCCCAGCTGCCTTTTATACCCCCGGACAATCTCGCAAACGCCCCACCTTCACCTGGGACCGTGACCATGATGAGAATGAGCCTCTGGCTGACTCGCCCTTGTTGCCACCAAGCAAGCGGCGAAACACGAACCCTGGTTCCCCGTCTACTGCATCCGCCCCACTACGATCTACTCAAACACCACTGATTGCGCAGACATCGAATTCTTCGACACCAGCCGCGAAGCGAGCCTCACCACGCAGCGACAAAGAGAAATTGGATGCGGCACTCAATGGCATCCAGAACGCCGGCTTTGAAGGTCTCGGCCACTTCTTCGCAAGCCTCTTCAACGGCAAGGCAGGTTATCAGAAGCAGAAGATATGCCAATCGCTTCACAAGTTCTTGACGAATCACAACAAACCTGGACGACGACCAGCCGACATTGTTCAGGCAATGTACGACCACCCTTACAGTCACATCCGACGGCACGAAGATCAATTTCACGACGGCAATTCCATAATTCCTAACTACGCATATCCTGTTGAGGCCGACATCCCACCGAAGAGAGTTGCGTCAACCGGCACCCCTGCGCAAGCCACCATCAACAGCTGGGTTGCTGCCACTGTGCTAGACCTCGTTGATAAAGAGACGACGGTGTTGGCGCAAGATGTCGGTCTGCGTATGCCTAAAGACTGGACATGGGAGTCCGTTATAGCAACATCATTGCAAGACGTCCAAAGGCGAATGATGCAGCTCGCACCGCTCACCTGGTCGACAATAGCAACCATCGCTGTCAGCCCAAATCGCCGTCGACAAAATCATAACGCACGTCTTGGTACTGACGCAGATATCGAGGCCAAGAAAGAGAGCCTGAGCCACGCCTCTCACAGCCCGTGGAGGGTAAGTCTCCTGCCCGTATTTCAAACTCATTGTGACAAGTCATTTTGATAGGCGTTCACATTTGCAATACTGATATTACTTTCCATCCGCAATTCCTTAATCTCCCTTGGCCCTACCATCATCGGCCTGCTGCTATTCATCTCGGATGCAGGCCGTGTTGTCTACCATGCTCTCGGCCGCTTTGGGATATCCACCTCGTACTCCACTGTTCTCGAGCATCTTCGCGACCTCGCCCATGGTGCCGGCGTCCACCTACATGAAGTAGGGACATCGATCTCACGAAACGACAATCACTATATCATTTTGTTCGATAATATCAACAAACATCATCGGGCCTGGCATCAGACTATCAGCAAATCTGACGAGGTCAAAAGCAGGACAGCATCAACCGTTATTCACATGGTCTATGTCCCACCAGGTGCTATGAGTTTAAAGAAGCTCCGTACGAGGCAAAAAAAAACGTGGTCATAAGGACCTCACCGTTCGCCGGCTATTAGACATCGATCACAAGCATATGGAGAGGATTGGTGCTGCGACCTTACTACGGATATGGACGGACAAGATTCCTGCCCTCAGCCGTCACTGCGCTCATGTCACGCATCTTTTCGAGACGGCTTTACAGAAGCATCGCATTCCTCTTCACCAATCCGACATCTACCCGCTTCGAACATCTGGCATCGATGAGTCCACCACCGCAGGAAATAGTGACGTCCTTCACGATATCACTCATTTGCAAATGGGGATGGCTACCGACGATTTTGGGGAATTCGTCATGCCTATTGCAGGGGATCAACTCACCGTAGACCGTGTCCGGAAGCTCATTCACTACACCAAGAAAGATGTGACCAAGTACGCACAGCACACCTGGGCGCTGCCGTTTATTCAACTGTGGCACATGAAATGGGCTTTTCTCAAGGCAATATACAAGGCACACTGGACGCCATCCACTGGCAAGCATCTTTACGGGCTTCATCGTGATTGCAACACCCTCGGGCGGACAAAGCTGAACCCTACCAAGTGTGACTTCTACCCTCACCATCAGGCCGTGGCCGACACGTTTGAAACCAGTTGCTTAGGAATTCTACGGTATGCCACTGTCAGCACTATCACATAAAATTGAGGTGCTAAATCATCGTATAGTGTTCTCCTTGAGCAGAAGTGTAGCAAGGAATTATTAGATGCAACTCGTCGCTTTTCCCTCCTCCATGTTCTTGACACGCTTTTCGCAATGAAGATGTAAGGGGACACTCCTATTTTCTCCTTTTCCCCCTGTCCCGTCCCCTTCCTCCTCGTCCCTTTCCTCTTTCTTTCATTCCCTTTCCTTTCCTTTCGTCCCCTTACCTTCCCGCTTCCCTTCCGTTCACTCCCTTCGCATCCGAGCCTCGTCCGGTGACTCCGAAGTCTTCCCGCGCTTCGGACGCCTCGGACTCGCTCGGACGCTTCAGATACGCTCGGACTCGTAGATACACCTTGGGGCTCGTCCGGGCTACCTCCATCTTCCTTTCCCACTTCGTTATTCCTTGTCCCCACTCCCCCAGGTCGCTGGCACGGCTCCTGTACATTCCCCTTCCACTTCATTATCACATGCCCCCTCGTACCTTGTGATATTCGTTCGTACCTGTGGCTGGTGTACTGTACAGTTACCCTTCATCCCTCCCACGCTACTACAGTATATACTTCGCTTCCTAGCATGGAGAATCCCCATCCTGTTCTCTTTGGATTCTCCCTCTGCTAGGTGAGCAGCTCTCTCATGTATTGTAGTTAGTCTTATTCATTTCTTTGAATTCTCCCTCTGCTAGGCTTGCACTGTGCGGCCATCTTGAGGTTGCCCTTACAGCAGAACAGGATCTCCCATCCTGGCACCAGAGCCCTACGGAAAACGTCCTGCGCCACTCCGGACTCGTTCCCGACGTCTCTCCGGTTTTGCGGACATTCTGGACGCTCTCCTGCTACTCCCACCCACCTCTGAGGACCCAAGGAACTCCATCCCTCGCCCCCCTGACGACTCCGAAATGCCGGGCGCCTCCAGCCAGATCCCGCCATCCGAGCCAGTCGCTTCAGGACCGGGCTCCGAGACGTTGCAGACCTTGTGGGCTCAGACGTACGAACACCAAACCCAAATCAGTTCCATCCAGGATACACTCGCCCGAATTGAAGGACTCCTCTTAACACCCCGTCCGACCACTCCGAAAACGACCCGGGACTCCGAGCTGAGGGGCACCGAAGCCTCCCAGCACGCCCCGAGTCGATCCGAAATCACCCCGCGTTCCCGTTTGAAGCCCGCCTCTCCCCCGATCTTCGACGGAAACCGCAAGGATGGTTGCGCGTTCTACAACGCGTGCTCCATCTACTTCCAGCTCTGTCCGGACCACTTTCCGACCGAGCAGGCCAAAATCCTCTGGTGTCTCTCCTTCTTCCAGAAGGATCGCGCCAAGGAGTACGCGGACATGGTGCTCCGGAGTCCGAAGGATCCGTACTTCGAATCCTGGGCCGCCTTCGCGACCAAATTCCGGACTCGCTTCCTTCCGGATCGGGAACGCGAAGCCACCATGCTCAAGCTGGAGTCCACCCGGTACCACCAAGGGCGTCGGACTTTCCAGGAGTACCTTGACGAGTTCCGGGACCTTGTAGATCAATCCGGATACTCCGAGGGCTCCAACATCACGATGAAGTTCCGCCGCGGATTGGACTCCATCATCCAGAGCCGCGTTGCCGAGTCCGCAGACTGTCCGGACGAGGATGACTTCGAAGGATGGTACAAGGCAGCGCAGCGGGTCGCTGACAACCGAGCCGCCAACCAGTCTTTCCACTTCGGCGTGCACTCCGGAAACTCCGGACACTCCGGATCCCTCGTCCGACCAGCAGCCAACTCCGGAGTCGCTCGGACTCCTGCAGGTGTACTCCCCACACCTCGGACTCAGCTCCCGCCTCTGCAACCCCGCTTCCAACCTCCGCCTCCTCCGAAGGCTCTCTCACCCGGCGTTCCCATGGACGTCGACCACACCCGCTCCCGGCCCGCCGCTTCGCAGCTCTGCTACCAATGCGGCAAGCCCGGCCACATGTCCCGCGAGTGCCCACTCCGGTACGACGTCCGGTTCATGACCACCGAGGAGCGGATGTCCGCCATCGAAGATCTCCTGACCGCGGCCGATGTTGTAGAAAGTGCGGGGACCTCGGAAGGAATAGATGATGAGGGAACGGCCCCGGTTGAGGAATCAGACACGGCGGATTTTGTCCGGACCAACGAGTGATCAGTGCGACCTCGTTGGTGAATAACCGATTTGCTTGTCTTAGCGTAGACGAAATAGACGACTCCGATCACTCCGATGATTCGTCCGACGCTAAGCAAACGACTCCGGTTACAATCCGCACACTCCGAAGGTTTCGCCCGCAGTGAGAACGGCGGCTACCCAGTAGCTATAAGATCTCCACGCTGCCCGGCAAGCTTTCGCTAGATATACCTGTTGAAGTGCAGAGCACGGATACTGTAAGGGTTGTACCCTTTCGTTCCGTGCACTCCGACTCCCCCTATCCCCTGGCGACCCCTCTCCGACTCCTCGGACGCACTCGCACATGACTCGGACGTCACGAACCCGTACCGGACACACGTGATATCGGATCAGACAGCGCGGATCAATCTTTCGTATATCTTTTGTTCTCGGACTCTAATACTTGGACTACACTAGCACCATTATTCGTTCCTGGTGCCTTTTCGTCTCGGACTTTTCCTTCATCTGACATTTTTCTTAGCTACAAAAGCCTCCTGTACTCGTAGTTAGAAGAATCAGATTTGTTTCCCCCCCACATCGAGTCAGATTCTAAGCCGTCCGAACCTTTCTTCTCATCCGTTGTCAGAGTCTGCCGCTGTCCGAGTCCGAGCCCGAGTCCGATCCGAAGTTGCTTTCTCCTGCCGTGCTTGTCATTCTCCTGCCGTCCTCGTCGTACTATCCGAAGCCAAGTTATCTGTTTGCGTCCGAGCGTGTCCGAAGGCATCCGAAGCCGTCTGAAGCGTCCGAAGTTTCTCAGTTGTTCGTTTTCACTCTCGGACTCATCCTTAGCACACTTTACTCACGCGGGTGTCGCACGGACTTGTCCTGCCGGAGGCGGACCCTCGCATTTTACTAGACTACACTACTAGTCTACGCGTACATTCACTACTACATTCTGGAGCCCACCGCGAGGGTTTAAAGTTCAAGACACCCCCCCCGTTCCACCGTCGCCTAATCATCCTATTCCGTCATTGAATTCGAATCCCCTCCCGATCCTCTGCACGATATCTTTCCGGAAGGTCCGACGCAACGGGCTATCAACTACCTCTTCCGGAAGACATCCGAATATTTTCCGTTCAAAATAGTCCGCTCTTGGGTTCCCGATCCCAACACCGTCATTTGGCAGTTCGCACTTACCGGACGCCCAGAATCCGAGCATCCGAACATCCTATCACGCCCTAATCCTCCATCCCTCCGGCACAGTCTGTTCTATAATCCCGCCGCGGCTTACCACCGACCCACTCCGGAGTCAAACGACACTACGTCCGGAACACCTTCATCGCTCACCGAGTCGTCCGAGAATCTTCCGCCCACTTCTTCACCCTCTCCTATTCCTCCGCCCACAATGGCCACAACTATGCCCGTCCGCCAGTAGTCCTAGCTACTTTTGTTAACACAGTACCAAGTATTGCTGTAAGTATAGGGTTCACACAACGCAGTAACTGTTGAGTGTGTTAACACATTGTACTGTATTAACACACAGTCAGCAAAGATGAGAACTGTGTTAACACATGCATATATATAGGTATGAACGCTGTGCATGTATGTATGGGGAGTGTGTTCACGCAGTACTAGAAGTGTATTAACACAGTACAGGTACCCATGGGAGTGTATTAACACAGTACAGGTATGTACAGCAAGCGTGTTAACACATTACTACAGTGTATTAACATGGAGCAGGTATGTATGGGGAGTGTATTAACACATTGTACCAGTGTATTAACACTATACAGGTACCCACGGGAGTGTGTTAACACAGTACTAGAAGTGTATTAACACAGTGCATGTATGTATGGGGAGTGTATTAACACACTGTACTAGTGTATGAACACAGTGCATGTATGTATAGAAGTGTATTAACACACTTCTAGTAATGTATTAACACAGTACAGGTACCCACGGGAGTGTATTAACACACTACTAGAAGTGTATGAACACAGTACAGGCATGTATAGAAGTGTATTAACACAGTACTAGAAGTGTATTAACACATTACAGGTATCTACAGAAGTGTATTAACACACTACTAGAAGTGTATTAACACTATACAGGTACCCACGGGAGTGTATTAACACTATACAGGTACCCACGGGAGTGTGTTAACACACTACTAGAAGTGTATGGACACAGTACAGGCATGTATAGAAGTGTATTAACACACTACTAGAAGTGTATTAACACTATACAGGTATCTACAGAAGTGTATTAACACAATACATGTACATTTTCAACTGTGTTAACACACTTTTTTTTTTTCACACAAGTCCACAAGTGTTCACACTTTATAATTAACTCCGCTCCAGTTAACTCACAATCAAAATAATTATTTCAAAACTAAGGTAAATAATTGTCCAAAACAAAGTCCATGCAGTCACTATGCAACGAAATAAATCAGATTCTAACGACGACGAGAGGACGGCTTTTTTGCCTCAGGCGCAGGCGCAGGCACAGCAACGAGGTTCGACAGGACCCAAGAGACATCCTCGACAAGCATGGTAAATTCAGCGCTAGAGGGACCCGCTGCTTCCAACCACCACCCGAGACAAACCAACACTCCGTAAATCCCGTTTACGCCTCCGCGATACAACTTGGGCCAATCTTCGTGAGTATTCGTGTCGATGATGATGAGAGAAGCGCAATCGCGGGAGGACATGTTGAAATCGGGCGGGATGCGTTCGGGGGGCTGAATTGAAAACCACCACTTGAAAAGCTCATCGCACATCGTTTTGAGTTGCTCCTTCGTGAGTTTTCGATGGGCTTTGGGCCGTCGACCGTTATGAATCCAGTTACCGAGTACAGCAGGACGTCCGTCAGCTTGAAGTGGCTGTGAAAAAGAGTAAGTCATTGATTAATAGGACGTGGGCAACTAAGCTCACTTTACCAGGATTGTGTTCGACGTGTCTCTCGAAATTGATGAACCAAGCGACTGCTTCAAGGTACTCGATGCTCCCCTTGAAGCCCCGAAGCGTGTTGACCGCGTCACGAAGCCACTTGGGCATGGCCTGGAGTGCGATGAGATCGTCGAGATCTTTGTTGACCTTCGCCTCAGCCGCAAGGAATTCCGGGTCCTGGTTGTCATTTCTGCTGACATCGTCGTCTTCCGTGGAGCCGTTCTCCGCTGCTTGGTCTTCGTCGTTCGCCGTTCCACTCGTTCCACCTTCGTCGTTCGCCACTCCATTCATTCCTCCTTCTTCGTCTGCAGCAGAGCCGGGGTTGCCATCTCCTCCTTTGTCGCCGTCGTCGTTCACCACTCCACTCGTTCCACCTTCGTCGTTCACCACTCCACTCGTTCCACCTTCGTCGTCCGCCACTCCATTTGTTCCTCCTTCTTCATCTGCAGCAGAGCTGGCGTCATCTTTGTCGCCGTCATCGTTCGCCGTTTCACTCGTTCCCCCTTCATCACCTGCAGCAGAGCTAGGGTTGCCGTCTCCTCCTTTGTCACTGCCGGGTGCGTTCTCGCCGTCGTCAGTGAGTTCATCATCTCTCCTCCCTTCCCTCCCTTCCGTTGGCCCTGCCATGTCCACGTCTTCGCCGTCCACAGAGTGAACCCCAGCCCCTTGCTTATCGAATCGGTACATTACTTTGGCCAGCAGCCTTTGCACGGCGCTCTGGTGTGTGCTGACATCGAGGGATTTAACCGGCGTTGATTTGGAAGACCCCGTATTTGAAGACGAGGGGTGCGAAGGTGAATCTGAGACTGTAATTTCGACGTGTTTCTGCTCTGTGCCAGGCAAGGCGCAAGCGAGACGCTTTTCGATGGCTAAGATTAGTAAGTCAGTGTTGATTTCCATCATGGGGTGCAAAAACTACTCACGGATCGCTTTCTCAGCGAAGTCTACAACAATGCGCTGAAGCTGACTCTCCAAGGTCGGATGCAATTGAAAGATCGACCTCCCACTCTGGGTTCGACCATCAGTACCACTGGGTGCAGGAGTCAGCATCAAAACCCGGGGAAGGTGATTCGAGGACGTACAACACAACCGCAAATCCTCCCCCTTCCTTCGGCGCTGGGCCAACGAAGCAAACGACACCAACGAACCCAAGTTCTTTCCGGACTTGCTCGCACATCTTTTGCATAGTCTTTGGGAGCGCATCGATTTGGCTGGGGACAAGGTTAGTTCAGCCTGATGCCAGATACGTGTTGGACTCACGTCTGAAGGTTGCGATTGGCTTGCCTCCTCGCCGCCTCTTCAGGTTCAACTTCTGCGTCCTCATCAACCTCAGCGAAGTTGTCGTCGTCGCAGTCGAGTCGTTTGAACTCGTCGTCGATGTACTGGGCGATTCTTTCTTTCACCTCGTCACTTTCAAGGGCGTAGAGTCTCTGGATGACCTCGTTACGAAATTCCAACGGCATGTCAGGCATCTCGGGATTATATTCCGGGCTTTTACGCCAGTGCTCTTGGATCACTGGCTTCAAGACGTCATCATAATACAGGTGCGTGTATGCGTGCCAGCCAGCCAAGCGCTTTTTCTTACGAACCCTGAGATCCAGAACTTTGGCTCCTTTCGTGGACTCCGTATCTCGGTTGTGATTGTAGAACCAATCACGTAGACGCTTCAATGCTGTCAGAACACCATGGATCATCGAAACGGTGATATACTTACCGTCTTGAGTACTTCCAGCGCATTTTTCCGCTCCTCCGCTGACATGACTTTATCCTTCCAGAATTCTTGCACAAAATCGTCCATGACCTTTCGACGGAATGTCGCAACGGCTCCACGTGTCTTTGACCTCTGGGCCTCCTTGTGCTGGGGTAATAGTGCCGTAAGCCATGCACGTTGCCTCTCTGTTGTCCAGGGTTTGCCACCCGTAGGTGCCTTCGCCTCCTTTTTCCCTGCTGAGCGTCGGGTTCGTGCCATCAGTCAGAAAATGGAGAGAAAATATGAAGACAATCGGAAAAGACTCGGCTCGTAGTGTGTACACACTGCGAACACACATGTACACTCGTATTTATAGTTCCCCGGTGTTCACATTTTGCACTGTTTGTTGGAGCTGAGTTCACACTTACGTGTATCACTCGGGTATGAATTGTCAACATGTATATATTTCTTGCGGGCAATCTCTATTGCCTAGGGATCCTGTACGTCTTCTTACCCCCCCAATTTTCCTCCTCATTGATTGTTTTACCAGCACCACCAGATCGCTTCAAGATGACTCCCGTCAACATTTTTCAATTCTCTATCAAAGACCAGAAGCACAGTTTCGAGCTCGAGATCCCCCCCAGTGCGCATGGTCACGTCCTCCACATTTCTATCGATGGCACGACAAACAAGGGCACTGTCACGGTCTCGAATAACACCGCCGTCCCTTATGCCGATCCTGAGCGACCACATCCTGGTAACACCTCGCATTGTCACGGCGAAACGGCGCTAGATGAATCGGTAAAAAATTGGCGACCCTTCGGTGGTCAACAACCCACTGGCACTTCTAGCCGTGTCCCGGCAACTTACCATACTAGTCGTAGCGTGTTCTTGCCGGGAAAGCGGGATACCAAGGCCACAGATCAGGAGCGCCCGTCTGGCGAGGACACCACTCGATCTCCCCGACGTTATCATGGCATTACAGTTTACCCGCCTACAAGCACCCTACCCAAGCAATTCGCTTCCCCTTCTCGTCCTCGGGATAACACTACTCTCAAGCCCGATGGCTCCAACCGATTTCACTCTTGCGGTCGGGATGACCCTGATTACGATGCTGAGGATAGCATGCCGACATGGGCTGAGTTGCGTGAGGTTTACCATGGTTCGAAGGAGCAGAAGTGCACTATCGTAGATAATGATGAACCAGATGGTTATCCTGCCGACGACATCAACGACGACCCTAACCATCCCAGCAACCTTCCTGTTCCATTTCATCGACTTCCTCCCAGAGCAGCCGTAGACGGTGATCTCCACCCTGAGATGTTTGCCGTTCCCCTCGAATTCCGTCATAAGTACAACGCCCCGGCTGCGCGCAATGGTGCCGGCAAGCAATGGTGGGTGGTTGCCAAAGGGTACGAGATTGGTGTTTTCTGCGACAAGTGGTAGGTTGCTTCAGGTACCAGCTTTATGCGTAGACTTACGAATATATTCTTTGTTTAGGGTGTACATTCAGGCGTTAACCTCATCCATCGGGTTTCAGAAGAAAGCCCAATCGTGGAAGCAGGCCATAGCGTTCTATAATGAATACGAACGATCATCGAAAACGCAAAGGCTCATTAAATAATTTAGCTATTTTGTTACCTGTTGAATGTATGACTGTTCATCTTTGCGAAATTTGAGACTTTGAGAGAGCGACGGACAGTAGATTTGACAGCCAGAAGTCGGTGAAATCCACGTTGATCGAAATAGGTTCGTGGAATCAGATATCATTATTCCAGTCTTAAGAATGTCAAGCATGTTCATGAATTTGGCCGAGTTATCGAGGTTCGTCTAGAAATGTTGAGATTATCATAATGTAGTTCTAGTTATTGTTACGCTACGACGGTTGTTGAATATAGCACATGCGACTGATTGCGGCTAATGAGCTCACCTCATGTATTCCATGCGGCAATTCACTCTAGGTATTTAAGCTTACACTCAACCAGGTTTTAAGTCACCATGGACAGACCTCCTCGAAAGCGCAAGAAGTCCTCAAAAGCCTTGTCCTCGCTGTGCTTCATTTCCAGTGCTTCGGGTGCTTCGCAGTCATCTGTCACAGATCCAATCGAGCTGCTTCACGATCCATCCACCCCATCGTCGATAGCGCAGAATACTGTCAGATATACCTCCCGAATAGTACAGAAGTCAGTTCATGGCAGATATCGCGAGTCAACAAGTACCTTCGAACATGTTTCCAATGAGGAAGTAAGTTCCTCCATGACTGATGAGCAAGGCGCTAGCGCTAGCGCTAATGCTGAATCGCCTGGTGGTAATGCTGAGTCACCCAGCGCTAATGCTGAATCAGCCAACCCAAGTCCTGTCGACGTGGCCCCCAATCCTACCAGCAGCGACGATGTTCACGAGGTGTTCGAGGTGTGTCCTTCGCCATGGGTTCTTCTTCTCATCTAATGTACTCCCCCACCGTAAAAGTCTCCTCTCCCACATCGTCTTCAACTATGGGCTTCGGATCGTCGCCAGGCTTACCTCGAAGAACTGTATCGACTCGACGGCCGAAGTTCCAGCTCCAGCTCTGAACAATGTTGCAGCGAGGGAGTAGTTCCCTGTGAAAACAAGGGTGAATACCGATGCATTGATTGCTTCGATACGAGACTCTACTGCGCAATATGTGTTCTTCGTCAACACCGTCGCACTCCCCTTCATCGCATTGAGGTCAGTTTGTCTTCCAATTGCGCGTCACTGATGACTTACCTAGAGACTTAGGTCTGGCAAGATGATTGTTTCACTCGCACATCTCTTTGTGAGCTTGGCCATGTCATACAATTGGGTCATTACCACGGCGAGATATGCGCTCTCCCCAGTATCATACGCAAGGGATTCTATGTTATCGACGTGTCCGGGATCCATCTAGTATCCATCCGCTTTTGCGGCTGTCAATTCATCAGTGACGACGTTCAACTCCTGCGATATCGGTGGTACCCCGCATCTTCCGTGAAACCCCAAACGGCCTTCACCCTCGATCTTCTCAACACATTTCAAATCATAACGTTGCAAGGAAAGCTTTCCGCTTACGACTTTTATCTCTCTATTGAGCGCAAGACCAACAATGCGGGAACCAAGGACCTCCAAGTATGTTGTTCCTTTTTTACTGCTAATTGAACTCGTTACTCACTGTTGCATAGTCACGATATGATCAATTCCTTTCCTGCGTACGACAATTCCGCCACCTTCGCATGTTGAAACGCGCTGGCTTAGGCATGGACATGGTACCGGTTTCCTCGACAAAACCTGGCTCATATGCTGTCGAATGTCCTGCATGTCCTCATCCCGGAATCAACCTCCCTGACGGCTGGGAACGCGAACCAGAGTCGACGAGGTGCGTAAGCTCTGTGTCAAATGCCGGTTTCTTTTGCTGAACCCGCTCTAGATGGCTGTATGGGTTGAACTTGACGATCGACGCCAACTTCCGCCTTAAGAACAAGGATAGATCACTTGAAAAAGATGAGCCACTTGGTGATGGCTGGGGTCACTGGGTCTCTGAGGATCCGTACAAGGCATACCTTGAGGCGAATACAGACGAGCCTGAGGTACGTCAACTCCTTCGTTACTGACTTCCTCGCTCACGCATTATTTCAGCCTAATCTTTGTGATTCGGAGCTCCGCGCAGTCGACCATGCCAATAAACGGCGTTCCCAAGGCTACGTGTCGACTGGTGTCGCTGGTGTGATATGCGCCCGCCATGGTCTTGTTCGCAGAAATGGACTAGGCAACCTACAGAAGGGCGAGAGGTACGTGACGTCCATGTACTTTCGTTGCACCTCACTAACTTAAAGCCAGATATGCAAACACCGATTTCATTGTTTTATCAACCCTCAAGGATCATCCATTCACCCGCTTAGTTCTGTCCTACGATATCTGTTGTCAGTGGTCGAGGAATCTTTGGAACCGTATCACTGGCTTTCCCGAAGACATCCGCCTCTCGAGGGAGGCATTCGACCGTATCGCTTTCGTTATCCCCAAATTCCACCTCTATGGTCATGGCGACAAGTGCCAAATTGCCTACTCGTTGAATTATCTACCTTGGTCGGCAGAAACTGATGGGGAAGATCCGGAGCGATGGTGGTCACACATTAATCCCGTCAGTATGAGCACGAAGGTCATGGGCCCTGGCTCTCGAGCAGACACTATCGACGATCATGCAGCCGCGTGGAATTGGAGAAAGATCGTGAACTTTGGTAAGTTTGCAAGCACCGTGTTATCATCAAGACTCTAATCTCACTTCAGGTAAATCCCTGCTCAGCCACTATCAAAAGGCTATCTTGATGAGCGCACGCCACGCCGCTCTCCATGCCGAATACTCGGCTGAGTTTAGTGAAGCCGATCTTACAGCTTGGACGCAATTAATTATTGATTGGGAAATCGACCGCTCGAAACCTAATCCCTTCGAAGAAAAGGAAAAGCGTGAGTCGAAACGGAAAATGGCGATTATCGTTTCATTAATCATGCTACTAGACCGCTCCATGGCCGACATCCGCCTTGAATTGGCCAGAGAAGAAGTCGCTGAGCCTGCTCGCATGCAATCCGTTGGGACGAATGAGTTCCTGTATAAGGGACTAGAACTAGAAGAGCTTCAGTAAGTACCCCCCGCACTTTGGTGGTATCGGACTCTCATTGGCTTTCGGTTAGGCGTGTCATAGCAGCCTCTGCAAAGGAGAAGACGACACTTCAAGCTGCCGAGCTCCAAGAGAAGAGAAATAATTTAGGTCGTCGCATAGAGCTTTGGCGCGCCGAGCAGGCCGAATACATGCCTTCCATTTCCTCCGATCTTGAACAGCGTGCAGGTTCAACACCTGAGAAAATCTCTCTCCTTCTACCATCACAGGTTCCCGCTACGTCAGAACTTACCTCGATCCGAGATAAAGAGATGCGTATTCGCCTTGCTCAAGCCGACGACGCTTTGATGGAGCTTCGACGGTTACTGCGGATCACGGCTGGCCTGACAGAGTACAAATACACTCAAGTTGGTTTCGCTCAAGCTGCTAACACCCGCGCGCGTTCGCAAATCAATCGCTTCAAGGACAAGGTCCTTCTCACAGCTCAACGCTATCGTGCCGCACATCAGGCGCTCCTCTCACTTAACCCTCAAGGTGATTGGATTACGCGCCTTCGCAGGCTGGACGATGCCGATATTCGGTGGCCAGGTCGTAATCAAGATGAAGCCGAAGGTACTCGAGAAATCTCGTGGATATGGCGCGCTAGTGGTGCACGAGCCAGTGGGTCAGCGATTCTCCGACCACAACGACCACCAATCCGAAGCCCATTTCAAACCCCTTCATCTCGAGATTTACTCACGTCCTCTCGCCCAACACCGTCACAATCGTCTGCAGGCCCCGAACATTCACCTAGCCTGGCCTCTGATTCAGAGATAGGTGAAGGTTTGTTACACGTTGACTCCTCCCTTTCTCGTACTAATCATACTTTTATACAGCACTCCGCGTTGAATGGGCGAAGTCATACGCACGCGCGGCTCGGTGGGCCGAAGAAGTATCACTTGTTATAGAGGAGATGAGGCGTGTAGTGGTTTACTTGGATTGGAAGGCACAGTGGTGGCGAAGTCGTTGTCAGCAACGACCCGACGTGGCTCGTGCGTTGCAAGAAGGCATGAATGCGTATGCTAGTCGCCAATCGAAGATGCTTTGTACGATGCGTGCACAATTTGCGGCGGCATGGTTACCAGTTTTGCGAGGTCATAATAGGGATGTTCGGCAGACTGCGACGGGATAATGTCTTAGGCTACGAATTTACTTTTGTACGAACTTATGTGAACTACGTTGATTGTGAGTTAACTGGAGCGGAGTTAATTATAAAGTGTGAACACTTGTGGACTTGTGTGAAAAAAAAAAAAGTGTGTTAACACAGTTGAAAATGTACATGTATTGTGTTAATACACTTCTGTAGATACCTGTATAGTGTTAATACACTTCTAGTAGTGTGTTAATACACTTCTATACATGCCTGTACTGTGTCCATACACTTCTAGTAGTGTGTTAACACACTCCCGTGGGTACCTGTATAGTGTTAATACACTCCCGTGGGTACCTGTATAGTGTTAATACACTTCTAGTAGTGTGTTAATACACTTCTGTAGATACCTGTAATGTGTTAATACACTTCTAGTACTGTGTTAATACACTTCTATACATGCCTGTACTGTGTCCATACACTTCTAGTAGTGTGTTAACACACTCCCGTGGGTACCTGTATAGTGTTAATACACTCCCGTGGGTACCTGTATAGTGTTAATACACTTCTAGTAGTGTGTTAATACACTTCTGTAGATACCTGTAATGTGTTAATACACTTCTAGTACTGTGTTAATACACTTCTATACATGCCTGTACTGTGTCCATACACTTCTAGTAGTGTGTTAACACACTCCCGTGGGTACCTGTATAGTGTTAATACACTCCCGTGGGTACCTGTATAGTGTTAATACACTTCTAGTAGTGTGTTAATACACTTCTGTAGATACCTGTAATGTGTTAATACACTTCTAGTACTGTGTTAATACACTTCTATACATGCCTGTACTGTGTTCATACACTTCTAGTAGTGTGTTAATACACTCCCGTGGGTACCTGTACTGTGTTAATACATTACTAGAAGTGTGTTAATACACTTCTATACATACATGCACTGTGTTCATACACTAGTACAGTGTGTTAATACACTCCCCATACATACATGCACTGTGTTAATACACTCCCCATACATACCTGCTCCATGTTAATACACTGTAGTAATGTGTTAACACGCTTGCTGTACATACCTGTACTGTGTTAATACACTCCCATGGGTACCTGTACTGTGTTAATACACTTCTAGTACTGCGTGAACACACTCCCCATACATACATGCACAGCGTTCATACCTATATATATGCATGTGTTAACACAGTTCTCATCTTTGCTGACTGTGTGTTAATACAGTACAATGTGTTAACACACTCAACAGTTACTGCGTTGTGTGAACCCTATACTTACAGCAATACTTGGTACTGTGTTAACAAAAGTAGCTAGGACTACTGTTCGTTCCGTGCACTCCGACTCCCCCTATCCCCTGGCGACCCCTCTCCGACTCCTCGGACGCACTCGCACATGACTCGGACGTCACGAACCCGTACCGGACACACGTGATATCGGATCAGACAGCGCGGATCAATCTTTCGTATATCTTTTGTTCTCGGACTCTAATACTTGGACTACACTAGCACCATTATTCGTTCCTGGTGCCTTTTCGTCTCGGACTTTTCCTTCATCTGACATTTTTCTTAGCTACAAAAGCCTCCTGTACTCGTAGTTAGAAGAATCAGATTTGTTTCCCCCCCACATCGAGTCAGATTCTAAGCCGTCCGAACCTTTCTTCTCATCCGTTGTCAGAGTCTGCCGCTGTCCGAGTCCGAGCCCGAGTCCGATCCGAAGTTGCTTTCTCCTGCCGTGCTTGTCATTCTCCTGCCGTCCTCGTCGTACTATCCGAAGCCAAGTTATCTGTTTGCGTCCGAGCGCGTCCGAAGGCATCCGAAGCCGTCCGAAGCGTCCGAAGTTTCTCAGTTGTTCGTTTTCACTCTCGGACTCATCCTTAGCACACTTTACTCACACGGGTGTCGCACGGACTTGTCCTGCCGGAGGCGGACCCTCGCATTTTACTAGACTACACTACTAGTCTACGCGTACATTCACTACTACAATACACAACACCGATGCACGCTGCAGGCCCTGGTGGACTGCGGAGCCACCGGAGTCTTTATGCATCCGCGCTTTGCGGATGCTCATGGTTTCACCCGACGCAGGCTGTCCGGTCCGATCCCGGTCTTCAATGTCGACGGATCACCAAACAAAAACGGATCCATCTCCGAAGTCGTGGACCTTGTACTCCGGTTCAAGGATCACACGGAACGGATGCTTTTCGCGGTCACTAACATCGGACGCCAGGACGTCATTCTCGGATACACCTGGCTCCGGAAGCATAACCCCGAGATTGACTGGCAGACGAAGGAGGTGACCATGAGCTGCTGTCCGTCCGGATGCGATACCTGTCGGAAGGAGTTCCGCCATGACAAGCTGACCCGACGCAAGGAGTCCGTACGACTCCGGGAGTGTCGTACAGGTCCGATGCCAATGGTCGAGGAACTGCACTCGGACGATCTCCCGCAGCTTCAGGACTGCGAGGATGACGACGAGGATGATGAGGCCACAACTCCGGACGACTCCGGACTAGAGAAGGGCGACTGTATCTTCGCAGCCATTCCTCCTCCGACTCCGGAGTACCTTCGGAGTCTTCAGGAAGAACACGTCTGAGCTTCGGAGTCTTCAGGAAGAACACGTCCGAGCTTCGGAGACGGTCTCGCAGCGCCTCGCATTGGCTTTCCAGCGCAACAAGCCCCATGATCCTCGGAACAGCGCAGTTCCGGGCTTCCTCCGAGAATTCGAGGACGTCTTCGCCAAGGAGTCCTTTGATGAACTGCCCATGCCGCGTCCGTGGGATCACGCCATTGAGCTAGTGGACGGAGCGGAACCGACCTCTACCAAGTGCTACCCGCTGTCCCCCGCGGAGCAGAAACAGCTGGACGAGTTTCTGGAAGAAAATCTCCGGACTGGTCGGATCCGCCCCAGCAAGTCGCCCATGGCCGCCCCGGTGTTCTTTGTTAAGAAGAAGGACGGATCGCTCCGCTTGGTCCAGGACTACCGGAAGCTCAACAGCATGACAGTCAAGAACCGGTACCCACTTCCGCTCATCTCGGACTTGGTGGATAAACTCCGGAACGCTCGCTACTTCTCCAAGCTCGACGTCCGGTGGGGGTTTCAACAACGTCCGGATCAAGGAGGGCGACGAGTGGAAGGCCGCGTTCCGGACTACGCGCGGACTCTTCGAGCCGTTGGTAATGTTCTTCGGACTGACGAATAGCCCATCTACCTTCCAGACCATGATGAACGACCTCTTCCAGGAGCTCATTACGGAAGGTGTGGTCATTATCTATCTGGATGACATTCTGATCTACACCAAGATGCGCGAAGAGCATCGCCAGGTCCTCAAGCGTGTCCTGGAGATCCTCCAGCGGAACAAGCTCTTCCTCCGAGCAGACAAGTGCGAATTCGAGCAGACCAAGGTGGAGTATCTCGGTGTCGTCATCTCCGAGGGTAAGATCGAGATGGATCCCGTGAAGGTTTCCGGAGTCGCGGACTGGCCGACCCCTCGGACTCGGACTGAACTCCAATCCTTCCTCGGGTTCATCAATTTCTACCGCCGCTTCATCAAGGACTACTCGCATATCGCTCGGCCTCTCTTCGACCTCACTTGCGCGAAGGAATGGCAGTGGAACGACTCCGCTCAATCCGCGTTTCTTCGGATCAAGGAGCTGATCACTTCGGAGCCCGTTCTGGTCTTTCCGAAGGAGGATCGGCCGTACCGGGTTGAAGCGGACTCGTCGGATTACGCTACGGGTGCGGTCTTGTCGCAGCTGGATCCGGATGATGGTAAATGGCATCCTGTCGCATTCTACTCTAAAAGTCTACAGGCTGCGGAGCGGAACTACGAAATACACGACAAGGAGATGCTTTCGATCATCCGGGCACTCGAAGAATGGCGGCACTACCTGGAAGGCGCAGAGACTCCGTTCAAGATCTGGACGGACCACAAGAACCTGGAGTACTTCATCAAGGCCCAGAAACTCAATCGTTGTCAGGCCCGCTGGTCGCTATACCTCTCCCGCTTCGGCTTCACTCTCCAGCATCGTCCGGGTCGGACAATGGGTAAGCCGGATGCTCTCTCGCGCCGCTCGGATCACTCGGATGGTAAGGATGACAACAAGGACGTGGTTTTACTTAAGCCGTCTTACTTTGCCGTCCGTGCCACGGGTGTCACTCTTGAAGGGGAGGAGAAGGATATCCTCATGGCTATCCGGACTGGAGTGCGGAATGCGAAGTTTGAAGATGCAGTGGCAAGGGCGGCAGAGGAGTTGAAGAAGGCCCAGGGCAGTCGCAAGACAGTCCGGAGCGCGGAATGGTCTCAATCGGACGGACTCCTGATGTTCCGGGGTAAGATCTATGTTCCGGACACACCGGACTTGTGTCGGACCATTGTAGCTCAGCACCACGACACCAAGGTCGCAGGACACGCCGGCAGGTGGAAGACCCTCGAGCTCGTTTCGCGCAGCTACTGGTGGCCCAACATGTCCCGGTACGTCGGATCCTACACCCGCCATTGCGACCTTTGTCTCCGGACGAAGGCCCAAAGGCATCCGCCCATGGGTGAACTCCATCCGCTTCCCATTCCGGATGAACGCTGGGATCGTCTGAGTGTCGACTTCATCGTCGAGCTTCCAGAGTCCGATGGATTTGATGCTGTCATGAACGTGGTCGACTCCGTAAGCAAACGCGCCCACTTCATTCCGGCTCACACCACAGTGTCCGCCCTCGGATCCGCGGACTTGTACCTGCAGAACGTCTGGAAGCTGCACGGACTCCCTCGTCCCGTTGTGTCCGACCGGGGTCCGCAATTCGTCGCAGAGTTCACCCGAGAAGTCTACCGGATGCTCGGAATCAAGCTGGCTGCCTCCACTGCGTACCACCCTCAGTCCGACGGACAGACGGAACGGACCAACCAGGAACTCGAGTCCTATCTCCGGATCTTCGTCAGGAGAGCGTCAGGACTGACTGGGCTCGCCTCCTACCTATGGCGGAGTTTGCGTACAACAACCGGGTCCATGCGTCCACTCAGCAGTCACCCTTCCTCCTGGATACCGGCCGTCATCCTCGTCTCGGGTTCGAACCTCACCAACCACCGTCTCGGATGGAGTCCGCAAACGAGTTTGTAGACCGGATGAAGTCCGCAGTCGACGAGGCTCATTCTGCATTGGTCAAGGCTCAGGACGACATGAAGCGCTACTACGATCAGTGTCGGACTCCTGCTCCGGAGTACCAACCGGGTGACAAGGTCTGGCTGGACTCGTCGGACATCAACCTTGCCCGACCCTCCCGGAAACTCGGACACGCACGACTCGGTCCTTACAAGGTCGTCCGGAAGGTTGGCAAGGCAGCGTACCGACTCCAGCTCCCTCCGGGCTTATCCCGTCTCCATCCCGTCTTCCCGGTGGTCAAACTCTCTCCCTTCGTTCCGGACCCCATTCCGGGTAGACGCCCTGTCGCTCCGCCACCTCCGCAGCTCGTTGACGGAGAAGAGGAGCATGAGGTAGAAGAGGTCCGGAATAGCAGACGGTTCGGTCGGGTCCTGAAGTACCTGGTGCGTTGGCGAGGCTATGGTATCGAGCACGACTCCTGGGAGCCCGCGAGCAACCTCCAGCATGCTGCCTGGAAGGTCAAGGACTTCCATGATCGTCATCCGGATGCAGTATGCGTACTCCGGACGAGTCCGATGAATCCGACGACTGCTCTACCTCTCCGGATGACTCCTGCAGCACTGGACCAGTCCTGGGAGCGTTGGCGTAGTTGGAAGGCTCCGGGCTCTGCGCAATCGTACTTCGACATCTTCTCGCAGCAATCCGGAGTTTCGGGGTTGGTGAATTCATGGCGCGGCAGGCAGGAATCTTCGCGTCGGGTCGCCGCAACCTTGAAGGGGGGGTGATGTAAGGGGACACTCCTATTTTCTCCTTTTCCCCCTGTCCCGTCCCCTTCCTCCTCGTCCCTTTCCTCTTTCTTTCATTCCCTTTCCTTTCCTTTCGTCCCCTTACCTTCCCGCTTCCCTTCCGTTCACTCCCTTCGCATCCGAGCCTCGTCCGGTGACTCCGAAGTCTTCCCGCGCTTCGGACGCCTCGGACTCGCTCGGACGCTTCAGATACGCTCGGACTCGTAGATACACCTTGGGGCTCGTCCGGGCTACCTCCATCTTCCTTTCCCACTTCGTTATTCCTTGTCCCCACTCCCCCAGGTCGCTGGCACGGCTCCTGTACATTCCCCTTCCACTTCATTATCACATGCCCCCTCGTACCTTGTGATATCCGTTCGTACCTGTGGCTGGTGTACTGTACAGTTACCCTTCATCCCTCCCACGCTACTACAGTATATACTTCGCTTCCTAGCATGGAGAATCCCCATCCTGTTCTCTTTGGATTCTCCCTCTGCTAGGTGAGCAGCTCTCTCATGTATTGTAGTTAGTCTTATTCATTTCTTTGGATTCTCCCTCTGCTAGGCTTGCACTGTGCGGCCATCTTGAGGTTGCCCTTACACTCACGCTCCTTCCAAAGAGTATCAAAGACTGTAAGTATCTTGTCACATACATCCACTAACTGCTGCCCGTGTGTTGGCAAATACCCCCATTCCGGCAACAACTCCTGTAATTTCTCGACACTCGTCACAGTATGCATTCGGCTACAAAGTCGGTCTTGCAGAAATTTTGCGAGGAAGGCGCTGTGTGGTAGGAGTGTATTATCTTCTCGGGCAGACAGCCATGTTCTTTCTGCCCATGCACTGATAATCCAACGTGCGGCAGGATACATGATAGTTTTGTCTATAACTCGGTGGCTCTTTGACTCCGGTTTTGTTGGCAAGTCATTTGTCAACCCAATGATGGCTTCCTTCAATGGCAACTCAGCAGTGGATTGCTTTGATGGCTCGGTGGATGGTAGAGGGGCTTCCGGCCTCTGCGTCGCTTTGGATGAGTCAGAGAGTTTTTGGAAGGCATCGACCCATCGTTCAATTTCGATCTTGCAAACATCGTAGTCACCGGGGCAGTGGTAAATGCAACAGTTGTCCACTGGGATGAACTCGTCGCCATAGTAGCCACAGAAGACAGACCGTGGACAGCGTTCAGAAGAAGGATTGAACCAATGGAGCAAGGCAACATTCATCTTGCTACGGTATACAGCTTCATTGGCTTCCTTTTGTGACCCTGTAAGCTCGTCATCCTCCTTGATTCGAACTCGCTGGGGAGCATAGACATATGCGTGTGCAGGTTTTCCGTTATGACCTGCGCGACCAATTTGCTGGGATAATCGCTCAGGGGTAGGAGGAACACCTAGTATGATCACCTGCTCGATATCCGCTACATCCATCCCACAGGTTAAGGTATCTGTCCCCACGAGTACCTGTGTTGTCCCCTTCCTATATGCACTGATATAAACACGCCGATAATCATCGGAGAGTAATGAATAGAAGGGCATGATGATCTTGTCACGGTCGTCCCAGTCCAAAGGTACCAAGCTCTGTAGGAATCCAGCGACACTGCAAGCAAGTTTAATGGTTTCACAGAAGATGACTGTTTTCTTGATGCGGTCAAGCGAAGGCGTTCACACCGGAATAACCCATGAAATGTCAAAGAACGTCGAGGTGGAGATAGAATGCTCGAAGAAGCGGGGGATATATTGGATGTTTGGAACATCAACCCGCATCCGATGCATCTTGTAGTCACCCTCTTCGAAACCAAGGGATTGCAAGACATCATTTGTGATCTTCCCAGGGGGTAATGTGGCCGTTACAGCAACCCATGGGATCCTAAAGTCGAGCCGGCCACGTATTTGCCCAATGCGGGAATATGCTTGCCTAAAATCATCGCCATGCTCCCGCACCAAGTGACACTCGTCTATGAACACAAGATCGAGTTGCGCAACCTCAGACTGGGACCCAGGGGTTTGCGCATGAAGGAACTTGTTGATTTCGTCGCTATGTAGGAGTTCGGGGGGGATAATAAAGAGGTCCCATTCATCCTTCCGGATTTCCTCCATTAAATCTTTCCCTTTAGCTGCGGCAGCACGTAGAGAGTCGCTGTACACGGCAACTGCCTTCAGACCCCTATCTGTAGCTGCTCTAGCCTACGAACGGTAAGCTGCAGCAATGGAGAATGAATTATCTGCTTACCTGGTCATCACATAGGGACTTTGTCGGCGCAACAGACATACCCAGTACACAGCTATTGGCAGTTTTTGCAGCCATTAGAGGGATGTGAAGCAGCGCCGACTTTCCTGACCCAGTTGGAGCTATACATACGACATCCTCCTTCCTAAACATCGTGCATGCGAGTTCTACTTGCCAATCCTTCAACATAGAGTAGCCCAATTTCGGTGCTATGACTTGCTGGAACCATTGAGGAGAGCCTGGCAGTGGTTTACCGGTAGGTCCAGCCTACGTCAACCCAGATCGCGTCGACGTTGGAAGGCCGTTTCGTCACGCAGGTCCCTGATATGAGTAGGCTGGGACGTACCTGAAGACTTTTGCTGAAGGTCCTCCTTCGGTGTTTGAAAGTGGCGGCATTGAGGCGGCATCATTTGGAGCACATGGCAAGTCTTGGCAGTCTGTAGGAACCGACACCCCAGAACGTTTACAACCCCTATTCTATCCCCTCCTCGTCGCGATTAATCCTCTTCTCTGTATTGTATTGCACTCGCAAAGACGGAATCTTCCCCGTTTCACGCTATTTAATATTATACTATCCATGGCTAATCACCAAGAACTCACACCTACCGGTAAACCACTGCCAGGCTCTCCTCAATGGTTCCAGCAAGTCATAGCACCGAAATTGGGCTACTCTATGTTGAAGGATTGGCAAGTAGAACTCGCATGCACGATGTTTAGGAAGGAGGATGTCGTATGTATAGCTCCAACTGGGTCAGGAAAGTCGGCGCTGCTTCACATCCCTCTAATGGCTGCAAAAACTGCCAATAGCTGTGTACTGGGTATGTCTGTTGCGCCGACAAAGTCCCTATGTGATGACCAGGTAAGCAGATAATTCATTCTCCATTGCTGCAGCTTACCGTTCGTAGGCTAGAGCAGCTACAGATAGGGGTCTGAAGGCAGTTGCCGTGTACAGCGACTCTCTACGTGCTGCCGCAGCTAAAGGGAAAGATTTAATGGAGGAAATCCGGAAGGATGAATGGGACCTCTTTATTATCCCCCCCGAACTCCTACATAGCGACGAAATCAACAAGTTCCTTCATGCGCAAACCCCTGGGTCCCAGTCTGAGGTTGCGCAACTCGATCTTGTGTTCATAGACGAGTGTCACTTGGTGCGGGAGCATGGCGATGATTTTAGGCAAGCATATTCCCGCATTGGGCAAATACGTGGCCGGCTCGACTTTAGGATCCCATGGGTTGCTGTAACGGCCACATTACCCCCTGGGAAGATCACAAATGATGTCTTGCAATCCCTTGGTTTCGAAGAGGGTGACTACAAGATGCATCGGATGCGGGTTGATGTTCCAAACATCCAATATATCCCCCGCTTCTTCGAGCATTCTATCTCCACCTCGACGTTCTTTGACATTTCATGGGTTATTCCGGTGTGAACGCCTTCGCTTGACCGCATCAAGAAAACAGTCATCTTCTGTGAAACCATTAAACTTGCTTGCAGTGTCGCTGGATTCCTACAGAGCTTGGTACCTTTGGACTGGGACGACCGTGACAAGATCATCATGCCCTTCTATTCATTACTCTCCGATGATTATCGGCGTGTTTATATCAGTGCATATAGGAAGGGGACAACACAGGTACTCGTGGGGACAGATACCTTAACCTGTGGGATGGATGTAGCGGATATCGAGCAGGTGATCATACTAGGTGTTCCTCCTACCCCTGAGCGATTATCCCAGCAAATTGGTCGCGCAGGTCATAACGGAAAACCTGCACACGCATATGTCTATGCTCCCCAGCGAGTTCGAATCAAGGAGGATGACGAGCTTACAGGGTCACAAAAGGAAGCCAATGAAGCTGTATACCGTAGCAAGATGAATGTTGCCTTGCTCCATTGGTTCAATCCTTCTTCTGAACGCTGTCCACGGTCTGTCTTCTGTGGCTACTATGGCGACGAGTTCATCCCAGTGGACAACTGTTGCATTTACCACTGCCCCGGTGACTACGATGTTTGCAAGATCGAAATTGAACGATGGGTCGATGCCTTCCAAAAACTCTCTGACTCATCCAAAGCGACGCAGAGGCCGGAAGCCCCTCTACCATCCACCGAGCCATCAAAGCAATCCACTGCTGAGTTGCCATTGAAGGAAGCCATCATTGGGTTGACAAATGACTTGCCAACAAAACCGGAGTCAAAGAGCCACCGAGTTATAGACAAAACTATCATGTATCCTGCCGCACGTTGGATTATCAGTGCATGGGCAGAAAGAACATGGCTGTCTGCCCGAGAAGATAATACACTCCTACCACACAGCGCCTTCCTCGCAAAATTTCTGCAAGACCGACTTTGTAGCCGAATGCATACTGTGACGAGTGTCGAGAAATTACAGGAGTTGTTGCCGGAATGGGGGTATTTGCCAACACACGGGCAGCAGTTAGTGGATGTATGTGACAAGATACTTACAGTCTTTGATACTCTTTGGAAGGAGCGTGAGTGTAAGGGCAACCTCAAGATGGCCGCACAGTGCAAGCCTAGCAGAGGGAGAATCCAAAGAAATGAATAAGACTAACTACAATACATGAGAGAGCTGCTCACCTAGCAGAGGGAGAATCCAAAGAGAACAGGATGGGGATTCTCCATGCTAGGAAGCGAAGTATATACTGTAGTAGCGTGGGAGGGATGAAGGGTAACTGTACAGTACACCAGCCACAGGTACGAACGGATATCACAAGGTACGAGGGGGCATGTGATAATGAAGTGGAAGGGGAATGTACAGGAGCCGTGCCAGCGACCTGGGGGAGTGGGGACAAGGAATAACGAAGTGGGAAAGGAAGATGGAGGTAGCCCGGACGAGCCCCAAGGTGTATCTACGAGTCCGAGCGTATCTGAAGCGTCCGAGCGAGTCCGAGGCGTCCGAAGCGCGGGAAGACTTCGGAGTCACCGGACGAGGCTCGGATGCGAAGGGAGTGAACGGAAGGGAAGCGGGAAGGTAAGGGGACGAAAGGAAAGGAAAGGGAATGAAAGAAAGAGGAAAGGGACGAGGAGGAAGGGGACGGGACAGGGGGAAAAGGAGAAAATAGGAGTGTCCCCTTACATCTTCATTGCGAAAAGCGTGTCAAGAACATGGAGGAGGGAAAAGCGACGAGTTGCATCTAATAATTCCTTGCTACACTTCTGCTCAAGGAGAACACTATACGATGATTTAGCACCTCAATTTTATGTGATAGTGCTGACAGTGGCATACCGTAGAATTCCTAAGCAACTGGTTTCAAACGTGTCGGCCACGGCCTGATGGTGAGGGTAGAAGTCACACTTGGTAGGGTTCAGCTTTGTCCGCCCGAGGGTGTTGCAATCACGATGAAGCCCGTAAAGATGCTTGCCAGTGGATGGCGTCCAGTGTGCCTTGTATATTGCCTTGAGAAAAGCCCATTTCATGTGCCACAGTTGAATAAACGGCAGCACCCAGGTGTGCTGTGCGTACTTGGTCACATCTTTCTTGGTGTAGTGAATGAGCTTCCGGACACGGTCTACGGTGAGTTGATCCCCTGCAATAGGCATGACGAATTCCCCAAAATCGTCGGTAGCCATCCCCATTTGCAAATGAGTGATATCGTGAAGGACGTCACTATTTCCTGCGGTGGTGGACTCATCGATGCCAGATGTTCGAAGCGGGTAGATGTCGGATTGGTGAAGAGGAATGCGATGCTTCTGTAAAGCCGTCTCGAAAAGATGCGTGACATGAGCGCAGTGACGGCTGAGGGCAGGAATCTTGTCCGTCCATATCCGTAGTAAGGTCGCAGCACCAATCCTCTCCATATGCTTGTGATCGATGTCTAATAGCCGGCGAACGGTGAGGTCCTTATGACCACGTTTTTTTTGCCTCGTACGGAGCTTCTTTAAACTCATAGCACCTGGTGGGACATAGACCATGTGAATAACGGTTGATGCTGTCCTGCTTTTGACCTCGTCAGATTTGCTGATAGTCTGATGCCAGGCCCGATGATGTTTGTTGATATTATCGAACAAAATGATATAGTGATTGTCGTTTCGTGAGATCGATGTCCCTACTTCATGTAGGTGGACGCCGGCACCATGGGCGAGGTCGCGAAGATGCTCGAGAACAGTGGAGTACGAGGTGGATATCCCAAAGCGGCCGAGAGCATGGTAGACAACACGGCCTGCATCCGAGATGAATAGCAGCAGGCCGATGATGGTAGGGCCAAGGGAGATTAAGGAATTGCGGATGGAAAGTAATATCAGTATTGCAAATGTGAACGCCTATCAAAATGACTTGTCACAATGAGTTTGAAATACGGGCAGGAGACTTACCCTCCACGGGCTGTGAGAGGCGTGGCTCAGGCTCTCTTTCTTGGCCTCGATATCTGCGTCAGTACCAAGACGTGCGTTATGATTTTGTCGACGGCGATTTGGGCTGACAGCGATGGTTGCTATTGTCGACCAGGTGAGCGGTGCGAGCTGCATCATTCGCCTTTGGACGTCTTGCAATGATGTTGCTATAACGGACTCCCATGTCCAGTCTTTAGGCATACGCAGACCGACATCTTGCGCCAACACCGTCGTCTCTTTATCAACGAGGTCTAGCACAGTGGCAGCAACCCAGCTGTTGATGGTGGCTTGCGCAGGGGTGCCGGTTGACGCAACTCTCTTCGGTGGGATGTCGGCCTCAACAGGATATGCGTAGTTAGGAATTATGGAATTGCCGTCGTGAAATTGATCTTCGTGCCGTCGGATGTGACTGTAAGGGTGGTCGTACATTGCCTGAACAATGTCGGCTGGTCGTCGTCCAGGTTTGTTGTGATTCGTCAAGAACTTGTGAAGCGATTGGCATATCTTCTGCTTCTGATAACCTGCCTTGCCGTTGAAGAGGCTTGCGAAGAAGTGGCCGAGACCTTCAAAGCCGGCGTTCTGGATGCCATTGAGTGCCGCATCCAATTTCTCTTTGTCGCTGCGTGGTGAGGCTCGCTTCGCGGCTGGTGTCGAAGAATTCGATGTCTGCGCAATCAGTGGTGTTTGAGTAGATCGTAGTGGGGCGGATGCAGTAGACGGGGAACCAGGGTTCGTGTTTCGCCGCTTGCTTGGTGGCAACAAGGGCGAGTCAGCCAGAGGCTCATTCTCATCATGGTCACGGTCCCAGGTGAAGGTGGGGCGTTTGCGAGATTGTCCGGGGGTATAAAAGGCAGCTGGGCTCATGACCATGTGTGGGAGCTGATGCTGAGCTGGTGTCGACGGCGTGGGATGTAGATATGGATGGGGTGCAGGACCGTAGGGCTGATTCCAAAATTGAACGGTTCCAGGAGTGTTCCATGATGAGCCAGGAGCGACCAACGCGACAGGAAAGTATGAGCCAGATGTATAGGCGCGATTGGGCGCGTTGTCGCCAGGAGGCGCATCCAT